AACCCTAACCCTAACCCTAACCCTAACCCTAACCCTAACCCTAACCCTAACCCTAACCCTAACCCTAACCCTAACCCTAACCCTAACCCTAACCGCAAGCGTATAAAAAGATTTAAAATTTTATTATTTTTTAAAATGGCATATAATATTAATATATATTTTAAAAATAAAAGCTTTTATATATCAAATAATAATATTCTAACATATTTTATATTCAATGTAACTTTTTATTGTTATTAATTTAATATGTTTTTTAAAGCACAAATTTTTAAGTTTAAAATTTTATATCATTTTTAAAATAAACTTAAAAACTTTATAAATTTTTGTATAGTGCTTTTAATAATTCATTTGTTGTCGCGTTAAGATCTATATTCATTTATATAAGCATAACTTTATTAACTTTAAAACTAGAATTAAATTATAGCTAAAAAAAGTTTTATAAAATTTTTATATTATACATAAGTTTTCGAATATTATTTTCATTCATAAAATAATTAATATATGTATTATTTATTTATATAAAAATAAAATAAATTCAATCTTTTAGATTTTTTTAGAGGTTTAGGCTCCAGAAATGATAAATACACTTTTCTGTTAAAGTATTGAAAATACTTAAAACCTTTAAATTAAAGAGTTAGTATGTGTTGTAAAAATATATTTACGTAATTGTGTCTTCGGAATTAGTAATATATTTTTTAAATTATTTTTGAATTCCTTAGATGGTAATATAGTGAATGAAAACCAAGGAAGTAAATTTGGGTTAATCTAAATAAAATTAATTAAGATAAAAATTAGATTCTTATTACTTTAAGAATTTTAAATTCTAATGATTCAGTAATCTGTGAAATTTCCTTAGTTAAATGATTTTTTTGATTTAATGAATTAATAATAATAGATGTATCTTCAATCTCATCAACTTTCCCTGAAAAATCAAATATAATTTTATCCTGATTTAAGAAACTAGATGATGTAACTGCTGGATTATTATGCTTATTTACTGGATAGATTATTAATGTTTGGTTATTAATTTCCGGTTCAGATGAAAATCCTGTTGTTGAAAAAGAATTAGATGTTTCTTGATTATCCTTAAGGGTTTGGAAAACTATAGGATCTCTCTTCATTGAAACAATCTTATTAGAAGCCAGATTTTTAGGAATAGAAACTTTATTAGGCAATAAAATATTTTTAGATTCTTTAAAATCATTAATCTAATAAGATTAAGAGAAATATGTTTAAATTAAAAAGACTTACTTCAGTATCATTATTTTTTGAATAATTTTTTTCTGTTCCTAGGGAAATAACATTTTGCAAATTTGAACTAATAATAGGTCTGTATTTTTTATACGGAATCTCAGGAGCTTGATAATTTGTTTTATTAATAGATTCTGGTAATGTATTGAAATGCATTGTTTCTCCAATTTTTTCAGCTATAGATTTCTGTTTTTTTTTTTGTGTAATAATGTTTGAAGTTATTCCATGTTTTGAACATGTTGTTCTTCTAGAAGATGGCATTGCATACGGACTTAGAACTGATTGAATGTCTACCTCATCTTTAATATGTTCTTCGTTTTTCTCTTTGTCTAGTATATTTAAAATATTTGTTGCAGTGCGACTTTTTGCAAATTTAAAATTCTCTGAATTTGTGTTTTGAGAAGTTTCCGAAATGTATTGAGGGATTTTTTTTAGGAAATTTTTATCTAAAAAGGTAGAATCTACATGACGTCGTTTTGCCTCTGGTGCTAACATTATATCTAGCTCATGTTTATCGCCAGACTTAGTGCTTTCATTTTCATTTATTCCAATTGTCGCCAAAAGATCATATTTAGAGGGTAGTAATTGCTTAGATGCATTATTCATATTGAACGAAGATCTTTTAGTTGATTTTCGTTTACGAAATGGTGTACTTATAGTTGGTCCAAAAGTAGAATATTTTTTAGAATAAGAAAATGTAGGAAGAGATGATCCAAATTTGACAGTGGAATCATATGTTGGAGAAAATGTAGAATTATGCAAAGAAAGTGGCGACTGATGTTGTGCTTTTAAAGGTGTAATAAAAGAAGAAAAATCGATATTCGATGTAGTATTTTTTGACATTAGACTTATAACTCCTTCTATCTCTATAGTATTGAGAGGAGAATTTCCTTTTTTAGAAAAAAATGATGATAAAATTTCATTTGGAGTTAATGTTTTATTAGATAAAATATCTTTCTCGCCCAATTTTGGAATAATAGAATTCATAAAAGGCATGTTTGTATTATCTTCAAAAGATATATCAGGTGAAAAGAATTTTGCTGGAATATCGGTGTCCTTTTTATGTTAAAATAGAATTTTTTGATATAAAATAATATTTTACTTTAAATTCATCACTTTTCGTTTTTTTAAAGAAATCCTCTTCCATAATACTATCCTTTTTCAATGATTCAGGAGTATCTTGATGACGAATGCAATATCCTAAGTCATTTTGGCCATCATTTTTAAAATTTAACGGTTTATCTTGTGTTTTACGTAAATTTTTATAGTTTTGCTTCCATGCTGATGGAGAAAAAAATGAGCAAGCCCTTGATATGATATTTTTTGGAGTCTAAAATATGTATCAATACTACTGATTTTTTTTTCTTGAAATATATACCAAGGATTCTTTTGTAGGTGTTTGAGAAACTGAAGGTTTAAAATAAGAATTTATATGATCTTCTGGGTACATTTTGTATCATATATCTAGTAATATGCCTAAACCTAAAGGAATATAGATATGTTTCTTAGATATTTTTTAATATAAATGATTTTTCAAATTTTTAATTTTTAGGAGAAAATAATAAACGTTTTTCTATATTTTTAACAAAAAAAAGAAATAGATAATTATTAATAAATTAAAATATTATTGTAGTTCAAGCTTTTTTTGGTTATATTTATTTAATTTTCTGGAATTTTAATAAGTAAAAAATTGGAATTCAGAAAAAACTGAAAAATAAGATCAAGGTCAGAAATTATGTCTATCTTTCCTAGTCCTCCTACTTCAATTGAAACTTGGATATCACCCTATTTAGATTCTTTGAATCTTTATACACTTTCCAAGCATTTTCATGTTGTTTTAGGGGCTTCATTGTTTTATCAATTTTTGTTTATAATTTCCCCTTTTATTTCAAAAAAATTATCTAGATCATATTTAACTTTAAATAAATCAACTCGCATAAAATGGGATGTGCACTTTGTTAGTATGATTCAATCAATATTAATATCTTGTTTGATATTAGGATGTTATCAAGATGATGAATTGAAACAAGATAGGTTATTTGGATACAATGCTTATAAAGGAGGTAGAAGACAATTATATAGTTATAATTTTTTTATTTAATGAAAGATATATATTCTCTTGCTTGTGGATATTTTCTTTGGGACACAATAACTTCATTTCGTTATATATCATTATTCGGCATTGCTATATGTCTCCATGGTACAGCGGCCCTATCTGTTTTTTTGTTTTCATATGTTAGTATATATTTTTTTTTTTTAATTAATTTTTATAGAAACCATTTTTAATGTATTATGGTTTAGCTTTTTTGGCATTTGAATTTAGTACACCTTTTTTAAATATACACTGGTTTTTTGTTTGTTAAAAAAATTATTTAAAACCTTACATTAAACAGAACTAGAATAAAACAAGAATGATAGGTGGAATATGTCAATTAATAAATGGTATTATACTTCTTCTTGTTTTTTTTCTTGTCAGAATTGTTTGGGGATTATATGCTGCATTTAATGTTTTTTGTATACAATATTTTATTAGTTATATATTTTTAATGTTTTTAGCTGACATATATTTCAATTTAGATGTTGTGCCGGTTTATCTAGTTGTGATATATTTTACTGCAAATATATTGCTTAATATTTTAAACTTTTATTGGTATTTTAAGATGTTAAGTATTTTAAAAAAAAGGGTTAAAGGTATTATAAAAATTATATAAAACATATAAAAGTAATTTAAAATAATTTATGTAATACTAATAATTTGATTTTTTTCAAATTAAATATAAAACATGCTTTCTGATAACTCATTGGCATAGAAATATAAAAAAATGTTTAATACATTTTAAAATACAGAAACAAATGTTGCATAATTTTGTTGGTTTTGTGTAATGCATTCACTAAGAAATGCTATATTTCTGATTTCTTGTTCAAATAATTTCACCCATGCATAAACAGTAGCAAAATGAAACTAAATAATAAATTATTTGAAAATAAAATGAAATATCGTACCTGCTGTACAAATGTTTGCTTGTTTAATTCTGCTTCTTTTTCAGAAAAAATGTCTTCAAGACTTTTTTTATTTTCGTGTGAAGCGTCCTCTTTAAAAAAAGAATAATATTCTGGGACTCCTTTTATTGCTAATTTAACTTCTTCTATACTTTCTGCGGAAGATAAAAGATAAGTGCCTTCTGGATATAAATTACCAATTGTAGGATATAGTTTTCTGCGCGTTTCCTTCGTAAGAATAGTAGAAAATGAATTTAAAGTAATATTGATTGCTCTACGATCTGCCTCAAATTTTAGAATGTTTGACATCAATTCAAAAGTAGTTCCACCAAGTGTTCTACAAAAGGCATAGAAATCTTCTAAGTATGCTTTGTATAGAGTATTTCTAATAATTTCTATATTAAGCTCATTTAAATCTACAGCTGAAAGGCAATCTTTAAAATATAAAGCTTTGATATAAATTAGTAATAAAAAATTAAAATGCATTATCTTACCTAGAGGTGTATCTATAATCACGTTATTATAAAATTCTTCAATATCCTTTGATACACAAAGTGTAGGCATTGTTTCAAAACAACCAAGAGGATGGCATTTTTCCAGTAATTCGTGAGTATCTCGTTCATGTAAAGTACCTGTGATTAAAAGAATTACATTATCAATCATATAACTATAAGTGATATATTCCATGAATTTTGATAAGGGATAAACAGCTTGAGACATAATATATTGAAATTCAGATGTTAATTTCTCTGTTGCTTTACGAGCTATAACAGATGTCGTTAAAGTAGAAACATTTGATAAAAAACTCCCATATGCTGTTGATGATAACTGCATTTTGAAATCTATCTTGTTTTAGTGTAATAGTTATACTTTCTAATTATTACCTTCAAGCGATTCACATTGTGTTAAATATTGATAAGTGCTATTTGTTAAAAAATTAGCTTTATAACCCCGAATTAATCCATCAATATAATTTATATCTTGGCAAAAAAGACAATCTTTTAAAATACCCATAATATTATGACTTAGTTTTTAGATTTAAAATTATTTGGAATAAATTTAAATAAACGTTTGAAATGTAATCGTTTAATTTTTTAATATATAATTAAAATATGCTAAAAGCTGAATATAATTAATGAAAGTTTTGATTAAAAGAGACGCATTTTTAACTAATTATGAAGTTCTCCGGCATATATATGAAGAGGAACTTCAAAAAAAACACAACATAGATAATACAGGATCAAAACAATTTATAAATGAAAATCTTAGTACTATACAATTTCAAGTAAACTTAAATATTTTGATTTAAAGACTTATCATTTTAGCTTCGGAAATATTTAGAAGAACTTCCTGCAAAAAAGCAGTCAGCAAAACAAGTGTGTAATCTTACTAAGGAATTAGAAATTTATTCTTTAACAAAGGCGGAGAAACTTATGATTATTAATGCAAGACCAGACACTCTTGTTGAGTTATATGCACTAATAGAAGAATGCGAGGAACGTTTTAATTTAGAACAACTACAACAGATTTTAGATCATATTCATAGTAAAATGCCACTAGATTCTCATGAAATCCTAGATGCATAAGATATTATTGTTTAAAATCATATAGCTATCATTTATATATTATTAAAACTTTGAATAAATAAAACATTAGATTTGGAAATAATTGAAAAAAAAAAAAATTAAAAAAATTTATTACTCGAAATTTAATATATTATTCATTTTGGTTTTCAATATCTTTTTCAGAGATGTTTTGTGTCTCTACTACAGAACTTCCTTTTTCTTTTGGCTTTTTAATACCGCTAACAATATCATCAACTCTTAATAGATGGCATGCACTCTAAATTATAATTAGCAATAATTCTTTAAAATTATTATGGTATCACTTCAATTGCGGTTTTTATAGATTGTGCCTTTACAGCTTGTGGCTCCCATATACCATAGAGACGCATATCTACTACTTTTCCGGTTTCACCATCAATTCCCCATGAATGTTGTCCATTGACATGCTTTGCCTAAATATGTATTATAAAATGTTTAATATACAAAGTTAAAATATACTCTTAATTCCGTTAACACTTTTACTGGATTTGCACCACAATTTTGTACTAATGTCCGAGGAATAACCTCCATAGCATCTGCGATACTTTTATATGGCCATTGAATTATTCCTTCAATGGATTTCGCTTTCTCTGATAATCTAACACTAATAGCCATCTCAGTTGCACCACCACCAGGAGAAAGTTTTGGATAAAAAAGAACATTTCGAGCGACACACATAGCATCTTGTAAATTACGTTCAATTTCATTAATAATATCTTTGGAAGGACCACGTAGTAAAATAGTACATGCTTTAGGATTTTTGCATTTGGTTAAAAAAGTATAATATTCATCACCAATCTTTGATATTTCAAAATAACCGCAATCTTTTCCTACATCATTCTCACGAAGATCTTCTACTCGATTCACAATAGTTGCACCAACAGCACGAGCAATCCTGTTATTATCAGACTTTCGAACACGACGAATAGCCGTAATATTTGCTTTCAAAAAAAAATGTTGAGCGAGATCTGATATACCTTTTTCAGTAAAAACAATGTCTGGCTTAAGAGCTAAAATTGCTTCACACATCTGCCGTACTTGTTCTTCTTCAATTTGTAAAATTCTATTCCAATCTTCATCTTTAGTTATTTCAATGTTTGTTTGCGATTCCCCTTTCTTATATTCTAAAGGACAATCTAAAAGTACAATTCTAGGATTTTCGATTTTTCTCCTCATTTTAGGATGGGTAACATCTTTGTTTAGCATAATTCCATCTAAAACAACACTTTGGTTAATTTCCCCTCCAGGAATTTTTTCAACTCTTGCATAGCGTTTGATATCTATTTCATGTTTTCCGTCAACATTGTTTTCAACGATGCGTACTGCTTTAAGGGCAAGTTTACACATCAAATCACTCCAGCGGTTTATAAATTTTGTTCCAATAGATATATTTATAAGCTCATTCATCTCCTTATCGCTTTTCGTATTTACTTTCTGAGAAATCTCTTCAATTATGCTCAGAGCATCTGCAAGAGCATGTTTAAATGCAGATATTACAATAACTGGATGAATATTTCGTTCAAGATGTAGAAGAGAATGAATTAAACATTCCCCAGCTTCTCCATAATTAGAAAAAAACATATAACTAAATGCATTATTTACCTAATACAATAACAGTAGTTGTTCCATCTCCAACTTCTTCATCCTGAGTTCGACTTAACTCTATCATAGATTTTGCTGCTGGATGTGCAACTTCTATTTCTCTAAGGATAGCATGTCCATCATTTGTAAGAAGCACCCCTCCCATTTGATCAAGTATCATTTTTAACATTGCATTGGGTCCTAGGCCTTTTTTATCAATTAATTGATTATAAATACATTACTTACAAGTTCGAATGATCTAAACAATATATTAACGACATTTAATAATTTCTAATTATTTTTTACTCACATCAGCTACAGTTTTTGCTGAATGAATATTAGATACTTGTGCCTTTCGACCCAATTGCCGTTTTGCATTCATATCTTTTTTAAACAATTAGTTATTGAGGGTTTAATGAGACAGTAATTACTACCCATAAGAATTACCGGATTTCTCATTTTTTTTTTTTATTTTGTATTTTTTATAACAAAAAAATTGTTTTTTTTTTTTCAAAAATTTTAAACTTAAAATTAAGATTAAGATCGAAGATAAATTGGGGAGTATTAAAAATATTTAACAAGTTTTAAGGTTTTTTTAAGAAAATTTAATTATTGTAAAAAATATGTAAAATTTTATGATGCAAAAGGATTTTCAGGTATATTTTGGTAGGAAAAAATTAATTGTATTGATTATTTTAAGTATGGACGAAGCATCAAAAAAATATTTCGAGCTTGTATAGATTACAGGTATATTAGGGATAATGCTGATGAAATAAAATCTATATGTTTAAAAAGGAATTCTAAGGCTTCATTTGACAACGTTTCACGAATTATCAATTTATATCAAACTTATCTTGGATATATAAAATTACGGGATAATTTGTTAAATCAAAGACGTTGTCTAACAAATACTATTAAACAGGAGATTTCTAGTGGAAATGATATTTTTCAGCAAGGATTTATTCGTCATGCTTCTGAAATTAAAAAAGATCTGCAAAAAGTAAAAGAAAATATCTATTTTACTCAATCAGAGCTTTTACAACTTGTTTTAACGATACCGAATAATATTCATCCGCTATCTCCTATAGGTTCAGAAGAAAATGCAAAAATTGTGAAATATATTAATTCGGATAAACAATTCTTTATATCTAAACCAAAAGATCATACTGTTATTGCTGATATGTTGGAATTAATTGATTTTGATTCAGCTTCTAAGACGTCGGGACATGCATTTTATTTTCTTAAGAATGAGGCTGCGCTTATGGAATTGGCTCTTATAAATTATGTATTAGAAAAAGCAATAAATGCTGGATGGAAACTCGTTATACCACCAACTATTATTCGTTCTGAAGTTGTTTCAGCTTGCGGGTTTCAGCCTAGAGATGACTATAATGATAAACAAATATATTTTTTACAAAGTCCTAATACAGAGTTAAAATATTGTCTTTCTGGGACATCAGAAATTCCTATAGCAGGCATGGAAATTAATAAAATTTTAAAGGGTTCTGATGTACCAAAAAAAGTAGTTGGTATTAGTCGTGTTTATAGATCTGAAGCAGGTTCAAGGGGTAAAAAATCAAAGGGTTTATATCGAGTACATGAATTTACAAAAGCAGAATTGTTTGCATGGAGCGATCCTAAAAAAAGTGATAAAATTTTAGAGGATATTTTGAATCTTGAAGAAAATATTATAGAAGAGCTTGGTTTGTATGGAAGGTAAAAGATATTTATATACGCATATTAATATTTAATAATAAATCAAGAATATTGGATATGCCTACATTTGAATTGGGAGCATCTGCATATAGAAAATATGATATAGAAGTTTGGATGCCAGGTCGAGGAGCATGGGGAGAAGTCACATCATGTTCTAATTGTACAGATTATCAGACTAAGAGATTAAATACTCGTTATATGGCCTATCCAGGAGATAAATTAGGTTGGCCTCATACATTAAATGGCACTTTAGCAGCGATACCACGATTGATCATTGCAATTTTGGAAACATATCAAAATGATGATGGAAGTATCAGGATTCCTAGAGTTTTGCAAAAATATATGGGAGGTATGACGAATATCGTAATAAAAAAAAAGGCATAACACATGTATATTAAAATTGTTTTAATTTATTGAAATTAGTTGTTTTTATTGATATTTATTTTAAATATTTCACTATCACTTTCTATTTTCCATCTGTATATATTTCGTTAAAGATTGATTGATACCGGTTCCATCTTTAATTAATATTTTTTTTGTATTGTTATTATCTAAAACTTCGTTATTTTGTACGTTTTTTAAAAGAAGTTGAATAATAGAATTCTGGATTTTTGTTATATGCCATAAATCATAAATACTTTTATATAAATTTTGAATAAAATTTCTGTTTGATCCATAATTCCAATTAAGATTTTCAAAATGACAATCATAAAGTATAAGAGGAAGACCATCTGCTATATTATATATAGGTTTCTTGGGTGTCTTAGATATATCTAATAATGTTTTTACAATCTCAGGTTCTTCAAGATTTTGTCCAACTAAAAAAAGAATGGAAATCATACAACGCACTTGATGCCATAAAAAAGCACTACCCTCTAAATCAAAAATATATAGAGGATCATCATCTTCATCTGCATTATATTTGCTTATTTCTGATTTGATTATTGTTCTCCTGAAATTCTTTATTGATTTGCTTGAATCTAGCTTACAAAAATTCCTAAAGTCATGTTCTCCAACAAAATAAGCAGCAGCTTTCGACATTTTCTCTATATCAAGATGTATACCTGGTGAATTCTTAAAAAATAAATATTTGTAATGTCTTTTTTGACATGAAAATCGAGCTGAAAAGTCGGAGGGGAGATCTGAACACCATGCTAATATTCTAATAGTTTTCGGAAGTAGTCTATTTAAAACATCTATATATTTAATTTCACAACATTTTTTCTCTGAATCTTTTTCAAAAGATTTATTACTCCTTACATTAAGTGCTATTACTTGGCCTATAGCGCTAACACTTTTGTCTGTTCGTCCACACCTCGAAAAGTTACAATTGCTTTCCTGATCAATAAGTTTTGCTTTTTTTAGAGCAAAAAAAATAGTTTCTTCTACTGTAGGAAGATGTGTCTCATTTCCTTGGGTTACGAGTCCGTTATAATACCATCCTAAATATGCAAATTTGAAAGCAATATACTTTTGGTTATAATTTGACATAGAAAAAGATTTTTTAGTTGGCCTAGAACTTTCATTATATAAATATGATTTTTTAGGAATAAATTGTTTTATGTTAATTTTTTTTTTATTTTTCAATAGAATTTCATGTTCTAATGATATAATTTTTTTAATCAAATTATCTTTAGTCCATGTAGAATAATCATGAATCTTAGATTCCATAAAAGTAAAATTTTGAACAAACTGCAATTTTCCTAACATTTAAAAAAAATATAAATCTATATCTTAATATGATTAACCCTAAATGTTTAAACTAGGGCTAACTTGATTAAATGCTAGATTATTTAATAAAAATTAATGTGAAAAATATAATAAATAAAATGACAACGATATAATCTTGTTATTGTATCAAGTTTAAAAGTGTTGTTTTCGCTTGCTTTAGTTGTATAGTAGATATTTTGAATATTTTGACAAGGATTTAGATATAAATAAAATAATCATTATTTTGCATTTATTCTTATTAAAAATTTATCATGTTTTTTCTGTGAAGTCTGGTATTTTTTGCTCCAAAACCTTAATCATATCCAATCTTTCATTATATTCATTAGTTTCTTTCCATACTTTTACAAGACGCTTTAATTTATTAACAATATTTTGTGCTTCCTGAAATTTTTTATTCTTTATCAATAGTTCAATATGTTTTTTTTTTGTTTCTATATTTTTCCACTCTTTTGCTTCTTTTAGAATTAAATGAGTTGCTTCAATTCTTTTCTTTATAAGATCAAGATGTAAAAAATTATCAATAACATGATTTTCTGTTCCTTTCTTTAAGGTTTCTGCATATTCTTTTTTTTTATTCAATATTTCTAAAAGAACTACTATATCGTTATGTAAAAGTTCAATATCATAACTCAATTGTGGTAATTGTTGAATAATTTCATTTACTATTTCTTGCAGCTGATTAATGGTGGATCTGGACTCAAATTCAAGAGATGAAAGAAGACTTGTTGTTATATTTTTTGCCTCTTCTAACGATATAGTAGATGAGAGGAATGAATTAATGTAAATTGATGGTAAATATGATAAAGATGAAAGAGAAGGATTGGTTTCGTTTGTATTACTTTGCATGTTTGTTTTTCTATTTTTTTCATTTTCAATAAGATTTCTTAGATTAAGACGTCCATAGGATTTCGAGTAATAATTTTTAATCTTTAAAAAATATAAAGATTTTAAAATATGAGGATTTAATAGTATAACAGGAAAAATTGATTTTTTTATTTCTTAAATGTTTTAACAATTATATATGTTATTTTTTTAAAGATTTATTTAGAGAGGTAATTATGCCATTATTAATAAAACGACCATCTCCAGATATTGTTGAATTTACATATTACGAAAATTTTAAATGGTCTATAAAATACATATTAAAGCTTTTGGCATCTTTTTCAATCCTCGTATTTTTTCTGTCAGTATCTATGTTTTTTTTTGGCCAACATTATCAACAAATAAATTGCATCATTTATATTTTACAAAATATTGGGCTTGTTCAATCAATTCAGGAATTATATATACATAAGCCATATGTTTTTTTTTGTATAGTTGCAATATTTCTATATTTTGCATGTAGGCTTATGCATCCAAAACCAACAAGTAATACAATAGCTATTATTTTCGCATTATATTAATAAGTTGTTTCAGGTGAATCTTTACTTATTTTACATAATTTAGGATTACAAATCACTTTACATTATTTTTTCCTACCTTCTCGTACACGTTTTATTCCATTGTCTGAAATCTTAGATGTTGTAATTCATGAAGGATTCATTGGGCTAGAAGTACGCTATTACTTAGCATTAATTATACGTAATGAGGATACTTTACAGATTATATTTGAAAATCTTCTTCCACGGAGAAAATTTTTAGAAGTTGTTTATAAAGAAATACAAACTATTTTTCATTAAAAAGGTGAATTTAGATGATATATGTGATTATTATTTGTCAAAGAAACAGATATTTACATGTAATGCTTTCTTTTAAATTTTAATTCTTAATTCCAATTCTGCGCATGTTGAACTTCTGATTGTTGTATAGGATCAGCAGCCCAATCACTATGAACACCTGTCTCAACTCCAAAATTTTCATCCCAGTTCCCTACGGATTGAACGTTACTTGCAACATTAGTAATAATACCAGCGCCAGCAGACTGTGCTGCAATTTCCCAGTCAGATGTTACCGGAACTGATGTAAATTGACCAGCTGGATTCCCAGATGCTTCAAGTGCCTTCTGTTCAGACTCTGTATCTTTTTCTGTTTCTTCAGGATCACGATAAAAATACAAATCAACCATAACACCCCATTCAACATCCCTATTTGCAAGAGTTCCTCTTAATCTTAAAACTTCACGAGCAAGCATCCACCAGATAAGACCAATACTATGCCGTCCTTTATTGTTGGTAGGAATAGCAACGTCGACATATTGCAATGGACTGTCCGTATCGCATAGGGCTATTACAGGAATATTAACATAGCTTGCTTCTTTAATAGCCTGACTATCTGTCCGAGGATCTGTTACAATGATTAAACGAGGTTCTTTAAAAGAACGAGTAATATAATTTGTAAAAGAACCAGGAGTAAATCGTGATGATATAGCTTCCGCCCCTGTATGTAAAGCATATTTATGTACTGCACGTTGTCCATATGATCGTGATGAGATAGCAATTATATCCTAAAAAGCTTGATTTAAAATTTCTTTTATATAATTAATTCATTTACTCTAGGATTTTCGATTGTAACAATGATTCGTGCTGCAAGAACAAGCTTCTCCCACGTTTTCCCAAGGTTAATGATATGAACACCATCTGCTCTTTGTTTAAAAACATATGGTTCCATCCGAAGCTATTTAAATGTTTAATTTTTTTCTAAAAAAAAAACAGTTTTTTTTTTACCTCACAGTTTCTGGAACCTATATGGCAATTGGCAGATATAAGCATTTCAATATCTGCTGGTTGAGCGTCAAAAATACCCATAGTTTATAATCTTTTAAGTTCGAAGTTCTGAAATCTAGAGTATTAAAAGTCACACATATATATATAGGTTTTAAACCTAAAAAATAGGTAAATCAATATAATGAATTTTGAAAAAAAAAAAAAGAGTTTATGTTTTTAGGAACATGATTATTTTAATAAATTTGATGACTCGTATATTGTTTTTTTAAGAGAATAATTAAATATGAAAGAATTTTTGATGTATGAATTATTATATTTTTTATAAAAAATATTAATTTTTTTCTATTTTAAATATGTTAAATTTAACATTTTATAAAAGTATTAGATAATCTTTTGATGTTTATGCTTTAGAATAATATATGTTTTTTTTTTATAATTTGTATATTTTTGGCTAACTTTTTTAATATTTATTATTTTGCTGTAATAAAATTGATATAAATGTAAGGTCTTTATGAAAATTTTACTAGGAGTTGGTATTTACTTATAAAAATATAAATCAACAAAATCATAAGAATCATAAAGCAAAAGATATTAATATAAAAAGTTTATTTATAAATTATTAATAAATTAATTTTAAAAATATTTAAGTAAATAGAAGAATTAATATTTCAATAACTTTATGTATTTTATAATATTCATATTAACTTTTTTATAATAATAAAATTATAATAGCTATTTAAAATCTATGATAACATTATAAGTTATAGATTTCCAAATCATGATGTTTTAATATAATTTTATTAATGTATTCATCTTTAAAAAAAATATTTGTAATTTTTATTAAATATAAAATTTAATACTGAATAAAATTTTGTATTTAGTTTTATAAGCTTGATTAAAATATTAACTATATTAAAAACATTTTCATTTAAACATAATTGCTTTACTAAAAAAAATCTATAAATATATTTAGAATTTTATTACAATTTATAGACATTTAAATATGAACTAGCATTATGATTTTCTCTAAATTGTTTAAAAAATTATTTAGTATTTAAAAATATTAATTTTCAATAAAACTTTTAAATTATCTAACGTTTTATTTTTTTTAAACTTTAAGGTTATATTCAATTTTTTAAAATATTAACCCTATTCTTATAAATGAGAATAAATATTAAATTTTAAAAGAAGCCTTAAATATGTCATTACCGCATTCTTTTATATTGCAACTTTCTTCTGAAGATCCTTTACAACATAGTTCATATTCAAACCGATTAAAAACTCTTTATGAATTAGAACCTTATATAGTTTTAGATATAGGATCACATTATCTTAAAGCAGGATTTAGTGGTGAAAGTTTCCCAAGATGTACAATTGAATATGATGAAAGAAGTTTTCTTGGATATCGATGTACACTTGCAGAAAACATTACACGATTCCCTGTAAACGTAGGTTTCTTATAAACCACATAATTAATCTAAATTTTAGTACAGTTTGAATATCTTTTATGGGATGAGCCTAATTTAGAACTTATAGGTGATAGACTAGAAATATATTTAAGAGAAGTATATAATAAGTTACTTAAATTTTATTATAAAAATTTTAAATAATATATTTAGATGGCTTAACATAGGTTCCAAATTTCGAAAAGTAAGCATTGTAGAATATATTTTACTTCCAATTAAATTTAAGGTAATTATAGCAAAAACATTATTTACATATTTTCAAGTATTGATTTTCTTTATTTTAATTATATACATGTTAACTTGTATAGGTTCCTAGTATAACATTTTTATCATCTCATGTTCTTGTACTTGTTTCTCTTGGATTAAATAGCGGTATTGTTATTGATATTGGATCTAAAGAAACTAGCGTTCTTCCCGTATGAATTTATATATATGTATGTTATCTAATTAATAAATAGATTTATGATTTACGCCCAATGACATCATTTATTGTTACTTCATCATTAGCATCTAATATTTGTTTTTCACGATTGAAATACCTGTTAATACACTATTCTACTCCACGACTTGAGTCTCTGACATTTTATGATGTTCAAGATTTTTTGCAAAGAGCAGTATTTTCTCTACCATTATCTCCACTTACATCATCAAAATCTACTATTATTTTTCCAGAAAATCTAGAAAATATTTATAAACCAAATGTAGAATGTTCCGATGTTATTTGGGAGCCTCCTTCACAAAAAGGATTGGAAGTAACTATCCCGGGATGGGTTAGAGTTTGTATAACTGAAGCGTTATTTGAGGCTTCCGATAAATATGCAGATACAGATGAAATTTCCATACCCCAAATGATAAAAAAGTGTTTGTCTCATCTTCCAATAGATATACGTTCTATAGTTTCAACGTCCTTAGTCATTTCTGGTGGATTTTCTTTAATACCCGGTTTACAAAATCGAATAAATAATGAAATAAAAGCATCAGGAAAAGTTATTCGAAATGAATTTGGAGTAAATGCAGCATGGGTAGGAGCAAGTTTATTGGGTGATCTTAAGATTGAAGGGTTATATGAAATTACGCGGGAAAATTTTATAAAGAAAATGAGAGTTCCTGATTGGAGTATTTCTTTTGAAGATGAATCACATACATCAAAAGTATATGGAAACTAATTTATGATTCTATCCTAAGATATTTTTATTTTAAACAAAATGAGTTATATAATATAAAAATGCTATTAATAAATTAATAATATTTTTAAATATATTTACATATTTTCCTAGTATATATGTATATATATAGCATTTACAAAATATTATGCCTTCAATTTATTCTATTTTTTTAGTGCAACAATATGTTTTTTACGTTCTTGTATATATGATATACTGCTAGGTTTACTGTGGCGTCTTCTGTTTTCTTCTTTTCGTTTTAATGCTGTTAGTTCCTCTTTTTTAGTCTTTTGCATTTTTATTATTACTTTTGGAACATTTCTGCTGTTACTTATTTTTTTAATTTCAGGCATATTCTTATAACGCTGTTTAAGAACATTTGCATATTCCATTTTTGTTCTTTCTCTAGTACTAAGTATATGCATTCTTGAAGATGCATTAGCTCTCCAAAGACGAACATTTCCATCATCTGAACCGGAAAGAATATAATTAGAATCAGAAGTAAATTTTACGGAAAAAACTCTTTGCATTCTTTTAGTATGATATATATCTCGTGAATGGCCTTCTTTAATGTTGAAAATTCGTATTGTTTTATCATAACCGCCAGTTACTAATTCTTGGCCAGTGGGAGAAAAATCAACATCCATTACTGCTGAAACATGATCTTTTAAAACATTCTTCGCAAAGGTAAGATTTCTAATATCATATATATAACAATTATGGTCATCAGATGCTGCTGCAAAACTAAAAGCTTCCATTGGATTAAAACAAATAGAATTAGTTCGAAGCTATAATATGTAAGAAATTGACGTCTTCAAAATATTATATTTAAAACTACTTGAGTAATTAACTTTGATAAGGGTTTGCTTGTTCTTATATCATATAATATGAGTGAACGATCTGCGCCTGCGCTAGCAACAATATTGGTTTCTGAATGATTAAACTTCACTGTTTGAATAGTATCTGCTCCCCATTCCATGCTAAAAATAGGTTTATCTCTGTTTTCATCCCATATATCAATTTTTGTAGACGATGTAGCAAAAATAGGTTTAGAATAATGATGATCAACAGAAGAAAAAGCATCAGTGCCCATATATATATTAATAGGCTATATTTATGTTAACTAAGAAAAGAAAACAAAACATACATCTATTGAATTAAGTGACCACAATTTTACTATTTTATCTGCAGAACATGATAATAAATGTCCTTCAGTTGTATATGTTAAACCGTTCACAGTACCATCATGTGCATCGATAGACAAAACTTCATTTCTTTCAATAAGATTCCAAATTTTAACAACTAAATGATAAGATAAAAAAATTTTAAATATTGTTTTTACCTCCATCACCACTACCAGTAGCTATAGTGTCTATTTTTCGAGAATCTTTAGCCATGCAATATACACCATCAATATGACCATTTCCCAGCTGTCCAATAAACGGTTTTGCAAACAGTCTGTCTAATTTTACTGAATTAAGAGCTCTTACATACTCTCTAGCCCTTTCAAACGGATGAATAGCAAAATTAAGATTCCGAGGCATTGGATTCTGATCGCCTAGTCTTGATGCCACAACTAATGATCTCTGCCGAGAAAGTACTTTTATTTTCTATAAAAAATATTAAATAGACTGAATAACACCTATAATATTTACCATTTTTTTCTGATTAAGTTCTTAATGTGTATGTATTTAATATCTTCAATTTTAAATGATTATAAAGTTTATTCTTATATTTCTATAATTTTTCAATCAAAACGTATAGTAAAATATTTGTATATTGATAATATATTTTATATAAAATCTGCAATGTAAATAATGAATAAAAAATATTTTATTAAAGTACGTTAAAAAATATAAAAAACAAAAAATCTTACAATTTATATCTGAAATTTATGAAATAAAAACAATTTTACAAATTTAATCATATTATAATTTCTACTAATTTTAATGTAACTTAAATGAACATTTAATTAGCATAACTAATTTTAAAAGTTATAAATTTTATTTTTTAAAATTATTTTAAATAATAATTTTAATATAAAAAATATATTAATAAAAGCATACAAATATAAAATATAAAATTCATAAAATAAGATATTAGGAATATATATACATTATGGCTTTTCAAAAATTTATTTATATTTATTTTATTTAAAATATTTTAAAATTTAGATTTCTTTTATAAACTTCACGATATGCTCATTACCATTTTAACCAATTTTTCCACTCAAAAACCGAATTTGAGACCTTGTTATTTCGTACTTCTATATGATTATTTAGTTTATTTTTCTTATCAATATTCAAATAGTAATTTTCTTTTTTTTTAAATAAAAGAACTTTTAATCGTTTATCAACTTCTTCTTCTGAAAAATCACTATTTACTTTTAAAAAGCAATCTAAAGTCTTTTTTATTTTTTTATGTTTAATTAATAATAGCTCCAAAAGTTTCCATTCATCTTTCGTCCAACAACGTTTTTCTTGAAATATTTCTTGACATTTATCCGAATCTTCCTGATTTTGAATAGATTCAAATTCAAATCTCCCTGTAAGAGTTAAAGCATTAGCAGCTCTTTCTGCAGAGGCTTTTGATAGACTAGAGATTTCTATTAGTACATTTTTTTTAGGAAATAGAGATAAAGCAGGCTCAATTGATATATTAGGCTCAGAAATTGCATCCGCTGAATCTAAGATTTTTGTCGTATTAGGCATCTTTTCTTTTTTTTCTATATTTAATCGTTTTTTAGAAGACAATTTTTTAAAATTAGTTGTATAATTATTAGATTTCTTTACTAACTCATTCGTCGAGTTAGATGAAATAATTTCTGGATTATCAACATCCCTATTTTTTATCAATATATTTTCTCAACATTTTTAACATACATAACATCTTTGTCAAAATAAAAATGATTTTCAATAACATTTTTTCTTTCTCTAAATATCATATTATTATATAAACAGGTATCTTCCTCATCAAAATGTTTTATTTCCGCCTCTTTTACGGGTTCAGCTTCCAAAATATTCTCAACATCCTGCATAAATGCTAGATTCGTATTCAAACATTGTGTGTTACTAGTCTTTCTTTTCTGTTTTATTGGCTTTTTTTTTCCCTTTTTTTTTCCATCTAATATCTTCTTACAACTACTAACAATTTCATTAAAAGATATATCAGAATTTCCTTCATCTTTTATTTCACAAGATTTTTTTGTAGAAGTTTTAATCCCCGTATGTTTACTTGTTTTTTTAGGAGAAACCTATATAATTAATTTGTTAAAATATCATATAGAAGAAACTTACAAAAAAAACTTCTTCTCTATCACTTCCGATATCTACATAAAGTCCTATTCGTCTAATTTCAGTACTCAATTCAAGTTTTTGATGTGATAAATTTAAAGATTGTCTACAATTTGGTGTTAAATACAATGGTTTGGAAGATGAAAGTATATCCAAGGGATCTGGAGAGCTTGATTTTGCCTCATTAAATCGCATATTCTTGGCTTTAACGCTATTTTGAACCTCTTATATTAAAAAATTGTTAGCGATTGTTTTGAAGATACGTTGCTCTAGAAACCTTAGCAAAATATCAACCATCGATGAGATTATAGCGGAAATTTTATTGAATTAAAAGGTACACAATGCTTTTAATATTATATTGTTAGTATTAAGATATATAAGCATCATTTAGTTTATAAAGGGTTTTTAGAATAGGGAAAACATATGGATTTGCTAGCAGCAGTTTTACGTGAAAATGATGAATGGTCAGATGGTAAAAAGACAAAGATTTATTAATTTTAAGAAAAGCTGATGTTTTTAGATTCTACGGAACAATTATATCCCTATTCATTAAATATTTCGGCTTCAGAATCTAAAAAAGATAAACGACGACGGTTATTAATTGAAAAATTAGATCATATTTCTCGTGATTTCATAATGAATAGAGAAAGTTACTTTCATAACCAACTTTTATCGCTTCAAAATGAAATGCAACAGCTTCATGATGGAACACATGAGGAATATCTTGATAGTCTTCGGGATTTAGAGGAAATCCGAGAAAAGGAATTGAAAAGTATTCAGCTTATGAAAGATTTTTTATTAAAAAGGGCCGAGAGCGAATTTGAACATGATGTGGAATTATTAGAAGAAGAATTTACAGTATAGGAAATTTATTCTTTATATCAGGATTGATTTATATTTATAGATGAGCAAGGCGACATTAAAATCTAGACTACTTTCACACTTATTTTCAAGAAAACGAAGACTTCATGAAGATAAAGAATTACTTGATATTGTAAATGATTCATCTTTTGTATTGCATTCTCATTCTACTACAAATCCATCTTTATCACCTATTTCAATTACATCTACAGACAAAAGAAAGCTTCGACACAGAAAAGGTTATGTAAATAATAAATCTGGGCTTGCTGAAGATATATCTCTTTTTTCATCCACTATTTATAATTGCAAGAAAAATTCAGAAAATATCAGTTCTTTTCTTAATTCCATAGAAGAACAAATTACTAAAGATCGTAGCCGAGAAAAACAAGAAAGAGAGCGTGATAAATCTTCAAATGATATACTTGGTGCCAAAGAATCAGAAATCATGGAGGATTTAATTGCCATAAAACAATTAACAAATCCTGCAAAATCAGAAAGAAAACGCAATACAACATGCTAAATTTTTAAATTTAGTGAATTAGTGTATTTATTGTATCAGCACGTTTTTTTAAAAAAGATGTATAAAATGGTATATTAAATTTAAAAATTTTATAAGTTCAGACCTAAATTGATTAAATGTAAAAAGTAAAATTTCGAATATAAGAGCATATTAATAAGTTGTATTTTTAAAAACGGGTTCAGTAATTAGCAGAATTAAAAATACGATATTTATGAATATTATAATATTACAGTATTATGATTGAAAGTAAATTTAAATAAAGTTTTATTTTAAGAAATTGTCTTCAATTAAATCATATTTTTGAAAGTATACGTTAATAAAAGTATATAATATATATATTATATTATAAAAGAAAAATAGAAAAATATAAATATCATAATGAATTTCTTATAGGATCCAAAAATATAATTTGAAAATTTAAACCTCATATTTGAAATAAAATGTTTTGTTTGATTTTATTTAATATAAAATGAAATTAATAAATTTTAAAAATCTTTTAATTATAATAATATAAAATTAAAAATCACATAAACTAATTTAAACTAAATACTTATATTTTAAATTGATAATTTGAAATAAGAAAATAAAGATTCTAAACTAAATGATAAAAATATTAAATACATATTATAAATTAAAATAATATGAACTTTTAAAAAAATCTAAAAATTAATAAATAATAAATCGGATGCAAGACTAAGATAGTATATTATATCATTGCGATAAATTTGGAAGATCAGAGATTGTAGTTATATATTTGCAAAATATTAAATTCAAATAAAGAATAAATATAAACATTCTATATTTGTTCATATTTACATTTTAACCAATATTTACGTTATAAAATCCTTAAAGTTTTACAAATGAAAAGAATTTAATAATTTTTAAATTTCTAAAAAATTCAAATTCAATATATAAATTAATAAAATTTAATAAAATTTTAATTTTTAAAACAATTAATCTCAAAAATATTATAAAAATCAATTATATTGAAATTTTAATTTTATATATAATTTTTTATATCTTTTAAATTTAAAAAATTATAAATATATTGATACAAAAAATGTCTTTTTATTTTTATTATATTATTTTTTTTCTAAATGTGGATATTTTAAATTAAAATTATAATTAGGATTTTCAATAGTAATACAAATTCAAATTGAAGCAAAATTTCTCAAAATCATATTTACATTATATTGAATTTAAATTTATGTAAATCTCATTTAAATAGTATAAACGTAAGATCCAAAAACTTATAACCTCCTAAATAAAATTAAGAATCTTTAAAGAAGATCCATAGTAGATATAAATTTGAAAACAATTATTATATAAAAATATGATATTCTTTAAAGAAAATTTAAATTAAATTATAATTTAATATATTTAAAAAATAAAAAAATAGCTTATCTAGATCAAAGATACAAAAATCTCATATAAAGAAAAAAAACAATAAAAATATCAAAAAATCCTCAGATAATAAAAATATTGGTACCACTGGGATTCGAACCCAGGCCTCTTTCGAGATGAGATAAACTCCATGAACTTGAGTCCCACGCCTTAGACCAACTCGGCCATAGTACCTAATTAGAATTACTGTATTTTTAATAATATAAAGTATTAATAGATAATATAATAATAAACAATCACAAAATAATAAAATCAAAAAATATAGCTAACAAAACGTTATTTTTTTCAATTATCCAATAAAAAACACCTTGCAAACAATATATGATTTATAAATTGGACTAAATATTACAGATGTGATTTATCTTTAATTTTCTTACGTTTAGATTTATCATACGATTCCGTAGTAGCACCAGTATTTTCGATTTCACTCATTTTTCTTTTTTTTTCCTTTTTACTTTTATCTTTTTTATCCTTTTTTTTCCCCTTAGAACTTTCTGTTTTTAGATCTTCAAATAGTTCAACTTCTGGAGGTGATTTCTTGATTTTAACTTGCGGATATTCTTCTTTTAAACTCGTATCAATTACAATATCAGTATCCGTATTGTATTTTGGTGTTCTATATTAATTTTACCAATACTTAAATTAAACATTAGGTTACTTACATTTGAATTTGATGTTTTTTCCAAAGCTTTTCACTTGAAGTAGAAAATTTCTCCAATCTTTCAGCTTCTAATGCTCGTAATCTTGCCTCTACTTTTAATTTATTTTCTATTCCAATGGTTGCAATGTCCTTTTCTCCCATAGCATCAACCCTTAAACTAATAGCCGCCTTTGTCGCCAATATCCTTGCTATTTTTCCTTTATTTTTAGAACTGGCCTGTCCTATTAAACTAGAATGGTATATTAAGCCGTATTTTGGAGTGTCATGTTTCGTTTTAAGAGCTCGAAAAAGGGCTTTTTCTGCTCCCAAGATTTGAATAGTTGATGCTGGTTGCTTTGCAAGACTTAACAAAGAACCTGCATGAGCTATAAGACGTGCCCCTATAAGTTCGCCAACCAATGCAGTAAGATTAGGAGCAACAACTTCCATACGATTACGTAAATATTCTGAAAGCTGGATACGATATTCTGCAAGTGATAGAATTTGATCTGCCAACAAATTAATATTTTCCAAATCGTCATCTGTTATTTCTGTTCCCATAGACACTCTAGCAGCTGCCTTCATAGATATCTCAATATCTTCAGGAAGAATTTCAGAAAAGTCTATTTCTTCAGCCATTGTTCTATGTCCCATAGCCTTAATTACTTTTACATAAACTATATTATCCAAAACTATTCGAGACATTTCTGGAAAATGCCAACCATACCATTCTTTTATACGCATCACATATATATTAAGTTCTTTATCCAAATCGTCTAATAATACAATAGCTTGAATAATCATGGTATCCACTTTATCAGGAGAAAACTTAAGTTTATGCCGAGAAAGACTATGACTTAATCCCAAAACCATATCAGACATATCCGTTGGCGTTAGTTCAGAAATAAGAGATGTAATATGTTCCCTAATAACCCGATAAAGTTCTTGTACAGAAGGATCGAAAACAATGGAAATATTAAGATCTGGAAGCTTTTTTATAGAATTTGCAAGTCTATCAATAATAATTAAATATCACAAGTATTAACAAAAAATTACTTCAAATCAGAAACAATAAGAGAATCCTTTTTTCCTGAAAACTCAGAAAGTAAAGACGCAAGTTTTCCTGTAACTCTCCCTTCAATAATAGCTGATGCATTATCAAGAGCCTCTACAATATTTTCAAATTTTGAAAATACTTTTAATTTAAGTCTATTGCGCCAAAAATTCCATTTCAGTAAACCATTACAAAACTTCTAATACAAAAACTAAGGACTTACAAGCTTGTTGCTTTATCCAGTGTATCAAGACTTTTATACAGTATTTCTGGTTTTTTAAAAACCTTTTCTTTAGCAGAAAACTTAAAAATAGCATATCCTGCACTTGTTTCAGTCAAAACTAAGGAAAGTAATATATTAGAAAGTAATCTTTAAAGAAAATTGCTTCTACCCAGCATATTTAATTAATTTTTAAAGATTTTTAATAAAATCTTAAAGTTTCGTTAAGATTTCGAACATACCAAACTTCAAGTTTTCTTAAAATTAAATATAGAAAAGTTAAAAGAATGATAACAGTATTTTTTAAAAAATGTCGTTCTTCTTTATATAAAAAAACATACTACTCCGCCTTAATCTATATTTTATTAAGAATTTCAGAATTTCATAGTATAAATATAAGATGGAAACAATCGCATACAGCAATTCATCGTAAAAAACAAAATATTGAGAAACAAAAGAGATTGAAAGAAGAACGCTCTTCTAAGATATGTAGTTCGACTATTGGTTTTCCTACAGAATTTACACGCTCTATTTTGTACCCACATCATTTTTTTTCGTCAGAAGCAATTTCTGGTATTAATCAAGCAAATTTTTTCTTTTCAGATACAGAATTAAATAAGCTTTTTAAATTGTCTAAGGAGGCTAGCCTTCGTCGTGTTGGTCTTTCATCCTCAGTTATTAATAAAAGTTGTTTAGAAGAATTAAAAAAAAAAGCATCTGAATATATTGAGATTGATGAAAATACAGAAAATATTGAAGCACTGTTAGAAATTTTATCTAAGAATGGGAAGATTAAAGAATTTTTTGATTTGGAAAAGGAAAAAAATGAAGAAAGTATCATTGTTAAACTAGTATCCATTTGTAAAACTCAAAAAATATTTGAGCAAGAGAAAAAAAAAGAAGATGTAATGAGACGACTTATGGATTTAAAGAATAGCAATAGTAAGGCAATACAGCTTCTAAATATTACTATGGCTATTCAGAAATTTAGACAACACGAATTAGATACGGGATCACCTGAAGTGCAAGGTATAATTTATATTGAAAATTAGTATTCTAATCTAATATAAATATCTAGCTGCAGTATTTACTGTTCGAATTCACTATATAAATTTTCATCTCTCGTTTCATTATAAAGATAAAAACAGTCTTAAATCTTTAAGACATTTAGTGCACAAGCGTCAAGCAATTCTTAAATATTTACGTAGAAAAGATTATGACAGATATTTTTCTTGTATTAAAAAACTTGGTCTAACTGATAATGCAGTATTAAATGAAATTACGATATAAAATTTATATATTTTGAAACAATAATATTATATATATGTGTGTGTATATACACATATAAAGGAATTGTAAAGAAATATACATTTATATTTCTATACTCGTCTCTAAGTTTCTCATCATATTTTCATGATTTTTAATAAGATCAGTCCATTCATCACCAAAAATATCAACTAATGCCAAACTAAAATCGACACCGATCCTTCCTAAACTTTGTCCACAATGTAAAATACGATTAAGTATTAATGCTTTTACTTCATTGTCAGAAATATATGGAATATATTTAGCCAATGTATTTTTTAACTCAGATACCATATGTAATGCAAAATTTGAAAGCATCCTTCTTCTTGATATTTTTTCATTCAAATTATCATTATTTTTCGTTGAAATACTATTTTCTGAATTTTCTGAAAATACATAAAATACAGATTCCTCTTTTAAAAATATCAATGTATAATATGAAAATATATTAAAACTATGTTCTCTGAATATCCCTATATATTCTTTAAGATATTTTTCAGGATTATCCTTATTAGACGAATTCAAATTAGAAATAAGTCCATCCATATAATTCCAACGAGATAATAAAAATATATAACATAATTCAATTTCTAAAAATTCATTTGTTCTACGAAGATAACCAATAACCTACTTCAATTAATTCTTGAAAAAAGTTAAACCAAATTTTTACTTTGATAGCTTCTGTCAATTTTATTGTTCCCTTAAGAAGTAATAATAATTGTCTTTGTAAATATTCAGACATATAATTAACTTGTTTTACTAAATCTTGAATTATATCTATTTGAAAATATTCATCCCCCAATTTTTTTCCATAAGATATAAGATTTATTGCCTCTGAATAGTTATTGTTTTTTATGCAAGTCTCTATTAAAGATGGAATTTCAAATAAATTTAAAATATATTCTTGATATTGATGTAATAAACGAAACTCAGTAAGGATTTCGTTAAACCCATCTTTTAAAGACTCAAAATTTAAGACTTTTTCATTAATAGATGTAATTGTTGTTTGAATTTTATTAACAGATTCATCAAGAATATTAAAAGATCTAGAAAAAGAATTTTTATAATTTAGTACTGTGATAAAATGATCATATTCCTTTTGCATAATTTCAACCAGGTCATATGTAGCCTTTCTATCTTTAATATTTAATTCATTTTGTTTTTCTGATAATTCAGAAATAGAAGATTCTATTAACTCTGATAAATATGATATAATAGAAGTATCATGAAATTGTAATGATGAAAAATTAGGATTAAGAAGAGTTAACAACGGTTGAAATAAAAGGTAATAAGATTCTTCAGAACCATTTATATCTCCAACTACATTTTGAGACATTTTTTTTAGCGTATATATTAATTTAAAAGTTTATTAAATACAAAATATTAATATTATATTTATGTATTTACATATATTAGACATGTACGATTATTACAATAAAACGTATCCAATACAAACGCCTTTACATTTTAAACTCTATATTACATTTTTTTCCTTAAAAGACTTATGTTTACGTTTACTTTGACGATTTTTTTTCTTTTTTTTTAGTTCTATATTTTTTGACCAAGGAATAGTTTTTTTTTTTATAAAAACTGAGTTTTTTTTCTCATTCATTAATTCCTGTTCCTTTTTTTTTTTTAATCTAGCCTTTTCTTTCAATTTATCAGCATAAGTTAATTTGTCCAGCTATCATAAAATTAATATATGAAATATTAAAGCATATATCTTACATCTATATTTTCTTCTTCGAAATCCAAAACCATGTTTTTTAATTCAGGCATTTTAGGAAAATGAAGTAATCCAAAAGAATATGCTATCCCAGAAAAATCAAGATCTTTAACACGAAAAATAAAATGTGCCTGATGCTTTGAATATGCTCTTATATAAGATACAAACGCCTTTAAACCCTGAAAATTTATAAGATATTTTAAAGAGTAAATATTAACACACCTTTTCATACAAATCTCTATCTTTTTTAACAATATCCCGTATTTCTTTGACTAATGCAAGTATATCTTCTTTAGATTCATCTTCCTTGTTCTCCATAATGTTGTTATGTTTTCCAATTCTTTCTAAAGGCTGAATAGGTACTTTTCTAACTTTCAAAAAATGTACATAATCTTCCTCTCGTCCTCTGTTTAACATAACAACAGCTTTACCTGGTCTACCTGCTCTTCCAGCCCTTCCACAACGATGGCAAAATGATTTCGGATCTAACGGTGGGTCCATTTGAATAACCATATCTACATTAGGTACATCAAGACCTCTTGCAGCCAAATCCGTAGTAAATAATATAGAAGGTGTTTCAGATAACGCATTAAAAAAAGCCTTATAATTCTTAGTCCTTAAAGATGAACTTTGTTTGCCATGAAGAGAAAATATCCTAAATGTTTTCTTTAAATATGATATTTGTGAAAAAATTAGAAAAAAATAATCAACACAAATACAAGAAAGAAAATAAACAATAAACTTTTTCATCCCATCTTTAATATATGAATAATTTAATAATCTAATTAATTGTATAAATTTTTCTGCAGATGGCAAAACCATATACAATATTTGTAAACTATAAGAGTCAAAGATATATCAAATATATATCTATATATACCTTGCAGGAACACATCTATCTTCTTTAGTATTTTCCTGGTTCCCTACTCTAACAACTATCTTTATAGGATTTCTTAATCCTGTTTTAATAAGTTTATCAACAGCTTCTGTCATAGTAGCACTAAAAAGACCCGTTCGTCTTTGCTTTGGTAACTTTTTAATAATAGATTCCATAACAGGAAAAAAACCCATATCAAGCAATCTATCTGCTTCGTCCATAACTAAAATTTCAAGCTCCTTAGTTTTAACAAGAGATAATGAAAGAAGTTGATTAATACGACCCGGAGTACCAATAATAATTGATGGGGATATCTCATTAAATTCATCTATATTATGTTGTATAGTCATAGTTCCCCCTATAACAAGTTGTGCTCTCAAATTAGTATTCATTTGTTCTGATTTTTTCATAATAGTTTGATAAACAGAATAAATCTGCATTGCTAATTCTCTATTTAATTTTAAACACACAACATAACTATTATTAAAAAACCTTGTAGGGGAAACCACTAACGATCCTATATGAAATTCAGTTAATGGTTCATCTCTTCTAATTAATTTCTCTAGTATAGGCAATAAAAAAGCCAAAGTTTTTCCAGACCCTGTTACTGCCTGAAAATAAATAAAAAACAGAAAAAAAATAATATAAATGCACCTCTACAACGACATCCCTATTTTTTATAAAAAAAGGAATTGTACTTGCTTGAACGGGTGTCATTTTTTCAAATCCCATTTCATTAATTGCATTTCTTCTATAGAAGAATAAATATCAATAAGATTGAATATTTAATCAAATATAAGGCTTACATCCATGATGTCAATGAAATCTCCATATCATCCCATAAAAGGGAAGAGAAATCCGGCATTTGCCTTAATATCCTCAAAGGCTCAGATTGAAAAATAAATTACAAACACCGAAAGAAATATATTATTAAATAAATAAAATCCTAATATTACAATACATCCAATAAAAGTGCAAAGAACATGATAACAAAGCATATATAAACATATTCTCTGTAAAAACTATGTGGCAAAATAATATCCAATTTTTTATAACAATTAAATATATAGTATAAAAATATTAAGCATAATTATTAACCACACCATGATTCATAGGGACATCCAACTATTGTCCCATAGGTACTTCCACTAAACCCAGCAATCTGAAGAATAGCATTAATAACACCACCCATTCCTTCTCCAGCGGCAAAACCAGTAGCAATTGAAAGAGCATAAATATCATAAGATACTGGTTTAGATTTCTTCCAGAAATAAGCTACAAGGGCACCAATAAACATAGCTGTTGCATAATGTGTTTGTGGCACAACAAATCCAAGACCAATTGCATTAAAATTAGGGATAAATACCCGATATTTTTCTGGACAATAAGAATACTTTAAGACAACAACGAGAGCAGATATAATACCAAGAATAATCGAAGCATATCCAGAAGATGATGGTACAGGCAATCGCTCATTGGTCATAGCGCTTGCAACTGCTCTCCATGATGCAACTGATGGTGCACCAAAAACACATTTTTGAGAACTTGGATAGCCTGGCATAAACTGAGCCGTAAAACACGGATATGCTTTATTAAATAAAATATAAAGAGCTACGCTTAACCAGATAGAAAAAAACGATCCGATCACTTGTGCATAAAACTGAATTTTCGGATAAGCTCCAAGAAGATGCCCAGTTTTTAAATCACCAATCATATCAACAGATTGTGAAGCAGATGAAGATGCTACGGTACCAGCAATAAGATTAAGTCTTTGTGCCAAGATTTCATCCATCCTCTGAGCGCTAGAAATACTACCAAAAATTAATTGAGAAGACTTAGCACAAATTGAAACAGGATTAACATCTGTTGCACCTGAAGATTGTGCCCCAATAAAAGAGAAAATAAAACCTAAAAGAATAGAAAGAAGCGCCAGCCCGACATTTATACCATATTGCAATGTAAGAACAAGACACGTAAAAATAATCGATATAATCAATAATGGTATCCATTGCCAAGCTGGAATCTGAGTCTCAGGTGGCGCCGGATCCTTAATAGCATTCTTAAAAACGGGAATTTCCTTACGGCGTATTTTATAATAAATAACAAGAATAATACGTTTAAGTCCCACCCACAAAAGCGTCCCGTTCATAATGACTTCAGCAAAAGATGAACACAACATAAGCATAACACCAGGCCAAAGTAACCAATAACGAGGAGAGGACGTTTTAATAGGATCAAAACCATTTGGATTCAATGAAGACTGTAAACTCATAGAAGAATAGGATCGCCAATCAGTATGCCCAGGAGATATAACTGAGAAATGAGGAGCAAGACCTGTTTTGGAAATAATAGGACCTATAACAGCCCATGCAATAACTGTTCCAAGGAAGAAACTAGTTGCAGCATTTAAACCTGAAAAAAAACCAACACCAAAAAAAGCTGGAGTAAGCTCGATCCACCAGCCCCAATTTTCAGCAGCAATAGCACCTTTCCAACCACTTTGATATAGCCACCAAAAGATATGCCAATCCCAAAGTATACCAGGGGCATAATCAGATAAAACACGAAGAACAATAGAAACAAGAAATGATATTGAAAGTGACCATACCTTTTTCTTCATGACTGAATGTGCAACTGCTCCTGAATGTAATGAATGGATAGTTAACGCACATGCAGATGATGTCGGGAAAACTAGTTTCTGATAAATAATATAAAATCTCCGTAAAGGAATAACAAAGAATAATCCATAATATGCACTAACAGCGGTAAAACTTATCAACCGCCAAAAGTCTTCTTCCGGCCCTTTACCGAGAAGACTTAAAGAATACATAGCCGGTACGGATGAAACAAACATGCCAGCCATACCCCCCGCAGCTGTAGCTGCCGTTTGAACCGTACAGTTTTCTTTAGGACCAAAAAATCCTCCACCAAACCATTCTGGCATCATCTTTGAAACAAACTGAAGAATTGCAAAGCCAAAAATAGCACCAAAAAGCTGAGCACCAAATGTGAATCCCGTCTTTAATCCCAAATATATATTAGATGATGCTACAACTGATCCTAAAAACGTTCCTACAACCAACGCTCGAATCGTTAATTGATGCAATTCTGGCGGAGCATTTGGATTTTCTGGAAATGGATTTCCTTGTTGAATATCATACGTAAGAGAAAATGAATCCCCTTCAAGTGTTTCTGGAACTTGTACTTTTTCATCTGTATATGTTCCCGGTAATTTATCCTCCACTTCTAATCCACTTTTTTCATCTATTTTCTCTGTATCCTGAGTTTCTTGAGCTTCTCCTTCCACTTTGTCTAACAATTCCTATATCATATTTAATTGATAAATAAAATATTCATTCTCAAATTACTGCAGATTTGTCTTCTGTATCCGCCATCTATAAAAACTTAAAAATATATAAAAACTGCTTCAACAAAATGCACTGTTTTTATTTAGAATGTATTATCTTCAGAAAAAAAAAACGAAATTTTCTAAACAATTTCTTGTTAGAAGAAATTCACGTAATATAAAAATATCTTATAATATATATGCAGTAAAAATCCGTTTAATCTTTCTTTTTCAATTTTAAAAATTTATAAAAAATATTAATTTTATATATGGAACAGACCTTTTAGATATTTTTTCCCTTGTAAACTTTCTTCTGATCCGGGTTTAACATAAACGGATATTTTCCACACATCCGTTCATGTTTCATTTTTATTATCAAAATAAATATAAACAATATATTAATTGAATAAAAAAATAAATGAATAGATTTATTCAAATATATTTAAATAAAAAATGATTAATTAATATTTTATCAATTTTCTAAGTTAATTTGTTAAATAAATTTTTACAAAAAATCATGATTAAATTTTCCGGTGATATTTTTTGTGATTAAAAATATCGGATCTTGATAATAGTAATTAAGTTAGCGATAATAGGCTAATAATAATAGGGTTAAAATAATATTCTAAAAAAATATTCTGATTGATAAAATATATTATTTGAAAAAAAATGTACAATTTAAAATAAAACACGAAAAAATTGAATTAGCGTTTTATAAATTTAAAAAATAAATTAAATCCTATATAGATAAGGATTAACCAGATTCGGCTAGTTTAAAGATTTTGAGTTAAAGTTGATAATGTACTCTGAATCAGTGAAGAATTTGAAGGTATTGATGACTGGGATTTTGATATGGTTTTTATTTTATAAGTTTGTGAGATTTGTGTTTTTTGTGTAAGGGAGGATGTCGAATTTAATGAAAGTGAATGTGGAATAATGTTTTGTTTTTTTAAAGAATTTTGATTAAGCTCCAATGATCCTAAAATAGAACGATTCTTGGAAGGCGCTAGTAAATAACTTTCAATTGCTCCTAACTGATCATAACCTAATTTTTTTTTAAAAGTATTATTTTTAGTTTTACTTTTCCATTCTATAATATCATGTTTTTCAAAATCCTTGAGATAAGGATCCAAAATCCATATTTCCATCTTTTCATTTAAATCGATCTCTTTATTAGTAATTTGTGTAAAGTTTGATACATTCTTATCATTAAGTTCTATATCATTCTTATTTGATTGTTTTCCACTGGTAAAATCAATGTTTATTAACTTAAATGGACAAAAAGATATACGAAATTCTAAAGAATATCCAGTAGATACGTGTTTTCTATAACAGAGAATTTTAATTCCGTTTTCTTCGTCCTTATTTTCAATGTTTTTTAAATGTTCTTTTATATTTGTAAAATAAGTAGAATTGATTTTTTTCATAGAATTTGATTTTTGTGAGCAATTTATTTCTGCATGCTTTGAAAAATCTGTATGTTTTAAGGAAGATACTAGATAACATGGAGCAAATGATCGTACAAATCTTTTGATACCAGGCAAGTCAGACCAAGAAAAATGTATGGATACAAATTTCTGTAATTTAGGGACATTAATAGGCCATTTCCAAACAACATGACGCAGTTTCCTTTTTAACTCTAAATCAGTAGATACTACTGGATTAATATAAAATTGAATAATATCTTGATTCGGAAAATCTTCAGGTAATTTTAAAAATGAATGTCTAGTTGAAAAATGACCACCATGATTTGTAGATAAATATTTCTCAAGATCTTTTTTCCAAGAAGTCAAATCCAATCTATTCTTGATTAAGGATAAAAGAGTGTCTCCAAAGCCAGCCTTTGCCGCACTAATTGCCGTCTTAATGCCACAATTTGGAATACCAGTGGAATCGTAATCTCCAGAAGATATAAGGGCAATAAGAAGCATTCCTGCTTGACTAATATTGCTCTTTTTCATAACGGTTTCTATATCAAAAATAGAAACATGTGAAAGTGTACTTGTTTTTGATTCATCATCTACGCTCCAATCACTTATTACTTTTTGTGCACCAAATATAAACGAATCAACATCCGTTGACATCACGGCATCAATAATAGACTTCTTCAATAATAAAGCACATTCTGCTTCTGCTTCACCTGGTGCATACCAGATAGGAAATCCAAACAAACGAATTAAATCTATTACTTGTGATAATCCAAATATTGCTTTTGGAACTTTCCTATTCCTTTTAAATAATGGCCTTTTTGATCCATCTAAGACAAAAATAGGCAGAATCCCAAGATAGCCAAGTCGACAAAGGCGAAAAAAAAGTGTTCTTAATTCTGGATTTTGACCACCATGACTTGAACGCATTTGATATGACCAAATTAATAAATCAATACCAATCCTAAAACCCTTAGGAACTCTATTGTCTTTGTAATAATGATCGCATGCAAGTTTTGCCAAAGCTAGTTCTAGTAAGCTTAATAAAAATATAACATTTACTATACAAATGCTTTCACCAAATTCTTTAAAAAATGACCATAAACCAGGAACCCCCATCTATTTATGAGGAAATATTTGTTTAAATAAAACTTTTTTAAAGAAATAACCTCATTTTATACTTGACTTAATTATATAACGCTAAAAGTATTATATCAACATAAAAGTTTAAGCGGGGACGATAACTCAATGTATGCTTTAATGATAAAAAGTATACTTTTCATAGTTATTTAAAACAGAAATTCTTAGTCAATATCAGTAAAAAGAATATATAGTAATTTTTAACAAATATATCTGTATTATATTCATTCATAATTCTTTGAATATATCAAATCATTGTCAAGTCTATCACAGATGTATAAATAATATATTCAGATTAATATTTAGATAATAAACTTTCTAAATTATTATATGAATATATGTTGAATAAATTAATATTAAAGAATAAAATTATTTTGATACTATTTCTCAAATTTTTAATATAACAGTTAAATAGATAATTTTTCATATTAAGTATAAATTATTTAAAAATAGATATATTTAACATTCTTTAACTATCATGTATATAGATTAAAAGATGAATTTATAACATATAAAAGAATCTTTTTATTATTAATACATAGTTATAGATTGGTAGAATCAATATTTAAGTTAGAAATAAACATACGAATATAAATAAGACTTAATTCAATCAGCTTTTTAAAATCAAGATGATTTAATTTCTTTAAAAAATAATTTAAGATATACATAATACAAATGTAGATTATCAAAAAATATAATAAATACCATTTTAGAACCGAATAGGCGTAAAAAACCACCTATTTTTCCCAGACTGAAAATATAAGAAAACATCATTAAATACAAATCAATTATATACCATATATCTTTCTTCAAGAATCCTTTTAATTGCTTTTTTAGCTTCTTCCCGTTGAGAAGGTTCTCTAAATGTTTCTGGTGTAACAATCCCCTTCAAAGTTTCAAGCTCAAAAGTATAACGTGTGACCATAAAATGATTATAATTTATAATTTTAATAAAAGGCTTTATTTTAGATCTTTTGGAAACTTTACTAGAACCCATTCTCTTGGTCACCTTTCGTGGATACCGATCAATACCAATAGCAATTGCATGTCCAAATGGATGAAACTTAGAACCTGAATCTATTTGTTGAACAATAACTGCTTTTCTACCAGCTTTATATCTCATTAACATTGTTTCATACCAAAAAAAATAAACCCATACCATATCGTCCTCGGAGAAGCAATACTACTTTTCCCGGTTTAATAACTAAAAATAACTGTTAATATTTATTTAATATAAAATAGTAAATTCTATATTAAAAAAAAAGATAAAATTTAAATCTAACTTTTTCCCTAATATTCCTTCTTTTTAACCCTTTTTTTTGACAAAAAAATAAAAAAATCCTCAAAAAAGCAAAAACATATCAAAGATATCAAAAAAATAACAAATTAACTTACATTTAACCATCCCTAATTTCTTAAATTTTCAATCTCAACAAACGGTGACTCGTAAGCATATACAAAACCTAACCCTACAAAACCCTAACACTCCTAATCCAAAGCAACCGATATTATCTTTGCAACCATCGTATAATCAACAACGTATATTTTCGCGTTAAAAATACGTGTTTACATGTATTTTTTTATATTTAGAACTATAAAAACAAGAAGGTTTTTATAAAATTTGGTTTTATACGGTGTATATTGAAAATAAGCCTTTTTTCTGATTAAAAATCTTAAAATTACAGCTTTTTTTGGAGATTTTTTTTTTACAATTCTTAGAAAAACTAAGCTATCTATCTTATTCGAGCATTAAAACTATTATATTTTTAATATAAGGGGTTTTCTGCTAAAAATATTAAATAAGTACAGATAGGGAATATTTCAAATCTATAAACATTGTAAATCTTAAATTGGAACGTGAATTTGACATTAAATAATGAGTTCTCGGTCAGAATTGAATACATCACCTTCTCCTATGTAAGGGAATCTTTTTTTGAAGGAAATTGATGACTAAAATATTATGTAAGATGGGATAGTTCGGATCCTCAACGACGGCCTCCTCCTTTACCAATGCGTGAAGAATTTACATTAAATCATATTGAGGGAGGTGGAAAACTGTCTAGAACATCTTCTATTTCTTCTCATTTGTATAAGCAATTGGGCAACAAAACTTCCTCTCAAATGTTACGGATAAGCGCAGATGATAAAACAGCAGATATAGTTCATTCTATTTCAGAAACGACGAGTACTATTTTGGGAGATCTTCGTTCTCTTATTGAAAGAAGTAAAGATAATGCTTCTGCGTTATTAGATTTAAAACAAAACATTATTGATGCAAAAAGAGATCAAAAAATCATTGATGAAATACGAGCAATTGTCACTTTTTTGCCACAAGAGAATGATAAGGAGGAGAAATGTGATATATTTAAAGAAAAACTGGACGAAATTTTGAAAATCTTAAATACAAATACTTCATTTCACAATACAGAAACACGCTTGTTGACCGATATAAATAAAAAACTAGAAGCAATTGAAGCGTTTCAAGACAGACTTTTTTCTCAGAAACTTGAAATTAATAATTTAATTTCTTCATACGAAACACTGCAACAAACAAATATTACAGAAATGGAGAATATGTATTCTCGTAAAGTTGAAATGTCTGCAGAGCTTGCACGTCTTGATGCGCATATTAGTCAAAAAAAGGATTCACTAGATCAATTGAAAGAACGAGTAAAAATATTAGAAAACCGTTTGGAAGATATTCAATTGAAATTTAATAAACAAAAAGAAGAAAATAAAAAATTAAATAAATCATCCGTAATTATTACATTTTATTATTTTATGAATATTTTCTGATGTTTATAGAAAAAAAAAGTTCACCAATCTGCGAAATCTCCTACAACGCCTCAGAATATTCGCCATTTTTCTCTTATGGATATTCATAACCGTAATCCATCTATCGTTACACTTGCACCTTCTACCATTATGAATTCCCCAAATAATACAGATAGTGTAATCGACAAAAAAGAGAAACGGAAAACTTCATGGAGCAGAAAGGTTGTAAATGCAATGGGATTCCAATTTCAGCATAACAATAAGGAAAATTCGCCTGTACTTTCGAAAAACAATGAATTAGCGATTCAAAAGAAAAAAAATTATCCTAACAATTTTGGAATTAAAACGGCAAAAACTTTTAGAAGTTTCAGCACAAGAGCCTAATACACTAGCATTCAATCTAAAAACATAGATCAGTGCTATGCGGAAAAGACAAATGCCGCCAATAGACTATTAGTCTCAAACTACATATTATTAAACGTAAAAAAATAATTAACATTACTTTTTGTTAAACTATATTTTCTTAATATCAAATAAAACAAATAAATTCTTTATGTTGATACATACGTAATAATTCTAAAGTACAAGGATGATTCTTATTTCCAATAATACTATGTTTTAAAATTTTCTGATAAATCGTTATCTCCAGCAGATTGGATTTCCTCATCGTCTAATTCCTCATTATTTGTTCCTGTTTGCTCTTTTTTATTGCCATGGTCAACCTTTGTTTTCAATAAGTCCATAAAATCGGATGGTATTACAGGTATAAAACATCTTTTTTTTTTCTTATCCACTTTAATAATTTTAGAACCATAACTAGCCAAAAGATCTGTACCAGTTGGCAAAATAAACGGAAGCATTAAGTCAACGTTCATTAAAAGATTCGAACTTCTAAATTTTCCTTTATCGAAAGATGGTGGTTTAGGGTTATCAAATGTATCGTTTGTAAAATAGTTTTCTGAGTCTTGTATAGACTCTTTTTTAATATCTTTATCTTTCTCCTCTTTCCTGGAAAGATATTGTATTATTTCTTTCCCTATTTTATTTTCGTCAATTTCTAATTTATAATTTTTAACAATATACAATAATTGAGTTGATGTAAGTAAATTCAATGTATCTACGGTTGTTTCAATATTCTCAATACTATTTAAGGAAGTAAGACACTGAAGCCACTGAAGCAATTGTACTAAAGGAGCTATATGGCTCTTGAAAGAATCATAGATATCAAAAGACTTATATCTCGAATTTAAAGATTTTATATGCATTTTTTTCTGAAATTGACAATTATTTACTCTAGCCCAATCCTCAATTACTGAAATATTAAGACGAATATTCACCGCTTTGCTTCTTGAAAGATAGCCTTTTTTCGTAATAATACGATTAAAAAGTTCTGCATTAAACCAATAGAATATTTGATTTACAACCTGCTTAAAAATAACAAAATGAACGTGATATACATCAAGAATAAAAAAAATAGACGAAAAAAGAATAGTAATCAACAGAGGAGATGGTGTTGCATGTTTTTCCGGAGAAAAATAAACTGAATTCTTCTTCTTCTGCCGCCAAAAAGTATACCACTTATTTTCAAATGCAACTTTGTCAAATGTAGAAATAGTTTCATAATCAAGAATAGAATTATTTAAATGTTTTTCAATACGAAATTTAGTTTCTTGTAGAAATGCTAAATAAATATCATGTATCAACTCTGTTAATTGAAGCTGAAAATCAATAATTGTTACCAAAAGACCCGAATCTTTTTTAATATAGTACAAAAGAAGCATACAATTTGAAATCCAAAATGCCAAAATAGCCATATCATCCGGTTTATCATGAATAAGTACACGAATACGATTTAATGTATCACACAATAATTTATTAAGCATATCCTTTGTACCATAATAATGAGCAAAACGAATCGATAAAAAAATCACATCTGCTGGAATAACCTTCTGATCTCTAGAACGTAACGGCTCGAAATTCGTAATAACAAGATCCAATATACATGAAATATGATCTTCTGAAAAAACATACATTTGTTCAGGCAGACACTTATTCCAGACAAAATCCTCTTCTGAAAATACTTCTTCAATGTCATCTAATTCTTTACTAGATGTTTCAAGCCCAATACTTGATAAATCTACTTCTAAATCATACAATGTTGGCATCTCTGTCATTTTTTCTTTTTCTATCTGCTCTAAACATCCTTGATGATACCATTCATGATCTTCAAAACTTTCCCCATCTTCTAAAGATTCTTCTACATGCAATGCTTGCAAAATATCAATCATATCTATTTGAGATGAAACATCTAATACTGAGTTTCCTCCAATCGTTCTTGCATTAAATGACGCACCATGTGCTAACAATAATTTTACAATTCCTCCATGATGATTATTAATTGCCCACATCAAAGGTGACCATTTAGCTTTATCTCGTACATTAATATTTGCTCCTGCCTCCAAAAGAGCTTCGACAACACCTTGATGTCCAAAACATGCAGCAAAAATAATTGCTGTCCCACCTGTTTCGTCACATCCATCAATATCAATATATTTACGTGATTCTCCCTTCAACATCGATTCAATACGTTCAACATCTCCATGGCTTGCTGCACGAATAAATGAACTTTGCAAAATACCCTTTTTTTCCTCTTCCGTCAACGTATCTTCCGCTATAATTGATGCATCTGCTGAATGTGTTGTTTCATCTACATTATAATTCTTTAAAGAAGCTTCTAAAGGCTCCTCATTTTTTCCCATCCATGGATCCATCCAGGGCCATTCACGATCTTCTGCCGGATGAAAATCAAGAGATTGTGTACTATCAATATCATTTACTGTAAATGGATCTTCTATATCATTTTGACTGTCATTAGTGCAGGATTTTAACTCTTCCATAGGATAAAAACAGAGATTTATCAAAAGATAAAAAACCAATTATCTGAAGATAAAAAGACAACTGTTAAACTTATTTATCAATATTAAACTAATCTTCTTGATTATATGAGCTATTAAAATGGCAATATATGCGTTATATATGCGTATATATGCACTAAAGTTTTTATCAATACAATATTAAATAAAAACAGCTTCAAACGAATTAATAATAAAACTATTACATTTAAAATTCTACAAAAAAATATTTCTAAAAAAAATAAAATAAATTATTCTTTTTTTAATATTTTTAATTATTAAATTGAATATTAATATTAGAATTAAACATAAAAATATAATTTAAAAATATTTAAGAATATTTTGAAATAAATATTTAAAATCAAAATTAAATTACTCTTTAAAATACTTTTTATTAATACATATGATTTACAATATTATATCCAAACTTTCATTTAACTATTTTTTTTGTAATTCTTAGAAGTCATATGCGGCATTTCCCGTACCCGATTTTCTCCGATTAATATTAATCTTTTTTACTCTTAAATAATGAGAGGTAAAACTTTAAATATATTTATTTAATTAGAATTAATATTTTTAGCCAAATGGAAGAAAAAAAGAGTTCGACGATTAAAACGTATATTTATGATTTTTTTTTAATATTTTTAAATGTTTTTCTTAGGTAAACGAAAAAAGACAAGAGCAAGATCTAAATAAAGAACTATTAAGATCTAAACAGAATTGAAAGTTTTTAACGTTATTGATTAATTGAATGAATTTTTAATTCATATATTTCATTATTTTGTTATTTTTGTTATTTTTTTATTTTTTAAGGTTTTTTTAACATTTTTTCTGTTATCAAAATATACTTTTTTTATCTTTAATTTTTTATAACTCTTTTTCACGGCTTAAAGATATTAATATTCTAGGCGTTAAAATAATTAAGCCCATGACGGATTTATCATTTAAAAAAATCCGTCTACATTCAGTACAAAATGTACCAGGACCTATTCTCAGTAAATTGAAAATATAAATTAAATATACTTTAAATATTATTAGTTTCATCACCAGGGTTTTTACCAGATCAAAAAACTCATTTTACAGTTTCTCGAGAAGAAAAGTCGAATGAATGGATTGTTGAAGGTGATTCTGGAGGAATTAGATATCATGGATCAACTGCTAATAAGCGTGGAGATAGTTTTTTCCAGTATGTTTTACATTGAGTATTTAGAAGAGAAGTTTTATTGTAAAATTAGATATTGTATTGCTGTTGAAAATCAAGAAAATGATACATTTGACATGATTCCAGTACCATTGATTCATTTGAAATGTCATGTTAAGTCACAAAAGATCCATGAAGATATAGAAAAGAATATAGAAAAGAAAGATGTAAATTATAGACCTTTTTATAAAAAATAACAATTTTAGTATGAAAAGGAAAAAAAAGAACTTGGAGAAACATTTGGGTCGAAGAAAATGAAAAAAATAATTCAAAATAAAGCATTTAATATAATTGATACTCAACAATTCGAAGATATATCTTCTCATATGATAAACGATGTTAAAGAGGTAACTAAAAACATGTCAAGTTTGGGTAATTAATATTTACTGTTATAAAAATCAATATTTATTCAGAATTAGAAGAAATCCATGCAAATACATATCCAAATCTTCCAATTCCTCCTCCAAATACACAAGCAACTAAATTAGAAGAAGTTTATTCATTATCAGATATTGTAACTGAACCAGAACTATTAGCTATTCACGTTAAAGCAATTCTTCAAGAACAAAACGAACGAAATCGTACATTATTACTTCCTTTCAAGTTTGATATATACTTTTATAAAAAATCTTATTTATCCTATTTAGAAATTCACGATATGTTAATGAACATTTGTCAAAAGCACTAAAAGCAGAAAAGAAAAACAAGCGTCATATAAAATTACTTTATTACGTTTCATTGCTAATGGCATTTTATACGAATCGTCATTTAGTATCAAAAAAGGAACTATTGATAAAAAAATTAGGGGATTTGCCTTTGATTTTAATCGATCATCTCATTACACGATTTTCAGAGTATATCCGTTCAGGAACAAATTATGAAACAATCCAGTATTTTTAAAAAATTTAAAAAGTTACTTTATTTATCTTATATATAGATCGGTTATAACGTCTCATGGAATGGACAAAATTTTGTGTTATTTATTTGCACTTTGTTTAATTATTGATAATTTTTCTGTTGATATAAATCTTTTGGCACAAGATCTTTCACTTAGTACTCAAAAGTATGAACAATTTTAATCGTAAATATGTATTTTAATTCTAGAAAGGTGCAAAGGATTGTTTAAGACATTAGGATGCAAAATTCAAGGATGCACAGAAGCTCAACGACTTGCTATGAATCTTTCCAAAGCAGAAGTTAAATTATATAAAAGAGCAGTTCTTACATTACCCTTCGAAATTGTATCAAAAAAACAGAGGAAATTAAGATAAATACATTTTTTATGGCTTTAATTTAAAGATATATTTTATAATATATATTGAGTTATATTTAAAAATATCTTTCTAACTGCCTATTCAATTCCTTAAGAGCAGCTAATAATTCATCATTTTTCGGTTCAAAACTCAATCCAAGTTCAAGTGATTCTTTTGCTTTATCTAATATTCCCATACCTTGAAGCGCTTTTGATTTACAAAGATGACCTTTACTCCAAGCTTTTCGAATCCCAATAACGGTTGATGCATCAACAAAAGCATTTTTCCATTGTTTAGAAGCGAGATATACAGTACATCTTTCATAAAATGCCGCTGCTAGTTCATCTCTACTCAAGGAAGCAGGTTCCCAATATGGACGTCCATAAGCCATTTCTACAGCAAGCGTAAAGAATTTAAGGGCTTCATCATAGTTTTTTCTACGAGAATGTTCAGTGCCAGATTCCTTTAACCGATTAATATGAATGGATCGTTTAGGATGCACCTGGTTTGGTGGTAGAGGTATATCTTCCGGATATTGATTTAGAGTAATTGACTTTATAAGACGATTACTATAAAACAAATTCATAAAAAAACAAAAAAACATATAAAAGACTATACAATGGCTCAAGTTTTTCCATTAGTTCCTTCTCCACTGAAACTACACGTCCTTCATTAATTGATATGGGAAGTTGAACTATTGATTCATTAATTTTTATATTTTTTTCCAGAAGAAAAATCCATACCAAATGTATCAAAAAATGACATATCCAAATACGTTTCACACTATTCTAAACCCTTCTAAAATCCCTTAATTTATAATCATTTTCTTCAACTTTTTTCCGTGAGGTATTGTTCACTTTATAGCTTGCCCTAGCAACCATCCGTAGATTACTATAGAAACCAAATTAATCTGAAAAATACTGATTCTCTACAACTTAACCTTCAAATATCACAAAAAAACATGAATTCCTAAGATTATTCAATAAGAATGAATGAATTATATAACATGAAGAACTTTTGTGCGTATCCAACTCAGCTTCTTGGATGCACTGAAAGAATATCTCAACATGCATCAATTGGAGAGCAACGTTCAAGAAAAGGACGTTGCGCAATGCTTTTATTCCAAGGAATTGAAAGAGACCAAGGTATATTGAATTTATATGATGTTTAAGAACGTCTAAATGCACATAGTTGTTTCAATTTATGCCAATAAAGAGGTTTGGGTGGGTCGTCATGAGCAATGGTAATTAAAAAATGAAATAAAAACACGCATTTATAAAACTAGCGACCTTGTAGTGAATCAAAAAATGGCAAGTAACCATCATTTTAGGATTTATACGGTATAGTTTTTCTTTGTAAATTCATTGTTAATAAAAATAGGTTTCAGTAGAACATGGATTTGATCAAACACAAGAAATTGAACAATTATGTTATTGTGAAGATTTGAGTCTTAATGGAACTTATCACAATGGAAGAAAGATTGGGAAACATCATATTGTTTTATTGAGTAACGGGGACAAATTAGAGTAAATTTATATATAAAAAATAGAATAATTTTTATTATTTAACAGTATTCGGCATTGTGCATCATTTATCTTTCAACAAGAGCATACAGTAACAAATATTTTGAAAAAGATTGATCAGGATATTGAGGTTAATTTAGGAGCACATATATACATATATATGACTCTATAAAAATATTAAAAAGCAATGTCTAACTATATTTAAGGTATTTCAAGACAAGTATGAAATTACACCACGATTACTTGGACTAGGAGGATTTTCAGAGGTAAAAAATAATAACTTTTCAACTGCATAATTTAAGGATATCAAGATTTATATGGCTATTGATAAAACAACAGGCAGACAAGTTGCATGTAAAGTTATCTCAAAGATATCTTCAAAATTTAATAGCTCAAAATGTCTTCGAGAAGCACAAATTTTAAAGAATCTTTCTCATGTATATACATTATCTTTTTTCTATCTTTCTGAAATATCTAGCCTAATATTATTCAAGTATTTTATGAGATAGAAACAGAAAAAAATTAGTATAAATATATTTTATCAAATTTTTGCTAACTTCCTTCAGTTTTATTTTTGAAGAATTGTGAGTTTCATTATCGAATAGCGTCTGAAATCTCATTATTTTAGAATACATGGTGGAGATTTATATGGATTATGTGTTAAATATGGTCAACTTAAAGAAACAGACTGTATGTTTATAGTTTTACAAATACTCAAAGCAATTCAATATCTTCAATCCAAAAATGTAATACATCGTGATTTGAAAGTATATTTTTTCTTTTTAAAAAATACATTAAAATAATTAGCCTGAAAATATTCTAGTAACAAGTACATCTATTTCTTCTGGATTTCGTGTTGTTTTGACAGATTTCGGTGTTGCGCAACGACTTGGAGCTTCTTCTCGAATGAAAACATTTGTGGGTACACCTTCATATCTTGCCCCAGAGATACATTCTTGTGCCATCCGAAATAATAATTGCGAGAATATCAAAGGTTATGGAAAAGAGGTATATTCATTATTTCTATTATTTCTATTTTAAATCGTTACTAGATTGACTTATGGAGTCTTGGAGTTATTATGTTTGCGCTTTTGGGAGGTGATAATTATACTTATTTTACAAATATATTTAATATTTTAGGCTATAATCCTTTTGACAATGGGGAAGTTACTGAAAAAGAAATTATGCGTAAAGTTCAAAAAGGAGAATTTGATTTTTCTGGAGATTCTTGGTCTGATGTAAGTCTTGAAGGTATTATTTTTCCTTATAAATAATTAATTTTATTTAAATAAATATAGCAAAGGATTTTATTTCAGGACTACTACGTAAAAAGCCATCGGACAGGTTTACAGTTGACGATGCATTTAATCACATTTGGATATCTCGTCATCGTGCTATTTTGGAAAAAGTTTATGATGAAAAGGTCTTATTTAACTGGAATAAAAAATTAGACTATTCTTTACAAAAAAATTGCTATAGCTTTTTAACAAAAAATAATCTATCTGAAATACAATCTAATATACTGTCTACTAACTGTTTTTCAAACATACTTAAAGAGCAAGAAATAAATGTTAATTTTAATATTATACAGAAACAAGATGATCTTTTAAAGAAGAAAGACAAAAGAAAAGCTACTTTTCAAACAAGATGTAAAAAGAGAATTCTTTTAGAAAATACAACTGCTATTAATCTTCCTAAGGAAATTTTAGAATGGAAATCAAATAAATATTTTCGCTAGCTATTTCAATTAAACGCTGTCATCATCACTAATAAATATTATTTATAAGTCTTACGTATACATTATATAATTTAAATTTGATATATAAGATTATATCATTAAGTAAAATACTCATGCTTTTAATAAAATATTTTAAAACATAGAATGATTCTTATATCAAAAATGCATTTGAGTTTTATTTAAATTTTAACCATAGAATACGATTTCAATTCTCAAGATTAATCTTGATACTTGAGTTATATCTTTAATATTTCATAAATAGCAATTGTTTCTAATAATGCTATAAAATTTATAATATAGATATTGAAGACTTTAAGATTTTACTTATTTTTAAAACTTTTTTATTGGAAGATTGAATGTTTTAAAGCTTTTAAAAACATCAGTTATCAAAAATAAAATACTTAATATTTTATTGGTATAAGATAATTTTTTTATATAAAATAGAGAAAGAAAACAATAATTTAAAAACATATCAACTGAAAAACAATCAGATAATATCATAAAGAACCACAAATGAAATATCTTAAAAAATAAATATTCTTCAAAAATCATTTTATTTTTTCCTGGAATCATTAAAATGCTTGAAATTAAAAACACATGCTTAAGTTTTTCCATATGCTATAAATGAAAATTCTATCCATTTTTCTATAGTTTGCTTTACCTCATTCCATGCAGTAAAATTTGGTACATAAAACCATTCTCTATGTGAAATTCCACATGTAATACAGGTTTGTGGTTTACATAAAAATTTATCTTGAAGTTCTATATGAATTAATCGTTCTACTCTATAACTAACTAAGCATTGCTTTGGTCCATTTTCATTCGATGGAAAATATTCTATCAATTCAGGTATAAAATTACACTGCTTGGGCCATTGACTTAATCTACGTTGTATATTGCCCGCTCTTCCTATTTTTATGATCATTTTTTCCAATGAATAAGGTTTAATTATCTCTTTTAATTATTAGTAGTCATTTGAATCAAATATTTTTTTTACCTGATGACTGCAAATTAAAAACATAAATGTAACCAGGTTTATCATGTGTTGATATAGATCGTCTTAGTTCATTCGCTAGTCTCTGTCGTGTTCTAGTAGATAATTTATCATTAATCCAATCTAATAATAGTTAATCTATAAACGCATTAACATGATATAACATTTTACCTGATAATTCAATAATCATGCCAAATCCATCTTGTCCAGGAACCCACATGTTTCCTATTGATAAATAATCAAATTTTTTTTCCGGTAACTCTATCATTTTTTGTTGAGTATTTAAAGATGATAAAGAAACAGAAGATAAAGGCTGATGGGACATAGAAGAAAGTCTATCACAAATCATGGGAGGAGACACACTTTTTGAGTTATTTATTCGAAATATTCTTTCTTCATCCACAAAATAACTAAGACAAAAAATTTTTTTTAAAAAATTCGTTATTATTGATCTATTAACTGCTCTAAAACCATTTTTTCCAGCAATCTTCGGATATCTTGAATTCTTATCAACAGAAACAACTAAAGGACTGGAACATTTATCTTGTATAAGGAAAGATAATGATCTATCTTTCTGAGAATTTCGATGTTTATGTTCTTTTTGATAAAGTGAACAAAAAGATATATTTTTATCATCTCTAACATCAAAAGAATCTTCATCACGTATAAGAGTCCTTGAGGATGTTTCTGAAAGATGTCTAGATGATTTTCTTGAATTATGATTAAAAAATTTATCTAGTCCACAGTTTATTTGAGATTCTGTAGCATCTTTAATACTTCTTTTTGAACTCTTTCTAGAAGAATTTCCACCATAAAATATGTTTTGTATATCTTGAATATAATTAAGCTTTCTTTTTATCCATAGAAACATTAATAAACCCTCTAAATATTTCTTTACCGATAAGCTGATAAGCTGATAAGCTGTTATCAAAGATAAACCAGGTAATTGAATTTTATAAATCAAGAGAAAATACAAATGATTTGTATTGAATATCTTTATTAAGACTTACACATAAAAAGGGAGAATATTGTGTAGGCTATTTGTGCAGAAATATGTACTTGAATACACCAGCCATCTTTAAAAATATAAAAAAAAAAAGATTAAAAATATACATAAAAACATATTAAATTGTATGAAATAAAACCAATAAATTAATACGGAATCTTTTGTTTAAGAAAAAAAAACAAATATTCCTGATATAAAAATAAGCATTTCTTATGAACGATCAGATTAACGACATAAAAATATTAAACTCAAGACATTAGGAATAAATAAAGGTATAAAAGACATTTCAATATCGTTTTAACAAAAAATTATAGATATCTGTTAAATATAAAGAAATAGACTTTTAAACGGTTAATTTTCATAAAAATTATGACTAAAATTATTAAAAAAAAGTTCAGATAAAATATTTTTTTATTTTTTTTATGACTTTTAAGAAAAAATAAGCACATAAAAACACATATTTATACATAAATCTATTGTTTTTTGATAATGAGAACTAGTAGTTTATTAAATCAATATTTTTATATTCATCGCACTAATAGGAACATTTTTATTGTTTTTAAACGGTTTTACATATTCTATAGTAATAGAGATGTAATTATAGGTCGTAAGAACAAGGAAATTAAAGCTTGTTTAACACATAAATTAAAAAAAATTCAAATAACATGTTTCTTAAGAAAATATTCGAAGAAAAGTAACAAAAAGTATATTTTTTTTATTTAAAAAGATATTTTTCCTAAATATAACATAGAAATGAAAACAATGAATCTTTAAACTATGAAAGTACTAAAGAAGTATATGTTTTTTATACTTAATCTGTTTTTTTAAACAATATCTAGTTACCATCTATGCAAGAATCTACGGTTCCTACAAGTCAAATAGAAAGATTGTATCACTTTGGAAGTCTATTTGTTGGTCTAGGAATTGGAGCATTACAAGAAAGTTTTCAACGTCTTTCTAGCAAGAGAGAAAATACTTCACTTATTATGAATAAATCTAATATTAATCGACTGGTTGCTAAACTATCTAAAATGCGTGGTGCTGCTTTGAAGGTTGGCCAAATAATTAGTTTCCAAGGTTATTTATATACTATTTTTTAATTTTATTAATAAAAAAAACATAGAAATGCTTCCTACAACATTACATGAAATTTTAGTAAAATTGCAGAATCATGCGAATTGCATGCCTATGAATCAAATGGAAGAAATTATGACAAAAGAATTTACTAAAGACTGGAGAAATCTCTTCTCCAAATTTAATGAAACACCTATAGCCGCTGCATCTATTGGTCAAGTACATTCAGCAGTTTTAAAATCATCTTATCTTCCAGTTGCTGTTAAAATCCAATATCCTGGAATTAAAGAATCAATAGACTCTGATTTAAGCAATTTAGAAATTTTACTTATTGCATCAGGATTTTTTCCAAAAGGTTTGTTTCTTGATAAAATTATTGATTTTGCTAGAAAAGAATTAATTTTGGAATGTGATTATGAAAGAGAAGCAAACTGTATGAAACATTTTCAGGAACTTTTTAAAAATGACGAAACATTTCTCATTCCAAAAGTAATACCAGAAATTACTAGTAAACATGTGTTAACAATGGAATATTTATCAGGAAAAAGTTTAGCCAAAGTAAATGAGGTTGACCAAAAAACAAGAAACTGGGTAAATAATTATATATATGTCCTTTTATTTATTAGATTAGCTTGGAACGTCATTGTTCAAATTATGTCTTCGAGAAATTATTGAATTCAAATATATGCAAACTGATCCAAATTGGAGTAACTTTTTATTTGATGAAAACTCTAGAAAAGAATTCTTAATTTATAATTATTGGAAACATTTTTAATATTAAATAGATTGGATTGCTTGATTTTGGCGCTTCTCGCTCGTTTAATATAGAGTTTATCAATAATTACATTTCAATACTCAAAGCAGCCTCTGAACGTAATAAGGACGCATGTTATAATATTTCTGTTAAATTAGGATATCTTACAGGCGAAGAATCCCAAGTATCATGTTTAATAGATAATATTTTTGAAATTTACGCAGTATAGGCGATGTTAAATGCGCATATTGATTCTATTTTAACGTTAGCAGAACCATTTTGTTATAATGCTCCTGATATTTATGACTTCTCAAAACAAACGATTACAGAAAGAATAAAAGCAACTATTCCATTAATGATTCAACAAAGATTAATACCACCTCCTCAAGAAACATATTCCTTACACAGGAAATTAAGCGGCCAATTCCTTCTTTGTAGGAAACTTGGCGCTCAGATAGAATGCAAAAAAATATTCAGAGAAATGCTAAAAGAAAATGGATATATTTAAAACAGCTAGGCATATTAGAATATATATTATATATTTAGATACAAAGATTTATATTAAATTGATATTCATACATAGTACTATTCTATCCAAATATTTAACAGTTTAATTTTATAAAACATCATTTTCCTAAAATATTCTCAGTATCATAAAATCTTAATTGTTCATCAGTCCATAATTCCTCTGTAAATGAACCAAGACTTTCCATATCCCAATCATCTATTTTTTTTAATAAACGATCATCCCAAATTTGTTTCAAAGCAGTTACAAGTTTCTTCTGAAACTCTATAGTATGAGCCGGAGTCGGTATAATTCGCAAACGCTCCATATTAACAGGAACCGTAGGGTAATTGATAGGCTGTATATATATATCGTATTTTAACAATAATTCATCCGATATTTCTTTACAAGTTTGAGAGTCCCCTACCATCAGAGGTATTATATGACTTGGATTAGGAAGTACAGGCAACCTAGCATCCTTAAGAGCTTTTTTTAGGTGGCGGGTATGAATCTGCTGAAGAATACGGTCACGTTGTGTACGCTTTTGATATTCAACAGAAACACGTGCACCTTCCATAACATGAGGAGGTAAAGCTGTCGTAAAAATAAATCCAGGAGCCAAAGAGCGAATTACATCAATAATATTTTTAGAAGAAGAAATGTAGCCACCAACACAACCATAAGCTTTAGCTAATGTTCCACTAATAATATCAATACGAGACATTTGTCCAATATGTTCAGCAACACCAGCACCGTGTTTCCCGTACATACCAACTGCGTGAACTTCATCTAAAAAGGTAAGAGCACCATATTTCTCAGCAAGATCACAAATTTCTTTGATCGGCGCAACTGAACCGCACATAGAATAAATAGATTCAAAACAAATAATCTTTGGTATATATAAAGGAATTGCCATAAGCTTTGATTCAAGGTCTTTGAGATCATTATGTTTAAAAATCACCTTTTTAGCGCGAGAATTGCGAATCCCTTGAATAATTGAAGCATGATTAGAAGCATCTGAAAATATAATACAATCCGGAATTCTACTACCAAGGGTAGAAATACATGCATCATTTGCAACATAACAGGAACTAAACACAAGAGAAGCATCCTTTTCATGAAGATGTGCAAGAGTTGCTTCAAGATGCTCAACATGTTGATTATGTCCAGAAATATTTCGGGTACCACCTGCTCCTGCTCCATAAACATGGAGAGTATGGCGTATAGAATCAATAACTTGCTTGTTTTTACTCATATTTAAATAATCATTAGAACACCATACAGTAACCCGTTTATTAAGATCGTTTGTATGTGCATATGGAGCTTCATTTGCAAGTCGGTTAATATTGTTAAAATACCGATACGACTTGTCCCTACGTTTTTTATCTAGTTCACTAGAAAACCATTCTTCATAATCAAAAAACTGATTCGTTAATACTTGTTCATGAGGCGCATTAAGAATAGCTTTTCCATATGGACAAACTTCTACAAATAATTATCAATCTTTCACATAATACTAATTCCATTTTCTACCTGATTTTCCGTCTGATATTGATCCAAAAACCCCTGCCTTTGCATGAATATTTTCAAGTACATCCATTTTTGCATTATTGGTACGACTTGCTGTAGCATATGAACGAGCTTCAATATTCTTCATAACATTCCCCATGACTGGACATGCATATCCTAATGCTTGAAGCTCTGTTATCCCTCCCGCTGTCATTATTTGACTTAACTGATGTAATTTACTAGAGGATGTTGTTTTTAAAAATCCGCTATAAAATACTAAGAAAAACAACGATTGTTAACACTTACTCACCAAAGACGCGTTCCTTGCCTTAAAATCGATTCCATTTGTCTTTTTCTAAGAAAAAAAAAAAGAATACTTGCCTTTTTATACTTTTTTATGTTAATTTTATTTGTAATCCTACGTTTATTCGTCAGCCAATCAGAACCTCTGAATTAGAAATATATTAAATTGAAAAAAAATAAAAGAAAAGCACAAAATAATAGGCTAAAGGGACTTAAAAACAACTATATGTTACGGTTGTATGAAGTTCTTTATATAATTATTTATTATAAAATACCTTTTAATCTCAGATCTTATCAATATATAATATAAAAATTAATTTTAAATAAAAAAACTCTTATAGTTAATAATAGTAATCTTTTATTTTTATTTACAAATATAAACAAGACCTAAATAATTCCTAAAAAAATACTTTTTTTTAACAATAATGTGTATTCATTAAAAAAACAAATATAATTAAGGTTTTTAAATATTTATAATAATAAAGATCATTATAAAAAAGAAAAATACATTGTTGATTTTTATTTGTTGAGAACCAGAAAAATGTGATATTATAATACCAGGTACAGGAATAGTTGTATATGTCGATGTATACTTTATTGTTTCAGTAATTTTCAGTAATTCAGTAGAAGAGACGGTTGTCGATACCGATGTAGTTTTTGATTCAGTCAATGAAACAGTATCCATACTGCATCCAGGAAGTAATGAAGGATTTTTACATAAAATTTCAGAAAAATCTCTAAATACTTTATATTCATTATTATCTGTAGTAATTATACATCTATTAACAGCATCGAAATAAGATTTAGAATCACAAAGACATAATGCATCATAAGGTTCTAAACAATTTGATTTCTTTAATGCTTTTCTCATACATTCCATGAACTTTTCTATATAATATTAACAGAAATATCATATATTTTAAAAAATATTTACCTCCAAATTCTAAATTTTTATACACATCCGAGCATAAAACAGGTTTTTTTGATGATACTTGAAGTTGAATACAAGGTACAGGAGGTAACAAAGGATTCTTACACATAATATTATAAAAGTCCGTAAAAGCAAGATGTTCTTCAACAGTCAATAGACGATAACATTTTTCATATGTATCAATGAATATAGTAGATTCCATGAAATATTTAGAATTACAAAGACATACTGGATCATAACTCCCCCCACAACGAGACTTTTTAGCTATTTCTCTTAAACACTCTTTCAATTCAGCTATGCCTATTAGATGATAGCGAAACAAAAACTAAGAACATACATCTAAAGTTAGTATTTTCAAAAACATCTTTACAGAGAGACAATAACTCTGTTTTTTTACGACAACCAGGTAATGAGGCGGGATTTTTACACATAACTTCATGAAAAACACCAACTTTATTACGCTCTATATTATCAAGACCGATGACACACTTTCTAACAGCATTCAAATATGACAACGAATCACAAAGACATAATGAATCATAAGGCTGTTCACACAATGAATTTTTCGCTGCAGCTATCAAACATGTTTCAAGACTATCTAGATATTGTTAATGAGAAAAAAAAAAGAAATGTTTAAACAGATACCTCTAAAATTTGCATCCTTGTATGGATCAAAACAAATGACTTGTTGATATGAGGGCTTTTTTAAAATACACATATTAGTCTGCTTAGGACTACTACAAAGCTCCGCTTTATATTTCAAATAACTTTGACGAACACTGAGAGACAGTTTGGCGAAACAAATATCATAATTTTCTTGTTTTGTTGTAGCATCAATAAACTTCTTTGAATCACATAAACAAACTGCATCCATATTTCCACAACGTGTTCCTTTTGCTATAGTTGTCAAGCATTCTCGAAGGCTACCTGCAATGAATTAACTATGATTTATCACCATTGGATAATATACTATCAAGATTAGCAGCTTGAAAAACATCTGGACAATCTGGTAAAACATCTGGAACGCCAGAACATCCAGGAAGCTCAAGCGGTGAATTACAAAGTGACTTTCGAAACTCTTGAACGAGAGCAAGTTTACTTATATCCTCAGAACGAAGACATTCATTAGCACCAATCCAATAAGAACGTGAATCACATAAACAATTTGCATCATTCACATTCCGACATAGCGATTGATTTGCAAACTTTTTCATACATGCCAAAAGTTCTCCTGAGAACATTTACCAATGTTTTAAATAAAAAACTTCCTTACTTCCAAATTTAATACCTTTATATGGATCTGAACATAGAATGGGAGGAGGAGGTTTATTTAAACTAACACATGAACTATCAGGAACTGGTGGATCCTTACAAAGACCTTCAAAAAACTGTGAAAAAGAAAAATGTTCATCTGAGCTTAACGAACGAAAACAACTTGCATATGTTTTAACAAAAAGAGTAGAAAAAAAAAAATGGTCTGAGTTACAAAGACACTGTACATCATAGGTTCCTCCACAATGTGATTCTCTTGCAATTTTTCTCACACATTTAATAAGAGGTTCTATTTTTAACTTTCAATAGAAATATTTTAAAAAATCAAAAAATATACCTTTAAAATTACTATTATGAAGAAAATCATGGCATGCTTTATTCGATTCAATATGTTCTTGAAATGTTAGAAAAAAAGATCCTTTACAATTTTGACAATATAAAAAAATCAAATTAAAAATAATTATAAAATTTATAAATTTCATAGAATACTGTTTTAAAGCTTAAAAAGCCCTAATAAGAATGATTCCAACTTTATAGTAACAAATTTGAAAAATATATAATATAAACCTATAAAAAATTAATAAAAAAACAATTTAAAAGAATAGTTAAAAGTCAAGAAAAGAATAAAAAAGATAATATCAATATAAATGTATAAATAGACTTTATAAAACTATTTTAAATTAAATAAAATCACCTACAAATAATAGTCAAAAATCCAATAAGAACAAGACTTAAAAAATTTGTCAGCTAAGATAAACTTTCTCTCTACCTATCCAAAACTAATAAGTATGTTAAAAAAATATTTAACCCTGTAATTTGAAATATAAAAATAATCTTTAAAATTTATAAAAATAATTAAAAAATATAATAAGTAGGGTTAGGTTTAGACATACCCTTTATCTTTTATAAACAGGATCTTCAGGTGGTTTAAATGCACTTTCCCTCTCCTTTCTTCTTTTTTCCGAAACTTGTTTTTGTTTTTCTTTCCTTTCCTCACGTTTTTTTCTTTCTTTTGCATATTTAGACATAAAATACTATCCATAATTTAGTTATAAAGAAAAAAAATCAAAAAAATCCTAAGCACCTCTCCACTTTCTATTTGAAGATCAATTTTTCTTGGGTTTTGTGGAGGAGGGAATGGTGTATATTCGTTTTCCTTAATATGCTTTGGTTTTCTTCGTGAAACATTGCGTTTCTTAAAATGTGGTAAAAATCTATCCCAAGATTCATTTTTAAGTAGAGGATCTTTTTCAAGTTCTCTTTTAATCATCAATTCCTATATAAAAATCTAAAAAAGCATAAAAAATTAAAAACATATACCTTAATATGATAAATAGGATGAATGTTTTTCATACAATCTTCAACAATTTTACGTACTTGTTTTAAGCCCTTATAATCTCCCATAACACTAACTGTGCTGCCTTGAACCATTATATAACATTGCGTCAATAATTCTAACGCCTATAGACTAAGTAATGAATTAAATTTTATTATATTTACCTTTAAAGTAGATCCATTTGGACCTAAAATACGCTGTCTTCTCTTTACGAACCTTTCCTTATTCCTTAGAAACCCACCAATCTTTATAATATCACATGCCATAGCATCATCCATAATTTTAATTGCCTGAAACAATAAATAAAAATAGTATGAAAAAAAAATAAAAAAAACCTGAGGAAAAGGAACACTACGAGCAAGAAGTTTTATAAGATCTCTAGCTTTCAGAATTGCATATGGATCTCTTGTATTTCTTGTTGTTTTTACTGTCATACTTCCTACAATCATATCAAGAACACATGATATCCCATATTTATTTAAATTTTGTGTAACATGAGGCCAAATTTCTTGAAGATATTTTTCACGATATTTAGGGAAAAGCGTAGCAAATGATGATTCATCTGTAAAAGATGGTGCATCTTTATCTGCAACAAAAGATTCAATTTTCCACTAGAATTGTCTTTTTAAATAATACATATTTTTCGTCATAAAAAGACCTACGTGATCAATTTCTTCAGAATCCCAAGGTTTTTCTCTTCTATACTTTTTGCTCTTATTAGATATATCTAAATATATCTAAGTCTTTTTAAAAAATATTAATTTTTTACTTTTTATGTTCTTTTGATCTTGATCTTCCATATTTCTATCTTTTTTTTTAGAAAAAAAAGCTTATAAACAAATTCTTAAGAAAAAACATTCATTTCTTAATATCCCATTATTCATTGCATTATATTCTTAATATATTTCTAATTTTTTCTAATATTTAAAGATGTCGAGTTGATTAAAAACCTCCCATTTTTACTAAACATTTCCTAAAAATATTATGAAGATTTAAAGATTATAACCAGATAGAACCTAATATTAACTACAAAATATATATTAATATTAAAAAGTTATTTAGAACTTTATTAAGAAAAGAGCTCAAAAACTATTTTAAAAGCTTAAATATAATTTTTTAGTTTTAAAAATGAGTTATAATGGGTATATCTTTATAAAATCTCGTTTATTTCCATAATAAATTAATAAAATTTTAGAATAGGTCTTCCAACACCTCGTGGTTCTGGAACAAATGGTTATATTGTAAGAAATTTGTATGTTTTTTTTCTTTAAAAGTTTAAAAATTAATAAGAATTCAGATCTCATATTAAACATCCAAGAGAAACAATAAAACCATATACATTAAAAAAATCTAATACTAAGAAAGCAGATAAAGAAATTCTTGAACATGATAGAAAAAGAAAGGTTGAGGTAAAAGTACTTAATTATAGAGATAGTCTTGAGGAAAATGGAGAACTTAATGAAGAAGAAATTGAGGAAAAAGTAAAAGAATATAGAGAAAAGCTTCTAAATGAAAAAAGTGATGAAATTATTAGTAATGATGATGTAAAAAATTTAAAATCTTATCAAGTTCATGAACTTGCAACAGCAAAAGCTAGAGAGTTAGAGAAACTCAGAAAAGCTTTTGGGATACGGGACGATTATCAAGAGGGGGACGCGTTTAAATGTATGAATGAAAAACAAGCTATTTAGAGATAAACATAACAATTTTATTAAATTTTAGATTTTATATGTACCAATATTATTTTATCTATCTTATGAATATAATAAACCTAATTTTTAAAACTATTAATTTATCTTTAAAAAATATAAAATATAGAATCAAAAAAATTAACAAATTTTATCCTATTTAAGAGATTTGAACTTCAATTTGTCACTATTTTTAATGTTTTTGAAGAAAATCAAATTTTGTCAAGATATAGTCACCATGACAACAATTGTCATGGTGACTACTGATCAAAAAAATTATACAAGCTTTATCTTAAGAAATAAGGCAGAATAGATAATTTTATACAATATAAATACGTACCTTATCTATAAAGTTGTAATTTATATAAGGGTTTATCTTTCTTGTTTTTTTAAAAGTGTCTAAAGCATGCCACTAACTACTTTTCGAGATGAAAATATTATTGTTGATGAATATTATCTATTAAGGACTATTTGTTAATAGTAAATAGGTGATTCATGTCGGGTCATATAAGACACGTGCAATTCTTGGACTTTCTGAGTCATTAACACCGCCAACTGTGAAAATATTGACACGAGTGGGTATTCGAAAAGGATTAAATAATGAAATTAGAGAGAAAAATTGTCAAGAAAATTATCTCGTTGGAGCTGATCTTGATGAAGCACTAATTTCTGACAAGGATATTGAAATAATATGGCCTATTAAGCAAGGGGTTGTAAAAAATTGGAAAGCGCTAGAAGCAATTTGGTTAAAATTTGCGTTTTTCTTAGACATCTAACTTATATTTATGAAGGAATTATATTTTATATAAGATAATGAATAGACCCTATCCACCTCAGCCAAGAACATTTGTAAATCCAGTTTATTTAATTGTTCCACCTCAATGGAATTTTCGAGATAAGGAACTTGCAACGCGTATCTTTTTTGAAGAACATCTTGTCGCAGGATTTGCAATAGGCAATTCAAGTGTTCTTCCCTTGTATGCAATGGGGCATCTTTCAGGTCTTGTTATACATATTGGTCATGAAAAAACAGGTATTTGTTTTATACTTATTTTTCTGGAAAAATATAACTTATTCAAGACATTACTCCGGTATTAGATGCACAAGCAGTTGTGCCTGCAAGAGTGACAATTCCTATTGGCGGAAAAAGTATAACGGAGTATCTTCATTCTTTACTTTTGTCATCTCCTCCTATTTTAAAAGAAACTAATACACCTCTTCTTCCAGAAGAGATTACATTTGAGCTTTCAGAAAAAATAAAATGTTCAAATATTGTTGAAGTTATTGTAGAAAATGCTCAAGAATCCTTTCAAAAGCTATTAAATAGAGAAAACGATAACTTACCATTTCCAGATAGTAGCATGGATGGTGTAGAAGATGTAGCATCAATTGTTGCTAGTGGTAAAACAAGGGAATATTTAGCTCAAAAAGAAGCAGAAAAAAATCAGAGTAAAAAAGGTCAAAAAGCTGAAAACGTTATATTAGACAACAAACAAATGATTTATAACCAATTTACAATGGATAACAATCAGATTATATTAGTTGGAAAAGAAAGATTTAGAATGTGTGATTTTTTTTTTAATGATGTTAAAGATGGAAGACTTGATATTCTTAATGCTGTCTATATAGCAACAAATAATCCTAGTATTGAATCAAATAGGCGTGCTGAACTTTGGGAAAACATTGCTATTGTTGGTGAAGGATCCAGAATTGCAGGTTAAGCATATAACATAATTAAAAATATTTAAAAGCTGATAATTGACAGGGTTTAAAGAACGTATTTTTTCAGATCTAACTCAAAAATATGTTTCTGTCATCGAAAATTCCTCTCAAAAACATCATAATCTACCTATATCAACATATACAACCTCCAATACATCATCAAATCTTAATTCAAGTTATTTGGTCTATCATAATCCACCAATTATTTTTCCATCAACAATTCGGCTTGCAAAGATACCAGATTTCTTTCCTGAATGGAAATCAGACAGAAATTCCAATGCAGTTTTAGAAGAAGCATGTTTTCTTGGTGGAGAAATTGTTGCTAAATTATCTTTTAATGATCCAAGTTCAAAAAATTATATGGGAAGAGGCGAATACAATGAAAATGGACCGCCTTATATTAACGAAATATGATTATACATATAAAAGATAAATTTACTTTATAATCACAATTTATTTGCATATTTTAATCAAAAAAAGACAATTCATAAAAGACATAATACAGATTTTCACTATAAATTTATTTATCTTTATGATAACTATCTTGGCTAATTAATCAGTTAAATTAATTTTTCAAATATATATCAATCTTAACTCTACGATTGCCTTAGCAACTGCATTAAATGAACAGTCAGGTCAATACAGCTCGTATAACACTCAAGCTCGCACGAAATACTACACTTTTACATCCTAAATTCGAATCTTATAAACTAAGAAATGATAAGGAAATATTATCTTTTTATCGTTTAGAGATTTCTCATAAACTTTCAAAATTACAGATACCATCTTATGCAAAAATTGGATATTATGAATGGAAAGCACGTTTAGGAAGAAATCACCTGAGACCAAGTGTAAAACCATTTTGTGCATTATATATTTCAGAGGATGGTGTTTTTGTAGAACTTTTTATGGAAAAAATTAAGGTAAAAATGATATATTTTTTTGATAACTATTAATAATTAGAATGAAGTAATTCTTAAAGAAAGAATTATTGCAACTATCCATATTCCAAAATTTGAATGTAGAGGAACGGGTTATGATGATATTTATCCATATTTTCCTGATTTAAAGTCATTAACAGAAACATTAATATTGGCCACAGATGGTGCCGGAAAATTTTACTTTATTGATTCATCAAGCGATCCTGTACAAGTGGATATGGCAGTTTTTTCAACAGAAGATCTGGAGTCCCATCCTTTTATCATTTTGGATGCAGTTTACCATTCAAATATAAAGATACAAGTTTTGATTGCACATTTAAATGGAAGAAAGGAAAAAACAAATACAAAATCAAGAAGATATTTAATAAAAAATATTATGTGTGAAAAAACATCTACATCTTGGGAATTATCTATTTTAAATGTTTTTTTTTCTAAGGAAATACCTATTTTTTCTCAGTTTTTGGGAAAAACTCTAATTGACCAAACTATTGTTCTAGGTGTTCAAAATAGAATTGAAGATAACCTTCAAAAGGGTTATGAAACTTTGAGGGAATATAATGAACAGCTACATTATACTTGGATTCAAACTTCTGAAGATATTCGTTTATTTTTAACAATGTCCCCGACAATTACTAAACAAGATATTTCCATTAAATTTTCTCGCAATCAATTAGAAGGTTTTAATGAGGATAATGGACTTAAATATGTACTGAATTCTAAACTTTATCATACAATTCTCCCTTCAGAGTCAACATGGACACTTTCAACAACTCCTCTTTTTCCTGAACAAATTCTTGAAATTTGCATGAAAAAAGAAAATGTTGGACTTAAATGGCCTCATATTTTTGAAAATAATGACAACATATTAGAATTAGAGAATTTATCCGATAGAACAATGGTATTAAAAAATCTTTTATCTTTAAAATCTGAGCCAATATCAAAAATTAAGTCAAGCGATAATTACATTATAGATTATGAGAATGCAGAAACTTACTTTTTGCAGCAATTTAAAGAAGATGTCTGTATTGCTGAAATCAGTGGAATAACTATTGTTGGAAGTCAATTTACAAATGAAAAAAATAAGACTTCTTGCTTAGCAATAAAATATGATGTTGACGCATTAATTTATAATATAGAGAGCTCTAATGAGACTTCTCTGATGAATTTAGTACATTCTTATACATTTCCTGCATTGTCATATATATCTTCATCTAAAATATCAAAAAAATATTTAAAATATAGCTATACCGGTAAATTTGCAATTATTGTTGAATCTGGTGTCTATAGAAAAGGTCACTGTAATAGTCAAAATCTATATTTGTATTGGAATGTTTTCAATAACCAAGTTAACAGTTATCAAAGTGTTATAAAAATACAAATGGAAGCATTAGGATTATGTCAAATTGGTGATCATGAAATAATAATCCTAGGTGAAAACGAAGGGAAACCTGTCGCTCTTTTAATAACTAATTTATAAATATTTGAACATATTTGAATTAATAATTCAGTTTTTTAATTCAACAAAATTTTGAAAATCATTTAGTGTATCATAGAATTTTATTACTATATAATGACTTCTTCTAGTTATAAACTTTCATAAAATCTATATATAATGAGCTTAATGTATTTTAAACATTTTTATATATTAGTATTATAAAACTTTATAAATTTGAAAAATTAATTTATTAAAAAATTGTAATCATTGTAAAAACAAAATAGTTAAATTACTAAACAACTATTATGTCTTATTACAAAAGTTTATTATAATAATCATAATATAAAACCAATTATAATAAAATCTTCAAAAAATAAAGATCTATTAGAAATAAATTCACTCTAAGATGTTCCAGATTTATTTCATAATTAAATCATATCTCATTATTATGTATAAAAATATCATCATTAATTTTCGTATGATTAACTAAATTATTATTATATGTTTCTTTTTCTAACTCTAATTTATTATTAGATTCATCTTTAGGATCCTTTCCAAAATGATTTGATGCCAAATGTTCTATAACTGGCCAACCATATGCATTTACAAACCTATATTCTATAAGCCTAATAATAAACATAGAAAAGTGATTACATTCTTCTACAAATTATATTATTATGCGCATCAGGTTCCAGATATACAAGAACTTTTCTCCAAACCATATCAGAATGCCATTCTTTCGCAATCTTTTCCTGAAGTTTTAACTTTTCTTTAAAAACTTTATTCCTTTTTATACTGTTTTTTCCATTTTCAGAGATAATACTTAATTTAGAATAAAGCTTAGAAAACTTTTTTAATATATCATCAGGATAATAATATTGGTCATGAACTATAGTTTTCGTTCGACAAGGGTTAATAAAATAGTCTTTTTTCGGCAAAGGCGGTTTTAAAACTTTGCTTGCACTTTGAAAGAAACTCATTTTGGGTATAAAATCAGCCTTTTGATGAGAACATGTATAATAACTATCATTACTCCTAATTGTTTTATTTTGTTTATCTCGTTTTATTTTCCAATTATTTCTATCATGTTTATTTTTAAAGTAATTTTTAAATGAAGAGATAAAAGATAATGTATTCATCGATTCGCCTGTTTTTGAAGAGTCCAAAATATGATTATTTTTAATTAATTTTAAAGAATCACAGTCATAAGAAACTGAATTATACGGATACATAGAATTTAAATATAAAGGTAATTGAACATCTGTTTTTGAAGGTGAAGTACGACTGGGTTTAAATATAAAAAATTCCTTTAGACTAGATTGAGAATTCATTGTAGATTCAACTTCATTTAAGAATCCCATGTTTTTAGATGTGTCTAAAATTGTACTCTCAAATTTACTATTATTAGATTTATTATTATCCGAACAGCAAAATTCTTCTATATGTGGCATTGTGAGAGAAAAGCTAGTAGCATTTGTTTGCATTGATACATTAGACGACATCGTAGGTTCTATTTGGGATGAACTGCTAGTGTTTATAGATTCATCATTATTTTTTTGCTCATGATGATCTTGATAATTTCTTTCCGTTTGAATTGAATATAAAGCACCTTTTTGATATTGATTAAGATTTTTCTTTTCAAAATAGTCAATGTTTTTCCAATCAAGAAAAAATAAGGAACTTGTTCTTAATGGAACAATTCCGTCATTAATAATATTTGAATATAACGTTCTTCTTTTAAAAAGCTTAAGTGCCTTTCTAAATGGACTTTTTTCGAGTGACAACGTTCTTAAAAGAGGTAAATGGTTATCCGTTTCACCAATATGTTTCGAACATGCTCCTTTATCATATTTCATTGTAAATCCTAACTCCTTCCCTGTTCTTCCTACAATTCCAAACTCTAATGCTTTCGTTATATATTTCGGATTTTCTGCAAATAATCCAAGCCATGGAGTAGCAAGCGTAATAAAATTAACTGGAACAAGACCATTATTAGAAACATCATAGAATTTCCCTTCTGTTCGTATCCATATCCAACCTATAGCATAAAGCTGTATTAATCCACCAAGACTATGTCCGATAAATGAGATTTTTTGATAATACGGCTTTTCATTTTCGAACCATCCAACTTCTTTCAACACCCATTCTGCAAGACGTTTTCCAAGGTATTCAATCCCTTTATCCGTCAAACAAACATTACCATTATAACCAGAAACAACCAATTTCTCCCCTTTTAAGCGTCCTTCTACTTCAATACGTTCTTTAAGATAAAATAAATCTGCACTGACATTTGAATGAAGACCATGAGTTAAAACAACAAAATGAATATTCTTCTCCAAAGAATCACTACCACTTACACCATTTTCCTTTAAGCTTTTATCTATAGACCATAATTGTTTAGTATCCTGTTCGAATACTTTAATAGATACATTCTTAATTTCTACAATCCCAAAATAATTTTCCCAATATATTTTTTGCTTTGATGTTGATAATGAAAACTCAAAATAAACCCTTGCTGACTTTGTAAATACAATTTGACTAATAATATCAACAATCCATCCTTTTTTTTTTAAAAAAGGCACTGTCTTTGAATCTTCAAAAGATTCCTCAAATACAAGAGGAAGTTCCACCCAAAAAGAACATCCTGTATTCAAATTCGGACAGTACTGTGGCATAAAATCTAATGATGGTTTTCCTACTGAATAATCATCCCTTCGAACTGATACATAAAGTGTATACGGTCCTTTAAAATATCCTGCTCTAAATATATGCTTCATATTCTTTCAGAAATATCTAACCATAAATACCACTTACCGAAGTCGTATTCTTTATTCTAAGCCATAATCTCTTACATGATGTCTCTTCAAATTCTTTAAACGATGGATCTACTATAATTGTATACCGAAAAACCTCTCCTAAACAAACAGACCTTTTTGAATAATAAAGCATTTAATATTTAGAGCTTTTTATCTAAAATAATGCGCATTAATCTATATTTTTAATAGATATTCTCCTGCTTTTTAAGATTGAGCTTAACGGTTTCGTTAAAAATATAAAAATTATAAGAAAATTTTAACCTTATTAAATAAATCTAAATAAATATTTATTTATTTATTAAAAACTTCTTGATTTCTTATATTTAAAACTACTAGAAATACACTGCTTATTTAATTATTTATCTATATCTGTTTTCCCCACTGTAAGTAGTCTTTAGACGCTCTTTCATTATATGTAAATATATGAAATGAAAGAAACGGAACAGTGGTAGATGGAATGTATGCGTTAAATAGAGGCAGTAATCTAGGATTATTATGGAATTATATGCAAGAGAAGACGCATATAGATTGTTCTGGAAAAAATAGAGAAACATTGAGATAATATAGGGTGTATAGGTAATATATAGGTTATGTATGTAGATATATAGCTAGTATATACGTATTATATGCGTGATATATGCGGCATATATACGCTTTATATGCATTTGGTATTGAGACGAATACGTTGCGAGTTTTTCTCGATCAAACCGCAGAAAAATGGAGGTTCTCAAAAGACCAAGTAAATATAGAGTTTAATCAATAAAAACGAAAGGCGGTAAGGTATTTAAAGATGAGACGGACAAAAATTTTTGGTGGATCATCCCATCCGGAACTTGTGGAAGCAATTACTCATCATTTGGCAATTTCTCCAGCACCAGTTAGTCTTAAAAAATTTTCTAATCAAGAAACAAGAGTAGAAATTGGTAGGAAGGAAATTTAGGAATGATTTTGATTGATGTATATGTATTTAGCGTGTTCAGTACGTATGGAAGATGTTTTTATTATTCAATCAGGGAGTAACACGTAAGATATATTTTTAGGGAAAAAAAGGATTAATAGTGGGATTTAGGATCAATGATCATCTTATGGAACTTTTAATTATGATCTCAGCATGTAAGGGGGCATCGGCATCGAAGATTACGGGTAAAATGGTTGATATAAAGTGTTTTTTTGATACTTAGATATTTGTAGCAGTTATGCCGTATTTCCCATATTCTAAACAGAGTAAAATGAGAAGGCATCGTGGTGCAATTACAGCAAAAAGTATTTGAATGTTTATATATATGTATTATTTAATTTTAATAAGTGGTTGCTAATCTTTTGACTGTTGCGGGTGTTGATCATATTATTACGATGGATCTCCATGTAATTCTTTTTTCTAAGTAACGCAAACTTCATTGTTTTTAGGCTTCTCAGATTCAGGGTTTTTTTACAAAACCTGTTGATAATTTGTTTGCAGAACCGAGTATTGCAAAATGGATTACGGAAAATATAAGTGATTGGAAAAATGCAGTTGTTGTAAGTAAAAATCCGGGAGGTGCTAAGAGGTATAGAAATATTATTTTTGTTTTGATTGTCTTATTGTTATAGGGTTACTAGTTTGGCGGATATTTTAAACATTAATTTTGCACTTATTCATACTGATAGAAAGAGAAAAACATTTAAAGAATCTTATTCACATATAAGTACAAATTCATATTCACCCGTTACATCTAATACGGAAAGCATTGATGATAATAATTATATATATAATTCTCAAGAAAATAGTTATGATGATCAAACACCTATTCTTTCTGGATCAAGTACCCCTAATGAGCTTTTATCTCAAAAGAAGACACAATCTAATCGAATTACATGTTCAAATATACGTACAGCAAGATTAATATCTGGACATGTAGTAGATGATGATTATCCATCTTCAGTATCTCCTTATTGTGAAAATTCTATAGATGCCACACATGGTCCAGATAGTATGTTTTTACCGCCATTTTCTTTTTATTCAAATACTGCATCGATTATTGGCGATACATCTACTGCTATTTCTTTTAACGATGATGAAAGTATAAATTTAAACGAAGAAAGAATGATTACATTGGTTGGAGATGTCGAAAATAAGACTGCATTAATTCTCGACGATATAATAGAGACTCCTGGAAGTTTTGTAGCTGCTGCAGAACATTTAATTAAAAATTGTGGCGCCAAAAGGGTTTTCGTATTTGCTACTCACGGAATTCTGCAAAATGACTGTTTAGAAAAAATGGAAGAATGTAGATGTATTGATAAGGTTGTTTTGTTTATGTCTATATATAATTTAATAAAAATAGATTGTTATAACAAATACTTATCCTGTTAGCAAAAAAAAGAGACAAACATCTTCAAAGTTAATTATAATTGATATTAGTAAAGTTTTTGGAGAGGCTATTAGGTATATCATATTTTTACTATATAAAAAATTATTAAATATTTTTATAGAAGAGTACATAATGGAGAAAGTATTAGCCATTTATTTGGAAGGGCTTTATAAATGTATTAATTTATTTTATATTGTTCAATATGCATAAATATTTTAAAAATATATAATATTTTGTTTTTTAGAAATTAATATGTAATTTATTTTTAAATAATGTATTTTTAATTTGCTTAAATTTTAAAATGATTTGAGGATTAGTACATAGTATTATACTATTTGTTATAATAAATCTGTATATTGACTGATATAATCTTGAATTTTTTTATTTTATCTCAAAATATCAAAATTTTTAGAATTTTAATTTTATTAATATTATTTTAATATAAATATAGAGTAATTAAAAAAGTAGAAAAACAAATTTCTTCTATAATTTTTAAAATTACTTTTATATTTTGATATAAAAAATATCTTTAATAATTAGAATATGATATTTAGAATTAACTATAAGAGGTAGTTATAAATTCAAAAAAAGTTAAAAATTTTATCTATAAATAATAAAAAATAAAAAAATAAATATTTAGAAATAAATTTATTTAAAACAATTAAACTTAATTTGATATATATATTAAATTAGAAATTTATATTTTTTCAAACAAAAATAACACATATTAATAGTATAATAAAAAAATATATTTCAAATATACTATAATAAATCTATATTTTAATGATACAAAAATAATTAACTTATAAAAGTTTAATTAAAATGTTAAATGAAATTTAAAGAAAAGGAATATTTTTATTTAAAAAATATTATACATAAAAAAACAAAAATTCAGTATTTTAGGGTAATAATACTTATAAAATATATGATTTCATGTAGTTAGCTTTATAATAATTATTCTATAAAATAAATATATTTTTTTCATAAATAATGAGATATAAAGAAATCAAATAAAAAATATTTAAAACAACTAATTCCAAAAGTTATAAATTACTAGTAATGATTATTTTAATTTAATAATACAATTGAAATCCCTAAAAATAACTAATATAAAAATAAATACTTATAACATATAAATATTCTAGAAAATAAAATAAATATTAAAATTCAAACTAAATAACTTAAATATTGTCTAATAAAGTCAAACAAGTTTTCAATTTTTTCATACTAAAAATTTGCCTTAATCATAAAATTCTAAAAATATAAAGTCTAAAAAATATTGATTAAATAATTAATTTATTTTAGAAAATATTAGGTTTAAAGATAATTCATTCTAAGAATTATTTTAAAAAATAATACAATACACTATATAATTCAAAAAAATATAATCATAGTATACATATCAAAATTAAAAATAATTAGAATAGATATATAAGCACATAAATAATCCAAATAGTTAATAAAACTTTATAAATCTTGAAACTTTTATAAATAATATTATTTATAAATATTTTAAGTATAAAGATTTCAAAAATATCTTTAATAAAATTGTCTAATTTTTAGATTTTCATTAAATATTAAATTAATATAGATAGATCTATAGATACAATAAAAAAACATATTTGTCAGATTTTCATAAATATTGAAAAGAATTTATTAATATTAATTTATTTTCATATCTAACAAAAATTATAATTTATTAAAGCATATCCTATTTTAAAACATAAGGCGTAAATCTCTTTGGGAGATCAACTCGTTGAAACTTTTCTTCAATTTTTCCACAAATTTCTTGTAAATCCAAGTGTTTTGTCAAAGATTTTCTAGGAGCAACACTAATACAATGTTTTGCATCCAATTGCATATATAAAGGATCTTGAGAATGACAACCAGGTGATAATGTAATTCTAACAGAATGCTCTTTTGTCCCAAAGTTTGAATTTGTAGTACGTTCGAACAATTCAAAATTTATTTGTGTAAGGTAATCCTAGATCAAATTAATAAAAAATAATAACATACAAAATTCTACTAATTCAGGAATTTCATTCCTTGAAATTTTAGTTGGAATCCCGCTTTCAAATATACAATTAAGAAGAGTATAAATATGTGATTCTTTGGTAAAATAAAAATAGCACTAATACTTTTTAATTGAAAATTATTAAAAACGGTATAATACCCTAGCACGTGTTGATGATTTAGTTTCATTTATATCTTTAATAAGCTTTTTTAACAATGGCATACTAGTCAAAAGTCCTATATCTAACTTTTCTTCATTCTCAATTCCATATTCTTGTGGACTCACAAAGCTATACCAATCAGCTAATTAAAGAAACAAAAAAAGTTATATACTCAAATAAAATTTTAGCTAAACGATATAACTTTCGAAGCTTTTCAAGGCCTGGAAGCATTTTGGGACCACCTATTTCTCTAGGTGTTCCATTTTCTCTATCACTAGACAATAATTTTTCACTCTTATTAAAATCATGATAATCTTTTGGCAAAAATATTGCATCTAAAAATGGTCTATTATGTAATGCGTCATACTTCATTGTATCATATAATTCTGATATTTTTGAAGGATCAACCTTTAAATATTTAAAATTGTAATAATATAATATTGTTCAAACCTTCTCAGAATCACAAAATTCGCAAAACAATTTCTCCCAACGTTCTCTAAATAGAAAAGGATTTTCGTTACAACACCATCGTGTCTGAAATGTATCCAATTTATCAGAAAACGCTGAAAAATTGTGTTGCATCACTGTTCGATGAAATTTCATAAGTTCAACTACTTCTCGCATAACTTCATTAGGTTCAGGGACATCCTTAGGCCATGTAAACTGTGGTCGTGCTGATAAATCATCTCTTAGTAATGTTTTCAATTTCTTTTTAACCTAAAGCAAATTAAAAATTATAAAATATACAAAAAATAGATACTCTATCCATATTATCTTTAGCAGCATTCGAATCGTCTAAAAGATCTTTTCTAACTTCAAGAAAACCGGATGGAAGCTCTTCTTTATCAAGAAAAGCCATTGCAAATATTTCAGCTAAAAAAACTAAATATAAAGTATTTACATTTATAAACGAATATACCACTAGCGCTAACTCTTCTCTCTGAGCTTGTAAATACTTTCACATCATCAAGACAATCAGAATTCATTAGTATAAGATCTTTTCGTATATTCTCTCCTAAATCCTTAGACTGATAACGGGCAGAATGAGTAAACTAAAATAATTAACTTTTTGACAAAATAAATACATTTTAAAAAACGTACTTCACCGCCCCATTTCAAAATAAGTTGAATTTTTTCAAGCTTTCCTGTTTCTATAGAATAATTAGGTTTTATTTGAACCTTAGTTCCAAGGAATCCTATTTTCTTTAATAATGTACTATGCAATTGATTCAATTTCTCCATATCTTCACAATTCTCCTGCTTCGCTTTTTCTGTAGCAGATATTACCATTTTAAGCTGTTCATTTCTTAAAATTACTTCATCAGTATGCCCTTGAAGCAATTCTACGAAAGGTTCACTCTTAAAAGAAAACTTAAATTTCTGTTTTGGAGTACGGTCTGCATGACGCAAGACTGAAAACATGCCTTTAATTCTCCACGAGTTTTGTTCTAATGACAATGATGAAATTGTGTGACCAAAAGAAGGAATTCTCGGCTTCTTCTTCCGAGCAGCATCAATAAATGTTTGTCTCAAAATACGAGATGTATTATCATAATATTCATTATTATCCTTAACAAATGACCATCCATTTACATCAATGACATATGATTTTCCATTAACTCTTAAACAATCAAAACCACATATCATTTGAGAAAATGCCTGGCATATTTTTTTAGCCATTTCACATTCTTTTTCTGAGAGTTTAGTGACAAATCTAATCTCTTTTCCATAAGTATTACGTCGAACAAATCCATCAACCACTGGACTTTTACGTGTTTCTGCATGAAAATAATGAGGCCCGACTGTATACACCTTAACATCCTCAGCATTGTCTACATCCATAAATTGTTCATAAATATATGAACCATCTGTACGAGGTGATGAAAGTTCTGGATCAAACTCTGATGACTTATTGCCAATCTAAATTTTAATTAAAAAATATAACAAAAACAAAAAACTATTATACCTTTCTAAATAATCTCCTTCCACCTCCGCCTTTGCTTTTTGGATAGTAAATATGAATATTATGATTTTCACCATCTACTGGTTTTTCAACAAATGGTTTTTTCAATATTTTTCCATCAATTTCAATGGTATCTTCATCAATACATTTAAGATAATTGATATTTCTTATAACATTAGTTCTAATTCCAAAATTTTCAAAAAGTTTATCAGCCAATCCTTGTTCAATTTTTGGTCCATGATCTCTTGAACATTCAATACGATAAGGCGTAGAAACATTGATAGAATCAAGAATAGACATAACAAGTCTTCTATCCCACAAAACCTTCTGCATTGGCAAATCATTTACACAAAATGGTTTACGAAGCTTAACATAACTAATTGCCTTATCTAAAGGAAATCCATAGGAAAAAAAAGATATAAAAAAGTCACACCATGGCCAATTCTCCACCTCTAATGTATTTCTCATAAAAAATGTTCGTTTAATTAACATATTCATTACCTTCATCTAAAATAACTTTATCACCAAAAATAACTGTTTCAAACTCTCCATGTTGAATCAAACGATTAAGAATGTTCTGGCATGGTTTAGATCTTGCCTTTTGATCCATTGCACAAACACCAATAATCCATTTTGGTTTTGCTTTAACTCCTGGAGATACTGGAGGGGATGAAGGCTGTGACAAAGTAATTGGTTCAGAAAATGAAGAACAAACAGAATCTGCAGATAAGGACATAAGTAGATCTTAAAAAGCGTTAAAAATTAACATAATATTTAGAGTTCTATTAAAAAATTAGCAAAGCTTAGTTCTAAAAATTTCACGGGCAAATTCCGAGCTTTAGAAAAATTAAAAAAGTAGTTATTTTGGAGACAAAATAAGGAATTATCATAATTATACCTAAGAAAACTCTTTCAGATGGTAATATGAATAGATTTGTCGAAAAGAGGGATTCAAAACACTTAAAATTGAGCCCAAAAAATGAAAATAAAGATGAAAATGAAAATATAAAAAGTTCATATTTATTTAGTCCTTTTAGAACAATTGGACATGTTTCTAATAATATTCCATTTGATATTATGATTCGAGGGAATTCTTTTTTGGTTTCTTTATGTGTTGGGCAAAATATTCAAACCTATGATGTAAGAAAAAGGTTTTCATTGAATAAAAACGAATATTTTAGTGTTCTAAACTAAATCTTTTATTTGTAACACCAAGGACAGAAAGAAAGATATCATCAATTTGTTCATGGGGAGATTTTATCCTTGCAGGGGCTGGTCAAAATATATTTGCTTACCGCAAAGGAAAAATTGTATTTTTATATTATAATTGTATATATTCTGTTGATATTTTCCTAAGGAATGGTCAATAAAACAAGAGGACGATGAAAAGGTTGTATTAATGAGTGTTTTGGGGGGCTATCTTGTTACATATACAGAGAAAAATAACCTTATTATTTGGAACATTCTTTCTCGAGGTAGTTTATCATTATTTTTTTACAAATAGGGATTCTAAGGTATTAGAAATGTATTTAAAAATAGAGTTCAATCAAAATGAAAGTGTTCTTTGTATGATTCATCCAGCAACATATTTAAACAAATTTATTTTAGGAAAAAAAGATGGTACTCTTCAAATATGGAACATAAGAACAGGGTAAAGATGTTTTTTTGTTTTTTATATATATTAATGAAGAATAAAGAAAGTTGATCCATCAATTTTCATCATTTAAATTTTCAATAACATGTCTTGAACAACCTCCAGTTCTAGATATTATTGCTATTGGCTTAGCTAATGGGCTGATTTTTATCTATGATATTAAGAAAGATAAAGAATTATTTCAATTTAAACAAGATGGAAAGGTTACTTCTATTAGTTTTAGAACAGGTTTTTCCTTAGAAATTTATTGATTTACTTTAATTCAGATCTAGATGGACCACCAATTATGTGTTCTTCTAATGATAATGGTGATATCTTTATTTGGGACCTTTTAAAAAAAAGAATTCTTAATGTTCTATATACAGCACACTTTGGTTCAATTGTTAGAATAAAATTTCTAGAAGGACAGCCTCTTTTATTATCTAGCGGTATTGATAATTCTTTAAAGGTATTTTTTCTAACCTTAAAATGATTTTCTTAAAAATATAGGAATGGATTTTTGATTCACCAGATTCAACCCCTCGATTACTTAAGCATAGAAGTGGTCATAGTGCTCCTCCATCTATTATTAGGTTTTATCAAAATGATTCACATTTTATATTATCAGCATCACGAGACCGTTCTTTAAGAGGGTTTTGCATATTTAATGATTCTCAAAATACAGAACTATCTCAAAAACCATTCGTTAAAAAACCTATATCTTTAAAATTTTCTCTAGAAGAATTACGTCTTCCAGAGATTTTATCTTTTGCAGTGCAGCCAACAAAAGAAAAATATTGGAATAATATAATAACTGCACACAAAGGAGAAAATGTGGCAAGACTTTGGTCCTGGAAAAGAAAAGCAATTGAAAAATTTGTTCTTAAGACATCAGATAAAAGTTCTATAAAAGTAGAAAAATAAAAATATATATTTTCTTCTAACAAAGACAGAGTGTTGCAATAAGTGTTTGTGGAAATTTCGGGTTTGTTGGTTCTTCCTTGGGAACAATTGATATGTACAACATGCAATCTAGATTTCATCGTCGCAAATTTTGTGACGATTTAAATGGACACAAAAAGGAAATTACAGGAATAGTTTCAGATTCATTAAATAAAACACTGGTATCATCTTCTTTGGATGGAACTATAAAAGTTAGTAAAAAATAATATATTATTTATTTTAATAAATATTAGTTTTGGAAAATATCCACAGGAAAACTCATATATACTCTTGATATAAAGTTACCAATAACACTAATGAGATATCAAAAATCCTCTGATCTTCTGGCGATAGTTTGTGATGATTTTTGTATTCGAGTTATTGATATTGAAACAACGAAAATCGTGAGAGAGCTATGGGGCCATACAAATCGTATTACAGATTTAGTATAAAAATCATTTTGAAAATAAAAGCTAACAATTATAGGTTTTTTCTTATGACGGAAGATGGATTATATCTTCTTCTTTAGATTCAACGATTAGAACATGGGACCTTCCAGTAGGATGCCTTATTGATGCTTTTCGTACTCCAAGTATATGTACAAGCTTAGATTTTTCTCCTACTGGAGACTTTCTTGCAACAACACATGTAGATAACTTTGGAATAACTTTATGGTAATAATATAATCTAATATTCTGAAAACTAAATATAAATTAGGACAAATAAGTCTCAGTTTTCTGAAGTATTTGTTCGTAGTATCCAAGAATCTGAAATTAAAACAATAAACCTACCAGCAATATCAGGAGAGAATAGCTCTGGAATTATTGATCTTTCGTTAAAAAATATACCAAATGATACAGATATTTTTTTCAAAACTGAATATACATCTTCCAAACAAATTAATCAGATGTTAACACTTAGTTCGGTTCCTCGTTTTAAATTGAATACTTTATATAATCTAGATATAATCAAACTTAGAAATAAGCCGAAAGAACCACCAAAAGCTCCTAAAAATGCACCATTCTTTATATCGTTTTTAAAAGATACATCAAAAGATATAACCCCATCAATTTTATACACAAATGAATCTTTAGAAATAGATAAAAGCGTTTCTAGAATTATCAAAATGAAAGATCTATCTGTAGAGAGCCAATTCACCAAACTTTTAAAACAAGGCGCAACTCAAAAAGATTGTATGTTTAATTTATATAATTATTTTTTTTCTAATATTTTAGATATGAAATTTATAAATCATTTGAAGACATTAAATCCATCATCAATAGATTTTGAAATACGATCACTTTCTCCAGATTCTTTGTTTTCTGAAATAATATGGTTCTTAGATGCATTAACTCAAAGTTTAAAAAAACAAATAGATTTTGAATTTATTCAAATATGTATGGCTAAATTTCTAAATATTCATGGAGATATTTTTATTGAAAATCCTAATAATGATGCATTACAACAGTCACTTATAAATTGGGAAAAAGAACATAAAATCATAAACATCAAATTAAAGAAACTAGTTGACTATTGTTCCGGAGTATTGTCTTTCATTAGAAGCTAAATTTAAACATATTTCTTTTTATATAAGTATTATTTAACAGAACTACAATATATACTAGTTCTTAAACCAGATTTTCGTTTTCATTTCCATTTGTTCTTGTTCCTACTTTTGCTTTTGCTTTAGGGCCCCAATTTTTTGTAGGATTTAATTGATATTTAACAAGTCCACGTTTAAAAATTTTATTAATATTTGGATTAAAAAGGAAATTAACGCAGATACTAAGTATGTTTAGCAATATTAAAGCTAATGTGTAAAAATTACTCGGGTTCACTTTTAAGTATTTCTTTTCCAGCAGTTCCATCATGAATATGTTCTTTATTTACAGGACATTGTTTTATCTAAAAGAACAAATAAGCTATAAAAAGAAAATAAATATTATTAATTACCCAAGATTTCATAATATCCCATAATATCTTTGGAGAAGCATTTGTTTTTATACAACCTGGAGATGCATGTGTAAAAGAAACGAGATAACCAAAATTAATTAATGCAGAAGCAATATCCTTTAATGGCGGAGTTTGGCAATGAAGAATTTTTGAGAGATGTGCCGGGCTATAATAAAATGGATTCACTAATTCCTTAAAAATATAAGTCATATAGACCATTAATATCTCAAAATCATACATCTTCTATAATTGAAAGCATTCTTTTCATGCGAGGAAGTGTCTCATAAATATCAATGGATTCAGATTCAAGAATATTTAAAACATTTTTTACAAATTCTTTATCATGCAATGGACCTGACCACATCGGTCCAGAAATCTAAACAATTACATTAAAATGATGACAATAAAAACATGACCAATACATGTAATTTAAATCCACAAAATTCACAATTAGGGCTAACAATTGGGCCTTGAGAATTAAAATGTTTATACGTATTCAAATTTTTAGATGGAGATGTTTTTCCAATTGGCTGATTATAGAATGTATAACATCCAGAACATAAATAAGACATCATTATATTGCTAACATAAAACTATTAAAACAATTAATAAAAATAGTTTTAGTTACTTATGAAGAAATTTAACATTATATGGCGATGTTTCAATTTTAACAAACAACCGTATATAGAAATCAGCAAAAATACTTAATAATGGTGTAATGTAACGCCCATATCTTGCAGAAGACGAAGAAATAGTATGCAAAACAATTCTAAGTGCCTTACGGATTAAATTAAATAATAATTAACATGTTAAAAAACCTGTTCATGACAAAAAACGGAATTACGAAAAGGCATAGAGCCATAATTAGAAAAACACTTTTCCGGATAGCCTCCACCTGCTAGTACTGCAAGATCTGTACATGTAACACAAAGAAGACCTCCATCAGAAACAGATTGTACTGCCGCATCAATAAATGGAGAAGCTGTTCCATAAGGATCAAGATCAATTACATCAAGGTGTTTCCTTTGAATAACATGTTTATACATAAGAAAACGTGCATCTTCAAAACTAAGTTTTATTTTTTCAGAAACATTATTATATATAGAATTTTTTTTAATCATTTCAATAGATGATTTAGCATAATCATTTGCCATAACATATTCAATATTTTGGATCTCTCTTATATACCGAATTGCACGAATTCCCGTTGCTGAAAAAGCATCAAGAATATTAAAACTTGGTAAACATAATTTATCTAGGTTATCTACAGAATTAAATTTGTCTATATCATTCGAAGTCCCCTTTTCTTTGAAAGAATTAACAAAACATGATTCCGATGTAATACTTAATTCTTCTTTTCCTTCTTTTTCTAATAAAGGTATTATTTTTTGTCGTTTAATTTCTTTTTTTTGTTTTTTCTTTTCTAACAATTCTTTTTTATTTCTAAGAAAAAACTCACTCCAAGAACGAATAACAATCACACTTAAATCTCTATTGAAAGTTTGAACAGGATTGTAAAATACCTTATTGCTTGTAATCACTCTATTTTTGCCATTTTCATTTGTTTACCTCATTCTTTTTCGGAATAAAAAGAGAAGCCCTTCCCTCATTAATCTTTTGATAATCCTTATCTTCTCCTAAGGCATCTGGCGTTTGATTATCCCTTTTAAATACTTCTGATCCTTTTTCAATTTCATTCATAACCAAAAAATGACTAAATTCACGAAAAATTGGTGTAGAAAACCCGTTAAAAAACAAATTCCTATAATGTCTAACGTACAATTTCAAATAAACTAATATTATCTTCAAATTATTAGCATAAAATTGATTTTTTTCAAAAATTTTTTTTTTTGAAGGTTATCGAGATCAACTTTTCCCTCACAACCGCTATACAAGACGTCAAAAAAAACGTTCCTCTAAAAAATATTCGGGTAATTACCTTTTCTTGGCTTTTTAAGAGAATAAAATAGTAGAAGGATTTTTTGTAGATTAGATCTTGGAAGGTAGACATTGAATTGTCATTAGTTATGGACTCTCGCTCAGCAGCATCATCGAGATCAAGAAGTCTCAAAGGATATAGAAATAGTCGCTCTCTTTCTCGATCATCTAGACGAACATCATCTCCAACTAGGAATTCATCAAAGGTTTTTTGCTCGAAACATATCTTATTTTATATTGGGAGATTTTGATAATTTTTTAGATTTTAATAGAAAAATTGACAAAAAATGTAACGGCAGCTCATATTCAGGAAATATTCGGTTCATACGGTGAAATTAGGTCAGTTGATATGCCTATGAATCGGAGGCGTATGTTATTTTGCAATTAAAAAATGGAAGTTAAAAATAAAATAGTAAATATCAACCGAGGACTATGTTACATTGTTTATGCATCATCAAGTAGCGCAAATGCAGCCATATCTCATATGCATGAAGGTCAAATAGATGGATCGGTGATTACGGTGTCAATTGTTACACCCCGACCTCCAAATACTCGTAAATCATCTTTTTCTCCTGGGAGAAGAGGTTCGATGGGAGTGAAACGATATAGAAGACCATATTCTCCCCCGCGTAGAACTATTAGGGAATCTAGGCTCGGTGATTCATACAGACCTCCTTATAGAAGTTCAAAATCATCAAGTCCTTATTATCGGCATAATGGAAATTCGAAAAATAGGTTATCTAGTTATAGTAGTTATAGTAGCCGTAGTAGAAGCTATTCTACTGAAAGAAGTCGCTCTAGAGGGCGAAGCTATTCTCGTGGAAGAAGCTATTCTCGTGAAAGAAGTTATTCTCGTGGAAGAAGTTATTCACGTAGAAGAAGCTATTCTAGATCAAGAAGCATATCTAATGCCAGTAAATAAGACAAATTTAGGTCATATATATTATAGTATATGTTATTAGGATACTAAAATTAACTATGCAAATTCATAAATCAATATACAAAATTAAATATTTTTTTTTTTAATGAATATTTTATGACCACGCGTGTCTGTGAAATATGAAGTAACATTAACCTTAGCTTTATCGAAAATAACTGCTGCCTCTTTAGAAAAATAATCATCTATTGGTTTTTCTGATGAAGATGGTATAATTGAAATCATTTTTCCTGTTTGTCCCATCCTTCCAATTCTTCCTGCCATATGAATATATTTTACATGATCATTAAGCCTTCCTACCATGTACGCATGAGTTAATCCAGGTAAATCAATACCTCGCGCAGATAAATAGTTCATTACATATATCTTATTTTGATTTGTTTCATGTTGTATAATTGACTCTCTTAATTCCACGACAGATGTCAATCCATGAAGATGACATTTCCTAACAAATGCTGCCCTTGAAAGATCGTGTGATATAAAAATTATAGCATTCTTTACAGAATCTAATTTAACTAAATAATTTAAAGTAATAGCAATAATATCTTCTAAGTCGATAGAATTTGATTTCAAATTACTAATCATAAAAACATCTTTTAAGAGTTTAAGCCTTTTCTTGTATTTTTCTCTCGAATTCTTTTTGGTATCTAATGCCTTTCTTTTAAATTGTGGTAGAATAGCATCCATAATATGAATTTTATCATGTTCAATTAAATTTATTTTTAATACATAATGATTAATTCCAATTGGAATTCCAGAATCAGAATCTTTACCAAAGCCTGACATATTTATTAAAGGAATAATTTGATTTCTATTCCAATTTTTAGAGTAAATCAAACGTCTTAAGTTTTTATCAAGAGTAGCAGATAAACAAATAAGTTGATAATTATCAGAAGTAAACTCCGCCTTAGTTTTGGACGTTTTATTCCTAGATGTTATAATATGATCTAATAAAATTTGACCAGGAGGTAAATGATGCCGATTCTGCTTAATTTTCTTCATTGAAAAACATTTTAATGGATCAAGAACATGATCTGCCTCATCAATAATAATAGACTGAAGATTTTTGAAATCTATATAATCCTTGTAATTTTCGCCAAATTCATATAATATATCTAATAACCTATTTGGAGTAGAAACTAAAATATGTGGACTTGGAAACTGTTTTAATCTCTCAATTTGAAGATTTTCGTCATAATTGTTCCTTGTTAAAACTTGAATAATATCCTCAATATTTTTAATAGGATTTTCATAGTTTTTTAAGATATTTTCAATCCATTGTTTATATTGATATGCTAAATCATTATTTGGCACCAAGATAACACTTGTTAAAGTAGGATTATAAGGCCTTTTCTTAGAAATAGATCGACAACAATTCAAGGCATATAAAGCAAGTGCAAATGATTTGCCTGTTCCTGTCCAGCTACGAATAAATAAAGAAGACTTTGAAATAAGAATAGAAAAAATTTTTGATTGAATAGCAGTAGGCTTATAAATATGTGGAAAAGCCAATCTTAATGCTTTAATAATAGAAGGGGAAATGCGAAAATCCTATACAATTTTATTAAGCTTTAAATAATAAAAAAATGTTTAAACAAACCTCAAATGTTGAAAAATATGAGCGACTATACCCTTTTTTTTGCAAATAAAGATTCTTTTTAATTATACATATATATCCATATAATAAATATCTATTAAAGTGACAAGTTTGTGTATAAATAGTCAATAATTTAATTTTCAAAATCCCTATTTTATGCTTTTTATAATTTTTTATAAGAACTGGAAAAAAAAAAGGATTTATTCTAAAAATATTTAATTGAATCATTCTAATAAAAGTTATTCACAATGCTTCTTAAAAGATAAAAATACTTTGTATTTTTCTATAGATTTTTTTTGAAGTCAAAATTCAAGGTTTGATAATGTAAGAGATATTAAAAATATATAAATAATGAAGATATTTTTAAAAATACTGTTAAAATTACATAAAATTAATCCTTTAAAAAACAGTGAAAAAAAAGAATTATGAAATAACGATAAAATTTTTATGTCAAGTCAGGCTCTTCATTAATAGAGTTTTTAATTCTTAATAGAAGAGTCGTTTTCCATTTGTCCAACTTACTAAGCTGATCATATTCTCTAACTTTTTCTGTAAATATATCGGAATCACCTGATTCGATAGCATGTAAAATATCCTAAAATAATATTAAAAAATTATAAATAAAAAGCAGGGAATAAAGTACCTCCAGCAATTTATATTCACGTGTTGATTGGAATGTTAAATCTAGATCAACATAATTTTCAAGAGCTCTTCGTGTAGCAACCATATCCTATTTTTAAAATAAGAAAAAATAAAATATATTAAAGAAAATAATTGACTCCTAAATTAAGATGGCATATTCCTGCCTTAAAAAGGTAGTCTTTTACACTCCATTTCATAAGATTATTGTTAATGCTTTTTCGAGCAACATCTTCATATTTTTGAATAGCTAAAGAATATTGTTCTTCTAAAGCTGCAATCTCCGCTACTTTCAAAAAAGCCTTATTTGCAAGACTAATACAATTTTTATTGATTTTATATAAAGCCTAAAAATTCACTTACGCTTCTGCCTGATCGTTAGAATACCATTCTCCTGCTTCATCATAGCTTTCAAGAGCCTTCTGAGAATTCATTAATTCCAATTCATAGAGAGATGCAACATCCATTTTATAACTTGCAGCTCTTCTAAAATTTCCACGAAATGTAAACATTTGGATCGCGCTCTCTATCACTCGAGCTGCGTCTAATTATATCCTAAATAAATATTATAGATAAACCATCCACAAAACCTTGAGGATCTGTTCTTCTATATGCTTTATATGCCTCTACAAGTGTATTTGCTGCATCATCTTTTTCATCCATTTTTAATTGCATTGACGCTGCCTTCTCCAATGCTTCACCGGCCTCTTTCCCTTTAAAAATAAGCCCAAAAACTCCCCCAAAAAAAACAAAAAATATTCATTTAATAGCAAAAAAATAATACCTTGTTTCTTTAAGCGAAAAGCATTAGCAGCTTCAATATAAAGTTCTGCTGCTTCACTATATTTATTACCAAAAAATGATAAAAATCCACCGTGCCCAGATGATTTCTTATCAGCCTAAAACAAATTAATAAAAAATCCATTAAATCTAATGAAATATACTAACTTTTAATAAAAGTGACTTAGGATCTGACATATTTCTGGAGAAAATAGAAAAACCAATTTTTGATAACGTTTATAGTCTATATAATAACGATAATTAGAGGTTATTTCGAGAGTTTAGCAACGTCAAAAAAAGAGTTTTTTTCTAAAAAAGAGTATAAAACTCAGTTTTAGCATTAAAATATAGTAATATTTGAAAGAAAACAATATTTTAGGAATGTATAATTTTTTTTCGCGTTTTAAAAGGGCCTTTTTAGGCCGAAATTCAGATATTTTAGTAAATATACAAAGAGAAATAAAGACATTAAAAGATATAACAGAGCATCTGGATATAGGTATTCCATCAACAGATTTGCTTTTATATTATATAAGGAACCAAAAAGTTGAAAAATTAAGTGACAAAACTCTAAAACATCTATGTAAACTGTCTTTTTTATCATTTCCAAAAGATGATAAAAAAGAGAAATTAATAGAAAAAATATCAATGAATATTGATTTTGTTAAGAGTATTAAGGATGTAGATGTCAAATATGTTAAACGTTTGGTTTCAGTTAGAAAAGATGGACCCATTCTATTGACTTATGAAAATTTATCTAATAAGACAGAAGAACCTTGTGAGTGGAATGTTTTTGGATTAACAAAAAATAGAGAAGGGAATTTTTTTGTTTTGAAAAAACAATAATTATTCAAAAATTATTATTTTTAATGGATAAGTATTTATCAAAAAATATTAAAGAAAGATGCAAAAAATGAGTTCATTTGTTGAATTGAAGATTCTTTTTTTCTCGAAAATAATTATTGCTTATATTTTTTGTATAACTTCACGTCTTAAGAATTAGCTACGATACACGTCAAGTATTATCAACCTTTAAAAATAAAAAAAATCAAGTATTTTTAAGTAAATAGAAGCAAAGTATCATGGGTTATCTAATAAGAACTTAATGATACTAGTCAAAGATATAGTATTTCCAGAAAAAAAGGCATTTTCTAGTATGAATTTTTTATAAAGATAATAAAATAATTAACAGAAAAAGATTTGGAAATATCATGTTCAGAAGGAGAAGATGAGGCCTGGAGTACTGAAATAGAGGAGGATATCAGTAAAGATGAAGGGTTAGTAAGAATCGAAGAGGAAAAAATTGCAGAAAAATTGCTTGAAAAACGTCAATTTCGAAAACGACGTCCAGAACAAAAAAGACCTTATACATATGATTTTTTAAAGCATAATGAAGAATTTAGAAGAATTGGGATAAAGCCTATGGAAAGTGAATTTATGGAGCATTTAAATTTAGATGATGAGGATACTCAATATGAATCTCAAGATAGTAAAGATTCGCAAACGACATTAGCTCATATAATTTCAGAAAATGAGGATTTTGGTATGTTTTTGTTATTTCCTTGTAAAGCGGTAACCTAAGCAGAGTTAGAAGAATTTAAGAGAAATAAACCAAGTGCGACTTTCATTAATCCTAATCGCCATAATTGGCGTCTTAACCGAGTTAAAAAAGCTTTACAAAAACAGACATCATCCGCTTCAAAAAGTACTAAAAAAGTGAAGGATGTAAGTTGATTTGTTGTATTTATCTATATACTGATTTATTTAGTTCTTGCATTATAATTCGGACACAGAAATAACTATGTTGAAATCAATTCAAAACTTTAAGAGGGTATCAGGAATTGAAAATGAAGAATGTGGTTCTGAAAATAATATTTCAGATGTCTCTGAAACATTTTCAAACCATCACTCACCCTCATTTGTTCGAACAAAACATAATTCTAGAATAAAATATATTTTACAGGATAGTAGTGAATCTGATATAAAAAAAGATGATTCTTGTTACGAGGAACACAATTTTATAAATGATATTTCTCATTATAAAAGAAAACTCAAAGGAATTTTGCCTCCGTCATACCTTACTTTAGAAAACAAGTTTATCATTTCAAATTCTTACTCAAAAATTAATACTCCTGCAAAAAAAACAAATATTCAAGAAGAAAATAAAAAAGGTTTAGTAAAAAGAAAAATGGCGAAATTTCCATCAACTTTAAAGCCTTTTTTAATGGACTTAGATACCAACAATTTAACACATCAACCTAAAAAAGCAAAATATTTGGATTTTAAGGAAAATAACAATAATAATTATTACTCTTCTAATGAATCATCTAATGGTAATGATGTTTCAGAAAGAAAGTTGATAAATAGAATGTATGCAGGAACAAAATCTAATAACCATATGTATTTTCCTAAAGAACATAGAAGAGATAATACACGTGAAAATTCTTTGAAAAAAACATCAAAATATTTATTACCAGAAAAAATCAAAAGACTAAATAAATTTCCATCTAAGTTCATAAAGAAAAAAAAAGTAACTAAAATAGGAATTCTGGATCTTTTTAAAAAGCATAAAGATAAGAACCAACAAGCTCTTCCAAGATTCATTAACTTAGTATGTCGAATCATGAAATCTCGAAAAGACCTTGGTCGAACTTATCCCTATAGAAAAGTCTTTTTTTTTGATAATTTTGATGACAGACAAGAAATAAATAAAATATTTGAAAAATGGAAACAAGGGACTTTAACGCCTATTTACTCAAAGAACGATATTTTTTCTTGTTATACAAAACCGAAATCTATAACAAATTCTATCAATTTTACAGAAAATATTCCTTGTTTATCGGCCGAAATACATGAAATAAAACAAAACGTGGAAGTAAAGGACAATAATTCTAGAAAAATTATAGGAAAAATACTTTTTCAAGGGGAGTTAAAAAAAAAAATATCAGAAAATTTTATGAAAAGACCAAATGAAAGTTATTGTAGAAAAAATAATCCTAAAAGTTGCATTACAAATAAGTACGAGTCTATTTATGAGTGGTTGAATAAATTATCATCATCTAAACCAGATATTATTGATAAAATTGACAATAATATGGAAAATAAAATAAATGATCCAAAGATAAGACATTATAATCGTAAATCAATAGCCAAAAGAATTGATTCTAATCATTTTGATGATACTATAATTCATCGTCATATTATAAATAAAGTAAATGCACGAAGGGAAAATAGTAATAATTATTTTCAGCAATCATTAGAGCAATTCTGGTTGCAAAAGTCAACGTTTTCAATGACATTTAATGTTAATCCTATTAAACAAGATATTTTTTTTGATTCGGAGACATTTATTGGTAGTGGTCTACTTCAAAAGTTACTATCAGAATCAGATAATGATGCAAATCAACCATTATATTCTATTGATTGTTATACTATATTTGATTATAAGATGCAAAATAATCTTTTTGATGATATTGAGAAAATACAAAAAATATTTGAAGAATTATCATACAATATCTTAAAATATAATATCCAACAGTCTAAAGAAGAAAATATTGTTGATAATTCTTTATATTCACATCTACTTTATATATTCCGATATATTAATTTTCGGCTACAAAATAATACTTCTGAACTTTTGATAGAATTTTCAAAAAACCTTCTAGAATTATGCGAAAATCTTTCTCAACAATTAATTCCTTCAATTCAAATTTGTGAAAATTTGTCTTTAAAGTCAATACCAGTAAAACTTTTTTTTCAACTTCAAATGTTTTTTTTAGTTTTTGCTTTTAAATTTGCAAAATCATATTTTAGAAAAAACGAGGTCCCTAAATTTCATGATATGTGTAGAATAATTACAGATATTTCTCAAAGGTTAGTTAAACATTTATTGCAATTTGGATTTGATTCCTTGAATTCCGGGCTAAGAAAACAAAACAGCTCTAAATATTCATCAAAAGGAATTAATAATAATGATTATTTTATCGAAGTTTGGGTAGTGACAATCCATATAATGGATTTCTCTAATAATTTATTTGGGGAATTCGTACCAAATTTTTGGACTCTTTTAAATTCTGAATTAAAAATAATAAATTCTTCTGAAATATATGAGTTTCTCGACCATGAAAAGTGCTGGTATTCTATAATAAATTTAACTGTATTGTATCAATTTAATATATCTGGTGTCTCTGGTATTCCAAATGGATTAGCTAATTGGATAATGATAGAAAGAATTTTATCAAATTTTTTCGAAAATACAGAGATATATAAAAAAGAATTAGGAAATAGTCAAAACATGTATATTCGAACTTTGTTTGGAAGGTGTCATTATCTTATTTCTACTTGGAAATGGTCAAATGCGAAATCTATTGTCATTTTGTTATACACATTTTTTTGTAAAAGACAACTTCGGAATTTAATTAATGAAAATACACCAGGCTATCCATCTTTTATTCAGAATCTTAAAGACCTACCTTCTACTTCTATCGAAACGTCTGATACATGTTTTCATATTTTTTTAAAAGTAATTATTCTTGTTTTGGACCAATTAAAGATACAATTAAATAGCTCTTTCATACCTTCAAAAGATTTAAAAATTTTAATATCTCGTATAACTCCTCTTCATAATCGAAAATATTCAAACAATCAAGAACTTTCTATTCAAGACTTTATTTCTCTTGAAAATCATCATAGTCTTCTTCTTATATTATTTCGAATTGTTCCTAATCAATATCGACCACCTATAACAATGATACAGGATTTGGTTCAGATAGAAAATGCACATTGTAAAGCAAAATTAGTAAATCTTAAAGCATGGTTATATTTGACACGTTTTCTATTATTCAATTCAAACAATGATGATTTTCAAGCTGTATGTAATTGGTATAATATGGTACTAGATACAACAAGAGAGGAATATATGTCAATATATCGTACACATAAACGCCAATCTGAATCCAAAACTTTAAAATATCTTCCAAATGACAAATTACTAGAATATAATCTAAAACAGCTTGAGAATGCAATGATTTCATGTTTGCGTTGTAAAAAAGAGATTATTAATAGTGTTGAAAGTAATGTTAGTAAAGGAAAAATTTTACAATTATTTTGTAAAGGTAAAGGAATATGCTTTAATTTCAATTTTAACATACTAAAGCTTCTTCAACAAACATATTTAACTCTTCATCTGTTATTCCTAGTTCTGTAATAATTGAGGCATTAAATTTAACATCTAGTTTTATTCGACGATTATGTAAAAAAAGTTCTTATGAAAAATACACTGAATCATATATGGAAGATAGCCAAGATTATGGAGATATATCTATATTTTATGATTTAGTTGATAATAATGACTCTGAAAATAATATTGAGCATGATTTTTCTGTGGTTTAGTTTAATTTTATTATATTGGTTATTTATTTATTTTATTAGATTATTAATGAAACCTTAAGTGGGCAGATCTTTCAGATGTTATCCAATTATTTGGGCTCTGATGTTGAAATTTCATATGAATTACTTAATGCAATTATTGAGTGCTGGGTACTCACTGCAGATCTTTTAGTAAGAAATGGGATTAAAGTAGATTTTACTTATTTTATTGCTTATTAAGTTAATTTTTTTAAGGAATGGTCAAATTATTTAGATTATGGACAAGAATCATGGATCCGCTTTGGAAATAATTCGAAAATTAATCAAGCAGGAGTTATTTTTATGTCAAAAGTTATCCAAGAATGTCCTAATGCATATTTTGTAAGTCCTATTAATGCGCATTTTTTTTTTAATAATTTAGTCCTATCGTATTACGTTTATATCTTATTGGTTTCGGGTTATTGTTGAAGATAAACTTTATAATCAACATACTTTAACAAGCCTTATTTTAAATATTGATTCTTCTAACAAATTATGGAGAAATGTTCAATTTTCAAAAAAATCAAATCTTTTTGAAATTAAACTACATGAAATAAAACATCACCAATTTTCTATAATTTCAAGTAATTTAAAATTTATATTTTAATTTGTTTACTACCATTTCAATAGATACACTGGCAAACATGGGAGAAATTTATACTCATTTAGAATCGGAAAATCTGATACAAAATACCAAAAGTGAGTTTTTAACATATCTATCAAACTTATTTCATTCTATGAGAGACACCTATCAAGTTTAGTATTTTTAATTTTTAATATCTGTGTTAATAGATTTTAGAAATTAGTCCAAGAAAATGACAATGATATCAAAAAATATATTGATTTATGTCAGAAGCTTATTGGTTGTGTATTACAATATTGCGGGGAGTTTGTTAATGAGAATACTCTTCCAATTTTAGATTGGTTTATTAATTCCACAAATTTTCCGCAGCCTAAAGAAGATATTATTTACACAGCAAAAAAACTTAAAGGTTATGAAAAAAGAAACTTAAATGATCCTTTAATACAGCAAGAATTGTTTAGATTTATTAAAGCAAAGTGCGAAATTGCATTATTTGAGCATAAAAGAAATCAGTTTTCTACTTTAATGCGTCTTGTTTTGAGTGACACGAAAGACTATAATATAATTATACATCGGTAAGTGTATACATATACAAATTCATTTTATCAATTATTAGTAAAATTCAAACTCTTGATCTTGTTTGTTTTATTATTGATGAAGTTTTTAGCGCGTACATGGCATATTCGAAATCTCATATTACATGGATATATATAATTCCAATGTTAGAGGCTACAAAAGAACTTTTTTCTAGTCTTTTGGAATATAAATATCAAAATTTTTACATATGTTCTATTTTAAATATTATGGAATCTTTCTTTCAAGTTCTTTTATCCTGTCTTAAAACCTTTTTCGAATCATCCACTTTATTAGCAATATATGGTTCTGTTAAGATTTTTGAAATATTAGCAATTTTAGTGGAACTTCTAGGATCAATAAATTATACAGATTATTACAAAAATAAGCATCTTTATATAGCTGAAAACAAGAATATTGAGAATTTATGGAAATATATTTCTAAATTTTTGAAATTAACACCTATATTTGTTTCATGGATATCATGGGGAAAAGAAAATATTCATTGGCCAGATTTATATATCGTAGAATTGCAAAAAAAACACTTAGAAACCATTCAAAGGCAAATATATAGAGAATGGACATTAAAAGAATCTCAAAAAAATTATACTTGGTTGCATAATTTTAGAAATCAAGAAATTAAACTTATTTCAGATTTTAATCAAGAAGAAGTATTATATATAAATTGTAATTGTTTCTAGCTAAATTCTAAAGATAAAACAATTATTATTAAAAGGTGTTTTTGATTTTATTGCATGTCTTTTTTCATGTGGAGGAGTATGGCAATTACATATAAAAGAGCTTATACCATCTATTCTTTTCAAAGGATTATCAGTAGATCATAATGTTATTGTCAAATTTATGGCAAACATTGGGGAATTAAATGAATATGATTATCTATGGAAAAATATATTTTCTATTCCAAATAATACGCAAATTATATACACAGAATGTTTAGGTAATTTATTTATTTAAATGCAATAATGAGTTTTTTTCAAACTATATATGAAATAATATCTTATATGCATAATTGAATTTAAAACATTGATATAAGCAAGAAATTGGAGCTAATAATATTATATGTATTTTAAATATTAACGTTTTTAAATATGTAAATCAGATAAAATTGTATTTAGGACTGAAATATATAATAAAAGATATAAAAGCGATATTTATGTAGAATTTAATGAACTTTCTGATTGATTTCCTGATGATTTTGGTTTTCTAGGTCTGTATGTACTCACTGCAGGAATCGTTGTAGTTAATCTATAAATTATAAATATTAAATACAATATACAACTAACATACCGCTCTTCGAATGTTGAATATGGTGCCTGTGTAAGTTTTAAAACAGTGTGCAGGGGCATGTCTACAAATGGAAAAACTTCTTGATTAAGATCATGATAATATCCATAAATACAACGAAGAATAGCTTGATGAGAAATAATTAAAACATTTCCTTGACGCTCAAGTTCCATAATAATAGGTTCTAACCGAGTAACAACATCCCTATATGATTCCCCCCCAGAATATCTATAATTAAATTTATCATCTTCTCGAGAATTTAGTCTGGAAAAAATTAGAATAGAAAATAATTATTTTATAAATTACTCATTAGGAAAAAGAGCTTTTATTTCCTCATATGACATTCCATCGAAAACGCCAGCACTCAATTCATCCAATGCTTTCCATTCTAATTTCTTATAAGGAAGATATTGTGCGGTTTCTATAGTTCTTTTCATTGTTGATGTCCATACCTATATAATAATTATTTTTCTTTAAAGAAAAATGTTCTGTTTTAGTACTATAAGAGGCGCTTCTCCTAACGACTTTTGAAGAATATTTGGAAGTTCTTTAGCATATTGAAGACCACGGGAGCTTAAGCTTGAATCACCTCCAATAATCCCATGCAAATTAAACTCACTCTCACCATGCTAAATAAAAATTAAAAAATAGTAAATAAAAAATTATATTACACACTCTACTTAACCAAATACTCCTTGGTTTTATATGTAAATTCATCAAATAATAAACAATTTTACTTTGAAGATAATCCTGAATTCGATTTATAATAACCTTTTTTCCAACATCAATTAACTTTACGTATGAAAAATCTTCATCATCTAAAGGTTGATATGCCTGCTCATAATATTTAATTCGTTTTAAAAAATCAGACACAGACTAATATAAGAAGTTTATTTTTAAAAATAATAAAACAAAACTAATCACCTTTTCAGAATCCTGTCCTTTGTAATCTGGAGAACTAAGTTTAACATCCATAATATTGTTCATAATTATTTTTTCATCATTACAAATAGACTCAACAAACATACAAAGCACATTGTTTTCTTCACAAACACTCCGAATCCATCGTCTCCTCTTTTTTGTAGAGTTTGTAGCATCAAGAATACCAACAATTCCTGATTCTTGTTTAAACCATGTCATCATATCTGTAAGTGCTGCTTCCGCCGCTTTTCTACGTGCCTCTTCTCCAACTGTATTTTCTGGATTAAAAAACTCTGCAAGAGGAAAAGGAATAGATAAACGACGACGGTAGTTTCCAACATTAAATGTCTTTGTTGGAATTGAAAGCCATGTCAAGTATCGTCTTACTTCATATATATTTCACTAAAACGCCAAAAATACCAAAAAAAAAAACCTTTTTCAGCAATATATGTCTTTCCGCGTGCTGGAAGTCCTACTGTGCATACGCATATCCCATTTATCTTTAATAAAACTCCTATAATATTGACATTTCTACATACCGTGTATCTGTGCTTAAAACTGGGTAAACTTGGGTCATTTTTTTCGTTTCAAAAAGGATATATGATAAAATTCACTCAAGAAATCATATTTTAACATAAAATGTGCAAAAAAAGACTATTCTGTCCCCTTTTTTGAGATTTAAAAATATTCACTTTCTTTGACGTTGAATTTGGTAGGAATTGAAAAAAAAATCTACACTTTCAACGTTAAAAAATTAACAAATCATTAAAATGAAAGAATTTGCACTTAAAAGTAAAGGGAAACATATAAAAGGCCTTAAAGAAAAGATTTTAGTAGATTTAGATGATAAGAAAATAGGGATTATTTTTAAAGAAGTTTCAAACACTACAGGACTATCAGAAAGTCGATTAAGACTTTTAGTTAAAGATAGGATTCTGAAGAAAGAAGACAATATTGAGGAGATTTTAGATGAGAATTGTATTTATGTAAAGGATTTAGGCCCTCAAATTGGGTGGAAAACAGTTTTTTTGGTCGAATATTTGGGTCCATTATGGATTCATCCATTAATTTATGGATCGTCATTATTTCAACGTTTATTGTATGGAAAAGCAGTTGAACATTCATATAATCAGAGGCAATATTAATTGTTTAATATTTTTTTCTTTTAATTAAAATAGAATTGTTTTTATTCTTGTTATTCTTCATTTTATAAAACGTGAGTTAGAAACACTCTTGGTACATCGATTTTCAATAAGTACAATGCCAAGGCGGAATTTATTCAAGAATTGTTTCCATTATTGGGTTCTTGGAGGTATAAACATGGCATATTGGGTATATGGGCCTTGGTTTTCATATTTATATCAATCTCCAATTATTTTGATAAGTTTTGTTATTTTATGGATGGTAAAAATATGAATAATTTTTATTTTATTTTGTTAAAGTTGTTTTTTTAGCTTTCTGAATATGCTAATTTAAAAACACATCTTATTTTACGTAATTTAAGACCTGAAAAAACATCTATTCGTCAAATTCCTAAAGGATTTGGTTTTGATCTTGTTTCTTGCCCAAATTATTTTTTTGAATACATATCATGGTTTGTTATTGCTTGTTTAAGTCATTCATTATCTTGTAAGTTTTTTTTATTATTATTATTTCATAACTCTTTTTTAGCTTGGTTATTTCTTGCTGTTAGTGGAATTCAAATGTGGCTCTGGGCATTAAAAAAACATACACGATATATAAGAGAATTTAGTGATTATCCTAAACGAAGAAAAATTATGTTTCCTTACATTTTATAAACAAAATTATTTTTTAAATTTCAAAAAATACTAAATTTTTATAGATATTAATATATAAATTTAAGTATTCTTTATCCAAAGTTTTATCTATTGGTCTATCTATTTTATTTATCAATATAAAAGGATTTATATCTATTTAAATATAAAAGACATTAGATAAATAAATTTTAAAAAAATTAAGATTTTTTGAAGAAATATAAAAATATGCCTAAGAATTCATTAAACATTAATTCTAAAATGATACGTGATACTTCTTCTCAATTGCAGTGTACCCCATCTTATATAAATAAAGAAGCATTGGCTTCTTTAACAGTTCAACAAAACCCAGAAACAAAAATAAATGTTTTAAATAAGGTTTATTTAAATAGTTCTCAGTTAAAAAAAGCAGGATTGAGTACAGGGGATCTTGTTTTAGTAGAAAATGAAAAGCCCTCAATGCCATATTCTTTTGGAATTGCCTGGATGCATTCAGGAACAGGAGCCGATGGTAATAATCAAAACAAAATATAATATAAAAAGGCTTAAAAAAGGTAAATAGAAGTTAAACTATCAGAAGATCTTCGAAAAAAAGGGAAAATTTTGCTAGGACAACAAGTTTCTGTAAGAAAATATCCTTTACCAGTTTTAAAAGCACAAGTTGTTGGAATTGAATCATTAAATTTGGAATCAGAAGATAATATGTTGAATAAAATGAAAGATTTTCTTGTAAAAATAAGATATGTTTCTATAGGATCAGAATATGAATATCATTATCAAGGAAAAACAATTATTGTTAAAATTAAAATGGTAGATAATTTAAATGAGCTTACAAATAGGATTAAAGCAATGGAACTTTCAGATAAACGTGTTTATCAGGATGTATTTTTAATAACAAAAGATACTAAAGTTGTTTTATCATGGGATATAAATGATAATCCATCTTTTAAAATTACATTTGCAAATATTGGTGGTTTAAAACATCAAATTGAATTGCTTAGAGATTATGTAGAATTACCTCTATTGAAACCAGAATGCTTTGAAATATTTGGTATAAGTCCTCCAAAGGGGGTGCTTTTATATGGACCTCCAGGAACAGGAAAAACTATGCTTCTCCGAGCAATTGCTAACGAGACAAAAGCATATGTAGAACTTGTAAATGGACCTTCTGTTATTGGGAAATATCTTGGTGAAACAGAGGCAAATTTATGCAAAATATTTGAAAATGCAAAAAAAAATCAACCAAGCATTATTTTTATTGATGAAATTGATGCAATTGCTCCAAAAAGAGGAGAAGATACTGTTGAAAGAAGAATTGTCGCTACTTTGTTGACATTAATGGATGGAATGAATAGTTCTGGTCAAGTTGTTGTAGTTGGGGCTACAAATAAACCTAATGCTCTTGATGAAGCTTTACGTAGACCAGGAAGATTTGAAAAAGAAATTGAAATCGGTGTTCCTAATATAGATGCTAGATTGGAAATTTTAAACCTTCACTTTAGTAAAATGCCTCATGATTTAGATGAAGATGATATTAAAAGATTAGCAAAAAGAACACATGGATATGTTGGTGCAGATTTAACCTCTGTTTGTAGAGAAGCTTCAATATTAGCTATAAAGCGTGGAATAGATAAGAATATTCCTGAAAAGGATTTTACTATATCTAAATATGATGTTGAAACTGCATTAAAAAATGTAAGACAGAGCGCAATGAGAGAGGTATATGATATTTCTATCTAATCTGTAACTATTTAATATATTCAAGATATTTTTGGAAACACCACATGTTAAGTGGTCGGACATAGGTGGGCAACAAATAATAAAACAAAAGTTACGGGAAGCTATTGAATGGCCCTTAACTGTTAGTATTTTTATATATTTAAATATTTCTGAAATTATTTTATAGCATCCAGAAACATTTACAAGACTAGGAATCAGCCCTCCTAAGGGAATATTACTTTATGGGCCTCCCGGTTGTTCAAAAACATTAATTGCAAAAGCAGCAGCTACAGAAGCAGGAATTAATTTTTTTGCTATTAAAGGTCCCGAAGTATTTAATAAATATGTTGGAGAAAGTGAAAGGGCTATTCGTGAAATATTTAGAAAAGCACGTTTAGCAAGTCCAAGCATGATATTTTTTGTAAAAAAATCTTATAATCAAATATATTTTTAAATAATTTTAGGATGAAATAGATGCATTATCTATTAATAGAGGTTTGGGAGAGGAAACAAATGATAGAGTATTATCAGCACTACTTAATGAATTGGATGGTATTGAAAATCTTATTAATGTTACTGTTTTAGCAGCAACTAATAGGCCCGACGTTATTGTAAGTTTTTAAATAGATTGTAATCAAATTAAAAGGCTAAAAAATAAAGGATAATGCATTATTAAGACCAGGAAGATTTGATAAAATTGTATATGTGGGACTTCCTGATTTAGAGACACGGAAAGATATTTTTAAAATAAAATTTAGAACAATGAATATAGCAAATGATGTAGATATTGAGTATTTATCAGAAAAAGTAAAATATATTATTAAAACTGCAATATTTTAGCTAACATTATTTAGACAGATGGATGTTCTGGAGCAGAAATTGCTGCATTATGTCAGGATGCTGGAATCAATGCTATGTACGATAATATTAACGCAATTAATATAGAAAAAAAACACTTTGATAAAGCATTAATGAACCTTGTTAAGCATACCACTGTTGAGATGATTGACTTTTATAAATCTTTTAATCATGGCCACCTTGTTAAACATACTTAATTATAAATCTTTTATAATTTAAATTTACAATCTATAGAAAATATTACGTCAAAAATTCTATCAAAAATACATTTATTCTGTTTATCTATATTTAGGAAAAAGGTGCTTTTTCAACTTTAATCAAAGAAATTTTTAAAAATATCGTTATTATATATATAAAGAATTAAGGTATTTTAAAATACATAAGGTAAAGGAGTTGCTTTTATGGGCCTTTAAATAATGAAGAAAATTAACATATAATTAATGTTTTTACGTTTTTTTTATAAAAGAAACTTAAATTATAAATCAAGTTTATTATCAAAAAAAACAACAGATTCATCGAAAAATATACAAAAAAGAAGGAATAAATGGGTTCTTCCATCACCTTTAGATCATGAAGAAATAAAAAAGAAACACTTAAAAAATAATACATTATCAAAAACATCCTATCAAAGTTTATTAAGTTTAAAAAATGTTACATGGAAAGAAAATAAAGAACTCCCACAATGGAAAAAACAAAAAATAGCACTCAAGGAAAAGTTTCCTGAAGGATGGAATCCTTTCAAGAAGCTCTCACCGGATACTCTTAATCAAATCAGAACACTTCGTCAACAAGTATATTTAATTTTTTTTAAAAAAAAAAACAAACATATTAATAACATTAGAATCCAAAATATACAGCTTCTGTTCTTTCTGAAATGTATAAGGTTTCTCCAGAAGCAATTCGACGAATTTTAAAAAGTAAATGGCAACCTTCATTCAAAGAATACGCAGATAGATTTGCACGTTGGAAAAAGGTAATATATGAGATTCATGTTTCTAAATTTAATATATTCACAGAGAAAAAATCGTTTGAAAGATATTTGGATTTCTCAAAAATTTAAAAAGGATAAATTTTAATTAAAAAATAATTTTTTTCAATTTTATATTCGTTTTCTAATATCTAAATAAAAGATAGGTTTTACTAGTATTTGAAATATTTTTAATCTGGATTTATGTTGTTTAATAGGATATTTAACGTTTATATATATTATAAAGCTTTTATTTGATTCTTAAACAACGCATATTTTGTCAATATCTTATATAAATATTTTATACGTATGTAAAAATCAGATTTTTACATGTTTATTTCTAAGATGGAATTTTTGAATTAGATATCCTGGGTATTAATTTATAAATAATAATACATTTATTGCAAGATAATGAAAAGATTTTTAAATATAATAAAATTAAGGTTTTATTTGAATATAATTATTAATAGAAATATCTTTTATTAAGTATTTAAAATAATAATTTTATGAAAAATAAATGGCAATGTTAACCAAAAACAATTGAAAAAAGGATAGTCTGAAATCTAATGTTTTCTACAACTAATTTTAAATACACAAATTTATGATAACTTTAATTCTATAAAATTTTATAATTTAAAAAAATTATTAAATTTGATAAAAATATACAATACTCTAATTAAATAGATCTTCAAATATTTTAAATATATTAAAACTATGAAATTACTATAAAATTGCAAAATAATATTTAAAAATAAACATTATTAACTTCATACCTTAAAATTACAATTAATCAATTAAAAAGCTTTATAAAATTTATTTATTATTTCTAAAAAATATACATAAAACAAATATTTTCCAATTAAATACTAAATAATTATTAATAATAAAATATAAAAATCACAAACCTGTTTCAATATATTTTTTATATAAAATCTATATACAAAAAGATACTAAATAAAGTATTTAATTTTTCAATTCAATTATTGATCCATTTCTTTAATATCATTTAACGTCTTTTTGACATAATTTAATTGCATTTCAAGCTTATTTATATCTTCAACTAAATCATCCAACTTCTAATATTAGTCTTAAATCTTTTTTTATGAAAATTACAATTAATTCTTTTTTTATAGTATCAATTGAAAATAAAACCTTTTCTACCTTATAATAAAGATAAAATATATAATTTACAAGGCTTTTTTTCTCATTTCTTAATTCATTACTTTGATTTTGAATATTTTTTATTCTAAAACAAAAATATCAATTTGGAAAGCTTTTTAAAACAAAAAAAAACAACTTATCCATAAAAGAACACTTAATGATATCATTTAAATCTAAAATATCAGAAAAAAAGGTGTTTTTAGCTTTATCTTATAAAAATTAAAAGATAATATCTTTCTTTAAAAAATACTCATGATTTCATATTCTTTTTCCTCTAATTCTATATAACTAATAACAAGTTCTCTAAGGGATTCCATATATTTTTTATATATTTTTTTAATCTTAGAAAAAAAATAGATTTTCCAAAACTATTTATCGAACTTGTTAAGTTTTAAGCTTCAATATTAAAAAGATTATAAAATTTAAAGAGATAAACAGAAATAGTCTAAGATATAAGGGTTATTAGGAAAAAAAGAACCTATTTTTAAGATAAAACCTATATAATAAACGAAAGAATAAAAAATATATTAATGCAGAAACAAGAAAAAAATCAAAATGAATTTTTGGAGTCAAAAAGTCATATTTGTTGCTCTGAAACAAGGAAAAATGACGAACAAAGTGAAAGTAAGTTTATTTTTGGTAAAAACTGCGTAAAAAACGGCCAAAAATTGACCAAAAAACAATCTAAAGAGAAAAGCTAATATAAAGGATTAGATGAAACGATAAAGGACAATATTAAAACATTTAATACGCTAAACACTTGTCAGTTGAATCAGAAAGCAAGTGATGTATCATTATTTCAATCTACAGACTCTTATGAAAAAAATCCAGCATCATCTAGAAATACATCTATATTTAATAAATCATCTAAAGAAAGCCCTACTAAATCGAATCAGAGTCTTCCTTCAATATCTTCATTATCATTTCATCACCCTATGATGTCTATTCAGTCAGTACTTGGTGAAGAACCTATTTCTTGGAATACAAATACAGAATCTTCAAATAAAAACTTTTCTACTGAAACAATTAATAATGAAATAGATAATCGGGGGGCAGTATCATCACTTATTCATCCATATTCAAATGAATTTTTTCATCCAAATATAAATATGAGCTCAACAAGGCCTATAAATCAACATCATTCATTTAATAATATATTAATACACGAAGATGAGGCATATCAAAAGAAACAAAGCTGTGTTGGATATCAACATTTTCATTCATTTAATCAATCATCCCAACTGCCGTTTCCCTTGTTTTCAAATAATGTAATTATTCCATCAACCTTACCATCCCTTTTCCAAGGACATCAGCCATTGAATCAAAATATAGATCGAGGGAAATTATATCCAATGAATCATATGGAAGAGAATTATAATTCTCCTACATCTAAGGTTAAATTTTCGAATAAATCAAATACCTCTCCAAAAGCTCAAAAAAATACACGTTTTCGTTCAAATTTAGGCACAAAATCAGCAGATTATCATGAAAACGAATATAAAGTTCGACCACTTACTAGACATAAGTCACATGAAACTAATCAATCTTCATATAAAACAAATGCCTTAAATACTCCAGTTAAAACGTCACAAGAAACTTCACAAAAGAAATCTCAAAAAGATACAAAAAAACAACTTCAGCCAAAAGAGCCACTTCCAAGGCCAAAATTAATTGTTAAAAATGATGCTGTCATGAATTTTATAAAAGACATGGAAGAAAAAGATTTGGGAGAATATATATACACACCATCTAGCCCAATACCATGCCTTGATGGAAAATTAAATGGAATTTTGACTATTAGGATTGCCAGACAATATTTTCATAAATCGGAAAATGATAAAATCAAAAAACGAGCATTATGGGGCACAGATATATACACAGATGATTCTGATATTGTTGCAATCTTATTACATACAGGTCGTCTTGGAAGGAAAAAACCATCAAGTGATGCAATTGTTAAAGTTCGTGTACTCCCTCGTCTCATCAAATATAGCGGTAGCTTAAGATATAATATTATGTCTCGTGGCTGGAAAACAAGACATGATGGAGAAAGCATTATGATTGAAGATCTAAAATGGGTTGAAGATAAAACAAAAAGAAAAGGGAGAAAAGATATGAAAGAGCGCATTGCTGCAAGATATCAACTTCAACTTTCTCTTTGAAAAAAAATAATTAAAGATTATACATTTTAAATCAAGAACCCTTAAAGATTAGATAATCTTTTTTTTGAAAAATATCATCCATAAATGAAAGATTTTAATAAACAAGAATAATATATATTATATTCTTACACTATTCTACACTAACAGGTGTCCACATTATTTTTTCGAACACATTCTCTAAAACTTATAATAAACAATTTGATCATATATTAAAATCAAAAATATAAGACATACAGTATACATACGGTACGTATATAATACACATACATTCTATTTAATATATGAAAAATAGTTTTTACATATATATTACACATATAAAATACACTGTGAAATATAACATTTAATTATATATCTTTTATATTGTACGTTTATTCTTTAGCGTATATAATTCAATACCTTATAATTTCTATATATAAAAACTATGGCAAATTTATCTAAACCTTTAAATTCTCTTAAACATGGAAAACTAAATAAAATTTATTGGGGATTAGCGTTTTTCATAATTTCTTTAGCTAGTTGGGCTACTGGTAGAATTTCAGAACTAATTACTTGGTTTTTTATAGTTACTTTTTTTTTAAATCTAACACTTTCTAATATATAATAGATTTTATTTTGGCTATTAGTTAGTATTGTTTCCTTTCTTTTCGGATATCTTGGATTTCAATTAATGTTATTTAATGATAAACAAGAAGCATATGAAATTATATTAAAGGTTTTTTTATTATTTCTTAATAGGAAATTTCTATAATATAACTAGGATATAAAAGAAGCAACAGACTGGTTACGACAACATGGTATTGACGTCGAAACATAGGAGAAAAAATATATATACATATCCAATGTATTAACACTTATACGAATATAAAATATATCTATTTTAAATGATATTTATAATGTATAAATGATTGAGTAATAAATATAAATATAAAATTTACATATTCATATACAAATTATATCATATTTTAATCTATCTATATATAATTTATCTGCCTATAAATATATTTCTTCCATTTTTAAGGCTTTATATATGGTAAAAGGTAGGAGAGTATGTTTTTTTATCTCTTATTCATAACGATACAGATTTTTTAATATACACTCTTCAAATAAAAAATGCCCCCACGAAAAAAAGGAGCTACACAGCTTGATGAACAAAGACGCAATGAATTTATGAGATTTACAACGTTCCCTGTAATTCAGCCCATTAATCAAAAAAATTATTATACGTAAGTTATGCTTTTTAATATGGCTTGAAACGCATTTTAAAACAATAATATACAAACAGTGAATATCTTAAACGTGAAGATCAAGTATTATAATGCTTTAAAAATGTTTTTATCTATAAATATATAAATCCTATAGATTTTAATGTACCGGGCTTCTGATAAAACTTGGTCCGAAGAAACTGATGTCAAAATAGAAACACGAAGGAGTGACGGAGAAGAGGCTTCAGAAGAAGAAGAGGAAAAACATGTATGAATAATATTAAAGATAGAATTTTAATAAAAATAAATATAAATTAATAATTAGGGGAATGATGCAAAAGTACTTGTAATTCATCCGGGTTCGATGTATTTGCGAATTGGACTGGCATCAGATGCATTTCCTCAGACAATTCCAAACGTGATAGCGCATCGACACGGCTCAATGCGTTCTAGACACGAAGCTGACGCAAAACTAATAAATGAAGAGAAAGAACGCATACATTTCGAAGAAATCCTTCAAGAAATGGATTTAGCACTTAAAACGCGTCTTCGTTTATCAAAGCGTCGTACACAATCAAATACACGAGAATTAGTTATCGCATATAATCGTGAAGTATTGCCAGAAGTAATGGTTGAACCTGTAAATCAAGATGAATGGGTAGATGTGAATGAAAAACCAGCAAGTTTAGTTGGACATAAGGTAGAATTAAATTTAACGTTGCCAAGAGGTGTCAAATTATCTAATTAATGCTTTTTAGGCACTTAAAATACCTCCTCATGCATCAGCGGATTATACATTATTTTGGCCTATACGCTATAGAGTTTTAAATAAAAATGATTATATATCATCACGTCAATGTATTGATGATATTGCAGCTATTTTTGAGTCTGCATTAGCTACGTTAGGGATGCAGCGTGTAGATTGGATGCCATTGGCAGTAGTTTTAGTAATTCCAGATGCATATGATAAAGTATATGTAGAAACAATGCTTGATATATTGATACGGGAATTGCAGTTTTCCAAAGTATGTGTTTTACAGGTTAGTTTAAATATAATTTATTAAATGTATTTTTCATATATATATTTAATATATTATTAGGAATCTGTTTGTACAGCTTTTGGAGCAGGTCTTTCGGCAGCTTGTATTATTGATGTTGGTGCACAAACAACGAGTATTGCGTGTGTTGAAGAAGGCATTTGTTTACCTGAATCCAGGTTTGTTTAAAATAATCTATTGAATAACTAATGCGTCCAGACTTCAACTTTGTTATGGAGGAGAAGACGTAACACGTTTTTTCGTGCGTCTTCTTCTTCGAAATCATTTTCCATATGCAATTGATCTTAGAAAAATTCAAGATTGGCGTCTTGCAGATACACTTAAAATTCGTCACTGCACCGCAAATGAAAATAACACAGCAATACAACTTTTGCATTTTTTTCATGGAGAACCAGGCAATACAAAGAGATTTCAATTTAAGGTTTATGACGAGCCGGTTTTAGCAGCAATGGTAAAAACACATTAGTTAAATCATATATTATATATTAATATATCAAGTCTTATTTTTTTCCAAAAATATTTGAAAATGAATCTAAAAACTCTGAAAAAAGCGTATACAATACAAATATAACCCATGAGGAGACAAATGAATGGAAACCTCTAGATGAGGCAATTGTTGAAAGTATTACTCGTGCTTGTGAACATGCACCATCCGATGAACGTCAAAAGACAATGTATAGAAGTCTTTTATTGGTTGGTGGAGGATATGCTTTTCCTGGCTTTGTACACGTTTTAGAAGACAAGTAAGTAAATGCGCTTATTACGTTGAATACCATATATTGGGACTAAAAAATAAAGATTGCAGATCAAACAACCAACAATTCAATTTTTGTCACCACCAAGGGATATGGATCCACAAATTCTTACGTGGAAAGGCGCAAGTGTATTTAGTCAATTAAAAATATCACAAGATTTCTGGATTAAACAAAAAGAATGGGATCTATTAGGACTTCGATGTTTACAGTATCGATCACTTGGTTATTTTTGGAATGGATAAAACAAAATATTATATCATTGAGAAACAAACTGGATATAGTCTAATGTATATAATAAACATAGAAACTAGAATCTTTTTTAAAATTATTTAAAAAATATAAAATATCTAGATTAATTATAAATAATAATAAAAAATATTTTTACAAAAAAAACTTTAAAAAATACAAACTTAATTGTAAATTTAAAGGTAGATTTAATAAGGATCATAATCTTAGAAAAAAATATTATTTACTGTAAAAACTATTATCTTTTAAATGACTCGGTCATAAGAACGGGCAACGACAGAAAAAAAGTGATGGATACAACACAGACTGAAAAGGCCCTTGAACGGCAGCTTCAGGAGGTTACAACGCGTATTTACAGTGCGGGACGTCTTGGAGAACGTCTTCTTAATCAAAAAAAGAAAATAGAAGAACAATTGGAAGTGTTAGAAGGAGTTAATCGAATTCCAGAAAATTTAAAAGCGAAATTACAAGAACTTGAAAGAGAATTTGAAGAAATTAGGAAAGAATCAAATGATTCATGGTTATTATTAGGATCTTTGGATGAAGTAATGTCTATAATTTTCTTGGAAGGGTTTTTAAGGTAGTTTTAGGTGTCTACTTTGGATCAGCAAATTAAACCAAATGTGCCACAATTTATAAGTAATGGGACCATATCTCCTATAAAACACGGACTATCTATGCGTAGACGTAATAATAAACCAATATCTCGACCTCACGATATTGAATTTGCAACTGAAATTGGACAAAGTTTGTTAACAGAAGTTCGAAGGCTTCAAGGATTATTAAATGAAAGAGAAGAACAATGGAGGGCTATTATACGTGAAAAGGGATATATAGAGCATGAGATGGAGGGTTTAGAAGCAAAACTTAAGACTCTGGGAGAATCAGAAGGTATAAAAAAGTATAAAAAGTATTTTTAAATTAATATATTTGAAAGAAAAATACAAAGAAGAAAACTGGAATCTGGAGCTTATGACACAAGAAATGGCAAAAGAAATATCAAGGCTATCAACATCGGAAACTCGAATAATGCAAGAAAATGCACGACTTTTGAAAATAACGCAAACACAAATAGAGACAATTGAAACTTTAAAACAAAGAGAAATGGAATTAACAGAGATACTAGAGCAATTGAGAATAAAACATGAATCGGAGATAACGAGTTTTCGAAAAGCACAAGAAGAATTATTAGAAGAACGTTATGAATGGATAAGACAAGTGGAAGAATTGAAAGCAGAACGATTAGCTTTATTTGAAACAAATGATTATCATTACAAAGATATAAAGAAAGAAGAAGAATGGGCGAAGGATGATGAGGAAATAATTTCTGAAATAATAACACCGGAACGACTTTCTCCTCAATCACCAATCAAATGCACTCCTTCAAGAAATGTGCCCTTAGAAGTAGAAACAATAAAAGCCTCTTTTTCACATGCACAAAGGACAATTCATAGATTAAGGAATGCAGTTCAGCATGAAAAAACTGAAAAAATAGAATTAAGACATCTTTTAAATGAGGCTCTTGAAAAACTCGAAAAATTAGAGAGAGAAAGCGCAAAAATATCGAAAAGAAGGTCATCTAGAAAGTCACAATATAGTACAATGATAAATCCTTATGAATATAAAGAGGTAACGAATGAAATCACAATTGAATCAGACTCAGAATGGAAAAATGAGTATGACGCATCAAGAATAACAATTAATACACCAGATAGTACAGAATGTCTTAGAAGAAATTCTTATGTAGAAGAGAAAAGGGATTCTAGAGATTTAGAAGATAAAATATCTAATCATACCAAAAAGACACATCTAGATAATAGTGATATTTCTCAAGATTCTGATAATGAAATCGATACAAATAAAAGGAACGAATACCTATATTCTAGAAAAAAAAAGGAATTTTCATTGGATGCATCTCGGAAAATTCAGCCTTTATTTAAAGAATTACAAATCTTTAGTCAAAATAACTATGTAGAAACTGCTGATATTGGAACAATGACGGATGAAGCATCTGATATTATGAAAATTAGAAATTTCCTCTTTAACTTAAACACTATTGTAGCTGAAAAGAAACCCGTATCATTTGTTTTAAATGAAAATGGGATTTTACAACCAAACGACAATTCCTTGATAAATATTGAATCAAATAACCCTGATACCGTTCCATCTACGAATCTGTCCAAGGAAATAAATAAAATTGATGCAACTGAAAATAACATTGAACTGCAATCAAAACCATTCTCTTTCAGTTCTTTAGTATCTGTTTTCAAACTTAGAAAAAAGAAAAGCACTCAAATGCCTTCTATTTTTGAGATAAACAAAAATACTTCTAATCTTACTTTAAATAAATTGAATTATAATGATACTCTTTTAAATAATTCTCAATTAAATTCAAATTTAACAAATGATATTAAACAAGAAGATAAATCTAATGTAATACTGAACAACGACAATTCCAATGCTATTCTGGAAAATAAGAGAGATAATTTTTCAAATTCCAAAATGTTATTCAATGGTAAAATCTCATGTCCTTTTATGGGCAATTTAACAATTTTTATAGATCAAGAAGCAACACTTCTAACATCATCTTCTAAGTTTTCAGAAAATACAACCGATCAGTCTTTACAAATAGGGCCTTTAAAACCTCAAAATAGATCCGAGATTTTGAAAAAATTAAATACAAGTTCAAGTTCTCAAATAGAATTAAATAAAGATAAATATCATACTTTCAATAAAATGACTCATATGAAAAAACCATCGTTTGAATTCCTATTACATGATCCTGCTTCAAAGAAACCAAATACATCTTTATCTACATCAACAGACAAGGAAACTACATACGGAACCATTACTATTTTTAATTCTGTTTTGGCTTCTAAAGGCTCTCTTATAAATACTAGTGTAAAATCATCTTCTAGTTCGTTTTCTTCTACAAGAAATATTGAAAACTTTCAATCACAAACCAATGGACATAGAGTTTCCACAAATACTCAACCTTCTATAGACCCGCAAATCATTCGCTGTATTACACAAACTATGATTGGCGAATATTTATGGAAATATACTCGCAAACATGCACGGAAGGAATTATCACATAATCGTCATTTGAGATTTTTTTGGGTTCATCCTTATTCACGATCACTATACTGGTGTAAACGAAATCCTTCTACTTCTTATGGGCAAGAATCATATGCAAAGTCTGCTTTTATTGAATCAGTAAGAGTCGTTTATGATAACAATAACTATCCAAAAGGAATACATAATAAAAGCATTGTTGTTATTACTCCAACTCGTGCAATTAAATTTACTGCTGGATTGTCTACTAGCCATGAGCTTTGGTACCAAGCATTGTCTTATTTGACTTCTCAAATCAATCCTCTCACAGAAATTTCTTCAAATACAGTCGAATCAATTGAAACAAAACGTCATAATTTGACTTCACAACAAACTACTGATGACTTGGATCCATTATTTAAACAATCAAGAGATTCTTCATCAACGTTTGTCACTAGTTCAAATAAGTCATCCTCTGAAAGGAAGACATCTCTTCAAAGACACGCTTCTTTGCCTAAATTAAATCAAATAATTCGATCAGGTATTAATTCTTATTCATCTATGAGAATTAAAAAATTGCCTTCTAAAGGTTATCTACTTTCTGAAGAATCACATTTAGAAGAAAAATATAAAAAAATTAATTCAATTATGAGACAAACAAACATGGAAAATGTTCGAGCCTGTTGCAATGGTAATTTTTTTGTTATATTATTTCTTTCTATTAATTATTCATAATAGGAAAACACGATGTTGGTTCATTATCATATAGATCTAGGAGTTTTAGTAGTGAATCTCGTCAAAGTCGTTCACCATCCAGAGGTTATCATGTTAATTTAAATACCTCTATAAATCATTAAAAGATCTTTATATTATTAATTTCTATTTAACAAGTATATTCAAAAATATCTATTATGCATATAAAATAAAACATTGATGTTTTTTTTATATCTAATAGTATATCTTATTTTAATTTATATACTTCGAAACCATTATTTAAAAAAAGTAAAAAAGATACATAATAAACATCACTTATAGCAATTTTTGAATAAGTTTGGAAGACAGGATATTTATAATTAGGATTTATCTACAGAAATTGTGAAAGCTTTATATAAGCTGTTTTTGCTTCAAAATCTCGCAAAACTCGGATTTATTAAAATATCTTTATTAAATGAACAAGAAACTAGGCATTCTAGCTATTTCATTCAAAATCATTGGAACAGTTTCAATAGGTTATGTTGCTGTATGTTTTATCTTTTTTCAAGATTGAAAAAAGTTATAAATTGTTTTTTAATGGAATTAACCAAATTATAGGGATCTTATCTTTGCTTCTCTAAATTCATTCTTCCTGTTATGAAGGAACATTATCCTTTGTCATCTATTCAACTAATGCTAGAAGTCACAGCCAAACATTGGATTCGTTATATTCTTCCACTTGAATCACTTGCAGCAACATTAATGCTAAGTTCATATATCTTATCCGAACCACATGTTTCTCATCCATATCTTCTTTATAGTATATTTTAATAATCTATAGTTATTTAAAAATAATTCTATTAGGTGGTTTTGGTGTTGCGTCTTTGATTCCTATTTCATTTTTTTATATTCAACCAAAAATTACTAAAATCATACAGGATATCAGAGCAAAAGATACATTAACCATTCCCGAAAGAAATCTAAAATGTTGGCGTCGATCTTATCTTGCAAACACTGTATTATCAAGTATCATTTTTTTTATGACAGTGATTGGAAGTTATGGAGATACACTATCTATCTAACAAAACAATATTTACTTTTATAAATTTGGAAAAAAACGTAACATTCCATTTTAAGTTTTGCTTTTTGATATATTATATCACTTTTTCTAAGAATTTCATTTAAACTTGGAACAATTGAGATTTTATTTTATATATTATATATATAATACAAAATAAACAAAATTTTTTTAACCTAGATATAGTATATATTTAGATATATTGTTATATTTCTTAAAATATATTTCTTTTTTAATTTATTTTGATTATTATTACATAAATTTATGAAAAAAAAAACAAAAATAACTTAATGTAGATATTAAGTAATAAATAAATAAAAAAGTATAGAATTGTTATTTATAAACTTTAAACTATAGTGTTGAAAAGTAACAGTATTAAAGAATCTTGTTTTTAAAACAGCTTTATTCAAGAAATAAACATATAAAAACTACAGAATGAATAAATTTTGAAAAAATGTATATCAAAAATCAATAGCACGTCCCTTAAATGAATAATCTCCATGTATAAGTGGATCCGTTTTAGGTCCTAATATAATTCAATAAATATAAAATAATATATACAAAAAATATTAACCTCCAATTTCACCTGTCTTAATCAAATATTAATATTTTATTAAAAGAGTAAAAAATAAAAGTACCTCAGGATTCACATAGCCTTTAAAGTCAGATTTAGGCGGTATTCTTGTATCTGGTTGTTTTTTTTTTTTTGAAAAATTTTCTTTAGATATTGATAATTTAGTTTCATTTTTTGATACTAGAGAAATTGTTGTAAAAAAACGGGACAACAATGTTTTCCTATATAAAAAAGATTTTTTCATTTTCTATTCATATATTTTATCATTTTTAATCTAGTTTAAGATACACGAGTCGAAAAAAAAAGTCACATGACTTGAAAGTGAAAAATAATCCCAGCCATTCTTTTTCATATAAAATATGGTATTCTATATTATAACCATGTATTAGTTATAGTTAATATAATTATATTTGAGGTCTCCATATTTTTCCAAGAGATGGATAAATTCTTTTATATCTAATATGATTAAAAATAATAAAAATAAAAAAAAATTAAAAAATACAAGTTCATAGCAACAGTGTCTTGTTGATTAATTCTACGATCAAATATTGCTTTAAAATATCCATGAGTACCTAAACTTTCTATTTTATATTATTTTATAATATAAATCAATGATATATGTTAATTACCTTTAATATAACCTACTCTTCCATATTTTGTAAATAATTGTATAGGCTTAAACCATTCTACATCATCTATTTATTATTAGAACATAACTACTTACTTATATCATATTTTTCAATACCAGAATTAAAAAACATATATCTAACAATCACAATTTTTTTGTAAATTCTAAAAGGATAACCGGTTAAAATCACCCTCTTCGATATAATTCTTGAATGGTCAACATTAAAAAATGATCCTGTTGCTACCAAAGAAAAACCTTAAAATATCAAAAAATTATTAGATAATAAAAAAGAATTTATACCTGATAAAGTACTTTTTAAAAGCAATATAGGAATATTTCCAAAGAAAATAGGACATACTACAGAAGCGATAGAAGATCTTCCTTTTTGTAGATATCTTTCAAATTTATGTACGTTATTTACACTTCTTGTATTAGAAGATTGAGAAAAAAGTGGTTTAACAAGAATTCTACGAGGACCATATTGCAAAATAAGTTCATCTTTAGATTTAACTGGCAATTCATATCCAGAATTCTGTGTTATAAGGAAATTTGAAGCAGTTAAAAAATGTTCATACTGCAAAAGTGAAAAAATAATAAAAGGCGATGTAGAAGAATATGTAGAGAATATTTCTTTTTCACAATTCCTAATTTCAATAATTATGCATGTTCCAGGCTAACTCATTGGAGATATATTTAAATATAAAATGTTTTCTTACCTTAATTCCATCATTGAGTGCTTGTTTAATAACTCTTTTTTTTGTTGTTTTATAATTACCAAACTTATATATACGCCTCCAATAATAAGGAGTATCAGAATTGTACTCATTAGGGTCCCATGGACTTGTTCGGAAATTCTTTAACCCTCTGTATTTTTTAAATCTTTTTTTAAGTGATACATCAGAAGAAACAATAACTTCATCAGGAAAATCGCGATCTTCCTCCCTTTCCTTTTGTCTGTCATTAATACTTCTAGGAATTAAACTCATTTTTCCAATTTTCTTATGGATTTATCTTACTTTTCATCCTCCGGTAATGATTCTATTGACATCTTACTTTGATCATCATCTATTTGGTCATTATCTGAGTCATCTTCCTCATCATTATATTCAAAGCTCTCAGAATTACTATGTTCATTTGAAGAAGAATTGTCAACATCCATATTTGAAGTATCTTCGCTAGCATCAGAATCGCTATCAAGAATCCATGCTGCTTGATAATCAGATGTTCCATAAGGTAAGCGACGCGGCCTTTTTATTGTATCAGAATCATCAGAGAAGTAACAATAGTCATCAATATGAACACTTTTTCGTTTCTTTTTTTCCTGATTAGCATTACCATTCATATCTTCCATATCTTCTATAACTGGGGCCAATTCTTCTAAAGAATCTTGATTTTCTGTAGGAAAAATAATCGTTTCTTCAACATCTTCTATCATTGAATTATTTTTTTTCTTATTATTAAACTCATTTAAGCCAAGAATAATAATCTAATGATAAATAATTATCTTCAAATAGAAAATAAATGTATTTACTCGATCAATTTGATAATCACCCCAACCAGGTATACAAACTAAACGATCTATATTCAGAGGCTTGCTTCTTACAATACCCTTAATAATCAAAACACCCTTTGTACTATCATCCAAATCTTTCCAAGTAACATTCTCTGCCAAAACATATGATCTATCATCACGCCATTGTATTCCAGAAGGTATTTGAACACATATCATTCTTATAACATTTAATGCATCTTGTAAACCATCAATAGTAAATATTTTCTGTTCTTCTGGAAAAAAATGATTAATGAAACTTAATAATGATTTTTTTACATCTACTTTCTTTTTTGAAGAACTTAAATCATCCAAATGCTAAAACTTTCAAAAAAAATATAATTTTTTTATTTTAACAAACCTGAACTACAGGTATAACAGTTGAAATACCTTGTGCCTGGATAGATCGTAAGCATATTTCACCAAACATATCAACATCTTCTTTAGCAGACATAAGCAATATTACAAAATCAGACACCTTGCAATAATCAATAATATCCAAAAAATCTCTCTTTGGAATAATATATTGAAGTTTTTGTTTAAATCGCTCAATGCTAAACGTTTTAATTCCCCCCAAATAAAAACTAAATAATACTTAAATACATCAGATACTCCAACAAAATCTTCTGTATCAATATCAATCGATTTATTAAGATTTTCAACCACTTTCAAGGGATTTACGTTAGTACAAAGAGAAACAATAACCTTTTAATCATTTAAAAAAATATAATCTCAAACTTCTCAAAAAACATACAACTAATTTAGAAACTCCAAAACTTCCTGTATATACATTATTCTTTCCTACTATTTTTTCCTTTTTATTATCTCGTATTTGCTTTTTTGTATTTTTTCTATCTGCTTTTAAAGTTGTATGTTTTTTAGGAGAAATCCCTAAAAAAACCCTTTCAATTCGCTCTAAAAACAAAATAAATATATATCCCCATACAAAAAATAATATATTCTAATAAATATCTTCTTTTATTTCTTACTTTTTGATTTTTTCTTAGATTTAAATTTTTTATGTATTTTCTTCATACTCGACCTATGATGATGCGAATTTTGCACTTCTTTGTGGACCATAACTCTATAATCTTTTTAAACACAATTAATATATGTTTTATCTATTTTTTTTACCTTAAATACTGATTTTTTATCTTTTTTTTTTCAAGATTTTTATGAGGTTGATATCTTTTCGATCTTATCAAGATAACCTCATAAAAATCTTTGTTCACTGATTAACATTATTTTAGGGGAATTCAAAGTCATTTTTCTCTCTTTTTTTCACGGAATATGGATAATTTAAAGAAGACGAATAATATTTCATTAAAAAATAAGGTTTTCCTTTACTTTTAAATCAATTTTTTTCTTATTTAAATTTTCAGAAAGATAGAAGGCTTCTCCATGATCTTAAAAATATGGATAAAAAGATCAAATCGGTTCGTAAGGACATTGAAATGTTTAATATGATGAAATATGATGAACCTGGATATGTTGAAGGAGAAGGATTGGAGAAAACATATAAAATTACTCAATCTCAATTGAAAGAAAAGATTGATATTAGTAGTCGTCAGAAGGTAAAAAATAAATCAGGATATAATTCTATGTATTTTTAATGTATTGGAGGGGTTTGATTTAAGACTTCCAACTTTTGGTCCTTATGTTTTTGATTATACAAGGAATGGAAAAAATATTTTATTGGGAGGCAGAAAAGGTCATATTGCATCCTTTGATTGGAAAAAAGGAAAGCTAAATACAGAGTTTAATTTAAGAGAAACTGTAAGAGATGTAAAGTGTGTACATATTTTTGGAATGACTAGGTTTTTTAATAAATAATTAGATGGCTTCATAACGAAAAACTCTTTGTTGTTGCGCAAAAAAAATATGTTTATATGTATGATAATAAAGGAATAGAAGTTCATTGTTTAAAGCGGCATATTGATGTTTTATATATGGAATTTTTGCCTTATCATTATCTTTTAACTACGATTGTAAAAGATAGGAAAGTTGAAAGGAAAGACTAATAAGTTTATAGGGAAATGCAGGATATCTTAAGTATCAAGATATTTCTACTGGAACAATTGTTACAGAATATTCTACAAAACTTGGATTACCTAAAGCAATGACTCAAAATCCATACAATGCGATCATTCATGTAGGTCATTCTAATGGGACAGTTACTTTATGGTCACCAAATTTGTCAACTCCTTTAGTTAAAATCCTAAGTCATAGAGGTCCTATTACCGCACTTTCAATAGATCGTGAAGGAAGATATATGGTATCTTCAGGTGCCGATAGTCAAGTAAAAATCTGGGATATAAGAAATTGGAAAGAAGTTCATTCTTATTTTTCTCGAACTCCAGCGTCCACCTTACATATAAGTGACACAGGAATGCTTGCAATAGGATGGGGGCCACATATTAGTGTAAGTTATATCCTATTTTATTTAATTTTCGTCATTATTTTGATAAGTTTTGGAAAGATGCCTTACGAAAAAAGCAAAATTCTCCATATTTAACACATCTAAATCCAGGATCTGCTGTTAAACGCGTCAGATTTTGTCCTTATGAAGACATTTTAGGTTTTTCGCATATCAAAGGATTTTCAAACCTTATTATTCCAGGTTTTTTCTTTGAAATTTATTTGTTACCATTTCTAAAATATTATTCTTAGGTTCTGGAGAACCTTCTTATGATGCATATGAAATAAACCCATATGAAACAAAAAAACAACGAAGAGAAAAGGAAGTTCGTAGTTTACTTGAGAAGTTACATCCAGAAATGATTGCTTTGGAACCTAATTATATTGGAAAAGTGGATATTGTTCATTCTACCTCCAAAGAAAATGATTCACTAAAGGAATCAAAACCTGTATGTTTATTTTATATATCTATTTTGATATAAATTAAGGTTTTAGCCTGAACAAAAATGGGTTCCTAAACCTAAAACTCGTGGAAAGAACTCTTCATTACGTAGATATCTTCGTAAAAAGGCAAAAAATATAATAGATGAACGAAAACTTCGAATACAAGCAAGCCTTGATAAAGAAAAGAAACTTAGACAAATACATTTAAGGAAACGACTTAATTTACCTTTAGAAAAACCCTTAGGACCTGCTTTAGAAAGATTTTCTTTAAAATCAAACACCTATTCCTGTAAATAACAAGGAAAACTTGATCATTCATACAACTTTTTAACTATTTCATCATTACAATACCTTTTTATCATATACTTTAGATAACCTTTATTAGATCATCTGATTAGATCATCTGATTAGATTATATAATTAGATTACAAGATAATCTGATAAATCGAAAACTATTTTCAATTTTTATAATTTTCAATATTATCAATCTTTGGAAAAAACAATGAAAGCTACGGACTTTTCACAAGATAAAGAGACGTCTTCTACCTTTTCATCATCTTTTACTTCAACAGTATCAGGTTCATCATTGTCAAAACATGCTTTTCGTGTTTCTTTTTCTCCAACAAATAAAAAAATGATGAATATATCAGATACTGAGGAAAAAATGTATTGTCAAAGATCTCCATCATCATCTTTATCATATACTAAAAATGAGGCTGAAGAATTAAGTTATGAAAAAGAAGAGACTTCTAAATCTAAAATGTTGAATTTACCATCTAGTATTAATGTTATTACTGATACATTTGCACCAATTTTACCATCTATTCTTAGTATTGCTAATACTACAAATATACCTTTTTTACAGTCTTCTTCAGAAGTTAATACTAGTAAAAATCATTTTTTTAGATCTTCAAAAAAAGAAGAAAGCCATACTACAGGATCGAATCATACAAGTCCTAAATCAAATTTTTCATATGCACATCTTTATTCACTTGGAAATACTATTACTTCTTCTGTATCGAATATTTTTCATCCTTTACAAAAGTCATTTACATCATTTGATATTAAACATATTACTTCAAAAGAAAATTTAGATAACCATGTTGTTAATGATGTATGGCCATTGCTTTGTACAAAAACTTTACCTCTTTTTAAAAGAGAGGGATTAATGGTTCCGGTAGAATATTTAAATAAACTTGTTAGGTAAAAAAAAGACAGTTTTAATTCTGATTTATATGTAATAGACTTCATATTGAAAAACGCTGTAATGAAAAAAGACTAGATCTACTTATAAATGAATTGCATGAATTTATAGAAGGAGGAATAAAAGTTTTTGATGTAAATTTATCATCTTTTTCAGACGAAAAATTGATTTCTCGACTTGTTGAAGTAAGGTCAAGCAAGTTTATTATAATTGAATAACATAAAGAAGTTATGGTCTTTTTTCTTTACTGCAATTATACCATATGTTGAAGCGATTTTTTTACCATTACAAACAGAACTTGATTTAGAATGGACAACTTATACTTATATAAAAAATTCTTTGGAAAATAAAATCGACTTGGACGTAAAATATATAATGTTAACTAAATTTAGAGATAATATTATTCTTCCGATTTATGAGAGATTAGAACGTAATTTTATCTTTTTTCTTTCTTTTTTTAAACATAAAAATAGTTATTTTTATAAAGAATCCGTCAAACTTAGATTTAAGTCATGATTTTGCAAATATAGCACCGAAATTACTTCAAAGTATTCTTATTCTTGCTTCTGTTCATTCTTCAGATGAACAACAAAAAAAAATGGATAATCTTGTCAAAATTTTGTCTCATTGGTTTAAATCTGAAAAAAATTAAGAGATTGTCAAGGTTTTGTTTCTACAAAAGAAGATTCCAACCCTATAACAAACATCCTATAAATAGGTCATTTTCATCATATTATTTAAATAATATATATATATCAAACATTTCTTTAAAACCACTATTTTTCTACTTGGAGACTATTTATGTTATTTTCAACTTGTGCTAATATGTCTAAATATGACGTTTTAATATCAGATGGCTTTTCTGTTTTTTTTTTTATATTTTGTAAAGTGTTAGAATTTTTCATTAAACCTAGTGTATATAAATCTAATGTCATATCATCTAGTTTTTTCATAAATTTTTCGCTAATAAATTGTTTTTTTCCCTTCTTTTTTTTAATATTTAGACGAGATATGCAGGAGTTCTTAGGATTCTTAAGAATATTATGTTTTAAGTGAAATTTATTGGAATATTTTGAAACCATTTTTTTAAAAAGATATCGGCTAAGTAAAAAAATTTAAAAATTATTTTAATAAAATGTCAAATCAACAATATAAAGTCAAAGCAATATATTTGTCCCAGGAAAAACAAATTAAAACATTTGAATATGATTTATTAAAGCCAAATGATGAATTTTCGAAAAATGATTTTCTTATAGAACTTGAAAAAAATATTATAAAAATACAAGAAGATTGTAATAAAATTCTTACTGAAAAAATAAATGAAAAATATCCAAAAACGATTCCAGAAAATGATGAGGATAGAAGGAATCAAGTGTAACGATTCATTTAATGAATTTATATTAAAAGTATAAATTAAATTTTTGTAAAATAATTGCAGATATAAAGATTTTATTTGGCAGTATATGGCATATTTTGTGCTTTTAAAAATGCTCGTTGGCATCCATAATGCACAATAGAATCACTAAACATAATATTAATTTAAAAAATAGTGATAAAAAGAAATACTTTGGGAATATAGCAAGAACACTTTGTCCTAAACGTTTATGACAGTTTCCGCAAGTTTTTTCAGATGTTATTGTATATTTCTTGTTGCAAGCATCAATCAATTTATTCTGGTATTTCATTAAATTAGCTATATGTAAAGAAGATATAATTTTCCCATTAATAATGTCTGTTGTCTTATTCTGAATTGAAGTTTCTAAGTATAATTTGATATCGGATATTTTAATGTTCAAAGGAAGACAAGATGCAACTGTTTCAATTTTAATATATGATCTATATAGAGAAAGAAGATCAAGAGCATTGGATAACTGTATTTCATGACCATCTGGAGGTTTCAAAAGAAGATTTAATAGAATCAGAAATATTTCGTCACTTGATTCCGTATTATTCATAGAATACACTTTTATACAATAGCTATAACTCAATTTAAAATCACAATTTCTTAAATATATAAACTTATACATACTCTGTTGCCTTCTTAAAGTCCTTAATCTCGAAAAGATAAATCTTAAGGGCATATTTATGTCGCCCTAGATTGCTCAAAATAATAGCTTTGTGCTCAAGAAGCTTATTATCTATCCTAATTTAGAAATTTTAATATAAATTAAAAAATATACTTTTAGGGAGATGTTCTAAAATATATGCAGAATTATATGCTTTTGAATCAATTAATAATTTTAATAATTTTTCTAAAATATTATCAGATTCTTGATGTTCTTCAATGTTTTTAAAATAATGCATAATCAAAAAATCATGAAATTCAGAAGTAAGATCATTCAAATTGTTTATTAAATATTCCAAATATCGAATAGCTAAATTTTCATTCAAAGAAAGCAAAAAGTTATATACTTTTTTTTTTGATAAGCACAATTGCTGATTATCATTTAAAAATACTTCCATAGCAAAATCAGAATCCACTTCAAGAGGCCATTTTATAAATGAAAATATCTCTTCTATATAATCATTGTCAAGTTTTTTAAGATATTTAATAATCTCAGAAATTCCTTTAAATTGTTCTTGATAGATACTATCTGATATAATACCTTGTCCAAGTCTATAAAATTTCAATTAATGACCTTACAATTATTAATGTATACTTTTTTAAAAGATCTAATGCATCTCTATGTAATGATTTTCTAAAAAAATAATCTATTAAATCTTTATATCTCTAATAAATTATTTAATAATAATTATAAAGCCAAAACACAAATACCCTGTTTTTTTCCAAAAGATCTTTAGCAACTTTTAATTGAATTTTATTTTGTAATCGAACAAGAGGGCCCACTAAATCTGGACTAACAAAGATATATGCACGAAATAATGTAGTATCAACAATTTCAAGTAATTTTTCCATTTCTTCAAGAGTTAGCGCATTATTAGAATCGGGAAGTGTAAAGTAGTATTCTGGAAGTAAAGTTCCGTTTAATATATCCTGAAAAGATTCTTGAAATTGAGACATAGAAGATATTAAAAAAGATAATTTTCGGCGTACATCATTAAGATAATAAGATACAAGAGCACGTGTAGCAGCCTTTATGTTAAATTCTAAGAAGTATAAAGACAAAGTTATAAATAATTCAAATTACCTGGGTGATTGAAATCTTTAGATATCTGACCATTTTTTTTACACATTTTCTCAAGAAATATTCTAGAAGCATTTATATATTTTGATATAGAAGAATCATTTAAATATTGTTCGCAATCAAAAATTTCAATTGGAAACATAGAAATAACAACAATAGGAGATGAAGAACTTTCAGAATATAATATCATAGAATTCTTGTATTTTCCCTCATTAAATAATTGATATGCTTTCATCATTTTTATATATCGAATTTTAGTAGTCTAACAAAAGTCAAAATATAAAAAATCATAAAAATACAATAATAACCTTATTTTGAAACAAAACAGAATTGACTCGATTAAAAAGCATGAGAGCATCATCTAATCGATTTTGAGAAATGAGATCATCCACCTAAATAATAAGCATATTATTATAAATGAAAGGTGAATACTTGATTATCAAAAGGAATATTTGATAATTTCCATATTTGAGACTGTGTGGAAATAAAAAGGTATTTTCCAGAAAATATACAAGTAATATTTCCTATATCAAATGTTTGAATGATAAGATAAGATTCGATGTTACGTATTTCAATATGTTGATTAAAAACAACAATAAAATAAGGATGAAAGTAAACTAGTAAAAAAATGTTTGAATAAACCAAGCAAAAATGTATAAAACAAACCTATATGCGTAGGTTCCAATGACCAAATAATAGGGCTACGTTCGAGTAATTGACCATTACTATCCATAAAAAGCGATTTAACTAATTCAACATTAGAATATAAAATATTAAAATCAATAAAAAGCACTATTATAGGTTAATAAAAGCTCATCATTAGAAACTCTTGTTATTATAAACTTAGATGTTTTTTTATAATAACCTATATAATTCGCACTTGTTTTAAGCACTCTTAAGGGTCTTAATGATATAAAATCCTTAATTGAAATAGATTTAAAAATCCTTCCCGTTGAAATATCAGCAAAAGCACATGTAGAAATAAAACAGAGACATAATTTTGTAGAATTAATCCATTCAAGTGTTTTAATACGTTGATTCAATGCCAAGTCTATTGTATTTGCAATTAATTCTGAATCATGCCATGAATAAACAGAAATTTTCCGTTTGAAAACCACTACAAGGCGAGAAATAATTATAGGAATACCCAATTCATCCATATGAAGATATGAAATTAAAGAAATTGCAAGTGCTCCATTTGATCGGGGTAACACACCTTGTTGAGCTAACGAATGAAGATCAAAAAGTATAACCTGTGCATCTACCATTACATATTAAACTTGTCTATACTTCCAAAATTATATACCAATAAGACAAGCAATTAATGCTGCTTCATAAATACATACTATTTGTCGTATAGGACTTTGAGAAACTTGAACTGGAGGTAAATGAAGTGGCTGTGTTTGAGCAAAACGTATGTCGTTTAAGAAGCCATTGCTACTTCCTGAGATGACGCGATCATCTTATTAATATTAGTATATAAAAAGCGTCTTTTTTAAGCCACCATGAGCAACAATGCTAATAACTCCTGAAAGATCAAATGAAACTGAGTTAAGTGCCATCAATCTCTACGAGATGTTAATAAAAATCAATTAACAAAGGAAAAAATGGACTTATATATGTTCTGTAACATGATTTACAACATCAAAGACGGAAAGGAAAATCATGTCGATAACAAAGATATAATTATCAAATCAAAAAAGAACTAGGCAAAAGATATTTGGTTCGTATTTATTATATACAATACAAATATAATTTAATAATAAAAGTTTTATTAGAAAAATATAAAAATATAAAACACTTAAATCACTTATTTCATATATATTACTAATACTTTCAAAGGCTAAAACAAAAATATTATTAAATAAACAAACACTTATTTAGATCTTTATTCAAATTATATAATAAATACATATATTCAAAAGAAAATATTAAAATATTCGCTTAAAATATCTTTCCTTCATATATATCTATCATAACCCTGCCTTATTCATTTTAAATACCTCTTCAAGTTACCGTCACGTCACGTGACACTAGCATTAGAAAAAAGCACTTGAAAAAAAGGTTTCAATATCGTAATATTCAGCTTAAAAATGATTAACGTAAGACTTAAAAATAATATAATTAACTCCTAAAAAGAAATAGAAAGCTCCTAAGAAAGCACAAAAACAAACAATTAAAAAGTTTACTTTAGATGCTTCAGGGCCTGTAGACGATCGAATTTTTGATATCTCAGCATTCGAAACATTTTTACATGAACGAATTAAAGTAGAGGGTCGAACAGGTCAACTAAGTGATTCCGTGTTGATTTCGCGTGAAGGAGAAGGAAAAATTACAATAGTCACACATGTTTCATTTTCTGGACGATATTTAAAATATTTAACAAAAAAATTCCTAAAAAAACATCAGGTAAAAAAATAAAATACGTATATAATAAAATTTAAAGAAATAAAAGCTTCGGGATTGGTTAAGAGTAGTTTCAACGATGAAAGGGACATATGAGCTTCGGTTTTATAATGTTGTTGTAGATTCAGGAAATGAAGAAGCATAATATTATATATAATATAATATTATATATATTTTGGATTATATAATCGTAATATATAAGGATATGTTGAATTGCATATAGGTTTCTTTATTATTAAATATATTTCTTATTTGTATATCATATACAGACATTTACTATGAATAAATAAAATACATGTTATATATATTTTTTATAGATTATGTATGCATGTTGTATGCGGCTTATATGCTCTTTTTTGGATGTATTCAATTATATGAATTATATATGAATTTAGATATTTCGGATATTTAAATATTGTTAAATATCTATTCACTTAATTAATTCCTTAAATCTTGTAGAATTTTATTTAAATTTTGAATATCAGTATCAATGGAATTGCCTTCTATGGATGATATAAAAAGAGTGCGACAACTTGTAGAAACACTTACAGAACAACTTACAGTAAATCAAGAAGCTATTTCTATCTTGAAATGTCAGGTAGAGATTCTTAAGGTAAGTTAATATACTATTAAAAAGCCGGGGGAAGTATTAAAAATATATTATATGCATTTAATACGAAAATGAAATTCATATATAAGGATATTTAATAATAAAAAAATATATTATGTTATAATCTATTTTGAAATATATTGAGATTAATTTATGAATAAATAGTTAAATATAGAGAATATAGACATAAGCTAAAATCAAAACAGGATCAATTGATCATTATAGGGCCATCGACTCGAAATTCAAATGATTCTTTAAATGAAATTAAAGTTCAAGAATATGCTCGATTAATTCAAGAACATCAAAAATTAAAACAAGAAAATGATTCATTAAATATGCTTCTTGAGATGTATGAGAATGGTTTGAATGAAGTTTTATTAAAAATGCGGGAATTTATGGCAAGCTTTTTTAGACGTTAAATTATTATTAATATAAAATATAGCAAGATACAGCTAAAAAAACGCTACAAATTCACCAAAACTATCAAGAACAGCTTTCTAAGCAATTTCAAGCGCAACAACAATATCAAAAATCTTATTTGGATTTAAAAGCAAATCTTTATCAAATTAATGATCTGATAAAACAAGCATATGTATCAGAAAGTCTTAGTGAATCAGAAACAATTGAAGCACTTAAAATAGAAAATAAAGAGCTTAGGGAAATGTTTCATTTAAATGAAGAATTAGAATAATTTATGATATTATTTCATAAATCACGTGCATTTTAGTTATATGCGAACGTATTAAGTCACCAGTCACGTGAATCTCTAAGACTAAGATGGGAGACGATGTAGTTACTGAGGTAAATTTTATAAAGCTCAATGAATGTATTAACAATACAGGCATGTTATATGTTTCTTCCAAAAGATATTGAGTCAAAAAAAAATCATATATTCAATAAAACTCAAGATGAATTGACATCAAAGTGTCAACAAATATATTCAGATATAGAAATGCATATAACAGATATGCAACATAAATATAAACAGGAAGAATTTCTAAAATATAGTGAATCTTATTTTCCTTGTTTAATGCATGGTCGAGAGACCGAATTGTCTCGGAATTACCGTTATATGTGTTTTCGTTTACAATCAAATCAACTTAAAAATGATATTAATGTATTCATAAAATATATACTTATTATTGTTTAACCAGGCTATATAGGAACTTCTCGAAACAATACATGATAATATGGTTGCTTCTTTATCTGTATTTATTGAGCAGAATAAACTTTGGAAAGACGAGAACAAGTGAGTTAATTTATTTCTTTTGTAGATATAACTAATCGTTTGAAGGATACCAACCTGTATACTCCTCTTAGGTACCATTTTTTTATATAATTTCATGCGGTTTTAATAAATACGTTTCTAGGTGCTTATTTTTTCGACCATATAGGGTTATATGCATGCATAGAAGCTCAACTTAAAGCCAATATTTATGGACCATTCATAAGTCTTCATGTAAGGCGGACACCGGATATGAAAGCATGCTTCAAGCAAATAATTGAGACTTGTATACAATTTGGTCAACAAACAAACTTAAATATCTCTACTGAAAAAAATCCTGAAGAAAGAGAGTTGGATATATATTGCGACTATGATCCAGAATGCGTAGCTAGATGGTATGAGGAAGCTATATTTCGTGGCCTGATTAATCAAGGTAAAATAATATTGAACTTAATTATATCAGAAAATAATAAAACTAACGAAATGGATTTTAGATCAGTTTAGGTTGGTTATTTTTCTTCAGGAAGTTGAAGGTTTTGACGGGAATTTTTTTAATCACTTCATTACTATATTAAAGTAAATAATATTTAATATACAATAAATATTATTAATGAATGGAAGAAAAATGCATAAACGTGTTCCTTTATTATTATTTATTGGTATATCGACATCTGTCGAAATCTTTCAAGACATCTTAGAAAAAAAATCATTAAAAGCATTAAATATCAAATATTTCAATACCAAACATTCTAATTACAGCCCAGATATTGCAATTGAAAAGGTATGTTGAAAATAATAATATTTCTGAAATTTATAGATAAATTAGATATTGGTATCATCTAAACACCCTAAATTACGTTTAGGACCACATTTATACTATACACTTTTCGATATGTATCAAAAACATTCTTTTAATATCGCTTCTTTTCTATCTGCAATTAAAGTATGAATAATGCTATTGATATAAATTGGTGATTAATTATTAGGATAGTTTGCTACGATGTCTCATTTTTTCTCAAATCCAATCAGTATTGTAAATCATTGTAATTCTGCACATTCTGAGCTGATTTCCCATGATCACTTAGAATGTTTACGTTCTTTGCCATCTATCAAACGATACATAGAGGATCTTCTTGATAAAGGTGATATTTATTCTGCAGAATCTCTCCTAAATGATGATTACTATTTTCGAAATATTATTAATACATTAATTCATGACATAGAAGAACACAATAAAAAATTGGATGCCTTCATATTCTTTTTAAACATTATCCAAGGAAAATACGCTTCTTCAGTACGAAAAAAAAGCCTTTCATGGATTTATGGAAAGCTTTTAGAAAATGATATACAACGGAATTTAGATACAATACTTAATCCAATAAAGTATTTTTGAGGAATTGTTTATTTAGATAATTCATTTTTTTTAGAATAATGAATTCTATAAGTATTTTGCAGTTTATTCAAGAAGCGTTGGCCTTAAAAGATATTCATGATCAATTTCCAGATCTTGAAGATTTTTACAGAAGAATATCCGATATTGTAGAGTTATCTGAAGATAAAAATCTAATACATATTTCGAACAATGGTGAATAAATAAATTAATCTTAATTTAATAACTTAATTTATAGAAACAAACTCATGCAGTAAAACAGAAGAAATATCAAATAAAGCCTACTCAGAACTCAATGATAAAGTTATTGGTTCTGAATTTTACAATATTAGGAATTCATTATATGAATATTTACAAGAAATATTTAGGTATTTTTTTATAATTTAAATTTTAACTCATTTTTTAGAAAATACTTTATATCACCTATGACGTATCCTTTGCATGAACTTTATTATTTCAATTATAGCAGAGCATACCTTGATGTATATCTTTATTGTTTTATTACCTTTTTCTCATTTTTTAGGCATTTCATCCTCGCATAAGAGCTGCCATTGATACTGCATTATCTCTACCAAGTCATTATCTTTCATGTAATTATGAAGCTGGAGATAAGGAAAATGAAAATAGTTTAACAATTTCTTCTCTACCAAAAATATGTATTTCTTACAGACTTTTTCTTGAATCTGGTTTCCTTATAAATGTCAGTGATTGGTTAACTGCTTTTATCCAATCTGCAAGTAAGGAAAATAATAAAGATGATAAACAAGATTCAGAAGAATATTTGCAAGCAGAATTTTTACAAAGTTTAGAAGAATTAAGATATCTTGGATTTATAAAATCTACCAAAAGAAAAACTGATCATGTTGCAAAAATATCATGGATGCGTTAAAATTATCTTATTTTTTTTTGGAATTTACGACTAGATTATATATAGCTTAAGGTTTTTACTTTTTATTAATTGATTTTATATTCTCATTTTAGGTATAGAAATTAACCTATATAATTGTTTCTTTACAATTGTAATTTTTATTAGATTTTATATGTTTTTCAAATATTTTAATAATATCTAAACTTGAGAGTAAATGAAAGTCATTTTTACAAACAAACATCTTCAAATTATTATTTTGAAATAATATATCTAACTATATTCATTATTTTTTAAATTACAAGTTATATTCTTTTAAATTGATAGCGTTCTTATTCTTTTAAAACAGCGGTTTAAAAAAAGTGTAAGGTTATAATATTAATAAATATGATTAAAGATTTATTATGAATAGAATGAATTCCATTTTAATTCTTTAAATTAGATGTTAAAACATAATATTAGAAATAATCAAAAATGGACATTTATTAAAAATTTTTTACTTTTTTTTATTTTTTTTTCATGGTTTATCTTTCTACATATTTCTGGGTTATACTTGTTTACACAGGGTTTTCTTCTTACAAGATCTACTTTGAATTTAACATCAAGGTGTGATATTCCTCCATATGTTTTCACAAATCAAGAAATTTTAAAAAATGATTGTTGGTATCCTTCGACGTTTAAAAAAGCGATTATCGTTGTAATTGATGCATTGCGTTATGATTTTACTATTGAGAATCCGGGCTCAAGTCTTTATTGCCATAACATATTTACTGTTCTTCATGAAACATCTACCAAACATCCTAGACAAGCATTTTTAAGACCATTTATTGCTGATCCTCCAACAACTACTTTACAGCGTCTTAAAGCATTAACAACGGGAACTTTGCCAACTTTTATTGATGCAGGATCAAATTTTGCTGGTACTGTTATTTTAGAAGATAATATCTTGGCACAATTAAAATCACGAGGTTATCGTATCGGGTTTTTAGGAGATGATACATGGATTTCTTTGTATCCTACATATTTTGAGCCTAATATTACTTACCCCTTTGATTCATTTAATGTTTGGGACCTTGATACTGTTGATAATAATATAAATTCCTACTTATTTCCTCTTCTGAATGATACTGAAAGAACAAAATGGGACATACTTATTGTCCATTATCTTGGTCTTGATCATGCCGGACATAAATATGGACCCAATCATTATGAAACTGCTAGAAAACTATCTGAAATGGATACTAATATAAGAAAGATTATGAGCAAACTTCAAAATGATACACTTTTAATTGTTTTAGGGGATCATGGCATGGATGAAAAAGGTAATCATGGTGGTGATAGTTTAGACGAGGTAGTCTCTGCTCTTTGGATGTACAACAAAGGTTCAACATTACCGGAATTTCCATCAAATTTAACAAGTATATCCCAACTTGATTTTGTACCAACATTATCACTTCTTATGGGCATTCCTATTCCATATAATAATCTAGGTGGTCCTATTATAGAGGCTTTTTTTTATAACAAAAATTTAAATTGGAAAGATTACTCTCGAGCAGCAAAAATAACTGTATATCAAATCAAAAGATATATTAAATCTTATAAAAATATATATGGTTTAGATGGATTTGAAGATATAAAAGTTGACTTAGATACGGAAAACATAGAGTATAAATTTTCTCAGAATAATTTTCAAAATAATGAATTTTGGAAAAAACAATTCTTTAAATATATAACTTATCAACAAATGATACTTAATAAATTTCGAGAAATATGGGTAAGATTCGATATTTGGAGAATAATTGCTGGAATTATTATCTTATTTGGAGATTTACTATGTCAGTTTCTTTTTTATCTAAATTTGAATTATTTAACAGAAAAAATTAATATATTAGGTATTATTCTAAAATCTATAATTGGCGCAGGAATTTGTGCACTTTTATCTAAATTGTCTTTTGTTTTCTTAAATGTCTCAAATTCAGCATTATTTGGGGGGTGCTTTGTAAGCATTTTGAGTTTTTTATCCTTTTTTTTAAAAAAGGCTTTTTTTGTCCAATTTCCAAAATCATTCAGTAAATCTATTACTATCCTGTTGATTATTGTACATGGCCTTATATTATCATCAAATTCTTTTATCGTTTGGGAGGAAAAGATAATTTTATTTACTATATCTTCTATTTATACTTTGATTTTTTTTTCAGTATTTTCTAAACATAAAAAGAATATTCGTATTTCAGCAATTATACGTATATTATTGCTATTTCTTACTGGAAGAATGACATCTTTAATACGTCAATGTCGGGAAGAGCAGCAGCCTTTTTGCAAATCAACTTTTTTTTATAATACAAGAAATTTTGTTATTTCTTTTTGTTTTTTATTTCTCCTGGCTTTCATATTTTTAGTCCTTCTTCCATCAACTATATCTCATTTTCTTACTAACTCAAAAATTCATAAAGGCTCTAGATCATCTCCTTTTATAGGATTCAAAGTTGGTTTTATTTTAATACTAGCACATTCTATAATTGATTTCGAAACATTGCATTTTAGCCAATTAAAACATTTTAACAATGAAAAAATTCAAGAAATCAAAATGATATTAGTAAGAATTGTCTTATTTACATATTTATTTATCTTTCATTTAATATGGATATTTTTGTCTTTTAATAATAGAATAAAGGGAAAATCTAAGCTTTCAAATCTTCTCAACTTAACTTTTATGCTTAAAACATATACTCATAAATTTACAAATATATATAACTCAAATTATTTTTCATTTATTCTTAGCTGGTTTATTATCTTAACAATTCTTCAAAAGCCACTAGGTGTTATTTCTTTTTCTTTTCTTCTTTTTCAAATTCTTTTATATATAGAACTTTTACATTTACTGCAAAAGAATAGTAGCTCAGAAATCGATGTTATCTTATTTGCACTTTTAGGTCGTTCTCATTTTTTTTCAACTGGACATCAAGCTACTTTGTCATCTATTCAATGGGATTCTGCATTCCTAGCTTCAAAAACCATTATATATCCACTTTCTCCTGCATTAATATTGGGAAATACATTTGGCTCCCAGATATTTATAGCTATTTCTTTACCTCTTTTGAATTTTCACATGGAAAATAATGCCATTGATGCTACATCTAATCGTCTTTTTGAAATTCTTCAAATCTTTCTTCTATATCATTCTATGATGACAACATCAAGTGTTTTATTTACTGCTCTTTTACGTAGACATCTCATGGTTTGGAAAATCTTTGCACCAAAATACATGGCAAATGCAATTGAACTTTTATTAATCGATATTATATTGTTATTCTTTACACTAGGATTTAGTATAATCAATTTTTTTCATCATATATAGATCATTTCAAATCTATTAATTCATAACTATATATGAAAAAAAATTATTCAATAATACATACTGAAAAATACAAATTATTTACTTAATACAAAAGATATTACATTAAAAAAATATCATAATACTCTCAATCTCTTAATCTTTCAATATTATTTTTACACATTTCTTCTAACTTCTAAATTTTTATTACATAGCATTTTATCTAAACTACTAACTCATCTACTTCTATATATATCAACACTGTTTGCTGATTTTATGTCACTCTTAAACCACATAGTATATTATTTTTCTCAAGATTTAAGCTTTTGGGCGGAGCGGAGGTGGGTGTCCTCGAAGTCTAACCTCCACGTATTATCCTAAATTATTTCAGTCAAGTAGGGTTTAAAACGTTTTGTAATCTATAAAAATTATTATATTACTATTTTCCGAGTATATAAAGGTCAAATTCATGAATTTTTTGCGCATATAACTTTGCATTTGACAGCGTTTTTGCTTATTGACGAAGAATAAAGTCTGTACATATACAACATATATATAACTTGAATGTCTTTATAGGTGCTTTGAAAGATGGAATAAATTTCAATCTTTCACTTATTTATAAGGAACCTAGCATATATAGTGTTTTTCTTTTGGTGCAAATCATATATAAAAATCTGTCTGTATAGTTCGAGTTTTTTGCAAGAAAATACAGAACTTTGAAAGATTTGTTATTCTTAAGATTTAATGGGTTCTACTAATCTTTCTCAACCATACAAAAAGGACCCAAAAGATAGCTGGTGCAGAAATACCAGTAATATGATTCATACGGGCGATAACAATATATATGGAAATAGATTTTGGCCAGATACTACAATGATTCTTAAAGATAGTCTTTTAAAGTCACCTGCTCATTCTCAAGCGAACGAGGGATTAAATACATTTCCATCATTTACAACACTTCAACAGACACGGTATTTACAAGCAGCAAGTGCACAAGCGGCAGCAATGACACATAATATGAAATTGTCAGGAAAAGAAATATATGTTCCTGACTTATCAGTTGTTGAGAAGACGCAAGGGAGTCATGGATTAAGACAGGTATTTTCGGGGCTCAATGATGGATACTCAGGGGAATATGGAGATATGTTTGAGGAAAAACAAGATACAATAGCAAAGGAAGAAATATTAGATAAGTTGTCTAAATTACGTGTTAATTATGTATTTTTTTTTACATTGGTGATGAATCTAAATGGATTGTTAGCATAAACATGACGAAATACAAAAAAATAGCCAAGTATCGTATTTACACCAAGCAAAGGATAACGAAATCAATTACAATTATCAAAAAAATAACTTATTTAATTGTGAGTGTTCTTTTTTTTTCGTATATTTTATAAACTCGTAACTTATGAAATGAAGATTATACGTTGATGCAAAATATGCGACATGAGACATTGAATTCTAAAGACTGTGATCGAATCTATAGTATGGATCAAAAAAAAAATTCAATGAAGTCATTAATTCATCCATATATGGGTTATACGAATAACCTGAGAAATTTTTTTAAAGAGTCGTCATTAAATCAAAATGGTTCATATAAATACAATGGAATTTCGAAAAAACAGATGTATTCATATTATTCTGTTAAGGATAATGATTTTCCGAAGAATACCGTTAACATGCAATCTACTGTTCCTACAAAACATCCTTTGAAAGATACAACACCCTTAGTCACTTATTCTGAATCAGAAACAGTTCAAAAAGACTATAGCCAGGGAGGGGAAACGCAACCTACTGGCTATTCAGAAGATATGTTTTATTATCCTCAACAATATTATGATGACACTTTGTATATCATATTTATTTATAGATATTCTTTAATATTTTTCTAGACATGTTTTACAGCAAACATATGTTAGGCCTATATCGTCAACCTTAAATTTTTCTACTCAGATTAGACGTGAAAATGATAGATACCAATCTTTAAGAAGCTCATTACTTGAAGAATTTCGAAATAATAAAAATAAGAAATATGAATTAAAAGTAAAGCGGCACAATTGTTTTTATATTATTTAATTTTGTTAGGATATATTTGGGCATATTGTGGAATTTAGTGGAGATCAGCATGGATCACGTTTTATTCAGCAGGCATTGGAAGAAGCAAACTCGGAAGATAAAGAAGTTGTTTTTCAAGAAATTTATCCTAATTCCTTGCAATTAATGACAGACGTTTTCGGAAATTATATTATTCAAAAATTTATAGAACATGGTAGTCAAACTCAAAAAACTCTTTTACTTGAACAAATGAAGGGCCATATTCTGAATCTCTCCTTACAAACATATGGTTGTCGTGTTGTTCAAAAAGTATTAATATTTCATTAATTTAACATTTAAATTTGATATATATTAATAGGCTCTTGAATATATTGAAATTGATCAACAAATTAATTTAGTCAAAGAATTGGATGGTAATGTATTGAGATGCATTAAAAATCAGAATGGAAATCATGTTATTCAAAAGATAATTGAAAAAGTGCCTATGAAACATATGCAGTTTATTATAAACACTTTTCAAGGTCAAATATATACGTTGGCAACACATCCATATGGATGTAGAGTAGTGCAACGTATGCTAGGATATTGTTCACAGGCTCGTGATCTCCTAAATGAACTTCACCTATATTCACGTAGTTTGATTCGAGATCAATATGGGAATTATTGTATACAACATATTATTGAAAAGGGTGAGCCGGAAGATCGTTCTAAGGTTATTTCTGTAGTAAAAGAGAATATTCTTAAGTTTTCAAAGCATAAATTTGCTTCCAATGTAGTAGAAAAATGTATAACGTATGGAACAGATGAAGAAAAAAGATTACTAATTGATAAAATAATGGAGAATGATGAAGACGGGTAAGTTAGTTGAATTGTTAATAAGGGTTAACTTCTTTCTAGATTTCCTCGTCTCTTACCGATGATGAAAGATCAATATGCAAATTATGTAATTAAAGTATTATATCATTAAAATATATTCGCTTTTTTTAACTTTTCTTAGAAAGCATTAGATGTTGCAAGTGGTGATCAGCTCAATAAACTTATTGCTGAAATAAAACCTCACTTACAGTTTTTAAAAAAAAATGTTCATGGAAAAGCGTTAAGTTTAAATAGTAGGATTTTATTTTTACCGTACATTATAAATAATGGACTAATTATGAGTAGTTGAGCGACTTATAACTCTTTCTAATAATCAATCTAATCAGAACAATGAAACTTTAGTCACAAAAACTTAATAGTATATAATTCTGGAAATTTTGATATTAATTATTTTAAATAATTAATATTTTTGATATACCGTATTTCCAAAATTAACAAATAATAGTAAAAAATATCTTTGGATTTTAAGTTTTTTTTTGTAATATTTTTACATTATTTTTATTTGTATAAGTTTTGTCATATTCATTATATCTTAAATTACTCTTGCATATCTAATTATTAGATATCAGCATAGTTATTACTAAATGTATATATTAAATTATTGAAACATTTTGAAAACGATTTTATATTACACTGCATGTATTAAGATTTGTCTTAAACATAAAATATTAAACATTATTTAAGTATAAAATCGATAAGTTTAAAATAAAATTCTGGTATTTAATATTATTTTATGAAAATACAGTAAAATCAAGTGCTTTTTCTAAATAAGATATATAATCATTTATATTGTCAAGATCCAATAATTTAGAATTACTAGAGTCCAAAGTTGACTGATGAGTTGTAGGCAAATTAGTAGGTTGTTCCGATATAGAATCAGATAGTTGAAATCTAGCTTTTACACGAAGAATATGACGAAGACGTTCTCTCCAATTCGTTATGTATTCACCACCAATTTGATGATATATCTGCGAAAAAGTACTTGCATGCAAAGTAAGATTACGTACAAATATAGGTAGAGCCTTAGCAGAAATCATGGTTTCTTTCACAGAACCAATTTCTGGTACACCTGTTTTTTGTAATAATTTCACTAGAAAAAATATATCAGAGACCGAATCTTCCTTACAAGATAATACATTATAGTTATATTTTGAATGCCGTGATATAACAATATTTATAAAGTTAAACTGACCAGGGATTGTGTCAAAAATATATGGAGATCCTGATTCATTAAAAATAATATTAACAAAATCGTTTCCAATATGACGCTTTTTTAAAGTAGAGTGAGGATCTGTTTCCAAATTCGTAGGCATCAATGTACAGCAATGATAAATGATCTGTGTGATTTTATCTTTCCAAAAATAGGCAAATTCACCATCGTGATTGCTTTCAGTATCTAAACCACCAGTATAAATAGTTTTATTTCCTTTTAAACGTGTTAAATCACCAAGACCTTCCATAAAATTTAAATATTCTTGAGATCCACATGTATTAGCTAGAATTTCCGATTCTGTACTTTGTCCTGGAGCAACATAAACAACACCAATTTTATGAAAATCAACAACAGGTATTCGATCAAATACTGATAATGTTCGCTTTGTAAACTCGTTATCGGCTAAAAGATATGGTTTAGATTGCTCTAAGAGTTCAGGAAAAAATGATACTTGAAGTAAAACGTAACTTGGAAGGAATAATGGTAATTCTAAAGAAAACAATTTTATCGACATTTTCCTGGACTCAGCATTTTCAATAAACTGATCTTGAATAGTATCCATGTCATCATCTGTTCTATTTTCATTATTCATAAACTCTCTTGATCGACAAGAAAAATGAACAGTACCAGACTATTAGAGTATAAAATATTATCATGATAATTAAATATACTCACTGATCTCCTTATTGTTAATTCTATTATGTCAGATGAATTTGCAGTGTCAATTGTTATAAATGAATTTCCATAGAGCCACGTTTTTGAGATGGCAAAAGGATCAGGTGTATAGTTAGATAGAGTGCCTTTAATATCCGCATTAGAATAAGAAAATCTTAAAAGCATATCATAGCATGTTTGACTCTGCTCATCTAAACCATTTTTTAATGGATTGGCAAGTAAAAGTCCTCTGATAATCCAAGCAACATACTTTCGTCGTTCTGAGAGTTTTAAAGCCAAAAACCATATATATATTATATTATATGCCAAAGTTAGAACATATTGAGACATTTGCATGCCAGATATATTGATCTGACCAGATTCTTTAGCATTTTCTGGCCGGTCTGATAACTGAGATCTTGTAAATGCATTACTATGTTGAATATACTGTAAAGAAATTCCAAAAACTCTTCGAAAATCTGCTTCTGTAAAATTTGCATAAACGTTTGGAAGTCTTGCTAATGATGACAAAAATTCAAGTATATGAATACTTACACTTGAAGATGTTATTAACTGAGAAAGCTTTACCAAAATTCCTGATAACAATTTACTCATTGATATAGGAAGTTCATAACAGCAGATAGTAAGAGCATGGATACACGATTTTGCAGCGTGAGACCATTTTTGCAAACCCATTTGAAAAGATATAACAATTTCATCTTGTTCATTTTTTGTATATTTATTATGGTAAGATATTAAGACAATAAGTATTTCAATTAAAGCAATCATGATATCTGTTTTTCGAAAGTTATCTGGTAAAAGTACTGGCGCTAAAACATTATTAAATAGTTGATCAACTATCAGTGTCCTTAATTCTCTGATTTCATGAACCGAATCACAAAATAAATGTTTGTTTCTTAATTGAGAACTAATATGAACTAAGATATATAAATAAATTTCCCAATCCTTTTCATTTTTTAAAATATCTATTACAATTTTTAACCATGTAGAAATCGGTAGAATTTGATCATTTTCATTATTTTGCTCCAATGTTGTTTCAAATATTAATTTGTTAATATTACATGATTTTAAATGAGTAATATATTCGTCAATAGGTGATATTTCGACATGCAGTTTTTCGGGTATAGTCCATAAAACATTATATAGATATTTATCTGATTTGACATTGTTATTTATATTGTCTTGTTGAGATCTTGTTTTATTCGATTCCGTTTTTAGTTCAGTCGATTCTCTACCAATGGTTTCAGAAAAATTAGAGCATTCCAATTTCCTATTTCTTTTAAAATTGGACGCTAAAGGCAAATCACCAATATCTGAAACTAAATAAATAAAATGTGAACTATCAGCACGAATTCGTACCAAAATTTGCAAAGCAGATATTCTAACATCTGAATTGCCTTCAAAGTTTGATGCAATTGATAGAATTATTTTATATAATTGGATACATTTTGTATTGTTTCTTATACGCAAGTAATAAAGAAATAGAGTAATTAGCCCTTTAGAAGAAGCTAATGCCATTGTTTCTTTTTCATCCTTAAACATAATATTTTCCCCTAACACTGAAGTAAACGAATTGTCTTGAGAATTCTGATGAGCAAGAGAATTAAGTTTCTCTATTTGATGAAAAGTTAGAAGTGAACATTTTTCCAAAATTTTTATTGTTTTATTAAAAAAGATATCATTTCCATCATATGCCATTTCTACTAAAACCTTAATAGATTCTAAAATAACAACGTGATCACGCTCTTCAAAAAAATCATCAAAAAGTGACAAAAAAACGTTATTGACAAGTTGATCTGGAAGAAAAAAATTTCCTGTGCTTATAACATTTTTTATAAGATCGAGTGCTTTTATTCTGATTTTCGTCGTATAATAAGAAGATTTAAAGAATGATTGCACAATAAATATAGGATTATCTGGCCATTTTTCATAATCTTGATTATAATGATAATGAGTAGAATAATAATCCAATAGAAGTATAGAAGTAGATTCAGGTAAATAAGTATGTATTTTAGAGAAATATTGAATTAATTTTGTTGATGACCCAGAATAACATGAATTATTATAAGAATCCTGCAATATAGAAAGAATTTGACCAGTGACTTGAAATAACGATGTATATATATCATCTTTAAATTCTGCATTGGGTAATTCTAAAAGCTTATTTTGAACAGTAAAGTATTGTAGATATTTTGAGCATATTGATAATATTTCGAGAGGTATATCCCAGTCATCATATTTCATTTCTTCTTGTATATGTTTACAACCAATAAAGTCTCTCAGCGCTTTTAAAATCTCAAAATCTACTTGTGGATTATTCAAAGAAAGTGCTGACTTGTACGTTTCCATAATAGTTCCATGAGGAATTGAAAAAAGCCTATTTTGTTCATTTGTAGTTAAAATCCATGATAAAAATCTTGCAGCTCCTATAATCACATTTGAATGCAGTTTATTTTTCGTTTCAAGAAATTTTTTCAGTGACTGTACTGTATTATAAGCTATATGACTTTTTAATAGATTTTTCATAATATTCCATGAAATATCTTCAAATTCCAAAATGCCAATATTGGTACTACATAGAATTTCAACACAATTTGTTAATGCAGAAATTGGAATATATCCATAGCGGATAACAACGTCAAGAAAGTGAATAACATTTTTAATATCATTCTTATCCGTTGTTTTTTTACTGATCCAAATTACATCATTAATCAACATTACTACATCATTTTCTTCAAAAATAGAATAATGAAATTTTATAATATTTGTAATCAAAGAAAACAAAATCTCAAGATGTTCCTCATAAGATATATCATTACTTTCAGATGTTATTGAATGTCGGTTTTTTAAACGACTATTTTCTGTATTTTTAAAACATATAAAAAGCCATGAAGAAACTAAACGTATAATCGTTGATTCCATCGCCGTAATATCTCTCCCATCATTCGTCAATACTCTCATAATATCCAAACACATAGCAAAATCTTCATTTACATTATGTTGTTGAATATCTTGATAAAACATATACCGATCAACTGCGCTCAATTCTGTTTGAGACTTAATACATGCTGACATCAACGAAAACCCTGATTTACGCATTTCTAGACTGTTTTCCCCTGAAATTAATTTTTTCCCTGTCATCCATATTTCTTCTACATTCATCAGAACAATTTGAGATAACCTTTCACTTAATCGATCTGCTATTTGAATACATTCTTCTGTATCATTAGACACTTTTAATCCATGTAACAGATAGTCAATATCTGATAAAGGATGACTATTTAATGTGTTTTCCGCTATATTTAACAGACATTTCTTTGGGCGACTTAAATTCCTAAATGTAGCAAAAAGTTTGCCACTTTTTCCTGAAAATATGTGACGAGACTCTTCATTCATACGTTTATTAGCTTATTTAAAGGCTTATTTTCTCATAAAAGCCTATAATAATGGGTTAGTGCAAAATCTTTAGAATCTCCATACAAGGCTATATTACGACGTACAACGTCAAAAAATAAGATCAGGTGATCAAGCGGGTTTTAATAAGAAACCAAGCAAAAAAGGGCTTAAAGAAGGTATATTTCTTATCAGAAGGTCAATATGGACGTCTATGAACAAATTATTGGGTATCTTCAAGAAAGTTTTAATCCTCTATTTTCAAAACAAGGTAAGTTTGAAAATAGAAGAAGATAGAAATAATAAGGAATTAGTGGAAAAAGCTCTTGAAATAGAAGAATCAAAAGAAGGATTTGTTGAGATTGTGTTAAGAATTGTTTCATCGGATAGGATTGATATGCCAACACGTCAAGCAGCTTCTCTTCTTTTTAAAAATTTTATACGAAAAAATTGGAGAGTAAATATAAAGATTATTATATAGGATTTATGTAATATTTATAAGGGAGAGGAGGATTGTGTTAAAATATCAGAAAAAGATCGTTTAATGATTAAAAAAGAGATTGTTATGTTAATGATATCTATACCCTCTATTTTGCAGGTACAAATTAGTGAATCTATTAGCATAATTGCGGAGAAAGATTTTCCTGAGATGTGGCATACGCTTATTGATGTTTTTTTTTTTGAAGAAATGTAGTTTTAGATTGATTTGATTGTAGGATCTTGTCTCTTATTTATCGTCGAATGATATGATAGTTAATTTGTGTATATTACAAACAGCACATTCCATTTTTGGAAGATGGAGATCACAGTTTAGAAGTGATTCATTATTTAGTGAAATTTTATTTGTTTTAGAGAAATTTTGTACTCCGTATAAGAATCTTTTTCAGGTAACTATTTTTAGTGTTGAAATAATATTTAACATAGCTTAGAGATTAGACGAATTAATTATGCAGAACTCTGAAAATAGGGAAGCATTGGATCTTCTTTTTAAAAATTTAATTTTATGTATAAAAATATTTTATGATCTTAATTGTCAAGATTTACCGGAATTTTTTGAGGATAATATAGAACAATGGATGGGTTTATTACATAAATATTTAAATTATTCTAATCCACTATTGGTTTCAGAGGTTGAATAATGTTATTTTTATTTTGATATTTATTTTTGTTTTAGGATCATGACATAGAAGGGCCATTAGAAAAAGTTAAATCTAATATTTGTGAAATTGTAGAATTGTATACTCAGCGTTATGAAGATGCATTTTCTATGCTACCAGAATTTGTAAATACATCCTGGAATTTATTAACCAATACAAGTTTTGAAAAAAAAAATGATATTGTATATAAATTTTCTTTCATTAATGATCTTTCTGACATAAAGAAGCTTGTAGAAAAAATTATGGCATTTTTAACATCTGTAGCAAAGATACAGCGATATTCTTACATTTTTAAATCACAAGATGTTCTTAGACATCTTATTGAAAATATAATTTTACCTAATATTTCTTTTCAAGGTTTAAAGATTTCTAAATGAGATATTTATAATAATTAATGATATAGAATCTGATAAAGAGTTTTTTGAGGATGATTCAGTAGAATATGTTAAACGGGATTTAGAAGAGTTTGATTGTAATTTAAGAAGAAACGCTACAAGTAATTTTGTTCGAGCATTACTGGAGCAATTTGAAACAGATGTCGTTTCTATCGTTTCAACTTATATAAATCACTATTTAGTTGTATGAGAAAACATGTTATTTTATTCTTAAATAAAATTGTTTTTAGGAATTTCAAAAAGATAAAAGAAAAAATTGGAGAGCAAAAAATACGGCTATATACCTTTTTTTTTCAATTACGATAAAAAGTTCTGCAAATAAAGTATGATATATATATATATATATATTCTAATATCATTAAGTTGGGTGTAACATCTGTTACTACAATAACAAACGTTGTTGATTTTTTCTCTCAAAATATTTTTCAGGATCTTAGTTTACTATCTGAAGATATTCATGCTATGTTAAAAATGATTTTAATAAAATATGTCTATATATTTAGGAATCAGGTATTTTTTAAGTATTTTCACTTAAAATATATTTATCAAAATCAGTTACAAAGAGATCAAATTCTAAGCTGCCTTCCATTACTTATAAATTATTTAAATTTTCCAAATTATGCAGTTTATACATATGCAGCCGTTACAATTGAAGCTATTTTGAATCTTAACAAGGAGGAAGGTTTTTTGATTGAAAAAATGGATATTGTTCAGTTATCTAAAGAATTGTTGGATAATCTTTTTAAATTGATTGAAAAAGCATCTACTCTGGGAAAGTTATCTGAAAATGATTTTTTAATGAAATGTAAGTATTTATATTTTTATAGATTTTTCTTAATAATATAAGGTACAATGAGAGTTATTGCTACTATTAAGGATGGAATAATTCCTTTAATTGATACAATATCTTCTTATCTAATAAATATTATTTTAGAAATAAGCAAAAATCCATCTAACCCTAAATTTAATCATTATGTTTTTGAATCTTTGGCAATTTTAATAAGGTGTTACTTTATAACATTTTTTTTATCATTATTACTAAAATTTTATAGATACTCTGCCCCAAATTCAAGAGAAATTTTGTTGCGCTTAGAAAGTTCATTGTTTCCTTCACTTCGGTTAATTCTTCAAAATGATGTAACCGGTATTTTAAATGATTTTTAATTTTTTCTACTGACTTTATAAAAGAATTTATTCCATATGTATTTCAAATATTATCACAGCTTCTTGAGTATCATAATTTAAGTTTACCTGATATTTATAAATTACTTGTTCCACCTATTTTATTGGCATCATTATGGGAGTCTAGAGGTAATATTTATTTATATTTTAGAATGATATTTTAATATTAAAAAAAATAAGGAAATGTTCCTGCTTTAGTGCGTTTTTTAAAAGCTGTTATATCTCAAGATCCACTTTTTATTGTAAATAGTAATTATATAGAACAAATTCTTGGAATTTTTCAAAAATTGAATTCATCTCGACTCGATGATCATTATGGATTTGAACTTTTAGAAACTGTTTTTCTTCATCTTCCTGCGTAAATTATAATTTATATATTATTTTTATTAAATTTATCTAGGTCTGTTATAGAGCCTTATGTCAAACAAATATTTTTACTTCTCTTAACACGGCTTAATCAGTCTAGAACAGGAAAATTTGTTGAATGTTTTATTCAATTAATTTTCTTTTTATCTGCAATTAATAAAAAAGAATACGGGCCAGATTATTTCATAAATGTTATTAATAATATACAGACAGGGTTTGAAAGAAAATTACTTATATAATATAATAATATTCTTAGATTGTTTGAACAAGTTTTCTCAATGTTTTGTTTACCTGGAGTACAGAATATCAAAGATACAATTGATCGTAAAACATGTTCTATTGGTATGATTATAATGCTTTGCAGAGGATCCGCTTTGCAAGAAATAAAATATCCCACGCTTTGGTAATGAAATATTATTTTATTATAGATTCATTTTTTGACAGAAAAAGGTCTTCTACATTAATAGCTATTCTAAAGCTTTTTGAATTACCATTTGAAGTTACAAAAAATGATGAAATAATTGAAGTAGATATCGATGACATTGGTTTTCAAGCAAGTTTTTCTCGTTTAGCGTTTTCAGTAAAAGCTAAACAAGATCCATGTATGTTTATTAAAGATCCGAAAGCATTTCTTATAGAAGAGTTGATGAAAGGGAATTCTGCAAATAGAGGAAATGTACGTTTTAATTCCTTATATATTGTTCCTAATTTTATAGTTTTCTCGGATTATTAGTACAATGTCAGACGATGTTAAAACTGTTTTAACTACATATGGATATATTATTTAAATTAAATATGTATTGTATGTTTTAAATAATATTATATAAATGAAGAAACAATATATAAATTAATATATTCTAGTTCTTATTTATAATTTTTACAACGTAGTATTACATGTATATGTTGTCAAGAGTTTTGTGCCTTTTTTTGTTTTGCATAATATATCTCAAAAGAACTAGTTGAGCTGATGGAGTAATGCCTTGAATTCTTTTAGCTTGTGCAAGTGATTGTGGACGTATAGAATTTAATAATTCCTTTTCTTCTATGGATAAATTATTTAGCCTTATAATAATGAGATTAATGTTTAGTAAAGAACATATATTACTTATTATAATCTATATCTGGAGGAAAAATGAATTCTTCGTTTTTTTGAAGAAGATAGCGATTTTCAAATTCTTGCCGAGTTATGAATTCAGAATAAATACCTTAATTTTTAATGAATAGTAAAAATAGTAGAGAAAATACTTTCTATGTTTAGACGTAAACGAATCTTAGTGGGTATATCATGCAGCATTGGTATAATATTAAGAAAAGTATCAGCAGTAATGTTTGGATATGCTAAAAGCTGCATTGCACTAGCTGAATTAAAAAAATGTTTTAATATTTAATACTCGCCTTCTTCTAATTCCATCCATATTTACTGAAATATTATGTGATTTCCATTCTTGAGGAGATAAAACTAGACTTTCTAGCGCTTTCTTGGCATCCATAAAAAGTTTTTGATCCTTATTAAATTGATCCCATCTTTCTTTGCTAATTATACCTAATTTATGGCCAAATTCAGTTAATCTTAAGTCTGCATTGTCTGCCCTAATACTAAGCCTATATTCACATCTAGATGTAAACATCCTGTAAGGTTCTTCCACTCCCTTAGTAACAAGATCATCAATAAGTACACCAATATATGCTAAACCTCGGGAAATAGTAGCTTGAGATTGACCCTTTTTTGATAGGCTAGCATTAATACCTGCTAATAAACCCTACAATACTGTTATAAGTCTGTTAGAACATTTCACTTTAAATACCTGAGAAGAAGCTTCCTCATACCCTGTTGTACCATTTATTTGTCCTGCAAGCCATAACCCTTTTATACGTTTAGTTTCAAGAGTTGGGTAAAGCTCTCTAGGATCTACATAATCATACTCAACACCATATCCAGGACGTAGCATTGTTACGTTCTCAAGCCCAGGAATACTTCTTAACATTTTAAGCTGAATTTCCTCAGGGAGTGTAACACTTATTCCATTTGGATAAACTACATTACTATCTATACCCTCTGGTTCTAACCATATATGATGATTACGAGAAGGAAAACGTATAACTTTTGTTTCTATAGAAGGACAATATCTTGGTCCTTTAATGTTTTTTTGCACATGAATTGATTCTTTTAAATTATCTCTTACAATTTTATGTGTTTCTTCAGTCGTATATGTTGAATAACATAAAATTTTGTTTTTAATAGTATCTTCTGAATGTAAATAACTAAAAGGGACAGGAGGTTCATCTCCTAATTGAGGATGCAAATATCTATAATTAATAGTCCTTATGTCAAGTCTTGGAGGGGTTCCTGTCTTTAAACGTCCCAGTTTAAATCCCTTTTTTTTTAAAAATGTACTAATACCAAATGTTGCTGATTCTCCAATTCTCCCTGCTGGAAATGTTTTTGATCCTATATATGTCAAATTGATTGATAAAATATTTAAAAACTCTGACCAATATGCACCTCTCCGTTTAAAAACGTTCCTGTAGTAATAATAATATGTTCAGCTAATATTTTTTCACCCGATTCTATTATTATTAAATTCAATAGATATAATGATAATCAAAAACCAAGAACAACGCCTGAAACTTTGAATTTCCTAGTTTTATATATATCCTCATATTCCGATAGTGGTTCTGTTAAAATATCTATTGCTATTCCTTTGAGCAATGTCAAATTTTTATAAGAAGATAATGTTTCTAACATATATTTCTTATAAAGTAGACGATCAATTTGGACTCTCGGGCCCTTAGTTAAGATAAATAAGCATTAATAGAAACAGATAATAACAAACCCAGACTGCTGGACCCTTTGCACGATTAAGTATCTTAAATTGAATACCTGCTCGATCTTTAAAAATATATTAGAAAGATAAATAAACATTAAAAATATCCACCGGAAATAACTCCACATAATCCATCAAGAGAATCTATTTCTCTAACTAATGTTCCTTTTCCAATCCCTCCAAAAGCTGGATTACATGATGTTTCTCCTTTTAAAATATCAAAAGAAAATATTATTAAAAAAAATATAAACCAATTTTATTAATATCTTGGCTTACAAGAACAGTTTTTAAGCCACTTCTTGAGGCTACTGCTGCTGCTTCACATCCTGCATGACCACCACCAATAACAACTATTTGAAATTTTTCTATATCCTTAAAACTAGTAAAAAGACGTTTTTCAAAAAAAATCCTATTAAATAATATAAAATTCCTTCTATTAATAATAATATTAAATGAAAATAAGCTTTTCATATATATTTTCTAAATTTTTTTAAAAATCATTTTTTGATGTTAAGCTTAATTTTTAGCGTAAGGCACCAAACAAAATTAGATAAGAAAATATAAAAATAACTCTATATATTTATATAAGATTTAATTTATATATTCTTATAAAACAATTTTTATATTCCTGAAGACATAAATTATAAAATAATCAAACTTTTAAACTTTTTTAAAAAATATTTACTTAAAAAAATATAAAAATCTTATTTAGTATAAATTTTATTAAAAAAAGTAGATAAGGATTATATTTTATGTATTTTTAAAGGAATTGATTTTCTTAAACGAATAAATGTTATTTTCAATTTATTTCGTTGATTATAAGTTTAAAAAATGTTAAAAAACAAAGTTTTAAAATATATTTCTAAGTAAATTTGTATATTTTTAAAATAAGATTTACATGAATATTTAGTTCTCGTATATTATCAATTTTTAGTTATTGTTTTGTTTCAATTTTTGTTCTTTCTTTTTTTTTTGCTGGTTTCTAAAGAATCTCTAACTTTTCCTTAGATGACAATTATAAACAAATGCGTTGTTACAAAATATGGATTTAATCTTAATTTCTTTATGTTGATTATTCAAGTAAGTTTTTTTTTTTAAAAAGATGTTTATTATCTATAATAAACTAATTTATTTTATAGTTACTCATATCACTTGCAATTCTTCATGTTTTTGAAATTTTTAAAATTATTTCTTTGCCAAAATTTACATTTTCTATAGTGAAACAATGTATTTGTTTATGTTTTTAAAAGTATTTTTATAATGCAGTTAAGGGCTTCCAATATCATTTTTATTTATTAGCATGATCTATACAAGTAGTAAAGCGTCAGTATTTTAAAATGATGCAATAAAATGCATCGGAATTTTGAAGAAAAAAGAAATTAATTAAAAAATAGGCTTCAATTTCTTTCAATTCCAATTTATACTATTTTTAAAAATTTAACAATTATTTTAACTGTTATTAATCAAGTTATTTTCTTATTATACTAATATTTTAAGGCATATGGAGAAGTGTTTTTTATGGGGGGTTCTGTATCTAAAGTTACTTTGTTGTCATTTTGTATGATGATTTTATCCTCTTTTATGATAGCATGGGAAGATCTGTATTCTTTGTTATCAAGGTTATGGTTTCGTCAATCTTTTCTACTCGATCATTCCTTTTTATATTATGGATACCTTTGGATAATCATAAATTGTATATGTAGCTCAGCATATGTTTTAGAAACTCGAAAAAAAATTAAATCCGGTCATTTTACTGATTTTGACTGTATAATTCTCTTATACTATTATTATTTTTTTGATATATTTTAGCAATGTTTTACAGCAATTTACTTGGCATTCCAATTTTAATTATTTGCACATTGATTATGGACGATTGGAGCAGTGAAAATATTGCACGTAATAGGTATTTCAAAATTTATATTGACATTAAATATTAATATTCATTTTAATTATAATAGAATAAATATAATTCCGATCATTGCAATATTATTATCCGGTATTTTTTCTGCTGGATTAGGTTATACTTCTTTATGGTGTATCAGAGTAACATCATCGACAACTTATAGGTATTTTTTTCTTATTTTAATATATGTTTTAATTTAATTTTTTAGTATGATAGGTGCCTTAAATAAGGTTTAAATTTCATACGAATTTATATATATTTTTAATTATTTTAGTTACCTGTATCTATTACTGGTTTAATTTTTTTTCATACACCTGTGACCTTTTCAACAATAAGTGCTATTATTCTCGGTAAAAATCATCTAAATTATGTTAAGAAATTTACTTCTTAGGTTTTTTTTCCGGATTTCTTTATGTAATTGAAAAAAGGTAATTATTATTTCTTTTCTTATCTATCTTCTAATAAATTCTTTATAGTCATGATATTTATCAATACCCTTTTTTTTCTCGTACAACTTTCTCTTATTTAACTAAACGTTTATGTCGTTATAATAATAAAATATCGCTATAATATTTATAAATTATTCATTTTATACATACATTTTTCTCATTTAAAAGATCTTTACAAAATTCATATTATACATAATATCTTTAATATTTTCCAAGAATTATGATTTCTTTTGAGATTTGTAAGCTTTAACCCATTTAATAGGATGTGTATTATAAATGGGCCATGGTGGAACAATTACCTTGGAAAATAGTTATAAAACTTCCTATTCTTTAATAATACTTACTAAAATTGATGTTATAATCCCTACTATAAATATAAAAAGTGTAATTATTAAGTTTTGTCGAAGAAAACCTGTAACGTATGCTGCTATCTAAATAAATTGTTAAACTAATTTTTTTTCTAATAAATAACTATTTAACTGAAAAAAATATAACAATTACATTGGCAAGGATTTCTGAGATTGTTTGTCCTTCATAATCAATATATCCATATATTAATTTTTCGATTTTTTTTATATTTATAGTAGAAAAAATCATTTATTAAAAATTCTTTTTAACCTTATTTCTAAATAAAAAAACCCTTATCTTAACTTTTTATTAATTTTACTTTAATTCTATGATTAAATATTAATAAAAAAATATTTTTTATTAATATTTTTTACGACTTTTTTAAGATGACCTTTATTCAATGATGTTAATGCAAATATCGAACGGATGTAAAAAAAAATCAAAACTTTATAAAAACGTTTATCTTAGAAAATACGCAAATTAGAGCTTTTTTATAAGAGGAAATATATATATTCAGGTATGCTTTATTTAAAATGATTAAATTATATTGAATTAGTTTTTTTTTAGATCAAATTGGAGAACCTTTTTTTTAGGACTGATCAACCTTTATATTCTTTTCCAGGAAAAGCCTCGGCCTGCTCTATTAAGCCTCCATAGGGTTTATTGGGTGTAATATTAAAGTTTTGAAGGATTAGTTGTTTATTATTGATTAGTATTTTTTGATTATTATTAAACCGAAAGTTATTATATTGTGATCTTTGATATTTTAGGACTTATTCAGTAGTTTGAGCGTTTTTTTTAGAAAAAGAAGGGCATTTTTCTAAAATTATAAATAAAGACTAAAATATAATACTTTATTGTCTGAAAATATGGGAACTCATAATTCAGAACCATTTACAGGTATTTCTTCAGATGCACCACTTGATCATAGTGATCAAGTGGAATGTTTTTCAGATTTGAATTTTACGGAGGATTCGATGCGTTCTCCAGGGTTTTCAAATCGTCTTTCTCAGTCTAGTTTAACCCTTCATCGATCTGCTTCTTGGCATCGACTTTCACCATCTCATTCGGAAACTAGTCAGATTTTTTCAGACAATAGGGATAATTCAAGTAGAGCATGTTTGATTCATGATGTTAATACGGGCGGGATGTATAATTTTGATATAAAAGATGTGATTCCTCCAATTCCTATTATTTCATCAAATGTTCGTCCTCTTCCAGCTTCGGAGGCCTGTAATCATCATGCTGATAAAAGACATGGAGATCCAGTGATATCTCATGTTTCTTCAGGAGATATTCCTGTTTCTTCAGTATCAACTACCAATTCTAAGAAATGTAAATATTCAAGTATTTTATATACGGATGGTCAGCCACAAGAAGCGTATGAACATTTGTCGAGTGATGATGACAGTGCTTCTGTTACTTCGCGTCCAAGTTCACATATTGATTCAGCTGATTCTAAATCTGAAAAAGTGGAAGAAGATGTTTGCTTTCCTATGACTGAGGAATGTAGAGTAGTAAAAGGAGTTGTTGATTTTGAAGAATTAAATAAGTTTGTTACTTCTCAGTGTTTAAAGGATTCAGATGTTTCTTTTACTAAGTCACGAAAGTATAGTACTGGATCAGTTGTAAAGGGAGCTTTTGCATCCAAAAATTACTTATCTCTAAATTTAGATAAGTGCGAAAATGATGTATTTGATGAGAATTATAATGATATTCCGTATAAAAATAGTCTATCTTCTAGTGCTGCTGCTTTGGACCCTCAACAAAAGGTTGAATTTTGTAACAAGACGGAAGGCATAGACATATCCGATAGATTTAGTTTTTTTTCTTCAAATACAGAGAAAACTATACACGTTCGTGAGATTGGAGATATTCTTTTGGAAGGAAAGACTTTTCAAGATATTTTTGGGCCCGATCGTGGGACATGGTGGTTGGACTGTTTGAATCCAACCGATGTTGAGATGAAAATGTTGCAAAAAGTGTTTTCTATTCATCCTTTGACAGCAGAAGATATTCGTGTTCAAGAAACTCGCGAAAAAGTTGAATTGTTTCGCTCTTACTATTTTGTTTGTTTTAGATCGTTTGAACAAGATGCTCAAAGTGAAGATTATCTCGAACCTGTTAATATCTATATTGTTGTATTCAGGGAGGGTCTTTTAACTTTTCATTTTTCTCCAATTGTACATCCTGCAAATGTTCGGCGGAGAATTCGTCAGCTTCGTGACTATGTAGATATTTCTTCTGATTGGATCTGTTATGCACTCATTGATGACATTACTGATGGATTTGGTCCCTGTATCCATTCTATTGAGAAAGAGACTGATGCTATTGAAGATGCAGTCTTAATTACTCGAAATCACGAATCCAGAGAGATGCTTCGAGCTATTGGCTGTTGTAGAAGAAAAGTTCTCAGTCTTTTCCGTCTTTTGTATGGCAAAGCGGACGTTATCAAGATGTTTGCCAAGAGATGTACTGAGAATTACAACGTTGCTCCTAAAAGTGAAATTGGATTATATCTTGGTGATATACAAGGCATGTTTTGTTTTTTTTTTTTGAAACTAAATTAGACTTACCTCTTTAGATCATTTAATTACAATGACCCAGAATTTAATTCAATTTGAAAAGATTTTATCTCGATCTCATTCAAATTATTTAGCACAACTATCAATCAGTTATGTTCAATCTAATGAACGAAGTAGTGCTATGTTTTCTAAAATCACCGTCATTGGAACAATTTTTCTTCCCGCAAATATTATTACCGGCCTTTTTGGCATGAATGGTACTTTTTTTGTATTTAATTTATTTTTTTAATTTTTTTAGTTGCTATTCCAGGTGAACACAAATCTGGCTGGTTTTGGGGAATATTCTGGTGCATTATAGGATATATTGTTCTAGTTTTACTAATAGCTCGTCACTTTAAGCTTATTTGACCCTTTTATATACATATTTCTAATATTTCTCATGATGTTTAAATATGTATTATTTTGTTTTTTTCCCCATTTCTTTATCTCTATGTCATACTACTCAATTTAAAACTATTTCTTATTATGTATTTTCTATTATTTTATTCTATTGTATTTATGTCATACACGACTCGACCATACTGTTAACATCAAATCTCTAACGATGCTCAGAAGCTCTATAGAAAGTTAAAAAATATTTAGATTTTGAGAAATTTTCCTAGAAATACTAATAAATAAGACTTATATTTCTTAAAGAAAGTCTATATTTGATAAGAATGCTGGTTATTTCATTCTTATCTTCCTTTTGGAATTCATTAATAACAAATAATCGACATGCAGATCCTTCATCTTCTTGCCTTCCATGCCGTGCACCAGTAGCTCGAAATGGGTTTATTAGAACGGAAAGTCTTCAATCAGTGGTTTCTATTGACAATAATGACGTGCAATTGTCACATCGGTATTCGTGTAGTTCGAGTGAACTATCTCAACATTCAAATTCGCAATTGGGGTCATTAGACGCGGCATATACACATCCAACACCATATTCAAATGTACATCATTGGCCTGGTCTTCGGTTTGCTATGACGTGTACATTGAATCCTCCATTATATGAACAGACAGATATTGTTCTTCAAGATTATGGGACAGATGGATTATTACCGCCACCCCCGGTATCAGATTCATGGAGACGTATTGATAGATGGGCACAAATACATTATCCAGAGTTATATGATCAATTGTCTTATGGTGCTACAGTAGCAGATGTAAACGAACTAGAATATGAATTAGAATGTCATCTTCCCAAAGATGTACGGGAATCGTTTTTTATTCATGACGGGCAAGAGAGAGGTGGAAAACCTACAGGAATTATTTTTGGAATTACATTATTAGATTGTGAAGAGCTTTTAGAAGAATACCATTTGTGGAAAAAAGTAGCAATAAATTTAACTAAAATTAAAGCATCTGGTCCATTTTTGAGAGAAAGAAGGCTATTTAAGCAACAAGGTTCGTATCCAAAGGGTTCTGTGCGTGAAGTCTACGCTCATCCTGGTTGGATCCCTCTAGGAAAGGATTTTGAAGGAAATAACATTGGTATTGACCTTGCACCAGGACCTACAGGAAGATGGGGACAAGTGATTCTTTTTGGAAGAGATCAAGATATTAAATATGTGGTAGCACATTCATGGGCGTCTTTTTTGGCAATGTTAGCCAATGATTTAGAAGAAGGTAACTGGACGATTGACGATACAACAGGAGAATTATTTTTGGGTACTTCGGACAAGGAACATATGAGTTATTTTGATGTTTTAAAACATCGTTTACGAAAGCGTCAAAAAGAACGGTCAAAATCAGTCTTATCTATGATGAATCCAAATAAAATTTCAGTCACGTTTAACGAAACACCCGCAATTATGAATATATCCAATAAAAACCTTAAAGAGACATATCGATATAAAGATACTTTATCTATGAAATTTGGAAATACAACTCCTCCTAAAAACACTCTGCATTTACAAAATCAACTGTTAATTAAAGATACTTTATCGACTAAAGTTGTACTCGCAACTAAAGACACTAATATTTTGAAAGATAATTCACATGAGGATGATACTACTCTTCAAGAAAAGCATACTTTAAAGGAAAACGTACTAATTGTTTCGCCAAATATAAAACAATAATTAACAAAAAATTATACAACCATATTTTAACGATTCATATTTTACAAAAAAATTATTTAAAATATTAGTCTTTGAAAATTTCATTACATGCATTCCTTAGAAGAAGCACTGGGTTTTCTATTGATTTTAATAAAATAATTATATCGCATTATTTTTTTGTTTCTTATATCTTCATTATTATACTAGAATCACGTGATATTGATAACGTCAGATTTTGATAAGATATGATTAATCTATATAAGAATAAAAGAGCTACTATTTCTTTTATATTTCTCTACAGAAATCGTTATTATTTCCATGATAAACCTATATCAAAGCTATTACATGCTCCAGTGACATTTATTTCTGATTTTTTATCTCCAACAATAGGACGTCAATTGAATTTTACATTATCTTCATACTTTAAAAATGGTCTAGATTTCTCTAGGTTTAGGACTGGAAATGAGCTTCCAGTTGGTTATCATTATCTTTATTTTCATAGATGTCATTTGGAAGACTCTTTAGCGAAAGATGGAGGTGATATGATTTACGCACCTTTGAGGAATTGGAATAGACGTTTATGGGCAAAGGGATCATTGGAATATATTAAGAAAAATATGGAGTATCCTTTACGTATGGGATTTCCAGCTATTTGTGTTGAAAGACTAGAAAAAGTTGATTGGAATGGTCATAATGATGATAATATTTCAGTATGGACATGTAAAGAAATTTCTCCATTAGATGACAAGGAATGTGCAAGGGATGTATGTTTGAGGGAGAGGATATGTATTGTATATCAATCTATTTATAAAATGGGTGAAAAAACGATACAAATATCAAAAAAATGTGAGTAATTTTGATTTAAGGGTGTTTTATGTTAATATTCTTAAAGCTTGGATACCCGATTTTTCACTATCTATTACTCCATCTCAAATCCTTCTTTTTCGATATTCAGCATTGACTTTTAATACACATAAAATCCATTATGATTATTCGTATTTAAAAGAAGAAAAATATGATAATTTGTTAGTTCAGGGATCTTTAAGTGTTATTTTTCTTTTAGAATTATTACAACAGAATGTTTCCTCGGATTTGCGTTTAAAATGTTTCTATTATAAAATACAAAGTCCACTTTATGCTAACTTTTCTTATAAATTTTGTGGAAAGAGATTAAAAGAACTTAATGGTATCCAATATGCTTTGTGGGTAGAATCTGATAAGTTATTGCATATGAAAGGAACAGCTGAAATGTGGTAATATTTTCTATAATGATTTTTTCAAAGATTGTTATATTTATTGTATTTAATTCGATGTAAAATGAATAATTTTAATAATGTATACATACATAATTATTCCAATTACAATGAAATACTATGTAAACTTTCATTTATGAGGAAATAAAATAATAATATTAAAGAAATAGCTGTTATAATTTATTTGATTTTTAGGAATTTTTGAGATCTCTTATATAAAAATACTTTAGAAAATTTAGTGAAAATATTTTTGTATATAATGGTCCATTTTTCTTAAGAATATAGACGTACAATCTTGAAGTATTTACGATTAATTGCATCTTTCCCTTTATTTTTAAGTATTTGCTGATGACTTATTTGATTTGGGAGATGGTAAAAGTAGACTTAATAATTTTTCTTTCATATCTTCTATGTTACTGTTATAGTTATCAACGTACATATTATTCCGGAGCTGCGTTTTATTCTTCTTATAAAAAGTCGTTTTTTGATAACTATCTTTTTGATTTCTCTGCATATTATGAAAATCTGAATATAGTGATAAAAGAGTATTTTCCTTGATTTCTTTTTTCTTTCCTACTTTTTTTATTGATGAATATGTTTTTGAATAAAATGTATCATTAAAATCAGAAGAATCACTTGTTTCTTGTTTCCGTAATGCTTGTTTTTGTTTCCTTTCATTCATATCCGCTTGAAATAACATTTTTGGTGAAGAAGAATGAACTTCATGTGATAATGGTATAGATGGTCCATACAAAGATTTTTCTGATGTTTGCTCTAATGGTTTAAAAGAATGAATTTGAGACAGAGATGGACTATTAGTGTCAAAAAATGTATCCTGAGTAGAAGAACATAAACCCCTCGGTGCCGACGTTTGTATATCTTGGGATGATTGATGAAAATGCAAAGGTTGTAAATGTGGAGTGTTATATGTAATTTTGGAAAAAAATGATGGAATAGGAAGATTAGAGGCTGCTGGAGAATGATGAAATGTTGGCCCTGCATAATGACTTGATTCTTTATGGGGAGTAATTGATAATTTGTGAGACATCGAATCGTTAATTAATTCTGTCTCTGGAGATTGAACATTTGCATTAAAAAATTGCCAATTTGTAGAGTCCTGTTTTTCGTACTTGTTATCCGAAATTACTTTCCTAGCTAACTTCTGCTTTCGTGTCTTCATTTCTAAATTTAAATACTATATTCATATTTTTTTTTCACAACAATTAAATATCTTTATTTAAATCAATATTTCTCCTTTTAAAAACACAAAAAAAAACATCTATTCAAAAAAATACCAGTACTCCTTTAAAAAACAATTAAATAGAATCCCTGATTTAACCTTTTTAGCCTCTTTTATGTTTTTTAATTGATAAAACATATATCTTATTTTTTCGTCTAATTTCTTGGTTTTTTTATCAATTTTTTCCGTTTAAACAATATGTCTATATTTTTCATAATATTTTATCTTTTTCTTTATGTTTTTAACCTCTCTTTCCGCTCTTTTTATCTAATATATTAAGATCTTTATATTTTAAGATTTGTGTGTTATCGGATGGGTAAAGTCTTATATCAGAGCTAACGTCATAATTTTCAAAAAATATATAATACCTTATAAAGATATATGAGATCTGTTAGAAGACTTATTTTATGATATTATATTTGCTTAAATATATATAAAAAACATAGAAAGCGTTCCTTTAGTTTTTGAGTTTTATACTTGTTTTTGGATTCAGAAGTTAACATAAAACCTTTTAAAACATAAAGTTATTATGGAATATTCATTATCGGAGTCGCAATCTATGGTGGAAGATTCTATGGAATTTAGAACAGAGGGAAATGTTTTAGAAGAGTTTGGTACTTTACCAACGACATCTACAAGTATTCCTACAGAAATAATAGAAGACGAAAAACCATTAGGGCCATCTGTTTCAGGAACTTTGAAGCCACGTTTTGAGGTTAAAAAAGTATATATTATTATTATAATATTTTTTTTTGATTTTTATTTTTTATAGTGGAATGCAGTAGCACTTTGGGCATGGGATATTATTGTAGATAATTGTGCAATTTGTCGCAATCATATTATGGATTTTTGTAAGAATTATATTCTTAAAAATAAATGGCTTGATTGTGTTTTTTAACATGTTTAGGTATTGAATGTCAAGCTAATCAAGTTGCGCCTATAAGTGAAGCATGTACTGTTGCATGGGGCATTTGTAATGTATTATTATTATATACAAGGACATTTTTTTAATTTTAGTGAAGCATGCATTTCATTTTCATTGTATTTCTCGTTGGCTTAAAACTCGTCAAGTTTGTCCACTTGATAATAGAGAATGGGAATATCAAAAGTACGGGAGATAACTGTCCCAATTTCAATGGCAATGTTGGTTATTATTTTTAAAGCAATAGGGGTTTTTATAAAATGTTTTGCTCAAGAATCTGTTTTGATGAATAAATAATAAATTAAATTGGAAAACTTTGATCTGCAAACTTTTCGCAGATATAGGATATTAAATAGGCCGAATAATACGTATATTAATATTTTATTATTTTTGTGCTGAAATATTTAGTTTTTATTTACTAAGTTGCTTTTTTTTTAAAAAATTGTTTCTGTAGATTTAAAAATGTTAATGTTTCTTTAATCTATTTAATATAATTTATATTTTAATTAATTTTTTGTTTAAAAATTGAATGTTTTAATGTAATGCTTTTTGTAGATAATTGATTTGTTTAAATAAACACAATATTTGGATTTCTTTATGAAAACAATATTAGGCATCGCCTATTCCCAATAATTTAAAATTTAAAAAATAAAATCTATTTATAAAAAATATATAGGATCTTATCCATCATTAAAATGGAAAATGTATATTCTATAATTAATTTTAAGATAATTTTGAAAAAAGTTTAAGTAAAAAAATATTAAAAATACTTTAAATTATGATATTTTAATTAGAAAAAAAATGATGCAATGTATTATAAATAGAATTTTTAGATTCCTCTATCAAGTTTCTTCTAAATTTTAAGTATAAAGCTTCTATGAAATATAAACTTTTTTTTACTAATAAAACGTTATCGCCAGTAACTTTAAAATTTTGTATAGGGAAAAGATTAAAAAAAAGCCTGAAATAGGGTTATTAAAGACTGAATAAGGTTTTCTTGACTCTTAAGAACTTATATAGATTGATATATATTTTTTTGGTACATTTTTTTAATTGAAAAATAAGCGAAATAGATAAATATGAATTCAAATTCAAATGATGTTGAAAAAAATGTAGAAATGTGGAAAGTTAGAAAGCTGATTAAAAGTTTGGAGTCAGCACGAGGGTTTTTGTTCTTTATTTTTTTTAAAAGAATCTTATATGTTTAGAAATGGGACTTCTATGATTTCTCTTATTATTCGTAAGTATTTGTGCCTAAATAATCTATGATTTATCTCTTTTTTAGCACCAAAAGATCAAGTTTCCCGTGTAAATAAAATGCTTGGAGGTTTATATGAGAACACAGCTTAAAAAATGATTAATTTATTGTTTTAGATGAATATGGAACAGCATCAAATATTAAGTCACGAGTTAATCGATTATCTGTACTTGGAGCAATTACATCTACTCGTGAGAAGCTTAAATTATATAGCAAAGTTCCTCCCAATGGCCTTGTTATTTATTGCGGAGAAATTATTACAGATGATGGAAAAGAAAAAAAATTGAGTATTGATTTTGAGCCATTTAAGCCAATTAATACATCACTGTATCTTTGCGATAACAAATTTCATACGGAAGCTCTCTCAGAATTGCTTGAAAGTGATCAGAAATTTGGGTTTATTGTTATGGATGGTAATGGGTCACTTTTTGGAACACTTTGTGGAAATACGCGTGAAGTTCTTCACAAATTTACTGTTGATCTTCCAAAAAAGCATGGTATATTGCTTATATTTCTTTTTATATAAGGAATTAATTCTAAAGGTCGTGGCGGACAATCTGCACTGCGTTTTGCTCGTTTAAGAGAGGAAAAACGGCATAATTATGGTAATTGCTAATATTTAGTGGAAAATCTTATTGGGAATAGTAAGGAAGGTTGCGGAAGTAGCAGTGCAGCTTTTTATTACGAACGACAAAGTTAATGTAGCAGGATTGATATTGGCGGGATCAGCAGGTATATTACTATTGTAACCATTTCTCAAACTAAATTTAAGATTTTAAAACGGAATTAAGCATTTCTGGTTTCTTTTTGGATATTTTATATATTTTAATACTTACTTTTTAAAGATATGTTTGATTCGCGATTAACTTCAAAAATTATTAAGATCGTTGATATTTCTTATGGAGGAGAAAATGGGTTTAATCAAGCTATCGAGCTTGTTTCTGATATTCTTTCCAATGTTAAATTTATTCAAGAAAAAAGACTTATTCAAAAATATTTTGATGAAATATCACAAGATACTGGAAAATATTGCTGTAAACATTTGATATAGATAGCTTTATGTTATAGTATCTAATTATAACTAGATGGTGTTGAAGATACGTTGAAAAGCCTTGAATTAGGTGCCGTCGAAACAGTTATCGGTTTGCTTTTTATAATTATTGTCTTGAAAATTGAATTATTCTAGTTTGGGAAAATTTAGATGTCATACGATGGACTCTTTGCGATTCTAAAGGAGGTATTGTTTAAATATATAAATATTATAATTTCGTGTTTATATATTTAGATACTGTTATTGTTCATTTTACAAAAGAACAATGTGAGAAAAATAGAGAGCCTTTTATAGATAAAGAAACAGGTAATTATCAATCGATTATTTTTATCATTCTTATCACTTTTTATAGGAAACGAAATGGAAGTTGTCTCATCAATTCCTTTTTTAGAATGGTTAACAGAAAAATATAAGGACTTTGGCGCAAATCTAGAATTCATAACTGATAAATCGCAAGAGGGAAATCAATTTTGTAAAGGATTCTTCGGCATTGGTATGTTTCTTTTTTTTTAATTTTTTTTTTTAAAAAAATATAAATAGGTGGGCTTTTACGATATAAAGTAAGTATAGGTTGTTCAGCCTATCCAATTTTAATCCTTCCAAGCTTGACTTTTCTACAATTGCTATGGATTCTGATGATTATTATTCTGATTAATTTTTTTATATGGTCATATAATTCGATTAAATTTTCATCTTTTAAAAAATTAATTTCTTTTTATTTTTATTTATCAGTATTATCTTTTTACATTTTAGTGATATTTCCATACTAATTAATCTCTTTTTTATGTATTTTTTTTAAATGCCTCATTTCTTCTAATACCGTCTTTTCGCATGCTTAAGAAAAAGATTGCCGGAACTTGAAAAAAATTAAGATTATTCTTTGAATGGGTTTCTTATTTTTTTAATAAGGATCTATGACCCAGCATAATTATCAGCAATTCTATATGATCTGTCGGGTCCAGTAAAGCAGAATATGAGTATTCCAGCTAATTTCCCGTTACATTCTTCGGAGTTGCCATTTCAACAGATTGCTAATAATAATGATCAAAATCAAGCATCAACATTTCTTATGCTTCTATATGGCGATTCATCTCAAGAAAACTCTAATTTTTCGTCACTCCCTAATGAGCAATTAACAATTAATAATTTAGAAATGATGCGACCGCCAGTAAAAAAAAAAAGATGTCAAGTAAGGAATGCATGTGGTAAGTAAATAATATTGAATAGAACAAATTTATAACCTATTAAAGTGAATTGTCAGAAGTCAAATAAAAAGTGCGAAGAAGTACGTCCATGCAGTCGATGTATCAAAAATCATTTAGTTGATTCTTGTACAAATTCTAAGCGAAAAAAGAGACAAAAAGGTATTAAACGAGGCCCGTATAAGCGTAGAAAGAAAATAGTTATGGATAATAATCCGATCGCACCATCTATGGATACGATGGTACCTTTGCTTGAAACACCTGCTACAACTAATATGGATTCTTCTTTAATTGATTTTACTGGCCAGCAATTTTTCGAATTCGATTCATTTCCCAGACTCTTTATGCAATCTCTTTCTGTCCCTTCTTTAGATTCTATGTCTTCCTATCCTGCTATGCCTCCTTTTGAAGATAACCATACGTCTTCGGAAACAGCAATTGATTCAGCTATTCAATGTCCAACAAGACCTCAAGATAATCCTCTTGAAATGGTATCTACTTTACTTGATGATACCTTAATGAAGAGCTTTACTGGGCATGTACTAGATAGTCGTATGGATCCATCATGTCGACCTTTATCACTTGGACATGAGGCTGATCTTGGAACTTTAGCATCACTCTGTGCTGCTGTATTGGGTGAAGAATAAATAGAATACCTGCAACAATATAAGAAATGAGGATTTGAAGAGTCAGAGATAAAAGATGATATCGAAGATTCTATTAGTTATATATAGAAAAGATATTGAAAAATTAGAGATAAACTCTAAAAATGTTAAAACCATAGATCAATTGTTAGAGTTGAGATATATGAATGGAAATATTTTCATGAAGAAGTGTTTAATTTTACCTTTTCAATTTCCCTAAAATAAATGAATTGTACAATGTGTGGCTTCTATCTGATAATATATTATAAGATATGTCGTACATTGATTTTTTGTTTAGATATTTGTAATAGATATTTATTTTTTTAGGAATTATATTATGAAGAAATTGTTGGTACAACGTCCTTAAGATAATAATAAACATGCCCAACAAACATACCAAGTAAATCGCCCTTAGGAATCGTATTATGAAGGATGAATGAAAACCAAAGTAAAATCCATGGTAAATATGGCGCATTAAAGACAAATAAACCAAGAAATGACAAACGAACTGAAGGATTCCGTCTCGACCATAAATAAATCAAACAGAACGACAATGGAGATGCAAGAAATGTTAGAGAAACGAGAGGCGAAAGAATCTATAGTTAATATTAATTAAAGAATTAATTAAAAAAAAAAAAAAACAAGTAAAGATGTTGTAGCGTAAAGCAAAAGATAAGCAAATTCACGAGATCTCCCCCTGAACGATGTTTCTTCAAGCATACGACAGTATCGTGCGCTATTCGAAATAAGTTATTTCTAAAAATATATCCCCTTTTACATAAAAAAAATATGAAATAAAAAATCAAAGCTTAAGTTCCCAAAATAAAGAAATGTTGTAACAAGTCTCCAATACTACATTCTTAACAAAAACTCCTTATAAAAAATGCCCTACTTGTTTACGAATAATAACTGAATGCCATGAAAAAAATAACTGAAATGGTGTCACCCAATTACATTGCTAAATTCTTCAATATATTATATCAATTCCTTAAAAAACTTACTACTGCAATACTTGTAGCAATTGCTCCAGTAATAAATAGGCGTGTAACAATAGGTACATCCATGTACCAGGCTTCAAGAGGCCAAAGCATATTTAAAAATATAGTATACTTATATTTATAAACTGTAGCTGTATATTTTTTCGGTCTTACGTTACATAGACACGGGTGTCCTTAAAAGCTTGATATAGATAAGACTTTATTTTCTTTAATATATTCTTAACCTATTGATGAATCATTAATTATATATTATAAAAGATAAGTATGTCTATGTTTTAAGGAAATACATGTTTTTATAAAAAACCGGTTTAAAAGTAATGGATTGCTGGTTTCTTTAAGTTAGGGATCCTTTACGTTAATCAAACGAGTTTCGGACACGTTTTATTTACGGACACACTTTAAAATTTTAATTATGAATTAATAAAGCTGCGAGGGTTAAGAAAAGAGTTTATGGCAACATCACATGAGACGGCAGTTGGTTCAGAGATATCTGGAATACTTGGAGGAGCGTCAGAAGCCCCAGTTTTTCTTAAACGAGTTTCGTTTGATACCTTTGATAATAGGGATGCTCGTGATTTTAGTTTAACGTTACGTGCAACACATCGTTCGTATACATATAGTTATCGTTCTCGTACATTTTTATGTGGAATTGATCAGAATGATTATTCAGAATCGGCTTTAGATTGGTTGATTGAAGTGTTAGTTGAAGATGGAGATGAAATTATTGCATTGAGAGTAATTGATCCAGGTAAGATGGATAAGGGGTTTAGGAGAGGATTTAGGGGGATGGGTTAGGGTTAAAAAAGGTTAAAGGAAGCTGAAGAGTTATATTTATATATATATATATTTTTAATATATGATTTTTAACATATATTAATAGGATCCCGTATGGCAGCTGGGTTATCGATGCAAGAAAAGATGTATCGTAAAGATGCAGACCTATTGATGGAACGTATTCTTCAAAAAAATGAAGAATCCAAAGCGGTATAGTTAAGTATTTATATTGATATGTTTAATCGAATTAGATTTCTGTTATGGTTGAATTTGCAATGGGAAAAGTGACAACGACTCTATTACACCGGGTAAGGTGATATTAGATCAGTGTAATATTTATATTACACTGGTATTATGTCTAATTTTATGTTTGGTTAATTATGAGAAAAGATTCATATTTATCAGCCGGATTCTCTTATAATTGGAACACGTGGTAAAGGACTTGGGCTTCAAAGTTTACTTCCAGGATCGATTTCCAAGTTGATAATTGTAGTAAAAGGATTATGTTAACATGTGTTAGATATTGCTTGGCAACTTCACCTGTGCCTGTCATTGTTGTTCGTCCTGACAGAAAACGAGAAGAAGCTAAGTCAAAACGACTTGCAAATCCTTTACGACAATCGTATGTTGAAATACTTGAAAAATCAAATAGTTCAATGGATTTTCGAACACTAAATCAATCGACGCAAGCAGAAAAACCAAGTAGTACAATAAAAAGTCATTTTGGTATTTTTGGAGGATCAAAATATAAACGACTTTCTGTTTAATCTATTAAAAACGGATAGGAATTTTATCTGGTAATTGATATAGACTTAATAAATGTCATCATCAAGAATAGTATTATTATAAATCTTACTGCATCAATGAGTTCTGGGTAATGTTTTACAAATCTGAGTTTTAAGCTATTCTCCTATGTAGTTTACATCGTTAGCTTCTCTAGATTTTAGTGTAGATCTTCATTTAGCAAGAAATTCAGCACAATCTTAGTTTGGAGTGATTCGACGGGTTTTATTAAAGATATATAATAAATATATAAAAAATGCTTTAAACAGACTGCAAATTTTTTTAAAATTATTTTCATCATTTAGATTGGCGTAGATAACCATTTTCCAGAACTTGTCCAAACTCTTTGTATATTTTTATAATAAGGATGACTTTCCCCTTCAAAACATTTTAGTCGATCAAGACGACGATCTCGAAGTCGGTTCTTTGGAAGCATTCTTGAAACTGCATGTCGTAGAACAGCACTAGCTCCTTCACGTTCTATCCACTGTTTCATCGTCCATTTTTTTAGCCCTCCTGGTCGACCAGTATGTCGTACATATGTTCGATTTAGTTTACGTGTATCAAGTCGAAGTAATGCACAATTTGTAACAATAACGTAATCACCCACATCCGCTAAAATTTATATTAAAATATGTTCGATATTAATATATTTTAAAAAAAATTACCTGCTGGATGATAAATAGGTTTATGTTTTCCCATAAGAAGACATGCTAAAGTACTTGCAAGTCTTCCTAGAATACAATTCTTTGCCGATATTTGATGCCATAACCGAGCATTAGCAAGTCTTATTTCCCCTTGAAGATAAGACATGCTTAATATTGTTTTTTATATCCCTTTATCAATATTTCGAAGTATATTCTATTATTTTTTTCAAATAATTAAACATCTATATTGCAAATATCTCTTTATAGATATTAATATTAATATATTAATATATTAATACATATAATTTCTAAAATAAAAAATATTTTAATACTGATAATTTAATAGGCATTAAGGCAATTTGTTTATTTAATTTTATATAACTTAATAAATTGCATATTTATAGTAATATATAATCTATGTTCTTATGCAAAGTAAAACTAACCTATAATTTATCTATATCTTTCTAATTTCTCATTTTATATTGAAAATATAAATAATATATTTTTTTATATTTTATAAATGATTGAAATATTAAAAACGAACATTAAAAGATCATTAATTTTTATAGTGAAATTTGATTGTTTTAAAACATGTCTTTCTATTGAAAAATACTATAAGAGAATATTGTAATTTTACTTTTTATACAATATTTCCGATAGGCTTAAGGTCTTAGAAAATAAAGCATACAAGACGCATATAAGACGCATATAAGACGCATATATACAGTCTATTTCAAGATAATATGGCGGATATGGAGAATTTGGAGTTTTCAGAATCATTTACAACAATGTTTACTATAAAAAAAAACCGCTATGCTCAAGTTGGTTTTAATAGATATTAATAATTTACTCAGTAGTATAGCAATTTCAAGTTTTACTTGATAGATCTACACCATATAAGGCTTGGCGATGGCTCGGATCACTTGGGTTGTTAGTCTTATTTATGATACGAATTTTTGTGGCTCAAGGATGGTATATTGGTAAATTAAATAGTATATATTAATGATAGATATTGATGGTATATAGTATGTTATGCTTTATGGATTTATCTTTTGAATTTATTTCTTGCCTTTCTTACGCCTAAGCTTGATCTTTCACTTGAACAAGATTTACAAGAGGAAGATACAGAAGTACGATTACCGATTCATCAGGATGAAGAATTTCGGCCATTTATTCGAAGGTATGTTGTTAAAAGGATAAGAAATGCATAAATGATATAATTTTTTGTTTCTTCTCTGAAAAATCGATTGTTAATTTGTCTTTTAATTATTATAAATAGACTTCCGGAATTTAAATTTTGGTATTCTGCAACAAGAGTCATCCTTATGGCTTTTATCTGCAGTTTTATTCCCTTCTTTGATATTCCAGTATTTGTACGGCAATGATTGGATTTTTTTATATTTAAAACTAATAGTGATAGTGGCCAATTTTGTTGATGTATTTTTGTATTCTTTTTACATTTACTATGCGTAGACAAATTAAACATATGATTAAGTATAGGTAGGAGAGTATCTTGATAGAATTTTGTATTTATTATTATTAGATATGTTCCTTTTGACATTGGGAAAAAACGGTTCTCTTCAAAATAAGGATGGTGTAGTATAATTATTATTTGCTTTAAAAATATTATGATGTTTAAGACAAATGGATGAATGTATGCTAAAGCATATGAAAAATATGAAAATAGTTAATAAAAACATGTTTGACTTTAAAATTTAAACATATTGTTACCCATTGTTATGTCATCCCTTGTTTCTTTTTTGAAACGTTTTAAACAACGTTCGAAGTCGAAAACTGTCCTGACATTTTTTGTGGAGACTTGATGTCTCCAAAAATGATGAAAAGAAATAAATGTATAACCTAAAAATTAATATGTGAAATTTAAGAAAAATAAGAGATATACAAAATAAATGTTTTATAGTTTCTTCGACATATACGCTATAATTGTAGCACTGAATAAAAATTCTTTCGAGTCTGTTTTCATTCATTAAATCTATAATGTATGCCAGGATATTTATAGCAGCAAGTGCAAAAGAATACCAAGGAAGGTTAATGTCAGTATGATTTGATCTAGATTCCGATATCATGATTTTAGTGTATTCATTTTGTGTTAATACAAAGTGATGTAGTAATTGTAGTCCAAAAATTCCTAGATAAAAAATAAATATTGTTAATCTTAAAATAAATATCATTCTACCCATAGATCTAAAATCTGTACTAGGATCATCTCCTTGAAAACCTAACTAAGATATTTAGCCAATATTTTAGCAAAATTAAAAATTGAAACCATCACCCAATTTTTTTTATTATTTTGTATTCCTTTTCCACTTACAATTAGTGCATCCCATATCTATTTTTGTTAAAATATCATACAATTTTTCAATATTTATTATTACTTCTTCAAACATTTTTTGATTTTGATAATATTCAACCTCTGTAAGACATTTTTGCATTATACTTTTTTTTTCTTTCTGAATAAAAAAAATACTCATAACTGAATAACGTAAACAGAGGCATTGTTTGGAACACATATCTTCTCTATAACTGTACTCTATTTTTTTCTTTAATAAAATTGACGTAATCACCGTATCAATAAACTTGATTTCTTCAAATGAATCTAAACTTCCTGCTCTATAGAGCAAATCCTTCCATTCACTATAAACAGATACTGACAAACATAATTCTACATCTTTATATATTATATTTAACCCATAATAGATAAAAAAAATTACAAATATTCCAAACTAAACTTTCTAACTTCTTATTTTCTTCAATATTCCAAATTTTCCGTCTTTCCTCCCCCCATTTCAACGACGATTCTTCCAATGATATATATGAATCTAAAATTCTGCAAATAGATGTCTTATGTGATACAATTCTATAAATTCTTTTATAGATTCTTCTTATTCTCCATATAGTTTCACAAATAGAATCTTTTAAAAAAACCCAAAAAATATCCTTTTTATTTTTTTTTTTTAAACTATTATTAAGTATTCTCTTTCTAATAATATTGTGTATTATTATATCATTCAATATCATGGCTTTGTTATTAAATATATTTGTTTAAAAATTATCTTATAAGGGTTACCACAGTAACCTATGCAAATCTTATCACGTCTACGATCATATTTATTGACAGTTAAGATAGATAAATTTTATAGAATAAGTCATCAAAAGGTCCTTAATATTAGGTTAAAATATTATAGAAATATGAGGAGAATTAATACTTTTGATGATTTATTAGAAAGCTTTAAAGAATTTGGAATTTCAGAGAATATTTTATATTGTGAAAATTCGAATCCTATTAGAAATCCTTATGATATTTTTCGTTTATATATTGCACATAGTCTTTCAAAAATCACGGGTATTTCGAATAAAGAGATTTATCCTATTTTAGAACATGGATCTAAGCTAGAAAATGGAGATTTGATGTTACCAGTTGCTCGATTACGTTTGGCGGAAAATCCTGTATCTTTAGCTAAAGAATGGTCGGAAAAGGTGTTTAGAGGCATTTTTTATTTAAAATATATTAATAATGTCTAAAGTTTCCTCAAAGAATTGTTTATTCTAAGCATCAAGGCGCCTTTATTCAATTTTTTTTTTGTCCGGAATTTCTTACGCACTTAGTGATTCCCTATATCCATAGAGATGGTGACAAGTATGGATATAACGAATCTGGAAAAGGGAAAAAAGTAGTTATTGATTTCGGGAGTCCGAATATTGCAAAACCATTTCATGCAGGTCATTTGCGAAGTACGATTATTGGAGCGTTTGTATCGAATATACATGAGTTTTGTTCATGGAAAGTTGTTCGATTGAACTATTTGGGAGATTGGGGGAAACAATTTGGTAAGAAAATTGAGTTTTTTTGTTTTCTGATTTCTTTTAGGTCTTTTAGCAATAGGATTTCAATTGTATGGGAATGAAGAAGCATTGGAATCAGATCCTATTCAGCATCTTTATGATGTTTATGTAAAAGTAAATTCATTTGCCTCGAAAAAAGATAATCCAGAAGCGGATGATTTAAATAATAAAGCTCGTGAGTATTTTAAGAGAATGGAAGAAGGTATATATTAATTTGAGAAACGACATCTTTAATAATATTAAGGTGATGAAACGGCCCTTAGTATATGGAGGCGTTTTCGGGATCTTAGTATTGAAAAGTATAAAATTACATATAATCGTTTAAATATTTGTTACGATGAATATGGAGGGGAATCAAAAGTTTCTCCAGAGAGTATTAAGATGGTTATTAATTCTCTTAAAGAAAGAGGTCTTTTAACTATAGATGATGGAGCTATGTTTATAGATTTATCAAAGTATTCAAAAAATCTTGGAAAAGCAATGCTTCAAAAAAGAGATGGGGCAAGTTTGTATTTAACAAGAGATATTGGGGAGGCTATTAATCGTTATGAAAAATATGAATTCGATAAAATGATTTATGTTGTTTCTTCACAACAGGATTTACATCTTGCTCAACTTTTTAAAATTTTAGAACTTCTTGATTTACCATGGGCTAAGTCATGTATACATATTAATTATGGTCTAGTTCTAGGAATGAGTACTAGGAAGGGCACTGCTGTTTTTTTGGATAATATTCTTGAAACAGCTAAAGAAAATATGCATGATGTAATGAAAAAGAATGAAAAAAAATATTCTCAAATCGAAGATCCTGAATATGTTTCAGATGTAGTTGGAATATCTGCTATTTTGATACAAGATATGTCTTCCAAACGGTATTTCTTAATATTTTTTTTATTTTTTTTAAAAAAAATTTCATAGTATAAATAATTATTCTTTTGAATGGCCACGTATATTAACATTTGAGGGTGATACTGGTCCATATTTGCAATATGCTCATTCTAGGTTGGAATCCGTAATAAGACGTCAGAATATCTCTCTGGAAGATATTCAGAAAGCAAAGCTTGATTTTTTAACAGAGCCAGCCGCAATAGATTTGATCCGATTACTAGCTCGATATCCTGATGTCATAAATACTACAATAAAAACATTGGAGCCATGCACCATCATTACTTATCTTTTTAAACTTACACATACTGTTAGCGGTTGTTATGATCTGCTCTGGGTTATGAACCAATCTCAAGATGTAGCTATGGCACGATTATCTCTTTTTCTTGCATGTAAAAGAGTCCTTGGTAATGGTATGAGATTACTTGGATTAACTCCTCTTGAAAGGTACGTAATATTTTGAATTGTCACTAGAACTTATATTATTTTAGAATGTAAATTATTAAAAATATATTATTATAATCTTTTTCTATAATCATTCAAATTTTGCATAAAATTTTGTCTAAATGTATTTTTGAATTAAATAAACATTTATGAATATTGATACGTTCAGATTCTATAATTATTTTCTCAAATATATCCCTTAATTCTATATATGATTCTTCTTTTTTAGATGTTTTTTCTAAATATTGTACTATATATATAAATTTTGATATTATATTATAAACATCACCATTAGATGTCCAGCCTAAATGGCCATCATATCCCTTTTCAATAACAATCTGTAAAAGTGTTTTTGCAAAAGAATTGGCCCATATTGTTAATTTATTGACTATGTATCCATTATCATCTAATAAAGCTAATGTCTTGATTATTTCATAATTGTCTCTTAGTGTGTCTCTCCATAAATTTTTTTTTTCATAAATAAATAAATTATTTGTTTCTTGAGAATAAGATAATATAGCTTGAAGTTCGTCAATATTTTCTGAATTAATAAGTAAATTTAAAAGTTTTTTTTTAAATGTAAAGGAATATTTATAAATAGAAGATAAATGATTAAGAAGAAGTTTTGAGGAATATGCAGGAGAAAATATGTTTTTTTCGAAAATAATTTGAGAAACAATTTCTGATGCTAGTTCCCTTATTTTTTCATCATCATCTTTTAAAAGCTTTAACAAAATAAAATAAATTGGTATAATATATTCTGATTGTTGAGAAGAATAATCACTAATCTTATTTAAAATAAGATGCTTTGAAAAACATTTTAAGGATTGCATTACAGACATTCTATTAATTCGATCCTATTAATCTATTAATATACTTTAATAGTAATATAAATAATATATACTTTATCTTCGTCGGAATTTAGATCAAGATATTTAATCCACTGATTAAATTGTTCCCAATAAATATCTTTAGGCTCTACATGCCATAACTTTTATATGTAAATTTTTTTGTCGAAAAATATATTTATAATATTACCTTAAATAATAAAGCTGATGTTAGTGAAATCAAAGCATCCATTTTAAGGGGATAACTATATGAATCTTTTAAAAGAAGTATAATTTTTGCTATCATAATTTTTAAATCATCTATATTTAAAGATGAAAAAGAAGAAATATTTAATAAATTGGACAAAGATAATGCTGCACTCGTTGTAAGGACTTCCCATCTTTCTTTTAAAATAATTGAGAAAATTTTGAAGATTATGGAAGAGGAAACAAGTGTTCTAGAATTTTTAAATAATGTAAAAAATATAGATATTTTTTACGTTTTTGTTGTGTATCTTAAATGGTTAAATATGCTTAATTTGACATCATAAGTAGAATTTTCTAGTAAATCTATAATGATTGTTTCATTTTTGATGTTTTTTTTGATTCTTTGAGGAAAATTTTCTAGTCCATATAAAAGTATTATAGATGCTTGTTTTAAAAAAAGGTTCATCCCAATTATTTTTTGATGATCCTTTTTTGATTGAAAAAGATCTATACAGAATTCTATAGTCATAATGCAGAGTTTCATTGTCTCTTCTGTATATATTGTATCTGTTTTTAGTTAATTTTAATTATTTCACTTAAAATATTAAATACTTTCAAATTTCGAACTTATTTTTTCTTTTATCCAATCAAGATCTATAAAATATAAAAAAATTATTTCTAAAACAAGACTTTTAGTAATAGCACAAGGATTATTTGAAACAATATTTTCGAATTTCTTTATTAACGCATTTGTTACATTAGTATAAAAGGCTAGAAACAATCAAAATATTTTATGTAAACTCAAAATGTTACCTTGTAGATCATTAATATGAAAAATGTTTTTATTTAAATAATTTATCCAACTTTGTATTAAATATTTAATTTTCAATAAATTTCCATGCAATGTATTTTGAATATCACTTTCACAAGATTCTAGAATGCTAATAATAGTATTTATACGCATGGATGGAAAAATAATAGTTGATATTGCTTTTGCTGACATTTCGCGTACCTTATAATAATTAGTTTTTTTTTTTAAATAAAATGAATTTAACCTTCCAAATATGAATTTTAGAACAATGATCTAAAAAAGGCATAAATTTGTCCATGCCAACCCATTCGTTATTTGAATAATCCATTGTAACTTCAAGATATGATATTAAAGTCAAAATTGGATTTAGTCCGACATAAATATTATTTTCCTATAATAATATAGATTAAAGAATATTTTTTAAAGGTTAAAAACATTATAGTTATCTAAATAAGAAACATGATATTTTAATTGTTGCAAAAGATATTCTCTTAGTTTAGGATATTTGTTGAAAAAAGTTTTAGATGACATCGTTTTGACAGTAGGATAAGAATCCTGTTTATGTTTTTTGCTTCCAAATACACGAGTTAGAAGTGAACTAAACAACATCATACTGCAATTACGTACAGTCCAGCTATAAAAAATTCAGTATTTATTTATTAAAAATAGTTAAATATTACATATTAGAGTTGAAACCATTAATACTTAAAACAAATCCTTTTTCAATAAACCTAGTTGAAATATTTGATAACCTTGATTCAAGAAAAATAACCCTTAGAGTATCATATGCATGGATTTGAGCTGTATTAACGCGGTCTTTTTGATGTATATGATTAATTTCTGCTATAGTCATAAGTTCTTCAATTGTCTTTAATAATAATGGACGAGAGCTATTTGTTTCAGATACTAATATACCGGTTATGCAATAAGGCAGCCCTCTGCTCTTTTTAGCAATAAATGATGACTTATTTCTCAAAGAAAATATGATTTTCTATTATTATCAGTATTAGCTGTTAGTTCTAATATTATCATAACTTGAAGCCAAGATTCTGGAAGAGAGTTCAGCTCTTTTTCGGAGGATATAAAAAGGGTAGAACATAATATAATAAAGTTTGAATAAATTGTAAAAAGTGCACCAGGATGTCGAATATTTATTAACCATTCTTTAAATAATTTTCCTCCATTATTATACTGTTCATATGTTGCTTTTGATAGCTGATTTGTTTTATCTGAGCGTGATAAAATAATAGCTAAAAGCATACTATTGATGTTAAAAACTCTAAATAAAAATATATATTACCTTGCTTCTTTTATACTCCTCCATGAATAAGCTAATATTATTTGTGAATGATTCGATGATATTTTAAGATTGTTTATTTCCATAAAATATTGAATATCTTCTTCATTTTTAGATATGTTTTTATTTTTTTCTGAAAACAAATTTTCAAATGAATCATCACATAAAATTGGATTAACAATCTTCCATATATCTTCGCAAAAACATATTAGTTTGTTATATATAGGATCTAAGGAATCTTTTATTTTAATATATAATTCTTTTTTTGAATGTATACTATTAAGAATATGTCTGAAACTTTAGATTTTATAATAAAATGTTTTTAAGCTTACTGTAAAGTAAGTAAATTTCCATGCAATGGAAATGAATTGACACCTAACAGTAAATTTTTAGAGCCAATTTGAATTGATTTTCTAAGCTCTTCAATTAAAATCTCTATTATTTTAATAGGATTATCAAGAATGTTGATTTTTGAAACCAAATCTTCTGTTTTTATAGTTTCTTCATGTTTAACAATTATTTTTTCAAAAATAAATAGTAATGCTTTGGCTCCGCCTTCTGCACTTATTGTACGATTACTTTTAATAAGTTCTAAAGATCTATTAAAAAATAGTGTAAGTTCGTTCTGTGTTAATCCATGAATTGGAAACGTAGACATAGATAATAGATCTATAGCTAGCTTTTGTGGTTCTTCATAGGAATTCATAAATTGATCAGTAAGAATTCTAATCATTGTAGCATCAAATATCCTTAAAGAAAAATGAAAACTTATTTTGGTTTTTTTTTCAAAATTCAAAGATATATTTGGATCGATACCTGTATTGATTAATTTTTTCATAATATTTAATGCGGTAACAACTCGTGTATAGGATAGACTTGGCAGCATTTCACTTTTTATAAAATCATATAACCATAATATGAAATTTTCGATATTAGTTAAAATGTTTGTTAATTCTTCTTCATTGGAAATTCCAGTTTGATCCATTTTTTTTAATTTTTTTGAGAAACTATGTGAACAAGAACAAAGTCTTAAAAGAATTTTGTTAACGATATCAATAATACAGCTTCGAGAGCTGGAATTAGAATCAATAATCAAATTTGGAAGAGTTTCCATTATAAGAGTGAGATTATCAGAAGAAATTGGTGTAGAAAGTTTAGAAGTTTCTACAATTAAAGAAAGGAGAGATAAACGATTTGATATTGACGAGCTATTTAAAAGATTCAATAACGTGTTTTGAAAAAGACCAAGATTTTTTAGATTTTGACTGTCTATTTAAAATGTCAGAACAAAAAGATGTAGATTTGTAAAATTATTTACTAAATTCTTGAAGAATATTCAAGTTATTGCCAATTTTTAGAATAATTATTAAAAGTGAAAAATATTGATCAGAACTTAATTTACTATTCTTAAGTCTATTGATAACTATTTTATAACATTCAATAGATTGTTCTAAAATCCCCGGAAGAAGCCATTTGGCAATGTTTTGCTTAAGAATAATATCATCTTTACAAAAACATTCTATAACATGTGGAAGCCAATACTCTATCCAAATCTCACTGGAATCCTTATTAATAATTAGTTAATTCTTAATTTTGATATTCTTTATATACCTTCTGAAAACGATGGTCTAAATTTTGTTTAAGAATTGTTAAAAAATTTATTAACATTTTTGAAAGTGCTGGCGCCAAACCAATATCTTTAAGAAATAATACTCTCGAAATAAAAAAGTTGGGTTCTATTGTTAAAATACAGTCTACTTCCAGAAATTTTGTTAATATATCAATTATATATATAGATGCTTTCATGGATGTATTTTCATTTAATGCTCTATAAAGAATTTTATTTAGTGATTTTTTAAAATCTTCATATGGTATAATGATTTTTTGAAGAGAAAGTAGTTTTGTAAAAAGTTCTCGTAAAATATTTTGAATTATGTTGCTTACTTCCCATCTTTCCCAAACAAAATCATACAATTTTTCCCATATCAGGTTTCCAAAAATATCTACTAATTCATCTTTCAATGGAGGAAAAAGCTCCACACACCGAATACAACGAGAAAGCCAAGTATTTAGTGTTTGAAATAATGATATTTGAATATGAGGCGCTAGAGAACATTCGATATTGTTAAAAATATAAAAAAAACAATATAGTAAAATATAACTTAAAATAAATCACCTGTTTTTATATAGAAGTTAATATACATACTCTTTCTTATCTTTTAAAAATGTAACCAGTTCTTCAGGTTTTGAATGAATAAGAACTTTACGTATATTTTCCGATATTTCATATTGATATTCTGCATATTTGTTTTGCTTGAATATATTGTTCTTGATAGAATTCTCATAGATACTAAGTTTATATGTTATCCATTCAATAAAACTGCTTTGTGTTTTTTCATCAAATTCAATCATATTTTATATTAATAGATTCCTTAGTTTTAATTTCTTTCGGATTGAAACAATCCATTTAATTAAACATTGTCTTTATTAGATATTAAAAATGTTTGTATTTTAGTTCTTGCTTAATAAAAAAATTGGTATAGAAAAAAATTGTAGTTAAGTAAAAACCCATAAAGTTATAAGCAAAAATTATACAAGTTTTTAACCATTTCTTATCATCTTATTTTGTTTTTATTGTATTAGATTTAGATTAAAAGTTATATTACACACAATGAAAAATTTAGAAATATTCAAACTGAAAATAAAATATTAAAAAAAAATCAATAATCAATAATATCCTTAAATATATATATTACATCCTTATTTTTTATATATTACTATTATTTCTGTGTAAATATTAAATAGGTTTCTTTTTTTATATAATATATGTATGGTATAGATATTAGGTTAACTATAATGTAAGTTGTTTGAACATTATGTTTCTTTTTATTTCATTTCTACTCATTAAATTTATTTAAATCTATGATTTTTATTTATTCAATGTTTATTTAAATCTAAAGTGTATCTTATACGTTAGACAATACCTTTAAATAATAAGGATTTTTTAATAGTTTTTAGAAGACTTTATTAGACTTAAACCTATTTTATAAGCTGAATAAATTGAAGAGATTAAGATAATATCTTTCATAGATATATTTGCCTTAAAGAAAGTAGTAATATATTGTGAAAATGACTCAGAAACAGAACACGCTATTTCATGGGATCTGTATTCCAGGTTAAATATATTGTTTTTGGATTTTTTAATCTTTAATAAATATAAAGTTCTATTAATCATTATAGGAGTTGTTATAATTAATAAAAAATATTTGTTTCATGGAATAGTATTAGCATTTACATTAAGTCTTCTTAAAATTTACCGTGGAAGTAGATTTGATATTGTAAACTCAATAAATGATTTAGTAAGTTTCCGTATAGGATCATGTATATCTCTTCATCCAGATAAATTCCAAGAATTTGAATTGATTGAAAAAACTATTATTAATTATAATTCTGCTATGTTAGATTTAATTTTCTATAATAGGGGGGTATTAATGATTGATTAGATATCGATTTGCTCTTGCTAAAGCAAATGATATATTAGGTTTGCCAATTGGACAGGTTGGGTTGATAAATGTTGAATTTTCTTTGTTTTTTTTACAAAATTATTTTTATAGCATATAATGGTATCTGTTACTATTGATGGCAAGAAAGTTTCTCGTCCATATACACCATGTTCTTCTGATGATGAGCGAGGATATTTTGATCTTCTCATTAAGGTAATAAAGAAAAGATAGTTTTGCTTTTTTATAACATTTTTAGTCGTATCCTACTGGAAAAGTTTCAAAGTATATTGGTGAGATGAAAATTGGTCAAACAATCAGCGTTAAGGGTCCAAGAGGAAAAATGAGATACTATTCAGGACTCGTTAAAGAATTTGGAATGATTGCTGGAGGTACTGGGATTACGCCAATGCTTCAGATAATTAGAGCTATTTTAAAAAATCCAGAAGATAAAACAAAAATATCTCTTATATTTGCTAATGTTACTGAAGCCGATATTCTTTTGAAAGACGAATTTGATATATTAGCTAATAAATATTCAAACTTTAGAATCTACTATGTTCTTAATAATCCTCCTTTTAATTGGACAGGTGGTGTTGGCTATGTTACTAAAGATATAATTAAAGAATATTGTCCTCCACCTGGACCTGATATGAAATTGTTATTGTGTGGTATATTTCTTGATAATAATGATTATTTTTTACTTATTAAATATTAGGACCGCCTCCAATGATAGTTGCTATGAAAAAAGAAATAGCTCTTCTTGGATATGATACACCAAGTTTAGTTTCTAAATTGACTGACCAAGTTTTTGTATTTTAAAAGTTTAAAATTTACTTATAAATAGATATAGTTTTTATTTTTTTAATTCTAAAAGTTCAAACTGTTATATATATGTATATATTTATTAGTAACCAATAATAGAGTTTTATATTACAATTAATATATTGGTTTTTATAATATTCTAATTTTAGAGATTAAATTCTTCTTAAAATTATATATATATATTATTTCTTTATTACTAAGCAGGTCTTATTTTTTCGAACGTTTAACCTTAGGTATTATATTATAATGGTTTTATAAAAGACAAGGAGTATTAAGAGATTTTATAAGTAGCAGTTGTGAAAATGATGCTTTTTCGTTATTTGAATAAAGTTCCTGTTGATTTCTTGGGTGTTCATAAAGTAAATTTTTAATTTAAAATGAATATAATTTAATGATTGAAAGCAGAAATCTGCATTACACTTAAGGATTTTGATTACATCTAGAATGATTTCTGTAGGAATTAATTTTCGGATATTTATATTTTTAATTAAATGATATTAGTCAGCAGTGTCATCTGAAATATTGTCTACGTCAGATAAATCTAATATGAAAGTATTTTCTATTTATAGATGGGTGTGTTATTTTTTTATTTCTAGTGTTAAAGTGGTTAATATTTTTTATTAGAATCCAGAAATACCATCTATAAAACCAAAAATGCAAAAATATGAGATTGATTTAAATGATACGGGTCCGATGGTTTTGGATGCTATTATCAAAATAAAAAATGAACAAGATGCTACGCTTTCATTTAGAAGATCATGTCGTGAAGGGATCTGTGGTTCATGTGCTATGAACATTGATGGTATTAATACACTTGCATGTTTATCTAGAATTCCTGTCAACTCTAAAGAAGTCAAGATTTATCCTCTTCCACATATGTATGTAATAAAAGGTATTATTTTTTTTTATGTTTTTTATTATTTATATTTATAGATCTTGTGGCTGATTTGACGCATTTTTATAAACAGTATAAATCAATTCAACCTTATCTTCAAAATAAGGAATTTCCTGAAAAAGAAATTTTTCAATCTCAGGAAGATAGAAAAAAGCTTGATGGGTTATATGAATGTATTTTGTGTGCATGTTGTTCAACAAGTTGTCCTAGCTATTGGTGGAATAGTGAAGAATATCTCGGGCCTGCTGTAAGTTAATATTTTGTGTATTTATCTTGTATTTTGAATTTTTTTCATAGGTATTGATGCAAGCCTATAGATGGATTATTGATTCTCGTGACGATGCGACTCAAGAGCGAAAAGAGAAGTTGCAAAACTCAATGTCGTTATATCGTTGTCATACAATTATGAATTGTGCTAGGTAGTTTCATTTTTTCTTTGAAATTGATATATGTTAATAATTATTATAGAACATGTCCAAAAGGTTTTCTATAAATATAAAGTTATCTTTAATTTTTAATATAAACAGGTCTTAATCCAGGCAAAGCAATCGCAGAAATAAAAAAAGAGATGGCTTTAGATTGATATATTTTTATATATTAATTTTATGGAAAATATAGGTTTTATAATTTATTAGTTATCTTTGTAAATGTAAAGATAGTTAAATTGGTTCTTTCCTAAAAAAAAAGAGTTTATGTTGATTTTTATTTGAAATATATCTGATTTAGTCTCAGCAAAATAAATAATGTGTTATTATATACTATAAAGGATAATTCGCATAATTTTTTATGTACATGACATATTTTTGACATTTATTGTATTAATATAATGAAATAAATTTAAAATGTTTACTTATTAATTCTTAATATTTTTATATGCTTGAGTATTTAATCTGCTTTTAAATATTTAGCTATTTATTAGATTTGATAAATAGATATTTTTTTGCATATATAAATGTTAACTGAGAAGCACTTCACCCTTATTTTTTTAAAATACATTTTAACATAATAATTTAATTTTTTATAAAACTATTTTAATTTATATATTTATACTGTTAAAGTTTAGATATTTAAAAAAAATAACATTTTTAAATATATAATAATAGTTATGAATATTATATTTTCAAACATATGTTAATGTTTAAAAAAATATTTGTTTAAAATAGATAACAAAATTAGCAACATCTTTATAAATTAATAATATATTCTTGTGAAATAAAATTTATTATATTCTATAAAAAAAGCAAATATTATATTTTGATTACTTTTTTGATTATATTAAAAGAAATTTCTTAATACTTGTCAATAAAATTACAAATATTGCTGACAATTTATTGAAACTTTTTTGTACAATTTAAAAAGTTTAATTATTTATTGGCTTTATTTATTATTAATAAATTTTTCAGTTCTTTTAAAGTTGTTTGATTATAATAATTTCATATATGTATTGAGATTTACAAATATTGAAGTTATAAAATATTAAAGAATTTTAAATTTTTTAAACGATTTAAAATCTTTATTAATCATTTTAAAATATTTTAGAAATGTATTAATCTTGTCTTTTTATGGTAATAAATTTTTGAGTAAATCCATTAGAAAATTATATTTAAAAGTTAACCGAAATTCTTTAAAAAATATGTCCAATTAGTTTATTAAGTATTGTTATTATATAGTTCTAGAGAAAGTTTTTATTTAAAATAATTGTATAAATTCGATTTTTTAAGATAACTATTTTAAATAAATTTTTATGGATAGGATCTTTATATTTGTTGAAAACATTTTGCTTTTTAATTTTCAATTCTAATAAAAATATAAATAGGTTTTTAAAATTCAACCTAAAGAGAATCCTTTTAGAAGACGCAAATAAACTATCCTTAAGAGGATTTTAAAAATAGAAATACACATTCCATATATCTTTCCAATGACATAATTCCTATTATATGTAAGTAACAAATAAATAAATAAATAAAATAAAAATATTTAACCTTTATAAAACTTTACGTTTTGAAAAAAAAAGAAAACAATAATATACTGTTTCTATATTAAAACTATTGGTTACAAAGATTTCCCGATTTAATCATAATTTTCAAAAATAAATTTTTAACATGATATGTTTAAACAAGGACAACAGATTCGGCTTGTTCCTCTGTCATATCATCGGGATTGCCTGTTAGTACTTCTTCAATTGCATCCAAAACATTATCAACATCTTCAATATTCAATCCACAACTCATAGCAATAAGCTTTCGGTATTCGTTCATTCTTTCCCCGATACCAGCCGCTGCAAAAAGTTCTACAATAGTATCAATAAGTTTCCGACGTTCTTTCTGCAAGTTCTGTAATTCATAAATTAAACGTTCTTTTTCTTTTCTATTTTCATTTTCATGTGATTTAGTAGTATATTGAAAGGCTAGTATTTCTTCTTTAATTAATCTAGCTAATTCCCTAGATTGGTTTTTTTCAATAACAATTCTTAATTTCTTAGATGCTGCTTCCATTTCTTTGTTAGCATTTTCTATTGTTTGCTTTTGTATTTCAGCAGCATTTGGATCAGTACCAATTATTTCTTGGAGAGATTTTCTGGATATTTCAATTTCCCTGTTCATATTAGCAAGTAATTCAAGCGCCTGAGTATGATAAGCCTCTTTATCTTTTAGTTCTGCGTCATATGCATTAGCTAGAAGCTTTAGCTTTTCTTGAATTTCAGGAAGGATTTCCTGAGTAGCCTTAATTGCTGCTTCAGATAAATGAGGTTGAGAATGTGTATTCATAAATCGAGAATATGGTGCTGAAAGTTTCGAGGTTTCATAGTGTTTATTATAATTATCTACGGATTGTTGATTAAGATATAATGAATTCTGTCTATGAGGCAAACTTTGACGTTGACGTTCATATTCAATGATATATTCTTCTGCTGTTCGTCCTTGGTTATTAGGGATATGTAAACTGGCATGAAAATTTGTTAAAACACGAATACATTTCCTAGCCCCGTTCCTGGCAAATATTGTTAAAGCGGTATCTCCTTCCGAATCTTTTGCATCTAAAAGTTGTGCTATTTCGTTTGCCGGTTGGATTTCAGATAGTCGATTTAATATTGTTTCTGCATAATATTTAGCTGCTAATAATTTAGAACGAGAGGTTGTTGTTGAAGCTATATGGTGAAAAACAGTCTGAGAAAATTTGTCTGATAAATGTATTGTAGGTTGTAAAATATGCATAAGTTGTGGAAATGACTTCAAATCATAATTATTTGTAAATAAAACAGACCTCATAAGTGCTGTCTGTCCTTGCAAATTAACTGTAGATATATTGGCACCTGCATCAAGGAGTGTCTCAACAACACGTAAATGACCCATCGCACATGCCCAGTGCAATGCTGTATGTCCTTCTTCATCGATAATAGAATTAGCATTGAAATCACTTGGACAATGGATGAGAAAGTCTGGTAAACTCTGATGGTTTGATGACATAAAAAAATCAAGTAATGCTTCGCTATATTTATTAAATTGTTTGTCATTATTAAAATTTTGCAGCTGCGTATATTTTCTTTTTCTATTTCCGATTCCTCCATCTAATTCTGAATTAATTGCAGATACTTCGGATTCTAAGTTGCTTTGAGTACTATGTGTTTCAATAGATACTGAGTCATCCATTGAAATGGAACTAAGATCTTCATCAGTTGGAATATGCTTTTTTGGTGTACGCAATAGTTCTTAAAAAATTAGCTAGACCTAATTCTAAAATATATTTACTTTGTGTTGGTGTTGATTGAGGCGTTCTTTTAGATGTTGAAGTAATCTGTTTAGGTACAGGTGGACTTTTCGTATTGGGTTGACAATCTAAAATCGGTTTTAATAAATCTTCAACTTTATATTGCTGAGCAAGCTCCAACGCCCTAGAAAGAGGAATCCAAGTTCCTCAATAACTAAGAATATTTTTTTTTTTATACCAAATTTACCTTGATATTTTCCGTAACCTCCTTGAACCTTTTCGTGCTCTCCTTTTTGTACTTCCCGTTCCAAAATTCGTGTGCGCTGAGGTTTATCAAAATCCGCAACTTTAAGGATCTGAGTTGCATTGATATATGAATCTGAGTACCGTCGCATTACAGCAATGCCTTTCACAACATACTCATAAACCGGAACACCGCTATATGTTGTCTTGAGAATTTTTGGTTGCGACATCAAAACCTTATAGGCTCAGGCGTTTTAGAATAGATTTCAAGGAACTGGATATTACTTCTTCAGCTTTACTGTGCTTTATCTTGAGTATGCTTGAATATTCCACAAGTGAACCAGCTGTTGCTAAGACAACAGTAACCTAAGAAACGCTTATTAGATATTAATATTAATATTTGAAGATCTTCAAGTGTTATAATTTAAAATAATATTAGTGAATGGCTGATCAAGATAAGTCATTTTTTAGTTCAGAGACAAATGGGTCTTTAAAAAAGGTTTGTAGACCTATTAATCTTTCTTATAGAGATGGGTTTATTTAATTAAAAAAAATTAAGAAGTATTTTAATGATATGTTAGTTGTATGAAGTTATTAGAGGAGTTGAATTATGTAAGATTTTTTTTAAATATTATAATTTTTTAAAAAAGAGAAGTGCCGTGAGAATACATGGTATTTGCCATGGAAATGTGTAGAAGAGAGACATGGTAAGTTTTTAGATAAATTAGCTTGAGTTAATAAATTAGCTTATGAAAAATGTGAATATGAAATGTAGGTTAATTGTTAATTAAAATGTTGTATAATTTTTCTTGAAGTTTTAAAGAACGTGTAAAAAGTTTGAAAGAATTAGAGAAAGTAGAAAGATAAGTATTGATATAAGAAATCGAATGTTTTAATTTGTGGGATAATATAAAAAAAGATCAATATTGAAAAGTAGATAAAGTAATATATGAAATATATACAATAAAAATTGGATAGGGTTATAGTTTTGTATTTATATATAATATTTATGTTATGCCTAAAAAGTAGTTGGTTAATTTTTGATTTTTACCAAACTCGTTTGATATTTTTTCAGCTTTTTTAATGAGATCGTAATTAATTTCTTGAGAAATTACGCTATCTTTTCTATATGCAGGATGGTTTCTTACGAATGAACGAATCCAGGATGCAGTTGTTTGCCATTCCCCTAATTTTATCACTATAAATAAATGTTGTAAATAGAAAGATATTTACCGCTTGCTCTTTTTTTTATAAGTTCCAAGTATTTTTCAAGAACCTGTCTTATCTTCTGAGAAAGATTAATAGAATCAAAATAGTCTTGAATTAGTGGAATAAGTCCTGGAAACCCATTATGAATATTGCCTTGACCATTAATGATTTCATGGATTGTCATTTTTTCATATTCATCATATTCGTCGTTAACCTGAAGCATTGTAATGTTTTTGGATGTTTTGTTAAGTTGTTCATTTTTTAATGAAGATTTTTGTTTTACAAAACATGAATTAACTGAAAATATATTTTTTCGGAACCAGAATTTTTCTGTTAATACAGATGATCTGTGATGAGCAGTGTTCATATTTTCATCTACCTATAAGGATTAAATCTGTTGTTAAAGAAAATAAAATTATAACTTTAGATATTGGAATATAGAAATTTAGGTCATAAAATAAGATTATACGAGTCAAAAGGTTAATAAAAATAGAATATGCTGCATTCTCAAAATCTGAAAGCTGAATTTCCATAGTACGAAATTCTACACGCCAACCAATATCAGTCCCTGGAGGTGGTGGTTTAAATCGTAATGCTTGCCAATTAGTAGATTGGATATTCTATAGTTTAAGATTAATTAAAAAAGAAAAAAATCTTACTTCAAAATGCCCTGATTCTTCTTTATTTTGAATAAGCATATTTGAAAAAATAATCAAAGGATCCCGAATAAAAAGATGAGAAATATGATTTGCTAAAAGCTCATCTACGCCTACCATAATTAGAAAGATTTAGAAAAAAAAAAAAAGTACCGTTGCTTATTAATTTTTCTTTTATCTCTTCATCTACAATAAGCTTTGTGTCATTATATTTTGGATGATTTTTTGTGTCATTAGCAATATAGCAATCGACAGAATCATATCTACTTTTAGAAATAACAAATTTATGATTTTTTAAGGGCTATTTTATCAACAATACGCAGAATATGAAATAACTTTACCTCTTCTCCCATTTCTTCAGCCGTTCGGTCATCAACGCATCTTGAAATAACATTCCAACGACAATCTTGGTCAGATAAATAGCCTTTATAAGCAGGTGACGCCGCCGTTAATGATAGCATAATAGGCCCCATAGGGATTAATTGATCATAGAGAATTTTTGCTTGTGAAATATCTGTTGTTTGGAAAGTAACTTGTAAGCAACAGCATCCCATACCAAAGCACATGCTATCCATATATATATGATTCGGTTTTATAATTTCATGTAATGATTCTACTGACTCAGGACAAGTCGTATTTAAAAGGGAAGCTGCTTCGTCAATAAAAGGCAGAGGAGTGTTCTCATCAATAAAGATAGGTACATTGATAACTACTTTTTTGCCTCGGCGTAACCGAATATTTTTAGTTAATGTAAGGAATCGAATATGTGGACTGATAATTTCATCTGGCAAAAACAAACTACATGATATACGGCCCTTTGGGGGATGATATGGATCCGTAAATACACCTGGTGCTCCTAGTCTAGGGAAAGATGTAAGTGTCAAAATAATCTCATTTGGTTTAATATATTTTTTAATTATAACTCGTCTATAAAAAATAAACCTTTCTTCATATCTCATATATATTTATGACCTATTTTTCATATTTTCCTCGATATCTAATAATGCTTCAATCTCTTCGCCATAAGGAATACCTGGAATTCCTTCAATCATGTAATTTCCATATTCTGAATGAAAAGATGGAAAAATATCATATTTTCTACATTTAAAGAGTCATTAATATCTTTTTCTCAGAAACCTGCTTACGTTTTTCTATCATCCAGAAATTCTGAATCTTTATTAGCTTCTTTATAATTTTCAATACTTTTAAGAATATTATCTTGTTGAAGGGATAAAGACGCAATCTTGTTTTTGTCATCATAAGAGATCAACATATATTCTATCTGTTCAATATATATTAACACAATATACTCATTCTTTGTCTTATATTACTTCATCTCCCCAAAGTAGTTGTTTTTTTTTCTTTTTTTTTGCTTCTTTCCATATATGAAGAAATTGCTAATATCTTTATAACTATTTATGTATTTTAATATGAATTTTCTATACCTCAATACCCTGTTTCCGTACATAATCTGCTTGTTGCTGGGTTTCTTCCCAAGAAAGTGGTGTACCTGATATCAGAAGCCCCATCTTTTTTAATAACAATATCTTATGTTTTTATAAAAAAAATAAATATAATATATAATATATAAAATAATAACTCCTATCTTTTATACAAATACTTTTTCTATGCAGGAAAAAGTAGTTTTGTATTGATTTATAACTAACGTTATTAGATAAATATTATTTTGGGCTTTTGATATACATTATGGTGTTAAAAAGTCTAGCACTTCAAATAGAAACACTTCGTTATCAGTATGCATTTGCTGTTCAGAAACATGTATTAGTGCCTTACATGGTAAATAAGTTCATTCTTCTAATTGAAAGATCTATGAAAATTATATCTAAAATGTTTAGGATGAGATTTTTCATGTAAATCAGATGCAAGAATATTGCAAAGGGAATTATTTAAAATGGAATGATAAGATCACTACTCCTCCTGGAATGTAGATATTTTAGGCTATTAGGTATATGATTTATAGGTTGTAGGTACTGGATACACTTGATAATACTTTGTGCTATACCGGATATAATAAATAGATGTGATTTATCAATTTTTAGGATGTTAAATACTATAACAGGAAGTTTTTGTGGATTATGTTTTGCTAAAGTTATAACATATTTTCGGGAAAATGAGTCAACAGAGATGGATGAAGTAGAAGGGATAATACTAGCTCAATTTCCATTATTATATTTCCATTCCTTTTTATATTATACTGATGTTTTATCTATATTTGTTGTATTTTTATCACTATTTTTGGCATTAAGAAAACAGTATAAAACAAGCGCTATAGTTTTAGCCTATACATATTTTATTATTACTTATGCAGTTAGGTTTCATTTTTTTCATTGACAATTAGACAGACGAATATTATATGGGTTTTATTTTTAATTGGAATTTCTATTTTTCCTCTCAATAGATCTATAAGATCAAGTGAGCAGGAACTTATGGTATATGATGTGCCAGCATGTGATGCAAACTTTTTTGGTAGGATAAGTGTATTTGAGGGAAAGGGTTATTAATATAAAAGACTATGTTTGCTTTATTAAGTCGTTGTATCGTTTTTTGTTTCAACAATACAAGCAAATAATAGAAGTTATATGGCCATACATTATTGTGGTATTTTTATTTGCAGTATTTCTTCTTTATAATAGAGGGGTTGTTCTAGGTACAGTCTAATTTAGATTATTTTTTGTTAATGTTGTAGGCGATAAGACAAATCACACTATTAAGATACATTTCCCACAATTATTTTACTTTTCGATTTTTACAGCATTTTGGGGATCTCCACATCTCTTAACTAATGGTATTATTACACATTTTTTCAAATGGTCATTAGGAAGTAAATGGGCATGTTTTCGTACATGTGTAATTATAATTATTATGGAGCTAATTATACATTATAATACGTATATCAGAAATTCATTAAGGTTTTTTTCTAACAAAAAATAGAAAAGAACATCCATTTCTTATGTCAGATAATAGACATTATACATTTTATATATGGAGGAGACTTATTAAAGTTCACCCAGTTGCAAAATATATAGCGGCACCATTTTACTATGCTAGTATGTGGGCTGTTTTAAATAAATTAATGTTTTATCATAAAATTTCTTATATTCTATTATTTACAATTGCTACAACTTTAGTTTTGGGCTTTGTATCATTACTAGAATTCCGATATTTTATAACACCATATCTTTTATGGAGATTTAGTATTCGAACTTCCCATAAGTTAAGATTATATGCAGAAGCATTTTTATTTTTGTATATTAATTATATTACAACAAATATATTTTTATATAAGCCTTTTATTTGGGAATCCGAACCTGGAAGCTTTCAAAGATTTATGTGGTAATATAATAAATATTTATTACTGATAATATCTATCTAGAAATGTATTACTGATTTTTTAAAAATATTTATAGTTTATGATTGGAATTTTTGCATAAATTATTCTCTAAAGTATCATATTTTAATATAAAAAATGATTTAATTTTCTATTTTGCCATTCTTGTTTGAAAACATATTAAAAACATTCCTATAGGAAATACTTTTATTCTTTTCTCTAGCCTTTTGAAACATATATTCTGCTCTTTCATAAAACTGTTTCCTTTCTGTTGTAATAGTTGTCTTTTCACTTAATTCTAATGCTGCCATCCCTGCATACTCATAAAAAGATGAATTTTCACTATATGGCGCAGATAATAAATAACTTATTTATTTAGCTTTTAAAAAAAAAAATAATAATTTACTCTTCAAGTATATTTAAAAGCTTTTCAAATTCTTCTTTTTCTATATATAAAAGTATAAGAGCTTTAAGTAATTCTTCTCCCTAAACTTTAATTAAACTAATATTATTTTTTTAAAATTCGTAGATATACAACTTTATCTTTTGATGAATCTGAACGTATAGGAGTTTGATAAAACGCAATCAACCCTTTAAGATATCTTTCTTGTTGATCTGGATCAATATGTCTAAGAATTTCTAGTCCAATATCCCATATATCATATAAACGAATCTCTCGGCAACGAATCAAAATAGAAAATGCATAATGTGCATCTGAAAATTCTCCTCTAAGAAGAGAAAGGTGCAATATCGTATGCAATGCCTTAATTTGATGTTTTCTTATAGAATATATCTTTTTCGACTCTTCAAATTTCTTATTTAACAAGGTTTCTGGACTAACTTCATTAGTTTTTTTTTATTAACCCTATATTTATTTTCATATAAATCTCTTTAAGCACTTTTGGCTGTTTTTTATGAATTTTTCTAGAAATTGGTAGTAGGAACATCTTTTTTTTAATTTTTTTTGCTGTTATCGGTATTTTAAAGTAATATATATTTACTTATTAATAAATAAGAGGTATTTTTCTTAAAAAAATAGGTTTATTGGTATTATTTTTTTATTCGTAATGGACGCTTTTAAAAGTCTTCATTCAATCAGCCTTAATAAGCCATTTTCGAGTATTTCACCATTTGCAAAGGTAAGTATTTTAAAAATTAATATTATCTTTTTTATAGACTTAATATTGATGTGTTTTGTAGAGGACGGCGCAGCTTGTGCGTCAGACTATTGGAACAGCGGATAATTTGGTATGTGATTATTTTATTAATGGCGAGAATTTATAATGTTATGAAATAGACAGAGCTTCCGGAGGAATATTTAGAATTGGAACGCTATGTTGATCAACTTAAAGTAGTTTATACTAAGCTTTTGTCTGTTACGTACGTCTGGTATATGATAAAAAAGGATTTAAATATTGATATAGATCGACATATGACAACGAGTCTTATGATTATCCAGCAAATCTTGTAAAATTGTTTTTTATATATTAAAATTATAATTGATTTTTAAAGCGAGAAACATTTAGCGAGTTTTCAAAGTCAATTCAGGAAAAAGTTCAGAATTTGGCGACAGCACATTCAGCTACGGAGGTCCAAGCAGCATTTTTAAAACCTACAAGTAAAGGTGTTTCAAAAACATTGCCTCATGCTCTCTCTAGGGCGGCTATGTCATGTTCTGAGCAGTTGGATGATTCAAACCCATTGAAAGATGTTTTAATGATCTATGCAGATGCGCAAGACAAAAGTAAAACATTTAGAGCCCTTTTTTTTTGTTATTAATGTGATCGGTAGTTGGTAATTCTCGTTTAAAGCAAGATTCGCGGATATCTGAGTCTTTTAATGGATATCTCACTTCAAATTTGGCCACAGTTTTTAGTTGCGCAGCTAAAGCCAGAAAAAATGTTAATATCAGGCGCATAGATCTCGATTCATTCAAATCATCTGCAAAAACAGTAAAACCTGAAAAACATGAGCAGTTATGCCGTGATATTGAGCATGCAGAAGATGTCTTTGTAACTGCAGTTGAAGAAGCGATACAAATCATGAAAAATGCTTTAGAGATTCCAGAATTGGTAGTAATATGAATTTGGACTTATAAATAATAATTTTTAGATTTTACAATTCAGAGAATTTGTGGATGCTCAACTCTGTTTTCACAAGGAAGCTTATGAGGTTTTATAATATTATATTTAACTGTTTTTTTTATATTTTTTAGATTTTATTAAACTTGTCTGAACGTCTATCAAAAATGTACTTATTATAATTTAATAAATATATGTTAATATTTACTAGGTAATATCATAAAATTTTGATATGATATTTCTAAAAAAAAATGTGGTTTAATTGGTTCTAATTAAAATTGTGTATAATTTGAGTATTTTTTTAAATAGTAATTTATAAATTTTTATTTTTATATGATAATTTAAATGTTTCACATATAATTTATTTTTATTTTAAATGTTATTTTTCTACATTTTGTTTTAATATTATATAATAATCGAATATTAATATTAACGTCTATCTGTTTTTCCTGCCTTACGTTTTCCTGAAAAAAGATGTTTTGGTTTTTTATTAAAAACACGTCTATCGCTTTCTGATGCCATGGCAAGATGCTTTAATTTACGCTGATATAATCTAGCTAGTTTTTCCGCCTTTGATCTTGTCAAAGGATCAGCGATACCATTAGAATTACGATTTTTATTTGGAACTCTAGAATACGATTCATTAGAAACATTTTTCATTTTAATATCTTCATTTAGTTGTTTTGAACTTGAGATTTTCTTTGAATGTGAATTTAAACGCTCATGTATAAATGATGTATCTAATCCAATTGATGTTAAATGTTTACTCATTTCTGAAACCGATTTTAGACCAATAGTACGAGGAAGGATAGCTCTATTGTTTAATGCTTTTTTAGATTTAGCTTTTCTTTTTATAGAGTCATTTCTTTCTTTAAGAAATTTAGCTTTTTCTAATATTTTAATATCTTCTTCATTCTTCTAATAATGTATTAATAAAGCAATAGAAATTATTTAAACATACAATTTCTTCGTCGGAATCATAAAAGCCTTCTTGTTCGAGTCTTTTTTCTTCTTCTTCCAATTCAGCAAGTTTGGTTTCAATATTAGGATCGATAAAGTCATATATATTTTTTCCATTGAATAATTCAGGTACAATATCTAACTTCCACTCAGGATTCTCAAGTATGTAATTTTCTAGTATAATTAGTAATTGTAGAAATTTTGTTATTTTTTACTTTTAAGATCAATATTGTATACACCTGGACCTCCATGTTCCATTTCTATATCTTTTTCTAATTTTCTTCTATTAGGATCATTCCAATCATATGGTTTTCTATCTTTTAAACCATCTGGTATGATTGGTAATCTTTCAATATTGTCCCTTATTATAGGTTTTGCAAGATGAATTCTATTCATAATATTGTCTGCCTTTTTATCTTTAAGCTTTTCTTCTATTCTGGATTCTAGTAGTTTATCACAGCACTAGTTTAAAGTAAGGAGGACAGAAAATAAATCACATATATTACATACTATATTTCTTACATTCATTACTCCTTCTTCGGTTACACAACTAGTTTCAACCATTTGTACATTCTCATCATCCAAAATTGATTGAAGCAATGCTTTACTTTTTTCATCTAAATTATTCGGATGCATAAGATCTATTTTATTAATAATAATCATGGTAACTTTGTTAGAAAAAAGAGGCTTTAAACTATGATATAATTTTACTTGAGATTCGAGAGGATACCCGCAATGCTCACTTAAATCTATAAAATAAAGGATACATGCTCGAAGATGAGCTAGTGCAGTAACACTTTGCATTTCTATAGTATTCATATCTTCTAATGGATGATCCAGAATACCTGGAGTATCAATCACTTGCCTAAAAGATTATCAATATAAAACAAGTAAAATATATTCAAAAATCGTACCATCTCAAATATTTATAGTCCATATGACCAACAAAAAGAGATTTTGTTGTAAAAGGATATGGAGCTTCTTCGACATCTGCCCGCGTTATTTTATTCATAAAAGATGATTTTCCGACATTAGGTAAGCCGCAAATAAGTAAAGTCCGAGTATTTGGCTCTATTGAAGGAAGCCTTGCAAGATGCTGACGAACTTGTTCTAAGTATGTTAAAACCTGGCTTTGACGACGCAAAATTGTCGCCATTCTTAATTATTAGTTAAAATTATCTCTAAATTCTAATATACCGTCCAAGTGCTGCCCTTTTTAGCTGTTTGCAGCGATATCTTAAAAGTATTAGAAATAAACCTTTAAATCACTATGGATCATACAAACTGTCTCCATATTTAAGTAGACGAACATATTCCCGTGCTACTGTATTAATAAGATGTTTTGCTGTTGCAATATGTGATAAAGCAATCTTAAAATGATCTTTATCATATAAAACATTTAGTAAGTCTGCGTAAAATGGATGAAGATCATCCAGTCGAGGAAATTCATCAAGAATATCTTGAAGCTTTTTTTCCAATGTATCTTTTGTAAATGTAACCTTACGAGTATAAAAACTCCTATAGATCTTAAAAATGCTCTTTTAATTGGTAATAACTAACCGAATACGAGAAATTTTAAATCCCGGACGAATAACTGTCGGTGTTTTACGCTGAGTTTTGGATAAAACAATATCTAAAAATTCCTTTGAAGAAGGAATAGGTGCAATAGACTATTTATCAATTATATTTCTCGTTAGAAAGTTAATTTTATACCTTAAAATGCATAGTACTTTAAATTTTTCGATTTTTTCTGTACGAAATTATCTACTTTATTCGATATAGATAATCAATGTAAATAGTAAAAAATATTTCAAGAACAAAATTCTTTAAAAAGGAAAAATTGTTATTAAAAAGACTCATTATTAGGTAAAAATATATAATTGTTTGTATTTAACAGTATGTAATTTTAGAGAATGTTAACGATATACGATATAAAAATATATTTTTATTAAAATTTAAAAATAAATTTATAATTAGTTATTTTTCATGTTATAAGAGTCTAGAAAGTTATGGAATTTAGAAATTGTATTAGTTTTTTGAGAATGAGAAATGATAGATTTTTCATATCTTAACTATTTTTTTTAAAAGTATTTTATATTTAAAGACTAAGATAAATTGCTAGTTGAAAAACATAATATCTTTATAGAAAGCAATTGGGGAAAGGGGTTTGGTCATTTTAAGTTAAGAAATTTCTATTAAGAAGTTAGTTTTTAAATTTCTTGGTGTTTAAGATAAAGAAATATATTTCGATCATAAAATAAGCCAATCAGTGTTTCTAAATACTATTAATTCTATTAAAAGCTCCAAAATGTATTAAAATTGCAAGGATTTTAAGAAAATGAATAAGAAGTTTGATATTTTGATAATTGGTTATAGAAAATTATATAATATTATTATTATAAACGATATGATTTACTTTGAAAAACTGGGCATTATAAAAATATAAACTATTAAGAATTATAATTACATCTAGGAATTATTTTATGTATTTTTATATTTTAAAATTTTGTTTACAAGAGATATTTATATAAGAAATATTCTATAAAAACTATAATTATATATAAATCCTTTTTATATTTTAATTTTAATAATATTTCAATTATATTGATTAAAAATATATATTGATTAAAACTGTTAAGACGAAAAACTCTTTAAAGATTTATTTATAATTGTGATACTTAAATAAATAATAATAGTTTTCTTTTGAAATTTTTTTTTATTATTTAAAGAGATAAATTTTGTTAAATTGTTTTAATGTCAAAAAGACAAAAAAATACATTAAAAATTAAATTGCAGACTAGTATATATATCAAGATTATATCAACATGTAAAAGTATTATTGAAATAAATTTTGTCTAGTAGTATAGATTATATATTAGAGGATACATGAACATTCATAAACATTTGTTTATGAACAGAAAGTAGAAATATTTCTAATAGTTTATAAAGAAACATATATTTTTCTTAAATGAAATATAAATATGTCAAAAAGAAGGCATTTCTAATATTTTTCAAGCTTGAAAACGATTCGACATTTATACATCTTAAAATTCATCATAAGAAGTTGTAGAAATAAATGGCAATTTTAACATCTGCTCTTTCAGCAGAACGGAAAAATCTTCGTGCATGTCTCTTATGTGGGATTATTCTTTCATATAAACACTTTTTATCACAGGGTTAATTTTTTTTGGAGATTTTTTTGCAACTAATAAAATTAGGATGTCCTAATTGTGAAATGCTTCTTCAGATTTCTGCATCAGAAGATTCTGTACAAGAATGTACATCTCCTATTTATGAAGGTGTTCTTGCTGTAATGCAACCGACGGAATCTTGGGTAGCGAAGTGGCAACGTATTAATCGATTTGTCGGTGGTGTTTATGCCATTCGTGTACAAGGACGATTACCCGAGGAAGTAATTGAACAACTAGATCGTCGTAATGTTCAGTATCGTCCTCGTGATGGGACAGTGGATGACTAAATTTGTTTATTAATGGTAAATTGATGTATCATATCATTCTATGGAATATTTATAATTATTCAATCACATTTTCATTCGATATTTTGGGGTAATTTTAAGCAATAATATCTGTTTGCATTACTTTTTGGATATTGAATTTAGGACATATAAACTAGGAAATTAATAATTTTGATCTTTTTATTTTTATAAAATATAAGTCATAAATTTAATGGTTTAAAATTTATCGATATTAAACATTTATGTGATCGGTATCTTCATTTTAAGATGTTGGAATACACTCTTAAACTACGTATATTGGAGAATTTCAAAAATTAATAGCTTTTTAATTTTATATAAAAAAAATTACTTATATATTTCTATTATTATATTAGATACCATAACTGGCATCTAGAGGACTTGTGTGTGTTTTGTTTTATAATAAATAAATACATATTTCATATTTTTTTTTCTTTGAAATTCTTAAACCGAAGTACTTAAACATATGGATGCTTTTTCAGTATTAAGTGGAGGAACGAATCTTAAAAAGAGAAAAATAGAAGAACTAAAAGATAATGAAGGTATAAAATATTGAAATTTTTATATAAGGAGTCAATATTTTCATAAAAAATAGATAAAAAATCTGATATAATAAAAAATAACGAATTTCACACAGAATCTCTATTGTTTCCGTATTCAGATGAAGAAATCAAAAGATTCCGACGTTTATTCCGTATTCGCGTAACAGGAAATGATATCCCACCGCCAATAATGACATTTTCAGCAATGAGTGAACAATTATTGTTTCCAAATTTTATTCGAAGAAATATAAAAAAATGTGCATTTGAAGCTCCTACTCCTGTTCAGATGCAGGCTATTCCTATATCTGCCTCAGGTAGAGATTTATTTGTTTGTTCTCCTACAGGATCTGGTAAAACATTGGCTTTCGTTATACCAATATTGCTTGATCTTAAAAAACACTCAGATAAAGGATTCCGTGCTTTAATAATTACTCCTGTGAATGGGCTTTCCAAGCAGGTATTTTCTTTGTTATTCAATATTATTAATTATTAGATTTATAGAGAAATCAAGCGATTTACTGATGGTAAAAAGTTTAAAATTTGTCATCTCCGAAGATCTACTATTTCTAATGTCGTGAAATCCAAATATGATATTGTAATATCTACACCTCAAATGGCTTTAAAAGCAATTTCTGAAAAAAACCTTAATTATGAAAAGTATTCTCTTTTGATAACTAAACTTAAGACTAAATTGTATAGTGTGCGACACCTTATTTTTGATGAAGGAGATAGATTATTTGATCATGAATTCATAGAGCAAACTAATAAACTTATTACGTATTTTTCTTCAAATGTAAGAAAGTCTTTATTTTCTGCAACAATACCCTCTAGTGTTGAAAATTCCTTGAATACAATTATGAATCATCCTATTCGTCTCATTGTTGGAAAAAAGTGAGTTTTTCTTTTAGTTTTTTTGATTTAAATATAAATAGAGATACAACCACTAATACAATTGATCAAAGGCTTGTTCATGTGGGTTCAGAAGAAGGAAAATTAATTGCTCTAAGACAATTAATTCATGAAGGAGGTTTCCAACCTCCCGTACTTATTTTTGTACAGTCTGTTGAGCGGGCTAATGAATTATATAATGAACTTAAATTTGAGGGATTTAATATTGATGTAATGCACGGTGAACGAACACAAGCGCAAAAGGACTCTTTGATTCATAGATTTCGACAGGGAGAAATATTTGTTTTAATTTGTACGGATATCATGTCAAGAGGCATGGATTTTAAGGGGGTAACGCTTGTTATTAACTATGATTTTCCTGTATCAATTCAAAGCTATATTCATCGGGTTGGTCGAACAGGAAGAGCCGGTAGATTCGGAAAGGCTATTACTTATTTTTCAACTTCAGACACTAAATATCTTCGCAGGTATTATTTTGTAATTTTCTTTATCTTTACTATCTAGTAATAGTATTGTTCATGTTATGCAAAGATCAGGTTCTGAAGTCCCCGAATGGATGATTAATTTGCTTCCTAAAATCCCAAAAAAAGTAAAAAAAAAACTTAAACGAGTCCCTCCACAAAGAACACCAATTTCCACATTTTCAATTCATAATAAAAAAAATATAAGCATTAATAATTGATTTAAACAAATAGACATTCATTTCAGAAATATTATACATTTCAAATAAAACAAACTCTATCTAATTCTTTTCATAGAAATTGCGATATAAAATTATTATTTTTTGAATGTTTTAAAATTATTAAACTATAATATATTATTAAATTTTATAACCTACGATATGACGTCTCCCAATTATCTCCCCAATTTTAAAGAATCCATATACTTGAAGAGAAAAAATTCCAAGCCGAATCCATTCTTTTTGTGATAAAGAATAAAAATATGAAATGTTTGTATATTGAGGAATTTTTCTATATGTATATTTAATTTCTGCAACTGAGGGCGGTTTCAGTCGCTCTTGAATCCAAACTAAAAATTAATAGTTAAGTCTTTTTGATCTTAACTGATTTATTGTATTTTACCTTGTTTTATGAGTTCTCGTGCAACTTGTGCATTATATTCAAATAAAACTCGATAATTATTTGGTTGATAAAAAACATTACTTGCTGTTTTTATTTTTTCACAACTTTTCTTTGTTTTTGTTATTAAAGTTTTAAAGATTTTTTGGCCTGTTTCTACTAATTTTGCTGTTCTTTGCATTATTTTGATAAGAAATGATTAAAGAGAGTATGCCGAAGTCTTAATTTTAACCCTATGTTTAAATATACAACCCTATATCTATATAAAATAGGTATTGCAAATCATCAATAAGAATCTACAAATATTTTATTCTGAGATCTTAAATATTATAATAGGAAGAAAATATAATATATATATCATATATATATCATATATATTACAAAATGTCTAGTAGTGTGATTGTAGTAGGGCTTATACTTGGATTAATAAGTTGGTTTGCTTATAAACAAACATTGGATGAATCACAAAGGTGAGTGGTATTTTAATGCAATAACAAAATTGTGCTTGCATGGTAAAGAATAATATAATTAATATTGGATAATTCAGAATTGGAAGAGTAGTATTGATTCTATCACTGGTAGTTTGTTATTTAATATGGGCTATTACGTAAAACCCCTATAAATATAAATGTAAATAATTAAAGTAATTAGATATCTTGCACAGTTACATCCTTTGGTATTGTTTTCTAGGAAAGGTGCCTATTACTAAAATTCTTATAGTTGGTACCGCAAAAAGCAGGCTAATTAGGATAAAAAAAGTGATTATCGATTTAGTTATTATTTTAAAGGTGTAAATTAATTATGATCCAAAGTTCTGGTATAAATATAGATATTTAAGAGATTTTGTAGATACATTTATTGAAGCAGCTCCATGGAAGCCAACGATTTTGAAGATGGACTCTCAATGGAATGTCAAGTGTATATTTTAGAAAGAAAGAAAAAACCAATGTCCTAGATAGTCCACCAGAAAGAACCAAAATTAAAGCCTTTAAGTCTCCACAGTTTAGTTGAACTGGAGAAATTAGTTATTTAAGTATATTAATCAATAAAAATAACTTTTGATTGCTTCGAAATTACTATAAAGCACAACCCATTCAATGATTTGATTAGCTGTTGGTGTATCATAAGACCATATAATCATCAATACAGGTAGTAATCGGGCCCCTGAAGAAACAAGAATTGCAGTAGAGATAGCATTAGGTCTGCAAACTAGTTAATGAAATCGTGCCGGAGGCATATAATAAAATCTTCCTTTGCCATCCCAACCACTGTCGTGCTAATATTCTAGGTCCCCAATGAAAAGAAATAGTTTCTAAAAGACATATAATTAAAAAATACAGGCATTTTGCTATGCCTGACAAAATAGCTTGTGAAGATGTAGATGTTGATATACTTTGTTCTGATTGTCGATCAGCCCGTAGCCACATAAGATCTATTTGATATAAAAAGTATTGAACCAAAGTATATTGAAGTCTTACAAACATCAAAAAGTATTAATAGAAGCCAGAAGCGAACAATATAAGGCTATAAAAATTAGTTTTAATAATTTATTAGTTATTAACACATTAAAGTGATTATCTTGTGTTCCAAGTTGATTAAATAATAGATGTCGGTATACCTTTTCTATTAGAAAAAAATAATAAAAAAAATGACTTACTTGAGGTTTTATAAGCATTAAATCAATTGTTATAATAACATAATCAAACTCCACATACTTGTCGGCAAATTCCTTACAAAGTGGCTAACTAATTAGTTAAGTTTAAATTTAATAAAATTCATACACATTGTGTTAGTCTAAAATTATTCTTTGAATATTCTGTATAAAGGCTTGTAACAGGATGGGCGCATTCAACGCACAATAACATGATAGTTTATAGAGAAATAGACAATCGATAAGACGGTACGTTTTCTGTTTTTGAAGCAGATAAAAATTGAAAAAAAGGATTACATCTAAAGCACATAGAAGCAATATATGTATTTTATTTTATATATAGAAAACATTTATTTGTTTTAAATTATCTTAAATAACGAGTTGATATATATAGAATGGATTGTTAGTCATTAAGACTTACTTTAATAGTTGTCGAAAAATATACCAATATTTTTGTGTTGAATATATATTGAATCTATATTGTTTTTGTATTGTTTTTTGCAGTATTTTAGTTGCAATTTTCTAAAAAATTATGCATAACTAAAATAGATATATACTAATAATATATAAATATTATAATTAATAATAATCTTAAATATAAAGAGAAAAGTTAAATAAATGGTTTTTTTCTTGGGTATATTATTAAAATTTTTAGTGTTACCAACTAGATCAAAATAAATAAGTAGTAAGCCTATTTATCTTTATAAAATTATAGTGAATAATATAAAAACTTTAAAAAAATATCAATTATATTAAAATAGAGTACAGAAATAATAGAAATTCATAATTATATTTTTTAAAATGACAAATTATATGAATTGTAAAAAAATAATCCATGCTATTACTAATCTTCAATGAGTAAAATATAAAAAGAAAGAAATATAATACAAAAATTATAGAGTAAAAGAGGATAAATAACAAGAATATTTCTTTTGACGAGATAAAAATCATTTATAACGTTAAGTGATGCTATAAACATTCAGAAAAAAATAATTATAAAAGATAAGCAAACCATAAGTTGACCAGATATATGCAAAAATGATTAAAAGAAACCTGATGAAAATAGTTTGTATAAAAAGATTCTAGTATATATTAATGGCGAAAAATAAAAAGTTCGAGAGATACAAATATAGTACAAATGACAAAAGGGAATAAAGAATATCCAAGAATACATATAGATTGAAATAGTGATCTATTTCTTTTAATATCTTATTTGCAATTTTCAAAAAATATACATTGGGACTTTCAAAAGCTTGAGATTTAAAGTGATAATCAATTTGCCCACCCAGATAATACAGAAAATTCCTGTAAAAACATTGATTGATTCGTTTTTTGATGTTTCCAATGACAAACATAAAGAAAAAATAAGACAAAAAATAAATGGACCCCATAAATCCCCTAAAATAATTAATTAAATGAATAAATGATATTATTGAAAAAAATACAGTTACGTAAGATATTGCAATTTTCATGAGGAAGTAGTATATATTTTGCTCTGATGCCTATCATTTTAACATCATTATACTTTATATATATTAGTTTATAATATGATAGATTTTAAAATACAATTGTCATGTAAATGGGCTCTTCTAGAGTACTTATATAAGTATTCCTATGTATTAGATTAAAAACTCTAAGTCTATTTAATTATTATATGAAATACCTTTCATTAGTAGCATATGTGTTTATGTTTTTTGAAATAGTTTCTATTCTATCCTCTTGAGAGTCTATATAAACAAAAGGATCGTCATTAGTATTTGGATCTTCTAAGAAATATGGATCTTTTGGTGCTAAATTGCTTTGATTTTTCATCTTTTAAAGGTAAGTTTTGAATTACTAGGTTTGATGCTAAATATTATCGGAAAAAATCTAAAAATTAGGTAAAAATAATGTTAGATAGACTACCGGAAGGATACCTGCCAAAATGGAATCTAATTATATCTATAATCGCTTTTTTTAATACAATTCAAACATATATTAGTTTGAAGTTAACAAAACATGTATACAGTGGTGCTTGTGATCAAGGTAAATATGTATTATTATAAATAATTATTATTTATATGACTAGTAAATCCCTTAGCAACAAGACTTTTTGGAACATGGACATTGATTTCAGCAATTATAAGATTTTATGGATCATATTATATGTCTAATTTTGTGTAAAAATATATAAATATTTTATAAAATAATTTATATGATTAGTATTTATGAAATAATATTATGGACATATTATATTGCGATATTTCATTTCATTACAGAATGGTTTATATTTAAAAGTGTTAAATTTGGTGCGCCACTTGCAGGGCCACTTATCGTTTCTAGTAATATTACCATATGTAAAATTTTGGTAAACTCTAATGATAGTAGCTTTAAGTATTATTTGGATGAATGTTTTTCGCGAGAGCTATGTACATCATTAATAGATAAGTGCATTAGAATAAAATGATCAGTTTATATTAAATAATATTAACTGAATTTATAATCATATTTTATGTTATAATTTATATCAAATTTTTATATATTTTTTAAATACTAGTTTTAAAATGTAACTTTATATAAAAAGAAACGTCTGCTCCTTGATGTCTTCAATCATTTACAGATTTTTTAGTATTTAGTAAAAGTAAATTAGAAAGGTTTTTCAGTTCTTTATAGCATGAAATTATGTCTCTATAATATTAGTGATATAAAAACTATATTGTTGAATTTTATGAAGTTTTAGATCTTATCACACTATTTTTTATATATTTTTTTAAAATGATTTGAAACATTTGTATTCGTTTAAGTCATTTCGATCCATTTTTGAATAATGGATGACTTTGATAAAATAGATTACAAATTTTCAAAATCTAATGTAAGGTTTCGAAGTATCTAAGTTTGATGATAGATAGTTTCAGAAAGTTTGGCTTCATGGTGTTTAAATTTTAAATTTTGATAAAAAAAATTGTTTTTCTGTATCTGATTTTGTTTTTTTTTTTAAAATCAATGTCTAAAATATCGTCACTAGATATACAAATATTTAAATTTAATTAAATATTTGTATTGTAAATTACTGTACTTTTTCTTTTAAATCTTTTAAAGTTGTTTATCGTTCTCTTTTGATAATAGTTAATTTTTTTAGCATATCTTCTATTTTATTTACTTCATTTTGAATATCACTAGGACCATCAGGATCTAAAAGACTTGTTCGAGAACTTTGAATAGCTTTTTTAATTTCTTGTTGATAATTTTTTAATATTTTTTTTCTCCAATTAATATAGTTATTTGATGCACAAAAGAATTATACTCAAATATTAATTGCAAATGTAAATCAGTATATGGGAAAGATTCTTTCTACATAAAGAGGATTGTTTTTTCATTAAAGTCAATGAACTAGATGGAATCTATGACCATTTGTGTAAATATTTTTTCTAATATATATTACCAATTAATAATAAAAATAATAAATATTACCCTCATTTTTTCATGTTCTTGTTCTTCCTTGTTCATAATAAATTCAATTTTATTTAGATCAATAGTTATTCTTTCTTTCAAATTTAAAAGACTATTAAAAAGTGATAAAATTTTATAACCCTTCTTTTGATCAAGTATAGATTTCGATAACCCAATAATTTCTTCAGGAACTTTGATAATTCTTTCACTATTATCCAATCATTACACTTATACTGCTTTAAAGAGTAAGGTAATTTTAAATGACTTAACGTTATATCCAGTTCTAAATCCCCAGTTTCACATCTTTCTAATTCTTTTCTAATTAGTTTCGCCTTTTGTTCTGAATACAATGAGACGCTTTTATGAATAGATTTGGTATAAACTTTTATAGAAAATATCTTGTCAAATTAATTCTTGTATATTTCGATTGACATATATTTCTTGGATAGGAATTGCTTTTGTCATTGAAAGCTTTTCAAGAGGCTTAAGTAATTCTTTACTAACAATAGATTGATAATATATATAATCATTATTGTGATTTAATTTACTTTTCTTGTGTTTGCATAGAAAGGCTTTTAATTATATTATTAAAATATGACATTGGATCATACTTTAGTTTATCAGAAGTAGATATTGACAAATATAAAGATAATAGAAGCTTAGAAGCTTTGCAACGATCTATATTTATTATTAATAAATGTTCTAAAGTCTCTCCATATTTATTATTTTCATCCACTAGAGCTTTATTTAAATGTTCATAGAGCTATTGTATTTTTATTTTACCTAATATTATTAACATTTAGCTAGAATAATGCAAAATTGTACTTCACAAAGTTGCAACCAATATTTTTTAGATATTTTAAGTATTTTTAGAATTTTACAATATTCCAGTAATACCAAACTGTTTACACGCAAAACTTGGATATTGTACTAAGTTTTTTTGATTCATCGATTTGCTTTTCATCCATGACTTCTTAAGCTTCAATAGGCCTAATTTCACATAAAGATTTTATATTATCTTTTTTTTTTCAATTCATAGCTTAGAACATGCAAAAATAGTATTTATAGATTCAAATATTTCAACCACTGATTAGAAACAATGCACATACCTTCTATACTAATAAATGTTGTTACATGATTATATTCATAAATCTACAATATTTTTATAATTGTATAATACTAGATAAAATTTATATATTTTTTCATCTATAGTAAATCTAAATTCTAAAAATTCAAATTATCCATAATATCTGGCACTTCTAATTAACATAATCATATAAAATTCTATATTAAAATATACTGAAAATATAAAATTGCTTTAATATATTTCATTTTTATCAATAGGTGTAACTTCAATATTTTTTTCAATAATTTAATTTAATAAACTTTTTTGTTTTTTTAAAATATATACAAATTAGAACTTTAATAGGGTTTCCAGGGCTTTTTAAAGAATTATTTATATACTATATATAAATATTACGGAAATTTGAAATTATTTTATATTTTTAATGCTTTTTATCGATAACATCGATTTGTTTTAATGAGGTTTATTTTAAATTAATTTTTCGTCACTAAAAAATGGTTTTGGTAGCATGCTGCCAGTTCTGCTCAACGTTAGTATTTTTTCTAATACTTATATATTTGCTTTTGGTATTATAGAAGATCAATTTTGAAGAACCTTGAGATATGCAAAGAATTAATGAATCGTGCAGCTTCAGTAGGTGCTCAAGTTTGTTTTTTTCCAGAGGCTAGTGATTTTATTGGGCTTAATGTTTGTTGTTAATGATATTTTTCGTTATTTTATAAGATTTAGCATGAGGATTCTATGAAGCTTACATTTTCTCATGAGAGAGAAGTGTTTATTAATGAATTTAAAGAACATGTAAAACTTTTAAAAATACATGCTTCTGTAAGATTTATATATGTATTTAGAAAATACTTAGATTTTAGGTAGGTGTTCATGAACCTATTTTGTCAAAAGACCTTATTGCAAATGTGTGTCTTTGGATAGATGACGAAGGAAATGTTATACATAAATATCAAAAGCTGCATTTGTTTTCTATTAATGCTGTTGATCGTATTATGATATAGGTTTTGATGTTTATAAATAATAAAGAATAGATCAAAGAATGAAAGAATCAAAGTATATAGAAGGAGGGAAAAGTATTGTTCCTCCATTTAAAACGTAAGTTTGATATTGATTTATGAAAAAAAAAAAATGAAAATAATTAGACCTATTGGCAATGTTGGATTAGCCATATGCCACGATTTAAGGTATCCTGAAATGTCTATAAAACTTCGAAATCTTGGAGCAGAAGTTATCACCTATCCATCTGCGTTTATTTCTAGGTAAGTATATTTCAATAAAACGTTCATATTAATAATTTTAAAGAACCGGTGCTGATCAGTAAATATTTAATTTATTTTGATATTTTTTAATTTTTTTAAGTTGGACAACGCTATTATGTGCACGAGCGATTGAAACTCAGGAAAGTATTGTTTTTTTTATTTTTAAAATTATTAAGATATAAATAGTCTTATGTAATAGCCGCAAATCAGGCTGGCAAACATAATGAAACTCGTGAAAGTTATGGACATAGCATGGTAAATACTATATAATTATATACGTATTATTTATCTGATTACGTTTTTTATAGATTGTAGATCCTTGGGGTATGTTTTTTACTATAATTTCACTAATTTAACAGTTTACAGGTATTGTACTCGCATCTTGCTCTACTGCTTCAAGAGAGCCATCTTTTTGTATTGCAGATATTGATTCCTCACTTGTTCACAAGGTTAGAAAAGAATTACCTCTTACTAGAAGGTTATTATATATATATATATATATTATTGTTTCCTTATTTTTCTAGAAATGATGTGTATCCTAAGATATAAATTGTTTCTGATTGTTTATAGCTTTTTTTTTGTATTTAAATAAACTTTTTTTATTTTAATTCTTACGTTCGAAGATTAAGTTTTGAAAAGTTGTCTATTATTATTACAGGGGAATTAAAATATTATTTATATAGTAGAGGAGGCCTACGTATTTAAGAATTTCTGTTTGTTTATATTAGAAAGTGCTATATTTATTTCTTCCCTTATTATACGAATTTTTAACTGTGTTATTACATACTATAATGGTATTTCAATTTGATGCAAACTTCTATTCGGCTTTTATGAGATGCTTCAGAAACAAACGTTTACAAAAATTAGCTCTATTCCCGATAAATCATATGATCTTTTCAGTATCTTTGTTATTAGGTCAAAAATATTATAGTAAAAATTTAAAAATGAATCATATATATTCGAGAAAAGGTACATTTTTATATCCGACTATATATCGTACTTGCTTGTTATCGTCATATCATGGATTTTTGTATCAAATTTCTAGTTTTTTGAAAGATTTAGGACATAAGAAACTTTATATGGATGAAAAATTTCAAGAAAAAAAAAAGAATATCATATTTAAAAAATATTCACTAGAAGGCCCAAACTTTTTCAAAGAGTGTTTAATAGGTTTTCCCCTTTATGGGAATAGAAGATTTTCAACATCTAGTTTTATTTTTAGATCGAGTGGAAGTGGTGGGAATCATGGAAAGGGAAAGTTTAATGGCAAAAATCAAGAACATGGTCTCCAAAAACCTGTTGTACCGGAGGTCTATCCTCGAATGATGGCACTCCCTATTCTCCGGAGACCTTTATTTCCAGGTAGATTCGATTTGATCTTTTTTTGACTAATGTTTGTAGGCTTCTATAGTATGTATAGAATTTTTGAAACAGTATTTTAACTTATTTATTTCAGAGGCAATTGTAATAAAGAATCCTTCAGTCATTGAGGCTATTAAGGAGATGATTAGAAGAAGTCAACCTTATATTGGAGCATTTCTTCTTAAAGAAGATGTAGATACGGATACTATTACTAATATTAATCAGGTATATAGTGTAGGTGTTTTTTCTCAAATTACAAGTGTATTTCCTGCAAATAATGTAGGAGATGAAAATGCTCTTACTGTAGTATTATATCCACATAGACGAATCAAAATTGTTGATTTAATAAAACCTCAAACCAACATTAATGGTGTAAAGAATTCTGAAAATATATCAACGGATAATAATAATGATCATCCTGGATATGAGGATTCTAGTTCTCAGACATATGTGGCTGATCAAAATGTAGAAGATGGTTTTGTCAAAGGCCCAGTTAATGATTCTTCTGTAAATGGTATTTTTTGGAATTTGCTTATAATTTATTGCTAAGAAATTGTAGATGACAGTCACTATGCTACATCTTTTTTGAATGCTTATGATGTATCATTAGTTAATGTAGAAAATTTAATTGACGAAAGTTTTGATCCAAAAAATAATATTATTAGAGCAGTTACATCTGAAATAGTCAGTGTTTTTAAAGATATAGCGACATTTAATCCATTATTTCGAGATCAAATTGCAAATTTTTCCATGTTTCAGTCTACAGGAAATGTATTTGAAGAGCCTGCAAAGCTTGCTGATTTTGCAGCTGCTGTATCTGCTGGTGAAATATCAGAATTACAAGATATTTTAGAAACTTTATCTATAGAAGCTAGATTACAGAAATCGCTTTTGGTTTTGAAAAAAGAACTTATGAATGCTCAACTTCAGAGTAAAATTAGTAAAGATGTCGAATCAAAAATTCAGAAAAGACAGAGAGAGTATTATTTAATTGAGCAAATGAAGGGCATAAAAAGGGAATTAGGTCTAGAGACTGATGGAAAAGATAAATTAGTTGAAAAATTTAAAGATAAAGTATCCAAACTTTCCATGCCGGAAAATGTAAAAAAAACATTTGATGAAGTTTGTATTTTTTATCTCTTTTTCTTTTTAACTAGATATAGGAGTTAAATAAGCTTATTTATTTAGAGCCATCTGCTTCTGAGTTTAATGTAACGCGGAATTATTTGGATTGGTTGACTCAGATACCATGGGGGCAACGATCTATAGAAAATTATGATATTAATTATGCTATAAAGGTTTTAGATGAGGACCATTATGGATTAAAGGATATAAAAGATTGGATTTTAGAATTTATAGCTGTTGGGAAGCTGAGAGGTACTGTTGAGGGCAAGATCCTTTGTTTTGTTGGGCCTCCTGGTAATGATCTTAATAAAATTATTTTTATGTTGATTTTTTAAGGTGTTGGTAAAACTTCTATTGGTAAATCTATTGCAAGGGCATTGAATCGCCAATTTTATCGTTTTAGTGTTGGAGGTCTTACTGATATTGCTGAAATAAAAGGTCACAGAAGGACATATGTTGGCGCAATGCCTGGAAAAATTATCCAAAGTTTAAAAAAGGTTCAAACAGAAAATCCATTAATACTTATTGATGAGGTCGACAAAATTGGTCGTGGGCATCAAGGAGATCCATCAAGTGCTTTGCTTGAGCTTTTGGATCCTGAACAAAATTCTTCTTTTCTTGATCATTATCTTGATCTTCCTGTTGATCTTTCTAAGGTTTTGTTTGTTTGTACAGCAAATATTACAGATCATATTCCGGTACCACTTCTGGATAGAATGGAAATTATACATATATCAGGCTATGTAGCTGATGAAAAAATGGCAATTGCAAAAAATTATCTTGTTCCTGAAGCCAAAGAGCTTGCTGGCTTAAAAGACATCGATGTTAATCTGACTAATGATGCAATTGAACTTCTTATTAAGTATTATTGCCGTGAAAGTGGCGTTCGAAGCTTAAAAAAATATATAAATAAGGTATTTATTTTCCTGTTATGCTGATAGATATATAACGAATTTTAGGTATATCGTAAATCTACTTTGAATATTGTTAAAACTCTTGGAAATACATTTGAAGAAGAATCATTAATTGATGAAAAAAAAGATCATGTAAATGAACAGAATAACCTTGCGGCGCATTCTTCAAAGTCTGCAGAAAAAGTCCGGAAGCCTTTAAAAGTTCCTGACACTATTTCTATAACAATAGATTCTTCAAATTTGAAGGATTATGTTGGTCCACCTATTTTTACTACTGATAGGCTTTATGAAAAAACTCCTCCAGGTGTTGTTATGGGTTTGGCATGGACAAGTCAAGGTTAAGCATTTATTTCAACGTTTAACGTTAGTTTAATATTCATAGGCGGTGCTGTTTTATACGTGGAATCTATTTTAGAAAATGCATTATCCTCAAAATCCAAACCAGGTTTTACTTGCACTGGTCAATTAGGTAATGTTATGAAAGAATCTTCAACTATAGCATATTCTTATTCAAAAAAATATATTTCTCAAAATTATCCTGATAATAAATTTTTTGAAAAGGCTCGAATTCATCTTCATTGCCCAGAAGGTGCTGTTCCAAAAGATGGTAAATAATTATTATAAAATACAAAAAGATTCTAACTTTTTAGGCCCTTCTGCTGGGATTACAATGACGACTTCAATATTATCATTGGCTTTAAATTATTCAATACCGTCAACTATAGCAATGACAGGAGAAATTACTTTGACTGGAAAAATATTGAAAATTGGAGGTCTCAAAGAGAAAATAATTGCTGCTAAAAGATCTGGTGTAAATACTATTATTTATCCAGATGCTAATCAAGCCGATTGGGATATAATTCCTGATAATATTAAAGAAGGTTTAATAGCTTTACCTGTTAATTGGTATTCAGATGTTTTTGATATAATTTTTAAAAATATGGATAAGTCTAAAATTTCCACATTATGAAAAATGACCTTGAAAATCTTAAGGCAATTTTATGAAAATTAATCGGTTTTGATTTTTCTGCATTTAAACTTTTTATTTTCGCATTACATAAATAATGTTAATCCTTATATATATACACATTCATATTTACATAATTTTGTTCTTTTATATAATAAATTTATATATTTTTTTTTGAAAAAAAATATCTAAAAACATCTGTTTATATTTTAATAAACTTATTAATATTTTTCAATATTTATTTTTAATATATTAAATATTTATAAACTTCTATACTATCTATGATTTATATTATTTTATATGAATTTTATGCTTAATTTTTGTCTTTCTTTTTTAATAAATTAATGTTTTTGTTTAAATGTTTAAGTACTCTGGAATTTTGGTAAACGATAACACAACCTCTATTCTTATTACTATTTGAATTATTAGTTTAATGAGCCATAGACTTAGTAAATATAGATAGGAACTGAATTTCATTAAATACTTATAGTAATCTTATCCATATATATTGAGTTTTGTTAATAATAATTGTTGATAGATAATTTGTTATAAATGACTGCTCAAGCAAATAGATGTATAAGTTCAACAAATGAACATGATATTGATTTAGAAAATTGGATTATTCGAGTAAAGAAGCTTCAAGAAGATCGTAATGGGGAAGATGAGGAACGTGATAGGAAGCTAGAAGAGGTAAAGATTTTAGATTAAATATTTTCTAGAATTTGATTATGTAATGATAGGAAATTTTAGCGGAAAGGCAAGCTAGACATGAGAGAAGAGCACGTAGTTTTAGGATATTGTATTTATAAAGTTATCTAAGTTTATTAGAACGGGAACTTTCTTTATCTCCTGATAGACTTAAACCTGTTTCATGTGCTAGTTCTCGGCATTCTATTTGTTCTTTATCAAATTTATTTAAGGAAAAATGTTCTACTAAAACTGATTTGCCAAATACAGTTTGTTATAAGGATTCTTTTGAGGAAAATATTAATGTTTGTATTTTTGTTTTTTTTTTTAAAAAAAATAAAGTCTTTAGAAATATTCCAAGAATTTTTCTGAAATATCAGAGCAAGCATATATTTTAACTGACATGCATACGAAAGAAGACAGTTCATCTTCAGCTTTAGGAACATCTGCAGATATTGGTATGATAAATTATAGAATAATGTGTTTTTAATAATTTTATTAGAGAATAATCAGGCATGTAATTATGAAGCTCTTTCTTTTCAGGCAAAAGAGTCTTTATATGCATCTCAGTTGCGATCTAAGGATGTTTCATATGCTTCATCTATCTTAAAAGTTAAAGAAATTGATAAAATGGAACCAGGAGTGCTAGAAAATAAACAAATGCCTTTGAAAAATCTTTCTAATACTATTCTTTCTTCAGGAAACCTTGAAAATTGTAAACCAGTGTCATCTGTAAGTAAATTTAATTATAAATCATTTATATTGATGTTTAAAGCAAAATTTTATAGATGTTAGTTCAAGCCCTTATTCTTCGCCTTCTCTAATATCATCATATTCTGATACCTTAGTTTCAAACAGATTATTAGGAAGTGATTTGCCATCATTGTCTTCTTACAATAATTTATCTATTATGGCTGATATCGCTAGAAGCCCAACTAAAGGAAGTTTTGTGCAAAGTGCTGCAATGAAAAATAATGAATATCGAAAATCAGTATCTGAACTTTCTAGAAATAGTTCTATTCTTTCTCGGAAAAGTGCAAAATTAAACTCAGAAATATTAATTAAGATGTCGGGCGTTCAAAAAATAAAGTTAAATGATGAAATTAATTCATTAGAGAATGATGCGATTTTTTCTACAAAGGATAATATTATATTGAATTCTGATTATAAATTGAACTTAAAGGAATCCTGTAATACTTTGGAAAATACTAAAACAAATATGGAAAATATGGTATTTCTATTTATAAATTTTTAAAAATATTAATTTTTAAAAGTCTTTTTCTGGTGACTTGAATGTTTTAGATCCTTTAAAAAAAAAAGGTTCTGATGATTCTTTAAAACCTGCATCTTTGGAGTTTAAGAAATTAAATACTTCTCCGACTTCCTTCCATGAATTTCAAAATGTATCTAGTAAGGTAAAAAACAATTTTTCTAGCCAGTTTTCTACACCCAAATCCTCAATTATCGAGGGATCGCCGGATTTTTCCGATTTTTCTAAAGGAAAATATTCATCTTCAGCTTCATTTTCTAATTCTTCAAAGATGGATTCTTTTAAGGCAGGAATACTTGATGCTAAAAATAATTTGCGCCCTTCTTTTAGGACATCGTCTCCCAAGTATGATCCTTTTAAGGATGATATTCTAAATGCAAAAGAATCTCTTAAATCATTTTCTGCATCTCCGCGAGAAAAATCTGATATTTTTAAGGAACGCCTTTTGGAAGCAAGATCTTCTTTAGGAAAACCAGGAAGTTCTAGTTGTAAATCCTCTATTGAAGATTCTTTGCCTTTAAGATTTAAAAAGTCAGGTAGATTTATTTTTTAGAACTTGTCTTATTTCGGTAGATCATAATATGAGTGAATGAGTTATCCTTAAATTCTTATTGTATAAAAATTGTTTTTGCTCCTGAAGGTGATTCGGGTTTTTTTTCCAATTTATTAGTCTGGTTTTATGATATCAATATAGACTTTAAATAGTTTGCTTTACTTTCGAAAAATTATACTATTCATCTTAACTGTTTACGGATTTTTTTGTTAATATTAAGAATTATGATCGATTAATATATGTTTGTTATACTTTTTTTTTCTTCATTTATTTTATTTGAATGACTAAAAATTGTCTTAAATAGTCTCAAAAGAGAACTCGTGTGAATTTAGTGAAGATATAGTAAGTTTATATCTTTTTTGATTATTAATTTTAAAGTTTATATATTCTAATTTGAATCTAGGTTCTCAAATTTATTAAAATAATATAACGTATTTGAATTTCAATTTCGGTAATACTATGCTTAAAAATATAAGTTTTTCAATAAATACGAGTTGGTTTTTTTGATGAAGATTATATATAATTTGATTTAAATTTTAAATTATTAATTATTAATTATAACATCAAGAAAGACTGATCATATAGATATAATAATACTTTTCTTGTTAAAAGTTTTATAAGTTTACTTATAACTGTGTGGGCTGAAGTTCTTACAAAAAAATTAAGCGTATCTCACTTTAAAAAGTTTGCAATAATAATAAAAATAATATAAGATAGTTTATTAAACAGGATGTTGATTTAAATTATATGATTAATGGCATTGATTTTTTTTTGTAATTAAAATAACATGCATCTAGATTTAATTATGATGTATTGGAATCATATTGTAATTTTATTTCAAATGATTGTAAAAATGAAATATTGAATTCTTCAGCTTTTAGTATTAATAAATTGTTTATGATTTATGGAAATATTAATCATATTTTGAAACTTTATTTCAGACTAAGAACTGTTGAATTTCTGTAAACTATTTTCTTCAAAAATGTATATTTTTTAATTGTAGACTTTTTTAAAAATTTATAAAATAATAGTATTAGTGATTTTTTTTAATTTTTTTAATTTGTAAAATAACAAAATTGGTTTTTATTTATGTATACTAATTTTAAAAGAATATAATTTTGATATTTTGAAAAATTGTTCTAAAGAGCTTTTGAATTTTAATTAAGATAATTGTTTATATATGGATTATTTAAAATAATGAATGTATTTTTGTTTTTAGGGGATTAAATTATATAAATTATGATATAAAACATTAATTCAAGCATTTATATGAATTTAATATGAATATGTTTTTTTAAAAAAAATATTAAAACTTATTAAAAAAAATATATTCAATTATTCTTCAATTATTATTTTTATAGTTTTTTTATTAAATGCTTGATTAATATTATTTATACTTTTTATTATAAAACGAAAAGATTGCTTTGTATATATTTTAGATGCTATAGTTTCTATACAAAAGAAATTAAAATTTTTGAAGATGATTATGCTACGTAACCTATTTGATCAATTATGAGTGATATGACTGTATAGCACATAGAATTTATAAATAATGTTTACTTAAAAGCAATGATTTATATATATAATACAGTAAACTTTTATTTTGAATATAATAAAAGTTTTGTTAAATGAAAACATTATTTAATCAAGTCTTTGTAATATTTTAAAGAATATCTCTTGTAAGAATCATAGTAAGAAATTCTATTTAAATTGATTGTATAATGAGGAGGGGAGAAGACATCTTAATTTTATATTATTTTTCTTCAGAAAATTATATATTTGCTTTATATTGGACTTTAAAATTATGTAAATTGTTTAATTATTGAAACTTAATGGGAATTCAAAAGAAAAAAAGTGTTTTTATTTTTAGATAATAATTATTTTTAATATTTAAAAGATTTTTGAAGTTTTTTTATTATATATTTATTTTTATGGCAAAATAAAGCTTTTATTGAGTGTTTATTTTGAGTTTTATATTATTATTAAATATAATGCTAAAAAATTATGTAATATATAAATATTTTAAGAAACATTCATATGATATTGATCTTTTATAAATTTAGAGAAATTAGAAACAAATAATAAGAATATTGATAAAATATATTTTATAATAAATAAATCTAAATAAATGATTTATACTGATTCTATTTTTTCAAATATATAAGATATACAGCCTTTATCTATTTCATCATTTTCTTGTAATATTCTTTGTAATACAGTATCATCTATATTATAATAATCATTATTTTTTGATATTTCAATATGTGAATATTCATTAATGCTATAAAGATATTTTTTTTTTAAATAATTTGGCTATAAAACATGAACATATATAATAATATTATAATTATGTTTTTACCGTTATTGCTTCAGGTTCTAGTATTTGACTTGATTTTACCCAACCGCCTAAATCAATTTTTTCATCAAACATTTCCCCATGGTTAATATTTTTGATATTTGATCCATCGCCCTGGCACCTGCAGCCCAAAAGTTCATGAGTTTGACAAGATGTATCTTGATAAAAAAAAAGCGATTTTAATTCTTCTTGTGTAAAAGAATCTCTTTTTGACGTTATTTTGGAATCCTGATAAAATATGTAAATATATTAATATCTAAAATTCTAAATATTTACTATAAATGTATCAGAAAGAGCTTGTTTTGTTATCTGTCTTTGATATATTTTTTCATCAATCATCCCTGATCTTTAATAATTAATTTTATAAATGAAAAATTGGTCATTTTACGTAAGAAACCGATATACAAACGTTTTTTTTTGCTGGCCTAGATATATATTTAATAAATATGATAGATATTAAAAATTATATCTACCATCACGACGTATACGAGCCATAGCTTGAATATCCAAGCTTTTAATTAGTATAGTTTTAGATACTTTTGATATTTTTACCTAGGGTTCCAATCTATGTCAAATAAAACTAATCTAGATGCTCCAATTAGATTAAGTCCATATCCTCCTGACTTTGCTGATAATAGGAATGCAACTAAAGATATTAATATATAAAATATATATGTGCGTATATATTGTAAGTACATATTTCACTGGAATCAGATGTATTGAATTTATCTACATATTCTTGTCTTTTTGCATTAGCAGTCTGTCCGTCAAGACGAAGGTATGACAAAGATTTTAAAATTAGTATATTTTCTAAAATCTGAAGGGTCTTTTAAAATAAGAAAGTATATTTGAGTATGCTTTTAGAGATACCTGAGTATAATGTGAAACAATAACAACTTTTTCTTCGGTAGTCTTTAATTCTTCTAGAAATTTATCAAAAACTAAAAGCTTTCCTGATTTCTTCGAAAGATCTGATGAAAATTTGTGTTTAATATTTGTATAAAACATATCGAATTCCTAGTTTTTTAAAAAATTAGCTAAAAAAAATGAAGTTAATGATTTTACATCATTTCTTTTTTGAAATAGAAGTGCTGGAGAATTGCAAATTTTTTTCAGGTAAGTTAAAGCCTGTAAATGAACTGTCATATCAACATTATACGAGCTTAAATTTAACATTGATACGTCTATTAATTTGCGGTATATGTCTACTTGCAATGATGTTGGTTTGCAAAATACTATATATTCAACTTTATTTATCAATAATACGGTAATTAAGAATTCTAGAATACCTGTAGGAGGAAGATATTCATTAAGAATTTTAGAAGTTCTTCGAAGAACAAACATTTTTGTTAAAGATGAAAGCTAATAAAGTTATTCGATAAATTTATTATCTCATAAAACTTACTTGTTCGGTACGGATTCTTCCTTTTTCTTCATCTTTTTTCATACATCCTATTTGTCTACTTCTAATGATTGGATTTTCAAATTCTCTTTTAAATGTAGAGTAGTTTTCTAATAAACCTGGATTTACAAAGTCTACCATTACATAAAATTCACTCAAATATAAAGACAATTTAATGTAAATCCGATAGAAATAATTATACCTACCATTTTGAATAGGAGTTCCACTTAAAATGATTCTTCTACGAGTTTTAAGAGATTTGATAGCTTGTGCTGATTTATTTGAAGCAGATTTGAGACGATGACCTAATCCTTATTATAAAACATAATATTAATTATAAACAAAATACCTTCATCACATATAACAATATCTATATTTGCATCTTTTAGTTCATCACATACATTTCTCAACTTTTGAAATAAAAGTTAATAATAATCTATAAAAAGAAAAAATTACTCTTTCATAACCAATTATCATTATTGAATAAACATTTCCAACTGAAAAACTTTTAATATTAATATTTGAATCAACGACAAATAATCCAATTTTTTCACTTCCACCTATCCATTTTCGAAATTCTCGTTTCCAATTCTAAACACTATATAAATATGTTTTTTAGCAAACGAATGTTAATTATACATTAATAAGAGTAACTGGACAGACTATTAATGCGCGTTTAATAATTGGTTCTTTTCCGTAATATGGATTTTGTTCTAGAAATATTTAGAAATAAAAAGATATAAAAATTTATATACTTAATAAAGTCCAAAGGAGTGCAATAATCTGAAGAGATTTTCCGAGACCCATCTAAATTAATGAATTAATAATTTTTCTAATTATTTATTTACTTCATCTGCCAAAATAGCACCCTGACCCTCAAATTCTCTCATTTTCATCACACATTCATAAAGAAATTTAACACCTTCACGCTGATGAGGTCGAAGATGTTTAGATAACATTGGATCAACAACTACATCTATTATTCGAATATTTTTCCTTAAAATATATATAAATATATTTCTAAAAAGAAATATAGTTATTTACTCTTCACAATTTTTTATTTGAGGTCTTGGTAATACTAATGCACCTTCTTCATTGGGATCATGTCGTGCTAGTGGTAATTTAAAAGTTCGGGTTCCATCTGAAGATAAAAGAGGTGTTTTAAATTTCTTTATAGGCACAGAGTACGTCGATGTACTAATTTTTTGTTTCTTTAATATCTGGATAGATGGTTTTTCACATAAATAGTCTTTAGTTAATATACTATTAATCTTTGATTATTAATAAAAACAAAATAAAATTAAAGAAATACTTCAACTTCCTTGTCTCCTACAATTAATTGATCTCCTATTAATAATGATGCTGAATTACAACGACAATTTCCTAGACTAAATTGTATTCTTTAATTACCGACTATAAATAATAAATTATTTTACCTATTTCCTTCAAGATCTTTAAGATAGTACATATTTCTAGAAACAGACAAGATTCCATCTCCCTTCCATGTCTTATTTTTTTTAGTTGTTTGTTTTCTCCTAAAAATTTTTTATTAGCTAAATATTTAATAATTATTAATTGTCTACCATAAAACATTATAATGTTTTTCTTCAGATGATGATATTAATTCCTTTTCTTCTGGATCTTTATTTTCAATATTAATAAAAGGTTTTTTTAAGCTAGAATTATATTTATTTTTTAAACGAATAGTTTTGTTTGAACAATTATTTATAGAATTATTTTGGTCTATTTTCACACGTTTTTCTACAGCACTTAAATTATTGCACGGCTTTATGTAATTCTTGTCTTGATAATTTGCATTAAGCTGTTTTTCTAATAATGGAGAAATAAAATTTGAATTGCTCATTAATCGTGTATCGTCTTAAATGATATTAATATAATACACAATATATATATAACTATTTAAAGATTAATTATTTTTATATAATGCTAAGTTAATACATAAACTTAGGTATCTACTATTTATTTATTTAATATCAAAATTTCTAGAATTTAGTCTTCATCGCTTTCATCTTCATCACTAATGAAAAGTTAAATTTTTAAAATTTATATAAAATGAAAGAATACCCTGATTTTTCAGCATTTTCCCATTCCATACGCTGCATTAGTGCTTGAAGTTCTAATTCATCGACCTCATTGACATCCTTTGGCTAAAATAATCAATTAAATTTCGATTAGTGTATAACCATACCTTCATTTTTACAACAAATTCACCGCCGGATGCAGTAATGCTTTTTTCTATTTCTTCTAATGCCTCTTCTAGAATTTGGATTCCTAGTTTTTTATCCAAGGCACTTGTAATAATAACATAAAGTGGAGGAGCTATAAGCTTAACTTTAATAAGAGCATCTTTAGAATTTTTTGCTTCTGCTGCTTTGAGGGCTCGTTTAACAGCATCAATTCCTTCGTATTCAAAACATGATACTTCCACATCGGCTCTTATTTTAACTGCCTGAAGAGTCAACCGACGAGTAATTTGTGTAATAAGATCGTCTATAATTTGAGGATTTGAAGGAGTTAGTCCTTCAAAGACAGAATTTGAATCCCTTTAGATAAATTTTAATGTTTTTTTTAGAAAAATATAAATATCCTACACAATTGCAAATTTAAACGCATCATAAGCATGCCCATATTTTCTATACAAAGGCCATCCAATTGACATATATAATTCCTCAAGAGGAATGGAGTGCTTCTCTGTAACATTTCTTAAAATAGAATGAACAGTTTTTGATTTATTAAATTTGTCTTCACATTTAATTATATCTTCAGGGCTTACCCTCCGCTTAGATAGATCAATATATCCTATATACTTAGAACTTGTTGTTATCCAAATTTATTATATTAAATTACACCTTTTTCTTTATCTACTCGAAGAACTACAACAACTTCGTTTCGTCCAACTCGGATTAGTTTTTGTACTGATCGAATCCTTCTACGAGATAATTCTGATAATAAAATCATCCCTTCTATGTTATTATATTCTAAAAGTTGTACGTATGCCCCCATTTCTTGTATTTGTTTTACTAAAAATATGAAGATTATATCTTTAAAATAGATATATCAACACTTACCATTAACCATTACTAACTCATCAACATCTGGATATTTATTTTCATAGAAACGACAGCTTGTTGTAGACATTTTATGTATTTTTTTTAAACTAGAATTTAAGTACTTTTTAAAATTTTCGTTATTTAATCTTTCAAAATATCAGAAATATATTGTAAAAAATGTAAATAAAAGATACATAAATATTTATATAGTATTTTTATTAAGAAAATTTTTTAAAAGAAAATGAAGAATACGTTTTAATATACATGATGTTATGCAAAAAAAAGGATTCTAAAAGCTATGCTTAAAATAGCATGAAGCAAAAGTATGAATGATAAAATAAGATTTCTTATTCTTGAGTCTACATGATCCATTATGGATCTTAGTTCCTTTAAAAGAAATAAACCAGATACCCCAAATCCAATTAGAGTAGAGATCCAACGTATTATATTAGAAAAAAAATAAAGGTGAAATATTTCAAAGGGAGAGATATTTATAATCTTCTTTAAATGAGTAAGATAAATAATATGGATCATTTTTTACCATCATAGGAATCCATATAGTCATAGAATAGCCATAAAGACAAATATATTCATCGAGTTTCGGTTTGCATTGATAATACATTAATAAGCCCCATGAACATATTGGAACAATTATATTGTACCCATAGATAATATAACATGCTTTTGTAAGTGTTGAAAAATTATAATTATAAGATACGTTAGATAAATGTGCTTTAATTCGTTCAGACATAGTTGATGAAAAAAAAATCATAAAAATAACAGTTGTAATAATCCAAAATGGCCCTTATTTGAATTTAGTTGTTGAATAATTAAACTTTGTATCGATATTTTTACCATAAAAATCCGAGCTTTCATGTATTAGGTCTATGAAACTATTTACAGGAAATAAAGCATATATGGATCTTTGAACTACTTGATCTGTATTTATATTAAAGAATCTTGAATAGAATTCTATTGACCAAATGGTTTGTTTCTCTGCAAAAACGTTTTGATATATATCTGTATTAAATCTATCTAATTTTATAAATCATTCTAATTAGAATAATTCAAAGAGAAATAAACTTTCTTGTATGTTAGAAATGTTTTCATTTATCCGAAAATCTAAGAAAATATAAAAAAATATTCTTTCATTAAGATTTAATTGATACTTTGAAATTCCAAATCAAAGTTTAAGTCTGTGTTATTCTATAAAATATTAAAAAAAGAATAATAGTATAACTTATTACAGATGATTCATCTACATCAATAATAACTTCATAACTTTGAGGCATTGGCAAAGCTTAAATTTTTTGTATTTTTAAAATTCAAAAATATATTGAAATACGATTTTATATAAATCGATTTTGAAATATTATAGATAAATCATAAAGGAACTATTTATTTATATCATATAGAGTTGTTGTAATGAATATAAAATTTATAAAATTATTTTAATTTATAAAATAATGATGTTTTTTTTTTAGAAATTTTAATAAAAATATATTGAATAATATAGTTTTTTTCTAAACAGCTAAGATTATTAAGGTTTTTTAATAATTATTATATTAAATAATTTGTTAATAAAAATAAAATTTTATTAATAAAGTTTATTAAAAATGTGTTTTTTTATTGCAATTATATATATTTGTATTTGGTAAATACAGATATTAAATATTTAAATTTTATTACGAATTTTGGTTATTTTTTTACTTTTTTATATTATTTACACTAGAATTATTTTAAATGAAAACTTTGTTCTGATGACTTGATTATACATTTTAACATATTATCAATGAAAAATATGTTATTTTTGAAAATATCTTGTATATATTTAACTATTTAAAAAATATTAATATATAATTAATATTATTATTTTAAGTTGATTTTTAATTATATATGAATTAGAATTTGTTTGGAATCTTTTATTTATATTTTTAGATATAAAATTTATCTTAAGGTTTTTGAAGAAATTATGAAAAATGATTTATCAGGTTAATAGAGCTAGACATAATCCAGCAAAGATAAAGCGTATCTATGAGTATTCTTATAAAGGAAAACTTGAAAAAAATAGAAAAAAAAATATATATATAGCTCGATTGAAGAAAAAATATCTTCGTTGTTTGAAAGAATATGAGCAAAAAGGTTTAAAAAGGGGTGAATCGTCTAAAAAATACTGTTTATCTCCTTCTGATACTGCTGAATGTTTGTTTTCTAAGGATCAAACAAGTAATAAAGAATATAAAAATGATTTATCTTTAAATGAAAAACAAAAAAAGCCTCATAATTTAAAAGAGAAAGAAATAGATATTCAAGAACAAAAACATATACGGGTTAAAAACCGTTTAAAAAGATATAAAATAATGACACAAGTAACAAAAAAAGGACAACCGAAACTTGATAAAAGAATTGATTTGCTTTTGGAAAAAATTAAGGATATGGTGTAATAACATTTAGGATGTTTTAAATGATTGGTTTATAAGTTATGTAATATAATTTTCTATGTTTTAAAAAATAAAATTTATTTCTGTAGATATCAGTAATAATATGTAATTGATCAGGTTGAAATTTAAAGATAATGATTTTAACAGTCAGGAAAGTTTTTATGAATAAAATAATGTTTAATTTATTTAAATAAATTGATATTGGCTCAAATGTTTTAGTAATAATTAAAGATGTTTTTATTTTTAAAAGCTTTTTTTAAGAAAATAATTTAATATTTATGCGATAGTCTAAGGATGTTTATAAATAATTTCTATAAAATATATTTTGTATATAAGATTGAATTATGTAAATGAACTGAATTTATTGAATTCTTAAATTAGTACTAATTTAAGGTATATTATAAGTTATAAATTTAAAGTTGCCTTATTTTCCTAAAAAGCTTTTAAAAAAGCTACCTTTATTAACTGATTGTTCTGCATGTTCTTTATAATCTATATAATTATATGCTATATCGAAAAAAAAAGGTTTACAAAACAATGCCTCTAATTTTAAAGGAAAATTTATAAGTGTAGATAAGTTACGCTTTTGATGATTATTATCTACTGTTTCTAAAGTAGAGACCTATTTTATTAAAACAATAAATATCAAATCATAAATAAAAACCTTTAATGATGGTTCTTTCCTTTCAATTTCTGGAATAGTTAAGCATGAAAATGCGCGGAATCTATTTATTTTTGTATCTATGTCTTTTTTTAATTCTATAAGTTTGTCTTTATTTATAAAAATTGTTTCTTTATCATTTGCAAGAGAAATCTTTGATAAATAATCATAGCCTCGTATTGCTAGCACTAAAGCTGATCTATAATCTAAAAGCGAAAAATATGACATGGAAATTACAAGACAACGTTGAGATTTGAAATAGTATTTTTCTAGTTTTATTGTTTGAAGAAAGTTTAAGTCATTTGAGATTCCCGAGAGCTCTGATATAGCATCAAGATTCTATGAAAAATAAATATATACTTAGTAATAAACTTTTGAATTTTGTACTTGTAAAATATTGTCGTATAATTTAATTAATTTGCAAATAATATATTGTTTAATATTTTCATTTAACAATTTCATACTTAGCTCTGAAATTATCTCTAAGTCATATTTTATTTGTTCTATAATATAATTGTATGCAATATATGAATATGTAATATAAAGATCTTGTGTTCGGTCTTCTATTCCAGAACGCTTATTTAAAATATTAATAATTTTATAATTAATGATGATTTTATTACTTCTGATTCTTCTATTGCTTTTTTTGTTATATTTTCAGCCTCAGCATATGCCGATAATAATTTGTTATATTGGTCTTTTTTTTCTGAATAATTTGTAAACGTTTTGTTTTGAATAGATTGATATAGATCTTGAATATATGATAATGAAATAGCTATATCAACATCTTGAATATGTGAAATATGTCCTCGCCATTCTATTTTTGAAATTATCAATGAATTTCCTTTGCTTTTACGTTCTAATATTTCAGAATTAAAACTTTCTATAAACGAAGCTAAAGGTTTATTATTTAAAGTATTTTTTTGTGAGAGATAAAAAATATCGTTTGAGTGAATTTTTTCTTGATATGCGCAATATTGAATACTTCGTTCAATAGATGATATTAGTTCTTTTACATGTGATTGACAATCTTTATTTTCATGCATTATTTCTAGTATAATTCTCGCTTCTGATAAGCTCCTAAGAGATTGTTCCCACTGACCACATTCAAAGGCTAATTGTCCTTTTTTTATTGATACATATCCAAGTGCTTGTAATCGAAGCATGGACGATTGCTGATCTGTTATTTTACTCAAGTGATAAGCGAATTGATATGCCCTTGAGAGTCTACGAATAATATGTCGATGATTTAACTTGGCTTTCTTATAATTTCTATTTTTTGTTTTAAGTTCCATAGCGTAAGCCCAGGCTCGTTCACTGTTCATAACCAAAAAATCATAGTATCTGATAGAATAAATAAATTATTTAAGGAATTTATCAATTTCATGTTACAATGGATTTTCTTCTAATTCTTTATTCTTTATGTATTTCCCATTTATTTGCTGGATTCCTAACAGTTTAGATAAATGACTTAATTTTTTTTTACAATATCTGCGATAGAGACAATAATCTTTGATATGGATTCCATGATCGTGTTGCGATTTTATTGATAAAAGAATCGCACCAATCTGTGTCATTTAAATTTTGTTCTTAATATTTGTTTTGTGCTCTTCTAAAAAAATCGTAGAATAAGTCTTCCGTTAAGAAATTTAATAAAGATTCAGTAGAATGAATATTTAATAAAATATAATAAGGTAAAAACATTAAAAAAATTTTTAGTGAAACGAATAAAATAATATATTATGTTATTGGTATTATTTTTTGTTTTTTTTTTTTTAAGTGTCAATTGAAATTGAAAGCAGTATTATAAAATGAATGATTAATGATAATCGCTAATCCATTTTGTTTAATATTGATGTTTTTTTAGTATTTTTATGTTTTTTTTTTTCAAAAAGTTTTTTGATGGATTAAACTTATATATGAATTTCATATTTTTGTTAAATAATTGGACTTTTTGTTTGAAAATGAATTATTTGGTAGTTAATATTAGCTTTTATAAAGCAATTTTTATTTTCCACTTTTTTTAAAAAATAGATTTTAAAAATTGTTTTTAAATAGGAAAATATTATTACAGTGTTTGTATTTTTTTATTGTTTAAATATTTTAGATATTAAAAAATATATGATTTTTTCGTATTACCTTTTTATATTTTAATGTTACTTTTCTCAGATTTTTATTCTGTACAGAGCTAATGATAATTTTTATTATGCAAAAAAGTTAATCTTGGTTCTGTATTTATTTCTCAAAAAAATTAAAAGCTATTGTTGTTTATATAAGAGAAATATAAAGGTTATAGGAAATTAGAATAGAACATTTGTAGATTTTTTTCTGTATTGCATTATTTAATTGATATTCTGCTAAAAATGAATTTATGGAAAGCATTATATTAATTTTAACGAGTTTTTCAAAAATTAATTGAAAAAAATAAACATCTAAATTCGTTATTTATTTTAAAATATCTTGATTAAAAGGAAAATATTATTTTTATAAAATATTAAGAATTGCTTAGAAATTTTGTTAAAAAAAAATTATTAGGTTTAATTGTTTTAAATTATAGGTTCAGTTAATTCTATGAATTAATAATTTTATTTATTATTATGATATTAAAAAAATATTAATACTTTATCTTAAAATAGTAATTTTACTATAGCTATTATTTTTTAAAATAGAATGAATTCTTTAAAGTTTCTTTTATAAATATGCATGAAATTATGTTTTTGGTTGAATTTTTATACTTTTATAAATTTTATGCATAAATTAAATAATAATGTTTTTAATAATTTTTGATTTTTTAATTTTTGTAATATAAAGTAAAATTCTTTTATGATTATAACTTATTAAAAAGGAAATGAAAATATTATGTTTACATTTTTAAATTTTCTACAAATTTTTTATAAAATTTACATGTTATGAGATTGGAATATAAATACTGTTATAATTATTATTGTTGATTTTATAATATTTTTATTCATTAACTTTATTAAAACATAATGTTTCATTTAGTTTAATTACTTTTATTTAATAAAGCCTTGTTATATATTTTATTGGCATTTTAAATATTTTTACTTTATAAAAAAAATTATATAAGATATTAGAACATAATATAATAAAATATTTATTAAGTTTTTGGTCTTTTTAAAATAATTGATTTTATAAATTTAAATTGGTCTAATACATATAGAAGATAAAGTTTAAGAAATTCTAAAGACAAATTATTTAAAAATAAAAATATATATTATTGAAAATATAAATTATTAATACTTTTTTCAAGAAATTTATTACTTTTTTAAATACAAGACAAAAATCTATAATAATATTATAATAGATATAATTTAAAATATATTGATTGATATATTATCACATGAAAATAATTAAAATTCTGATATTTTAGAATATTTTTATAATTATAGTCATTTTTTTATTATATATAATAATTTTTAATTCTTATAATTTTCTATTTAAAGAAATGTTTTATTTGTGGAGTAATATATAAATTATTAACAATTAAGTTTATTATAAAACATTGCAGTTCTCGCATGATTTTGATGTTTTTTGATTCTTTTTAAAAATTGTGTACTTAATAAAATATAGATTTCATTATTATGTAATCTTTTTTTATAAAATAATTCTAATAAATACATACTCTAAATAAAAAAATAAAATATATATGTGATATTGTAATTTCAAATCTAAAAAATAGTTTGAGAAAATATAGAACGAAGTAATTTGATTTTTAGTATGTAATCTTTCTTTGAATTATCATGACAATTTGAAAGAGTGGTCGATAAAATTGGTATACTATCCCAATCGTATAGAATAATTGTTGCTAGAAAGTCTCCATCAAGACAGCTTTCTCCAAGTATCGGAAATTTTTCTTTGTCTATAATATTTAATACTATTACGTTTATATATTTAATTTTACCCATAAGTGAGTTAGTATTGAAGAATTGTAACCAGGAAGATATTAATACTTGATAAATCTCAAAATCATCTTTTGGACATGACATTATTGAATAAAATGAACCATTAATTCCACTTCCAATAATGAATGGATGATAATGTTTTTCTCCAGATACTATTTGTATTAATTTTAAGAAGTATTATTAAAATTTATACTTTTTTGAAATTTAGAAATAGAACTAGGTAATTTTACTGAAAAATCTAAATTAAGACGTCTTTCTTGATAACAATCTACTAAAATTAGATTATAAAAATAATTATAAAAAACAAACCTTCAGTTAAACAGACAAGTCCTCTTTCCTTATCAGAACAAAATATATTATTATCAATTATAAAATTATCTAAAGATAGTCGTGGCGTTATATCGCTTGGTTTTTAATAAATTTATATTGGAAAGGATTTACATACTTCATAATTGGTTTTAAAGAATTTTCTATTGGATCATAATTTAACACAATGACAGAGTTTTTTTGACATGATGCATATATTGTGTTGTTTTTTATTTTTATTGATATAATAGGAGATTCGAGTTTATACTTTGTTGAAATTTTTTTAAATCTATTTATGTCATTTTTATTTTGTAAATAAAAAAAAAAAACCTTCTTGTCTCTATATCAAATTGTTTTATGAAAATAATATTATTTGATGAAAACGCAATTCCACTAAGTAATGTTAGCATCTTTTAGTATCTTTTGAAAGATTACTATTTCCCAATAGGAGAAATAGAATAAACAGGATAATCTAATGATATTTTACTTATTCTTTTTACTTGAACTTTCTCGTGTTTATAAGAAGCCATAAGAATATGTAAATTTCCTCTAAGAGAGCCAGAAAAATCGATTATAGATGTCCCAACAATTATGTGGTAATACGATTTATTTCTGTAAAATATTGTCCAATCTAAAATATTTTAAAAGCTATATAAATAGCGTCTATTATTATACCTGATAGTGCATATATGGTTTCTTGGGCATCAAAAATATATTCTTCGGTTTTGTAGTTAAACAATGGACTATTAGATACTACAGTTCCTCTATTTCTTTCGTTAAATTATGAATAAAGAATTAGATTCACTTACGTTGATAAGTTTATGAATTTAAGATCACAACTATTTTGAAATCGTTTATTTAGAAATGAATCATTAATTGTCAAAGATGATAAATCTGATGCAACAACCAAAAGTTTTAAATTATTATCATATAATATTCTCCGGGAATTCTACAACTTCAATCAACTTTATATATATTTAGAAAATATTTATACTTCTTTAATATTAATATATTGCATACATATAGATTCTGAATTATCCAATTCTGCTATTAGAAATGTTTCTTTTGATATACAAGCGAAGGATTTTATTTCATATTGTTGTAAAAGGTCATTAAAAGGAAGTATTAAAGTAGGATAAGTCTTGAATAGGTTAATATATTGTTAAAATTATTTTAGCTTACTAACTTTAATCCGATGATCTAATATAATTTCTTTGATTTCCATTGTATTGTTATTTGAATTTATCATCCAGATCCCGTCTCCTGCTATATACGCTGTTGATAATTGAGAATTTGATACACATCTTAACGGAAGTGAGCCAAAAGCATTAAGATCTATGAAATTTAATTCGATATTTTCTAAAATATTTATGACATTATTTAAAATTTTATTTAAATACCGTTGGTATAACTAATTTCCCATTTAAGTAGTAATCCATTTCTTAGTCCAAGTAAAAGTATAAGATCAGTAGACATTTTTAGTAAACATGAAGATTCAGGAATTGAATCAGCCAAATTGGTGAAATTTTCTAGATTAATATTATAATTTAAAGACTTAATCTATTTTAAATACCTAAAGAGATATCGGAGATCAATATTTTATCAGTAGATGATAATTCAAATATAATAAAAGATGGTTTATGGGTACCAACAAGTAAAAATACGGACGGTTTGATATTTTCGGAATCAGAATGAATATCTAAGTCAGATCTAAAATTAATGTCTTGAGCAATAATCATAGTTATAGTGGATGGTTCCTCGACAATTTCAATAGGCTCTCCCATTTGAGTTAAAGTAATTATGCTATTTTTAGTTATCTTAAATTTAATATATTTTAAAATAAAAATCTACCTTTGTTCAGTGATACTTAATTTTATTAAATATATTAATATAGAATCTTCGGTTTTGACTGACATTGTTATAATAGAATTATGTATAGATGATGATATGACAAATTGTGTATTATGTAATAAATGTGTTTTAGAATCTAATTTTTCAAAATCAGGTAATGGAAATATTTTTATTTTTCTTTGAACTATCTGAATAATATGTGTATCATTAAATAATCCTGCTGAAATTGTAAATGTTTCTTGTTCTAATTGAGAATTATTGCTTCTATCATATAATTCTCCCTTTTTTGTTAATTCTAATAATTGTGTTTGCCACGGAAATGAAATAATTATATAAATAGAATCCAGTTTACTACTTTTAAATACCCAAAAGTTTTCTATTCTATCATAATGCAAATTTAATTTTGTAAGTTTAAAATAAATAAAATTACCCGTCAAAATCTTGAACTTGTAAAATTATTTTTGCTTTTATTCCAGTTTTTAGCCCCGCCACCTTCCCTTCTGGGGCTCTTCCTGCACATAAATAGAGTCTATTCTTTTTATTTTGTATTTGTGTTTTGTTTATTGAAATAGTTTCTTTTTCTAAAATTTCAAAATCGCATACAGGTGACCAATTTGGAAAACTTTGGACAAGTATTGGTGTTGTATTCTTTGAAATTTCATTAGACATATTATCATTTACCTGAAATAGAGAATTGACTAGGTAAATTCCATTATCACACATATCCCCAGAAATAAAAATTAAATGTTGTGATATAGTTAATGAATTTATTATCCCCATTGCTTTTCCAATAGGCTTAATTGATCCAAGATTTAAATATTCAATTTCTTGATTTTTAATCTTTATATAAATCAAATCACCTGTATCTGTTCCAAGATATAAGATATTTGTATCTTCGTATACAGTTTCATCAATTGTATATGCAGTAATTATTCCTGAATATTCTTTAGTTTATATCTATATATAAAATAATATATAATATATATAATATACCTTTATGCTTTATATCAAAATATTTAAAATTTGAATCTTTAGAAAAAAATTGCGAAATGGATATATAAATTATTTTATTATTCTATAAAAAATCAATATATTGTTCCTTTATATTAGACATTACATATATAAGAGAAAAATCGCCTGAAGAATTAAAGAAGGGTATGAGATATATGGGTATATATAAATCTTTTTAATATTAGGAATGCCATATAAATGTTATAATATCTACCAGAAAATAAAGGCAACGATATTAAAGTAGAAAAATCAATAAGAACTAAAGGCTCTTCACTATTCCATCGACATAATGTAACATATGATTTTTTCTCACTGCTTTAATTTTATTAATAATTTTTAGCTTTATATATAATATACCTAATTATGTAAAATACCAAATAACAAAACTTATCAGTTATTAAATATTTAATAAAATCCATAAGTAGTATTGTACCAAAAAGATTCCCCTTAATTGTCTGTTATTGTAAACATATATAGTATATAGAAAAATAAATAAACTTCTATAATAAAACGTTCATTTTTTTTAGTAAAAAGATTTAAACGAAATATTTCTATAGTATTTAGAGCATCTGTCAATGCAATAAAACGCATTCTATATAATATAAGATAATTTATATTGACTAATAATAAAATATACTGCGGATCTAGAGCAATTCTATATCCCATATTTTTTAGATCACATCCATAGTTCGATATTTTTATTTCTTCAATAATATAAAACCTATTCTCAATATTCAAAGATTGAAATATAATGTTTTGAGAATTTTGATTAATATATTCATTCTTTTGATTTAAACCATATATAGAAAATGACAAATATCCTGCTTCATTCGTTGTAATTAGTAAATCTATCCCGGTTATGTCTTTGTTTTCTGATTCATTTATTCTTTTAATAGTTTTTAAAATCTTTGCATCTCTAATTTTACTAAAAAGCGGTTGATTGCTAATACATGTAGTTAATCCAGCCGAAGAGAGTGAATGTAATTCAATTGAATCTTCCTTTTAGTTTCTTTAGCTCTAAATTTATAAATTCTTCTAGTTTCATCAACCTTGATTAATATTATATCATATATATTAGGACTTCGGAAGGCACCACAAAAAACAAAATTTACAATAGGAGAGTGTATAATTGTACGTATAATATAATTATTTTCTTTATTCATTTATTCTGATTTATGGTATTTTTTTAAAAAAAAATATTCGAATTACTAAATTGTCTTATCATTATCTTAAAATAATTTAAAATATATAGTAGATTTTTAATTTTTGATAGGCTTTTACTTTGAGGAATTACTATGATTAATGCTATTTTTATTTGTAGGTTTATATTTTTATAAAATATACTCATATAATAAAGTTAATAATCATGGAAAACCAAGATTAACGAAGTTTTATACACAAATAGTATTTATTTATTTATTTTTTCTTTTTTAGAATGTTTTAGAGTGTTTTTCAACAAAAAAAGGTTGTTGATGATATTTATAAGCTTGTATCTTCTCGGCCACCTACAGTATGTAATTTTCTTGAAGGAAGTTCCCTTATTGGAGGCAAAAACCTTAAAATAGTATATAGGAATTATGCAACACTTTATTTTGTCTTCATTATTGACGAGACAGAAAGTGAATTGGTGATTTTGGATCTTATTCAGGTTGATTAATGTGTTTTTTTTTAAATTAATTAAAATACATAAGGTATTTGTTGAGGTATTAGATAAATGTTATGAAAACGTGTGTGAACTTGATTTGGTATGTTTTCTTGTCATTTATATATATTTATAATTGGTTTAGATTTTTAATTTTGAAAATATTCATGTTATTTTATCTGAAATAGTATGTGGAGGAATGATTTTAGAAACTAATATTGAAAATATTGTTTCATCTATAAATTATTTTAATAAAAATAAATTATAGTTAATATACAAAATAATTTATGTAAAAAAAAAAGCGGTTTAATGTTTTATTATAATTACAATGTAGATCTTATTTTTATCATTATAATATAATTAATTCTTAAGGCATTCTGATTAGATTACATAATTCATATGATTTTTAGTAATAAATATATGTCTATTTATATTATTTATCTTATTTATATTAATTTATTGTCATTTATTTTTAAAAATATAATTATTTATTATATAAATTTTTTAAAAAAATTGATATTAAACAAGAGAATATATTCTAAAAACGTTCTTATACTTATTTAAAAATTTTTTAACTTTATAAAGCCAATATATACGATTTTGTTTTTGAATGATTAAAAATTTAGATATACTAAGGATTAAGAATGGGAAAAGCTAATAAAAAGAAATTAAATGATGATATATGGGATAAATTAGGGGAAGATATAGTCCCACAGAATATAAATGAAAATATTCATAGTGAACCTTTGAAAAATGATGCGGTTAAGTTTGATTCTAAATTAGATGACTTAGTAGAAGATTTTGGAGGACTTTTATCAACTTTAAAAGCATCATCTAAGAATAGATCTTTAAAGAAAGATAAAAAGTCTTTAATTCAGAATTCGGAAAGATCTAATAACAATTTGTTGAAAGATTCATCAATCAAGGAAGGTTTTAATCAAGATCATGAACTTGGTATTAATTGTTTTTACTATGAAGTATCTAATAAAGAAAAGTGAAGCAAAATGATGAACAAGTATATGAAATAAGATTGAAAACAAAAAGTGAAAAAGAAAAAGAAAAAAAAGAGAAAGAAAAAGCAAAAAAGAAAGCTCAAGTTTTTTTTCCTATAACATTTTCTGAAGTGTTAATATGGCTAGTCTGAAAAGAAAAAATCTATAAATAAGTTAACTTTGAAAAACGAAACAGAAACTACTAAAACGGGAGATCAAATAAATGAACCTATAATAATTGAAAATGGTTTACAAGATTCAAAGAAGTATATTTATTTTTTTGTTATTTAATCTCACATGTTATCTAGTTCTATAAAAAAAAATAAAGAAATAAAAGCTAAAAAGATCAATGTAAATATTGCAGCGATACAGAAGCAAGTAGAATTGCGTTTGCAGGCAGAAGAAGAAAGAAGGAAACAAGAAGAAGAAGAAAGGAGAATTATAGAGGAAGAAGAAAGGAAAATACAAGAAGAAGAACGGAGAAAATGCGAAGCAAAGCTTAAGAAAAAAGAAAGAGAAAAGGCAAAAAAAGAAGAGCTTAAAAGTCAAGGAAAATTTTTAACAAAGAAACAAAAAGAGCAGAAACAAATGGCTCAAATAAAAATTCAGCAGCTTTTAGCTACTGGGGTAAGAATTGAAGGACTTGTTACAAATAATAAAATAAATTCTGATTCTTCTGAAAAATTAAAGCGCTCAGTTTGTGATTCTAAAAAGAAAAAATTACATATAACTTCTGAAATTACGGATAGTAATTCTTCTGAATTGGCTACAGCACTTGATCATTCGTTTAAAAATGACGATAATGTAGAAATTCCTATTCAAAAAATAAATGGGGAAACTTTAGAAGTAGATTCTGAAGATGGTATATTAGATAATTGGGAAGAAGCTTTTATTGATAATTTTGATAATGATGATACTAATTTTTTACTTAAAACTTCTAACACTGTTGATTCTAAAATATTAGATGGAGGTTTATATTCATATAATTAGTTTATTTTTTGATATAGTTTTAGATTCTTTTCATGAATCGCTAAAAGCGCAAGTCAATAATTGTATTAAAAAGGTAGATGGTATGAATAATTCTCAAGTGAACGATACAGTTGTTAAAAAAGAGGAAGTAATATCTCAAAGTTCTGATGTAAAAACAAATCAGAATTCGATGTTTAAAAAGGTTTTTTTTTATGTTTTAGATTTGTCTAACATATAAAAGAGTTCGAAAAATGCTAAAAATATAGAAAGCGATTTAAGATCCCCTATATGCTGTGTTCTTGGTCATGTTGATACCGGAAAAACAAAAATTTTAGATAAGATTAGACAGACTAATGTTCAAGAAGGAGAGGTGGGTGGTATAACACAACAAATAGGTGCCACTTATTTCCCTGTGGATTCTATAAAACAAAAAATAGCTGTATTGGATCAAGTAATTAATTTATTATTTATTTCACTCTTTAATTTTATTAGAATGAAAAACTTGAATACAAAGTACCTGGACTTCTTATAATCGATACTCCTGGACATGAATCTTTTGCAAATTTACGTTCCAGAGGTTCCAGCTTATGCGATATTGCAATTTTAGTTGTAGATATTATGCATGGTCTAGAACCTCAAACTCTTGAATCACTAAGTTTACTAAGGAGTAGAAAAACTCCTTTTATTGTTGCACTAAATAAAGTAGTCTTAGTTTTATTATAATTTTAAGTTTATTGAGTTTAGATTGATCGAATATATGGGTGGAATCCTACTTTGGATGGCGCATTTCAAGAGTCATTATTAAAACAGAAAAAGTCTGTTCAAAGAGAATATCATGATAGATATACAAAGATCATTGTGGCATTCTTAGAGCAGGTATAAAGTATATTAAATATAATATCTTTAATTATATAAAAAAAGGGACTTAATGCTGTTGCATATTATGAGAATAAAAACTTTTCGAAAAACGTTTCAATAGTTCCTACATCTGCATTGACTGGAGAAGGCATACCTGATATGTTAATGCTTTTATTGAATCTTACACAACAACGTATGACTAATCGATTAATGTATTTAGCAAAATTGGAAGCAACAGTATTAGAAGTAAAAGTTATTGAAGGTCATGGAACTACAATTGATGTTATCTTATCAAATGGCATTTTAAGAGAAGGCGACCGTATTGTTTTGTGCGGATTAAATGGGGCCATTGCAACGAATATACGTGCTCTTTTGACTCCTCAGCCTTTAAAAGAATTAAGAATTAAGGTAAATTATTTCATTTTATATCTTTTTTTTTAAAAAAATTCAGTCGTCATATATACATAATAAAGAAGTGAGGGCTGCATCAGGAGTAAAAATCTCTGCAAATGATTTAGATAAGGCTATTGCAGGTTCAAGATTGATGGTCGTTGGTCCAGATGATGACGAGGAAGAGATTAAAGAAGAAGTTATGGAAGATTTGGAAGGTTTATTAAATTTTATTGATACTAGTGGTATTGGTGTTTCTGTTCAAGCCTCCACTCTTGGATCTCTTGAAGCCTTACTTGAATTTTTAAAACAAAGCAAAATTCCTGTAATATTTTTATTTTAAATTAATCGTCTTTAATATAATTATTAGGTTTCTGGTATAGATATTGGCCCTGTTCATAAGAAAGATGTCATAAGATGTAGCGCTATGATTGAAAGGGCTAAAGAGTATTTGTTCTCATTTTCTAATATTTTGTCTAAATTATAATTAGATATGCAGTAATGTTATGCTTTGATGTGAAAGTTGATAAGGATGCTGAAGAATTGGCAGAGCAACTTGGTATAAAAATTTTTACTGCAGATATTATATATCATCTTTTTGATTCTTTTACTAAATATCAAGCTGTTTGTTTGATTTTTATGTTTTTATTTCGTTAATATTTTTATAGGAAATTATGGAGAAAAGACGAAGAGAAAGTGCGTCAGATGTTGCATTTCCATGCGTATTAAAGACTATTGCTGTTTTTAATAAAAAAGATCCTATACTTCTTGGCGTTGATGTGATTGAGGGGGTTATTAGAATTGGGACTCCTATTTGTGCAGTAAAAATTAATCCAAATACACAAGAACGTATTATTATAGATTTGGGAAGAATGTAAGCATTATTTTATGGTTATTTTAATTTATTTTATTTTTTAGTGTAAGCATAGAGAAGGATCATAAAATACTAAATATAGTTAAAAAGGGACAAATTAGTAATGGTGTTGCTATTAAAATCGAATGTTCCTCTCAAATACTTTTTGGTCGACAAGTCGATGAAAAAGATCTTCTTTATTCTCATATATCACGGAAATCTATTGATTTATTAAAAGATATCTTCCGTGACGATGTTTCTAAAGAAGAATGGAATCTTATACGAAGACTTAAAATCGTAATTTCTGTTCTTTTTTTTACTAATTTATTTTAATAATTATAGATATTTGGTATTACTTGAAAAAATTTTCTAATTGTGAAAGTATAAAATGCTAGATTTTATACTAGTTTAGACATTTTTTATTTATATCATTGCATTTGCAGAGCAGAGCATTTTAAGTGTATATTTCAAAAATTTTTATGTCTCAATTTTAATGGTCTATCTGTAATCTTCCAGGTAAACTCTAAAAAAAATGGTAAAAGATACTATTATGGGCTAATATCTGTTAGCTGAAGAATATTTATAAAACAAATGTATTCGTATATAATTTTTATTAAAACTATGAAATACTAATATAATTACAAGATCAAAATTTTTTATCTGTTGCTCTTGGCGACACGTTCTAGCTCATCTTTCTTTTTTATTGCATAAGAATTAGAAGAGCCCTTTGCCGCATTGATTAATTCTTCTGCTAAGCATTCTGCAATAGTTTTTATACTTCGAAAAGCCGCCTCTCTAGCCTATATTTTCATAATTAGTCTATATATTAACCTTCTACTCTAAAGATATACCCCAATTGTAATCAAAGCAATTGCTTGATTAACTCTACGTAATGGGGAAACATCGACGGCTTGCCTCCTAACTGTGCCTGCTGATCCAATTCTAGTAGAATCCTCTCGAACACCACAGTTCACAATAGCATCTACAACAACCTGAATTGGATTTTGGTCTGTTAATATATGTATTATTTCGAAAGCATGTTTAATCTAATAATTTTAAATAAATAATATTATATAAACCGAAAATTTACTATCCGCATCGCCATAAGCTTTTTTCCATTGTTCCTCCCATTCATCATAAGAGAATTCGTTAATCTTTCAATAATAGGACATTGTGCCTTCCGAAACCTTTTTACTTGATATCTCCCTGCCGTATGATTAAGATATTGAGGTTGACGAACTTGAATATAATCCGTTAATGATATATCCTTTATTTCTACGTCTTCAAAATTCCATTTATTAAAAAGTTTAATTTGACCTATTTCATCTATAATAATAATTTATAGAGATCTTTAAAGTTCATATATAGATATTACCTTCAATATCTTTCGGTAAAATACTTTGAGTTTGTAATGGCTCCTCTGCGACTTAACAAAATTAATACATATCTTAGCAATTTCATACTTCTTCTTACCTAGAGCTGCCATTATTTAAAATTTTTGTTAACGATTTTTTTCTTAAGGCTTGACTTAGGTTTTTTAGGGCAGGTATATGTCAGATTGGTAATTACTATAATAATAATTGTATCAATTTTAAATGTATCTTTTATTTAAAACGAATAACTTCTTTCTACAAAACAATCCTTTTATTAATAAATATCTAAGTTTTTAAAAACAACATTTTTATAGAAAACTTAAAATGATAAACTTGTCGATTTTGACAGGTTAATAAAATATAACTTGTCAGTGAATACTTTATTGAATTATCTTTATAAACTTTTTATATTGATAGTAGAAAGAATATGTGTGCTACTATAATATTTGTTTTGGTTATAAAATTTAATTGTAATTGTTAAAAATAAAAAAACAATTGATATTTCAATAATAAATATTTAATGATTAAAAGTAGTTTTGTTAAATTATTATTTACGAAAATTAAGAAATTTAGATTTTGATTTTATAAGTGAGGTAGAATCTCTACTAGTAGCAGGAGATACAACGATAGCCGGTAATTCTTTAGTACCAGAAAATAATACTTCAGGTATTTGTGTTATTGGAGGTCTAGAAAAAAATAAACATAAAAATATACAAAATATTTAAAAAGAATACTGACGCACAAAGAAAAAGCTCATGTTTCTTATAATTGTTTGTATGTTTTAATTTATATTTATCATTCAAGAAAATATCTAAACACATTAAACTTGATTAATATTACGTTTTTTTTAATAGAAGTTTAAAAATACATGTATTTTATCTTTAGAGAATATTTTAGAAAGTATATATTTTTAAGCATAAAAATTTATTAAAAAAAGATTATGCAATTTCGTAATCGGTGTATAAGTTTTTAAATAGGATAAAGTATGAAAGAATGAGAATGTATTAAAGAAATGAACCCTATATAGTGTTATATTATAATGAATTGAATGTTGTAGTTTATTTTTTGTATTTCTGTTTTTTGTGGTTAGTTAATTTTTGTAATTTTTTTATTGCTGTTTTTTTATAAGTGTGAGTAGAAATCTTTTCATGGTTTTTACTTTTTTTCTTTTTTATTTTTTCTATTTCTTTTTCAGGTTTATTCAAAAAAGTTCCTATAATATTATAAATGTTTTAATATAACATAAAAATACTAACTTTTAATATTTTCTTTTTTATTTTTTGTTAGAAACCAAGTTCTTGGCGATCTTGATTTTATTTCCTCGTTAAATTTTATAAGATTTTGATTTTTTTTTAGTTCTATTTCTGCTTGAAGTAACTAAGAAAAATTATTAGATAATTTTATCAAAAAATAATATATTACCTGTTTTTCTTGTTTTTCTTCAATTAAAATATTTTGAATAGTACTTTCTAAATTTTGTAACTTAGAATGATAAGTGTCTATTAAATCCCAAGGAATGGATCTGTTTCGTAATATATTTCCATGTTTTTGTGCGATTTTCATAGCCATTTTCATTATTTTTCTATCTTCTTCTCCTACCAAAGTAATAGCAATACCATTACATCCTGCTCTTGCTGTACGACCAATTCTATGAAGATAAATATCAAATGATTGAGGTGTTTCATAGTTAATTATATAATTTACTTTTTTTATATCGAGACCACGAGATGCTAAATCTGTAGCAAGTAAAAAATCTATCCTTCCTTCTTTAAATGATTTCAACGATTCAATTCTCTACCATTTATAAATTATATAATAAATATTATAATTTGTAATAACCTGTTCTTGTGATAAATCTCCATGTAGCTCCTGGGCATTTAAATGCAATAAACTAAAAACTATTCGCATCCTATGAGTAAATGATTTGTTACGAAAAAAAATTATTGTTTTTGTTTTAAAAATATTAGAACAAAGATAAAGTAGTATAGCCGTACGAAGATGTTTTTTTTGTGACCTAATACGTATAAATTCTTGAACAAGAGATTTTGCTGTAGAATTTTTTGGATCAATAAATAGTTTAACTGGTTTATTAAGCAAGAGTCTAACCAGTTTATCAACCTTTTTAAAAGTTTTAGTAAATTTTTAGATCTAAATTTTTTTACTTTATCTGTCATTGTTGCAGAAAATAAGATAGTTTGTCGAGACTTTGGACATATTTTTATTATTTCATTCAATTCATCTTGAAAACCTTCTTCAAGTATTCTATCTGCTTCATCAATAACAATAATTTCTATCCCATCTGGAGAGAATCCATATGAATTTCTAACATGATCAATAAATCTTCCTGGAGTAGCAATAACAATATCAGGTCGTTTTCGTAATTCTGCTTCTTGGATTTTTAAAGAAAGGCCTCCTATTAAAGATACTGTCATTATTGATAATTTTAATATATTGATATTACCTGTACAAATACAAGTTTTGATGTCAGTATAGCATATCAATTTTTTTGCTATATCTTGACATTGAATAGCTAATTCTCTTGTTGGACAAAGAATAAGAACTCTTGTAACAGCTATTTTTTTGGGACGGTAAAGTAATCTTTCAAGAATAGGTATAAGAAATGCTCCTGTTTTCCCGCTTCCTGTTATAGCACTTCCTACTATATCCTTCCCCATAAGCGCTATAGGAATAGTTTTTGACTGAATAGCTGTCGGTTTATTGAAACCAATAGTTTCAAGTGCTTTTAAAATAGGTCGTGATAAATTTAGTTCTGAAAATGTTCCAATATCTTTTTTCTCTATATTTGTATCATCTTTTTCGAAAAAATGCTCTTTATTTTCTTCATCTGTTTCTTCTTTCATATCATAATCAAAAAATTCTTCAGTATCTGATTTTTCACTATATAATTCTATATTATTACCAAATATCCTACCTTATACATAATTATTACCCTCAAATCCATTCTTTTCAGATTCATTTGTGTTTTTTATTTTTTCTTGATTAAATGACTCTATTTCATCATCTGTTTTTTGATATTCATCTTTAACTAATTGTTTTTTAATAATTTTATCAAGATTTACACTTTTTCTAGGAAACTTCATGCCAAGATCAGTTTCTTCATTCTCAAAACCTTCAAAATCTAATGTATATTCTGATTCCATGTTTTCTACTTCAAATATAAAATTCCTATTCATTTTTTCTAATTTTTTAATTTTATTTAAAGACATATTTAATTCTTTTTCCTCAAATTCTGAGCTATAATATTCCATATCTTCTTCATTTTCATTTAAAATTGCTGAATCTGATGATAAAAGGGTCATTATAAGCCCTTTAATTAGATCTAATTTTTTTATAGGTGTTATCCAGCCGACTACGCAAAATAATCTGTGTATGTCTTATATTCTTTATTTTTATTTAAATGGCAAATAAAGATGTTAAAATCGCTATGGATTCTCACGTTCCTGTTATTTTAATTAATGACTCTCCTGAATGTCAAAAATTGTCTTTGATTTCTTCAAAAAACAGTGTATTTATGTAGTCATTTTATCAATTATTAATCAAAATTTATATTTGTTTTAGAGAAGATCCATCAAAATTTAATCAAGAAAAGGACAGGTATTCAACAGTAGATATTGATTCTGGAACGGTTTTAAAAGAAATGGATTTGGATGATGATTATTCAATTATTGAACTTTCGTCGTCTCCGTCTTTTAATACACAAGATATAGCGAAATCCTCATTAATGGATAGGAATCCGAATGAATGTTCTGAAGTAAAGGATTATTATAATACTTTATCTATTTTATCTACAGTTGATGATTTTTCTTTAAATATTATGAAATCGACATCAATGATGGATTCAAAATCTAATTCAAATGATTCTAAGAGTTCATGTGATTTAAGGGTATATTAGCTTTTATAAATTTAGTAGATTGCTTTTTATTTTTTTTTAGAATGATAATAATTTAACAAATCATGTTGTGATTGATCAAAAAATTTTAGAAAATGTAGGTTTAAGATTTCTATGTTTGTTTTTTGTTAAAAAGAATAGACAAGAAAAAGAGTTGAGAAAAAACGAATTTCAACATTGAAAAGTGTAAATAAGCTGAAAACTTCTAAAAAAGAATGCATAAAAGAAATGATTGTTAATGTAGATACGAATATTTTATCTTCTTCTATGGGTCCTATATTATCTGGTCTTTTAGAAAATGCTAGCTGTGAATATACAGAGTGGTCAAGTCCAATTCCAAATCTAATATTTTGGAAAAGAAAGGTTATAGCTGAATATGATGAAAACCTTGGTTATTTTGTTCCGGTTCCAGAAACTATTCGGTCAGAAAAGTTTATCTTAGTTTATATAAAGGCATCCGAATTATTAAAGCTCGAATCGGACTCATGTGTAGATGAATTGGTTAAGAGACTGACTGATGAATTTCCTGATTTGAAAATAATATTTATGATTGAATCTATTGATACTTTGTTTAAAAAAATAAAAAATGACAGGAATAGACGTTATGTTGATGCTATGAGAACTACTATTGAGACAAAAAATTCAGAAAATATTTTTATTCCATCTGAAGAAATTGAAGAGAAGATAGAAAATATACTGCTTCGTTTGCAATTGATACACAATGTTTTTATTGTAAATACTTCAAGCGTAGAAAATAGTGCTGAATGGATTTTTATTCTTACTGGTGATATTTCAACAATACCTTATAAGTTTTTATTTTTTTATTTTTATTTTATTTTAAACTCTCATAGAAGGATGAAATTGGAACTTTCAACGTCTTTTTGTATGGAATCTGGACAAATAAAGACAGGTTCTGATGTTAAAGATACATATACTAAATTACTTCAAACAATTTATAAAGTAACTCCACAAATAGCAAATATTATAGTTGAGAAATACCCAAAAATATCAGATTTAGTTTCTGCTTTTCGTGAGAATGGACCCGATGCTTTGACAGATTTAACAGTAGTTATTTTAATTTTTAATAAATTAATATTAATATTTTTTAGATTGGAAAATTAACCAAACGTAAAATTGGGAGAGTTTTATCAAAAAGAATATTCCATGCATTTATGACTTCCGACAGTGCAGCAAGTGCTATTTAGAATTGATATCATATTTTTTATTAAAATATTGTTTAATTTAGTGGTCTTATATTAATAAATATTTGATGTCTAAAAATTATTCCATTGCTTCATCACTACTTATATCCTGTGGTAGTTGTGCTAGACATGAGTAGCTTGTTTCTTGTATATTTTTTGCAATTTCCAAATCTATGGAAATTCTAAATTCTCTTTCAATCATAGTATTATATAACTTGGTTAATTCTTCAGAGTTAAATTGTGACCGTAGTTCATTAAATGCAATAAGTATAAGATCTGCGATAATTTAATAAAAAGATATTTTATAAATGTGGATTACTTTTTGACCAAGGACAGTCCCTAATTGCTCTATAAAAAATTGCTTTTCCTTTTTCTAAGGTTCCATATTGTATCTCAAACTGAATATATAATTTCCATATTATTAAATCAGATTTTGTTCTAAAAGTAAATAAGAAATTATAAGTATTATGTTAACTTAATACTCTTGATTTTCTACTGCTCTTTCAAATAAAGATCTTATTGCATGCGTATTAATGTTATAAGGATTAATATATAACTCGGCCCATATTGCAGAAAGAAAAACAATATAAGATGATTTTTCAGTTTTAAATATATTTTTTTCAAAATAATGGTAGATCTTTGTTTTAAGTAATGATTTCGCTTCTGACCAGATAAATATAGATAAGAATATACAATTATTAGGAAATTTAGATAATGCAGTTCTTGCTCTATCCTGAATGGTAGAGATTTTAAATACTTTAGTTGTTTGTGAACAAAAGTAAAGTAATCGTAATTCTGAAGTTAAAAGCTGTTCATATTCGATGGAATTAGAATTAACTGAATTATTGAAATCATTTTTTGCTTGACAATATACTTCTAGAGCATTATCTAATGATTTAATTAAATAATTTAACAATGCGTAACATTCTGTAAATAAACGAAGCATTTTATAATTTCCAAAAGATAATGATAACCTATTTAGATGTTGAAAAGACTGGAAATGAGCCTTTTTTAGATATAACTTGAACTAATATACCTTTTGAGCCTTTAATAATATAGAATCCGAGCATATTTTTTCATCGTTAAATATCAATGTTTCAACTTGAATGTTTTATATAAATATATAGTCAAAATGGGTTAACTTACTATTTAATTCGCTTTCTACCATAGATACTAGTATTTTGATCGAATTGTTAATCTCGTTATTTTTCATTTCTATTTCTGCCCATAATTTATAAGCGACAAGATAGTCATAAAATTTTTCTGTATGATCTGGTTTAATATTTTTTAATGTATTTACAAAAATCTTTCTGGCCTCTAATATATTTCCATTAATATATTCGAGCTGGGCGTATGCACACCATAATTTCATATTTAAAGGTTTTTTCTTAAGAATAAATTTGGCCAATTTTCGTACACTAAAAATTATTAATCTATTTTAATATATTATTAAATTTACTCAGATGATGAATAATAATTCCGGAATAAGAGATGTAACATGGAAAATAAATCGTCATCTATTACACTTTCTAATTGTTCAAAGTATCTTTTTATGAAATCTTTGTCAAATCCTTGACAATCAATATTTTGATACCAGGTATTATCAATTGAAAATAAAGTGTCAATAGTTATTGGCCAATTTTTTAATTTAATATGTACTGGACTTTTCAGATGCTTTAATAGATAATCAGAATCAATAGCATTTTTATTGAATTGTTGGGAAGGTTTTAAGGATAGGTATTCGTTTGACCAAAACCAGTTAAATGAATCAATTGGCAAAAAATCCTGTATAAACGAATCCAATAAAGGTGATTCATTAGATGTTTTGTCTATCCTATGTAGTGAAAATCCAAAGAAATGTAGCGAAAAATATATTAAGCCTAAGCGTATTCTATCTGTTGTAAAGAAATATAATAATTGCTCAATATCAGAAAATAAAATCACGGAATAGGGATCGTTTTCAGTATTCGTATTAGTAGATCTTTTTGGATTTATATAAGAATTTTTAGCTGTTTCTTGTTTATACCATTTTGTATATTCATCTTCAATATTTTGAGATATATTTTCATTATTAGAAAGAGATATGTCGCTAGAATCGTTCTCAAATAATACTATATGTTGGTATTTATTATGATAATTTTTCCATCCTTTAGCTCCATCTTCTCCAAATCTAGGGACTTCTGAGTCCCAAAATTGCTCAAAATCTTGTAAACAATTGACATCATTAATATTAGACAAAAAATTATTTGGCATAAAAAAATTAAACTCAATTAATGCTTGAATAGAAGCAATAGAATTTTCTGTATATCCTGCTTCTTTCATATAAAACCATATTCGAATAAGAATATATTGTATAATTTCTTCTATGTTTTCTGTCTTTTTAATAGTAATAAATATAACAATAAACATACAATACCTATTTTTCTCTGGCATTTTTCATTTTTTGATGCTTCTTTAAGAATTTGAAGATTATTTTGAAAATTTTCAAGGCATTCATTATAAGCAAAAGATATTGAATTAGTTTGGTAGAAATCCATATATTTTTTCCAAAGAGGTAAACTTAAGCTTTTTTTTAAAATTTTATTCCATTCTAGATTTATTTTTTGGGGTCTAATATAGTTAATTTATTTCATTTTATTATAATAAAATAAAATTACTCCCAAATTAAAATTATTATAGACATATATTTTAGAAGAAGGTCATCATTATCAGGACAATGCGATAATGCTTTTTCCAGTATTTTAAGTTTAACTTCGTTAACAGCTAATTGTTCCACTTTAGATTTTTTATTATTATTTGTCCATAATATTTTATCTTGTATATCAACCAATTTTAACCATGATTTATAATCTAATGGAGATTCTTCTATTTTTTTTGACAATTCTTTTAATTCTAATTGAGGATCGCCTTTTTTCCATATATGTAATATGTTAACGTCATTTTCTATTTTATCTGATTCAGGACTAATGTTATTTGAATGGTTTTTTGAATCATTTGTTATAGATGGCGTATCTGAGTTCTCAACTTCAAAAGGAATATAATTTTCCTGATAGTTTACTTCATTAAAATGATTTGATTCTTTAGCTTCTTTTAGATATTGTAGATTCTGATTAAGTTCTGAATTAAATACTTTTTTATAATTATTATAGCTTGATAATGGAAACAAAATAATTTCATTAGGATTTTCTGGATAAACCCGTAATCTTATATTTTCCTTACATCCAAGTACACGTCCATGCCCTGATCTTCGATAATATGGTATAGAATATTGATCATTTTTGCCATATTTTATATTATTTATATCTCCTGATAAATCAATAATAAACAATTTGTTTTTTTCTTCTATTTTTTTTCTATCATAGCTTATTTTATTTATATTCTTTTTTTCATATTCTTCATCTTCAATATAAGATTTTTTCTTCTTTAAATCATCTAATAATTCTTGTGTTTCTTCCTTTTTATGTAGGTCTTTTTGTTTTTGAAGAAGATGTGTTTTAAAACTATTGAATTTAGGTATTTGATTCATCTTTTTTTTATTAGAAGATTCTCAAATATAATTCATTCATTTGCATGGCATATTTTTGCTTTATTTATCTGATAACTTCCTGAAAAAAATGATTCTAATTTTTGACAAAGTGTAGACGGTTTTCGGTTAAAATTTATAATGAATGTATATTAAAAAGATCTGAAAAATTGAGTTTTCCTTATAAAAAATGGGCCTTTATACAATTATCAAGAAACAGAGGAGAAAAGATAAAGAAATACGTATTTTGATGCTGTAAATTTGTCTTTTTTTATAAAAGTTTAATTTAAATTCTAATATGTTTATAGAGGCTTGGATAATGCAGGAAAATCGACTATTGTAAAGAAGATTAGTGGTGAAGACGTAGTTTTTCCACTATTATTTCTGTATTTTGTTTAACATATGTAAAAGGTGACGACAATTTCACCGACAGTAGGCTTTAATATTAAAACATTAATATGGGATTGTTATAAATTAAATATATGTAATTAAGTTTTTATAATATAACATATTATTATATAAAAGTAGGGGATATTGGAGGACAAAAGGTTTTAAGAGGATATTGGAGAAATTATTTTGAATGTACAGATGCAATTGTATGGACAGTAGATTTAACAGATCGTATGAGGGTTAAAGAATGTTGTGAAGTTTTAAAAATATTATTAAAAGAGGATGTATGTTTAGAATGAAAATTAAAGAATATTAATATATTTTTAAGAGACTTCTGGGTACAAGTTTATTAATATTGGGTAATAAATGTGATATGGAATCGGGAATGGATATTGAGGAATTGAAATCGGTATAATTTAAAAAATATATATTTAAATATTGAAATAAATAAAGTATCTTGAATTAGAAGATATTACTTCTCACAGTTATAATATTTTTAAAGTATCCGCACTTTTAGGATTAAAGTTGTATGATGCGTTTAAGTGGTTAATTGAAGATATAGAAAAAAAAAAATATCGAAGTTAATGATAAATTGGATATATATTATCGCATAAATAATTGAATATCGCGAGCTATTATTATTTATGACACAAATTGGTTTGATTTTCAGTTTTGTTAGGTTTTATGAGACGAAATAGAATTAACTTTTGAATTTTTTCTTGAATTAAGAGTTTGTGGAATAATGTTTTGTCGTTCTCGGATAACAAATTCGCCAAGTAATTCTCTAAAGAGCGTTAATATGTTTTAAAATTTATAAAATATTGTTACAATTTTTTTGTTAACCATAATTCCAAGATTTTTCCACGCTGTTTTTCTCCAACTCTTGATCTAGGAAAATTTCCTTTTGCTGTAAAGACTACTGTATCTATTATAATTTGATGTTTGTTCAAAACTGTATTCACAACTACAGGTACTATAGATGGCAAATTTGATTTATGTTTAACTTCAATAAGGATAATAATAGAACTGCCTGTTTGGAATACAGCACTAATATAAATCTTGAATACGCAATTTTTAAAAAGAATTACTAACCTGCCACCAGGCAAAATATTATTATGTGATTTTTCTACTGACGATTCGATATCTATTGGAAAATGAAGTAGTCCATTAACTTCGAAAGTATCACCAATACTTCCTAAAATAAATAATGATTGCATTTCAATAAGTAATCCTTCTGGTCCTACTGGTCTTTGTACGTTATATAAAAATCCTAAATCACCAGTACGGACATAAATGTCTTTCCGATTATTATTTGTTAAAATCCCACGGAATCTTTCTAAATCTATTTTATTTTTCGATCCATAAAATGATTTCATATTGGCATCTGATGCTACCCAAATTTCTCCGTATTCTCCTTCAGAACATAAATCACATGTTTCGGGATTAACAATAGCAATATGAGTAGATACAGGAACCTTTTTTATTAATTAGAAACTATTTCTAAATATTAAATAGATAGATACCATTCCAGAATCATACAAAAGAAGAGCAAATGGATCGTGAATCATATCAATAGGTTCAATGATTCCTTGTCGTAGACTTTTTATATTTAGATATAAATGTATAGGTTCTATAGACATGTATGATCTTGTTGTTATCATGGGATTTAAAACGTTGCAATATACATTGCTTAGAGAATTAGGATCTAATATCGATTCTGAAAAATCGCTTTTTACTCGTTGGACTAATAGTTAATAAATGTTAATATACTTAATATATAAAGTATGCACTTACAATAATCAAATTGAGGTCGACTATTGAAAGTTATCATTAAATTTCTTAATTCATGTAAACATGTGTCTTTTGTTTGAATAGCTTCAATAGCATCACTTAAAGCTTCTGGGGCTATATAAGTATCTTTAACTTTAAACTTTGCAATAGAATCAAATAAAATCAACGGATTGGCAATAAAATCTCTTGGTGATACAAGATACGTAGTTGCACCTAATATAACATTAATAGAAAATCATATACAATATATGGTAAGAGTTACCTATATATATTCCTAAAATATATGAATGAAGAAATCCTATTCCTGACGTTCCCTGCATACATCCAAGAAGAGGCCGGGAACTAGACATTTGACATGTTTCTTTTTGAATTCTACAACAAGACATGATAGTTTCATGTCCCAATTCTACAGCTGTACGTCGTCGATCAGGAGACCAGTATAACCATATTAATGCAGGAACCTTCAAATCTATCCATTCCTGATCTAACATAAATCCGGATTCTATGCATCCTAATGTTTGTTTGGGAGACTTTGACGTATTAATTATATTAGGAAGAACTATTTTTGCTATAGATGTATAACGCTTAATGTTATAAGAAAATAATTTGCTTTTAAATGTTGAATCTGTTTCGTTATTAACGAGAACAGCTTTGATTTTAAAATCCGAAATTACACCTAGAAAAGATGGAATATCTTCTGAAAGTCGAGACGTATTAAGTGGAGGTATTGGAATTGCAATGATTCCTAGGCAAAAACATGCATGTATTGCATATAGAAAATCATCTGATTGTGTATACATCAAAATAGCGTGATCTCCTGATTGAAGTTTAATTTTAAATTTAAGATAATTTGCTACATTTGCAATTTTTAAATCCAACTTTTTCCATGTGACGCCTCTATCTCTACCCTTGCTATCTATTACAGAAAGAGCAAGTTCATCACTTTGGCTTGCTACTCTCCATTGTAAAACATCTATTATACTTCCATAGGCAAATAAATTTATTAAAGTTTGATCATCCATTGATAATGTTCGTTCATCTCCTACGCTATATTGTTTCTTTTCTGAACATAATAATTCCTGACGCTTTTGTGTGGCTACCTTTGACCAAATTCCCCCAATTGGATCTTCCCCGACAGGTAAATCAAGTGTTACTTCATTGATTAAAAATTTGACGTGTTCACACGGTAGTGTGCCTAATTCGAATCCTTTTCGACAAAGCATGTTACTAATTTCTTTATGTCCATTTTTATTTACTCTAGGCAATGTGTTCGATAAGGCCATCATTATACAATATACTTTGATATTATGTGAGTTTAAAAGTGCCTTTTTACATTTTTGTGTAATAGCATCCAAAATGTTATGATTCGAAGTATTCGATTGTTCTGATGGATCTGGAGTAATAATTGATGCTGGAAATTCGAGAACAACAATAGGATAATATTCTCCGTTGATAAAAATATCAAATGATGTACTTCGGATGTTATTATAGATAATAAGGAAGAATATATATACCAATCAAATACATGAGGGACATTCCTCATAATAGTTTGGACTAAGTGAGAAACATAATGATACCTAATAGCCATTTAGCTTCAACATATAAATATATACTAATACCTATATTCTATTGCATCTTTATTTTGAATTGATACAATTCGTTGTCGAAGTCTATCTTCATATAATCCTAGTACATAAATACGGCCTTTGATCATACAACCAAGTAAACCTGTTCTTAGAAATTCTTGATTATAAACAACTTGTTTAGAAGTTTCGGCGTCAATCATATATGCTTTTGCATGAAATAAAGATTTTGTTTGCTGTGGTGAATTCCAAAATCCTCCACTCAAACTAGGGCTATCAACCCAGATTTCTCCAATAACATTCGAGTTACAAAATATTGATGTTTCTGGGTCAACAATTGCAAGTGTAGTATCTGCTATTGGATACCAAAATGATCCAACTGTAACAGCATCTAAATCGTCATATTTACCTTTTATGTTCTTTTCTTCAGAAAGTATAACCACTTTATTGGTTTTCAAAGCTTCTTTGTCCAATAGAACTTGAGCCAGTTCATTATTTGTAGATATATTATGGTTGTCTGTGAAATCCGATAACATTTGCTGTTCTCTGCCAAGCCAATCTCTCATAGAAATAACCATACCTCCATGTTCTGGAAGGCAAAGTATAGGTGATAAAACCTCCCATGGTCTAGAATTCCCAAGAGGTCTTAGCCATCTATCTGCTAATATTTCATGGAATTCTGGATCAACACAAACACAATCTATTAAACAAAGACGAATACTGGAAAAATCAATAGGATACTTTTTCTTAAATTTACGAGTTTGCATTGGATCTAGTCAATACTAGGTTAAATTTTAAATAGGAAAAAAAAAAACGTTACCATCCTGATAATTGTATGTTACTGTTTTTAATCCAGGGTAATTTGCAAGAATCATAGTAGCTCTATACTTAGTAATAAGATTTGCCCAAAGACCAGGAACAGAAACTGCTTTTTGAGAACACCATACTGTTGTACTTCCACTATAAATAGAAAAAAAAATAGTAAAAATCAATCCTATTGCTTGTCTTTGATCCAGATATGTAATAAAGACTTCACTATCTTCAGTAGTGGAATGTTTTTTGCTAGAATTTTTGTTTGACATTTGTTTTTTTATATTTTTCGGAGTACTAGAAATAGTGGTACTTAAGCTGATCATTTGATTTACAATAGTAGAGTGAGGTATAACCACACCACGAAGTTCCCCAGTAGGTGAACGTGAATACTCAATATAGGCTAAATCATGAGTTTGTAAAGGCTAAGTAAGTTTAAAAACTGGAAAAATATAAATGGAAATAAACGTACTGCACTACTATGCTTTTTTTTGCTGTAAAAGCCGCCAAAATTGTTGGTTTCCCACCATTCTATCACATAAGGCAATTGTAATTTTCTATCTATCAGCCTTTTCTGGAGATTCTTTAGATTTATATGAGTAGTTAAAATAAGACGAGATTGCGTTGATATTAAGATCTCATATAATTCAGTGATATCTTTATAATTATTGACAGGAACTGCGATTACTCCTGCAATAAAACAAGCAAAAAGTGATACCACAAAATCTATAATTTCAAAATTATTATATATTAAGATTACTCTGCTTCCTCGTTGAAATTCTGGTTTGCTTTTAATAGCTTGTGCTACTTTTTCTGTACGAGTTAAAAGCTTATTATAAGTAATATTATTCATTTCTCTCCCTTTGTTATCGGATACAATTATTGCTTTCTTTTTTGATGCCATCTTACTCCTATAACGAAAAACAGAGGCAATATTGTCAAATCTATATTAATTGGTTAACATTCACTAATATTGATAAATCTCACTTAGTCGTAAGAAATCTTGGATCATGTCGATCATATGCTGAAAACGGTATGCCTCTAGGTTTAAAAGGCAATTGTTGTTTTCCTACTTGTTCTATTAAAGATTCCGGAAGTTTTTTGTTTGAAATAGAATTAGATTGTTCATCTGATGATCTATTGTTCTTGTAATTATACGAATCCTCCATAACTATATATTTAACTATATAAACTCAAATATTTATGTATTTTACGATATTCATGGTTGTAAAATGTCTGATCATTATTTGATTTTGTATGATCACTGTTCTTATCATCTGATTCTTATATTAAACATAATGTAAATAAATTTTCTACTAACAAGGCATGTTTTTTAATTCAAAATCATAATTTCCGTTTGTATTCTGATTTCCGAATACCTCTTTATTTATATTTAAAGAATCCTAAATAAAACATTGGTATTTATAAAAACCCTTATATATGTATCCTTCTTACTTCATTTGAATCCATATTATCCTTATATTTCAATAATATTTCTTTCCTTCTTTTTTCATATCCTTTTTTTGTTATTTCTCCATCATCTAATTCCTTCTTTATAGATTGAAGTTCTCTCAAAATTACTCGAGATATATCCGATTTGCCAGAAAATACTGACATTTCGTCTTTTTCTTTATACTGTATAGGCATATTAAAGCTTTAAATCATATTTTTTAAAACCATCTTAGATTTTTTTTAAAAAAAATGTTATTAAAATCGATGCTTTTTTATATAATATTGTTATTTTTAAAAATAATATTTTAGTTTTTATTAAGATAAGTTCATTATTACTTATATTAATGAATGTTTTTTTTATTAAAAAATGTTTATATTTTATAATTTCAATATTGTAAATTTTAGATTTGTTAAACGTTAATATTTTTTTAAATGATAATTATTAATGATATTTTATTGGGTTATATGATATAAAACTGTTAAGATGATGAATTTCCTGTATTCTTATTTTTGAAGATGTTATTAAATGGCTTGGTACTTAAAAATTTAGGTATACATATTTTTTTGTATTATTTACACATGTGAAAACATTACAAAGTATTTTATGTAGATATTTCTAGGGAATTTTAATATTACTTTATTTTTGTATATTTTAAGGCAAAATTATGGATTTTTGAAAAATATATAAAGGATCTTTTGATAAAATTTATATGATTTATCTGATAATTTAAAGATTTGATTAATTAAAATTATTTAAAGGCTAAATGAAACAATTTTATGTTTGAGTAGAATAAAATTTTTTTAATATATTTTGGAGGTAAATTTATTTTTGTATTTTAAATTTTTTTTCCAAAAGAAATTAAAAAAATACATGTTATGAAATTAGAAAAAAACATAATAGAAATTTTGTATATTTATAATTAAATAAGCTATAAATATTAAATTATATGAAATCTTTAGTTTTTGTTAAGGATATTGTTTAGAATATGTAGAAAATGTTGTTTTTATCCAGATATAAGGTATTTTTTGAAAGAAATATAAAAATATGATGGTTAAAAATTAAGATCTTACCAAAGATTGTAAAAAGACTAAATTCTTTAATTATATTTATTAAATAATTTGAAGGGTTATTTTTATAAAATAAATATATTGATATAATTTTAATTGTATTTTTAAGAAAATCTTATAAATATTTTCTGTATTTAATAAAGATTTGTATGAATTTTTGATTGAAATATTAGGTTTGTTTTTAGATTTTAGGGTACAGTTGATTCTGGCACTGTTAGAATGGTTTCTTTAATATTACAGAGTTCCGAAAGAGTTTTTATTTCTTCTTCGCACCTTTTTAAAAGATCATCAGAAGGGTACATAAATTGTTTAATGTCTGGTAATAAATTTTTCAATTCTAAGTCAGGATATATAGCAGCTGAAGAAATCGCTTGATTAAGACGATATAATGCTATATTATATATACACATTGATTTTAGCTGGCTTGTTTTTTTGCTATATAAAAAATTAATAATATAATAAAATTTAGATTCTTTATACATATTATTATCTTGTGTTTTGTTAGATAAATCCATTTTTGTGACATATTTTTCCATTAGAGTGTCTATATCTTTCATAGAAGAACCTTTTTTATTAGATAATATATTATCTTTTTTTATAGATGGAAATTTGAAATTTTTACAGTCTTCTAAAAAAGGTAACTTAAAAAATGTAAATAAAGAACAGTCATAAAAAACAATACTTACAGTAAGCTCTATTAAACATTCAAAGTTATTTTCAATAGATGGTGCCATTATAATCATTTCTGGAAATTTATTTGCTTTTGTTACAATTCTTGCTAGTGCTAAGGTATTAGTTTTTAACATTGCATGTACTAAAGAAGATAATGAAATTTTTGCATTTAAATTTGCTTTGGCTGGAACAATTATATTTGCTTCTCCTAAAGCAATAAACCGAGGAAACTAGATTAATTAGATATAGTATGAATATAAAAACTGTTTACTGATTTATTTTTTATAAATCCTAATATTGTTAATCCCGTATCTTCCTTATACACCATTTCTTCTTCATCTATAATATTAACAGGAACTATTGTTTTTCCATAAATATATCCTAATTCAAGGTCTTCTTTAGATATTTCTTTTTCGTCTCCGTCTTCTTCTATTTTGTAGCTTTTTGTAGTCAATATTTCATTGAAACATTCATTTTTGTCATCATCACTTAAATTAGTAGATGTTTTTGTCGATTCTTTATTATAATCTGTAGATTTAGGTATAATTCCTGAAACATTGTATCTATGTGCAGCAGGCATTTTGGCCAATCTAGTACGAGGATATCTTTGAACCATAATTTCAATAACATTAGAATAATTCTGAGAGTAGCCTATGCTTAAAATTCCACCAAACAAAGATATTGGACGAATTTTTTTAACGCTAGGTATATTAAGAGAATCTATAGCCTCAACCATTGAAGAAAAAGTTCCGTTAGAGATATTTGAGAACTTTAAAAGATTTTTTTCATTATTTAACTACAGTAATTATTAACGGTCTATTATTATATTATATATGATTACTTTTATGGTATTTTTAGCAACTTCTTTGTATCCATTAGTGTCAAAATCAATGCCACTGCTTCCGTTAGTTTTTTTTTTAGTATTAGTTTTAATGCTTTACAAAATTGAAAAGTTTATAGACATATATCTAATTTGATATGCAATTTTTTCCAAATCTGAAAAATTCATATCTGATTCTCCATTTGTAATCAATATAAGATTTTTAATATATTTAAGATTTCTGCAGTATTTTGATATTAAATCAATTCCAATAATCACTGCTGAAATAGCTAAAAAAATCAAAAAAAATTAATAAAATAACGTAAAATAAAGCTTACCATCACCAACATCCGTATTACTCGGAATTAATTGTTTCTTCAATTCTTTTATCTCTTTTATCGTAATTCTAGAAATAAAATCATATAAAATTAAATAACTTTATCCTCATACTGTTGAATAGGACATAAAACTGAGATATTTTCATAAAACTTATCATCTTCCATATCATTATTTGTTTCTAATTTTTAAATAAATATCTATCATGTCCATTTCTTATCAAACCATCTGTTTTAAATCCAACTACGCCTACACAATCTGTTTTTCGTCCTGAAAGTACCTTTTTATTAATAAAAAAAACTACATAACATTTTCTTAAATACTTTTGATGATATTTTATTCCAAAAATAACTAAGTACCCATTCAAGATTGCTTTGTGTCCTATTATTTTCGCAATTTTTCTGTTTAATCAATTTTATATTCAAATAAAATAAAAAAATCTTACCATTCTTTTATCTAAATCAATAACAAATACTGTTACCTCTTTTTCTGACATATTTTATGTATTTTTTAGCATATGTTCTTTGTATGTTTCATTTTGCTAAGTAAACGATTTTTGATTTCTTTCCGCTAAAAATACATAGATGTCTTCTTCAGAAGGAATATCTTATATAAATGAAAACTATATTGATGAGAAAGCGTATGTACAATATTATAAGGAATTACATACAAAAATATCTAAAGAATCCCCATTTTATATCTCGATGTCGAAGGGAATTGATAAAGATGTATCAGATTATGTTGAAAAATACAGTGATAAATATAAACCAGTACCTAAAATGACACAATCTTTATTTTTTTTGAAATTGGAGCCATTATTTTTTCCAGAAGAGCTTTTTGACGTATTTTTGAAAGAATATAAGGATGCAGTATATAAGGAAAAAGTAAAAGAACCTGTTGTTTTGCCATTTCTTGAAGGATTTCCGAATATTTTTGAAGAGGAAATGAGAGAATTACATGAATGTGATTCAGATATAGTAGAAGAATGTGAGAGTAGGAAGGAAGATGGAAATGATCAAGATGAAGATTTTGATGATGATGATAATAATGATTATGAAGGTTTAGAAAAGTTTTATATTTTATATTTTAGTTAAAGATTTAGATAATTACTTTGATCCAGGTGATGAAGATTATGAAGATGGTTCATTTTCTAGAGATAATGTTGGCGATTATTTTTAAAATATTTTGAATAAATAGTAATTATTTTATACGGGATATTGTATTTTTTATAAAGCAAATTATAATATAAAAGGGTATTTTTCGTTATTTAATAAAACAACTATACTTTTAAAGAAATTTATCATTTCTAACGCATTTTAAATAAGTAAAAAGTATATGTTTTTTTTGAATTTTAGTATATATTAATTGTGAATTATTTGTTTTTGATTTTTAATTTAAAATATAATTATATTTAAATTCAAAAATTTTATAGTTTTTTTGAATATTAATAGTAAATAAACTAGATCATGATCTTATATAGATATTGATATATTGAAGTAAATTGTATATAATAGATTTTAATTTCAGTATAAGATAAATGTATTATTAGAAAAATTTAAATATTAATCTTATTTAAATAACATAGAATATTACTGCTAAAAAACACATTCGTTATGTATATATTTATATTTATATTCAATTGATTTCTAAAAATCTTTATTTCTTTTCGTTTCTTATATATTTTAAGATATGAATTGGTATTTATGTATGAGGAATTATGTCTTTAGATTTATGTGTATATTCATATTTTTTTTATTAAAAAAATATTAAATAATTTAGAAATTTATATATATATTACACCTTTCTGAGTGATGTGTTGTATATTTTTTAGGAATAAATTGCTATAATGTACAATAAAATGAGTTATCTTTTTTTTAGTTTTGTGTTTCGCTAATTATTGTATTATTTGTTAGATTAATGTTGTCATGTGCTTAAACGTTCCAAAAATATGAATAATACCAATAAAAAACTGTTATTCTATCTTTTAGATTAAACAAAAATTTATAACCAGATTTAATGAATAAATGATTAGATGAACTCCTCATGATTATTCTATTATATACAATAATTTTGTCAATTATCCCGTAATTTGATAATGATGTTTCGTAAAATATAATATATATTTGAATTCTGTCCAGACATTTATAAACTACAAATTGACACTTACTAATGACTTTAAATTTTGTTTTTTTATAAAATCGTGTACATTTAATACAAAAATGATAAAAATTATGCCTAGATTAATGCTTCTTTAAAAAATATATAAAATCTGATATTCTATGGACGTAGATTCCGTTGTTTTTCTAATAAATCTTTTGCTTCATTTATTTTACTTGCTATATACGGACTTCCTCCTCTATCCGGATGATTTAAAAGCATAATTCTTCTATGTGCATCCTTTAGTTTGGATCGAGTTAATGTATTCTCGCTATATATTATATTAATACAAATAAAAAGTTTATTAAAATAAAAAAAATCATTTTTTAGTTTAAAAACATACTTTAAAGACAAAATTAACGCTGCTTCTCTACATGACATTTGTTTGTGAAACCCCCCTTTATAAATATGCTGAGAAGATGCCCCTCTTGGAAATAATTTATATTTTTGAAATGTTCGTAATCCTAAACCTATCTAAAATCATCAGTTTTTTGTCTTTTTTCTTCATTCAAAAAGATCCTACAAGCGTTGCCACAGTCGCTACTCCAATAGACCCTAAAATAATCCCTGCTACCATATTTTTAACTCTTTTTCCCTATTTTTTTTTATGAAAAAATTCTGAGGTTGAAAATCGATAAAAAATATAAGTCGATGACCTTCGCTCTTCAGTGTACTGTTTGTTATCACCTGAATTTTTGCAAGAAATGGGCACATTAAAACAGTTTATTAAGTCTGTAAGATCAGCAAAGACAGCTGCTGATGAACGTGCAATTATTCAGAAAGAATCAGCTGTAATTCGTGCTTTTTTCCGTGAAGAATCTAATAATCATTATTATCGTCGGAATAACCTTTCTAAACTACGTAAGTTAATAGTTTATGTAGATTATTTTTCTTACATTTGTGCGTTTTTTTAAGTCTATCTTTATATACTTGGAGAATGTACTCACTTTGGGCAAATTGAATGTCTTAGACTTCTTGCAAGTCCACTGTTTGCAGATAAACGTCTTGGATATCTAGGAACTATGCTTTTGCTTGATGAAAATCAAGAAGTATTAATGTTAGTTACGAATTCTCTTAAAAAGTATGGATAGAGATTTGTACGGTATTGTTTTTTAACATATAAAGTGATTTGAATCACCCTAATCCGTATATTGTTGGATTAGCACTTTGTACATTAGGAAATATTGCATCACCAGAAACAGCACGTGATTTATTTTTGGATATTGAGAAGCTAATGGATTCACCAAATGTGTATATTCGTAAAAAGGTATTTATTAATGTTAGTTATATGAGTTATTTTTTAAAAAATTAGGCTGCATTATGTGCTATGAAAATTATACGAAAAGTTCCAGATTTTCTGGAGAATTTTATAGATCATTCGAAATCTCTATTAAAGGATAGGAATCATGGTGTATTGCTCTGCGGGTTAACTCTTATTATTGATATGTGTATTCATAATCCAAGTATAATAAAATATTATCGTCCTGTATGGATTTTTTTTTTATAAGATTCTGAATAATTGAGACATAGCTTACCTCTTATTTTGTAAAGCATTTAAAATCACTTGTTAATTTTGGTTTTTCTCTTGAATATGATGTTTCAGGAATTACGGATCCATTTTTACAAGTAAAATTTTTAAGACTATTAAGAGTTTTGGGGCATGGAGATATAGAAGTTAGCGAACAAATAAATGACATATTGGCGCAAGTAGATGCTTCTAAATATTATATATTTAATTAAAATATTAATTAGGTTGCTACTAATACTGAATCATCAAAAAATGTTGGAAATTCTATTTTGTATGAAACAGTTCTTACAATTTTGGATATTGAGGCAAATAAAGGGTTAAGAGTTCTTGGTGTTAATATTCTCGGCAAATTTTTATCTGACAATGACAATAATATAAAGTTTTAAATTTTTTTAAAAAAATATTTTTAACATATGTTTAGATATGTTGCATTAAATACATTGAGTAAAGTCATTTCTATAGAGCCTAATGCTGTGCAGAGGCACAGAAGCACTGTATTAAAATGTCTTCGTGATCCCGATATATCAATACGAAGGCGAGCTTTGGATCTGTCTTTTGCATTAATTAACGAAAGCAATATCCGAATATTAGTGAGGGAATTGTTAGTATTTTTGGAGACTGCTGATAATGAGTTTAAATTAAATATGACAACCCAAATATCTATCGCAGCTAATAAATTTGCACCAAATAAAAGATGGCATATTGACACCATACTTAGGATTTTAAGGCTGGTAATGTTATTTATAGTAATCTCTATGTTATATTAATATTAATAAAAAAGGCTGGGAATTATATTAAAGAACACGTTTTTTCTAATTTTATTCAATTTATTATTACTACTCCAGAGCTCCAATCTTATACAATCAGAAAATTATTTTTTTCTTTACAAAAAGATATAACACAGGAAGCTCTTACTCTTGCTGGAATATGGATGATAGGAGAATATGGCGAGCTTTTGTTGCAACCATATCAATCATTTGAAGAAGAGCTTAATGATGTTGTTAAAGAATCAAACATTATAGAACTTTTCAAAAATATTATTGATTCTACTCATTGTTCTAAAACCATCATGGAATATCTCATGACTTCTTTAATGAAACTTTCTGTTCGTATTAAGGATCAATCTCAGATTGAAAAAATACGTAATTTATTTGGTAAATATTCAACAAGTATAGATGTCGAAGTTCAGCAAAGATCTATGGAATACGAAAGGCTTTTTCAATTTGATGAAATACGAGAAGGGGTTTTAGAGAAAATGCCTCCATTTGTAATTAAAGATTCTGAAATGTTTGATTTTTCTACTAGAAAACTAAAAAGTCGGAAAGAAGCTGATGAAGACGTAAATATATTCCCTATTCGATATAAATCTAATAGATAATAGCCTTTGTTTGATTTGCTTGATGGTGATTTCTTTTCGAAAAAGGATTCAAATGACATAAATAATAACAAAAGTGCAATTTTGGATATTCTTGGATCTTTAAATCACTGTGAATCCAAAGACACTGAAAAAAATGTCTCTGTTTCCGGTAATTATCTTTTTAAAGAAAAATAATAGTTTTTAATAATGATTTTTCAATTAGTTCAAAATCCCGAATTACTTGGTATAGGTGTCGATTTTACTTCTTATAAGTTTAATGAAACAACTGGAAATGATATTTATAGTATGTATCTTTCATATTTCTATACTCTTCTTGACAAAAAAAAAGCTGTATATGAAAAAAATGGTCTCAAGTTTACTTTACAAATAGATTCATTGCATATTTCTGATATGTGCACAATCGTTATTACAAATCGATTTCTAAATGTTGGTCTTACTCAAATTTCAAAAATTAATTTGCAAGCTGCTGTAATAAAATCTCAAAAATTACAAATGTATCCTATCTCAGGAACTTTTATAGAACCTGGCGGAAATTTAATGCAAACAATGAAAATAACTGCTTCAAAGGGGGTAATTGCTTTAAATACATAATTTATTTTTATTTACATTAATTTTTAGTCTTTATTGCGACTTCGTTTTAAAATCTTATATAATTGTTATGAATTAGGTGATGTTGTCGAACAAGTTGATTTTAATCAATTTCCTCATAATCTTCTTTTCTAATTACAATTATCTGCATATCATAATCTACTTATGCATATTTATTAATATTTCTCTTTATTTTATTAAATGTATAATACGTTTATCTTCAAGTCACGTGCTTTGTGTATTTTAACCTTCGCGCTCGATCAATGACTTGTAAGTTTAAAAAGTTAAAAAATAGGTATTTTTTCTTGAAAATAGTTATGGTTTAACTATTTATAGTCTTTCTATCGTTGTTTGTGCCACAATTATTGGTTTAGGCTCTTATATTATTTTTATTTTTACGCGTTATCGAATGCAAAGAAGCTTAGAAAGATTTATTAAAACATTAATGAATTAGAACACATCTGTTTTCTATAATCTCAAGTAATTTTTCAATTTTTTATGATATGCAAACGTTTCAGTCTGCTTCACCACGTCGTGTTTTTGTAGAATTGACTGCTTCACGAACAAATGCTTTACAATTTTCTTTTCTTAAGCGAAGGCGAACGTCTAATAGCAGTGCAGAAACATTCTCTCAGGAAGAGTTTTCTTATGAAAAGCAGATGAAACGAGTTAAAGAAGGGGATGTTGATATTCAATGTTTAGATACCAAGTTGATTCCTTATCATGGTATTGATACATCTCCAATACATACTAGTCATGAAGAAAAAATAAAGAATTTGGAATCTAATACATTTTCGAAGGATGGTTGTGCTGATGTCCGTGTTGATTGTGTTTCGAAAAATGAAGTATTATAAATTTTGGTGAATTGCGATTTGATATTTTCTAAATTGTTTAGAAATATAATGCACTTCAAGGTTCTGATTCCAATACATTACCTGCTAATAGTAGGTTGCTTGAATCATTTTTTTTATCAAAAGAGCAGATTAAAAAGGTAAGAGTTTTTTAATATATATTATATATTAAAAAAATAGTATGCGCATGTTTTAAAGCTCAGACTTCGTCTCGCTTATTATAAATTGCAAATTAACCAACCTCATTCGGCATTTTCTACACTTCTTTTAATTCCAAAACGAGATAAGATATCGCCTGTTGAATTGCCAAAGACTACTTTATCAAAAACAGTTGTTCCGGATATACGGCTTCTATCCCCTATAGGTTCTCAACCATATGAGACTGCTTCTCAATGTTTATATAATAATGATAATTTAATTCTTAATACATTTAATTATTGTAGGTATAATATTGGATTAAGTTCACCTCCATTAAGCGAAGAACGATATTGTAAAGATGGTTTCCCTCTGGATTTCACTGAAAACATGTCGAAATAAGCTATTATTTGTTAAGAGTTTGTTAGTATTCTGATTAGTATATTAAAATTTATTAATTTAATGATCAGTGTTTTTGTCATGAATATAATCGTTAAACTTGTTTAGATTATAAATTTCCTATGCTATACGCCAATAAAAGGGACATTTGATTGTTTTGATAATGATTGGTCTTTTTTGTGTGGATTAATATGATTTGTTTGAGCTTTTATTTAAAGACCAACTTACTCCATACTTTAATTCTTTGATTTCCCATTCTTGTGCTATTTTTATTTCTTTTTTTTGATTCCTCTTTATTTCTTGTATTATTTTTGTATTCTTTTTGCTATCATCGCTATCATATGATTTTTCATTTTTATGTTGTAATTCCATTAACCATTCATTTTTTTCGTTAAATATATTCTCAATGATATCAAATGAATCAGATACATCTAATAGATATGGTTCATTTGTCACTATGTCTTCTTCATGTATATAGGGGCTTAAATCTTTTAGCTTTCTAGGGCTCAAATTATCCGAATGATCTAATATCATTAAAAAAATCTACGTTTTTTCCCGAATATTTTATATATACTTTTTTCTTTATTTGGAATGCTATGTTTTGACATCAGGTCCACAATTCCATAAAACATTTGTTTTTTTTGAGGAGGGTTACTATAAAAATTAATTAAGAAAAAAGATCAAATTTCATATACATAATATAATCTGTATTTCCGCATATTTGTTCTATGGAAATACTGATCTAAAAATAAATATAAATATAGTGAAAATCCCGTTTATATTTTTTACCTTAAGTAATGAATTGACTTTACTATTTTGTAAAAGATAACAACCTGTTTCTTTCGATAATCCCACGTATTCTGCAAGATTAATTTCAACTCTTCCTAGAACTAATTGATGACTTGCGCATCTCAATTCCTACTAATTATTCAGAATTCTCTCTTTTTTTTGTTTTTTTATCCTTTACTTGATTAACTTCAAAAATCATCCAACTTTCTGATAAACGTTGATGTTTTCCTATCTTCATAGAAATAACACACGAAATATCATGATCCCATGTAACTTTATGGTTCTTTATAGGAACCTTTTGTGATTTTCCTCTTGTTTTAGTGCTTATTGAATCTTTTAAATACCATTTAATGAACATTTGTCCTGAAACAAGAGGAACATTAATTAAATGATGAATTGTAATTTGTATATGAAATTTTGGACGAGATTTTAAATTAAATAATCTAAACATGCTTTTTTCTTGACTTTTTTCAATATTTTTTAAAAAAACTGTTATTTTTCATTTCTTGAGTTGAATCAATTAATTTGTCGAATTTTTAATAAAGATTGATCTTCTTGAAAAAATAAAAACCAACGCTTCTGAAGAAAATCAAGGTCCGGTTTCTTTCAACGGCTTTTTCTCTGGCATATAACTTATAGAAAGAGCATATAAGACGCATACATCACGCATATAGCTCTAAAAATGAATAATAATGATGATATATTGGATGATGTTTTTGAATTGCGACGTTTTGAACAAGAACTTGAATTTATTCAGTGTCTTGCAAGTCCTTGGTATTTAAATTGTTTGTTTTTTCTTTTAAAAAAAAGCTTTTAATGCTTTATTAGTTCTTGCACAAAGTAAATATCTTTCCTGCCCTGTATTTCTTAATTATCTCAAATATCTGGAGTATTGGAGACGTCCAGAATATGCTCAATTTTTAACGTAAGGTTTATGTTGATTTTGAATTTTATATTAATAATTTAAGATATCCAATATGTTTGTATCATTTAACTCTTTTAAATGATGAACAATTTAGAATAGATATCTCTAGAGAAGATTTAGCGAGAAGAATGAATGATGAAATTTATTATCAATGGTTAGATGGACAATTAAGTACAAATGAAGTGGATATAAAGATGAATGATTCAGGGGTAATAGGAGGGGTTTAATTAAATGTATAGAATTGATATTTATGAAATGTATTTTAAAGAAGAATATGAGATAAAGACATGTATATATTAGAAGGGATATTTATGTTTTTTTATGATTGATTTCATAAAAAAATGAGTTTTGATTGATTGTACATGAAAGATTGAATTGAAAAGAAGTGTAAAATTAAGGGAAAAAGGCATTTAAATAAATTGAATTTTATTTATAAAAAGATTAAAGATTGAAAAAGGAATTTTAGAGAATATAAAAGATGATTGATAGAGATTTTTTTGATAAAAATGTATTTATAATTGTTTGATTATATTGTATGATGGTTATTATGAAAAATATTTGAGTTTTTGATGTATTTTTTTAAATAAAAGGGGTTGCCATTGTCCCATTAGGCTAAAAGTAGATTTAATGGATTTTGTTTAACTTGCTTTTGCTATTGACTAATATTTTTCTTGAAGATTAATATATTGATAAATAGTTTGATAAAATTTTAAATAATTACTATTTTTCAATTATATTTTTTGAATTCTATGGGAAAATTTATTTTTCTGTTCTATACATTATATGTCTGACTTGTATATTTTTTATATAAAAATAATGGAATAAAGTTTTCTATGTAAAGATTTTTAATAACAAAATTTTATTGTTTGGAATATTTAAGTAATTAAATATATAGTTACTTTTCTATGTTGTATTATAAATTGTAGTTAGATTTAAGATGATGTTAAATCGATGTAGTAATAATTTGAAATTTTGGTAAAATAATAGTATCCTTAGAAAATTTTTTTAGGTAAAAAAGTTGGATTATAACTACATTAAGTAATAATAAAATTTCTTTGAGAAAAGGTTTATTACTAGATTTTTTGAATTGTTTGGTATGAAATTGTTTTAATCTATAATTTTAGAAATACTTTATATAAAAATTTTTTATTAGTCCAATTTTATTTATAGAATATTTATTTTATATAAATATTTTTTATGAACTTGTTTTTTATGTTTAGTTTATAGACTGTTGAAAAATAATGCAATAAAATCCATGACAGTATTATAGCTTAACTTTATTATATAGATAGACTTTAACATTATCTTAAAGCCTTCATAATTTTGAATATGTTTCATGTATTTTGTTATTTTGTTGTTTTATTTATTCATGATTTTAGAAATAGTTTTTTAAGCAAAATCTTTTATTTTTAAAAGATATTTGAGAAAAAAAATGACTATCTAAAAATACATTTATATAAAGTATTTTTGTATAATTCCGTAAAATTCTCTCTTCTAATCAAGTTTTATTTTTCGAAAGATATTTTATTATTATACATAAAATTTATTATATAATATTATGTTTCATGTATAATTTTACTTTAAACCAAATATATTTTAATTGTATTTTCAAAATATATAAACATTGATATATTTTGAAAATATTAAAATATGTTTTTTTGAATAATATCTAGTAAATTATTTATTGATTATATAATTCTTTTATTTAATAGTTTATGTTTATTTGAAAATACATTTTGTTATATAATATTGAAATTTGCGTTTAATGGTATAGAATTTTGAATTAATTTTTTATAATTTAATAAAAAATATATATTATGTTTAATAAAATGCTATATTTACTTTTCAAGTTCTTTTGTAAATACAAAAAAGGCATTTGTCAAATTCTTTGAAAAAAATTAAATAGACAGCAAGAATCAACATTAAAAAAATTACAAGAATAGACAATAAACATTGTCTTAAAATGGATATTCAAAATGATTTTAATTCTTATAGCTTTAAAATTTATTTATGAATAAATTATTCTCTTTAAAATTCGAGATTCTGATCTAAAAAAAATTTCATAATTAAAAGTATGATAATGAATATTAATTGTGGTATTTTGTATATTTGCTTTTTGTTCTTAAAATTGCAATATCTCAGTAAAAAAAAATGAATGTATTTATTTAGAAAATAGACTCCTTTTAAAAATATTTTCCTTAATGAGTAAGACATATTTTATGTTTATTGCGTTTGAATATAGTTATAAATGGTATTAAATGATACTAATTATGCAAATGACTCAAAAACTTCCTGTGTTTCAATAGGAACATTATAATTATTTTCATTTTCCTCAAAAGTTTCTTCTAGTGCTAGATGCTGAAATTGGGTTCTGATTTTAGCCTCTTTTATCAAATTGTTTAAATGATTTCGTAGTTTAATTACACCAGATCCACTAAAAACACAACTTATTTGTTTTAATATATAAAATATAAATAATTGACAAAACTTACAATACAGCTTGTTGGTGAGGGTTGAAATCTTGTTTCTTTTTAGTAATAATTTAATGAATATTAATAGAATATTTTACCTTTAGGTGAAGGCCGGCAAAATTGTGTAAATTCTGGTTGCAAAAATTGTGAAACGCCTGTTAAACTTAAATGTGTAAGTCTTTTGCATGTATTTAATAATTCGAGAATAGCCTAATAAAAAATAGTTAAATAATGAAAACTTATGAGTATAGAGCAAACATGTAATGTAAGATTGACGCAGTAAGAAAGATGAATGCGTTCTAATGCATTTTCCGCCATTTTATGATTTGCTAAAGCAAAAATAGATAAATCTGTTATATTCGCGCACTTTACAAGTCCTATCCTTTTTAATTTAGGTAAAGATGCTAATTCACAAATTGAAAGGTCAGTAAGTTGAGTGCAACATGCTAAATCAAGATAACGTAATCGAGAACAATATCGACTAAGATAAATAATGCTACGATCTGTTATAGCACTACAATGGCCTAAGTGAAGAAAATGTATGTTTTTCCCTAATCTAGCAATATACATCACACCTCTATCTGTGATATTAGAACATTTTGCAAGAATTAAATTCCTAAGTTTCGGAATTGTCAAAGAGATGTGGTAAATGCAATCATCTGTGATCCTTGTGCACGATGTTAAATCCAATATACGCAAATGTTCATATCTTTCATTTTCCATATTCAAAAAGAGTTCATTGGTTATTGATGTACATTGTGCAAGTCTTAATTCTCTTAAATAATTTAGCTTAGTAAACGCTGCATTAGCTGATTGGTTTGTAATTTCAAAACAATTATCAAGATCTATTTCAAGTAATGAAGGACATTTTGATGTTAATGATAAAACCGAAAGGTCTGTTATTAAATGGCATCCATTTAGTTTAATTCTGCGCAAATTAGAACATGAATGTGCAATTGCCATGATAGATTCATCCGTGATATTTTTGCAGTTCGTAAGATTAAGACCTTGCAAATTCTTTAAGTGTTTCGCAATACAAAATAACGTTCTATTTGTTATTAGTTCTAATCCAGTGAAATCTAATGCAAGAAGATTTGGGTTTCTAGACAAAATATCGTAAATGCCTTTATCTGTAATTCTTTTGCAACCAATAAGGGTCAACCTTTCAAGACGTGTACATTTATCAAGTTTTGAGAGATATTGATCCGAAACATAATCACAAACATAACTTAAATTAAGTCGGCGGATAAGTTGTGCATAATTAAATGATAGATTTTTTCGACATAACGTATTGCAAAACTTTATAAGATTCGATGACTGATATAAAAAAGGGCGATACCAAAGGCTTTCAACGCTACAATAACACCAAGACCAGCATACAAGAAGACATGATTGCATATCACTTCCTGATGAAATATATTTAAAAATTGCTAAAATAAGTTCCGATGGAAGACGTTCTGCTGCTGAAATAGTACGTCTATTCTTAGGCATATGACTTTTATTTGGTTTTTGTAATAATTTACTTGGAACATGAAACATCCCTTCATCATCTGATATCATTTCAAGGTTTATAGATTTTACTAGTTTGTTCATGGGAGTTTTTGACCATGTTTTAAAGCAAAAGTCAAGTGCATTATGTCCCATGTCATCTCTAAATACACTTTTCTCCTCTTATTTTTTCTAATAATTTGTTTTTTTATCAAATAATTGTTGAGATTTGATAGATTTCGATACGTTTTATAAATGATTCGAACCTTAAAAGTCTTCGAACTTATAAAAATCTATTTATTTACTTTAAAAACTATTTGTACTTGAAGAAAACGTATAAAATTTGTTTTTATAATATAAGAAATAAAATAACTCTCTAATTTATGTAAAAATCGTTATGCTATAAATCGAAGGATAAGAATATTTGATGGATATACGAGGAATATATTGGAGATATAGATAGTCTGAAAATAACTGAATTATAACTGTTCGTTATGAAAAATAGATTTTTTTTATTATTTTTGTTCATTTAAAAATATGATTTATTGTAAAAAATATTTTAAAGTGAAATGTATTGTATTAAAATGATTTTTGATAGAATAAAGAAAAATAAAAAGAAAAGGCCTTGAAATGTTTTTTACTAGGAATAGATGTATGTTGTAATTGGATTAAAATTTTAATTTATATAAAGTATTTATAATTATAGTATAAATTTAATAAAATTTATCTTTAAAAAAATAAAATATTGTTTTCATATTTTTTATTAAGCAAGTCAAATATTTTAGAATTAGTAGGAATGATTATGTTATTTTTGATATAGATTTTATTTTTTTAACTTAATATCATTTTTTTAGATTCAATTTAGAAATGTTGATTATTTTATAATATAAAATAATCAACATTAAATAAGTAGTGATTCTTTATTTGATATTTCTTAATATTTTTTTATTTAATATTTGTATATAAATTTTATCATTTTATATTGGTTAAAGCATTTGAACGGTTTAAAAGATTATATAATCAGCATTTTAAGAATATATGAAAAAGAGAAATAGAAGTATTATTTGTTTTAAAAATGTTTCCTGATAACATTGAATGAGTTATTAATAATAGAAATAAAATTTTGATTTTTTTCAATAAGAAGAAGATATATAATAGTTTTTAAATTTTTAAAAAAGACTAATTATGGGGATTAAGTAATGAATTATTTATCAAAATATATTACATGATGCTTAAATTAATGATAGATCAGGAGGAAGTCATTTGGATCGGCTTATTTTGTTATTAGATACAGGATCGACTCAAGTGATACGGCAGACGGCAGCACAGCAACTTGGTAGTATACAAAAAGATCATCCATATGAATTATATAATATTTTCGAGAAACTTATCCCTTATATAAGATCTAAGTCATGGGATACTCGAACAGCTGCAGCTTTGGCAATAAATGCAGTTATAAGACAGGTTCCTTTGTGGGATCCAAATAAAGAGGATTTTAAACATGAAAATACGTTTAAATTGCTTTTGAAAGAAGAGAAATGCAGGGGGATGTTTGATGATACATTAAACACAGTTTTTTCTTTTGAGACATTTGATATATCTCTTGTTATTAAAAATGGAAGAAAGTTACTTGGAAGTGATGGCAAAGTATACATTGTTTAATTTATATTTTTTTCGTGTTTATATTAGTAGGAATATGATTTTGATTCTTCTGATTTTTTTTCAGAGGAAAATTTATCATTTCAAAAGAAAAATCTTATTTCAAGGCTTGGATTTGGGGGAGAATATGTCGATGGTTATATCTATATATCAGTCTTTTATATATTTATATGCTTATGATATATAGATAATTTGTTTACAACATCTGATCTTACTCAATCGATTAATGATTCATTTAAATCTTCAGAACAGGAATTTATTTCATCTATAACAAACAATACTACTCTTAGTGCTAGACAAAGAAATGTTATGAAAAGAAAAGCCAAAAATAATGCAAAGAATACTAGAACCAATAAGTTGGTTTTTGATCTTTAATAAATTTAAATTAATAATATATAGAATCTGTATAACTAGTGTTCCAACTAATGTTAAAACTGAGAAGTCAGAAGATATTGTTCCTCCTGAGTTACCAACAATTATAAAACAAGAGAATTCATCTGAATCTAATTTATTAAAGTCACAAGTAGAGGGATCCTGTACTGTTATTGAGAACGAGTCGTCATCTATAATAAAAAATTTAACTGAAAGTTTGGAATGGCCGTTTAAAAAAATTGCTGAACTACTAAAAATAGATTTATTTCATCCTCAATGGGAAATACGTCATGGTGCAGCAATGGGTCTGTTAGAGATTATTAAAATTCATGGAAAAGGTGCTGGTCGTGTTGTAGGATTATCAAGAACTGAAAATAATAAGAAAAATAAGATTTGGCTTGACGACATCGCTTGTAAATTGACCTGCATTTTTGCTTTAGATTATTTTGGTGATTATATATCTGATCAAGTAGTTGCACCTATTAGAGAATCTGTTTCTCAAATACTTGCTGCTTTACTTATACATGTAGACTCAGAATCTGTAAAAGCAGTATATAAAATACTTTATCGTCTAGTATTTCAACAAGACATAGGTATTGAAAATCCAATTTGGGAGGTTGCACATGGTGGAATGCTTGGTCTGAAATATCTTGTGGCAGTGCGTAAAGATGTTGTTTTTGAGTCTAATGAAATGTTTGATGGTGTTGTCCAGGCTGTTCTATATGGTTTAAAAAACTATGATGATGATGTTAGATCTGTTTCTGCTTCTATTCTTTCTCCAATTGCTCTGGAATTTGTTGAAAATAAACTTGAGGCAGTGAGTGATTTAATTAAGACTCTTTGGATATGTTTTTCTGATCTTCGGGACGATTTAAGTATAAGTGTTGCGAATATTATGGATTTGCTTTCTAAATTATGTTCATTTCCCAAAGTCATTGATATTATGAAAAGAAATGCTATATTGAATCAAAGGTATTTTATTATTTCTCATATTATTGTTATTTATTTATTTATAGTCAATCATTCTATTTTCTTGTTCCTAAATTGTTTCCATTTTTACGGCATACAATTACAAATGTTCGAAAAGCAGTTATTAAAGCCCTTCTGACACTTTGTAATCTTGAAAATGATAAATTTGAAAGTTGGATAGACGGAAAAGCGTTAAGACTTATTTTTCAAAATATGCTTGTTGAACAAAATATCGAGGTTTTAAATTTGACTTTAGAATTATGGAATACAATTGTTTCGTTAATAAAATCTGATTCTGATAGTCTTCGATTTTATGTACAATATTCATCTCATTTGTTGCCAACTACTGAACTTTTAATGACACCAATAGGAGTACCACGTCATCCATATGCTATGGATGTTCCGTTTTTGTTGCCTTTTGGGGATTCTGATTCATCTGTTAATTTTTCTAATGAAAATTTTATAAAATCTAATGTGAATTTAAGAAAAAAACAGGATAAAAACCATGAGAGTATTATTTTTTATAATATAGATAAGCCTATGATACAAGGAGATATTGATCTCCTTGGAACTGAAGTTATTATTCAATCAAGATTAATATCTGCTAAGGCTTTAGGATTTTTGATTTCTCGGTTTCCAAAAGATGTAGTTTCTTAAGATATTTTTATCCTTTAGACTAACATCTTTTTAGAAGATAAATGAGATTATAAATTATTTATTAAATTATTTTCTATCTCCTTTTTCAACTCCTAGGTTTCTGACAGCTATAGTATTCCAAAGTTTTTGTGAAAATATTGGAGACAAAACAGAATTTTTGGCATTAATTCATGAAAAGTTTATAAATATTCTTAATGATCCTCTTCCAAGCATGTTTGCAAATCTCGTACCATATATGAGGATTGTTCGTAGTCAATGTTGTGTTTTATGTAATACTTTTATTGGAGATGGTAATTTGGATCCATCAGATATTCCGTATATTTCTACAGAAATTCAAGGGGAGGTTAATGCAAGTCTGGATGCATTTAGTTTAAAGGATGCTGAGAAATTAATTGAAGATGATTTTAATAGATTACAAGATATGATTTTACCTTCGTATAGAACAAAGGCGTCTAAAGTTCTTATGGAAGTTCAAAAGTCTGCTAAAGATGCTATTAAAGTTGTTAAAAATGCAAAGTTTTTAAGTGACGTCCAAATTATGGCAGCAATAGCATGTACGCTTGTATCAACTAAAGAATTACCTAAAAAATTAAATCCTGTTATTAGAGCAATTATGGATAGTATAAAGGTTGTACTATTTTTTCTTTTATAAATTACAATATTATACTAACTATTTTAATAGAATGAAGAGAGCCTGGTATTACAGACACATTCTGCTGAATCGTTGACACGTTTGGTTGATTTATGTATATTGTCACATCCTAATGTTATAGATAAATTAATTAGTAATTTATGTACATTTCTTTGTCTTGATACATCTGAGATACCTGAATTTTATTGTAATAGAGCACTTCAGAAATGCATTTTATCCTTGAAAAAAGAGGAAGATAATCAATGCTTAAAGGAAATACTTTATGAAAAAAATTCGGAAGTTCATATTAAAAAAAATGGTGCAAAGTTGGTTTTAATCAACATAGTTAAAACTTTTGGTGAAAATTTATTTGAAAAAATACCAAAATTATATGCATGTATGTTCAAGTCTATAGAATTTGCATTCAAAGGTAAATGATAATTAGTTATATGAATTTATTTTTATAGTTTATAGAAGGTTTTGATTTTCCTAAGGATATTACTGAGAGAAGTTCTATCCTTGGGCAAAATATTATAGATGGATTATCAATTTTGAGAATTTTGGTTTCATATTTTAATAAATCTTTGTATCCTGTGGTAAATTTATTTTTATTTGGAAAATAATATAAATATTTTTAGGTTATTGAGCATTTTAATATTATATTGAGAGCTCTTCAATCTGAATTTTCTGTTATTCGTTATGCTGCAGCAAGGTGCCTTGCTGTTATTTGTAATGTAATTACTGTCGAGGGAATGAATGAAGTTATTTTGCATGCTTTACCTCTTTTAAAAGATGCGGATAATGTAATAAAAAGACAAGGGGCAGTTGAATTAATTTATCGTTTGTTTTCTATTAAATGATTGTTAAAGCTAATATATATGATATTATTAGATCTCGTTCAGATAATGGATGCGAATATCTTGCCATATGTTATATTTTTTATAATTCCAATATTAGCTCGTATGAATGATTCAGATAATGACATTAGGGTATTTGCAACATCTACTTTTGCTGCTTTAGTTAAGCTTGTTCCATTAGAGGTTATAAGTTTATAATATTAACTAATTTATAACTTTAATAGTCTGGCATACCAAATCCTCCTGGAATTTCTGACGAACTTTTAAAAAATCGAGATTCTGAACGAAAGTTTATATCACAAATTTTAGATGGCAGCAAATTAGAGCCTTTTTCTGTTCCTTCATGTATTAAGGCCACATTGAGAAAATATCAGCAGGAAGGTGTTAATTGGTTAGCTTTTTTAAATAGATATCAGTTACATGGCATTCTTTGTGATGGTAATTTTTTACCTATTTTTATTATTTTTAAAATTTGTTAGATATGGGTCTTGGAAAAACATTGCAATCAATTTGTATTATATCTAGTGATCATTTTTTTAAAAATGAGGAGTATGTTTCAAAAAATATTGATATTCGACTTATTCCTTCTCTAATAATCTGTCCTTCTACTTTATTAAGGCATTGGCAGCATGAATTTTCAACTTATGCGCCATTTATGAGAATTCTTATTTATGTTGGAAATCTTTCTGAGCGTATGAAACTTAGGAATTCTTTTGAAAAATATGATGTTGTTGTTACTTCGTATGATATTTGTCGCAATGATAGTGAGGAATTCTCTAAGAGAAATTGGAATTATTGTGTTTTAGATGAAGGGCATATTATAAAGAATGCAAAAGCAAAGCTTACTAAAGCGATTAAACTTATTAAAGCAAATTATAGATTAATTTTATCAGGAACTCCTATACAAAATAACGTTTTAGAGCTTTGGTCTTTATTTGACTTTCTTATGCCAGGATTTTTAGGAACACAGAAGAGCTTTCATGAAAAATTTGCAAAACCTATAGCTGTTAGCCGTGATAGCAAAGTTTCTTCTCGCGAACAAGAAGCAGGTATGTATCAATATGTAGTATTTTTAGTTTTAACTATTGTAGGTGCTCTTGCTCTTGAGTCTTTACATAAACAAGTTCTTCCATTTCTTTTAAGACGGCTAAAAGAAGATGTTCTTGATGATTTGCCTCCTAAAATTATACAAGACTATCATTGTGATTTAAGTCCTATTCAAAGACAGCTTTATGAAGATTTTGCTAGAACTCAAGTTTCAGAAGTTATAAAACATTTGAAAGGAGAAAAAATAGGGAAAAAGTCTCATATATTCCAGGCCCTTCAATATATGAGAAAATTGTGTAATTCTCCTGCATTGGTTTTAAATAGTAAACATCCACAATATGAAAAAATTAATTTACAATTGCGACAACAAAATTCAACTATTTATGATATTGAACATTCACCAAAATTAATTGCGCTTAGGGATTTGCTTTTAGATTGCGGAATATGTATGAATGATGATACTTTAGGTATACAAGTTAATCAACATCGTGCTCTTATTTTTTGTCAATTTAAAGACATGTTGAATATGATTGAAGATCAGGTGTTTAAAAAATTACTTCCTAATGTATCATATGTGAGACTTGATGGAGATATAGACTTGAAACAAAGATACGAAATTGTTCAAAAGTTTAATTCGGACTCTTCAATAGACGTTATGTTACTTACCACTAATGTTGGAGGTTTAGGACTCAACTTAACTGGCGCAGACACTGTAATATTTGTAGAACATGATTGGAACCCTATGAAGGATCTTCAAGCAATGGATAGGGCTCATAGAATAGGACAAAAAAATGTTGTTAATGTATATCGTTTAATAACTAAAGAGACTCTAGAAGAAAAAATTATGAGGTACTTATTTTATTCAATAATTGTATTTATTCTGATTCCATTAGTTTACAAAGATTTAAATTAAATATAGCATCTTCTGTGATTAATCAGCAAAATTTCGGTTTGTCTACTATGAATACTGATCAAATACTTGATCTTTTTATTACAACTCAAGAAGAGCAAGCTTCTGATTCTCAATCTGCTAATAAACAGAGCATATTGGATAGTGAAGGAAACTTATTGCAAAAAAACCAGAAAAATATTATTGAAAATTTAAATGATCTTTGGGATCCAGCACAATATGAAGAATTATATGATTTAGATGAATTTATATTATCGTTGCCACCTATTGATAAATAGTTGTTGGTTTTTATATTAACTTCTATAATTGCTATATAATATATAATGATAATATAAGGTATAGTTTTTCAGATATTAAATTATTTATAAAGATATTTTAAATAAAAAAAATTGGAAAATATTTTTTTATATTTAATTCTATATTCCTTTTTTAAGATATTCTTTTATTCATAGTAATAACTATTTATATCATTTTTTAGCTATTTATTGATTTCGATTCAATTAGATTTAACTAAAGAGTTGAAAAATTGAGAAAAGAGCATCAGGAGTTCTGAATTATTGATTATTATTATACTAAACGATAAAAATATGAATATTTATCTTAAATTGGCTTTTATTTTGTTCGTTTTTTTCATATTTTCAACTATTTCGTATATTATTTTTCTACCATTTTCTGCAGAAAGTTTGAATCCTATGTTAAAATCTTTTTCCAATGTTCCATTATCATACCTATTAGCAGTTAAATTTGTTGAACTTATGCTTTATTTCATGATTAATTATGTATATGGTAAGTATATTCTATGTTTTATATATAAGCGTTAATTAAGATATATTAGATATTTTTTTACTTATTTTTATATCTAGAGTTCCATGGTTATATATCTCCTTTCTGATATTTCCTTTTCCTCTATGGATAATGCCGTTTCTTCTTCTTTTTGACATATATTCTTTATTTGGTCCTTTTTATCTTATATCTAATGAACGATATGCACTATTTAGAGATAAAGGGATATTAAAGTCTTCAATACGGCCTAAGCAAGATGGAGTTCTTAGTATCCTTTTGTCAGCATTAATTTCATCAATTTGTAGTATTATTGTTTATGTGGTTTCGAAATTATCTTTGATACCCTTATCTTCAACTTATTTCGAAACGAAACATTTCATTGCACCTATTCCATTACCAATATTAATGGTTACTTTTTTTCCTTTGGGTTTTTGTATTCAAAAAATTATTTTATCTCTAGGTCCATTCAAGGCTTATCTTTATATGATACTCACAATGGCATGGGTAACATCTTCATATCTTTATTTATTAATTCAAAACATTACGTTTCATGCAATTTGGGTTTCTATTCTTACTTTTTGGTTTTCTATTACTGTTTCTTTTTTTTTTATGATTTTATGTGCTAAATCATAATTTTATACATTTTAGTCGGTTCTTTCTCACTTGATAATAAATAAAGGTATATATTTTTATTAAAATATCATATTCTTTTTATAATTATTTTTTTTATAATTTTTTTTAGAAAAAAAATGAAATTTCTTATTTTATTTTCCACAAAAAGAACATGCTTTTTACAATACTCACCGGCATTTACATTAAAAAGACATATAGAAGTTGATGAATAGATATAAAACTACTTTTATCTCATTTACAGATAACAGCCCTAATCTAAGATGACTAGGGTTCTTAAAAAAAGTCACTTGAGTAAACATTTTTAAGAGTAGCCCGAATATTTTGAATATTACTTTAAGGGTTTTAAAGTGATAAAAATTAGTGTATAAAGAACTATTTTTAATATTACAGTATGTCAAATAGTTTAATAAGTAAGAAGAGAAAGGCAAGTTTGTTTGATAAGTTTATATTTGATTTTGAAGCCAAAATGATAAACTATGATTGATGGATTAAAGAATGAGAAATGATGACTCTTATTCTTATCTGGCACCTCTTGTTTAGGAGTAGATTTTTGCATTGAGTCTTTCCAATGGGCATAAGAAGAATTCTGATATTAATTTTTTCTTTCTAAATATTAGGCTTCAAATTCAAGAAATAGAAAATATAAATAGGAATAATATTAATATTGATTAGTTTGTTGCAGATGGTGTATTTTTTGCTGAGCTGAATGAGCTTTTTACCCGTGAGCTTTCAGCGGAAGGTTATTCTGGTACGGAAGTCCGTGTAACTCCTAGTCGAACAGAGATTATTATTCGTGCTACACATACACAAGAAGTTCTTGGGGAAAAGGGAAGGCGGATTCGTGAACTAACATCACTTATCCAGAAGCGGTTTAAATTTCCAGATGGTACAGTTGAGCTTTATGCTGAAAAAGTACAAAATAGAGGACTTTGTGCTGTTGCACAATGTGAAAGCTTGAAATACAAGTTGTTAGCTGGATTAGCAGTTCGAAGAGCTGCTTATGGTGTTTTAAGATTTATTATGGAATCGGGCGCAAAAGGATGTGAGGTAGTTATTTCAGGAAAACTTCGAGCTGCACGTGCCAAATCAATGAAATTTACTGATGGATTTATGATTCATTCTGGTATTGTTAATTACTTCATTTATTATATAATTTTTATCTTCTTTTAGGTCAGCCTGCACGTGACTTCATTGACTCTGCAACACGCCATGTCTTATTACGACAAGGTAAAAATACTAAATAATTATTTACATATATCATTCTTACCTTCGATTTTTTCTAATATATATCATAGGTGTTTTAGGTGTAAAAGTTAAAATTATGTTAAATGAAATGATTACTCGCAAACCACTTCCTGATTCTGTTGTCGTTATTGAACCTAAACCAGAAGAACATATTTCTCAACCATCAAGTGAGGATTTTTCTCGTCAATTGTCTTCTGATTTGGCGCAACAAACACTTTACCGAGTTCATCCTTCTCATTAATAGATTTATGTATACTCATTATTTCATCTTAATTATATATATTGTTCCATTAATTCTTTGTTTTCATATGTTTTTTTGCATTTTTCTTTATTTCCTTTTTATTCCATCCTTTTTATCTTATCGTTTTATCAATACAGTCTCAACGTCTGTCATAACCGGTTTATACAATTTTTTGATATGGGAGAGGGATTTCACCCAGAAACTCTTCTTATTGATATTAGTATTCCTTCTTCAAGTATGGTATGTTTATTTTCTTTTTTTCCCCTTCTAAAATCGCATTATTTTGACAGACTTTGGATATAAAACCACATGTAATATATATATTACATGTGCAGTTAACAATGAAGTCTTATACCCTGAAAAAGAGATATTCTGAGTTTTGTACTCTACATAAACAGCTCTTAGAAGTTACAGGCTGTGCACCTCCTGTAGAATTGCCTCCAAAGTATTATTTATTGAATATTTTTTCAAAACCTTCATTAATTGAAGAACGGAGGCGTGGACTTGAAGCATATGTTATAGGAATTCATCGTAGTGAGGATACATGTTGGAGATTAAGTCCTCCTTGGAGACAATTTTTAAAGCTTCCCGTTTATGCGATTGGACGACCTATGATTTCAGCAGATAATTCGGCGATTCAATTGTCAGATCAATCATGGATGCGTCTATTTCATGAGACAAAATCTCTTCTTCAAGAAGCTAAACGTCATGTGTCAAGACGAGGATACTTAGAAGGTGCAATTGCGTCGCAGGTTACACGGGTTTCTTCAATAAAGGGCTTTTGTACGATTCATTCTTCTTTAGAACAATTAAGTCAAGGGTTAGATAATCGGAATATTCATACAAGTATTGGAGAGAGAGAATTATGGCGTAGAAAGGATTTATTGGAGAATATGAAGCGAGAATACGCATTTTTGGAGCATATTGTTTACAATAATAATCAGATTAAGCACGATATTCCTTCTTCTATTCAAACATGGAAGGATTGTGAAACATCGTTTACACGATGTAATTTGGATAGGATACCAGAGACGGAACGGACTCGAGAATTAAGCAGTGTGGGATTGATTCATTTGCAGAAAGATATCCTTAATAAACAAGATGAACAGCTTGGGGCTTTTTTACCAATTTTGCGAAAACAAAAAGAGATAGTTACAGCAATTGCGGATGAATTGGATATGCAAAATGATATGTTGAATGAATTAGATGAAAGTGTTCAAAAAACTCATTTAAAACTTAAATCTGCAAAAAAAAAAAGTGAACAGTTAAAATAATCGATTTTTTTAATAAATTGATATCCATGTATATAATTCATAAACGTTATAAAGATAATGGGTTTTGGCTAGGATTTTTTCTTTTTTTTGAGACCAATAGAAGATGCACATCTATTTTATTTAGAAGCATGATCGATTCCACGAAATTACTCACTCATCTGAACATGTCCATTTGCCTTTAGGTACCGAAGTGATAGACACGCAATCCCAATGAAACCATTCTCTTTTACACTTTTCAAAATTAGCAAAAATATTGCAAAATAATAAAAGATACTTTATCATTATCACATGCAATCATTCGTCCATATGAAATTTGATTACAAAAACAATATCTTGGCTCTTTTGAAATATTACGATGTTTTTTTTTAGTTTTCAATTTTTCTTTATTTATGATTTCCAGTTCTTTTACTTGTTGATTTTCTACTAATGCTTCTTGTAGGCTTTGTAATGTTTGTTCAATGGCATCAAGGTGTCGTTCGACCTTAAACAATCAACCTAGTTGATTATAACATATAAATTTACTGTTTTATGAAGTCTGCATGTTTCTGTTAATGCTATGGAACGGTTTTGTGTAGATATTTTCAATAATCGAGCCATCTGAACATATTTTTCTGGTTCAGCAGTTGATACTGTTAAAGCAAGTTCGTCCAGTTGATTTATACAAACTATTTATATTAAACTCTTAATTCCTTCCTCAGTCCTATTACTTGAGCTCTCATCATCAAGTTGTCGTATCAACTGTAGTGAACGTAATAAGTCTACAGGAAGATGTTGAGTAACTATCATAATTAGCTTCCTTTAAATCGAAAAAAATGTGAAAATACAATCACTAAATGCATCTATAATGTTCTTCTGTGCTTCCTCCTGATCGTCCAGGTCGTCCAAGTTGTTTTAAAAGACCTTATTTTGTCTGAAATATTTATAATGTCTACGCTTGCACAGCACGTGATCAACAAAATGTCATGGCAACCCGTTGTCATAGTAATGATAATATTAAATCTATATATTTCTTTTTTATAACCCAACCAGAGATTAATTCTAATATACATAAACAGACTACAAAGCTACTATAAATAATTGGTATATGTATTTATGAAATTAAGAATGATTCAGGAAACTATGAGCGTGAATCATTAAGTACCATATTTTGTAATTGGTTTTCTCTCCATTTACTAATATTTTCAAAACCTTTAGCCAAATCTACACCCTGAAGATCAAGAATATTTTCCATAGTATTTAATTCTGCCAAGTCATGTGCAAATGTCTCTATTTTATGGGAGACAGATGCGGGTGGTGATGAATAACAAGAATAAGTATGATTTTCAGAACTTTTATTTGGCGTATTATTTATAGAAGAACTGACCATATAGCGCCAAAAAGGTGCAGGAGATGATGTGGGATAATACGAATGATGATTTATGCCATGATTTGATGATACTAATAGTGATTCTTTTGAGGTAAATCCGCCATGATCCGGTGTAAAGAAGTTTGGTTGTTTTATTATACATGCATGTTTATATGAATCTATAGGTGAAGCTATATTAGGGGGGGTTGTAATGATTGTGTTTGTTTGATTTCCATAAAAAAATAAGTTGGAATGAGAATCATAATTTGTTGTATCTCCCGGAAAAAAACCATTTTGATTTCTTATGCTAGAGTATTTTGAAGAAATGGGAGTTGAAGGTGGATCCAAAATCGTTTTATTATGAATTGATGATTCTAATAAAATTGGTGATATTTTGGAATTTAGAGAATTTGTATCTAGTGTTGAATTGATAGATTTAATTTTTCGATGCATCCCTTGTTTTTTTGTTCTTTTTATAAGCTCATCGCGGTATTCAGGAGTTATTTGCCATTTCATTCCTTTTCCTGGTTCATCTGCACGACGAGGAACTTTACGAAAAGCTCTATTAAGCGAAAGATTATGCCTTATGGAATTCTAGGGTTTAATGAGCAAATACTTATAAAAAACTATAGTTAACTTACTTGCCATCCACTTTTGGAAAATCTATAATATGCATAATTGCTTGATATCCATGAATAAATGCCAGATAATGTTAACTTTTCCTCTTCGGTTGACATAATTGCTTGAGCAATCATTGTAGCATAGCTATATGGAGGTTTAATATCTTTCGATGAATCGAGACTTAAATCCCTCTCAGGAGTAATATCGTTATTTTTATAATCTGTAGAAGATGTAGAAAAACAAAGCATAGACAATGAATTATTTCGACAGGATTCGTTATGAGATTTTTTATAGCCCGATGAAAATGATGTTTTTTTGATATTATGAGATTTTTTTTGAACCTGGTTATATTCATCGTATATAATATCATCTCTGTTATAATTAAGAGCATTTATAGAAATCTTTGGAACTGAATCTGGTAATACGAACATCATTTGAACACCACCAATTTCGAGAATATTTCTAGATTCAAAAAAATAAGTAATATTATATCATATATAATAAAATATACCCATTAGAGAGTCTTATTCTTTTGTTATTTTTATAGAGTTTATTATCAATTTTAAGGCCATTTCTTCCATAGACTATACACTCCCAAAATCGTCTTTGAAGATCATATTCAATGACTGCATGCTTCCGACTAATAATTTTGGTAGGGCCAAGATCTAGATCAACATGAATATCAAATTTCGGATCAATATCGTTTTTAGATGTTGTATGATCGGGCTCCCTGCCTATTGTAACATTAAGTGCTTTGACATAATACGTCCATGTTGCTCCAGCAAGCTTTGCATATGCTTGAACACCACCAGTATAATTTGCAGCATTTTGACAATTGGCATACTGTTGTTCAACGCGAACAGGATGCAGTGGCATAGATAATTTGCTTATAATCTCATTAATTTCCTGAGGATTTACCGGAGATATAGTTGAATTATTTAACTAGTCGGACATTTTAGAAATCTTTTTTTATCAATAAATCATGAATACCTTCTGCTTCTTTGTAGATGGACTTTTTTCTGATGAATTATGATTCAAAAGCATTTTTTATTGATATATCTATGCTTTTTATATTGACTCAGAGATATATATTTAATATTATTTGTTGGCTAAAAAGCCTCGACTTTTTTTGCATGAATTAATTACCTACAAAGTCCTTAAAGATGCTGGGAAATGTCATCCAATGTTTCCAAAATCCCGTATTTTATACCTTTTTTATGAATATTATTTTTTCTTTTGCCTTTTGACGTCGTAACCATGGCAAAAAATACAAACCAGCCTTTATAACGGATAATAACAAGAAAGTTAAATATAATGAATAAGATTCGTGGAATAAGTGTATTCCCTATTAAATACCCTACACTTTTGGTTTTTGGATAAAATAAAGTGATTATATTGTGTTTTTAATATTTTAATAGCTTAAAAAAATGTTATATTGTTGTTACCATAGCAACTGATGAGAATAAGTTATATAATGGTTAGTGTTTTTTTTCATTTTTCTTTCAAATAGAAAGAACATACTTTGTGCTTACTGCTTTTTCGTGCTTATTTCGTGTTTTTTTTTGTATCTATTTCCGAAAAATATTCCAATGTTTCTTTAAATTTTTATGTAAATTAATGAAGTCGATTTCCTGTTTATAACCTGTATTGTTTTTATATCTTTGACGTATAATGATGATAGAATACTAGAACATATGATTTTGTTTGTATATTAGTTATTCAGAAAAACATCATCAATCAATCTGTTTTCTTCATCTATATCTCCTATGTAACTATAATCTGATTGAAGAAACCCAAAGATGCCGAATTTTGAACATAAAGATGTAAATAAAGTAGATATAGTATCCTATAAGTTGAATAAAAAGAAAGTAAAAAAATGGGCATACTTTTATAGTAAAAAGAATTCCATGATGTGGAATTTGTTTCCAACCTGTGGCATATATAACCGTATTTTTGTAAATACAACTGCCTATACAATATACGATAAAAGTAATTAATAATCTAAGAAATATATCAATATACAAAATGAAGTTTTGTTAAATTCTTACATAATACCAAAAATAGTTCCAGGACCAAATAAATGTTCCTTTGTTCTTGTGCATGCGTAAGCTAGATATTGTTTGTATAATTTAAAAAAAAATAAAATAATACCAGTATGCCATTCAAAAAAATATGCACATTTATCTGCTTCTGCGACAAAAAAAATGAGTGGCTGTTATAATACATTAATATATAATAATTATCAAAAATAATATACAATTTAACCTTATCATGTATACGAGGATTACATATAAAACTAATTGTAGTGCTTTTCCGAAATGTTGTGTTTCCTGGACATAATGATCCATTCTTGTATTGAAGAACTAGTTTATCTCCCTGAAAATATATATTTGATGATGTTTCTCTATGTAACAAGTTAAAAAACTTTTTTATTTAAAATATATAAAAAATATCTACCCAATGGAAAATGTTTCATTCCCATCAGCATACATTGCACCAACACGTTTAAGGTCAACCCCTTCAATAGATGTAATATTTGTTATAACAGGTGCACAAATATTAATGCTAAAATCTATGTTATTGTCGTCATCTCTTACATCCCAATTGTATCTATAATTTTATAAATAAAACTTATATTCCAAAAATGCTTCTTTTCTGACCCATCTTTTTCTGTTCTTTTAAGTTTTTGTAAATCAACATGTTCATTAGTTTTGGATTTTACTGCTGTACATGAAGAATTAGTATCATTCATAGCTATTCCAGGAATAATCATGAATATAATAAAATATAAAATAGTTTTTGATAAATCCATTTTCAACGTTTATATGATAAATATCTTAGATCTGTTATGTCAATAAAAGATCTGAATAAGATTTAAAGATATCTTTTATTGAGTTTTTTTCGAATTTTGGGCACGCACATCGATTATTTAATGAAGCTACAAATAAAAGATTTGTCTGTTAAAAAGAGGAGTTATGGTAAGATATTAAGATATTTTTATATAAAGAATTAATTGTGAGTTGTTTTTTAATAGAATTTGGTGGTCCTTTAGGAATTATAGCAATTATTTTTGGAACTTTGTTAACTGTTTTTGAATTATATCTTTTATGTAATGAAAATGGGTGCAATGTCTCTGTAAAATATGTTAGAAATTCTTTTTTTTTATTAGGAGATTTATGGGATCCAATTGCTTTTTTGATTTATTTTTTGTGGTGGATTCTTTTAATTGTTTGTTGGATATTTATTCCTGGAGATATTAAGAAAGGAAATTATTTAAGTCATGGAGTATGTTTAAGTTATAAGATGAATGGTATGATTTTATGTTTTTGAATTTTATAATATGATTATAGGATTTCGTAGTTTAGTTTTTGTTTTGAGTTGTTGTATAATAGGATTTTATTTGAAAGGAATGTATTTTTTGGAATTTATATGGGATCATTATCCTGGATTGATTACAAGCTCGTTAATATTTTCAGTGTTATTTTCATGTTATACATATGGATGTAGTTTTTTTCCAGGTCGATATCTTTCAGAAAATGGTAATACAGGAAATTGGATCTATGATGTAAGTGTTTAAATTAATTATATTTTATAAATTATGATAGTTTTATATGGGACGTGAATTAAATCCTCGTATTGGATCATTTGATATTAAGGAATTTGTTGAGTTAAGGCCAGGTATTATTCTTTGGGTCGTATTTAATTTATCATTTGCTGTTCATCAATATATTATTTTAAAGGGACGAATTACAGCAAGCATGTTTCTTGTTTGTTTGTTTCAAATATGGTATGCTATTGATTCGCTTTGGAATGAAGAGCTTGTATTAACTACTATGGATATTGTGTACAATATTTCAAGAACGCTTTTATATTGTTAGTTAATTAAGAATAGAACTGAAGGGTTTGGATTCATGTTATGTTTTGGATCTATTACATGGGTTCCATTTACTTATTCTCTTCAAGCACGATATTTGGCATTTCATCCAGTTTACTTGAATAAATTTGCAATTTTAGGGATTTCAATGCTTCAATGTTTAGGCTTCTGGATTTTTCGCAGTGCAAATCTTCAAAAAAATACTTTTAGAAAGAATCCAACTGCACCAAGTATCCAACGTAAGACTCCTTCTTTGGAATTGAATTGTTGATATCGGTTTTTATAGACTTAACATATATAACAACTGAAAGAGGTACTAAATTGATTACAAGTGGATGGTGGGGAAAGTCTCGCCATATAAATTATTTTGGTAAAGATATTTATTCTATAATTCATTTATAATTTATTAGGCGATTGGCTTATGGCATGGGCATGGTGTCTTCCTACAGGATTTGAAAATCCTATAACTTATTTTTATGTTGTTTTTTTTGCTGTATGCTTAATAACTCAATCTTTTATGAAATTTATTTTTCTAGATTTTGTTAATACATAGAGAGCGCCGTGATAATTATAATTGTCATTTAAAATATGGCAAAGATTGGGAAAGATATTGTCATCAAGTTCCTTATAGAATTATTCCATATGTATATTAGAAAAATAGAATCTAATAATCATCAATTGATAACTGTATTATATAGTTGATTAAGATAAGATATGGATCGTGAGAATAGAAAATTACCTTGTGATTTTTTTTATTAAGAGATTTATCAGGTATATTAAATGTCAATTCATGATGAAAATTGGTCAAGGAAATTATGTAAAGTTTTACGACATTGTGCTCTAGATTATGGATTCCACATGAGTAGTGATGGATTTGTTTCTGTTAATGCTTTAGTAGGATTTTTTAGAGAAAAGAATGAATTGTTTATATGAAATAGTTAGCTCATAATTCTTTCAAAGGATTAACGGTTGAGCGGCTGAAGAAGATTGTTGATGAGAATGAGAAATCTCGTTTCACACTTCGTATGGATTCAGAAACGGGTGAATTATTAATTCGAGCAGCGCAAGGGCATTCTATTCCGCTTCATGATGATTTGCTTTTGAAACGTGTTACTTGTAGAGAGCTTCTTCCAAAAATAACGGTTCATGCAACAACTCGTAAGAAATGTATTGAAATTTTCAAATCTGGAGGGCTTTGTGCTATGAAACGCAATCATATTCATTTAGTTTCTTATCCAGAATGTTTAGGCAATGGATCTTCATCTCAAATACGTGCTTCTTCTGATACTTTAATATTGGTTGATGTTCAAACTGCTTTTGATCACGGTATTTCTTTTTTTTGGTCTACGAATAATGTACTTTTGACACCAGGTGCTCCTGATATGCCTGGATGGCTCTCTACACGATATCTTAAAGGTGCAATTACACGTAGTGGAAAACCTATTGAATTATCTCTTTATTCTTCAATTTTCGATTCATCTGAGGTTAAAATTTGATTCTTTCTCTTCTTATTTTGGTTTTTTGACGGTTTTAAATTAGAAAAATGGATAATCCTTATTCTTTATATATATCTGCTTTATCTTTTAGATTGTGTGTCTACTTTTATATTAATTAATTAAACTTCTTATCATAAATTGTTTTATGAATTTAATGAGGACTTATGGAGAATATAGATGTTTGTATTTCATTTAAATTTTGAACAAAAATATGTTTCTTTTTTTTTGAATTCTGATTTATTTTATTTATTTTTTATGTTCATATGAATATATTTTCTAAAAATGAAAAGTTATTTAGTAATCTTATAATTGTAATAGAATTAAATGAAAAATTCGAAGATTATATCTTATTTTAGAATTAATTTTTAATTATTGTTGATATAGATAATATATTTGTTTTTGTATTATTTTTATTTTTGATGTATATATATGATTATATTATGAAATGTTATGACTAGGCGAATTATTGTGGATATTTTATTTAGATATAATTATTAGCGCTAAATTGTGTGAAATAATTAGGATTTGTCGTTTCAACATACTTGTTTTATTTAAATTTTTATAAAGTTAGAGCTGTTTTTTTTTGAATATTTTAGACAAAGATGTTATTTTATGTACCCTTGCATTATAGATGATGTAAAGAATGAATGAATATTTTTTGAGAATGTTAAAACTATTTTATATAAAAGTTGTGAATATTTTTACTTTCGCTTATATTCATAAAAATTAAATAAAAAGATTGATGATATACAAATATAATGAATGTTTGGTGTTTTTGTTTTTTCGGAATGCATTCTATGATTTAATGAATGACAAACGAATTTTTTTTTTACTATGTATAATTTGAAAATCCAAAAAATTTTTTTCCAAATAATGTTTTAGGTCCAAAGAAGTAAATATTCACCCATGAAAAATACCCTATGATTAATCCTGTCAGCTAAAGATTATGATAAGCCCATTTTTTTATTTCAAAGAAATATTACTTTTTCCATTAATGTATGAAAATAACATGCTGTCATGAGCAACATAAACCACCATAAAAATAATAAAGTAATAACAATCTATTTTGATTAGTATATAATTAATTCAGCATAAGATAAAATAACTATTGTTTGCGGTTGCTTTAAATATTTTTGATCAGAATATAAAGTAAGTAGAAGTTCTGACCATAAAAAAAGCGATGCATGTGTTAAAAGAAAAGCTTATATAAATTAATATAACTATATTTACTATATGATTAAGCAAACCATGACCACTAAAATCATATCCTCCTTCCCATTTTCCGCCATATAATTTACATTCAGATGAATAATGAGGAATATGTCCCCCAGTTTTATTTAGTTCTGTGTCACTAAATTTACAATGTCCTCCTGTTAATATAAAAATTCGATCCATAATTGGGGGACCAAAAAACCATTGAGTGACAAAAATCCACCAAAGAGTTGCAAAAAACCACCGTATGCATGCCTTAAATATATTTTTATGTTGAATTCTTGATATATGATACATAAATACCAGAGATGTCCAAAACCATCCTAGTTTAACAAAAATAACATTAAATATATTAGAACTGTGTGAAAAATAAGATTCACGAGCTCCATTTTTTAATTTAAAAAGAATTCCAAGTACAATTGTAAAAGGATATATGATTAAAAGAAATATTTCCATATGTTTAATACGATTATTTTTAATTGAAATATCATTTGTACTGACACTAGAATGTTCTTTTTCTTTATAATTCATGCTTTTAGATAAAATTTCGGTTTTATTTTCAGATATTGTCATTTTATATTAAAGAAAAAACCTATTTTTCCATAAAACTTAGACTTCAAAAAAAATGGCTTGAAAACCTAAGTTATGAAGATTTTTACCTTTTATAAAGCTTATTTCTTTATAAAAAGAAATAGATAAGTCTAAAGAGAATCTATGATCTATAACTAGAATATATGAATATATTTTTTGTTTTATAAAATGTACTTTTATGAATTTTTCTGTACAAAAGATTTTTTTAATTATTTAGAAGCAATTTATTTTTTAGGTGATATTTTTTTTCTTTTTTCTTATATTAAAATATTTATTTTTTTTCTTATAAAATGGAATTGTTTTGTTTTTGAAATAGAAAAAGTTTAAAGAAAAAATAAAATTATGTTCAAAATTTGTTTATGTTATTTTTATAATAAACTTTGATGATTTTTTAAAAAAATATTATTTAATTTTATAGAACATATAATTAATATTAATTATATGAATTTTTTATTAGAAAAAATGTTGAGGCTGTAAAAATGTTTTTTTTTATTTTTGATAATTAAGTTACTGAATATTTTAAATTTATAATTTATATAATATAATATAATTAAATATTTTTTATTTTTTAGAAATTAGTTTAAATAGTATTTTATATAGTTTTGTATAATTGAAAAGTAATTGTAAGATTTAATGTTATAAATCATAAAAATATAATAATTTTTAAGAAATGTTTAAATCAATATGCAATTGAGACATGACAAATCTTCTGTATTTTGATTATATTCTTGCACATTATAATCTAATTATTATTTCTTTTATATAAAAATTACAAAATTATATTTATCAAAAAAATGTTTTTTTCATAAGGGTAGCTCTAAAATTTGTTTTATCCATTTTGCCATATCGATTTTAATAATACTGTGTTTTATTATCCTATAATTTTATTAAAAATTGATAAAATTGAACTTAAATAAATACCAAGGATGTTCTAACATTTGTTGAGAATTAGGTCTTTTTGCTCCATCTCTTTCAAGACTAGTACAAATTTTAATAAATAGTAATGAAAGTTGATAGGTTTACCAAGTTTTTAGGAAATGTTTAAAATCATCTGACCATTTTATTTTATTGTTTGGTTCATCGACGAGTTCTAGATTTGAAATATTTACAATATAATTTAAGAGTTCAATAGGTACTAAGGGAGGTTCTCCTTCAGGTGGAAAAGGGAATCTATTTTGAGAAATTTCCATCAATGTTAGCCCAAGAGACCATATATCTGATGTTATACTGTATGTTTCACCCTTTATTCGTTCTGGTGCCATATAATAAGACGTTCCTGTGAATGTTTTTGCCATTGAACTTACAAGTTCTCCAGAGACGCCAAAATCACATAATTTTGCCTGACCTTCTAGTGTCATTAAAATATTGGATGGTTTAATATCTATTTATTTTTAATTAGATGATAATTAATTATATTAAAAATTGTATTACCTCTATGAATAATTTTACGAGTATGTAGGTAATTTAATCCCTTTAAAGTGTTTTCTGCAATTTTTAAAATTGGATATTCCCCTATGCGTGCACCATTTGCTCTTGCCTTTTTATATAATCTATCTAAAGAACCACCTGCACAATATTCCATTGCCATAGAAATGTTTGAGCTTACTTCATCCACAAATGCACCATAATATTGAACAATATACTCGGATGAACATGTTCTATTAATAGAAAGCTCCCTTAGAATTTGTTGTTGGATCTTCGGACTTGTATCTACAAGAATCGTTTTAAGAGCAAACAATGTTCCTGTATGCTTTAAAATACATTTGCTAACGCTTCCACTGATTCCTTCTCCTAATTTTTCAAGTTCTATAATCTCATCTGAATGAGCTGAATGTTGCCATACTTCATCTAATAGAATTTTAGTGAAATATGATCCATTATATGAAAATGCATCTGGGGATCTATTCGTTTCTGATATTCCTTTGAAATCATGATCCTCGTTATGAGAAATATCTGAATTATCTGTTATGCGCCTAAAAATCCCTTTATAAGCTTTTTTTCTAAGAAAAAATACTGACAAACGTTGCATCAAAAATATGTGATGTTGATCTTTTAGAAGGGATTGAAAGAGTTAATATAGGTATTTGATTTATTAAAGATGTTTCAGATGATGATTTTGACTCATCAATTCTTAATTTATTCTTTATTTCCTCTGAACATTGCAAATTTGTTTGATATGCTTCTGGCTGCATCCTCAAAAATTATGATGTAGTGCATATGAATATACAATGATTATTGTATTCTCATATAATTTATATATAGTATGTATATATTTCGCTTTTTATACGCATATAGTCTATTATGTTTTAATATAACCTTTATTTCGTTTCTTTAATTATATTTTTTTTCTTCTATCTTTGATTTCTTTTTATCAACCTTATCTCTTTTTGATAAGTTTTCGATAAGGTGCTCTTAAGATTATCTTAATAATATTTATAAATTTAGTATAATCTTTTTACATATAATCAAGTTGATTTATGTACAAATAAAAGTAATATCTAGTTTATTTTCAATTTTTTTAAGGATAATATATTTGTTTATTTTTCAATATAGAGTATTTCTAAAAAAGAGTAATCGAGGGATCTTATCGATAGATCAAAACAGTCCGAACTTCATGGAAATATATCATAAAGTTTTGATTAGAGAATTAAAAAAAAAGTAGTGTTTAATAAGGATATTAAAGGCAAGAAATTTGAGAAATTGCGATAAATTTACAATATACGTGTGTTTTATTGAGATTTTTTATAAGAGAAAAGGGAGAAATGTTAACAGTCAAGTCAATTAAGTCGTTCAATGATAGTACTCATGAAGACATTCCTTTACATATGAGAATGAGACGAAGAGGATCAGGTAGATATCAAGGAAATGGATTGAAATTTAAACCATATCCTTCCCCTTCTTGTTCATTATCAGGTACAGAATTATCATTGGATAAAATGAAAAAAGACACACGGAAAGTAAGCGAAGTGATTTTGAATGATATAAAATGTGAACACTGTGGTAAAGGATATAAACATATTAGTTGTCTTACAAAGCATCGGTTAGTTTTTTATGTTTAAAACCCTATACAAGGGTATATATTTATTTATGATTAATATAAAAATATAGATGGGAACACACTGTTTATTTTAATCCTAAACTTTCTATTTCAAAACATCAGCAAGTACAATTATTAGAAGCAGCTTCTATTTTAATTCAAATGAATCAATCCAGTAATTTCAAATCGTTTCCCTTTGATATTTTGTTTAAAAAACATGATAATTTTATGGATACCTTAAATGATTCTGATGTTAATCTGGAAGAATGTGTTCCTGAGCATCATATGGAAGATAATGTTGATCATTTATTTTAATTGGTTAGTGGATAATTTGCCTTGGATATCTTTCGTTTTTTGAATTAACTATGTTTTATAATGTTTTTTATGTTCTTCGATGTCAATCTTTTTTCTATACAAATTAAATATAAGCGATAAGTTTCAATATATATCTAATGGTGACATATTCTTATAGTGCTTATTTTTTGATATAAAGTGTTTTATAAATTAATAAATTTTTATATTTTTTTGTTAGATTTCTTCTTTGTATATTATTATCACGTGATTTTGATTACGCACTTAAAAGGTTTAAAAAATCTATGATTTTTACGAATCTTATGAAATATTTATTTTGCATATATAAATAGAGTTTATTATTAGGAATCATGTTATTTCAATGGATATTTATAAACAAGAATATTTGAGATGCATTTATTAAGTGATCATGATGATTCAGATGATTTAGATAAAATCGTTATTAATGAAGCATATGCTCGACGATATCAACATAATAAAGCTCGTGAAGAACTTCATCGGTGTGGGTTTTCTCCTTTTTTCTTGTCATTGTTTTTAAAAACATGCTTAATTATATTTTTTGTACAGTGAAAGACAAGTATGGTAGTGACTTTGAAAATACGGAAAGCTCAGAGACAGAGGATGAAATAGGCGATCTTGCAACTCCTTCTATGAATGCGGCTATTTTGGAGACGATTTTGAAAATACGTAATAAAGATCCGGACATTTATAAATCAGATGTGAATTTTTATGAAAATGTGGAGGATGAGTTAATTATTAAAGAAAAATCTAAACCTTTTCGTTTAAATGATTATCATCGTCAACAACTTTTAGATTCTTCTAAAAATGGAATGGAGGAGGAGAAGAAATTGGATGTTTCTGACCCAACATATGTAGAAGAACAGCGTATGTTAAAAGAGGAAATATTGACTGTCTTTCACGGGGAAACACATGATGATGAATTTCTGACACTTCGTAAAAAGAGTCTACAGGAGCAGGAGGAGGAAGATAAAGCGTATAAGGATTTTTTAATGGAAAAAGTGGAGGATAAAGTGAGAAAGAAAATTTTACAGCAATGGATTAATGTTAGTAATAAACCGCTCGATGAATCAAATGAAAAGTCGTCAAAAGACACTCGAGATGAGAATTTTTTGTTTAGGTTAAATATTAAGATTATTTTGTTTTGAAAACATATCTTAATTATTTTAGTTATGTTCTTAATCGAGGGTGGATTGATAAAAATGCGAATCGTGTTGCTTCTTATGATGAAGTTATTAAGGGACTTGAATCTGATGAATCATTTGATGAAAAGGTAGATGAGTTTGAAGCTAAATATAACTTTCGTTTTGAAGAAGAAGATTCAAATCAAATTTCAAGTTATTCTAGAGATATTCTATCTGTACGTCGAAAAAATGAGAAAAGAAAACATTTACGTGAAAAAAAGAATCAATTAAAACGTATAGAGAAATTAAAAAAAGAAGAAGAAATATTCCGTCTTAAAAATTTAAAAAGAAAGGAATTAATGGAGAAGTTAAATAAAATTGCACAAGTAACAGGTGACTCTAGTATGTACTTACAAAAGTTGGCGATTACTTTTGTTGATTATTTTAGCTCTTAAGTTTGAAGATATTGATATTGAGGGAGACTTTGATCCTGATAAATGGTCTGCTCGTATGGATAAAATTTTTAATGAAGCATATTATAGCAAAAAAGTAAATGGTTTAATGTTAAGGATTTAGTTAATATTTTTTTAAGGAAAAGAAACCTGTTTTTGAGGATGATACAGATATAGAATGTATTGATTCTGATTATGGAGAATCTTTGAAAAATTATTCTGACGTTGAGATTAATTCGACAAATTCTCAGAAAAATCAGATGAAATCTAAAAAAAATATTTCAGCTGTTAAGTTATCAAAAAAAGAAAAAGAAGATAGGAAAAGAAAACTTGATTTTATGTTGGGTCAACATTATAATGTATTATATTTTATAATATTTTTAATTTTTTCATATTATATTAGGTTAATATTAAAAAGAGTGGTACATTTAAATATAATAAGGTTGATCCTTATATTTTTGGACTTAATCATGCGGATATTTTATACGCAAATGATGCAGAGTTAAATGAATTTGTAAGTCTTAAAAAACTTACTCCGTATAGAAATAAGAAATTACAAGAAAAGGATAAGAAAAAGTATGGGAAAAAAAAGCGTCTTAAAGAATGGAGAAAGAAGGTTTGGGGGGAATATTTGGATAATCAAGATATTGTTGAAAAGAGTAATACGAATATGTTTAATGATAAAAAAGATATATAGGATATAGCAAGTTTGTCTTTCAGAACATAATAATTTGTATGATTTAATTAAAGTGTTTTGTTGGGCTTATTAAATCTAATAACATAAAGCTGTTCGCATCCTGCATTCCTTTTTAATACAATCTTTACATGATTAATTGAATAAATTATTAAATAAAAATATTATTTACTTTGCTTTGCATATTCCATTGCGTTTTCATGAAATTTATGATTTTTTCGGGTTTATTTCTGGAAATAGCAACCAAATAAAAAAGACCGTGGACGCATAGGATTTTCTATTGACATTAATATATGTTTCTGTATTCTTTTTTTCAGTAAACATCAATAGAATTCAAAATTCTATAAGTAACTTCCATGCCTTCTATACCACCTGCCCAAATATTTTCCGAATTTTTATTTATACCTATTTCTTTAGATTCTGAAGGGACATATGGTGGATTAAAGATAATTAAATCAACATTATTATCAAGATAAAGTCCTTGTATTAAATCTGTATGTATAACGTCTAAATAAAATGTTTTCATAGAATTAGAATTTATTTTTAGAGTTTCTAATGTAGCTTCACAAGCAGGTAAAGAGATATCTGTACATATATGAACTTGTTGTATTATTTTTTCTTTATCTTTAATTGAATTTACTCACGTGATTTTGAAGATCCAAAAATAGCTGTTTGTAAAAATACAGAAACACATCCAGAACCACAACTATCTTGTATTAATTCAATATATATCATATATTTCCTTTTTCTTTCCCTATTTCTAAACATAAAGGAATTCTTGCAAAACTTTTTAATAAATCTAAATCTTGCTCCAGAGCATCTAAAAGAATAAATGTATCTTCTATATATATAAGTATAAATTAAATTCTATTATAATTTTACCAGATGGTTCATATACTTCTTGAAATCTTTTTTGACGTAAATGAGATAATTTGGGTGTAGAAAGCATAAGATTATAAAAAAGGTTCGATAAGTATATAAAGATATTGAAATATAAGAATTCTGAATAATTAACAAATATTAAAATAAAGGATATAAATAATATATTAGAATAGTAATAAAAACATTGAAAAATAAATGTAAATAAAATGTGTTATGTCTTCATTGTTAAGAGTTCTATCTCTAAAATATACTTTCCTTCTTTATACATTTGACTTGACTCAAAGGCTTTATCATATTTCCAGCCAACTACACTACCACATTGTTTACAAGAGATATCGCGTACGATATGACGACCAGTAGTCATAGTTCGGTCTTCAGACATGGGAGACTCAATTATATTCACTCTAATAATTATTTCCAGTTATCCTTTTATTCACTATAATAGATAGGTTCATTCTTACACTGTATTAAATAAATATGCTCGTCCATGTTGTCCCCTGAACGCCTATATTTTGCATTAAAAAAATGTTATAAACTATTATATTTTACATTTAATAAACTATTTCTTACCTTTGAAGCAATTTCTTTATGATCAGAAAGATGAGTTTTACATTTAGAACAACTATATATTCTAAATATATAGTTAATTATATCCAAAAATATTTTTTTATTTTTAAAACATAATACTTACTTTGAGCCTGTTAAGTAGACATTATATGAAAGACCCTATTAATAAAAGGTTTAAAATTAACTATATTTCTTATTTATAAAGAAATAATATACCATTCTAAACTTATATAATCTGAACCTGCCCTTATCGCTGCTTATCTATAATGTATTATTAGTAATTGTTTAAATTGCTAAAAAAAAACTTATAATACTCTTTAAATTATTTATTAACAGAGAAACTATGTGTTTTTGTTGATAAAAGTTCAACAAAAACTCCTAAATTGTTTTGTTTCTTTAAAGTCAGGGTTTTTTTAGTCCGAACGATGTTTCAGATCGTGCTATTAACTACATCAAGATTAGAATTACTTGAGTAATGAAAAAAGAAGGATTATAGTTAAGAAATCTGTGATTCAAAACCACTTTATTGTATTCTAAGAAGGTGATTGAGGTTAGAATGTTTTTGAACGGGGAAAAACGATGGAGCAGTTGTCTATTACTCGAGTAAGAAAGATTTGATATGTTTAAAGGTTAAATGAATTAATTAATGAAGTACGGAAACATCGAAATATTTTTTCGTGGTGAATATAGTACAGGAATACTTCATATGACTCGTTATCATTTGATTTTTTCAGGCAATAAGCCTTTTCGTGAGATTTGGATTGGATATCCTATGGTTGAAAGAGTGGAAAAAAAGAGATTTTATGGGTCTAAAACATCTTTATATATATATTGCCGTGATTTTAGATTTATTACGTTTTATTTTTTTAGTGAATATGATGCACAAGCAATTTATGAGAGGATTCAGAAATATACATATATGGGTAGAATAGATGATAGTTGATAAAAAAAGATAAATAAAATGACTGTATTAGTGTCTATTCGTGATGTCTATGCATTCGTTTATAAGCCTGGAAAAGCAGAAGCTTCGTTTAATGGATGGACACTTTATCAGCCAATTAAGGAATTTGAACGACAAGGAGTTGGTATTCGGACAAAAGAATGGCGTATAACAAATATTAATAAGAATTATTTGGTATTTTTTATTTTAATTATTTTAATTGTTTGTTGATAGTAATAGCTTTGTTCTACTTATCCGTCTATACTTGTAGTACCGTCAAAAATAAGTGATACCGTGATTTGGTATGCATCCAAGTTTAGGTCTAAAGGGAGATTTCCAGTATTGACTTATATTCATCCTTCTAATAATGTAATGTAGTATGATTTGAATGCTTGTATTTTGATTATTATTTAGTGCAGTATTACAAGATCATCTCAACCAATGGTTGGTATTAAACACAACCGTTCTTTACAAGACGAATATTTGATTTCAGCTATATTTGAAACAACTTCTTCGCAAAATACTTTAAAATCTAGTAAAAGCTATGGGTTATCTATGAGAAATAATTTAGTTGTTGATGCACGTCCAACAGCAAATGCCATGGTAAATGTTGCAGTAGGCGCAGGTACGGAGAATATGGAAAATTATAAAGGAGCAAAGAAAGTGTATTTGGGAATAGATAATATTCATGTTATGCGCGATAGTCTTGCACGTGTTATGGAAGCCTTAAAAAATTCTAATATGGCATCTTCACCTCCTGATCCTAATCTTTTGGTGAAATCTAATTGGCTTAAATATTTGGCTATAATTTTAGAGGGGACTGTTTTTATAGCACGTGCTATCCATATAGATTATTCCCATGTTCTTATACATTGTTCAGATGGATGGGACAGAACAAGTCAATTAAGTTCTCTTGCCCAGTTATGTCTAGATCCTTATTATCGTACTCTTGAAGGATTTATGGTATTGATAGAGAAGGATTGGTTATCGTTTGGATATCGTTTTGCCTCACGTTTAGGTCATCTTTTTAATGAAAAATGTTTTTCTACATCTAGTAATTCATCTTTTTCTTCTAAAAGTGTGACAAGTCATTTTGTTCAGCAAATATTTTCAAGTATGCAATCAAAGTTTTTGGAAATTAATAAACATTATCGATCTAAAGATATAAGTCCAATATTCCATCAGTTTCTTGATTGTACGTATCAGATACTTCATCAATTTTCAGATAGATTTGAATTTAATGAACGTTTTCTTCGAAAACTTTTTTATCATACATATTCCTGTCAGTATGGCTCGTTTCTTTATAACAATGAAAAGGAAAGAATAGCTGCAAATGTACACGAAAATACTCGGTCTGTTTGGGATTATTTTTTATCTCGTAAAGAAAAGTTTCTTAATAATAATTATAATCCTTCCCTTGACCATGGTTCTTTATCTATTATATTTCCTGATACTACAGCTATTGTTTGGTGGTCTTCTATTTTTGGTTGTTCTGAAAACGAAATGAATATGCTTCCTCCTCTTTGAGATTTCTATTCAAGAAGAATATAATACATAAAGAAATACTATTTGTTCATAATATATTTTTAATTAACATTTATTAATATTATTAGAAAAAAATATCATTATAATTTGCACATTTTTGGAAATTATTTTATAATTATTAGATTGTTTTTACTAAAATATCTTGGTATATAGATGAAGTCTGATCTTGTATCTTAATGAACTAGATTAGGGTTCATTAAATTAGGTCATTGACATCTAGAAAAGATCTGTCGAAGATTTTGTTTTACTAAATTTTTAAAATTAAACGAAAAATATATTTATTTGGGACTTATTTAATATTTAAGAAATATTCTTTAATTTCTAATATCTTTGTCCAAATATGGCAAATAAGGTATGTAATGAATATTTTTTTAATATATTTGTGTTTTTGTTTTTAATGATAAAATATAAAATATATATTTAAAAATATATTGATTAATTTGTTTAGACCGATCCACAATCTAATTTTTTTATTGACTTCATGATGGGAGGTGTTTCTGCAGCTGTTGCAAAAACTTCTGCGGCTCCTATTGAACGAGTGAAACTTTTAATTCAAAACCAAGATGAAATGATTAAATCTGGGCGTCTTAGCCAAAGATATACAGGCATTATCAATTGTTTCTCAAGGACTGTTAAGGATGAAGGAATTATTTCTCTTTGGAGGGGTAATACTGCAAATGTGTTACGTTATTTCCCAACACAAGCTCTTAATTTTGCTTTTAAAGATAAATTTAAAAAAATGTTTGGATTTAAAAAAGACAGGGATGGATATTGGCCTTGGTTCTTTGGTAATCTTGCTTCTGGAGGTTGTGCTGGTGCTGCCTCTCTTCTTTTTGTTTATTCTCTCGATTATGCTCGTACTCGTTTAGCTAATGATGCTAAATCTGCTAAAAAAGGTGGTGAGCGTCAATTCAACGGCCTAATCGATGTATATAAGAAAACGCTTGCTTCTGATGGTATTCGCGGTCTTTATCGTGGTTTCGGCCCCTCTGTTGCTGGCATCATTGTTTATCGTGGTCTTTATTTCGGACTTTACGATTCTGTTAAACCTGTGGTCTTAACCGGGCCTCTTGAAGGTAGTTTTATTGCTTCTTTCGTTCTTGGCTGGATCGTTACCACCACTTCTGGTCTTGCTTCTTATCCTATTGATACTGTTCGTCGTCGAATGATGATGACTTCTGGTGAAGCTGTTAAATATTCTTCCTCTTTTCAGGCTTTTTCTCAAATAATTGCAAAGGAAGGTTCCCGTAGCCTTTTTAAGGGTGCTGGTGCCAATATTTTAAGAGGTGTAGCTGCCGCTGGTGTTATTTCAATGTATGATCAACTTCAAATGATTGTTTTTGGTAAAAAGTATTCCGGTGGTTCTGGTTAAAAAAATTATAAATATGTTTTTTAAAAAATAAACTGATTTAATTTTTGATATATATTTTTCATATAATTTCTTTTTTCACTTATATCCCTCTTATTTTTTTTTTTCCGAAGGGTTAGGTCCTCACTTTTTTCTAGCCAAAAATTTGAGACGGGCAAAGGCCCGCAAACAATGACAGAGCTTTCTACGAGCTTTAATGTGGACAAAATGGCACGGTTTCCGGGCTTACCGTTAGGAACAACTCATGGAACGGCAAATAATGTGAGTAATGATGGGTTAACAAAGAATTTATTATTTGAATCATCATATACGCCGTTACAAGGAAATGGGGAGGTTCAAGAAAGCAGAATTGAAACAAAGAATGAGGGTTATTCTAATAGTCAGTTGACGTTGAGAGCATTGGTATCAACAAAAGAAGCGGGAATTATTATTGGAAGACAAGGGAAAAATGTAGCGGAATTGAGGGGAGCAAATGGAATTAAAGCAGGAGTAAGCAAGGTGGTTCCGAATATTTATGACCGAGTATTAACTATATCTGGTACATTAGAAGGTGTAAGCAAGGTGTGTAGTAGTATTTTTATAGAAGAAAAGATTTATTGTTTATTAGGCGTATGGAACGATTGCGCAGTCGTTTATCAATAATCCTATAGGGCATTCTAATCATCATTTAACATCTTCATCATCGGAACCTCAGTCTTCAATCCGACTTTTGGTTTCTCATAATATGATGGGAACGATTATTGGAAGGCAAGGACTTAAAATTAAGCATATTCAGGACATTTCAGGAGCAAGAATGATTGCTTTTAAAGATATTTTGCCTCAGTCGACCGAACGTATTGTTGAAGTTCAGGGTGTTGTGTCTTCAATTCAAAGTGCTATATGGGAAATTGGAAAATGTTTAATTGATGATTGGGAACGAGGTATTGGGACGGTTTTTTATAATCCGTCTGTTAGATTGTCATCTGCTTCTAGTATTGTTCCTGGACATCAAACTAATAGTATTTTTTCGGGCCCTCAATCCGGTCATTTTCTTCAATATCAACGTCAAGGTTCCCATTTGAGTTATTCTCGTCTTTCGAATTTAGCATCGCATTTTCAAGAATCTTTGGATGCGTCGAGTCAAGATATTTGTGTTCAAAATATTTCGATTCCTTCTGATATGGTAGGATGTATTATTGGTCGTGGCGGTAGTAAAATTAGCGAGATTAGACGAATAAGTGGAAGTAAAATTAGTATTGCAAAGGCTCCGCATGATGAGACAGGTGAACGGATGTTTACAATTCAAGGAACGTCTTCTTCTAATGAAAAGGCTCTTTATTTGCTTTTTCAAACACTGGAAACCGAAAAAAATCGACGTGGTCAAGAAAATCTTAAATAATTTATTTTCACATCAATTTTACATAATATTTTTCAAATATAGGTGTTTCATAGCATTCTATATATATTATAATGGTTTTAAAAATGGTATTGTTTCATTTCTTATACATTAATATATAGAAGAACTAGTTGAGTATATTTTTTATACGATCTGGTTCATTGTAAATGAAAGTGTTTTGCATTTTTTGTATTTTTTATTGATTTTTTAAGATTCCTTCCTTTTTCATTGCTTTACTTATTTATATGACTAACGTTTTTTATTAAACTATCATTTTGTCCATTTTATTTAACGATAGAAAAATAGTAAATTGAGATTAGAAAAATAAGACTATTTTTATAAAGATATTTTATTATTTGAATAGATGGTATAAGAGGTGTTCTTTTTTCCTTTTTTTTTCAAAAGAAGCCTGTTTATAGAGATATTTTAGATGTTTTCGTGATTTTTATAAAAAAAATGTCAAAAAATTGTCTTAAAAATGATGAAGAAAATATAATATTTGAGTTTCCATCACTATATGAGTTTCCTCCATTTTTTACTCGGCAGCCAAATGCAGAAACATGGAAATCTCAACAATCACATTGGGTATCATTGATTTTGAAATATTGTCAGTGCAAACGTATCTTCAGGCTTCATATTTCAAAGGAATTGCTTGAAGAAGAGTTGTTTTTTAATAGGAAAATTCATAGTAATTCTTTTTTTTCTATGAAAAATGGGTTAATTACTTTTAGGACAAGTTAAAATGGATATGCTTAAAGAAATTCTTGACTTTATGGTAAGCAAGAATAATGGGGAATGGCTGTGTAGTGGGAAAAAGGATATGTTTCTTGTCTACTGGAAAACATTGGATGAATGGGCTGATATGATAATAAATTGGGTAAATGTATGTTATTGTGGGGTTTTTCTGTCTTATATATAGATCGAAGAAACAGGGCAAAGAAACTGTGTTTTAACCTATTACGAACTCATAGAAGGTAAGGCGTTAATTAATACAGGTGTGTATCTCTTTGTAAAACCGTTTTATCATATAAAATATGAATAGAGCTTTATAAAATAGATCCAATAATACTTAAAAAAGCTATTGCTATTCTTGTTAAGAAGGATATGGCTCAGGTGCTTCGAGGTGCTAATGAGAATGAATTTGGTGTAAAGTTTTTTGGTTATATTTAATTAAAATGTTTTTTAAGAAAAATCAGATGTTATCTGTTAATGCTTATATGGGTTTAGACAGTCCGCATGTCTGTGAGCGCACTTCGTACAATGCATCCATATCCAGCTGTTTTTACTAGCTTGTTATAGTAATTAGTTTTTGAAAATAATATGAATAAATAAATATACTTTTTCATGCCAATTTAAAAGAATTGCTGGATTATATGATTTAGGATCTGTAAATCCCTTGTATAAATATTTCATTAATACATCTTGTTGTTCTGTATTAAGAGTTTTTATTACATTAGGAATTTCATTGGGTTTTATTGATGAAAGAAGTTCAAAGATTGTATCCATATGCCGTTTCTATTGTATGATATATCACCAATATTTATATTTATATTTTCTGCTTTACCTTAGCATCGTCGACATCTCCATATGGAGGATTAATTAATGCTTGAATTAATGCTTCTACTGCTTTTCCTCTACCAAAATAAAAACGAATTCCATATTTAAATATATAAATACTGTAAAATCATTCCAAGTAATATTGGTGTTCTTTTAGATATATCTTCCCGTATTTCATCTGGCAATCTCTTTTCTTTTTCAAATAAATCTTCTTTTTTTAATCTATCATTATCTTTATTCCTTTAGTGTTTAAGCAAATACATTTAAATAATACTATAAATATCAATTTGTTTTTGTCTGAATGACATTTCTTATAGTAATATTTTTTTTGAAATTTTTTAATAAAATACATTTTGATGACGTTGAATTCATTAATATATTAACTAAAAATATGAAAAAATAGTAATATTAAAATCAGTGTTTTTGAAATATAATTTCAAATATGAATTTTTTCGTTTTGTTGAAAATTTATAGAAAATTATTGCTTTAAAATGTTAATATTAATATTAAATGTCTATGATTAGATAAATTTGTAAAAGATTTTTTTTTGAAATATTTTATTTTAGGATTGAATTTTTTTGATATGATTGTTTGGTATTTTTGATTTCTGTAAGTTTTTTCTTGATTATTTAGATTTAGTTTTAAAAATTTATGTACCTATTTTTGAATTAGATTAATTAATTTGAAAGATTGATTTTATTTTTGTAAAAAAATTGGTATATTTTTATTATTCCATAATTGAGATAAGAAAAGATATCTTAGTTTATTTCTAACAATTATTGAAATATAGAAGTATTTTTATTTTCAAAGCATTTATCTTATTAATATAAGAAAATCTCAATAATATTTTATGTAACTATGATTGGCATAATGTTTTTTGTATTTTTATGATAAAATAGCTAAGTAAAAACTACTTTTTTTCTTAAATAGTATTAATTATTTTTAAATTTTCAAATATTAACAATTGATAAAAATATAAAATTTCTTAGAATTAACTTTTTTGCTAAAAAATAATATTAAATATTTCAACTGTAAGAGATAAATTTGATTAAAGTCATATAAGTTGCATTTGTTTTATTTAACTTGTTTTAAAGTATATTAGTAAGGGTTCTAACCTAATCTTATGGACTGTTTTTTAGTTTCGACTGGAGGATTTTAACATGAAAAAAACTTAATGTCTTTAGTAAGAAAGATTGTAAAACCTGAAGGAATTCCTATCACAGATCTTGAACGTACAGGTATGGTTTTGTTATTTGATGGTAGAATTAGTATTGATATATTTTTCAGTTGCTCAGGCTCTTTTTGATTTAGAAACGGTTCCAGATTTAAAACGGGAACTTCGTCCATTACAAATTGTTGCAGCTCGAGAGGTAATGAGTAGTCTGTTTTTTTGTATTTTATTTTATCTGTTTTTATTGAAGGTTGATGTGGGACGTGGGAAGAAAGCAATTATTATTTTTGTTTCACCTTCTTTACTTAAATTGTATCATAAGATTCAACCACGATTAGTTAGAGAATTGGAGAAAAAGTTTTCTGATAGACATGTTGTTTTTGTTGGTCAACGACGTATTATTCCTAAACCAGGTCGAAGAAGTCATCAAAAACAGAAACGTCCACGATCACGAACATTAACATCTGTTCATGAAAAAATTTTGGAAGATTTAGTATTTCCTGCTGAAATTGTTGGTAAAAGGATACGGGTATGTATGGATGGGAAAAGGATTCTTAAAGTGTATGTTTTTTATTATTTATGATGATTTAATTTAATGGTTAGTTTCTTGGATAATAAAGATGTTGCCTCAATTGATTATAAGTTGGATTCGCTTCAGAATATTTATAATAAATTAACATCTCGCCAAGTTGTGTTTAGTGTTCAAGAAATGGGATTGTAATATAGAAAATGCTATATTTTTGTAAAATTTTTTAATGTTTTGATAACTGGAAAATGTAGAATTATATTTCTTGATTTCAATGTATTCATAAATATATTGTAACTTATGATTGTGCTCGTTTTTTGTCTATCTCTATGTTTCAATATCTATAATTTTTTAATTTGATCTTTTGTATAATTTTTAAACTAGTAAGTCTATAAATTTGTGTACCATTTGCATTTGTGAAGAAGCTGGTTTCTTGTAATTTAGATGCTAAAAAATAGTATTATGATATAAGATTAAGAGGCATATATTAATAAACATATTTTTTAAAATTATCATATTTTTATTAAAGTGCTAATATTAAGAATATGGTAATATAAACCAAGATATACATTTAATTCGAATAAATTTTAGTAATAATTACGCAACATTAGGAACATGAGATGGTGGATTATCTATATTATTAAGAGAAGGTTGATAACTTGGTTCAACTGGCAAACCAATATCTCTGGAAGGATATGGTCGAGGACCTAAAAGTTTTTCTACTTCCTGAAAACCGATTACTTCTTTTTCTAATAAACACTTTACAATTTTTGAAACATCGTCTCTATGTTTTTTAAGGAGCATGTGGCATCTGGCATGGGCTTCTTTGATTAATTTCCGCACTTCAGAATCCTAAGATTAATTAGGTCAAGGTATATTATTATTATTAAATACATACAATCATTCGTGCAGTTTCCTCGGAAAACGGTTTTTGAAATTGATCATTATTTATTTGATATGAGACGGTTCCAAGATCTGATAATCCCCATGTTGTAACATATTGTGTGGCCATTTTTGTTACTTTAGAAAAATCATCACTTGCACCAGATGTAATTTCTACATTAGGAAAAAAGATTTCCTCTGAAACTCTTCCCGCCAGTGTCATTACCATATTATCTAGAATATGTCCTCTAGATAGTAAATATTTTTCCTAATTGTGATTAATAATAGTGTTTCTAATAGAATATATATAATTACTTTATGTAAATAACTTGCATAGCCTAATGCGCCATTAGATCGAGGTATAATAGAAACTTTAAGTAGTTGATCAACATGTTCAAGAAAATAGCCTGCTACTGCATGACCGGCCTATATATATATATATTAAGATTTCTATCTTCAAAAAAAAGTAATATACCTCATGATGAGCAACTATATTTCTTTCTTGAGGACTCAGAACCCTGCTTTTCTTTTCAAGACCTGCAACTACCCGCTCAATTGCTTGTTCAAAGTGGACCATTTCAACTTTATTTGCTCGATGACGCGCTGCTATTAGTGCACCTTCATTTACAGTGCTTGCAATATCTAGATATGCTTAAATAGAATAGATAGATATTAAAGAAGTATTTACCAGCTCCAGAAAATCCTGGGGTTAATATAGATAATTTTTTTGCTATATCTTCTAATTTTTCATCTATTTTGATTTTTTTTAGGTGAACCATAAAAATAGCTTCTCGGCCAGATACGTCCGGCCGATCAATTGTAATGTGTCTATCGAATCTACCTGGTCTAAGGAGAGCATTATCAAGAACGTCCGGTCTATTTGTTCCAGCAAGCACAACAACATGTTCCGATGTACTAAACCCATCCATTTCTATTAAAAGCTGGTTTAATGTGCTTTCCCTTTCATCGTTTGATCCAAATTGATTTCCTCTGCCTCTTGCTTTTCCAATAGCATCAATTTCATCCATAAAAATAATACATGGTGCATGCTTTCGAGCATTTGAAAATAGATCTCTTACTCTAGAGGGTCCTACGCCAACAAACATTTCAATAAACTCCGATCCACTTACACTAAGAAATGGAACGTTTGCTTCACCAGCAGTTGCTTTTGCAAGAAGTGTTTTTCCTGTTCCAGGAGGGCCTGATAGAATTGCTCCTCTTGGGATTTTAGCGCCTAATTTCTCGTAATGTGATGGATTTTTTAGAAATTTAACAAATTCCATAATTTCTTCTTTGGCTTCATCTGCGCCTGCAACATCTTTAAATTTAACTTTAACATCCGTTTCATGATTAAACATTTTCGCACGACTTTTTCCTATACCAAAAATTCCACTATGAGCTCCTCCCGCACCACCTGCTCTTTTCGAAAGCCAGAAGATACTTCCTATTAATAATAAAGTAGGTGCTAATGAAAGAACAGTATTAATGATCGATATTTCATCATGAAAAGAAACAGGAATTCTTTCTTCTTGAGGAATTTTTAACTCATCCTGAACCATATCAAGCCTTCTTTCAAATGCTTCTACTGATCCAATACTGAAATAATATTTATTTGGCCTAGTATTAATACGAGTTTCGGGATACATTTGACCCGTTTGATTTGAATGCAAATGAACTCGCACCTTATTCCTATTAACTACTGTCAATTTATCAACCATCCCTTTATCTAAAAAAGCTGTACGAAATTCTTGCCATGTAATTTCTTTGCTGCTTTTTAGAACTGAAATTCGATAGATAATATAAGAAATAATACATAAAGATAAAATTGCATTTGGGCTTATCTTTATTTCATTAAGATTTGGATTTCTTCCTGTTGATTTTCTTTTATAAAAGTTTTCTTCTTTTGAACATGATCTTTTTACTGTAGATTTTTTAGGTTTCCCAAAAAAACTTTCAAATCCGCGAGGAATCATATCATCTTTAAAAGAACCTTCTTCCTTGTCATTCTCTTTTGCACTTTCTATATAAGAATCTTTTTTTTTTTCATTTTTTGCATGTGTATTGTCTATTTTATCAGTATATGTTTGACACATTATCTGGAATTCTTTTTTTTGTATAAAATCATAATGTCTCCAGTATACTTTTTTTGTACTAAACAATGTATGAAAAGTCCTAAAAATATGATTTTTTTGTTGAAATTTTATCATTTTTCCCTTTATTTTTTATTATTGACTTTTTAATAAATACGTATAAATATGATCAAATTTAAACTTTGAAATGATTTATATATATTATTTTATTTACTTTTCTTAAAACTTAAGGTTTTCCTGTTATTCTATCTCGTATTCTTCAATAATATAGATTTTCAAAGCTTATCAGGTTTTAATAAAGTTGAAGTGGGTTAAGAAACGTTGATATCGAATTTTCATGTGATTTTAAAAAAAAAAAAAACTATAGCAAATTAGATCTTGAAAATGTTATTTTTCATGTTGGATGCTTTTGAAAAAACATTACAGAGCTCTTTTGATTTTTTCTAGGTTTTTATGAATTTAAAAATAAAAATATTTAGATATTTTATGTGTTATGCATTTGATAAGTAAAGAGAATAATCAGAATAAACATGATATTAAAATGGACATTATTGATGTTAAAGTCGATGATCATTCTTTTAAACAAGAGGAGGATGTTATTATTGTGTTAGATTATGAGAAAAATAGATCAGAAGCTTCACATTTGATCTATACAAACAATATCTTAGATTATAAAAAACGTGTTGAAACACAAGCTGAATATATAGATGCAAGTGCTTCTAGGGAATCTTCTATTCATAAAAAAGATATTAAAAAGGTTTCTAATCTTTTGAATATGTAATATCTTTTTAACGTATATTTTTAAAGGAAAAAACAAGAAAAAGAAAAATTAATGGGTTGAATATAGAAGGGAGTAATGTAATGGTTTTTTTGGTATATTGTTTTTTTTTCTTATTTTTTGGTTTTTAGATAAGTGAATTGGAAAATGATTGTAAATCAGATGTTTTTCTGAACAATATGATTAAAAGGCCACAGATAAATAATTTCAATAACATTAAGAATGAAAATATTGAGCTTTATTGTATATGCCAAAAACCAGACACTGGATGTTGGATGATTGCATGTGATGGATGTGATAATTGGTATCATGGGGAATGTGTGAAAATTCTTGAAGCTGATGAAGAACTTCTGGATAAGTATTTTTGTAATAGGATGTTTAATTGTTTTTATTTTTCGTTAATTGTTTTAGGTGATTTTTGTACTAAAAAAGGCAAAGGTTGTACTATGTGGAAAAGAAAATGTCGTCTTTCTTCATGTAGAAAGCCTGCTCTTGTTTCTTCATTCCCTCCTTCGAAGTATTGTTCAACAGAACATGGTGTAGAATATTTTAAAGAAAGATTATGTTGTTCTCTATTAGAAAAATCGGAAATAGCTGCTTTAGCTCGAAGCGTTGATTCTGTTGAAGCCTTTAGATGTTTAGGGGATACTTTTCCATTTATAGATGATTCTATTGTAAATAGTGAAAGTCTTTCATTGTTGAGATTAATCAATTTTAAGAGAGAAAAAATATATGAGCGTTTAAAACAAATTGAGATACGAACAATTTATATAAATTTTGCTAAAGATAGGGCAAAAAAAATAAATGAAGAAATACGTGCTGATGGATCAAAAAAAGAAATATGTGCTCTTGATTATCGTTTATCTTGGGATGATGACGAATGGAATGCTTGGATTGTTAGTGATGATGGGAAAAAGATATTTAATGATGGCAAATTAGAAGGTTATGATATGATATGTATTACAGAAAAAAGAAAGTGTTTTAAACATAATAATTGGGTGATGATAAAAATAGAAGAAATGGAATTGGAAGATATAATATGTCGTGAAACACTTAAAAAGCTAAGAAGACAAGAACAGAAGATATATAAAAGAGAAAGGAAATTAAAGGTCTTGGATAAAGAAAATAAATGTATTGCTACTTCATAATTTATAAATTTCTGAAAATATTAGAAAAATGCATATATTATATTAATAAATCCTTTATTCAGAATTTTAACTTAAAATGTAGCAAATAGCTACTTCAATTTTTTTAGTATATAAAATTTTTATTTTTTTTAGAAATATGTAAAAATAGAGTGAAATTTTCTTTTTTTAAGCTCTATTTTCTTCTAAAGTACTAAAATCTTGCAAAGTATTACTCATTACTAAAGATATGGCGATTGGTTTTTTTCCTCTCTTAATAGTATCCCAACAAAATCTACAATAAACCTTCATTTTTCCGTCTTTATCAATTTCATTTAATGATCCAGAATCCATGTTTTTACCACATCCTCCGCTACATTTTAAACATTTTTTATGCCATTTAGTAGAATTGGGACCGGGATATGATTCAAGAAAAGTTATAGATTCGCTACAGCTTGCGCATTCTAAAATATAATTAGAAGAAAAAAAATATATAATGAATGAAATACTATCAAATCCTCCAAACTTTGGAAGAGACTTTTTTTTTACAGAAAATGCTTCTGTTGAAGAATTGTTTTTTAATGGTTTTATATTTGATATTGTATTAGATGTTAATGCTTTTTTAGGTGATATAGAGTTTGATAAAAAGCTATTTTTTAATTCTAGCATACACTAAAATGTTAGTAAACATCAATTTAATAATAAATGTTACCTTCTCATGGCAAATATTGTTTTTGTAAAAAATATATTCATTTTTTCTGATAAAAATGTTGCAAATATTACATTTAAAACAATTTTCATGGTATTTTTTTTCTTTTGTAATCTGAATTATGGTACCTGTTAAATTCATTTTGCAAGAATAGCATAAAAACTGCTGTTTGTCATTATTTAATGAGTCCTTTAAATGTCTAGAAAATGTGTCTTTTTCAGAAAACGAATTGTAATCAATAGTTGATAAAGCATTATTCTCAAATTTAATATGATCCGATAAAAATAATTTATTTTTATAATTTTTAGTTGATGGCAAAATAGGAGGGATATTTTCCTGAGAAATATTTGTTTGTGCCTCAGATAGTGTTATAAATGATATTTTTGATTCTAATGTTTCTTCTTTTTCTATTTTATCTGGAAAATTAGATGATTCGGATGAAACATCGATTATGTTTGTTTTAAATGAATTATGCGAACGTTTTACTTCCACAAAATTTTCTATATGTTTACGGACACTTAAAGAATTTCTTTTTTTTTTTCTAAGTAATTTCCACATCTCTGAATTTTTCATAGAACCTTGTGGGATAAGAGCACAAGACTGTGAAATATTAACTTTTGGTGTTAGATTATCAATAATTGGATAATTGTTTTTAATAGAATCTAATATTGTATTAATGTTTTATTTTAAGAACTTTGAAGTTAGTGCCTTTTAATGAAACTTCATCTGGATTTTCTATACTATTAGGACAGTTTTCACTGAAAGATTGCTTATTTAGCTCGGTTTGTAAATTGTCTAGGATATTAATACAATGATTTATTTTTTCTCTATGCTACCAATAAACTTAAGAAATACTTTTTAAAAAAATCTATATCCTACCTCTTGAGGATTTTTGTCTTGATGTTGAGAAGTAGTATTGTTATTACTTATTTCGTTAGGATATATACTATTAAATAATTAAAAGGAAAATGAAAAATTAGCTATTATTACTTTTTATTTTTTGATAAAAGATGAAGATGACAGTTTTTGCAATAATAAGCTTCTTGTTTTTCTGTAGTGTTATACATTAGTTCATTCTATTAAATTTTAGACAAATATAACTGAATATACAATGAATACAGATGGAAATGTTTCACAGCATGAAGAACATAGCCATGGTATACCTTTTTCCTGAGATTTTTCAAAAAAATCCATATTATTCATTAAAGAATTTTCTGTGGTGAATGTTCTATAAAGATAAGCATTTAATTTCTTAAATAAGAAGTATACTTTTCTTTATAAAATTTATCATTTTCTTTACTTTCTGTATTAAATGCTATATTTAATGGAATTTCTGAAAGTTTCTTATGATAATTTTCTGAAGAATTATATTTTTCCATGAATACAAAGTGTATTTTTAGAACTCTTTTCTAATATTTTTCCTGAACTTTCACTTCTTATTTTAAAAATATAATAATATATATACGATTCTTATTGTTGGTTATCTTTTTATTTTAGTATTTGTGTGGTTATCTATTTTTAAAAACTTATCGTGTAGTTGATCAACAGTAGTTGCTATAGTAACCACCCCCGATAAGGTAGATATGCTCGAGTATCAAAATATTATAATATACAATTTATAAAGCATTATATATGATACTTCTTAAGAAATAAATTCCTACCTGATTTTAAGTTAAAAATATTTTAAAGATATGATCTCGTATTAGTTTGATTTATATAGAGAAATATCAGAGATTAAATAAAAATATGTTGCAATATATGACTTCACAATATTATAAAAAGCATAATATTCTTTTTACATATCAAATTATTCGTTTTTATATAAAAATACATATTTCGTCTTTGAAATTGTTTTACAATAATCAAATATTTAGATATTTGCGTACAGACTGTTATTAGTAAATAAATTCAAGGAATGTTAGCTACCTCTTTCAAAATATCAACTTTCTGGTTTGCCTTAATAAATAAGTTTTTGTATTGACTAATAATATCTTTTAAAAATTCTTCTTTTGAGGATTTTCCGTCGCATATATTTTTTAATTTTAATTCCATCTATATTTGTAAATATTTTAGATAGAGAATTTTTTTATATAGAAATACTTCTTTTCGTAGAAAAGGTTTAGCTAAACTTTGATCAAAACCAATTTTATCGTAACCATCTACTAATGCTATACCCAATGTACTAGGTATAAATTCATAAATTGTGTTATTTTGACTTTTTTTATTTTTATTTTTAGATTGTTTAAATACATATTTTCGATCAAGGATTTTCTGAATATGCTCTGCTATAGTAGAATCTGTCCCAATTCCATTAATATTCATCAAGTTGATTAATTCTGATTCCGTCAAATGCCCTGGTGATTCTGTCTTTCCTTCTATCATTTCGGTATAATCCAATTCTATCATTTCTCCTTGGTTAAAATCTGGTAAAGAAACAGACGAATTCCATTTTTCATATAAATAAATATCTAGGTAATTATTTTCTAAAATAATAAGAGCTGATGTGGAAAAAAATTCCTCTCCCCATTGTATAACAATTACTGTTTGCTTTGCTTTTGCATCTTGAGAACAGCATGCTAGAAAATGCCTAACGATAAAAGAGTAAACCTTATGTTCATTTACAGATTTTAACGAATTTTTTTTTACATAGGTTACAGGATGGATTGGGGCATGTGCTTTATCATTATTTTTTCCTTTCTTAGGGTGGCAAAATTTTTCATTTAATAAACTTTGTTAATTAGCTTAGCTTGTATACTCCGTAAGGTACTTTTGAGCATAGTTACCCCATTGTTCATCATTTACTTGTTTTTCAATTAAGCTACGTAAATCTATATCATCGTCAAATTGGTCTGTTTCCGTCCTTGGATAGCTTATGAAACCTTTTGTATAAAGAGTTTCTGCTATCTATTTTGGCAATTAGAAAAAACAAATATAAAAAAAAAATACCGTCATTATATCTTTTGAAGATATTCCTAAGTATTTAGTCCCTCTTTTCTGAAGTTCAACAGTAGTAAGTGGGTATGGTCTCCTTTATACATGAGAATTTTTTTTTTTGAAATGACTTAAATACAATTTACTCTTTGGCTTTCGTACTACGCTTATAACTTTTGCCTTATCGAATAAAAGACAATTCTCATATATTAAAAATACGGAAAGCTTATCAAAAAGCCTTATTCTTTTCCAATTAAATGATATTTGATTGTTATTATAAGAACATATGACTTTGATAGACCAAAATTTTTCAGAAACAAAATTTTCAACTCGTTTCCATCTATCAACGACAAAGCCAAGAGTTGGAAATTGACAAGATCCTTGTATATATTAACAAGAAATATTGATTTCTAAATAATGAACCATAGCTAATTATTTCTTTTGCTAAAGGCTCAAAACTTTGTAATGACAAAGTTTGAAACCGTGTAAAGGCTGATCCTGTTTTTAAATCAAATTCTATACGTGCAGCGACTGCATTGACTTGTTTTTGATCGATATCGAACGGTCGATGGGCTGCTTTTATGATATGCCTAAAAAAAATTAAAATAATTTGTTTTAGGTATTTGAAAATATACATTCTTTCGAGATTATTGAAATGTGCGCGTTTTACCTCTATTTTTGGGTTTGCTTTCCGTGCTATATTGACAATTTCTGTTCCAATATATTCACCCTCTCTGTCACAATCTGTCCAAATATAAAGACCATGTGCATTTTGGCTTTCTTTTAAAATATTATCATGAATGTTTTTCATATCCTATTGTATTTAGTGAATTTCTTCGTTATCTAATTGTGTATACTTTATTGACTGTTGGGATAATTTTTGCTTCAAATAGATTTAAAGGATTACATGAATTCCATTTCTTAAATTTTTCTTCAAATTCCCATTCTATTAAGTGCCCTCTAACAGAAGTAATAGTGACTGAACTGTCACCCCAGCTGAAATTAAATTTAAAGCGAATATCATAGTTTTTGTTATAAACATCTTTTGTTTCTCTCTATAATATTAATTTAAATAAGAAAAAAAATAGAAAAATACTATGTGTACTTTCCCTCCACCGAGAATATCTGAGATTGCCCTTGCAATTGACGGTTTTTCTGCGACACAGAGGATTTTCATGAATTACCAATTTCATCAGGTTAATATCGATTGGTTTTAAAAACGGAATTTGATGTTTGCAATTAAGCAAAAAACATATATTTCAATGCAATTTTCTAAAGTCATAAAAGTTATGGATGGAATTGAATAAAAAAGTGATTTTCAAAAAAAGAAATAAAAGTATCTTTAATTTTAATTTTTTGATTTGAATATTTCTTTTAGATAATTTTATACATTTTTTTAAACAAGAATTTAATATATATAGTGTATACCATATTCCGAAGATCATCACTAGAAAGGATAGTAAGATACTATAATGAAACAATTACATTTATGAATTAGATATAAAATGCTTCTATTCCTTAAAATATTCATAATTTTTTTATTGTAAAATGCATATAATAATTTCGTGGTTTCAGTTTTATTCAAAAGTTTGGATCAATTATAGAATTTTACCTAAGCCAATTACTCCCCAGAATCCTATTTCTTTAGAGACTATTCTCTGGCTTAGGCTTGTTTCTACATGTTTGAATTCCTCCTTATCTAAAATAATATCATAAACTATCTTTACAAAAATTGAAATTTCAACTAAATCATCATTAAAATCTATATTATTTGAAATAATTTCTGAAGGGATAATCTCAAGTACAACAGTTGTCCAATTTTTCCCACGGTCCCATAAAGCGCCTGATATTGGCATTTTTGTTGTATCTTTTGGTATAGACTTAGTTATAGAGTTATTGTTAGATGTATCTTTATTAGCACCTACTTCAAATTCTGGACATAAAATAGTAACGCTATGACTATATTTCCCAGATGTTCGTTGAGGTGTTGCCAAAAAAACTTTTATTTTTTGATAAAGAGGATTTGTTACTGTTAAAAGAAATAGATTTGTTACATTTGGAGAAAGTTTTCCTGGTGAACAATTGGAAATTGGTCCAGGGAAACATTTTAATGAAATAGTTGGTATATAGTTCCTGAAAAAATTAATAAATATATTGGTAATTATATAAGTATTTACATAGCTATTAATTTAATACGAAATTTTGCTGACATAGGCTTACTTTCTGGACTAATTAGAATACTTTTACATGAGCGGCAACGCTTTGATCTTTTTGCTCTTAACAAATATGGGATAGGCTTAAGATCACTATCATTGTCAGTATATAACAAAAAGTGTAATATAATTCTACTTTTTAAATATAACATGATATAATTGGTTTAATCTTTGTTTGATTGTAGCGACTATTGAAATTTAGTTTTTTTTTCAAATAGGGTTTTTAAATTTACTTTCATTTAAATTTTTCATTTCTGCCATTTTTTTAATAATTTCTTGATCATCTTCTAAATCTCGTGAATTTTCATAAAAATTAAAAACGTCCACTTCTTTTTTATTTTTTAAAGAATATTTTTTCTTAATCCTTTCATATATATTTATCATTTTTGAGATTCCAGAATGATTATTCGTCTGTAATTTTAAAGTTCCATATGTTTCTTCATAATGTGCTCTTAATTTACTGTAAAAGAGTTTTTTTTTTGAAATTTCTGGCAAGGAATCCTTCATTTGAGCTGTATGTATGTAATCAATATGAAAATAAAAAAAAATAAAGAACTTGTTTACCATTGAGTCCTGAAGGTTTTTCAAAGATTATATTAATTTCCGCTGAGGTCCATTGGCAATATGGACATTCTAAAGCATAGGAACTAGGATCCTTATCCGAATATGAGTGTCCTTTCTTTAAACTTTCAAGTTCTACAAGTGATAGTGATGCAAAGCAAATGGGACACTGAAAACAATTTCTCAAACATCTGTATAAATTACTAGACAATTTAATACTATATATAAGCCTTTCCTATTTCCATTACTATAAATACTTGATTTAGGTACTTCAAAAAGACAGTTTGGGCAAAATTGACTGATAGTTTCCTCTTGAACACAACGAGGGCATCTTATTGCATAACATTCTTCACAAAAATAAAGATTTGACAAAGGATGAAGTGAAAATGACATTCTTTGGTCCCTTGTATCAATTATATCTGCTGGAGTGTCTAAAAAATTTGAAATTGGTTCATCTTTTTTAAAATCAATTGGTGAATCTGCGCATGGACAGTAAATATGAACGTAGGGAAAAGTAGCCATGTAAAAACAATACGGATTATCATTTACAGAAACAGATCCATTTAAAATGCTTTTCAAATGCTAATTTATGATATGAACGTTTTTATTGAACAAATTTGCATATTTTTTTGACGTTTTATATATCGTTGATATTTGATTTTTAAAAAACTTATTTTATGGAAAAAATGATGATACGTTATTATAATATATTGTGTTTTTATTTAAATAAGATAATTTTTATATGTATTTTATTTTATTTTTTTTGAGATTTGATGGAAGATGCTATTGTAAAAATAAAATTTTTTAAAATATTGTAATTCGCAACTTAGATGTGATAAAGGATGTTTGGATTTAGTGCTTTTAAGAAAAACTCAATGTTCTTTTTTAGTCCTTGTTTTCATTTGCATAAAAAAAATCACTATTTTAGATTTTCACTAAATCAAATCTGTAGACTTAAAATATGTTTGAGAAACTATTTACCTTTTACTGTGAAAAGCTCTAAAAAGTTTCTTGTTTTTGACCAAAATGCTAAAAAGAAGCAAAGATTGCGTGCTGCTTTTGATAAAATTGAAGCTAAGAAAGCTGATTATCTTAAAAAAGAAGTTGCAAAACGTTTAGTAGAAAGACTCATGGTAAGAATATCATATTTTTATTATGAAAATATTTTAAAATATATTAGTTTATTAAAAAAAAAACTAAAGTTATTTTTGATTTTGGATCTGGAGCAGGATATATTGCTTCATGTCTTTCTCAAGAAAAAAATAAAGATCAATTTTTAGGAAAAATAGAGCGTTTAATTATGGCAGATGTTTCAGAAGATGTTTTTGATGATGATAATTTATCTAATATTTGTGATTTCATAGTAGAAAAAGTTTATATAAATAATGAAATTCCTTCATTTTCTGAAAATAGTATGGATATTGTTATAACTAACTTATATATACATTGGATCAATGATCTTCTTGGTCTTCTTAAACAGATAAAATATATATTAGTTCCAGATGGTGTTTTCTTGGGATCAATGTTTGGTGGAGATACTTTATTTGAATTAAGGACGTCTCTTCAATTTGCAGAACAAGAAAGAAAAGGTGGTATTGGTGCAAGAGTATCCCCAATGGCAGGTGATATTATAAAATAGACAATTATACTCTATTAAATTTTTAAGATATTCAAGATATTGGTAGTTTATTGAGTAAAGTTGGATTTAAATTAATTACAATCGATGTTGAAGATATTATTGTAGATTATCCAGATATATTTTCTCTTATGAAGGATTTACAGAAAATGGGTGAGAATAATGCCATAATAACCCGTCCTCATATTATTTCTCGAGATGTTTTGTTTGCTGCCGAAGCAATATATAGAGAATTTTATGGAAATGAAAATGGAACACTTCCTTGTACTTTTCGTGTAATTTATATGGTAAATTTGTTTTCGTTTGTTATAGTAATTTGGTAACTTAGAAAGATTGCATGGAAACCATCACCTAATCAATCTTTGCCATTAGAAAGGGGTACTGGAAAAATAAATCTTAAAGATCTACTTTAAAAGAATGATTCAATTGTAATATAGTGATGCATATTTTATTCTGTTTTATGGCAAATATTATTATTGTATGGAAATAATAATAATATTAAAAAAAGTGTTTATCTTGTAACAATTAGATTATAAATGTTAATATTTTTAGACTTGATTTAAAAAACGATTAATTGTATTGTAAAAATTTAGTAATAAATAATTTATATTTATATTTCAAATTTAAAGTATTGAAATTTTAAAATATGTACTAAAATATTTTAATAGGTCTGTAATCTTTTAAGATAGTTTAATATAGCTTTGTACAATTTTGTATATATTAATTATTTGTAAATATCTTATTTAGGGATTTTAACATTAATATATTGCTAATTTAAAAAACTATTTGTATTTAAAAAATATGAATATTATAGTAATTTTTCATAATTTTTTTTGTTGTTTTTGATAATTTAAACATATATTAATTTAGATATATTTTATTGTATATTATGTTTGAATTGTTATGAAAATATCATAATTTTATGAAAGTATAAAATGAACATTATATACAATAGAATCTCAAGTAAACAGATTATACATTAAAATCAGATTCGATATTATTCTTAATCCAAGATCCTACAAACTTAAAAGTTTATAATATATATATGTACATTTGAATATCTTTTTCCATCCTTTTGCTATTTTTAGCTGAATATGTACTAGATTAATGGTTTTCCAGATAGTTCTTTGCTTTAGGTTTCCTACTAGTTTTTTCTGTACAAAGCTTTTCTTCATATTTTTAAATTGATCTGCATTTAAGTAATTTTAATATAAACTGTAAAGCTTTTTTATATTTTTCTTAATTATTATATATCCTGCATTATTAAAAAAATATATAAAATTCATAAATAAAAATTACGTTGAATAGAATTAAATATTATTTAGAGACCTTTAGAAAAGTTGATTGTTATTAATGTTTAAAAAAAATAAGTTTTTTTAATATATTACTCTTTAAGATTCTCAAGTTTACGTTTATTATTTTCCTTCAGTTGACCAAAATTAGTCATACTCATTTCTGCTTCTATTCTAGCAGCAGATATTGTATTTAATTCCTGGGCTACTTTAAAATCGCTAACATGTGGGTTTTTTTCCATTTTAGCATTAATACGTTTTTCAATTGCTTGAATTAGTAAAATATCTCTTTGAGAAACAAGAGTAATACTTTCTCCCGATTTTCCAGCACGAGCTGTTCTTCCTACTCTATGAATATAATCATCAGGGTCTTTAGGAACATCGTAATTTATAACAAGTTCAACGAATGGAATGTCTAAACCTCGACTCACAATGTCTGTAGCGATTAGAATTTTGCTTGCTTCTTCTTTGAATTTTCTAAGAGATTGAGTTCTTTCTTTTTGTGGCATTTCAGAATGTAATGCTGTAACTTTAAAATCCAGTATACGAAACATTCTACAAAGTAATTCGGTTGTTCTGGTTCTATTTGTAAAAATAATTATTGATTTTTCCTTGTATTCTTGTGTGTTAAAAATACGATAAAGATATGCTTCTTTTACATATGAAGGGATAAATATATATGTCTGAATAAGAGATGAAGGAACTGCAATGCTATATATTTATTAGAATTATTTTGTGAAAAGTAATAAAATACGGTGATTCTGTGATATTATATAAAAATAATGGTTTTTTTCCTGGTTTTGAGGATTGAATTTTCAAATTTTTTATTGAATCAGTAATAGTTGCTGTAAATAATAATGTTTGACGATTGTTTGCTTCTGGTAAAATTTCTATACATTTTTGTATGTCTTTAGAAAATCCCGGGCTCAAAAGTCTATCAGCTTCGTCTAGCACCAAAAAACGAACTCTTTTAAAGGCATCTATGGTTTCCTGTCCACTGCTTCTTATATGATCAGCAAGACGTCCAGGTGTCGCAATAATAATATGTGGTCGTTTTACTAAAGTTAATGCTTGTGTCATCATATCCATACCGCCAACAATTGTAGCTTGTTTTAGATCTACAGAAGTTCCTAAAATTGCTAATTGATCTGAAATTTGTAGGGCTAATTCTCTAGTTTTTAATTAATTTTGTTTTTTGAAAAAAAAAAAAACAAAAGAACCTTGTAGGTGTTAATATTAGAGCAAATACTCCATATGGATCTTGAGTTAATTTTTGGACTATTGGTAATGCAAATGCCATAGTTTTTCCCGAGCCTGTTTTGGCATTTCCTATGCAGTTTTTTCCTATGTTTCTATTAGTTTGTATGGAAAAACTATAATTAATATTAAAACCTTCTAAAATAGGTGTAATACATGCTGCTTGGATAGCTGTTGGTTTTGTAATAGCAATTTTTTCTAACGTTTCAATCAGCCATGAATGTAAGCCACAAGCCTTAAAAGAAATATTAGATGTTTCAGAATCAGATGATACTTTTTTATGAAGTAAATTGGGTTTTGATATAGTTTTATTGTCTATTTCTGTTTGTCCGTTCATTGTGTCTGCTGTTTCTATTAGTGTTTCTGTGCCTGACATCGATGAATATTTAATGTTTTAATTTTGTCTATTTTTTGATATCCTTAAGGTTTCAATACATATTTTTAATGTTATTCAATAGTTTTGGATGAGAAATAGATGGATTAAAACAAATATTTATCTTATTAATTGGTTGTATATGACATATATATATTATATATTCGTTGAATTACCATTTATATATATGGAATATTTAATTGAACATTAAATAATATTACTATTGTTATTAATGGAAAGTTTAATGTATATATTATAGATAAAAAATAATTTTTAAGCAGACGTAAAATCTAATGTTGCATATATATAACATGCATAGTTATATATGTGTATGTAAATGCATTATTTTATGAAATATTTGCTTTTATTGAAGTATTTATCATCTTTTTCCTATTAATAAATTATACTGTATATATATGTTGTATGTATTTTGTATATGTTACATGTTTTATATGTATGTTCTATTGATTTTGAATGTGTATCGTTCGAAGGTTTGACATTTTCTTTAACCCGACAGAAGGTAGATACTGAATAAAAGATAAAGTAAATTTTATATTATTATAGGATATATTTGTTTTTTTGTTGAATTTTGAGACTCTTAGATTAGGTGCTGAAATGTCAGAGTCACGGCATGAATTGGTTGCATGGTTAAACCAGGTAATTTTAATAATATTTGAAAATAAGTTAATAAGCCAAAACAGTTAACTAATTTGAATATTACGAAAGTAGAAGAATGTGGGAAAGGTTGTATTTTTTATGTATGTCTATATAAGTAGCTAATGAAGATAAGGGTATGTTTATGCACATGTGTTTGATTCAATATATGGTAAGCAAAGAAGTATGGATTGTTATGAAAATATTAATGTAAAGGTGGTGTTCCTTTTAGGAAGATAAATGTTTTTTTATTCTGTAAAAATTATAAAAGAATTGATAAATTATAGTTTAATTGTAACAATGAATACCAATATCTTCAGAATTGGAGAGTGATTCAGAGCATTTTTACACAACATAAGATTGATAAGGTTGTTTATGTGGACAGACTTATAAAGTGTAAATTTCAAGATAATTTGGAATTTCTTCAGTGGGTTAAAAAGTTTTGGGATCAGCATTTTAGTGGTGTGGAATATAATGCTATAGGAAGAAGAGGGGGTAAAATTGCTAGCTCTTCAGGATATTCTGCAGGGTCTTCTGGTTTACATGAGCAATCAAGTCGAAAAGTGTCTACAGTTAGTACTTCATCTACACGTGTTTCTTCGAATCCAAGTGTTGCTTTTTTGAATTCTCAGATACAGACTTTACAGGAAAATGCAGTAGGATTGGAAAAGGAAAGGGATTTTTATTTTAATAAGTTACGAGATATAGAAATTCTTGTTCAGACTGCTATTGATGCAGATCCATCGGCTGCTCAAAATGAAGAAAGTCTTTTAAGACAGATACAGAATATATTATATTCTATAGAGGTAGTTATGATGTATATATTGTTTAAATATAAACTGTAATTAGGAGGGATTTGAAGTTCCTGATTTAAATGGTGACGAAATTAATAAACAGATGGATAATCTCCAAATAGAAGATGATGATACTTTTTAAGATTAATTTTTGTGAAAAGCGTTTTAGCTATTGTACATATGTTAATATTTCTTTCTAATTATATTTTTATATATGATTTAATATTGTCTTATTGTTATATATTATTTTGGTTTATAAATGTTTTATTTGTTTTCTAAATACGGAATATTTTTTTATTGTATTTTAGGAGATTTTGTATCTAATTCTTTAAGGTTCGCTAGATATACTTTTATTAAATAATTTTTTTACTATTTCTTTTAAATTCTGAGGAGCAGCATCGCCTTGTATCTATAATTTTAATTAACAATTTCAAATAAAAAATATTATACTTTTTTAATAAAAGTTGTTAAGCTTTCTGGATCAATTTCAGTTTTTCCCCGAGGTCCTAATAAATAAGTATAGTTTTTCTCTCCTTCGTTTGCAGATGTAATGTCGTCCTTTATTCTTTCTAAATATCCTTTTTTTACCATTTCTTTTAAAGTTTTATCAAGGTTTCCTATAGATGTATCGTTATCCATTTGCAATTGTGATAAATATCTTATAAGAAGTTCTAAATAATTTAAATAGAATTTTTTTAATGAAATTTATATCTACCATTTGAAATTTCTCCGCCATTCATAATTAATATGCTTAATATTGTCATAACAATTCCCGAAAAAATACCTTCTTTAATAGTTGGAACTTCAAAAATTAAGTCTGAATATTTAGGATCTAAAATGCTACATAATATCCAGCTTTTGTTTAAATGTGCTATAGAAAATGGATTATGTGTTTGAAAATTTTGATTTTTACGTAAATGTGATGTAGATATGTGTTTGCAATTATTTTTATAGGGTAATTCTACGAGCTCCATACCAAAAACATTTCTGAGTTTTTCTTGTGTTTTTTCAAATACAATAGCAAAAGAGCGTGAATGCGACGGCAAAAGGACTGCTATTTATAACAATAGTAAATAACTTATATTTATGTACCTTTTTTTGAAATATCTTCTTTTTTTATAGGTGTTCTGTTATGTTCAAGAGCAAGTGCAAGTCGGATAAAATTTTTAACCATAAGATTTAGATCTTCCTAATTTATTATAAATTATACTAATAGAATGATATCTTTTTATAGTATACATCATTTATAGTATTTTTTACTGATAAGTTATTTTCCATTTGTCTAGATGTTTCTCCAGTTGATATGTTTGACTCCTTATTTTGGGATGAAGATTGTAACATAGATTTAGATCCTTTTTCAAAAATATTTTTGTTTCTTTTTATTTTGCTATAGCTTGTTTAGTTAAATGTTCATAAAAAACATTATGAATTACCTTTCAGTTACATGTTTCTGTCTTGTTTTCATTTATTTTTGGTTAATAGAAATGATATAGATAATTTTTAGTCTTTAATAAAAGAAGAAAAATTCTAGATCACTCTATGATTTTCATGTGATTCTTTTTTGTTAAAAGATAAGTCGGATAAAAGGGTGATTAAGATCTTTGGATCGTTCGAGTTGATGTTTTAAAAAAAAATGGTTCAAGTTCATGAGGATTTTGAAAAATATAGGAATTTAGTGCCCTCTCTTCGCATTATCGCTGGCACTTATGAGGGTATTCTTTACGGAATTGATGTGATATTGTCTTTGAAAGATGATATGAAAATAAATATTCATTTTAACCCGGTTTGGATGTTTGAGTCTAATCATGGTTGCATTCATACAATTGCTATAGGTGGACGATATCTTGTATGTGGAGGTGTAGACGAAGTAATTAAGTATTTTTTTTTTTGTTTAAAAAAAAATTTATTGAAAAAAGATTATATGATTTAAGAAAAAAAAAAGATATTGGATCTCTTCATCACCAATCAGGGACGATTACCGGCCTTGTGTTTTCTTCATTCACTTCTCCTAAGTTTCTTATATCTGTTTCTGATGATGGTACAATGGCTTTTTTTCGTACTAAAGACTGGTTGCCTCTTAGTACAATAAAAACTCATCACGGCCGCATAAACTCTATTTCTATTCATCCAAGTGGGAAGATTGCTCTTACAGTTGGATCAGATAAGAACATTCGATTATGGAATATGATGACTGGAAAAAAAGCAGGAAGATATAATTTAAATAAAAATGAGGCATTTTATGTTCAATGGAATACATTGGGCACTCAGTATGCTGTACTATTGAATAAAGAAGTAATGGTGTATGATATGGTTAGAAATTTTATTTTGAATTGATATTTTTTTTGATTTATTTAGTCTGCAACGCTTGTATATTGTTTTTCGTCACTAACTCGATTTAATTCTATGCATTATACTATATCAAAAAAAAACCATGAAATACTGGTTTTGGGTTCTCAAAATGGATGTTTACAAATATATGATTCTAGTAATGGAAAACTAATTGTAAGTTTTGTTGCACATGAAAATAGGTAAATATTTTGTGATAGATTAAAGTTTATTTGTTATTATTTAAATAGAATCAAGGCTATTACATCTTATACGTATCAACTTGTTAATGTATCTTTTTTGATTCTTATAACTGCATCATCAAATGGTTCAATAAAACTGTGGGCTGAATATCAGGAATTTTCCTTCTATCAAATAGGAGAATATAATTGTGGAGAGAGTAGAATTACATGCATGATTATTGATTCTTCTATTGAAAATTTGGAGAAAAAAACTGAAAATGCTGATTAAAAAGGATATATGAATCACAAGTGAAGTTAATGTCGAATAAAGTAGCAAATAAATTTAATATTAAAAAAAACGTTCTATAAAAATTTATTGTATATAAAAAACGTTATATTTTTATTTGTTATATATACTTTAAAACTTTTAATATATTTGAAATTTAAAAGAAATTCTAGAATTCGCTATTATTATTATTATTGAGCTTTATTAAATGAGACTTGGATTTTTTTATAATGTTAAAATTGTATCTATTTTTAAGTTATTTTTAAGTTTAAATTGTATTGTAAATTAGTTTTATTTCAGAATTGCATTAAGTTTAAAAATATAGGCTAAAGTTTGCATATAGTTTAGATAATTAAATTTTAATTTATAATAATAAAGATTTATTCGTTAAAGTATTGATATTCTTTTAAATATCATGTTTTGCTAGGTAAACAATGATTCGATGGTCTAGTTGGTCATGGCGCCAGTCTAACACACTGGAAGTCGGGAGTTCGAACCTCCCTCGAGTCACTTTTTTAATAATCAATTTAATATAATTTGTAATTGATTATTTTTATAATTAGTTTAGATTAACTTTTAAAGATGGAATTTTAAAATATAAATGCTCAAAAATATAATTAAATAAAATTATGTAATATAAAGATGATTAAATACAAAAAAAATATTTACATTTGAATTGTCAAAGATTAATAAGAATCATAGAATGTTACATAAAAACATATGAAGGGGCTAACATATATAATAAAATGATGTTTAGAAATAAACTTGTAGGATTTAATCGATGTTTGTATCGTCAATTTGAAATCTGATTGATTTTCTCTTTTTAGATAATAAAGGTATTTTTATTGCTTCTGTTTTTTCCTGAGATGCTTCTTCTAATATATTTTGAGAATTGCTCATTAACTCCTCACTTTCAGGAAATTGTTGAGGGTTCATTTTTATCAATTTTTTGGCATCTTCTAATAATTTTGTTTTATTTCCAGCCATGTGATGTTTATAAAATACACGCTCTCTTCGTGTACGAATTTCGCACACACGATTAATGGCTTTAAGAGTAGTGGCAACTATATCTCTATTATAACGAATAGGAATGTTTCTACGGGCAGCAAATGTAAGTGTAGTATCCTAATTTTGATAAACGTAAGCCCAATGATGCATTTTAAGACAACTCACAATAGCCATTTCTTTTCCTCTAGCCTTTCTAAAAGCTTTTGGAAAATGTTAGAGATAAAATAAGGATAATATGTATAAAAAAAAACCTTTTGTCCATGCAACCTAGAAAAATTAGTTTTTTTAATAAATTTGAAAAATGTTAAACCTTTCTAGGATTACGCCTCATTTTAAAATTTTTATGGCATTTTGATCTACAAAATCGGAATTCCTTGGCATCATTTCTTACAAACATAATCTATAGAAAAATTAATTTATATATATATATATATTCTGTATTAACTCCATGCCCCGGATAAATTGGCCCTGAGCAAAACTGATAAATATGAGTTTTTTATTGTTAATAAGCATATAATAACTACATAACATGTATAAATTCTATTTAAATATTAGTATATAGTGTTATGTAACTATTATACTACCTCATTGATCAGATTTTATTTTTTTATGATATCCTAAAGTGGATTTTGATGAAACTTCAAAAATTATAATTCTTCTCTTTAAAACTGAAGTGTATTATTGAACAAATGTTAAAGATAAAAAATTAATTAATTTTTGCTACATTTTTTTATTTGATCGAAAGTTCGGATCTCTGGAAAAAAGTTAAATTTAATAATTGGATGAAAATTACAAAAAAAAAACAATTTGAAGATAATAAATTATATAAATTTTATCCTGTTTTAATATATTTTAATTAAAATATATAAAACAATAAATAATAAAAGAATAGAAAGATATTTCTGAAAAATATATCTCATGTACGAAAGATATTAAAGTACTTTTCTATAAATATTTTTAATTAGAAAATATAAATTGATATAATAAATATTATTTTTTTTATAAAGGCAGGAATTTATTTAGAGTAAAGCTTATGTTGGCTGTAGTTGAATCCATTTTTTCTAGATAATGAATTTTATGTCCAAAAGGATTATAAAGATATTGTCTATTATATTTATTTTTACAGTTATTATTTATTATTTTGTTAAGAGTGGCCATCTTTTTTTTCGAATTTAATCTATCTTTTTGAAAATTTTTGAGACTTATAAGATATCTTTGTAGTATCTGAATAATTGATATTAGGAATATTTTTGGAAAGCTCTTTCTAGTTGGAATTGTTAATGCTTTCAGATTGTTTAGCAGTTATAAAATATATATTAATTGATTTTTTGGTATGTTTTATAGAATATTCTTCAAATATTTTGTCTAGATTTGATTTTTGTTAAAAAATTACACTATGACTTTTATTATACGTTCAATTATTTTTTTAATGGTTATAATTTTTATAGATCTGAGTTAAATTTCGTTGAAAATAAACTTTATTTCCTTAAACTTAATTAATGGTCTTATTTTTGTTACTGAAAATGGTTAAATAATGATTCAATAAAAAAATATTTATATTTTATTGTTAATTTTTTGTTATATTTATAAGGACTCATTTCTATCTATAGAATTTTTAACAATTTTGCTAGATACGTATTCTTTGATTGATTATTTGATTTTTAAGTACATAGTCTATGTAATTATTTGGATATTAGAGAATTATTTTACAATAGATATTTTATACCATACGCTTTCCTTTTCTGTATTAGGATAATATTTTCTAAATGAAGTTAAAAACTATAAATGTTATTATTTGTAATGATAACTTTTAAGTTCTTTAAAAGGTTATATTTTGGTGCTTTGAGGATTCATAGTTCTTTGAATTTTTAACTTGTTTTAATGTTTTTTTTTCTTAGGTGTAATTTCTAGATTAGATGTATCTTGTGTTTTCAATTACTTATGATACTATTATTCTATGAAGTTTATAATTTATATTGTAATTATATAAAAGCTGTAGAATTAAAGTATTTATTTACTTAGTAATTCAAAGATATTTTTCAATTAGTTTAATATTTTTTTTATATTTTTTTTTAAATCTTGCAAGTATAAACTAATTATTCTGGAAATTCTTTTCATTTAGATTTAGTTTTTTAATGTTAAATAATGCTAGGTTTAGGATTATATATGTAATGGAGTAGTATATTTTAAAATAATTTATTTATTGTTATTTTTTATGAATTCTAATGATAAGAAATTAAAAAAACATGTTTAATTTGTATCTTTATTATATAAATTCTTAATAACAAATTGTAGATTAGAAAAATAGAGATCTTTATATAAAAAAAAGGTATTTTAACTTGTCAAGTATACGTTCATAAAATTAGGGTTAGGTATGAATATGTTTAGCTCAAGTTGCATAATTTAGCGATAGAAAGATGAATAGGTTTGAATTGTTGTTGAATATATGGGTACTCAAGGTAGATTTTATGAACAAGATAACGTGTTTCTAAAAGGAAAACTAGAATTTGCGTCAAATAACCCTTTTCGATTGATTTCTAAGTCATCATCAATTGCAGGTTCGTCTGAAGAAAGATCTAACCCATTTTTGGATCGTACAGAATACAAAAATGTATCTCATATGGTTACAACTGTTATTTCCGTATGTTTTTTAATGAAAAAATGAATATGAAAATAAGCTAAGTAAAGCTATAGAAGTCGAAGTCACAACATACAACGTCACGAACGGCTTCTCAATGGGAACGTAAACCGTTTCATCATTCAAAGCAGGATGTTAAAACAATAATTCCTCGTAGTGAACGTACTCAAAGTAATTCTGAAAGTAATGTTTTTGATTCTCACAAAGGTACTCATCGAAGTCATAAATATTTTCCATTTAGTAAAGAGAAAGAACAAGAAAAGGCTATCCTGAAAGAAAATTCCAAAGAAAAGACAAATAATCATCCCCATAAAGAAAGACGATCACGTATACATGTGGATCGTATTGACTTGCTTGATGTAACTGCAGTATATGGGTCAGGAAGTATTTACTAATGGTTCCTTTGTTTTGGATTTATATATTTTTTAGCATTTCATCATGATGGGCCATTTGATGCTTGTAATCCTTATCGTAATAAAAGTTCGAAAAAAGATCCTGTACTTGCTTTTCATGAAGACAGTATGTCTATGTCTTTTTCAAAAGTGGATACTGAGAATTCAAAATTTTCAATTGACAAATATTTTGGAAATCGAGACGTTGAAGCGTATAATGAATTTTCTCCTAGTGCCTTTTACTCTAGAAAGAATCGTTCTTCAGGTTTGTTTAGAAGTCTTATTTTTGAATTAATTAGAAAAGTAGATTTATATCACGGTTCTACTACATCTGGTCTTGGTTCTTCCACTTTTTTAGAGGGTACGCATGCTAGCCAAGCTTCTATACGACGTGTTGCGTTATTATCAGATGAAGAAAAGAATGAGAAAGATAACAAGTCATTTGGTTTTCAATAACATTGTAGTATTCATGATAATGATTTGAACTGCAAACGTAGTTTTGCTCACCGTATTCCTGGTTCAAAAAAAGATTCTCATTCTAATTTTTTATCTACTCATTTTATGGATGTTTCGTCTTTATCTGAAACTTCTGGTCAAATTGATGCAGAAAAAGCTGCATCTAGTACTAAAAAAAACATTTCAATACTGCAAAGTAGTTTTCAAATAATTTCTTCTGAAAATCCTGAATCATCATGTACTAGTAAAGGATTGCTTAATCGTGTTCGTAGTTTAAAAGTAGGAGGTAGTAGAGATAATCGTAGTGAGAACTAGTTATTTGGTTATTTTAAAAAAATATATATAATATTTTGTTTAAGGCAGGTTTGTAAAATATGATTAATATCCTCTAAATAATACTTTTAATAGTATTTGTATATTTGATATTAGCTTTTTTTATAATTATGTTTTTACGTAAAATTGGTATAATTTATAATATTGTATATTTTTTTTTGATTAGAGTAATTATATATTATATTCGTTTTGTTTTTATATCCTGAAAATTTATCTTAATTGTATACTAAAGATCACTAATATATTTTATTAAAATTTAATTATAAAATGCATTTTGTTTCGATGCTTTTTATATATTTTTGATAATTGTATTCAGGAATTATATTTTCAGATTTATAGATAAAACTATTGAGTATATAACAAAATTATTCATTTTTGTAATTTGATAAAATATTTATATAATTTTTTAAAATAATAGTTTTATTAAAAAAAATATAACTATAACTTTGAAGTATTTTTTTGTTAAAAGCTGATTTTTTAATATAAATTACATAGAAATTTGATTAAATAATTATAAATATACTAAATTTTTTTTAAAATAAACATGTGATTTTAAGTTTATTTTGAGTATACATAAATATATAAAATTATTTTTTTATAAAAGGATTTTTATATAAAGAAAAAATGTTATTTTAAAAACGTTATATTTCTAATATAGTTTTTTTAATAATTTTTTTTGCAAAAATTTAAATAAGAATTGGATTTATATATATATATATAATGAAAAAAAATTTATAGTTATTTTCTATAAACTTAAAATTAGATTATAACTATATCAAATACATTTATATAAAAAGTTTAGTAATAAACTTTGTGGATGAATATTTTTTATTTTTTAAGTCGTTTAGAAAAGTATAAAATATTTCTAAAAATATTAAATAAATTATTACACTTATAAATTAGTATAAACCTGTCATTGCTAATTTCATTAGGATTATTTTTGTTATTTGAGTAATCAGGTCTTCTATGTGTAAAATCTTCACGATGTTTTAGTTGAAATAATGAAATTGCAATGTTGAAAAAATGACGTTTTGAATATTTATTCTTTGATGCTATATTGTTCTCCATAACAATTTCTTGATCTTTGTTTTCTAAAGTAGAAAATGTATAAGGTAATGGTATATTACGACTAACTCTAAAATATAAAACGTTAGTTGAATGTTCATTTTCGATCTTTACATATTAAATTAAGTATTATAAAACAATTTCTTACTCTAAATATATTCCATATGAATCTTCGAAAAACCTCAATTACATTAATAACAAATGTAATGAGATGTAAATATTGAATATTTTTAATAAAAATGAAATATAATACCCATGAAAATCTTAATATTGGATCAAAAATTATTATTAAGTAATAAATCTGAAAAATAAGATATATTATTTGTAATTAATAATATTTACCCAATAATGCTTAAATATTAAATTATTCCTTAGAAGTGGATGCTCTGCATATAACTGCATTAATGAAAAATCTATAAATAAATCCCAAAAACCTAGAATATTATAAAATTAATGTCATATAAATATATAAAAGGATTACTAGTGTAAATAGAATTTATTGAAGCAAATATAATATATATGACTCTCCATTTTGAATGACTATTTATTTTCCAAATAGAAAAAAAAGTATATGTTAAAATTGCACAAGTGTATTTCCCGGCATTGATAAGATGTGGAAATACATGTTTAGAATCATAATATCTTCTTAAACATTGTAAAAAACGAAAGATCCCTGGAATTGTTTGAAGAAATTCCATTAATTTAAAATGCGATATATCACATTGAATTAGATTTTTAAAATAATAATTATAAAAACAAAAAAAAAGCTGTTTTTAAGTCAATATTTATGAAAAAATAAATGTTATTTTCCTTTATATTTCTAAAAGCATATACTAAACTATTATATTGATCTCCCAGAAAAAAATCTCGAAATTCAACTGAACATAATCCAGAAAAAAGCAAACGAAGCTAAATAAAATTAATATATAATAATATATATATTTATTTTACGTTTGAAATAATAAACCATTTGCGTGATTCTCTATAAAAATATGGTAATGGGTTTAATAATATTATAGTTGTTATTATAATAAAAAATAGTGGATAATAATTGATCAAAGGCTGCCATAAATTTTTAAAAGTAAGCCAAAATAATAACGAAAATAATAGAAAAATAAAAGATGGTATCTAAATTTTTAAGATTCAAAATAAAAATCTTTATATTAACATACTTCCAAATATTGTTTCCAGTTTAAATTATGTCTTGTATCAAATTCAAAAATAAAGACATAATTTATTTTTGATTTTGTCCATATATAACAATTAAGACCAAAAAGTAATAAAAATAATAATATAAGAAAAAAACCACTCCATATTTCAAGAAGATATATTACTGCTAAGGATGAATCATTAGTTAATGTTTTATTTGCTAAAATATATTATAATCAATTAATTTATGATTTTTTTAAAATACCATATACTAATCCTTCTATAAATAGAGGCAGTGAAATTCCAAGATATATACCAACACGAAGTAATGAGCTAGAATGATCCTTTTCGTTATTAGTAGTAATATTTAAATAAAAAAATATCTATACTGTTATTTTTTGTTCAGTTCGAAGTTTTTTTATAGCATTCTTTCTGTTATTTTTCTCGAAATAATATGCAAAAACATCCTTAATTAAGTAAATTTATGAAAAAAAAAAAAAACATTTTATACCTCTGCTTCTGTTATCAGATCATCATTGATTTCGCTAGATCCAAAATGGCTTTCAGCAACTTTAGGCATATAAAATTTTAAATAATTGATGCCTGTAATTTTGGTTATTTTTTTTAAAGCTTTTCTAAAAGCTTCTATATTCATTATACGATAGCTTCTTAAAAGCTCTGCCTCACGATAAAAATCAATAATAGCCTAAGTATTTAGGAAATAAATAATATACATAAATAAATACTTACTGTTTTGAGACATTTTTTAGCGGTTTTATAGGTAATATTTTCATAAATATGGTGTTCTTGATAGTCTTTGCTATTTTTTTTTTTTAATTCAAAAAGTGCAACAATTTTATACAATGGTGTTATAAAACTATTTGCCCAATTAAAAAATGAATACTTTTTTTTTGAATTAACATGTATCTGAAAGATATGAATTGATAGAAAAAGAATTAAATAATTACCTTTTTTTTATGTCTATTATCCATTTCGTGTAATTGTTCTTTTATTTGTTGTAAACGCAATTCTGCTTTTTTCTCTTTTTCTTTATAAAAATTATCTACTTTTCGAAGTTCTTTATTTAAAAATATAAAAAACTGAGATATTTCATTGTTGTTATTAAGTGATTCGGAGTATAGTTCTGAATTTATATCGTTAAGAGTAGTTTTTTTATGATTAGCTATATATTGAGTATAAGAATTTGAAAAACATGATGTATTCGTAAGATCAGGAACATTAACAGACAATTTTGGTGAAAGAGAGTCTTGGAAACAATCCTTATTATTTTCATCTGATTTTTCGCTTTTAATAGCATCAACTTCTGGATTTACTTTTAGAAATAATTCTGTTGAGTCGGTTATTTTTTTTAAGAAATTATTATTTGAATTATCATAATTTAAATTATTGTTTAAAAAAATGTTTAAATTTTGATTTTCTAATAAATTATTTGCAAATTGTTTTTCATGTGAACGCCTATAATCTGCTTTTTCTAAATCTTTTTTTTTGGCAATCCTTGTTACAAGTTTTTTTGCTAATAATGTGTTATAAGTTATAAAAAATATATTAATATACCTTTTTTGTAATTAACATACTTCTCACTCCACTCTAAAAATCATTAATAAAGCAATAAAATTTGTATTATGTACCTGATACTAAATTTTTTTCAAGTTTCCTAGAAGATGGTTAAATTAAACAAAATTTGTTTTTGAAATTACTTAGCATATTTCATTGAATTTTAATTTATTTAATAAAACTATTTGTTATAAATTGAATTTAAAGTTAAAACATAATATTTATTTTAGAAAAATAATTTATTTTATATATTAAGATTTTCAAAGGTGAATTTAATGCCTAAATTTTTATAGAAAAATTAAAAAGTATTAATTAAAATTTTATTAAAATTTTATTTCTTTAGAATAAATTTAAAGATATATAATATTTGAGTTAATATTTTATTAAATATAAGAGTTTATAGAATTTTTTAATGTTATTTAAGATATAATAGAATGAGATTTATCGTATAAAAATATCTATTACATGAAACTTTTATAAATATTATGATATTATTATTGAAAATAAACATTTTTTCTTCAATTATATTTTTAAAATATTTATTGATTTAAATAGTTTTTCAATGGTTTTTATCTTAAATATTTTGTATTATATTTAAATGAAACTGCTTTAAATAAAGTAAATAATTCTTAATCTTTTTATTTTTTATTTGTTTATTGTTTGTGTTATTTTATGATTTAATGTTTTTATAAGATTATTAAATTTATTTTATTTAGGGTTACTTTTTGTAATAAAGAAAATAATAAAAGCAATTTTCGAAAATTTTGATATTAGGCGAATTGTTTTCATTTTAAAAATGATTCTAATTTTTTATGTTAAATTATTTTTATGCATTTAAACATATTTTAAATTGTCACGTGATGATATCGTTTTTCAAAACATTTCGAAAGTTCGACTTTGTATATTTAAGATTGAAAGTGTGAGATTATTTTAATTATATTTTTTTTTCTTTTTTTTTGTTTTCCATTGTTCACCTCTTTTTATAATTAAAGTATTAATATTTCACTGTTTATCAATATGGTTTTTTCGAATTATAATAAAAGTCATAGGGCTGATGAGTTTGTGGTTGCACCTGAAATTAAAGCTACGGTAGGTTTATTATATTTTTTCAATCTTTTACATGTCTTTCCAAGTCTTCAAAGTATAGTATAGGTCCTTGTTCTAAGCCTCGGAAAAAAAATTCTTTTTGCACTCATGTTTATCAGGATTCTTATTCTAATGATGATATTTTATTATGTAATGAGCATGATGATTGTAAAGGACACTCTCAATCATCTGATGAACATATGTATGAGTTAACTAATCGTCGAGCTTTGCGTTCTATTGATAACCATCTAATGAATAATATAAATAAGTTACAAAACAATTATATACCTCAACATAATAAACAGTTACAATCGCAATTAAGCAATAATGACGTATCCAGATTTGTTCCAGAAGATAATTATGAATCATTATATCCAGTTATTAATAGTGGAACATTCGTGCGAGAACGCCCTCCTTTAGATTTGTTGTCTAATTCTCGATTTAAAGGACCAAAAGTAGGAATAGATATGTCTCTTAATGCTGCTGTTCATGTTGGAGGGGGGTTTATTCGTGGAAATTTACAAATTGAAATTGAATCATCTAAAGTACAACTGGGTAGTATTGCCCTTGATTGTTTAGGTGTTGAAAGTATGATATAGTATTTAATCTTGAGTTTAGACTAATAATTAAGGTGTAGGGAATAATAAGTCGCATATATTGTTTAGTGTTGCTAAAGAGATGATGGAATTTGAAGATTCTCCATTAAATCAGCTTGTATATACAGATATTGGACAATGCCCAGAAGATGGATTTTGGCCTTCACAAAAATGCAGAACATCTATACCATTTGATTTACATCTTCCTTTGAATGTGGGTCCTGGAACATTTGAATGTAAAGAGGGGCAAGTAAAATACTATATTTTTGCGTATTAAAATATCTGTGTTTGGTTTCTGTACTGATTGATAAAGAACACTTCGTTATAAACTGAAAGATAAGATTTTTTTGTCAAGAGTATGCAAAAATTTGCTACTATTTACAGCTTTGCATCCGGATCGTGCTCTTGTACCAAGTGAGCATCCTATAACATGCATTGAAGAAGGGCCTTTATTTTGTGGGGGAAAAGGTTCTTTGAAAGTTGAAGCAAAATTACACAGGCCAGTTTGGATTTCTGGTCAACTCGCATTCGTAGAAGTTTGTACAACTAATCATTCGACACGCACTGTAAGTAATAAAATACTTTAAATAAAATATTTTTAATTTTTCCCAGGTTAGGAAAATAAAACTTGAATTAGTAAATATAGTACGTTTAAAAAAAATAAATAATAATATATGAAGGTTCGTCAAGTTATTATATATAACAGTCCACCTGCCAATACTAAAGAGCAAACGCTTGCTCATGAAAGAGTACCTGATTATATTAAAACAAAGATATTATCGTCGTCAATATTATATGCCAACGATCCTGAAGATACAAGAGCTTGGAAGGGTGTTAAGCCAGATACTAACGACTCAGTTATTTGTCAGTTATTAATTCCTTCTGCGCAACTTACTGTAAATGCTGGAAGACATTTGGCAGTTAAATATTTTATTAATATTTCTGTGGGAACTGCTTTTACGTAATTAAATATTGATGATGTTAATGATAATACTAAAATATTTCTAGATCAAAAGTTGTGGTTCAGGTTCCTATTTTAGTTGCAAATCTGCTATCCCTTGATATTGTATCGCACAATGCTACAGATGTAGCACACACTATGGCAAAGTATCAAGATTTAAAAGCACCTGTAAATAATATTTCTTCTCGAGCATTTAAAAGTTCTTGTAGAGATGCAGGTTCAGTAAGTCATGGTGTTGATTGCGGAAGTAGTGAAGAGAGTGAAGACATCCTATCTGTTGTTCTTCGAAGGAAACTTAAACCTCTCGATATAGAAAAGATTAATGATGAAGATTCTTCACGTTTTGTAATTAGAGAAGCAAGTATAAATGATAATCATCATTATCCTAGACGATCTAAATCATTATTTCATCCGAAAAAAAAATATTCTAATTATAATGGGCATTACGAGCATCAAAAAGCTGTTTCTAGAGATAGCGATGATGTACGACAAGCATTATCTCATGAATATCGTGCTCCTAATATGGATATTTCTACAACTGCATTTGGATTCAGCAATGAACCATCGCCTATTTCTTCTGCAAGATTTAGTCAAAAACAGTTGCGTTCTAAAAATAGTAGAGGAAGAAGTAATAGTGATCCAAATAGCGATCCCACGAATCGGCGTACTGATCGTCCTGAGACTGTTCAGGAAGAACAATAAATACTTTGCAACTAAAAAAAAACTGACATTTAATTTATTGTTATATTATTTTGTTATTCCAGCATAAAACTGTTAAATATGTCGTTTTGAAAAAATTAGAAGATTGTAGTTTATGAAATTATAAAATTTTTGAGCTTTTGGATGTGCTTAAAAGTCAAATAATTAATTTTTATTTGTATTTCTTAATATTTTTTCAACTTCATTTGCTATGTTTGGAAAATTATTTTTGATATCTTGGGCTAAAATATTACGAAAATCCTATATAGTTAATATGGATTTTGATTTATAACAATGAGCCTACAGTTATAGCTATAGATTTCCCATTGACATATTGATTATCCTTTTGAACCAGTTCGCAAAATTGTCTAGTATAAACATCTGGATTTCTTCCTTCTTCTATATAACTAATAAAAAATTAATAGTATATAAAAAATGTAAGAAATAGAATCAACTCAATAACATCCCGTGGTACTATTTCTGTAATGAAATCTTTATTTGTATAAAGAGATTTATAATTATTGATTATATTCTTTCTATTATTAATTTAGAAATAATTTGTAAACTAAAGAGAAGTAACATTCTATTAAATATTATTTCATTTGTTTTGGAATTTTCAAAGTCATGAATAATTTTGCCAAGATCATGAAGATTATGAATAAGAGATTCTAAATGTGTTTCTAAATTGTGAAGATTATGGATGGTAGTTTGAGTGCTAGATGTCGATTTATCCATAATTTAATGTTGAATAAATGAAAATTATGGATATTTTAAAAAATATGGTAAATTGATTATTTACTTTGTTCTGAATAAATTTGTGTATGCGATTTTAGTAAAAATTATGAAAATTATAGATAAAATAATTTATTTTTATTATTTCGACTTGATTAATGATAAAAGTTTTCTGATTTTCATTTATTTAAATAATTATATTTTGGCGATATTGTTTAATAAAGTGTGTTTTATTTCGTAAATTAAATTTAGAATATTTTGTAATTGTTATATTTTTAGATATGAAATTAAAAATGTTTATAAATATTGACATTATAAATGATGTTATAACTTATTAGTATTAATTTGGAAATTATATTTTGATTTTTTAGATTCTGAGATTAACAATTAAATTTATAAGACTTATTTTCGAATAAAAATACATAATTTAATATCTGATATTTCTTTAATTTGTTTATAGCATATGATTTAAGATAGTTATATTTAATTATGTTTGAATATATTTATTAATTATTTTGAAAACCCGTTCTAAAAAATAAATCTCTAACAGTAATCGTTTGTAATAGATTTAATAATTGAATTCTAAAATATGATATATCTATTTGTTTTTTCTTTTTAGTGAAAGGTGGAAAAAAGATATGTTATAAAATTTATTTAAATCTATATTTGTGTATAATATGATTAAATTTATTTATTTATTTGGTAAAATTAGAGAATTACATTTCTCGAATATTTTTAATTACATCATAATAATATACACGATATTTATGCATGTTTGATAAATAGTTTTATTTTATGGGATTTTATGAAAGTAGTTCTTTAATAAGGCGGTATTTGTCTTTGTCAAAGAATTATAATTTTTCAGATAAACTTCCTACCTTAACTTGTTCGGAACTTGTAGATGTTGAATTATACTCTATTATTGCTATTATTTGCAAAGATCATATTAATATATGGTATGAACAAATAACTCATGATAAAAGCTTTATTGAGGAATCGCTGCTTTTAATCTCTCATGTTGTTAAAGAATTAGAAAAAAAATTTTTTATGGTAGTTTATGTAAAATTAATATATTCACTATTATTGATGAATGATATAGATAAAACATGAATTGCTTCTTCTTCATAATATACCTATGATTGCTATTAAACATATTAATGGAATGTTATTTTTTGTATTTGTGTTAAACTAATTTATATTATAGATATTCGCAGGACACAAAAGATTTTACAGGATGATATTACTTCTCATAGGACATTTGATGAAATATTTCATGAATTTCAACCTCATCCTGCTTTAGATTCCTATGAAAATGAATGTTTGTATTTGCGTTTAATTGCTGATACTTTGATTACATCTTTCTTACCTCCTGATGATCTTAAATCAGAATGCGAAAGAGTTATAATAAGGGAAATTCTTTCTGACTTTATTTTTAAAAAAATTATAGATAAACTTAGTGAACCGTCTATTTTGTTTGAAATTATTGCAAAAGTATAATTATATGTTTATTTCTTAATTTAATTCTTTTAGTTAATTGTTGATTTAAAAAAAAAATATATTAATAAAGATATTGAAAAAAAACGTTTTAGATGGTTTATGTTTGTGAAATTATGTAATTTGATAATATTTATATGGAAAAAAATATTTATGTCTATTGCAAATTCTCCTCAATTTATACAAAATATTTTTGACTTAGCTGGCTTTGAGTTTGTTTTTGAAGTACTAGAACTTAAGACTGAGGCTCCTTATATATATACAGTGATTCGTTTTTTTTTAATTCCTTGTATTTTTGTGTTTTTTGGTGATTTGATCTTAATGTAAGTACAATAATTAACTGTAATATATTAAGCTTTAGTCAATTTATGAGGTTTTGGAGTCAATATATATTTACTGAACAATTTGCAGTTAGCTGTTTTCGAGCATTAAGGATTGCAATTTGGTCAGATGGTTCGGTTGAAGTTTCTAAAATTCAACATTATAAATTTGATAATTATAAAATTAAAGAGTATTTAGAAACAGAGTTATATACTATCATAACAGGTTTTTTTTTTCTTGATTTATAGAAATATCTAAATTTAATAGTGTTATTTAACAATCATTTTTTTCGTTTTAATGATGAAATTATTAAAACTAAAATTAAGCAAATTTGCAGTTTATTTGATTCAAAAGTTGCTAATAAACATTTTATATTTTATATGCTTGATCTTATATTGGGTAGTATAGTATATGAAATATCCAATATTACTTAAATTATTTATTTATAACAAATTATGTAATTAGTAATACATATTAAAATTTTATAAAATTGATAAATGAGCATAAGTTATAATAAGTTGATAGGAAATATTTGAAATAATAATAATGATATATATATATCATCTTATTCATATAGACTTTATGAATTATTCTTATTGAAATATGGATAAATTGTAATTGTGTAATATAATTTTATAATTCACTGTTATTAAAAAAATGTTATATTTTTGAAATTTAGTTAAAAATATTATATATATATATCATATTGTTAATGTTACGTAATTGTATAAGATTAATTTTTATAAAGTTTATTTTTGTAATATATTAATTATATAAAATCTATTATTCAAAAATGATAATTTGTTTTTCTTAATATATTATTTATTTTTTATAAATAAATATATACTGTTATCTATATTTTATATTTTTAAAATTATAAAAGAAAATATGTTTAAAAATAAAATATAAAATATTTTTTTATCATTATTTTTTAATAATAGTACACACATCTTCATCTAGTAATATATGACTGGCGCCAACTCTTTGATGATTATGTTTTACAGAGTTACCCCATACGTATGCACTATAAAATATCAAATATGCATTTATGATGATAATTGATTACTGTTTGAATTGTTTGAATATGGATTTATGAATAGCATTACACTTTATAGGTTAGTAATTTATCTTATTTCATTGGAAAAATACAAAATCTTCTACTGAACTTGCATTTTTTTTTAAAACTATTGGATCAGAATAATCAGGCGGTAATCCTTTGGGTTTCGTATATACTCTTATTAGATCAAGATGTTCCCACCTGTTTTAAAGTTAAGTTGTTGAATTAAAAAAAGTTATAGTACATTTTTTCCTAATACTTGTTAATATATATTTTTTTTTAGAGTAATTATTACAAGTAATTCATCAAAATTCCATCCCTGTTATAACTTAGATAAATCTAATGTTAGTATAATATTTACGTGTTGTGCTGAAATAGGTACTGCATGTGGGATTTTATAGAGTAAATCAAGCTCTTCTATAGAAATTTGATCAATCTTATTAAGAGCATATATAGCAGGAATGTACATCCTGTTTCCCTCAATAACATCTATAAGATCATCCGCCTAATAAAGTAATTAGATATATATATATTTATAAAATTACATGCATACTGTAGCATCACATCTAAAAGTTATATCTGCATTATTAATACGATATTCTCCCAATATTGCTTTAATTTCATCATAATCAATATTTGTTAATGTAACTGTATTAGATATTGTGATTCCTCCTTTTTCTTTTTTTTTAAGTGTAATCATAGGAGGTTTTTTATTTAATCTAATTCCGAATCCTTCAAGTTCGTCTTCAATGATTTTTTTATCTGTAAGAGGTTTAAGAATATCAAGAATTATATAAATAAGACTACAGGTTCTTGCAACGGCAATAACTTGTCGACCTCTACCTTTTCCTTCTTTTGCCTTGTTTCATTTTAGTGTGTAATTTTGATATTTTTAATAATTACCCCTTGAATAATACCAGGCAAATCTAGTATCTTAATATATATAATAAATATTCGATATAATAATACCAGTTATTTTTACCTGAATCTTGGCACCTTTATATTGAAGTATACCAGGAACAGTAGTTAAAGTAGTAACTATTTATAAATATAATCATATTCATTTAATGAAAGTATAAATACATTCATATGCAGCTGCTTCGCTATATGTTCCCGTAAGTTTAGACATTAATGTACTTTTTCCTGCAGAAGGAAATCCTTAAAACATTATATAATATGAATGATTTTAATAGTTAGTTAAATTTACCAATAAATCCTATTGATGCAACACCTGTTCTTGCAACATCAAACCCAACTGCTTATATAAGAATGTTAAATATATAAAATATAGTACTACTTCCTGGCCCTCCATTGCTTCCACTAGGAGTTATAAGTTCACGTTTTAATTTTGCTAATCTAGCCTTTTATTATGTTAAAGAGTATAATAAAATTAATTTAAATTACTTTTAAAAGGCCAAGGTGTTTAGCAGTGCTAAATGCTAATTAATTTTGTTAACATGTTGGTAATATAAATTTTTACGCTTTGTTTTTTCTAATTTATTTAAAAAAAATATTTAAATAATAATAACTTACTGAGTACGTGCCATCTCATCTTCTATTTCTTTAATCTAATATAAATTAGAACATGTAGAATCATAAATAGTATAAATAAACTTTTTCAATAGTAGTCATTTTGGTAATATATTTAAAAGTTAAATGTATTTTAAAAAACTACGATGAAATATAAATTACGTTTATTTTAAAGCAATTATTTAAAAATATATTAGATAAACGTTAATAAAATATAAAAATAATTTAATGAATTTATTATATAATAATAAATTTAATAAAAAAATAGGTCATTTATTAAAAAGATAAAATGGATATTTTATAGTTTTAATAATATATATATTATTAGAAAAATACTATTGTTTTATAGATGATATATATATATTTATATTAGATATATAGAAAAAATGTACTTTAACTATAATTTATTTTTATACAACTTATATAAAACATAATTTATTAATAAAAAAAAAAAATATACTTATTATATTTAGATATATAATATTAAGATTATTTAAATCATATATTTTTCTGTTTAAAATCAATTAATTTATTATCATATTTTTAATCATCTATCATATAAAAATTGCATATAGATTTATAAATTATAATATAAAAATATAAACTTTTAAATATCATTTATATATATAATTCATTTTTAAAGAAATAACTTATTCATAAAACTATAATAGCTAAAATTTGTTCTTTATGGTCTAATCTAAAAAAATATAAATATTTTTTTTAAGAAAAACACTACGTACTCTAACAACTTAAATAATTCACTAGATACAATTTCATTCTGAGAATCACATTTAACATCGTCACATATAAAGGGTTTTTTTTTTATTTCAAGAGTTGGTATTATCTAATAAAAATTAAATCATATTTTTACATTTTATATGTTTACTTTTTTTAAGACTTGATATAAAACTTCATAGCCTTCAATTTTCGATTCAAAAGCAATATCATAAATTTTTTGAAGATAAGCAATTAGCAAATGTGTTTTCAATTCTACTATCCAAGCAGCATTTTGAGGTATACACTAGTTATAATAAATATAAATAATCATATACATAATACAATTACTAGTTTAGCCAAATGCAAAAATTCAAGTTGTAAACCATTAGGAATTAAAATGCATTTTTTACATGGATATTTTTTATCATTAGAAAGATTTTCAGATGAAATTCCAGCAAAACATTCCACACAAAGATAACCATGTAAAATTTCTTTTAAAACATAAAATAAAAATTCCATATTTTGTATATCACTAGAAACATATTCCCCTAAAACATATAAATCGCAATATAACAAGTATAGATAATACAAATTTTAGAGTCATTAGTTTGCTTAAAAAGAAGTATTGTATCATTAATCTTATTAATCAAGAAAGTTTCGCATTTATCCTATAATTATTAGTCATATGATTATACACTCTAAATCATTACAAAGAATCTAATAGACCTAATAACAGTCATAGCTAAACATATAACATCAGTACTGTCAGTCGTCCATTTATTTTTATATATTTTTATTAAATCTAAAATAACACCTAGAAAATTTAAATAAGAAAATATATGTTAAAAAACATACCAGCTATAACATCCAATCTACAAGAACTATAAATCATAATCTCAATAAAATGTGAAAATTTTAAATTATTTGGCATATCAATATTATCAATCCCTTGTCTCGATAAAATAGCAAAAAGCTGAAGATTTGTTGAAACAAAAATAGTTAATAAATGATCTAAAAACTTTCCAGTAGTTTGAAACCATGAAATATATTTAACATCTATAATACTAGAACTAAGTAAAGAAATAAATTCATATTGTGAGCATGCATATTGATTAACTAGATGATCAGGAGGCAAATAAATAAGGATAATAATAAGAAATTGATTTATTCCTATAATTTTCCTCAAGTTATTTAAAATTACAGATTCATATTCTCCTGAAGCTATCGAAGTACCTAAAACCTCAAATTCACTACAATTGATTAAACTATAAAGTAAAACCTTAAGTGTACATACCGTATCAAGCTAGATACTACTATTTTTTTTTAAAAAAAAAAAAAAAAGGATTAAACTTACAGTGCATTATCCTAGAAAATAATTTTAAAGTCTTAGTTTCAAATGAATTACTGAAGGAAGTATTATCCATACTATTATAATAAAGATCCTTTTTAACAATATAATTGTCATTAAAATTAAGAGTTAATGTCTCATTAGTAAAAACACTCATAAGAATTTCCTTTGAAACAGAATGTAAAAAATATATAAGATTATTCCAGCCTGATAATTTAATTACAACTATCATATAAGTATTACTTACATTGAAACTCAATCCATTGTCTATCATAATCCAAGAAAATAAATAGCACAAATTCAATAATATTTTTTTCTTGAATAGGAACAAGTATAGAAAGAGAACATAATTCTTTAAATAATCGAAGCAATTCAGTCAAAACTATAACAAACATTGACTTAACATCTTGAGCTGTTAAATATAATAACCAACTTTCAAAATTTATTTGTCTCTAAAAAATAGTTATTTCTAAAAAAAAAAAAGACTAATATTATCACCTTTAATATTATTATAGATCTATCTAGTTCATCCTTACAACAACCTCTTTCATAAACCGGTGATTTTTGATCACTATCAATCTTTCCACCAGTTAAAACAAAAATAACTAAATGCTCAAATTCGGAAACAATAGAACTATTATACTTAAGTAAAAAATTACGTCGTAAAAGCCATAATAAAGTCTAAAATCATTCAGCATTATAAAAAAAATATTTAACTCAACTAAATCATCAGAAAATGCTAATATATAATTACTAGGACATTTTAAAGAACTTTCCCATAACCAGGTAAAAAAATGTAAACATTGATATTTTGATACCATCAACAAGTTCATTTGTTCTACAATTTCAGATCGTCTTACATTATCTAAAAGCGTTATAATGCGTTTTATTATAAAATTTTGATCAGCTATCCCAATTAATATTCAAAAAATGTTTTTTACTAAAAATTACATGTAACTTCATCTAGTTGAAAAGAAAATATAAACGACATCGACATTTGAAAGGAAAGTTCAGGACTAGAGCTTATAATTTTAAATTGAATATTATCAATTATTTCCCTGGATATTTGATTATTTAATTTATAGCAATATTTTATAATTTCACTAAATAACTATTAAATAATAATAAACACGAATGAAATACTAACCAATCATTACGTTCATTAGGAACAAGCCATGAAGAAATGAAAAGTGGAGGAAGCCATAAATTATATTGAATTTGAGTCCAACCTGATTTTTCAAGTTCAATATATTCTAAAAGCCCCCAGACAACAACTAAACACATATTAGAATATTAATAATATAATTAATAAAACAAATGTAAATTAAACATTTTTGATCCTTAAAAATAGAGGCAGATCGTCTAAATATTATTTTAGAAATGCCATCATAAATTTGCTGAACAGCTTTAACAATGTCATCATAATCAGAACTATCCTTTGTCTTAAATAGAATTTGCAAAAAAATATCGAAACCTTTAAAGTCAACTATAACATTAAAATCGAAAGAAACATAAAATATTTTGTCTTACAACATCTTAACATAGCTTTCTTAACAATATTTCTAATATTATTTTTCAAATAGCTATTATCATAAAGAAAAAGCATTAATTCAATACATTTTATATATGTAATAGAATCATTCTTGATATCAAGAAAAGTATTTAAAATATCAGAATTTTCACGCGAAAAATATGTCTAATAAACTTAAATCACTATATCAAATAAAATTAAACTAACCTGAAATAAGATCAAAATAATTTGCGATACCAACGTGCAAATGTTTATTATACAATTATTCAAATTATCAATATTATTAAAATAGCATCTATCAAACACTTTATCCATTTCTAAAATTACTCTAATTATCCCATTTAATACTTCATATACACAAAGTAACACTAAAAAAACCTTAAGATAATATATAAATAAAGTTAGTCTTACAATTATGAATATGATTAGCTAGACGCTTTTTTTGAAATTCAGTACCAGAAAATAAAGAAATTTTAGATATCACATTATGAGAATAATGACGAGTAATAGAACAAGCAACAAAATCATAAAAAGAAATAGAAGAATCTAAAGAATGACTCTCTACTTTCTTAAAATATTTTAATAAATCATGAAAAACATCAGTAAATTTTTCAAAATTAGTTATAGTTGCGGAAGATAAAGCTAGATTATTAAATTAAACATAAAGAAGACATTAGTATAAACCAAGAATTTTTGTAACAGATTCTTTCAAAATTTTTATATAAACCTCATCCACTATATCTAACTATAAAAAAATAATAAAAGTTAATAACCTAAAGAAAAAAATGAAATAAAAAACATACTTGTAAAATATCCTGTTCATCAATTTCATATTGCTTATCATTTAGCCCAAATTCTTTACAAAGAGAGTTTATTCGAGAAACAATTAAATTAATAGACATCCAACTAGGATTGATATATCTCTAAAAGTCATATTAATACTTTCTAATCAAAATATGCCTCGTTACATCTATCGTTCCAAAATGAAGCCATCGCGTTATTCATTTTTTAAATTATATAACATCTTATTTATTAAACAGTACTAAATTGATATAAAAATATAAGAAAAGGATTCATCAATTCTATTTAAATATATATTTTTTTATAACTAAATTTTTATAAGATTTAATTTTATACAAATAGTGATATATATCAATATTAAAAAATTATAAAGAAACTGATAGTTTTTTTTAAAATTATTAATATAAAAAAATACATGGAAACACATGCAGAATATTTAAATCTTCAGAAGGAAGAAAAATCCACTTTAGATGATGACACCCTTTTAAATTTTACAAGTTCAAAAATCTTAAAACTATCAAAAAAACAAAACGTAAACTTAAATTTAGTATTTCTTAGACTGATACATAGATTTTTAGTTATCAACATTTTCTTTATCAAATTCAAAATCAAATAAAGATATAGATCATCAACCATCAGAATCATATATTAAAAATAAAGACCAATTATTTATGTCATCCCTATTAAATACGGACATATTATGGAAAGCAACAAACAAATCACTAGAAAATGATATACATAATTTGTTAAAAAAAGAAACTAATCAAATACCTCAATTAACCATTAAAAAACAATTCGTTAATAATAACAATTATTTTTCAAAATTTAATAAACATATTAACATGTCTGAAAATATGCTTTGCAACACTACTGATTTACATGAAAATAAAACATTATTTAATAAATCAGATTCGAAAAATGATTATATTATTCCCCATTCTATTGAATTACAATCATCACCATCATATTCACAAAAGAATAGTGTTTTTCATTCATATAGAAATGGGGCTTTAGAAAATATTCGGGTACCTACATTATGGAATGAACTTTCGGAATTAAAAATTCGAGTTAAAAAACTTGAAATTGCAAATAAATTGAAAAAATCATCTAATTTCAACGACTTTGAAACATCAAGTTTAGATGGAAATATATTATTTAATAATTCAACTTTAAGTAAAACGAAGATTGAAGCACCTTATCGTGTACTCTATGCATCATTAGAAAAGATGAAATCAAATAGTGTATCTAAAGAATTATGGATGCCATTAGAACGAATTATTAACGAAATATTATCATTTAAAAATATAAAAAATGAAAAAACAGAGGAAAAAATTGAAAATATGTTAAGAAGTTTAACAGAATTATCATTAGCAATCTACGACTATCATCAAGACATTACAGAACTTAATTATTCATCAGAAAAAAAGAAACAATTAGACCATTCGTTAAAGAGATCCAACAGCGAACATAATATTGGACTACTTAATAAAAGATCTAGCTTTTTTATAAAACAATATCAAAAAAATACGAGGCCTTTTCAAACATCTAAGACCATAGAAAATGACAAAGATTTATTAAATTCCTGTTCATTATCAAATTTCAATTCATATCCAAAATATCACTATAATAACGACAAATACAAAGACAATATTTATTCTACTCATTCTAAACCAAAAATATTCAATACAACTAATTTCAAAACACCATTTTCTAATGGAGAAAATATTAATTTTACAAATATAAGCACTCCAGAGACAATTTCGGAATCAAATTTTATAAATAATTCTAAATATTGATGATAAAGTGAACATCAAAATAATATATCTACATATTTTTCATAACAATATCTAAAATCTTAAGATAACAATACAGTATCCTTGAAAATGATCAAAATTTCATTATTCCTATACATATAGTAAATAATAAAAATAATTGTCAATTATTATGTTGCGTATAAGATGTGTTAATTTGATATAAAAACATTTTTTTCAACCCATTCAAAAAAAAACAATAAATTCAGTTATTATTATATGTATTATTCTAAAAAACTACCAATTTTCTAAATAAAATCGATTTTTCCATTTCTTAAAGTATATATAAAATAAACGTATTACAAAGACTAATAAAGAATTTATAATAATTCTATATAATCATACACTTTTATAAAGATACATAAAACATTCACAAACTAAATCATCTTTTTGAAATAAATAATATATCTATTAAAACTAAATTAAAATAAATCCGTATAAAAATACATTATCCAAGAACATCGCGCTTCAAATAAAACAAAAAAAAAATTAAATATTTTTTTACTATATAATTTTAAGATCCAGAAGAGATAATATCTATTTTTTTATATAATAAGTGACTATTATATGCTTTTTATATATTAGTTTTTATAAATTAATTTTTTCTAGATTTAAGACTAAATAAAATATCCACAAATTTACGAGAATTTATACAAACATATTTCACAAGATTTCTATTATTTTTCTTCAAATATTTTTAGTTAAATCAAATATTTTTTATAAAATACCAATTTTTCAAATACTAAAAAAATTTAACATTGCTATTTCATAATATGCAAGAAATTTTATCATTTCAAATATAACTTTCATAAGATATTCCTAGATCCTAAGAATAAAGCTAAATATCATTTAAATAGAATCTTCGAAAATGCAAAATCAATTATTTAAACAAGAAACTCAAGAATCATCTAATTCTTTAAATTTCAAAGACAAAACTCATTTTCTTAAACAACCTATCTCTTCAAAAAAAATTCGTAACACAAAAAACCTTTCCTTAAAGAATGTTGATCAAGCAAATCAATGTGTTAAAGGAATTTCTACTATTATTTCACCATTATCAAAACCATACTCAACTGAACAAAAGTTATATTTACATACTTCTAGCCATATTTCTAATATAAATAGCCGAGAAAACAAGGGGTTTACATCAACTAACAATCATACATTGTTAAATATAATTTTTGCGAATAGAATTTATCCTCAAAACACTCAAATACTATTTGAAAACGATTATAATTATAAAAAAAATTCTAATACTTATGAAAACAAGCCAGTATGTATAATTGAACCAAATCTTTGGCTTTTTGCGGAACCAGAAACTCATATTGCAAAAAAATTTAATGTTGTAATCAATGTTGCAAAAGAAGTAAAAAATCCATTTTTATCTCAAACATCTCTAGAGGAAAATTGCCCTAAAGAAACAGAAAATATATCAAGTGAAAGAAGGATTTTTCAAAAAAATCTATTACCTATAGAAAGTTCAATTCTTCCACCTGTTATAATTAATAACATAGAATATCTTCATGTATTATGGGATCATAATGTCAGTACACTATCTATTGACTTACCACCTCTCATAGATTATATAACTAAGAAATCTATTCAAGAAAACAAAAAAGTTTTAATTCATTGTCAGGTAAATTTGCATATATTATTATTGTAAAACTCATACTTGAAGTGTGGAATTTCTCGGTCAGCATCCTTAATAATTGCCTATGTTATGAAATCCCTTGGCTTGAATATTGATTCTGCTTATTCTTATGTTAAAGATAAATCTCCTTGGATTGGACCCAATATGTCTTTAATATATCAACTTTATGATTTCAACAATTTCCTTTATGGTAAAAAGAAATCTTCTAGTAATAAGAAACAAACTGGTCCTAATATTGAGATATCATCATCAAATAATTCCCGTAAAACAATTATAGATAAAAAAGTATAGATATCTTAGGAACATCAAGATCTCTAGATAAAAATTTGAGAAATAATCTATTGTTAAAAATTTAAATTAAAAGAGGAATATATATGTCCAACTAAAAAGCATTATAAAACCTCTTATCTTTAAACTAATCAAAACTGCATTTTCACCAAATTCTTTCAATTATTTAATCAGTTATTTGTATTAACATCATTATTGTTATTCTAGTTATTTCATTAAATATTCATTTTTTAATATTAGCAACAATATAAAAATTAAAAAAATATAGAAATTTTAACTATAATTTTTATTAAAATCATATTACTAAAATAAACATAAAATTATATCAAAATATCTAATAAAGTAATAATTTACTAAAAAGATATCAATTTCTATATATTTAAATCTTATTTTTTTAATAAAACAAAAATTATAAGAACCTAGATTTATAATCTATTTTTTTTTAAAATATGTTCAAAATATATACTATGTAGATATATATATTAATGCAGAAAATAAAAATAGATACGAATATTCTGAAAATCATATAAAATTTTCGTTTTTATAATAAATGTCATAATTTTAATTCATATTATTTTTAAAATCCAGTAAATTCATTGCGATTAAAAACGAATAAAAATAATTTGCATCAAATTATTTATTAAAACTAATATTTTTTATATAAAAAAAATAATTGATGGGGATCTTAATATGTATTTTAGGGGTTTTTTTTAATATTTTTTAAGTTCCAAACTTAATAATATAGATATATATTTCATTTCTTTTATGGAGTATTTTACAAGAACGTATAACTACTAGATCTTATGGAAAAGAAATATTTAATTCAGTAATAATATTAAGTATTATGCAATCATTTATTGCTATTATAGTATCTTTTATATTTATGCATTTCATTACAAAACGATCAAAAAAAAAAATTCCTTCTCTTTCGAAATCTTTATTCTTAAAACTTATTTTAGTAGCATTGAGTTCATCATTAGCATCACCACTTGGTTATGCATCTCTTAAACACATTAATTATCCTACTCTTATACTTGGAAAATCTTGCAAACTACTTCCTGTTATGGCCATTCATACCATCTTTTACAAAACACATTTTACTTATCATAAGTATTTAATAGTAGCTATAGTAACTTCTGGAATTGCAATTTTTACTTTATATGATTCACAGTTATCATCTAAAACCAATAAACAATTATCAAATGATACATGGGGCCTTTTTCTTCTTAGCATTAGTCTTCTTTTAGATGGATATACTAATTCAACACAGGACCAAATTTTTAAAGCATTTTCACATGTAACTGGTCCATGGATGATGTTATATATGAATATTCTATCTACAGTAGGTACGACATTATACTTGTTATGTTTTACAAATGAATTGGTAACAACACTTGAATTTATCAAAAAATATCCATCAATTATTTCTGATATTCTTATTTATGGTTGTTCTGGAGCAATTGGACAATTGTTTATTTTCCATACATTAGAAAAATATGGCAGTTTAATCTTAATAACTATCACACTTACAAGAAAAATGCTAACGCTATTATTAAGTCTTATTTGGTTTAATCATAAGTTAACAATTGGCCAGTGGATAGGTGTAGTATTGGTATTTTATGGAGCAAGTTTGGAAGCATATATAAAACATACACAATTAGCTAAAAAAAAAGTATAAAACATTTATACGAAATCTCATACGTAAATTTATAAAATTTATAATAAACATATAAATAATATAAAAATGAAACAATATTCTAAAAACAAATCTATAACAAAAAACATATATTTTAATTACGCTACATAATTAATATATAATAGCAATACCATCAATATACTGCTTCCTTATTTCTTTGAGGCTTTCTGAGCAGCTTTAGTAACCTTACCAGCCTTCTCAATCTTAGAGACAGATTTAATAACACCCACAGCAACAGTTTGTCTCATATCACGAACAGCAAATCGACCCAATGGAGGATAATCGGTAAAAGACTCAACACACATAGGCTTACTTGGTACCATATCGACAATACAAGCATCGCCCGACTTCACAAACTTAGGATTGTCCTCAATCTTCTTGCCAGTACGTCGATCAATTTTCTCTGAAATATTAAAAAACTTACATGCAATATGGGCAGTATGACAATCCAAAACAGGTGCATAACCAGCACTAATTTGGCCGGGATGATTAAGAATAATGACTTGAGAAAGAAAACCTTCACAACCCTTAGGAGGATCATTCTTAGAATCACCAGCAACATTTCCACGACGAATCTCCTTAACAGAAACATTCTTAACATTAAAACCAACATTATCGCCAGGCAAAGCCTCTGTAAGCTGCTCATGATGCATTTCGACAGATTTTACCTCAGTAGTCAAACCAGAGGGAGCAAATGTAACGACCATTCCTGGCTTTATGATTCCTGTCTCAACGCGACCAACAGGAACTGTTCCGATACCACCAATTTTATATACATCCTGAAGAGGAAGACGAAGAGGCTTATCAGAAGGACGAACAGGAGGTTCTATGGAATCGATTGCTTCAATTAAAGTTTTCCCCTTTAACACTGTATTTTTACAATCTTTAGTCCATCCTTTAAACCATGGCATATTAGGAGATTCCTCTACCATATTATCACCATGCCATCCAGATATAGGAACAAACGGAACAGTTGCTGGATTATAACCAACTTTCTTGATAAAATTAGAAGTCTCTTTAACGATTTCATCAAAACGGCTTTCAGACCAATTAGTATTGTCCATTTTATTAACAGCGACAATAAGCTGTTTAACACCTAAAGTATAAGCAAGAAGGGCATGTTCTCGAGTCTGACCATCCTTGGAAATACCAGCCTCAAATTCACCAGTACCACTGGCAATAATAAGAATGGCACAGTCTGCCTGAGAAGTACCGGTAATCATATTTTTAATGAAGTCACGATGCCCTGGTGCATCAATAACAGTAACATAATATTTAGAGGTTTCAAATTTCCAAAGAGCAATATCGATAGTAATACCACGCTCTCGTTCTGCTTTCAACTTATCAAGAACCCAAGCATACTTAAAAGAGCCCTTCCCAAGCTCAGCCGCTTCCTTTTCACTAACAAAAACACTTAATGTATTTAAAATATATTTACAATTTTACTTACAATTTTTCAATAGTACGCTTGTCGATACCACCACACTTATAAATTAAATGCCCAGTAGTAGTAGATTTCCCTGAATCAACATGTCCAATAACAACAACATTAACATGAGTTTTATCCTTTGCCATCTTTTTTTTAATATATTTTTTTCAAATATCTAAATATTATTTTATGTTAAAATGAATTTTTGAACGTCGATATTCAAAAAATATCATGACTGTTTTTATTTTTTTGACCTAATTTTTTCAGATTAAGAATAAATATTTAACATTAAGATTTTTAGATTATACAATAAAGACGTCATTTCTTATGACAACTAGTCCAAATAACTACATAATTATAAAAATTATTAGAAAAATCTACGTTTCTAAAACCAATTCAATATTATATATATATATATATAGCCTTCATAATTATTCTAGAAAACAATTTATTTTAATACTATTCTTTTAAAGCTACAATATTCAATATTATCATCTATATCATTATTATTACATATCTTTAATATTTTTCAGAAAAATAATTATAAAAATAAAACGTGCCATCATATTTTTTATTGAAATTAAATCTATTTATCTAAATTTAAACACACCATCATTCATTTTAGGATATAAACTGATATATTGACAAGATAAAGAAGGATCAAAATAATATCCTATATAACAAATCAAGTAAATCGAAATTAATAAAATATACAAATTATACCTTCAATAAAACCATCATTACGCCGAAGACAACAAAAATATGAACCAGATGTTGCAAAATCACTTTCAAACATAAAAGGCCCAATAAATTCAGATTCTAATAAAACATTAATATTGTTCTTAAAACTATTTATATGTAAATTATTTGAAAAACTTATACCTTTCCAGCGCATAAATATATACTTGCTACAAATATCGGTAATTTTATCTTTTGCAAAAAGCAAATTAAAGAATCTAATAAAAAATAAATTATAATGATAAGAAACAATAATAATATCATACTCATAATCATCCATCCCTTTAAATGGCTCCAACTTACGCCAATAGGCAACATCTGTCTTCCAAGCAATACCTCTTTTAACCGCTAACAAATTATAATAGCCAACGAAATCAACTATTTCACCATTCCACCATATAATAATACTACTGTTATTAAAATCAACATCGGATGCATTAAACATTTCTATTTGCCCCGAAACAGACATTTTAGAAAAGTTAATATCTTGAATTATAACTTTAATTTTTCTTTCATCTCTAATGTGGGATGATTCAGATAAAAAAATGGAAGGCTGACCAGGAAAATTTTGAACACCTTGAAAAATAGAACCTGATTTAAGCCAACTTGTATATTCAATTTTTGTGCAATCATCAGTAGATGGAATATTTTGAAAATTCAATCGATCCCTTGTTAAAGGAGAGACAAGAGTATTCTCCAAAAAATTCAATACTTCTTCTAAATAATGCGAAGATCCTTCACGATCAAAAGAAATAACACCTCCTGAAAAATAGTTCCTGCGACGACCAGAATGACGTTCAAATGCTGAACTAATATAATCATAATCAAGTGATCGTAATGCATTTCTCATATAATAATGATCAAAAGTATTAATTCCATTATTACTAAATCCATTACTATCCACCACTATTGCACGCAATGCAGATAAACGTATAGGAAAATGATCAGCACTATTATCAAAACTTATAGAATTTTCATCCGTATCTCCATGCCATAATTCATCATTTCTGTTTACTTGAAACCATTGATTAGGTCTTTCATTACGATTCCGCATACGGCGATGACGTTGAAAAATGGAAGATCGAGGATGCTCTTGAATAGATCTATTATGTTCAAATGCTAAACCTCGTAAAAATAAAAATTTTATCATAAAACTACCTACTAGTAGACATATAAAAAGGTGCTCTCATAAGTTTCTTTTTTAAAAACTAAGCAATATTTAAATAGAAAATCCAGGAAAAACGAATATGAACTTAATATAGAAAACAAATTGTTATATCGTACCCAGTATTTCTTACTGATATACTGAAATTAAGAGATTAAATAATACTCAGAATACAGCAGAAGAAATAACAGGAAAAAAAAAATAAAATTGATATTCGATATCTAGAGCCTAATAACAAAAACAATAAAAGTATCAATAAATATTAAAATTAAATTTAACCCATTTAAGTCTAAAATGTTTATAAAAAACAAATACAGAAATAAATATACCTTTAAAATAGATGTACACTAATAAATATTCCTAAAATAATAATATTTTTTCTCAACCTTACGATTGTTTTTCAAATTTAAGGACTTTAAATCTTAACGATAAAACTTGAGTCCAAATTAACTCTTAAAAAATTAAAACATATATCACATACAAATAACTCTTAAAAATAAAAATTATTATTAAAAATATTTAAAACAAATATTTAAAAACATAATTTTTAATAAAAATATTTAAAATCTATTCAAAAAAATCATACATTTTTAAACTATATTTTTCAAATACAAAATAAAATATTCAATAAAATAATAAGCAATTTATGATAAATACCTATATATCTATATTTCTTGAAAAAATATTAAATTCAATATATTATCAAAGATACTTTACAATACTGATAGTAAACTAATAGATAATTAGTGACTCAAAATATTTTTTCAAAATGTAAATATATGAATATAATATAAATCTAAACACATCTCATTTTATCTGAGTTAATTTTTTTAAAAATATTATTTATGCTCTTTTATTTCTTTTTTTAACATCATTAAAAAATTGTAACATATGATTTGCAACAGATTTTAAAAAATCTATTATTATTGCAAAACTTAATACTATCATCAAACAAAATCCTATAAAATCATAAAAATTTTCATTGAAGTTATATTAAAAAAATAATAAATACAATTACATAACCAAAGATAAAAATTTCAATAATTTGATATACAAAAATACAAAATAAGTATATAAATTTCAAAAAAATACATCAACAATATTATGCTATCAATATACATTAAATACCAATATTTCCTCATAAAATTTAAATAAATCTTAAAAATTTCATAAATTCATTATAACATTTAATTTTATTGAAATGTAAAAATAATTGTAGAAAAACTTGAACCATAACTCCCACCAAAAGAAAACATAGGACCATCTATAGACGAATGATATATAAGACCTAAATGATTAATTTTATAAGCAATTATATATTTAAATTAACCTTCAGATGAAAATTTAAAGATCAATTCTTCTTTTGTCCAATTGCAACTTGTTATTATAAAGAATCCACCTTTTTTAATTAATTTCTTTATACATGTGGGATACAATAAACATGCTCTAGTATCTCTAATGATTTCATCATTAAGTGATATAGAGTCAAAAGTACCCTTATCAAAAATGACATCCCATTTCTCTTTAAAATAGTCTTCAAAGTCCAAAATATCTAAAGTTTTAAAAGTAATATTTTTTATTCCTCGTTCATTAACAATAGTTTTTGATAATTGAATAGCAACATCTGAATAATCTATTCCAACAAGAGTACATGAGCTATAACCTTTACTACTTAAAGAACACAAAAAATGACCATTTCCACAACCAATATCAAGAATTTTAAGATCAGGTTGCGGAGATATATTATTCTTTAACCAGTCGATTATTTTATTTTCTAAATCTTCACCAAACCTAAAATACAATAAAAAATATGATCTCTAAATGCATATAAAAAACGGAAACCATATTTCCCCATAATCTTTAAAACTTTCAAAATTTTTACGCTCATTTTTAAAAACATAATCCCAACTTAAATAATCAGCCGTAAAAATATACTATAATAAAGAAATATACTATTTTCTTGTTCCAAGAACAGATGGCTCAAGCTCATCAATAGACATAATCTCAACAAACTAAATTAATATTAAATAATTTTAAAGTTACATAAATAAAATTCTAAATCGAAATTACAATTACGATAATTCATTTAAAATTATAAGTGCATCATTTATAAAATCTTTCCAATCTTGGTCATTTAACTTCGTTATAGTTGAATTCATAATATTGAATTCTGAAGAAAGTAATTTTAATTCAGCTCTTCTAGTCTTCATATTTTCCTCTATAATCAAAAAACGAAGTAAAAATTTATTAAATTTAAAATCAAATTGATTTATATATTCCATTCTTATAAGAATATACTCCTTTGCTTTAGAAACATCTTCAGATTCGGATGGAATTTCAACAGATAAAGTAGAAGATATTCTTAGTTTATTACTTGTTATACCAATTTGGATCATATTTAAATACGCCATCAACAATTTATTATTCGGATCCAAAAAAGAAAACGTTTTTCGAGAAATACGTAAATCACTTCCACTATAAGAATTAATCTTACGAAAAAAAAAAAAATCAATTAACCATTCAGGAAGAAGAACATCCAAAATACTTTCGCAAGATATATATTTTACCATAGTATTACAAATATTGCCTTTGTTATCCAATTCCAAATCAATTTCAATATAAGAATTATCTAAATTAGAATGAACCCATGGCGATGGTACAAATTTTAATCTTAAAATTTTTTTATAAAATTTATCTAAAAACTCATCCTTATAGCCAGATTTCAGTTTATGAATAAATGAAGATGCACGGGATATACTATTTTATATTAAATCCATGAAAAACGAAAAATAATTATCAACTTAGAGCAAAATATTCTTCGAATTTCATCATTCTTTACATTTTTTTCAAAATATTGCCTTAATTGAAAAATGGAAAACTGTTTATATATATTTTCCAAAGAATAATCATGCAAAACATATCCAAAACTAAAAAAATATTAAAAATAATAACATACAAGATAAAACGTACATAATATCATATTGTACTTTTACTTTAGAAAAATTATTTGAATAAACCATATGAATATCAAGAAATTTGCGAATATCATAAAGCATTAAAATAACATTAGAATTTAATTTCAAAAAACCATTTTCTATCATGATATAATACTCATTTTCTAACAATTTTTTCACATTTTCATCTTTAGAAAAAAATTTATTTCTATTAATATATTAAAACTCAAAAAAAATGTAAAAATAAATCATACTCATTTCTATAAATTATAGTTTTCCATCTAGCCCATTTTTGTCTCCTTAAAAACCAAGGTAAACTGAATTTTTCTCCAAAATAATAAAACGAATTATTATTCGGTGAATTATTATAAATAAGGGAATAATTTTTACAATCATTAGAAATTAGAGACATACATATCAATATCTTCGCATTATCTAAAGGCTCTAACTCATTTCTTAATGTAGTAATCCTAATCTAATAATCATTAACAAAAGAAATATATGAATAATTTACCCTATTTATATCAATTTTTTCAATAAATGCACCAGATAAAAAAGATATTTCAGAAATATGTCTATCATTAAAATATTCAGGCATAGAAAAACATTTAATATCTATATCTTCTATTTTTATATCCTCTTTAGAATCAATTTAAAATTTTCTTTAACAACAAAAACATTACCTTAGCCATCTGAGCTATTCTTTCTTTAATTCTTTCAATATTAGATTTTAAAGCTTCAACTCGAAGAAATAATTTATCAAAATCAATATATATCTTAGCTTGATAGTTACGTGCCCATTGTTGCAAAACATATTTATCTTAAGACATTAGAATCCTTAGAAAACTTAACCCCTAAAATACTTGATCTAGTCATAAAAAATAAATCTCTTTTATTAACATAGATTTCTAATAAAATAAAAATCATCAAAATAAACCAATTCTAATACTACCTTTAACCATAAGAATATCAGAACAAATATTATCTGAAATTTTTAATCCCCATATTTCCTTAAGAATTGCCTCTATTAGCTGATCACGATTGCAGCGAGAAAGATTCTTAAGTCCATTAAGTTTTGCATATTTTTGAATCTGTTTTTTATTAAAAGAAAATTTCATATTTCTTATTATTTGGTTAAAAAGATCTAAAGAAACAAAAACATGACTAGGTTTCATTGAATCAATCTCGTTTATCGATGTATCATCCATTCCATCCGGGCAATCATAAATAAGTTTTCGCGAAAGTAATTCTAAAGATTTTTCTTCTAATGGTTGAATTAAGGGGTCTGAATTAAACTGAATTTTTGATTTCTGCTTTCGAAGGACAATAATTGACTTTTCTTTAGGGAAAAAATCCGAAAAAATATCATTCTTATGGAATTTACTATAATTTTTCCATAATAATTTATAAATAAAACAAAAAGATCTCAATTTGGAATTCAAATTATACCTCATAATATTTAAAATAATATCAACTAAATTAAATAAAAAGTACATAAATTCCTTTAAACTACCATTCCAATTATATTAAATTAGAATTTTTGTTAAATATTTTTTTACTAAAAATATATTTTAATTATCGTAAGATGTTTATAAAAAAATAGATCTTAAATAAGAGAAACAAATTTAAATTTCAGAAATAAATTAAACCTAAAGTAACCATTTCTAAATATTTTGATAGATGAACATATTTTTCAAGACAAAGCATACAAAACTAGTTTTAAGATGCTATCCTAAAAGTCAAGTCTCTGAACATAAACCCAATTCGTCTGAGTTATCATATCTATGCTACTATGGATTCACAAGGCCAAGCAAGCTTCAAAAAGTAGGTCTTTTTTTAGAGCGTAAATTATCTAAAGATGTATATCGTAGAAAACAAGGGCAAGTTCATTGAATTTAGTAATCATATAATTAATAAGAATACTTAGGGATATAATTGTTTCTTTATATATATGTAAAGCACTAATAGAAAGATGTCATAAAGACTTGAATCTTTATGCAGCAAATGTTGTTAACATATTAAATTCAGTTCTTCGATCTGGAGATGTTGAGGCTATTGAACATAGCATTGACTGTGTATATTTATAGCTACATAAACTATATTGTTTCCTAATTATTTTCAAGTTTACATCCTTTATTTCTCATCATAATGGACTAATATTATCATCTGATGAAAATTACGCAAAACAATTTAATATCCTTATAACAGCTTTTGTAGATTTTGCTATGGCACAAAGTGGCCCTAAAATGACAAGGTTTGACTATTAATGACGTGTAAACTGAATATTTATTTATTAAAGATATCGTCTTGTTGGAATGCAAGCAGCTCAGGCTATTACTTCATCTGAAGCTATTCAAAATTCAAATTTACTCTATTTAACAGCAAAAATCATTCCTGGTATTTTGCACAATCTTCAACATAAAAATGAAGAATTTTTGTTACGTTTCCAATCCAAGTAAATGATAAAAAATATTTAATAATTAAAATTAATTATTTTATAAGAACAGAAAATTTTCATAAAACAGAAAATCATATTGATCCTGTTTCATACACTAGTAAAACTATTAATGAAGATGACCAGTTAGAAGATGAGTTAAATGAAATATTAGCTCTTGAAAATCTTAAACGTATATATGAAATTAACGATGGTGCTCATATTAAAAATGCAACATTAGCTTTAATATCTCATATTAGAAGCTTAACAAAAAACAAGTCAATTATAAATTGGGCAGTTACACTTATAACAATGATTACAAGATGGACGCATGTTCAGCATAGATACATAATCCTTATAATTACAGTAGAAATCCTTGAATCATTACCGGATAAAGATATTCCATCAAAAGAATATTTCCTTCTCACGTCTCTTATACATGCTTTACTTTCATCAAATGTAAATCTAATTGGTCTTTCAGTTATGGATATTATACATGCTTTAACAGGAAAAATTATTGGACAAATTAAAGAACTTGATACTCCAAATACGGCAAGGCTTTCAAAAGTAATACTTTCGAAAAGATCATATCTTCTCGAAGGAAATACTATAGGACATAAATTTAACTCTGAGCAAAGAGAATTTTTTATTTCAGAACTTATACATTGTTTAGGTGCATTGGCGACACATATTTATTATAGAGACCAAATTACAGACATGACAGCATCTTTTCTAAACTGTCTTAAACCCTTCTCTAATGCATCATCAGCGTCTGCGAATGAAGTAAGGATTGGAAAATTATTAGCTTTAGCAGCAGTTAGAGAAATTTTTGTAATCGTTAATTTAAAATGTAATCAAAGTGGCGTTTCAAGATCTAGAGTTTCCTTAGATATATGGAATTATACAGCAGTGGTATTAAAAGATAGTGATCCTAGTAACTTATCCAATGCATTCAAAAATACATAACTAACTTAACAGTATTACGTTTAGAATATATATCAGTTCTAACAACTTTCCTTAATATTGAATTCAATTCTCCTGATGAAGAATCTCTTTATAGTTTTGATGTAAGAATATTATACAAAAAATATTTTCTGATATCATTTTAAGACATCTAAAACATCGTTTTCTAACTATCTTCAGTCTCTTCGTTCATATATATACATATATTTTCTCCTGTCTAACAATACCGAAACAGATTATCAAGCAATACAATATCTTTTATTTATTTTGACTGAGAAATTTGGACCCAAAGAAACAATAAGACTTATTCCAGTTATATTACGTCTTCAACAGTCCATAGATGAAGAGAATATAAATTTATCATTACAGCAAAAAAGCACTATATTAAGTATTGTTATATGGTATATGATAATTGTTTCAAAAAAAATTAATAATCAAAAACTTTTTGAAAAAGTAAATGAAGTAATAATAACAATTTTTCAAATAACAATTACATTAATTTTCTTAAGGAAATGAATAAGAGAAAATTAGACAAATCATGGCCTGATTTTATTACATTACATCCTTCATTTATACCATCATCAATATGTTCACCACAACCACTTTCAAAAACTATTGCACCTTCAAAACCATTTTTAAATAAAGAAGAAATAATCAGTATTTTAATTCTTTATACACCTAAATTTCCAGAAAATGCAAAAAAATACATCACGGAAACTTGGACACCAGAATCTTCATTAATTTTGGGTAAAGACAAACATTTTTTTATTAATTATACTTACAAGATTTCTATAGAAGATTTTTCTCGATCAGATTCTCTCGTAGGAATGAATTCAGTAAATTATAAAAAGCATTTATCACCATCTAATTCCTTATCACAAATAACATTAAACCAAGAAGAAATTCTACAAAATAACATACATTCATCTTTAAAAACAAGTTCTTTAAAACGTACATTAACAGAACCAAATATCAATAATATAAAAACATCCTTTAATATTTCAAAAAACAAATTAAATAAATTTAAATCATCTGATAAATTCACGCAAAAAGATACAGATAAGTTTAATCAAAATGCTATACAAAAAATAGATATGAATAAACTTCTTGACAATATTAGTTTGAAAGCATTATCAAATTCAAAAAAACACTCAAAAATAAGTGCATCTGCACCATATGCTTAATATAAATATATTTTAAGTAAAATCTTTATTAATTCCATAATTATTTAAATTCCCATTTATCTAAGAATAAATTAAAACAAAAACTAGAACATAGAAAAGGAAAAAACTATTGTAAATAATCCCCATCTACCTAGGAGTGTCCCATAGCGATCAAAAATAACTTCTAATATATTTGCAGATGAATAATCGACATTATTAGGCGCCTTTGTAATTAAAATATCAAGATCACTTAAATATGGCCATGTTGTCCCCAATGCCGGCTTCAATTCAGTCGAAGAAAATGCAGAAAAATTTGTTGAATTTAATTTCACAGTAGAATTAATCAGAAGAACAAGAACCTTTCTATTTTGACAAGAAACATGATGTAAATTACGAAGTAATGAAACCATTATACTATGTCCTAAAGAAAATGATAAATAGAAATTAAATTATATTATTAATCTAACCTTTAACTTGCTCTCGTTGCATAAAAAAACTAAGAGGATTTGTAATATTATCTATTATAATGATACCGGGTATAAGATCATGATTATCAATAGATTTATTAACAAGGTGATGAAATTCATTTACACCGTCCATAATCCCCCATATGTCGAAAGCACGAACAATTCCTATCCTTTCAAGAAAATCCGATCCATAAACATAATTTCTTTGTTGTGCAATGTCTATTAACCTTTGTACAGAAAATGTACCTGATGTATCAATCCATATCGCACGAGCATTTTTACATGATAAATAACTACAAACAACTGAGTATGCAATCTAAATAAAAATATTAACATCATAAAAAGTATAAAGTCAGAAATTAATACAGTGGTTTTTCCAATTTCAGATGGTCCAGAAATCGTAATAATACGACCAGTAGGAAATCCTCCATTTAAAACATCATCAATCCTACTTTTATCAATTATATATCTAAAAAAAAACAGATACTATACGCAGAGCATTTAATATTAACCATAAAATCAGATAACTGAGAGTCCATATCACCACGAATAGATTTAGCGGCACAACTCGGAACAATTACAATATTAATCAATTCATTTATTTTCTAAAAATATAATTAATATAAATTTATACTATAATATATTTTCCTGACATCTAATGGAATATCAATTCTTTTAGATATATATTCAATATCAGAAAGAAGTAATTCATCATCTATAATCTTATAGATTTTATAAAATCAAATATTCTTACCTGTAAATATCTGAATATTAGATAACATTTTGACGATTTCATAATATTCATCAAATCCTTTAACAAGAATATCAAGAGCTACCATTTTGTATAATAACAAAAGTCAAAAACTTTACAAATAACTAAAACGTTATTTACTAAATTATAAAAATATTTTCTAAAATGTATATCCTAAATCATCAAAAAGCTCTATAAATAATATTTACTAAGTAAATATAACGACTATTTATATATTTTTTAAACAAATAATAGATTTAAGTACGTATAACTTGTAAAATAACATCCAATAAGGGCATAAACCTAAAAAGTCACATCAAGAGAACTTAGAGATCGGTAATCTAAATAAAAAGAACATTTTTTTAATAGAATTATCTAAAATGTTGTTTCAAAAAGAACCTATAGTAGTTGACGGGAAGGGCCATCTCCTTGGAAGATTAGCATCTGTTGTTGCAAAACAGCTTTTGAATGGGCAAAAGATTGTAATTGTGAGATGCGAAGAAATTAATATTAGTGGCGAAGTAAAAACTTATTTCATTGAAAAATCAGAGATACTAATGAATAATATTTAGTTTTTTAGGAATAAATGTAGTTAAAATAATCTCTTTGTTAAAATAGTCTTAATTTTTCTTAGTAAAAATGCATGCCTTTCTTCGTAAACGAACACGATTTAATGCTACTCGTGGTCCTTTTCACTTTAGAGCGCCTTCACGTATAATGTACAGGGCTATTCGTGGAATGATTCCACATAAAATGGCTCGAGGCTCGTCTGCTTTAGAAAGACTTAAAGTTTTTGAAGGGATTCCACCACCATATGACAAGAAAAAAAGAATGGTTGTACCAGAAGCTCTTCGAGTATTAAGACTTAAGCCTGGACGTAAATTTTGCACTGTTGGGAGGTTGTCAAAAGAAATCGGCTGGAAATATGAAAATATTATATCTAAACTTGAAGAAAAACGCAAAATTAGATCACATGCTTATTATACCACCAAAGTTGCTAAGGAGAAGAAATTTCTTGAGGCAAAAAAGAATGTATCTACAAGCAAGATTTTAGAAGAATTTGGCTATTAAATTGCCTAGTGACTTTTAAATTAACTAAATAGCATTTTTTTCGTAAATAAAAATCATATATTTGTATATATTTGAATTATGAATAATAATGCAAATACTCATGGTATTTATGTCATATTCCCATTTATACATAAATCTCATATAATTTGATAGAAATAATACTAAATCAAAACTCATTAGCCTTCTCTCCACCTATACCCACACTTTATACACTGAAACAGTGTTATAAAAACATAAATATAAAAAAAGCTAACCTTATAAAATGTAGTCATAGGTTCGTCTGCAGATCGAATTTGAATTTGAAAAAAATATGCTTTTAAACTTCCACAATCGGTAGCAGGACATTGTGCTTTTAAATCTTAAATTTATATTTTATAATATTAAAAAAAATCACCATCTGTTTTATCAACATTATCCCATGCCTTTTCACCACCTAAAACATCATCTACTTCTTTTTGTTTCATCATTCTTTTTGAATATAGCTATTTTATCTCAATATTTAGAAACAATAAATCTGATATTTACATATCTGTCTATAGGAAATTCATAAGGACATGTTCTACATTCAAATCTATTATATCCTGCAATTGAAGTTCCAATTAAAAGATGATTTCCACAAGCTGGACAAAATATCATTTAACAAAAATGAGTAAATTCCTCTTTTAAATAAATTAAGATTTCAAAATAAACTATTTGATATCCAAAACAATAGCACTTCTAAAACAATCAATACAAAAAACAATATCTTTAAAATTAATATTCATAAAATATCGATTAGTCTTAAACTATATTATTTTAATTATGGAATATGATGGTGCATCACCAAGTAACTATAGAATATATCATTAAAAAATATTAATAATTATATATTTTTTCTAGGTGAAATTTTACTTAATGCATGCCATAAAGAAAATCCATATTTACTAAATCAAATATTAGATGATCCATCTACTGATATTTCTCTTATAAATAATTCAAGAGATGGACTAGGTATGCAATTTATAGTAAAATGATCTAGAAGACGTATTATATAGGAAATACTGCCCTTCATCTTTCTGTGCAATATGTTTGACTCTAAAAAAATAAAAAGAAAAAAATTTAATTAAAATAGGGTTCTATTGCATGTTTGAATGTATTATTAGATGTAAAAGATTTGGAAATAAACAGCAAAAATTTCTTAGAAGAAAATACACCTTTGCATAAAGCAGTAGAATACCAATATAAAGACGAAGATATAGCACTGGAAATGGGTATTTATTTTTTTTAATAAACATTTGAATTATATTTTTGACTTTGAAATAGTCGAGTCTCTTATTGATGCAGGTGCTGATCCAAGGTATAAATATAAATCCATTTCTATAAAATATATAATTTCTAGAATGAAAAATAAAATGAAACAAAAGCCTATTGATCTCGTAGACCAACAACACTCTGGCATAAGAGATGTACTTAAAAAGGCAGAACTAGTATATTTTACCAGCAAAAATGATATACAAAGTACAGATAACGAAAGCGAAACCTTTTCAAGCGATACATAATCCTATATATTATCATAACTAAGCTTAAATAATAAATAAAAATATTTCGAAACATAATTTTAATGATATACATTCTATTGTTATCAATAATAACAATTGTTTAGCCTTGAACATTTGCCCTTCTATATAAATTATATCTTTTCCATTCAATAATTGATAACACATTTATTACATTTTATCAAATAATGAAATACACAAATTCCTAACACTGCCGACTTATTTCTAATAAACGTCTATTTAATATAATTTAAACTGAAAATTCCATTAAAAATATATTTATTAATATTATATTCTTTAAAATAAGTTTAAAAGTTTTAAAAAATTTAAGAAATATCCAAAATAATTTAAACAAAACATGTTATATATAAAAAATGATCCATACAAGTCAATTATAACAAATTATTATAATAACACAATTGCCTTTCTATTATTATTATTAAAAAATCTATATAAAAAAGATAAAATAGATAAATAACTATTCTATAATTTAGAATCTAACATCGGAAAATTACATCTTTTTAAAACAATATTGATTTATTTTAAAATATTGTCTTTAAAAAAAGTATATTTCCAATATTAAATAGAAACGAAAAAATATAAGCCAATAAATTCGTAAATTGTAATTACATATTTAAAATTATATAGACTTATCAGAATAAATTTGCCAAAATAAATCTAAAAATAACAGAATTTACATTTCTATCAATATGTCATGAATTCATTATTTACAAAACTTAATAGAAATTATAAAATTCATTGTGCCATAATTGCCATATTAGCAAAAAATCTAACATCAGTATCCGGATCGCAACTTAATTTTTCTAGCGATGGTTTAATTTGTGCATTAAACAACTCTACACCCTCAGGAGAATCTTTTAAAACATCAAATAAAACTTTATAAGATTTAGCAACATTAAATCTAATATTCGGAATTTTATCATCAACTAAATTATTTACTGTAGGTAAAATATAGTTTCTAACTATATCCACACCTACAACAGGAGCAAGAGACTTTAAAAATGTAAATTTATAATAAAATTAAAAAAAAAACTTACAACAATAGCAAATATTGTAGTCATACGATAAAGATAATTCTCATGATTTCCCATAGAAAGAACACGAGGAATTATACTTTTCATTGCCCAGGAAACACCAAAGACTTCAGTTAATTTTCTAAGATTTAAAATAGCAGCTTCTCGAATAGAAAAAACGCTATCGCCTAGCCAAGACATACAAAGCTCAGTTAATTTTTCATCAAAAAAATCAATACCAAGCTGACTAGCTAATAAAGGTATATATTCAATAATTGCCAACCTAACCCTCCACTGCTTATCTTCTGCAAGTGTCACTATAGCAGGAAGAAGAGATTGAGAAAGCAATTCAATACCAATAACTATTGCAAAGCTTAATATTTTGCAGACACAAACACAAAACCAACCATTATTAACTTGTTCAAGTTTTGATATAATATTAAGTCTAACATCAGGAAATTCATCTTTTAGTAATTGAAGGAATATAGGAAGAAGATGTTCTATAGTACTATGTAATTTCAGTAAAAAATATACTATAGAATTATCTTACAATTCTTTTCCCAACACCGGGGAAAGCAAACTAATTTGTTTTCCCCATGCTGCTCTTACATGCTGAGAAGGATCTGTTGTCAAATCCCTTACAACGGGAAGAATTTCATTCAAAACAACTTGACAACTCACATATTTGCAAAATCCTTTCATTATTAACAAAAACATAGCACAAAATACCAATATAAATACCCGGAATCTGACCTACAATTGCTGTTCTTACTTCAGCCTCTATATCTCTAAGCAGCCGAAGGAAAGCAGGAAGCAAATCTGAATCAATTATTTCTTCGCCAACAGCATCGGCAAGCTAAAAATTCATTAAAATAAACAAACAAATATATATATATATATATGTTTACCTCATTAAAATGGTCAGCAACAATATACCGTACTCTCCAACTCTTATCAGAAAGGACATTTCTTAAATTCTGAAGCAAATAGTAATTAATATCTAATGGAGAGCCAAGAATTTTTGCAATTGTAATAAGAGGTTCAACAGATAATAATCTTACAGAATCCTGATCATCCGACGCAATAACATTAAAAACAGGAATCATATCCTCAATAACTTGACTTTTATTCATTTGAAGCACAAATTTCTATAATAAAATAAATATATATGCACACATATATTTAAATAACATACACAAAAATTTATTGCAGCAACTCTTCTGACCATAGGAGTATCATCAGAACATAAATAACCGAAATTCCTACGAAGTGAATCTTGAATAGATTTTGTTGAACGTTTATATACATTCGTATACAAGCCAGTTGCAGATGTGCGAGAAGTAAACCATTCTCCTGAACTTAAACGATTAATAAGAGGAATCATGTATTCCTCAATTTGCTCAGTTGTAAAGATTTCAGCTATTTTATTAAGAGAATCGACAGCCTGTAACATATTTATAAAAACATAAAAAATATTAAAAAAACCTTATCTCTAACAAGAGGCTCCTCAACAGCTGAAAGACTTTCAAGAGGACTAAGAAGTATATGTGCATACTGAGGCCCACCTATATATTGAACAAATTTTCCCAATTCTTCCGCCAAAGCAGATAAGACTTCATCATCATCATCAATAGATTCTAAATATACTATTAAATATGAAAAAAGACATCTATTTATAAACCATCTAAAAATGGAATCAATTCATTTCTAGTTCTCTCTTGTCCAAGGGCAAGTGCAATTGTAGAAAGCCTTCGAATTGCATTAAGGCGAAATGCCACATCGTCATGCTAGTTATACATAAGCATGTACAAAATTTAAAGAAAATACTTCTTATTTACCTTTAATTCGTCGATCAATACTGCTATAGGATATAAAGCATTTGGTTGCACCTAAATATTTTTGTTATTTTTTTGCACTTTCTAAAAGAAGAAATCCTACTATTTCGCTTTTCATTTTTAAAATAAATACTAAAGATATTCAAATATTTCCAAACTCTAATTCTAAATCTTATCAGTTTCGATTTTTCTGAAAAAAACCTTAAAAAATAGCAAAAATATAAAAAAATGCCCACAGTAAATATAGATAAAGAGGCAAGTGACTAATATAAACATTATATAATATACTAATTTTCTTTTTAGGATTTATTTAATGCACTTAATCATAATTATAGTAATTTTCATAATATATAAAGATAAAAAAATTAATATAACTAGCAATAGAAGAATTTAGTGAACTTTGTTTTAATTTTGGACTAGAATTGGACAAAGACGTAAAATTTTTCATGTTTCTATTATTTAAAATTAATTATTGATAGACATATGAATCAGAAGCGATTAATGAAACGCTAAAACGCCCTCAGCTTAAAATTGAAGTTCCAGCAAATAGGTTTATAGCCATTACTTGTAGACAGAAAGATTGAAATTCATAAATAAATAGATGTGATTTGCTCTGTCTTGAAGGAATTGCAAGTGCACTTAACATTTTTCTTGGGAATCAAAAGGCACCACAATTTAAGCTCTCCAAACCTAAAAACCTTCAAATTCTTAGAGTATCAAAAGAGGTTAAGTGCTTATTAGAAGTTTTCTATATACTTATTTTTAAAAGACAGAAAAAATTCGACCATTTATTTCTGCAGCTATTTTAAGAGGAATTCATTTTACTAAACGAAGATATGAAAGCTTTATTTCCTTACAAGACAAGCTACATTCAAATATTTGTAGGAATCGTAGCTTAGTTTCAATTGGAACACACGACTTAGATACTATTCAAAGTCCTTTTTCGTATGAAGCCCATAAACCTGAAAAAATCAACTTTATTCCTTTAAATCAAAAAAAGTCAATGAATATGGACGAACTTTTTAAACTTTATGAGGTATATCAATATATTATCTCTTTAAAAGCTACTTATTGAATGATAGAATGATAGACATCTTGGAAAATTTCTTCATTTGATTAAAAATTCATCCGTTTATCCCGTCATTTACGATTCGAATAGAATTGTATGCTCATTACCTCCTATCATTAATAGTGAACATAGTAAAATTACTTTAAATACAAAAAATATTCTTATCGAAGTAACTGCAACTGATCAAACAAAATTAGAAATCGTAACAAACATTATGGTAGCCATGTTTTCATGTTATTCGGAAGAACCATTCACGTAGTGCTGGTTTATATATGTATAATATATTTCTAATGATTTTTAGTATAGAACCTGTTCAAGTAGAATCGCCACACAATCAGTGCTCACGAATATGGCCAAATCTAGATCAAAATATAAAATCGGTTGAAATTCCATATATTAATTCATGTTGTGGTCTTAATTTATCTTCAAAAGAAATCTCCAAATTATTAGAAAAAATGGGTCTTTCATCAAAACAATCTATAGTTAATTCAGAATTATTAGACGTTTTTATTCCTATAACACGCCCAGATATATTGCATCAATGTGATATCATGGAAGATATTGCAATTGCTTATGGATATAATTGTTTAAAAAAAACGTTTCCTAATAAAATCATTACTACAGGCAAACCTTTACCACTTAATAAATTAGCAGATGTTATTCGCATGGAATGCTCTATGGCGGGTTGGTCAGAAGTTATGTCTCTTATTCTATCTTCACATGACGAAAACTTTAAATATCTCGGCAAAACAGACGATTCATTAGCTGTAATTTTAGAGAATCCTAAAACAATAGAATACCAAGTTGTTCGAACTACTTTAATACCAGGATTACTGAAAACTATACGGGAAAATAAAAAGCATTCTCTTCCTATAAAAATTTTTGAAGTATCAGATGTTGTGTTAAGAAGCGATGATGAAGAGACATTTTGTAAAAACAAAAGACTATGGAGTGCAGCATACTTCTCAAATACGTCTGGGTTTGAGATTATACATGGTCTTCTTGATAGAATTATGAGTATGTTAAATACTAATAAAGTTGCACCAGAAAGCAAAGATCCTGGTTATTGGATTCAATGTTCAGAAGGTTATTTAGGTACAGTTTATATATTTAGCTAATAATATCCTAGATTCTATATTTCTTAAGGGGAGATGTGCCAAGATTTTCTTACGACTTGAAAATATGTCAGAAGTTAATATAGGAATTTTTGGAATTCTTCATCCAAATGTTCTCAAGGCATTTGAAATACCATTTGTTGGTTCTATTTTAGAACTTGATATAGAAAATTGGCTATAATTTTTTTTATTAATATATTTAATTTTTAAAACTTCAAATCTAATCTTTTTAAACAATTTTAATATTATCAAAAAAACCAAATATAATTTATATGTTCAAATATTATCAAAAACTAGAAAAATACCGATAAACCCAGATATCTAGAAATTATTAAACCTTAAAATAAACATATAAATATGGAAACTTATATGACATTAGTTTTAACAGACTCTTATTTAATCGGTACATCATACATTTCTAATTTTTCTAAATAAGATATTTTAATATCTGTTTTTAACAATATTTACAGGTTCTCAGGTTTTGGCATGGTCTTTAAGAGATTCAGGATCCAAAAAACATCTTACTGCACTAGTTACAAAAAAAAATCTTTCAGAATCCACTCTTAAAGCATTAGAAGTATATATCCTTAAAAATATAAATACAAAATAATAAATCTTTAAAGGAAGTATATGATGAAATAATAAGTGTAGAACCTATTTATAGCAAAGATATAGACAAACTTTATCTTTTGGGCAGACCAGACCTTCGTTCTTCTTTTACAAAAATACATATTTGGGCTCAAGAAAAATTTAAAAAAATTATATATTTAGATGCAGATGCGTTTTGTTTAAAAAATATAGATGAACTATTTGATCTAGATACCGATTTTGCAGTAAAAAATTATTTATTTCTATCAAAAAATGACATTTAATTAGGCAGTTCCAGATGTTGGTTGGCCAGATATTTTCAATAGTGTTTGTTCCAATATATATTTATCTAAACATAATATTTTTATAGGGGGTATTTATTACTAAACCAAATATTTCAGTTTATAATTCGCTTCTAAATCTCGCAAAAAATAGCATATCATTTGATGGTTTATTATCCTATATTTATTTGTTAAAAATTTTAACAAAAATTAATTCAGGAGGAGATCAAGGTCTTCTTAATTTTTACTTTTCTAATTGGAAACGGCTACCTTTTACATACAACGTAGTACCATCGTTTTCTTACCAGTAAGTTTATTATATACTCAATAACTCATTTAAATCACAAAAAAAAGATATTTTCCCGCATATTATCACTTTAAATCCAAAATATCAGTTATACATTTTGCAGGGACAAAAAAACCTTGGATGCTAAGTAAAGATGAAATTAACTATAAACCATATAATGAATTAATTGAAAAATGGAAGTCGATACAGAGAAGTCGCACAAAACCTCAAGAATCTCTTAATAATTTGTCTTGTGAAAAAAAAATACATTTAGAAACAAAAAAAGCTATTGAAAGTCAAGAATCAGAAGAAAGTAACAATAAAAATAACATATCCTATGAACTATTAACTCAAAAAACTTCTGCTATATATAACAGAATAAAATTTAACCATAAACAACTAGACAAACAAGATCTATCTTCAATTTTATCTAAGACAGCATTTTTTTACAACTCTAATTACGAAAACAAACAGAATAGATCATTTAACTTAGATAAATTACTATTTATACCACAACCTCCACTGTTAATACCAGAATATATAAAAGGAATTGAAGAATATAATAGATATAGAAATGAAATTGAAGAGTTTAATAAATATAAAAATGAGATTCTTCAAATAAAAAAGATCTACACATTTCCTTGGAGAAGACAAAAAATGAAAGCTACTAGAGTATTTATGGATGACAATCAGGAAAACAAAATAGATATGTCAAAATATGATATAAAAATAACGAAAAAAAATGTGTTTTTATATTACAAAACAGACAAAATGCCAATTTTCAAATTTTGAAGATTTATACAATTTACCTATACATACTACATGCAGTATCTCAAACATCCTAATCAGATGCAAAACAGTATAGAGTATAAAATTACTATCATTTTGAATATTATTCAATATTTTTAACTACTATATCATAATATAAAATACAAAAATTAAACTATACACATATATTTAAAACAAAATTATTAACACCTAAACATATCATGATTTCATGTTCAACTAATAATATATAATCATCATAATTTGCTTTTAAAAAACATATATTTGAACTTTATAAATCAAAACTTCAAAAAATCCTCATTACTCTATATTTTTTCTTAATTCCATTTTTTTTTCTATATCTTTCCAAATCATTATCCTTTCTTGTTCTGTAGACGAATTTTCTGATGGAGATTTATACAAAGAAATATATTTTTTTAAAGACGGAAATTCCTAAAAATATTATCTTATATTGAAAATATCATAAAAACATACAATTATATAATTTAAATCTACTTGACGCTGATGAATAATATTCTCTAGTCTTTTTTTCTCATCCTCATCATTAGCCTCCATAAGCTGTTTTCGCGCTTGCTTTAAATAACGAATCGCCTTCTTTTTCTCTTTTAATCCTCATCAAAGACTAATATATACACCTAAACACAAAACTTACCAAAAAATCTTACCATCTTATATTTTTCTTCCAAAACATGCTTTTTTTTCGATTCTCGAATCGTTTTAAAATCAAAATATAAACTCTGAAGTTGCCTTTCCTTATCCAATTGTGCATCTGCAGGAATTGATCCCTTTATATTCAATCAAAGCATCATTTCATAAAAACAAATATACCCTTCTAACAAGACGTTCAAGATCTCTAATTTTTTTTTTTAAACGACTAATTCCTCTTATTTCAGAGTTTCCAGACGAAAGTCTCCCATGCTTTTTATTAATCTCTTTTTTCTTTTCCTTTATCCATCTAACATTTTTTTGAATCATTTTTTTAAACGTTCGAAGTTAATTTAAAAGATCTCTCTACCTTTAAAATAATGATAGATTAAATAACAAATGGGTGAAAAATCTACTATAAAACGGATTCCATCACTAGGATATGATAAGGAAAGTCATTTTGTCTGCACATTTCCTCATAAAAATGAAGTTCATCTTTACACTGTTAATAACCAAAATAATTGTTATTCTTTAACTTGTTTAAAAAGTAAAATACCTTTTATTAAATGTATTGACTGTTCTCCTTCTCAAAAGAATATGGTAGCGATTGGTAAAACAACGGGTGATGCATTACTTTTATGTTTAGATAATGAAAAACCTCCGATTCAATTCCCAATCAAACAACAACGTGCCTGTAATGCTATTGCATTAAATGCACTTGAAGATTTAGCAGTGGGACTAGAGAAGATGAAGAATGAGCCATGTATTATGATTTGGGATATTCGTCAGGACGTGGAATTGAATAATAAAATATCACCAGTTCAGCAACTTGCAATATCAGAACCAGTATTTTCTCTTTCATACTTTCCAGATTCACCAAAACAATTAGTTTCAGGGATAAATTTACGATCAATCAAAATATTTGATTTGAGAGAAAAATCATCTACATCTATGATAACCTTATATTCAACGAGATTTATACATAGTATTACTATTGATCCAAAAAATCCAAATTATTTCGCATCAATTTCTGATGAAGGTTTAATATCAATTTGGGATAGGAGAAAGAGTTCTAATGGAGAACCTTGTTTATTATTAAATCGAGGAGCAAACCAATTCTCTCGCATCATAGATCTGAAATTTACTGGAACAAAGCCTGGACAGCTTTCCGGGCTTTCAAAAGAAGGTATTATAAAACTTTGGGATATAAACTATAATCATGATGACTATAATGAATTTATTTTATTTAATGATAAAAAAACATCAGAAATATCCGAGCCTTCAACACTTATAAAAAGCAATCCACTTTCTTTGATGTATTTACGTGAAGGTATTTTTATTCTATACAATAAAAACAAGTAACAGTTATAGCATCTACAAAATGTAGCGAAAAAATAATATCTTTTGATTATATTCCTAGCGAACCATACAAAAATTATCAATTTTATTACATAAAATCAGATAATAAAATAGGAAGATTAAAAATCCGTTCTTTATGCGATACTGTATCAATAAATAGCCTTAATGATATAGTAATAAGTGAAAAAATTAATCTTCATTTATCACAGAAAAATAATGACACAATACTGGCAAAAAATAAAATTGAAAACGAAGATAATAAAAGCCAAGTATCAGACTCTCTATCCATAAATATAGAAGAAAATTTATCTAATAATCAAATTGAAGAATCAGAAACATATCCTTTATTTTCAAACTCAAAAATTGATCAAGAATATGACACAGAATATAGTTTTAATATACAAGATATTTTGGAAAACGATATATCATATTTAATGTACAAAAGGGCAAAGGATGGTTATGGAATGGAGGTGATTTTATAAAATTAACATCTATTTAATACTAACTATAATTCTAGCCAGCAAAAAATAAAAAAATTTTAGAAAATACATATCTTCTTGATTTATGGACCTGGATTAATAGTATTATATTTTATATACCTATTCAAACTTACCTTAGTAATAGATGCAGAAAATTTGGCATTGGAAAACAAAATGATTTCAAGTGATTTTGATCTAAGTTATCAAGGAGTGTATAACATTTGGCACGGCATTCCACGTAAAGAAAAAAGCTTACAAAGAAATATTAATTAAGTTATTTTAGATCCTAATTCATTAAAAAAATACGATGAAAACAATGAAAATAGCTTTAAAAATTCATATACTATTGCGGTAAAAGAAATAAACAATAAACTCAAAAACAATGTTTTTACTTCTGTTACTTCAAAAATAGAAATACGAAAGTTGGCCTTAGTATCTTGCGGATGGAATATTTCTCGTGAAAACTTAGATGACGAAATAAAACAGTAGGCATAAATATAATCAAAAACATATCTAAATATGATAAGACTAGAAGAAAAGGGGTTATGTAGTAAAGCAGCATGTAGAGCTTTATTTCATGACAACTTTAATCGCACAGTTCAAGTATTATCAAAAGGAACGGAAAAACATCGTTTAATGTCAACCGCAATTGCAGGATTTTCAGCAAAAAATAATACAAATAATACGATGTGGAAAGAAATGTGTAGAAAAATGAGTACAGAATTAGATGATCCTTATCTTCGTGCTATTTTTGCATATGTTTCAAATGGAGACTGGCGTGATGTTTTAGATGAACAAGGATTACCTTTAAAAGAAAGAATTGGAGTGGGACTAAGATTTCTAGATGACGATGATGTATAATTACCTATTATTCTCTTTTAAGCAAAATCTAATGATATTTTTAAAAGTTTTCTTTTTATTTAAACGACATTGTCAAAAATGTCATTAATACCGGCGATTTAGAAGGAATCATTCTTACTGGAATAAGTGTTAATACAGTAAATTTAATAGAAACATATCTTAATCGTACATCGGATATTCAAACAGCAGCTCTCGTTTCTTCGTTTTGTGTTCCTAAATTCATTGATCAAAGAATTTTAACATGGATTGAAGAGTTAGTTGTCATTTATTTTCTTATACATATTATTTTGTTAATTATTTTAATAGTTATCGTCAATTACTTAATAGATATAGTTTATTTTATTCAAGGGCAAAATTTGATGTATTAAGGAAAAAATATTCCAGAAATTCAGAAGAATTTTTAATCCTTGAAAAACCACCACAACAAGTATATTTACGGTGCAATTTCTGTAACAAGGTTTTCTTATTATTTAATTTAATAATTTATTCATTTTTTCAAGAGTATTACACATAAACCTATAACTTCAAAACATCATACAAATATTCAAAACTCTAATATTCCTTCAACTGGAAATATTCAGAAAGTTTATTTTATTATATTTTTAAAAATCATTTTATCTAATTTTTTTTAGAGCACTCTTTGTCCAGCTTGTAGTAAACCCCTTCCACGATGCGCAGTTTGCTTACTTTCTCTTGGAACATCATGTAATCTTACTAACAAAAATATAAAAGATCCTCAAGATTTCGAAAAATTATTCGAAAAATGGTATATTTAATATAGACTTATTTTTCAAGTTTCATATAACTCATTTAGGTTTAATTTTTGCTTATCATGTCATCACGTTTCTCATAACGATCATGCAACAAAATGGTTTGAAACACATTCAATTTGTCCAGTAGCAGATTGTAACTGTCTTTGCCGAGAAAAAGACAGAATACCTAAAGCTAGCATATAATATTAACGTTTTAACTTCAATTTTTAAAATAAACATATATTTTTAAAACTCGACCTATCTATTTGATTTTAAAAAGAACATCTTTAATTGTATTAAAATTTTTCTATTGTTATACATATATTTGAATTTCGACTAATTCTTATTTTAAATATTTTTACTTATTTCTTAATAGAAAGTTAAATAATTGAGACTATTGCATAGAATTTGGCGTTTCTTTTAAAGATTAATAATTAGCCAAATTATAATCAAATATAAATTAGATTGAAAAAAAAATCAGTAAATCTAATGCCTCAAAACCAACAGAGCAATAACAAGGATTATTCTCATTCAAATAGCAAAGAAACAACATTTTTAGCCAAAGAAAACATTTCTATATGGAAGAAACGCATAAAATATACAGGTTTTCATATTAAACACTTTTGGATCATTTTTATTATTGGACAAATTCTCAGCTTAATGATTACAGCATCAAGTATATTTACTGCAAAATTAAGCGATTATCATATCAATATACCCACATTTCAAACGCTTATTAATTACATCCTTTTAGGATCTATTTATACTTCTTTTACAATTTACTTAAATGACTTTAAAAAATGGACAAAAATGATTTTAAAAGACGGATGGAAATACGTCATTTTAGCATTTATAGATATTGAAGCAAACTATTTCGTCGTAAAGGTTAATAAGATTAACTCATTTATTTTCAAGTAATGTATGTAGGCATATCAATACACCAATCTTTTATCGTGCATCCTTTTGGATTCTTTTTCAATAATAACAGTTATCCTTTTAAGCTACTTTTTCTTGAAAGTAAGATATAACATATCACAAATATTAGGGATTTTAATTTGTTTCGGAGTATACTATTATTTGCATTTATATTAGTTTTTAACAATTTAAGGGTCTTATAACGTTAACAATAAGTGATTTCAAATTAAATAAATATCATAATTTCACAAATATCATCAAAGGAGACATTTTTATCATCATTGGAGCATGTTTATATGGTTTAAGTAATGTTTTGCAGGAATTTTTTTTATCTAAACGACCTATATATGAAGTCATAGGCCAATTAGGTTTTTGGGGAATATTTATTGATGCAATTCAAATATCTTTATTCGAAAAAAAACACTTAAAAGAAACCCAATGGTCTAAGAAGACAATCGGGTTTATCTTTGGATATAATATTGCATTATTTATATTCTATTCTCTTTCACCCGTTCTATTTAAAATAAGTGGCGCTCTGTTTTATAATATGTCTTTACTAACAAGTGATTTTTGGAGTAAGTTACATAAGAATATCACAAAATTTACAAATATTAGGTCTTATCATTGGAATCTATTTATTTCATTATAGTATCTACTGGTTATATTATATTGCTTTTATTCTTGTAATCTTAGGCCTTTTAACATACCATTTATTTTTCAAAGACGAATCAAAAAAACCATGGATTGATTATAATCACCAAGAAATTAATGATATTGAAGTATATAACAACTACAAAATTTCTAAATAAGAAATATATCTAGAAATATACAAAATACATATTTAAATAATAATAAATTTAAGATTTATATATATTTTATTCTATTATAATTTAATTTAACTATCTGTAAATTTTCGAAATTTTAAATTAGTTACCATTTATATCATATTTTTTGTATCAAAAACATTATTTCATGTTAACAGATGTTTCGATTCCATGGCTCTTATACATAGCAGTTCAATATGCTTCTGCACCTTCTTTGCAAACACTTTCAGAACTTATACTAAAGTTCCCATATATTTTTTCTAAAAGAGTAATATTAAGCATTCTTAATTTTGTACCAGAATGCATAGATCCAGATGAATACCTTTCTTTAATATTTGATGAAAAGTATGAAGGCGAAGACGATATGGACAGCTCACAAATATCAAAGACACAAAATATAAATAATGCAGCATTATCACAAAAGCTTAAAAAGTTACATATATATCAAGATGAAACCAAGACAAATAATTGTATTAGTGATGAAGAATTATATGCCTGGTTTATTTCAAGAGCTTTACAAATTGAAGAAGAAACTGGATTAATTTCATTTTCTCGTAAACTCGTACTGACTTCTAAATATCCCATACCTCCAAAAGTCCAGGAATGGGGTCGTGGAATTGTTAGTACACTGGAGTCTGTCATAAATAGACAGTATAATAATCCTTTATTGGAATTTAATGTTCCAACATTAAGAGAATTTGAAACTTTAAATCATAAAGAAGTCATTGACATTCTTCTTCAGCATCTAGAAAATGAAGAAATATTGGAAGAAATAAAGTCTAGTATAATACCATATATTTCATATTGCCAAAAATCATCAAAAACAAATATTTGGGATTCGTTATGGTCATGGCTTCTAAACTTCAGCTTTAAACAAAAAAATCTAAATTTGATAAAATTAATATCATTCAACAACGTAATTAGTTCTGAAAAGTATTCAGAGTTTTCAAAATATGCAATAGCATCATGTTATTGTCTTCAAAGCACAGAAGAAGAAAATATTCATTCAATGAAAATAATTTTGCAAAATCTTAAACAAAATTTAAATATTGAAACTAATAGTAATACTAGTGTATTAAATGACATAAAAATATCTTCATTGAACGTCTTTACACCAGAAAATATTCAAGATTATTCAGAACTAATCACACCGAACTCTGATTCTTTAAGCTTATTAGAAATAATGATCAAAACTGTTTTAATTATTAATTCTACAAAAGAAATCTGCAAAATAACACTTTCAGAAGCTGTTTGTTACAGAAATAAGGACAAAAAATCTCAAATATCCCTATTACATAAAATGATACCACAAAACCCTCATTTTTTAAGCAAGCTCAATGATTCAGAGTGGATAAAATTACGAAATAATATCAAATGGCTTCATGATGTTAGTCTCATTTATAAGAATATACCAGAAATTGAGTATGAATCATTTCTGCTTTATAATATCTTAAGAACTACAAGTATATATAATTTTAAGTAATTTTATGATATTAATTATTATATTCAGAATTTAATCTTGCAGAAAATATTTATATAAAAAGAAATAAGGGAAATATGCCTTTAAAGGATGTTATGGTAGAGAAAATATGCATAGAAATTTTTCTAGAATTTTTTGATAGCTCATCAAATGGAAATATTACAAAAGGGAATATGAAGAATGCATATAATTTATTACAAACAATCAAACAATATTATAATTCAGAACAATTGGAAAGTTTTTCATATTTAGTAAAAGTAACGAATACATTGTATCATTATTCTCATAAATTTAAACCAGTACAAATTCGATTACATAATAACCCTTTTGAAATTTTAGAAGATTTTTTATCATCTAATCCTGGAATATATAAATCTATAGATGAAGTAATGGAAATATGTAATGATTTGTTACTCAGTACAAACAAAAATTACCTATACCAAAAAGAAATTCAAGCAAAAATATTATGTATAATTGCAGAAACAGCATTATCTCAAAACGAATTTGATTTTGCATATGATATATGTATTAACCATTTATTTTCTCTTTTTGAAGCAGTGGATATTAAAACTAGAGAAGCACTTTCAAATATTATTTGGAAAAGTTGTCTCCAAATTTCTAAAAACTATGAAACAGAAGAATCTTTAGAAAACATTAAAAAAAAGATGTTTCTTCTTTCAAAAGTAATTAATATTTGTCCAAAAGAATATCTAGTAGAGGTTTTAAATGTTTGGAAACGTTTTGAAAAAGAACAACTTTCAATTAGATCAAAAAAACTGTCAGAGTTTAATGATAATCTTTCCGTAAATCCGAACACAGCAAATTCTTTGCGCATCTCCAAATTGTTATTTTCATCAGCATCTAAAGCTGCCCGAGCACTAGGAACAACTCTATCATCTACATCATTTCCTTTTAATAAACAAAAAATATTACATATTGAGAAAAAAGTAAAAAAAAACTTAGTTTCCACTAATCAAGAGCTTAGAAGCTCAAATAACAAACTGGATAATCTAGCAGATGTTGTAACACAGAAATTCACATCTGGTCTTGGTATATAACTATTTTTTTTTAAAATCAATACTTATTCATTATAGGTTGGGTTCTTGGAATATCAGACAATCAAAAATAATTGAACATATGCTGCAATATATTATTTAAAAAGCATATTCAACAAAAATATAATAATATAAAAACAATTATTATTATTGCAAAAATAATACTCAGCCTTCGATAACTATATAGCTATCATAATTGTAATACAAAATATATCAAGTATTACTATAAAAATTTAATTAGCAGTTAATAATACTTAATTTAAATCAAAGTATATTCAAATAATAAATGCAAACATTTGCATATTCAATTATGAATGTTGATAATAGGCATAATTAATAAACATTAGCTATAATTCCTAAACCAATAGTAGATAAATCTTCTGTTTTTAACTCTTCATTCCATATATTTTCATTATTTGAAGCATAAAAATCTTTTATTTTAAAAGAACCGATATCAAATACTCCAAAATCCCATTCCAACTCTTCACTAAGACCATTTTCCACATTCGTTTCATCAATAAAGAATAAAGACTCAACATTTTTTTCTTGTAATTTATCAAAACTTGATGTATTATTTTCGTAAAATTTATCATTAAAAGTTGAATCAAAATATTGTTCAAAATCTAAATCATTCAATGTTTTTTCAGTACCCAAAACATCTGAAGTAACCAATGAAAATGCTGTTTCTGGGGAAGATAAATTTTCATTTTTAATAGTAGAAATATTATTAGAATCATTTTGAACTTTTCCAGAAAAATGATTCAAGGGAATATTCGTAAAAGATTGAGGAATTTTCGTTACAAGACTCGAAATAATTTCTGATCCAAATTTATTAGATAAAACATCCATACTTTTTTCCTCATTAAAAAGAGATGACTTATCCATTGACAAAATCATATTGACGTCATCTGTTTCTAAAACATTTGTTACATTTAAAACTGTATAATCCAATGGATCTTCTATAATTTTATTGTTTTCTTGAGAGTAAAAAGAATCTTTAGATAACTGTTTTCAATAAGTTTTTTATTAAAATATTCATCATTTTTTCAAACCTCAAAAGTTTGAGAACCAGACTTATCATAAGAATTGGAAATATTATTTTCTCGAATTTGTAGATCAATTCCATCAGAATTATTAGTAACATCAAACTTGTTTTCATTTATCGAAATAATTTCCGAATTATCAACTTTTGCATTAGTTTTTATATCAGTTTTCAATGGGTTTAATAACGAAGCTTCATTAGATGCCTCTAAAGAAGAAAAATCTTCCAAAAAGGATTGAAAATTAGAAATATTTGGATCTATTTCAGAAAGATTTATTGGTATTTTATCTGGCAAGGATTTCCCATTTTCAATTTGTTTCTGAATCGCCTGAACACTAATTTTTACAAATTTAAAATATTCAGAAATCATTTTTTTAATTTTAATAAGCTGAGAAGGATAACATAAATAAATTCCTTGAGGCAAAACATCAAGCTGATTTTTATAAATTAATTTCTAAATCCTATTAACATAAATAAAAACAGTTACATCAAATACCATTCGCAGCAACTGTATAATAGCAGATTCATTCCAACTTAGAATCATAAATAAAGGCAAAAGCATATCAATTCGATGATACATCTGACTCATCTCTGCAATCAATTCACAAACTTGTTGTTTTTGAATATGAGTAAGATCATTTAGTGGAATATTTTTAACTATAGCTTATATGTACCATTAAAATTAAAAATAAAATATAACTTACCACCATTTCTTTCCACTTCATTTTGAATTTGTCTTAGACGAACATTCATTTGTATATTTGCCTCTTTACCGCCACACATTAAAATCCTTTGAACAATAGAAATATCAGGTCGATTTTTGGAAGAATCTACAACATTAAAAAATAATATCTATAAATAAAATAATACCTTGCCGAATCTGAGCGGTTTGCTGATTCTGAGTAGATACAGAAGCCATATTAAATGTTTGCAACACAGGCAATTGATCATTAACAGACCTAATATCATCTTTCTTTTTAACTTTCAGAGAAACTCTTGCTTTCTTTTTTAATCCTGAAATATTATCACATTGAACCATAGTTAATAACTGATCAATTGACTGAGGGTGCAATTGTTGAGGAGTTTGATTATTTAAAGAAACATTAATATTAGGAGAAAAAGAATGCGAGTATTGTGTAGGAAAATTTGAAGTATCAGAAGACCATTCATGTTGTAAAAATTCAGAAGAAACACCCCCCTTTGATATTTGTTGCATTTGCTGTACCGGAATCTTCCGCATTTGTTGCTGAATATGAGGATTCGGATTTACAGAATGATGCTGAGATGTAGGCTGAAGCGGAGACTGAGGTCGAAATTGGTTAGAAGATTGATTAGACATATATTGAATTTGTTGATAATGCAATTGGAGATATAATGCATGCTGATAAAAAAGTTCATGAAGACGAGCTACTTGTTCAGGACTTAGCCTTTGATTTCTTATAAGTTCCGCAACTTGACTCCATGTAAAAACATTAGTAGGTAATTCCGGAAACTGAGACAAAATACGTTGTGGGATAAGATAATTACAAGGGTTCAAATAAGGATCCATTTTTTTTTTAAATTCCTGAGAAGGCGTAGAAGATCCTATAGCATGACCAGGCATTTTTTGAGCCTGTTGATTAACTACTTGTTGCACAGGTGCCTGCGCCTGTGACAAAAAATTTTGCAATGTTTGATTAGAAAGCAACTGTTTAGTTTGCGAAAGAGGCTGATTAAGTTGCTTGTTCTGAGATTGAATAGCCTGATTCAGCACTAAAAGTTTTTGTAAATTTGTATTAGACGAATTAAGTAAAGGATTATCAACGCGTTGCTGATAAATATCTGTTTGTGGAGAAATAGGAATTTTCTGTTGATTAAGTGCCTGATGCCTCTCATCTAACCCTTGAGAAACACATGCTTGATGAGACATATATTTCGGAATTTGCTGCTGATTATTTTGTGTCTGTAATTGAGTTAACATTTGTTGAATTTGAGGCGCCTTTTGTTGAGGAACAGAATATGCAGAACGCTTCAATGCATCAGAAGCAGAATTCGAAGCATGGGTTTGCTGATTCACAGAATGGCTTAACCCTTGCATTAAATTTTGATTTGAAAGATGCTGATTTACAGAAGCCTGTCTCATTAACATTTGTTTCTGCTGAAGAGTCATTTGCTGATTCACAAGTGGAGGAACTTGTTGAAATTGAGAGTGTGAACTCATAGCCTGTCGAGACATTCGAGGTGAATGTGTAAAAGATGGCGATACTAAATTAGATGCCCCTGACATTTCAAACGTTTTCATCTGCCCCGAAATAACCTGTTGACATGGAGTCTGAGGAAAAAACGGCATTGTCGTCCGTTGATTCTGTGCTTGTGATAAATGCTGTTTTGCTGCTGTACTTCCTTTAATATACATCAATTTACTATTACAAATATTAATATACTCCGTCTAAACATAATTAATAATCCATAAACATAACAGTAACCTTAAAAACCTTGCTGTTCGCCTTTTCATACGCTTGTTTTTCAAAAGCATTCACAATAGCAATCAAATGCTCCTGTGAAACATTAGATGATACCGCCCGCAGTGCTGAAACCCTGTATTTAAACTCGTAAACATATATAACATATGTAAAAGGCATTTACAGATGAAATATAATTGCATGTTTCTCTGATGCTGTTAAAGTACTCCTCCAATTTCTGTCAGGTACAACATTTGTCCCTTCATTATGAGTTGCTATAATAGGAGCTTGGTTCATAACAAAATGACCTCCTAGCAGTTTCTATGTCTATTTTATAAGAAAAAGCTATCTTTAAAAAACAAATAATCTTTACTCCTTAACAAATTTTTGTTGACTCTAGACAAAAGGTATAAAACGATACCTTAAAAAAAGCTATATACATAAAGAAACCTCTACAATAAAAAAACTATTTTCTTTTTAAAAAGATCTAGAAATGTTATATAAAACACCCTGTAAATCTAATAAATATAAAAAAGAAATTTATCATGTTATTTTATATAAAAAATAAATATATAAAAAAGATGATATATAGAAGAAATAACTATCAATAAATTCCAGGAAAAATTATCCAAGGAGAGTGAGAAGCATTCATTCCAAACGTTTTTAAGCGCCAGGCATATGTTTGAGAAGCAGATATGGTTAAAACAAGAATAACCCATATAAAAATGAGAAGTATTGTTTTATTTTGAGCACGAGTTAGTACAACAAGACTAAAATAAATACCTATTTCCGCAGTATAATGAGGACATATCAAGTATTTAAAGCATCCAGAAGTAGGAAGGGAATATTTAGGAGAATTAGGAAGTATACGAAGTTTCGAAAGAGTAATATGACTAGAATGTTGCATCCAAGAAAAAAAAGAGTAAAACAAAATAGAAAAAAAAATACGAATTGAAGAAATATGTCGAAAATCAAAAACTGTTATAGCTATTATTGATAAAATCTTTTAATAATAATAAAAGAATTTTATTACCTAGATTTTGTAGATTGCCACCACCCTCACACCACATGCTTATATTACAAAATAAATAGTACGTTAGCCCTAAAAGATAATGTCCTATCCACATTTGAGAATCACTATACTTTTGAATGACAAAACATTCATAAAAACGTCTAATTCCATGAAGACCTATAAATAACAAACATATATACACTTCACACAACGATTGTGTCTTATCGTCAGATAAATAAACAATCCAATCACATTTATTATAAAAACGACAAAAATATAATTCCACCGTCCAAAAACATGTAGACAAAATAGAAATTATATAAAAATGTATAAACCATTTCTTAGGAACCATTAGATAAAATATTGACCATCTAGATTTCCCTTTATAATTTATAGCATCCAATGTTTTCCCATAACATAGCCATCGTCTCGTTGATGGAATAATTCTTACTGTTAATAAACCAGTTATCAAAAAAGCAAAATACATCCTACAAAAAACAACTGCATCATACATAATTAAACCAAATCAATTTTAAATAAGTTTTATTAAAAATCTTCATTTTTAAAAATATTTAATACAAAAAGAAATGAATAGTATAAAAATTGGAGAAACCTAGACCTAACCCTATTTCAGCACTCAACCTAACCCCCTAATATAGCCCTAGAACATAAAGAGATCACGTTAAGTAGTCACAATTTCAAGATTTCGAGCAGAGCTTATTTAAAAACGTCAGAATTTTAATATTTAAGAGATCAAAGGGCAGGAGTGAACAATAAGAAACAATATAAGCTCTTGAATTATTTTTTTTGGTGTTTGTTTCCGGGAAAAGCCTTTTTTTTCCGCTTAAAAATAGAACTAATTAAGATATAAATCCATTATGCCAGAGGGAGATGAGGTTTCCGAGATAGGAGCAGGTCGAAGCTCAATGTCAGTTGAAGAAGCACTGCAGGAGGTTCTAAAGAAAGCATTGGTTCATGATGGACTTGCTCGTGGATTAAGAGAATGTGTAAAAGCACTTGATAGGTAAATAATGATAAGCGATTAATTTTGCTTTATCCAAGGGGTTTTATAAGAAGTCTAATTCAAGAGTAGACGGCAAGCACATTTATGTGTTCTTTCGGAATCGTGTGATGAAGAGGCTTATACAAAACTTGTAGAAGCTCTTTGTGCAGAACATGTTTTATTTTCTTTTTAAATAAGAAATGCCTAATTTTAATAGAATATTAATTTAGTTAAAGTTTCAGATTCAAAAAAGCTTGGAGAATGGGCAGGATTATGTACTTTGGATCGAGAAGGAAATGCTAGAAAAATCGTTCGAAGTAAGTATTTGATATGAATTTATGTCAATATTCATTTTCAGGCTCATGTGTAGTTGTTAAAGAATATGGAGAAGAATCAGAAGCTCTGAATGTTTTATTAGATTATTTTAAAAATCAATGAAAAATTAAAATAGACAATTTTGACAAGACATTAACTTTTTTTATTGTTAATTTTAATTCCGCTTCATTATTTCAAGCCATTCTTTTTCTTTTTTAAAGCCCAGGAATCTTTATTCTAAGAGAATCATTCTTTTCATGATCTCTAAATATTTTCCCAATATGGAACAAGATTTGATCATGTAAATAAAAACAAACCATTTTTCAACCATCTATGTCTTCTAAACAGGTTATTATTGAAAAATTTTTAGTACAATAAAAACGGGATTGTATAATATAAACTATTCAATTAAATACTTAGAAAATTTAAGAAATTTTATAAAAAAAAACTTAGTCATAAACAAAAGATTCTTCAATACTATTTGATAATTAAAAACAATGAAAATAGATATTGTTACATGTACAAAATACGTTAAATACTCTGTCTATGAAATCATTAAAAATTCTATCATTAATAAATGATATACCTAAAAATAGATGATCATTGAGTCATATTGATAGAAGATAATTTCTAAATATTGAAAAAATAAATTTAATTTTATATTCTATAAATTACAGATATTTTTTTATTATACAGATATATCACTCAAATCCCATAATGACGTAAATATACAACTATTGCCTTCTTCTGCAACAAAGGTACCATTTGCACTTCGATATTCTATCGAAGGAGGATTTTTAACTTTGCAATTTATTTCTGTATCAATTATCTATAGTAATTAGATTTTAATCTACTAAAAAAAACCATACATTTGTATAGGAATAATCAAAAAAATCATCTAAATTGTAGCTAGTTTTTGTAAATTGTTCTTGTAAGATCCTAGCAAGTGTTGAAACAGAAGGATAATAATGATCTACAAGCGTCTAAATAATTAGCAAAAATTCATATTTAAGCTAAAAAAATTACAAAAAGCTCCCACAGGCTGCTGTCCAAAGCCCTTGTTTTACTAGGATCTAATTCTTGATCTAAAAAAGGATCTATTTACAAAATCAGAAAAATATATCCAATAAATATAAAAATACCATCAAAAATTGAATTAACAGATGTTCTATGAATAAGGACCATACAGGCTGGATGCCGCTTCAAAAGATTATAAACTAATGGGATGATCATAATTATCCCTCCGGGATTTGCTGAAAGACTAAGTCTAGAAATTTTCTTAATAAAACTTGCAACAATAATTGCAGGCAAATGCCTAAAAAAATTAAAAAAAGAAATTAATAGCAATAAGGACATACGTAGAAGATAGAAAAAGATCAACTAACTTTATAAAACGACCACGGTATCGAATATGAAACAAGTTTTCATCAAATAATGTATAAAGCTTAGCATAGAAATTTGGATAATCAAGATTATGATTTTGTATAAGATAAAACAAACCATTAAGAGCCAAAAGAGAAACGGCTCCTCCTAATTAGCCATTAAAATAGAAAAAAATTATTATACAAAACCTAACCCGCATCATACGAATCTGTAAGAAAGTCCATCAACAACTGAGGCTTTGACAAAAAAGGAAGAACATTCGAATGAAGAATATTCAAAACTTGCTTATACTGATGATATTTCAAGGGCAATTCAAGAGCAGCAATCCAACATTTAGAAAAAACACGTTTCTGCTTTGAAATTTGGAATTTTTCTATAAACGAATCAGAACGAGAAACCCAACATTTCTTAATATCCAAAAAAACGGGTTTCATATTTATTAAAAAAACCATAAGATTTGCTGTAAACGCTTCAACTAAAATAGAGTTCTCATCTTTACAACTCATCATTTCCTTAATAAGTTTACTATAGAAATTAACCACTAACAATAACACACATATAATAATATTACTATGTATTTATATAAAAATAGTACTGCAAATCCATATATTCATCCAAGTACTCTTTTACTATATAATAAAGAAAAGAAGCATCAATATCTTTATTCAAAAGAACCGATTTCAACACTCTGTAATACTGATCATTCATAAATCCCCCACTTCCATATTCGCTTTCACTGCGAATCAACCCAAGCAATAACACAAACGCATGTCCTTGTTGTTCAAATTCAGACATAGACAACTTTTTTAGAAGCTTAAGAACAAAACAAACATATGCTTCTCTATACCAACAGTATATTTCTGCATCATGAGACTTTGTAGATATATTTTTTGACTGACAAAATCTTCCTAATCCAAATAAACCACAAAATATCTTATAAACACTGTATTCTGTCTCAAGACTTATTTCTTTCGAAGAATCCTACAAAAAACATAAATAAAACCCCGGAAAAACATAGTGCAACTCCAAATACCTTACATAACTCCATTAATTCAAAAATTTGACGACTTTTTTTAGAAATATTAACTTGCTTTTCTAACTCCAAAATTTCACTATTTTTAACCATTTTTTCTCCAAAATCATTCTTTAATATATAAGCTATTAAGAAACATATTACTAAGCACTGTATCAGCTCTTTTTATACATCTTTAAAGCCCATCTTAATAAAAGCTTTTTATCGAGTTAACGATCGGACTTGACAAAAAAACTATCTTCTAAGAATTTAAAAAAGACATAAAAACATGTTATTTCCTGCAGCAAGAAAAGGAGTCAGAGGCATTTTATTTAGAATTATTTTTAATTAAAAATTAATATGTTTTATTAGGAATTTTAACAAGTTTAAGACCCATTTCATTATCTGTTTTTTATAATCAAAAGTAATCAAAACTTCTTTAAACAAGGCTTTTTATAGATTCCCTGTATTCTAATAGATAATATAGATGGGATAATTGTAATTTTTCAACAAAAATTGACCCGAAATTAAAAGCAGCAACAATTATTGATATGTTGCCGAAGTTATCATTTTTATCTAAAACAGGGATAATTGCAACAGGAACAGTATTATCTATTGCAGCTATTTCGAACGAACTTTATGTGGTTAATGAGGAGACGATTATTCTGGGAAGTTTTTTTAGTATTATTTGGTTCTTGATTAACTCGGGAAAACAAAATTATATTAATTGGATGGATGGACATATTAATCATGTGCGTTCATTACTTAATAATTCTAGACAGCAACATACAATAGCAATAAATGAACGTATTGTAGCAATTAAACCGTTAAAAGATATAGTGGATGTCACAAAAAATCTTTTTGAAGTATCTAAAGTAAATTTTCCTAGTTTTTTTTTTTTTTTTTTTCAACATTAATGTATTTTTATAGGAGACAGTTCATATGGAAGCAAAGGCATTTGAACTCTCACAAATTATTGCAGTTCAGCAACAGGCTAAAGCTGTTCTCGATTCATGGGTTCGCTATGAATCAGCTCTTCGACAACGGGAGCAGGCATATCTTGCAAATACGGTCATTTCAAAAGTTGAAAAAGAACTACGACAACCAAAAATACAACAACAAATTCTTGATCAAAGTATTACAAAGATCGAAAGTCATTTATCCTCTTTATTGTATTTTTTTTTACATCTACTAGATTTATTACGTTAAACTAGCCCTCTACAACCCACGGTTTATTGTCTTTTTTTACATCTTTTTATACCAATAACCAAGCCTTTTGTCATAATATCACATTACTTTTTAACATATATATCATAAAAATGGGTCTTATAATTTCAATTTTTAAAACAGTACGATTTATGCCAACCACTTTACCAACATATCCAGATTCAGCACGGCATACTTTAGAATATCTAATCCGCGCTAATCATACAAATGTAGCAGTTATCCATGAATCAGGAAGACCCAACATGTTTTTACAAGTAATTTTGGGTGCTTCCTTTCCCACTTCCAACTAACATAAAAATAGCACATACCCGTTCTATACTTACTGAATACATCCTCAAAATATCTACTTACTGTATATGACCAAATCATTCCTGATGATTGCCCTTGGAAGCCCAGCCCGTCTGTAGTTACACAAGCGGATTGGCAAATGTTTTTTGGCAATCTATCTTATGCAGAGGCATATAAACATTATTTTGATGATGAACTGATACATATGAATCGTGATCAGCTAAAAACTGTTCAATTTTATGCACAAAATATATTAATACCATCTTTATTAGAAGGAGGTAAAAAAAAAAAAGTTGAATACTAAAAACTAAATCTTTAAAAGATATGTACTCTACAATTCATCTCGGGCTAAGTTTTATATTAAAGAGCCGAGAAATGATGTCAGAAGGTATACATACTGTATTATTTTTGCAGACCAATATTCTTACTGCTAATATAGCTTTAGTATCTATGTGTTTAAATATACACAAGTCGTCTCTATTAGATCAAGAAATAAATACCCATGAATGGAAACATGGTACATATACTTTGCAAGATCTTCTTTCAAAGGTAGCAGAAAAAGAGAGAATTAAAAAACAAACAAATCATGCTGATTCTTTTACGGAAAAGAGATCAGTATATATATCACATTATGTATCAAAATGGGATGTTCAAGGCATGTTAATAATTGTTCAGGTGCATCTTTTTAATTTTTAAAAGATAGCTATAAATCATTAAAAGAAATTCAAAAAACAACACTTTTGCTAGCCATAGCGACTTCAGAATCAATATTATTACCATTCCTTTCTTTCTTTAATGCATCACAAACGCTATTTGTTTTATCGCAAAATAAAGTGATATCAGAATCACAGATACGTATATCTCTTCAGGCGATTTTATTCCATCTTTTATTAAATTATATATCTTTAAATACACCTTGTATTCAATCAAACAAAGTTGATCATTATCCATCGGTCGATATGAACACTATTAGAAATGATCCAAAATTAATATTTTTTAACACAGAAAAACTTCTAGGTTAAGAACCCCTCCAATATTAATCTTTACTTATCAAACCTTTAGCAATTTATTATCTTGATAAGATAAAAGATAATTTTGAGAAAAAAGCAATTTCTGCCATTTACTATTCAAAATAAATATCCCCTTATTTATAAATGTCTAATCCTATAATTGAAAAAGTATCTATTTTTTTTTAGAATAAAATTTAGCAACCAACCCAAGATTAAAAAGCTGGTCTATAAATTAATAAAAACTAATAACCACCAAAATAGTTTACATTAGAGTAATTTATCTTGCTATAAAAAATACTGTTTCTCAATTACATGAAATTAAATATAAAAACATGTAATAATATTACAAATGTAGAGGATGTTTATAATCACTAGGAGGTGGTGGAGGTATACCATATGATCCATTAGATGAAGACAAGGGCTGAAAAGGAGCATTCGGAAGAGGAGGAGGATTAGATGAAGCTAATCCGGGAGGCATAGAACTATACAAAGAGCCCGATGAACCATATGTAGACATACCTGGAGGGGGCCCATACATGGGTAAAGTAGGTGGAGCAGTTCCAGGAACACCATAAGAAGTAACACCATGAGCACCCTGAGAAACACCGGGCGGAGGTGGTATTGATACATTAGATTGAACCCATGGAGGCGGTACAGAGACATTATGAGTATCAGGAAGTGCTTTAGCCTAAAGATAAAATTAAACATACACGAAATATATCTATGATATATACTAACCCAAGGAGGAGCAGCACTTGAACCCATAAGAGATGCCCAAGGAGCCGTACTGGCACCCTCGATTCGTCCCGCTTCATTCCGTCCTTGACCAAGTTCTTGCATAAGATTTTCATACTCGCGATCAGCAGCATCATTTCCATTATTTAGCTGACGCAAAACCTCAGGATCATTTCTCATTATACAATCACGAGACATATGTCCCGCATTTCCACAAATCCGACATACGACATTAGCCGTAAAATTCTGTCGTTCTGGACAATCGAACCGACGGTGGCCAACATTCCCGCCTACGAGAATTTATAAGCTTTATTCAAAAAATAGAAGAAAATACAATTTTGACAAACTTGATTTTCATCATCACGAAGCGTACCGTTAAGTGTTGCAAGATCTCGTAATTGCTGCCGTTTAAGGTCATTCTGCTCTTCAGGAACAGATGCCGCCTTATAATATATTAAAACGAAAATATAAATTAAACATTTTCTTACTGTCTCGATAATATCTTCGATCAATTTAATTGCATGACGGACTTTGTCCTCGGTATCCGCCATTACAAGACAATGCAAGTCTTCTTCAAGATTACTATTGGCAGAAGGATCATTGCGACCTTTTCCCTCTTTAACAGATCCTTTGCCACGAATAGCAATTTTCGCACCCGATTCGGCTTCCATTTTTTTCAAAGTATTGCCTCGAGGTCCAATCAATAGACCAACTTTATTCCATAGGTTAGCTCAAGTATTCTTCTCAAAATGTTAAGAAGAAAGGGGAATAAACTGAAATTGATTTCCGGGTACTAAACAAGTTACTGACAAAAAATAACAAACGGCACAGCATACATCATTTACGGGCACATATATCTTATCCTGGGTTTTAGTGGGACGCCGGTAGTCAACAGGAGGCTTAAAATCGGGTATCGTACACATCGCTTTATTAATCAAACGATGCCGTTCATCTTCAAGACGTTTTCGATATCGAATTTCACGCGTATTCGTTCTACGACCGAAATTATCATACTGAGGAGGGGGAGATGGCGATCTATTCATCCCTATTATCAAAATACCCAAATTAACTTAGAAGATTATCCTACCTTTCACCATCGCGAGGTACTACATCACCAATACGTAATTTCTGACCTATCTCTTCCAACCGCATATGAAGAGCATATGCCTCAAGCTGCTCATTTGTCATATTACTCGTAATCGCCGTTGGTAATCCAATCAATCCAAGTGCTTTATTCCCTTCTGCACCCCCCGTACCCCATCTATTTTTCCGTTTCCGAACCCGAGGACCTCCTGTTCTATATCCACGCGGCTCATCCACTCCTGGAGGCAGCGGTGCTGATGAATCAGACGGCAATGGGGGTATATACCGATTCCCGTGTTGCTTTCCATCATGCTCTGCCTCCGTCCCAGGTTCTTCTTGTCCAAAACGTCGCCGCGACCCCAACGGCACGTTATTCGTTCCAGTTGTCTCGCAATGCATCTTAACCACTGCTTAAAACGTTTAGTTTTAAACAGTTTTCTACAAACTTATGTTTTTTTATAAAATTCAAATCGGAGGAAAAATCATCTTATATATATAAATTCACGTGATCAATATATATATATAATTATATTTTCAAAAATATAATTATAAACAAATTAAAATCAATAAATTTAATAGAATTTAATGTTTTAAAACATTAAACTCTAAAAAAACATATTACATACATTTATTTTATATTTTGTAAATATCTTAAAAATACTTTTAAAGAAATAAAAAACTAATGCAAAAGACTATTTTGTTTTAAAGAGCACTATTAAGTCAATGGTTCATATCTTTTTATTCTATTCTTTACCTTTTTTTAAAATTGAAATTTTATAAACGTCAAACCATTAAGTAAAATTTATTGATAAACAAACTATTTAATGATTTATATATTATTAACAATTTTAACAAATTATTTATATATATTTTAAATGGCATCGGGTAGATGAAGGACTAACGTAAGCATAATTTAACGAGGATTAGGATATGGTTATAGTGGTGGACAATCACGTTGTTATCCATTTTGGCAGCAATTTCTGGTAAAATAAGAATAAAAGAGTGTTTAAAAAGGACTTATATTATGTTCACATTAGGGATGTTATGCATCTTTAGATGAAACAAAAGAAAAACAAGTATGCATCGAAGAAATGGAAGACTATTTGGAATGTTTACATCATGCTAAAGAAGTATATATTAAAAATAATAAAAAAAAGACGAAAAGTTTACATTAACATAGATTCGACGTCTAAAGGCAATTCAACATGAAATAGAACGAAAGGCATCAGCCAAAAAAGATTCAACAACTTAAGTAAAATAGTAAAATGAATTTAGATTGAATTATTATTTGTTAAAACAAATAAAATCATGGGTAAACATACAATTTTTCCCTTTATTGCATCTATTTTATTCGTTTAAAAATGAGCAAAAGTGCTCATTTAACGCCGAAACCAGGGATCAGCAAATATTTCATCAAAAAAATCAAAGGGATCCATATATCGATTCATAAAAGAAATATCATCAAAGATGCTTGTGGAAATATTCCGAGAAAACCTTGGAAATGCATGAAATTGGCTAAAAAAAGATTGCATCGTTTGTTGAGGAAACATATGTTGAATAAATTGTTCATGTGCAGACATAAACCAATCTGCACCTAAATCATTCATATGAACATTCACCGACCTTTCCTGTACTGTTTCGGGTGGTGCACATGCTAAACCATACATGTCGAAAAGACGTCGTTTATTGTCTATCCCTTTCTTTAATTTTTGCATTCTAACTTCGCTAAAGAACATCTATTCTTTAGACGCCTTTCTTACCATCATATAGCACTTCATATGCCTCTTTTACTTCTTTAAATCGATGTTCTGCTGCTGCACGGCGTTCTGCTGGCACTTTATCTGGATGATTTGCTAATGCTATTTTACAATTAATATATTTTCAAAAACATCTTAATCTTCACCTTCTCGCCTATAAGCTCGCCGTATTTCCTCCTTAGTAGCTGTTCTCTCTAAAGACAGAGTCTCATATGGGCTGCGTAACAAAGCCATACTCTTAAAAGCTTTAAAATAACAAAAAAACTCTCATAACAGGAACCGCGATTTTCAAAGGGTTAAGATGCTGTTTACCGGTCACGTGCTCGTATCACGTGACAATAGAATCTTATGGAAAAGAGAAATGACAATGTGAAAAATTATTCTTTTTTAAGAAAAACATATAATTAACTTATGAAACTTACTATAGAATTTGTTAAAAAAGAAAAGTATTTTTCATATCTTATTATATGCTTTTTAACGGAATTGTATAAATAATATATAGATCAAATAAATATAAAAAATATATTTGATGTTATCTTATTTAAAAGCAATTTTGGAAGCTAAAAGGCAAAAAATATGTCTTTAAAATGATTATTTATTTGCGTATTTTTTATTATATAAATAAATCTGTATAACTAATATGCAAAAAATGATTTTATTCATTTAAAAAACAAGAAATATGAAATATATTTATTCAATAAACAATATTTTATGTTTTTGTTTCTAATTATTTTTTATTTTTTCATTTTCCAGATTTTAAATGAATCAAAAAAACTATTTACTTTTTTTGTGGATTATATAAAAACATTAATTAAGCTGTTTTTTAGTCAAAACAAACATTTTTAAAGAATATTAAATGTGAAAAAATCATAAAGAATTCTTTTAATACACAGACTATAGAAAAACAGTGTTGATAACAAAACAAAAAAAATAACTTAAATCTAAATATTTAAAAGAAATAATGTTAAAAGATACATAATCATTCTAATCATCTTTCTATTAGACAAAAAGAAACTCAAATCATGAATAATTATTCTAAAGATATATAGAAAATATTATTTATCTTTTATAAAATGTATGTTTTTTGACAAACAGATGAAAAGTAAATAGGAAAATATCAATTTACATTATATTTTTCAATGAATAGAAATTAAGTTCTAATTAGTATTTTTTATAAAAACTTTTAGATCTACTTTTTAAAGATCCAGTATTGTAATTGCAATATATATTTCATATTAAATTTCTAGTAGTTTTTATTTTTTCTATTAACAATACTAATTATTTTCATCTCAACAATATATCTAAAATTATCAAAAAATTATTTTTTCAATTTAATAAATATTCTCAAAAATTCATTTCTTATTTTTTCAAAAGATGAAAACATCTATAAAGACATGATTTTTATAGGAAATGACATATCTTTTATATTGAATTCATATAATATATAAAGATTTCTTTAAAACAAAAATTATTTAGAATAAAAACGTAAAAGGCAAAAAAATATTTAAACTTTTTTCTAATTTTTAATATTATATATTATTATCAGACAAAAGCATTCTTGAAGTTTCTAATTTTAAAGACATTAGCCATCTAATCTTTATTAATTACTTAATTAGCTTTTACCACTTAAGTGATGAAATATCGAATATTTTTAAATACAAGTAAAATTTTTTTTATATTCTAAATTGCTTCTTATATTCTTCATTTTTTAATTATACAAATGATGAACTATTTCAACTTTTTAATCATCCTTATATTATTAAAAATTGAAGTCTCCTTTAACTAATAATCGAGTACTTTCATTATTTCATTATTAATATATCTATGGAATCTAAGTTCATTCAATTTTTTTTGATTCATTCAGTTTTTCTCAGAAAATAGTTATCAAATAAACAAAATTGTTATTTTCAAAATAATGTCATTTTGGAAATAATTTTATTAAAAATACAAGAATTTATATAAAAAATTAGCAAAAAGTTTTTTCATATGATTTTTTTAAAAATTATTTATACAGCTTATTTAATAAATTATGGATTTTATTTAAAAACAACTCTTTTAATCTAAAAAACTTTCATTTATCACTATTCTAACTACTTTCAATAATAGAATATTGATTTATTAAAAATTCTAAAAAAAATTTAATAAAAAGATTAAAAAAGAAATTAATTCTATAATTCTTAATTAAAGAACACAATACAGTTAAATTCACAAAAAATATACAAAAAATCAAAAGGATACTATATTTCAATGTAATTATCTCTAAATTAATATTATAATAAATCTGTTACAACATATATATAGATACATGAATTTAAAATAAGAATTTAAAGATTATCTCTTTAAAAATGCATACCCTTAATCATTTAAAAGAAAAATAATTAAAATAAATTATTTTCAAAATAAAAAACTATTATATTTTAATAACTTATAATTTCAAAAAACTTTGATTAAACTACATACAGTCATGACTAAGAATGGGAATACAGATATTATTTTTCAAATTTAATAAAAAATAATTCATTTTTATCTTTATCTTTATCCTGATAAAGATAAGAACATTTTATTGAATAAAAAGGCAATGCTATCAAATTCAATAATACAAATTTCCTTTAACATAAGGAAAATATTATCATGAAAATCATTGATTATAGGTTTATAAAACCATAAAACTAACAATTATCTTTTATTTCAAAACTAATATTAATTTAATCGAAAAATCTCAAAATATTAATTACATATTATAGCTTTATTTAATTGATGATATAAAAAAATCCATTCAAATCTCTAATTCTAAAATCTACCAAATATATTTCATTTCTAATAATAATCAAAAAAACAATTTACACATTTTTATTAATTTAAAAATATCAAACATATTAAGATTCAAATAAAAAAAAAAGTTTTATAACATTATTTTTCTAATAAACATCATCAAGTAATATTATAATATCTATTAAAATACTTTTTCAAATTTTATTCTTTTAACTGATATAAAAAACCAATATCCATAATCTTACATGAATTTCAATATTTCTTTTCAATAACTATATATACATAACTCAACATTTGTATTAAAACTAATAACAAATTGCACATATTTTTAATATTTCAATTGAAAAAAAGAACAAAGAAAATACACAAATAACTCTAAATTATAATTTCAAAAGGAAAGAAATGTCATAATTGAATTATTTAAAAAATATTCAGTTATCACCCTAACAACCCTAACCAAAATGAAACAATTTAAAAGGATTTTGAAATGAATAAATGAAAGAAAAATCTCTAGAAAACACATCTACGAAGAAGATATCACCTTCAATTAAGAGTGCAATTAGTGGCGGTATTTCAGGATTTACAACTCGGCACATACTTTTATAATAATTTTTAATATAGATATTAATATGCCATAGATTTATTATATCACCTTTTGATGTCATTAAAATACGGATGCAGCTTCAAATATTACCAGTATTTCCATTAAAAGAACATAATTCTACAAATTATCCATTCCAAAGGATTATTAGATTAGTTAAACAAATTATTCATCAAGAAGGAATACTTGTATACTATCTACATATTAGAAAAAGAAATATTAATTAGAGCAAGGCATTATGGAAAGGAAACTGTTTTTCTCAGATTTTATATATGTCTTATGGTTCATGTCAATTTTTTACTTATGCAAAATGTAAATTTTTTTTGGATAGAATTTTTCCAGAAAAAACATATAATTCTGGCAAAACATTTGTATCAGGAGCTATTGCAGGAGCAGTGGCAACAACGGCATCTTATCCATTTGACCTTTTAAGAACACGATTTGCAGCACAAGGAGTTTCAAAAGTGAATTTTATATTCAATAATTTATAAAACTTATATAATATAGGTGTATTTATCTATTCCCCATTCAATTAAATCAGTGTACATTTCAGAAGGCATTAAAGGATTTTATCGTGGTATTAATGCATCAATTTTACAAATAGTACCTTATATGTATTATTTTATTATTTTATATACCAATTTGCTAATTATCACATCAGGGGAACTGTATTTGGATTATACGAAAGTTCAAAAACGTATCTATCAAATATTGGTTATTCATCATCATGGACGGATGCTCTTGCAGGACTCGTATCAGGAACAGTTGGAAAAACAATTGTTTTTCCATTAGATCTAATTAGAAAACGCTTACAGGTAAATGATGAAATGTATTCCAGAAAATATTAATTATATTATTAGGTTCAAGGCCCAACAAGAAAAAAATATTTTTATAAAGATATTCCTGTTTATAACAAAGTCATAAAGACAGGAATTATTATCTTTAAATCTGAAGGATTCTTAGGTCTTTACAAAGGGTGGTGGATATCTGTTTTGAGAGCAGCACCTTCTACGTAATTAACGCAATTTCCATTTATTTTTTTAATGCAATATAGAGCAATTACATTATGGGTCTATCAAAGATCTCTTAATTTTATTAATAAGTTAGAAGAACAAAGATAATTTATACAATAATATACAGAAATCACATATGTCTAACATAAAAACATAATATTACATACTATTAATAATACTTATCAAATTTAAACAATAACAAGTAAAAGCGTACATATTTTAATTGTTCAACTAAAAGTATTATTTTGACATAAAGACTAAAACTTAAAAAATAAATAATATTTAATATTAACTATTCTTCCATTTTTTGCACGATCCCATTATTAACCGCTTCTTCTATTGTTTCGCCGACTATTGTCAACTTATCAATTCGTGAAGTCTCGTCATCTTGATTTGCTTCTACAAAAAGAACAAGACTAACTACTCGCTGAAATTTAACAAATCTAAGTGGTATTGTCACAAGACCGTCTGCATCATATGAAATTTCTTCAATACGCTGAGTCGGCTTAATTCCTGAATCTGATACATCATCAAATGATGGAAGAGAAGTCATATTTATATATAGAGAAAGACAAGATGGTGCTTGTTTTTGATTTTTACACTCTAATATCAACGAATAAATACGAACGGTGGATTTAAACTATTCCAAAGGTTAATCTACTCATTTTCTTTCCTTGATTCATACAGGAATGTATAATAGTAATTGTTCATCAACATCCGACTGTAGATATCCTTCTTTTTCAAAAATACATTTAGAAGGATATTTCTTATCCATATTTAAACAATCCAACTATAACGTTCATATGTTTTTGATAACCCTCAATTATAAACATTACCTGACGAATATCTACAAAACAATCCAAAGGATAAAACCCTTTCATATCTTTTGACTCTAAAATATATATAACCTCATTTCACAGACAAAAAAAACTAAATACCTTTTCCTTTCACTGAAACAGCCATATTTGAATATTTTTCAATCATAAACTCTAATTGTTGGCGATTTGCACCTGATATTCGTTCAGCTTCTGTTCCATTCATAAAAACAACAAAAGTAGGCCTATATATCATTTTTTTTAAAAAAAAAAGACATATCTAAATAAAAAATACTCACATAGAACTAATTCTAGCCTTAGATGCAACAGCTCTCAGATGATCAACATTTACTTTGATAAAAATAATATCTGAAAATTTCGGATGTTCACTTAAGGTTATAAAAACAGGTGCAATTGCTTTGCATGGCCCACACCAAGAAGCATAAAACTCAACAACAACAATATTGTTCGTATTATAAACAATTCGATCATAATCCTGAGAAGTTTGAATTTCTTGAACAACCATTGCGTAGAAACAATAAAGACTACGAATATTTTTTCTATATTAAATAGATTGAAAAAAAACCTTTATTAAATATCAAAAACACATACACAAGAAATGTATATGTTATATTTAATTTCATGTCCCTAAATTATTAAAATGTTTTTATTTTTGTCTTTTTTTTATAATTCATCCCTTTTTATCTCATTTGAAGGCAAAATACAAGCACCAGGTGTTAGTATTTTCATGAAGTAAACACATCTCTGATATTCCATTACAGAAATAAGTTCATTTTTGATTCCACAAGATAATTCTATCATTACAGAACGTGATGGCCCATTCCAACATCGGTCACCATTATAATAATAAAGCTTATTATGTCCATCAAAGTGGGAAAAAGAACTAATTTGATATTATTTTTTTTATAAAAGAAAAAAGATTTTACCCAAGTAAAATACGATTATTATCATTAGTAGAGATTTGATATGCATCTTTTAAAAAGGAGAACTCATAAATATAATCTTTAAACTTAAATGTAATAATTTCGTCTTTAACAGCATAATAAACATTAAAAAATTTAGATTTTTCCTTTCTTAATAATTCTTTCTTGCCTAATTTCTCTCTTAATTCATCTATTTCCTGATTTGATTCACCAGAAGCATCATAATCATCTTCAAATATTCAATAATTCATTATAAAAATAAAAAATTACCTATAATTTGTGGATCAATTTTTTCATCATCAATCAAAATCTTATGAGATATAAGACATCTTTTTATTTGATCAATTCTACGCTTAATCCAATCCTCTACAGAGCCAAAAAAAGACCTTTCTTTAAACCGAAATAAATGATATTCCCGGTGAATAAACTCAAAAAATTTGTTATATTCATCCTTTAATTCTTCTATATATTCATTATACCCATTGTTTTCAAAGTCTAAATCACTTTTCACTTCTTCTAATGATTTTATTACATTGTCTAAAATAATATTTGATGGATCATAATCATATATTTTTTTTAGATTTCTTAAAGTCTCATCAAAAATATCTATTTTATCCTGCCATAAATACATAAAAGATGAAAGTTTATTTTTATGTTTCTCAAAAATATCGCCAATCTTTTCATTAAGCACACCTAGAAAGGACGTGTTTTCTGTTTGAAACATTTTTAAATTTTCGAAAATCTTTGACCTTTTTGACTCTCGGTTTTTACGAATTGCATCCTTCAGCTTATTCAAAATATCTTTAATCTCATCATCTAGCTTTTTGTCCATAGACTTCATTTTTTTTGCCCATTCTTGACGAATTCTAGATCCTTTTTTATAAATATAATCTTTATTAGCTAATTCCTGACTATATTTTTTATGCTGTTCTTCACATGTATTTTCGCATTCAATAATATGTTCATACTCATCAGAGCCATCACAACAATCACATATTCCATCATTCTATCACCACTTTTTAAATAATATCAACAATATATCTATTAAACAAACCACATATGATGAAGGAATAAAACGAGAAATATGGCCAAAATTTTCACAAAAAAACATCCCATTATTACACGCTGACGTCCCTAAATAACTAAACAATACATTCTTTCCATTTTTCTCCAAAATTCACCTGGTTCATCCGATCCATCTTCGCAATCACACCAATCATCATTTATACGCGAAAAAGAAATATATTGAGACGTATTTAAACACTTCCACATTCCTCCTTCATCTCTATATAGATGTTTCCCTATTTTTTTAAATTTTTTTTAGAAAAAAATTTCAACAGGGACACAAAAAACTTACTTGACTCTGGAACCCCTCGTAGTGGGTCAATTTTCCCAGAAACAATGAAAAAACATATAAAAAACAGACAAAGGGCTTTCATATATAAGAAATAAGTGCTTAATAATCTTCAAATAATACGTTTTATTACAATCTTTTTTTTGTCGTTGAAGATCTCTCGACCTACAGCTCTACATATTAAAATGACGCCTTATAAAGTTATATTTAATGGATATTTGTACTTTATAGACATAGGATTATTGAATAAGAGCAAACTATTATCTATAAATCATTGTATCCGACATTTAAATATGTCTTCTAAGCAGGTTCAGCAAACAGATCAAGAAGAAGGAAAAGAGATATTTAAAGTACCTAAAGAGTTACAATTTTCAGAAAGAAAACGCTACAGATGTTCTTTTGAATCTTTAAATGGGTTTAAGATTTCTCCGTAGTTTAATTTATAAAATTAAAATGTCTTTTTTGACTAAGTTTAGTTATGGGCGAAAAAAACCAATAAAAAACATAGAAAGATTAGAAAAAGCAGTTAGAACAGCGATTTCTAGATCTACGGGTGGTACTTATGATGGGTCATCACCGATAATACTGACAGAAGATTTATCTTTCAAGCTTCGTGTAAAAATTTATGAAAAAATATATTTTTATAGCTAATTAAACAAGATGATACAAGCTTTATATAAAGAAACAGGGCATAGATTGCCAGATAATGTTGTTACAAAGGCTAAAAATGTATCAACTATTCTTAAATATTATAAAAAGGCAATTGATGAATTAAAACGGAAGAAAAATGAACCTCCAGTTAATAAACAGTTGTTTAAAGGTACCAACGTTTACATTGAAACATGAGGAACAAATAGCTAAGGAAATATGTTATATAATATTAAAAAATCTATACAATTTTTTAGAATATATTCAAAAATTATGCATAATATATACATCGACAATAGTTAATTTATACAATAATATTATTTTTAAAATAGAAATGCAAAATAGAAGAAATGCACAAGTTTTGTTAAAAGGATAGGAAAAAGCCTTGACAAGAAAGCTAAATATGAAGAAATATAATACCATATAAATCCAATAATATCATATATCATGTATATTTTCTAAACATATCATTAGAAATCATTTTTGGAACCAGTTTCTTTAAAACCTAATTCTAAAATACATATTTAAACATCGGGTTAAAAACTTACCTTTAAATTTGCAATTTAAAATCTCTATAAAACTTAAAATACATTTTTCGAATCCATAAAAATTCCATATTTCTAAAACAATTATTTTAAATATTCATTTCCAAATATCGCTTTTTACAAATACACTAAACATAAACTTTAATGTAAATTACGATTTTTTTTTAAACATTTTTCAATATTTAACTTATGGATTTTTACTTAATTCTGTCTTTTCAATATAAATCCAACTTGTTCCGCATCCTGCTGCAACAAATGTCGCTTTTCCTTGTGTTCTTATTTGATATGCTTCCCTAACATCATCTTGATCCTCCTTAATATTTCCATGTTCATTCCATCCCCATCCATAAACTTTTCCATCCATTCCAAGCCCTAAACAATGCTCACTTCCTACTGCTAACTTACTTAATCTCGGTAAAAATTTTGGACATTGTTGTCCATAATCATTACATCCAATTGATACCACTTTTCCATCATGCATCAAAAAATACAGACCTGACCATGATGCATACATCGCTTTCACTTCATCTATAGAAATTTGTGGCAATTCATCCTTTTTCCATCCTCGTAAGCGTCCCCAAACATCCAATCTTCTTGTTAGTGTCGCCGTAAATCCTCTTCCACATGCAATTGTCTGTACATTATCTGGCAAATTCATTCGTCTAGGACTAAAAACATATTCACATTTTCCTGGCCCCAATTGTCCATATTTTGTATCTCCCCAACCCCAACATTCACCATTCTCAAGTAAACATACTACATGATATACTCCTGTCTTTATATCAACAATTTTTCGCCCAACAGGAGGAAAATTTGGTATTTGCTGTAATTCTGTTACATAAATACCTTGTCCAAGACCTAATTCACCCCGTTCACCTCGCCCACATGTCCAAACTGAATCTTCTGTTGCAAGCACTGAAAAATCCCATCCTGCTGCAACTGAAATCCAACGTTCTTCTGTCACACGTATAAAACCATCAACTCTAGATGATGTACAACACTGAAAAAAACTATTATTCCCTGCTACAAAAAGTTCCCTATCTTTCGAGAGAAGAAGAGTATGTCTTCCTCCTGCTGAAACAATTGATGGTGATATTTCAAGAATAGGTGTTGGTGAACGAATATCCGATGATTCCGAAACCCCAAGTTGACCGTATGTATTTGTTCCGAATCCAAAAAGCATAAAATTATCGATAAAGCTTAAAAACAATATTTTAAATAATCTTTAGACCCATAAAAAATATTTCAATCAAAAATATATAAAATTGAAAAATAATGATAAAATTTATTAAAAATTATGTGAATAAAAATACTTAAAAAAACTAAAAAAAAGTTAAGTCAATAAAACATAAAAAATTTTAAAGCATACGGTAAAACAGAAAGAAATAAGGGATATTAAAAGACTGAAAAAACGCTAAAAATCGAATAAGAAATTTTAAAAATGTTTATCGAAAAACGAGCGCTGAATGAAATATATAAAAAAATAAACGAGGTTTTATTAAGAATGGGTTGAAAGAAGTTTTTAATAAATTTTAATTAATAATAAGTCAGGCGGAACATTTGGTAGATTATTATCACATTTATGGGGACAAAAAGAAATTCGTGTATTAATTTTGGGTTTGGATGGAGGTATGAGAAACAGAATAAGATAAAAAAAGAAGCATATATAGCGCATACAAGGCGCATATATAACGCATATATATGATTATTACGCATAGTTTCTAACGATCTTTTAGCAGGAAAAACGACCATTCTTTATAGAATGCAGGTTCTAATCTTTATAAATTATTTATTTCTCTCACAAAATATTAAGGTAGGAGAGGTTATTACAACAGTACCGAGTATGTTAGTGTATTTTTCTTATTTTATTAAATTATATTAGCTATTGGATTTAATATGGAAACTCTGTGTTATAAAAACATTAAATTTAATGTTTGGGTATCAAATAACAAACAAAAAAATACATAAAAGTTAATAAAATTATAGGATTTGGGGGGTCAAACATCAATTCGACCGTAAAATACCTATATTTTCTGTATTATTCAAAAGTTTATAAGAATTAGTTATTGGCGATGTTATTATACCTGTACACAGGCAATTATATATGTGATAGATTCAACAGATATACAACGATTATCAGCAACAACGAAAGAATTGAATGCAATTTTAAATGAAAAAGAGTTATCAAATATCGATCTTTTAGTTTTTGCAAATAAACAAGATGCACCGAATGCATTAAATATAGAAGAAATATCGGAAACGCTTAATTTGGTTGATATGAAGGAAAGAAATTGGACTATAATACCTACAAGCGCCATTACGGGAGAGGTAAAAATATTTTATAATTTATATTTTTTTGGTACTTAAATCTTAGGGCTTAAATGAAGGTCTTGATTGGCTTGTGAATTCAATTAAGAATCAAAACAATGGATCATAACTGAATACCTATTTTTCATATTTTGAAATCAGTAACATGAATATGGCATTTCTTTATACCTGAATCGTATGTTGACATATTTTTTTGATATTAAATATTTTCATTGACAAACAAAAACAAGGGAAGAATAAAAACAAACTATCATATTTTATAAATATTTGATTCAATATAATACAAAGCAATTTTTACAAATATTTATAAATCAAACCATTATATTATTAAAAAGAATAAGAAATTATATACGAGCAATTATTAATAATAAAATGTACCAATAATAATTCTTAGGTATAGTACAAGATCACGAAAAAAAATATGTAATAATTTAATATACATCTTAATATTCATGAATGTAAATTTCCAGAATTTTCAAATAATCGAGCCCATATTTTAGATGTCCATACACTAATTCTATCATATGCTGCAACTGGTGTATCGATAGCTGGTCTTACATCCAAATAAAATGCTACTTCACCCGAAGGTTCTGGAGGTGCATCATAATAATCAATTACATACCGAACAATTTTTCCATTACGAGAAACATACCAATCATGCCTATCAAAAGGTAAAGATGATCTATATAAAACTAAATTTCAGATTCATATATTTTTTATCAAATAAAAAAAATACCCAAATTTTGAAGGATAAATTTTTCCAATATAATAAAATAATAAAGACTTTGGTGTATAATCAGATGCTCGTCCCTTAAAATGTGATAACTTAGGATTATAACATCCACGTCTTTCTTCCCATTTTTTTATTTCATTCCATGCACTTTCATTCTATCCATTTATAAAAATAAAAATATAGCATCAAAATATTATTCACCAAAAAATTATGTATTTCCACCATAGGCTCTACAGCTTCCTCTGAAACATCTTTTTTTCCCTTTCGAAGTATTGCATGATACATTTGTTGTGGTGAAGGATACTCCCAATTTTCATTAATATCATTTCTAGGAATTGATGACATTGTACGCCGTGTAGAAAGTATATTCTTCTGATTATAACCCATCGTCTGAGGAAGCTCTTTAGGCATTTTATTAAGAGGATTAATTTCTTCATCTTTTCTAGAGGGACATACATTTTTACTTTCTAACTTAAATATAGGGCAATTTTCATTAGATTTTTTAGAGATATTATTTGAACAATTAGTTGATTCCACTTTAGCATCATATCCTGCCCAAAAAAAACCCATTCTTAACCTTTTTTTTCTATCTTACAACTTAATATCTATCAAAAGGTAAGAAACATAAGTTAAACAAATTAAAACAGTTAACCAGTTTCTTAACTTTTAAATATTTAATAAAAATAACTAAAAACAACGTTTATAAAAAGCGATAATAATAATAGAAAGCTTGAGTATTTATTAATACGCTTATTTTATAGTAAATATTTTAAAATATTTCTTAATATCTTAACTTATCTACTAAAGTCCGTATAAATTAGTCTTAAAAAATTTAGTAAAAAATAACACAAAAAAATAAAAATTTAAATTTATGTTAGGAAAAAGGTGTTTTTTATTAGTTTTTGAAAATAATAAAGAATATTAATATATTTTTTGACATTTATTAATTAAATATTGGCTAATTATTTTGTTCACAAAGATTGAGTATAGAAATGCCAAAAAAAAGTATTAAAGATATATAAATAAGTATTTCATATGTTAAATAATACAAATATTAAGGAAAGAGGGAGGAAATATCAAGAAAATAGAAAAAGAAAGGCAAAAGAAGAACTAGTAGAAAAAGATATAAAAAAACAAAAAACAGACCAAGAAATTAAAAAAAAGAGTAAAAAGGAATTAAAAGAAGAGAATAAGAAAAAAAAAGATATGAACCGTGTTTTTTCAATTGCAAAAAGGAATATTAATAATTTAAATTCATATAATTTAGTAAGATGGATGCAATTTAATGATAAATCACAAATAATTCAAAAGAAGATTAAACAGCCATATAATGATAATAAGAATGAAAAAAGCTTTATTAAGAAGAATAAAGGAATAAAGAATTATAATTTAAATCATGAATATCTAAAAAATACAAAATATGAAATAAAAAAATATTGGGGGTCAGATCCTATATTATATAATAAGACATATATTGAAAAAAACATGTTATTTCCATGCACGGAAGAATTAAATAAAAATGGGATATCAGAAAACATTTTTAGTAATCCTGAAATATTTTTATATAAAATTATTGGTATGAAACCGAAGTTGACAATTAAATCAGATAAATTTCATACAAGATTTCCTTATTATGCTTTTTGTACAGGAAAAATAGATAGAAAAATTTTTATAGGGAGAGGACATGGAAAAACAGTAGCAGAAGCTCGAAATAATGCATGTCTTTTTTTTATTTCAAAAATATATGAAAAAAAGTTATTATTTAATATGATCGAAGAAAATCAAATCGGAAATTATGATAATGATCTAGTTAGTAAAGAAGCTAATGCTAAGCTGGATATTTTGAATTATGCATGTCGCTGGTTAGCTTTACCAAAATTTGAAGTGTCTATTTCATATACAAAAATTAAAAAAAAAAAAATTTATACAGTTACTGCGTATACTGAAGAGCCCAAATTAGCGGGTACAGGAAGATCATATGATCATAGAATTGCAGAAATTCTTGCATGTGTTAATTTCAAAAAAATAGCAGAAGAACATCATCTAGAAAATGATCAGGATCATCTTTTAATTAAAAATTGGGAAAATCTAAATACATCTAACGCCAAAAAATTTATTCAATTTTTTGAATATAAAATAAAAAGAGGAAAAACAGAAACTATTTTTAAAACGAAAAATAATTTTTGGATTGCATCAATAAAAGCTGGCGAAAGGATTCTTGCAGTGTCTCCAGAAATGTATACGTAAGTATTTTTCTATGTAAGCACATATTATAAAAAGTTATAGTAAAAAGGACTCAGAAGAAGCATGTTTTCTTGTTTATGCACTTAATATTCGTAAAGAGATGCCTCATTTATTTGTAGAATATATTGAAGAACTTAAAAAAGGGAATGGAGAGTTTTTACGGCCATTATCACTTATTCCAACCAATATATCAGATAAATCACTAAAAATCATGAAGGAAACTATTTCTCAATTAAAAAATATCCAAACTTCTGAAAATTTTGAGGAGATATATTCTGAAAAGGAAAAAGATCTTAACTGGTTACCTTTTAAACCGAGTCTAGAATTTTTAAAACAGCGTTCTGAAACTCTATTGAAACAATTGAAGGCACTTAAAAAAGGAAAAAATCAATTATTAAACGATTTATTCGAAAAAAAACAAAAACTTCCTATTTTTTCATATAAAAATAATTTATTAACACTAATCAAAGAAAACCCTGTTTGTATAATTATAGGGGCTACTGGAAGTGGCAAAACTACTCAGGTATCAATGACAACTGTTTATGCTATATTATTTTAACGTAATAATAGCTTCCACAGTTTATTTTTGAAGATGCAATTCTTAATAATATTGGCGCAGAGTGCAATATACTATGTACTCAGCCTCGAAAAATAGCGGCGATTTCAGTAGCCCAACGAGTATGTTTTGAAAGAAATGAAAAATTACAGGAATCTATTGGATATCAAGTAAGATTTGATAATAAGCTTGCAAAGCCTGTAGGGAGTATAAATTATTGTACAACAGGTATACTTTTAAGACAACTTCAAGACCTATCATCATCAATACTTGAAAGAGTAAGTCATATTATTGTAGATGAAGTTCACGAAAGGAGTATTCAAACAGATTTTTTGCTTTTTGTCTTAAAAAAAATTATGAAAAAAAGAAAATCTTCTGGGTTAACTCCTATCAAAATCATTCTAATGAGTGCAACAGTAGATCCAACTTTGTTTTGCAAGTATTTTGGGGAAGAATTTCCAGATAAGCAGGCGCCTTCAATATTTATACCGGGTTTTAGTTTTCCTGTATCTTCATATTTTTTAGAAGACATATATCAAAATCTAAAAAATACATTTTCAAAAAAACAGGCACCAGCACTTTTTGATAAAGATACTACTTTATATCTTAAATCTGAAAATATATTCAATTCTAATTCTTGTAAGGAAAAAGAAATGGAAATCACAGAAAATGAATCAAATAATCATAGTTCTCCCATAGATTGGTCCTTAAAGAACCCTTCAAATCAAGAAGAATTATCTTTTATGAATGAAAAGGACATCTCAGATGGCCTTATTGCCACTACTATTTCATACATAATAAAAACATCTGATGATGGATCTATCTTAGTCTTTCTTCCGGGATATTCTGAAATTAATTCTTTAAATAAAGTTTTATTGTCAGGTAGAGCAGGTCTTGATTTTTCAGATAAATTCAAATATCGTATTTATATGCTTCATTCAGCAATTCCACATATGCAACAAGAAGTTTTTAAAAAACTAGAACCAGGGATAAGAAAAATAATACTTGCTACTAATATTGCAGAAACATCCATTACTATTCCTGATGTTGTATATGTAGTTGATACTTGTAAACATCGAGAAAAAATATATGATCAAACCAAACGTATTACTAGTCTTCTTTCTACTTGGATTAGCCATTCAAATTCAAAACAAAGAGCAGGAAGAGCAGGGAGAGTGAAAGATGGACATTATTATGCCTTAATATCTAAAAATCGATATGCTGCATTAGCACCTGCATCACTACCAGAAATTCTTAGATCAGATTTACAGGAAATATGTTTGCAAATAAAAGCAATAGGAATGAAAGATTCAGTATCAAAAGTATTATCAGAGACAATTGAAGCTCCTTCAAAAAAAGCTGTAGAAAATGGCCTTCAAAGACTTTATTCTTTAGGTGCTTTGGATGAAAATGAAAATTTAACACCTTTAGGTACTATTTTGGCTACTTTGTAAGCAATTCATAGAAAATAGAAAAACATAATTAACTATATTAGGCCCGTTGAACCTTCTCTTGGAAAAATGTGTTTAATGGGGTTTGTTTAGTTTTATAAATATTATTTAAAAATAACAAACCATAGAGCAATTTTTAAATGCCTAGATCCTGTTCTTATTCTTGCAGCAAGTGCATCACTAAGAAATATTTTTGTACAACCTATTGATCTTCAAGAAGAATGTCGTAAAGCTCGTACTAAATTGAGCATGGATTATAAAAGCGATCACATAACTATTATTAATTGTTTTAAAAAATGGCGTTCAATTCAAAAAAATGAGGGTAATATTTCTGCATCAGATTTTATTGAAAAAAATTTTTTACATAGAAATACTCTTCAAACTATTGACAATGTAGCTAAACAAATATTACAGATTTTAGTTGATCATAAAATTATTTCTCATAAAGAAGTGTCTGAAGAATTAGGAGGCGAGGAACTAAATAAATATTCTGACTGTATTCCTCTTATAAAATCATTAATATGCGCAGGATTTTATCCAAATATAGCTGTTATAACAAATAAGAGATTACTTAGGACTTGCAATGATAATACAGTTCTTATACATCCATCATCTATTAATTTTCCAAAAAGTAGCAATAAAAATCTTTACGGACCTCCTATATCTGAAGATATTACTCCCCCAGGTACTCTTTATGCCTTTGGTTCAAAATCTAAGACAGATTCTTTAAAAAGCTTAATATTAAGAGATACTACTTTATTAAATCCTTTATCTGTACTATTGTTTGGAGGAAAATTAACACGGCATAACAATATTATTCGAATAGATAACTGGATACCATTTCATGTTAAGAATACTCAAAATTATATTATTTATGAATTTAATGAATATATGGACAAGGTATTTGAGAATTTTTAATTGCCTAAATAAATAACAATTCTGCAGATTTTAACGCAAATTTTTAATAAACTTCATATACAATCCCATCATAGTCAAACACATGACATTTTAAATGAAAACAAAAGTAGAAATATCATTGTTAAAGGCGTAGTAGATGCATTGTATGCTAATACATAATTATTAAGGTATAATGGCAATTTCTATCCATCTCATCTTTAAAATATTTAATAAAATAAACAATTCATTAAAACACAACAATCACATTATCCATATTCAGCTAATTCTTATTTACAAAAACACCAATAACCAATAAAATGAATATATCAAATAAAACAAATATATATAAAAATAAAACGGATATTTATTCGTCACTTAAATAATTATTCAAAAATAGAAAAATGCTGTAGTCATTCTATTTCTCCTTAATGTAAACTGTTAAAACATTGCCTACATTTTATTAATTATAAAAAAAAAAATAAAAAAAAAACCATCTGCAATTGCTTGATTCAATTTCTCTACTACAGTATTTGCCTCAGATCGCAACGAAAATGTCACTTCTGCTTGAACTAACGCTCCATGATTTACTTTATACACAGAACATGCTTGGATATGACCTAAAGATGCAAGAGATGTCTATTAACCATCAATTACACCAAAAAAAACCTAAAAAACACACTTTTACATCCTCTGCCGACGTTCCTTCAACAAGATTACATATAATTACTGTAGTTGCACCAGAAATGCCTTTAATAGTCCATGAATTCTTTCCTTGAGCCGATCCTTTAATTACCGTCTGAGAACCATTCAACCGTGAGTACAAAGGATTTTTTGCAAGCGAGTCATCTTTCTCGAGATCCTTTTTGCAGTTTAAACGCTGAAATAAGGGATTCGATGCCAATTTCTTATGTATTTCCTCATTTAACGCAATTGATTCATTTTTTTCATTATAAAGATCATGAACCCACTTTTTATGAACATCAAAAGGACGCTGATAGCGGTCAAAAAGCTCATAATATATCAAGCCCTTTTCTTTTCACCTTTTTTAATGATAAGTTAACATTTTTTTTTATACGTTCAAAGCCTGTTTTTTCAAAATATACCCGGCTTAAAGGTGCACTTCGCACCCTATCTATAATAAACCATGTAAGATATTAATAAAACAACCTTAAGCTATACAACCCTTCATATGAAAATCAATCTAAAAGGCAAAATTATTAAGTTTTTAAGATAACGATTTTTAAGAAAAAAAAACCGACTAAAAAATCTTGGTCTATAAATATATAAAAAAATAAAAATGATAGAAATGAAATAAATTCTCAAGTATATGAACAATCAGATTCAATCATCAAGAAGAGCATGAAGGATTATATATAAATACTATTTTGATTGATAAGAGATCTTACGCAATGGGAGATTGTTTAAAATCAGCGAATTTTTCCAAAGCATTTTGGTCGGAATCAGATTCCTGAAGGATTAGTTGAGAAGGTTCTGTAAGAGAAAGTTGATTTTCTTGAGAATTATTATTAAAAGTTTCCTCGGATATATCTTCCACAGAATCAGATAATTTTGTTCTGAATAATATATTTGATGAAGATAAATTATCAGGAAGAAGTTTTTCATGTTGTATTTTTTCATTATTTTGTTTATTATGGTCAGATTTAATCATAAATGAACTGAAAAAATTGTTAGTTATGTTTTAATATAATTTTTGATTCATACGTATTCGAAGAATCTTGTTCAGAAGCAGGAATAGAAGAATCAGAAGTTTGCAAGGGATCGATTAATTCTTTTTGAGTGTCTTGTGTTTCAAATGCAATTTTTTTAGTCTCACTTAAACTTAAAGATGAAAGCTGACCACCGGGACCGAATGAACATTGATTAGAAGATCGTATTTGTCCAAGTCTTGATAAATCTCCAACCTTACAATCAGCAGAATTGAGATTTTTTGTGTTTTGCCAATCAGGAACTCCAAATAATGATATACAAGAACGTCCACTCTTATCCGTTCGTCCGTAGTCTAATCTTGACCCACGATTTTGATTCACAAGTCGTATAGCATCTGCTTCGGCTTTTTCTTTAGCTATCTAGGCTAAATGAGCAATATTCGAAATATAAAAAACGTTATTTACATCTTCATGAATTTCAGCGATTGTCTTTGGCCCTTTATCCGCATTTTTAGACTTCCATCCATTTTTTCTTAAATCCAAAATATCCTAATAATATGAAAAAAGAAAATTAGAAATTCTATAAAACTTACCATAACCATAAATTTAATTCTATTTGAAAGATTTGATGTTTTAACAATCTTATCCATACGCTCAATATATACATTCATATGTACGTGTCCCTTCTCAGTACTTTCTAAATCTTTGCCAATAGTAGCTAAAAGTTTACATAAACTCTCGATTTCTTCTTCATCGGGATCAACAACATTAGCAAGAAGTTTCTTTATACACTCATGCATAATCCTTTCAGTTAACATATTTAACTTGAAAAGTTCACCGATAAATTTAATGAGACCCAATCCTCTACGTTTTGCCGTAACGAGAACATAATATTCATCAGAAAGCATTTCGGCTTCCTGAGTATTAGATTCGCCATTAGGTTTAGAAGGAAGATTAGCTTTCCAACCACGTTCAAAATTTTCTTGACATCTATTAAGAAGATATTTTCTAAAAAGAATGCCTCCAGTAATTGGTCTCCCATTTTTATCTAACTGTAATTTCTCATCACGAATTTCAGAACTTGTAGTTTCCATCATTTTTCTGCAAAATCTAGCATACATACTTGAAAAATTCGCTTCATCTGTAGCTTTTTCAAAAGTAAGCTGAATAATTTGCCGTAAAGTTCGCCCGTCTGTTTCATTCTTTGATTGAGAAGCAATTTCTAAAATTTGATCAGTTATTCGATCAAAATTGTCGACTGTAAGTTTATTAAGTGCAGCCTTAACTTTCCGCTGGACCATCTCAGGATCCATATGTTCACCTGGTTGAATCGGCTGAGATTTTAACTTTGGTTGCCATCTATTTGCAGATAATGCCAAAGGAGCCACATGATCGGAAAGTATATTAGATCCGCTTTTTTGATCATATTTATCAACTTTAGATTCTGTCTGTGTAAACCCTGCTCCACGACGACTACCTCCTTTTCTAGATGGCATCCTAGGAGTAACCGGACTCCCAGATCTAGACATAGAAAATCCAAGCGCAACTGGGTTACCGGAACCTGATAAAGAAAATCTAGAGCCAACTGGACTTCCAGATTCATTTGATGTAATTCCAGATACAGATTTATTAGAGGCGAGCTTACTAACTCCAAATGTTTCCTCCGATACATTCGACGAAGAATCAGAATTTTGCTGTGTTTGAGTATTAATATGCGAACAATGCTGATTTGATACAGATTTTCCTAAAGGAAGAGGTTTATTCAGACCAAAACTACCTATAGGAATAGATGTCATCGAAACACCAATACTTCGAGATATTGATCTTGAACTTAATCCTCCAAGACTATTTTTGGAAGATTTTTTATCATCTGTTCCATCACCAATAGTGTCTTTTATACGTTCATCCCAATTAAAATCAGGTTTATCTATATAAACTTTTTGAAACTGTAACAAAAATTCTTCATCATATCTAAATTTTCCAGGTAATGAATTTACATTTAAAGATGTCTTTGGAGGCTTGAATCCTTCAGGATATACAATAGTCTTAAGATCCGTAATAAATACTGAGTTCTTAAGAGATGTAATAGACATTGAAACTACATGCGCATCATTTTTATCTATCTCAGAAAAACCAAGGGGTATAAGCAATGGTTTTTGTTTAGTTTTTTCAGTAGATGAAAGTCGAGATTGTTCTACACTAATTTCCTGATTTTTTATCGATAGCTTATTTTGAAATTCATTAATAATATCACAATCCTGAACCTCATCGTTATTATGATCATTTTGATATTTATCTTTATCCATAATTTCCAATTGTTCTTTTTCTATAGAATTTAAATCTAGTTCTTGAGACGTAGACGTTTCTATGTCTTTTTTTTCAAATGAAGATTCTTCATATACAAACGAGTCATCAACTACATTTTCTCGATCAGCTTGAATTATATTTTGAACCGGCTCAAGAATATCCATTTCTTGAATCATTTCAATTGCATCTTCATGAACCGTTTCAAAAGTATCTTTTGTTTCCTGACTTGTCTCAATCATTTTTTCTTCTTCTTGAGCTATTTCGACATTATGCATTTTCTGTTCTAATATATCAATATTTTCGTCTTTCCGAGTTAATTCGGTCGCATCTTGATATATTTCATGACCAATTTCAATTGACTCTTTACTTTCTTCAATCTCGAGTGTTAAATCTTCTTTAATTTCATCATAATCAGAGTTTTGTTCTTTCTCAGATACATAAAGATCATTTTCTTCCTGAACACTCATTTTTTTATTAACATTATCATCATTTACTGCTTTTTCGATTTCGAGTGGTTCATCTTCATCTTGAATCCGATTTTCAGGAGCGGTCGAAACCTCTGAATCCTTTTGTTCACAAATCTCAGATAAATCAGAAACATCTTTGGAAGATTCATCTACAATTGGAAGTGAAAGATTTTCCTTTTCAGAGACAGGTAATGTCGGTGAAATCGATATTTCCATATTTGTTTTGGGATTAACAATTTTAACAGCTGCATTAACTCGTTTCTGAGGACGAACAACAGAAGACGATCCTGTTTCATCCGTTGTTGCTTGTGAAGACCATGTATTAGTCTCCGAAAACGTCGTAGGTACCACTGTTGATGTAACAGGACAATCCGAAGACGAAGATACGCTTTTGCTCATCTGGACCGACTGTGTTGGAAGATATGAAGTTTGAAAAGACTGTCCTGAATATGAATAAGAAATACTAGGATATGAACTCATTGGCCTCATAAACGAATGAGGAGATATCCCATAAATTGGGGGATAAAATCCTGTTTGATCATATCCGCTCTGATAAAACTAAACATTATATTAAAATTATTAAATTCATCAAAATCAAACATACATAATGCTGATTCATTTGTTGCCATGGCTGTGATGATACTACTGGAAATCCAGAAGTTTGCGATATTTGAGGCGAAGATACTGTATTAAATGGATGATTTGAAGAACTTGAAAATCCACTCATATTTCGTTGTGTAAACCCTGAATGAGACGGTCCATACGCTGCAACACTAGCATTATATCCTGTTCCAGGATAATTTTGAGGTACTTTAATAATTTAATCCTAGTTTTTTTTTAAAAGATTTTTTCATACCAAAAAAATACGGCGATGATTGATATGGATATGGATAAACCATTTGATTCTGATGACATGGAGATAGTGACGATCGGTTCGAATGAAACATCTCCGATTTAATAGAATGAATAGACGAGTTCCTTCGATGATGTGATATCGTCGAAATTGAATAATCTCCCGCTATTTTCTTAACATTTAATCCATTCTATTCATACAAAAAATACATCAGCTTATTTCAATCCCTTTCTTTCTTCTCATACATTTATATCATCTCCTGTATTTTCTCTCATTTCCGTCGACCCATTTGTTTCTATATTTTTTGGACCTATACTCGTTCCTCGTGATCTTACACTATCCGTAGTTACACTTGTTACTGTAGATGCTGTTCTTGACCGTTGTTTATTCCCTCCATTCCCTCTCATAGGACTTCCTGGTGATTGATGATTTCTTCTACCTCGTCCTCCTGAACCATTTAATAATCCTCCTAATCCTCCTGATTCATGATTCCCTCGTTTTATATTTGTTTCTCCTGATGAAACTGCTCTTGCATAATTTAATGGACCCGCAGGCATTGTTTGTTTTTTCATCTTATAATCCTTAAAGACCTTTAAAAAGGTCTTTATTTAAAGATTTAAAATATATTTAAAAACATTTAAGTATAAAAATTCTTCGTAACGTGCCCGAAAAAAAGATGAATAATTGATGTATAAAAGAATAGGAAATCTTAATTTTTTATGGTAAATTGAAAAAAAAATAGAAATAAAAATGAAGTAATTAAAGAAAAAGAATAAGAATTAAATATATATTTTATGGTAAAAAAATTATCTGATATTTTTTAGTAAAATTAAAGGCTATAAAAATAAGTAGCGATAAGAGATAAAAGAGGAAAAAGTTAAAAGAAATATAAATTAACTAGTTAGCTAGTTTAAAAGAATATTTGAAGAAAACCAGGCAGTTTATAAAAAAGATAAGGGTTATAAATAAATTTAAAAAAAAAAAGAAATCGGAGCTAAAAATGAAGAAATAAAAGTTAAAAAGATAAATGATAAAAAAAGTATAAAATTGTGATAAAATTAATGAAGTTGTGATAAGAAGAATAAAATAAAAAAAAGAATAGTACCTAATATATTAAAATAATTGAAAAGTATAATTAAATTTTTTTAAAAAAGACATCGAAAAAACAAAAGATAATTGTTAATACTTTATAAATTGAAGAGAATAATTTGAAAAAAGTATTAATAAAAATGAAGGAAAATAAAAAATAAGATGAATTGATAGATTTATTAATAAATTAGTCCATTATAATAAATTTTTGCAACCCATTAAAAGATTAAAATTTGAAAAAAAAAACATTAAATAAATTAAATTTTTAAAATAAAAATTACAACTATTTTTTATTTTAAAAAAGAAAAACATTTGTATTTAAAATCAATGTAATCTTAATATAAATTAAGATTAGACTCAGTCTTCAAAATATTTAAATAAATTTGTTCTAAAGTCTATAATAAATCATTATTTGAAATAAGCAAAAAAAGCCTTTCTCAGCAAAATAAAGTTCATATAGTACATGAATTGTAACGAATATAAAGAAAATAGTCAATAAATACAAGACCAATATAACCAGTACTTTTTAAGTATTCGAAATAAGAATTTACTGAAAAAAATAAGAACCAGCTAAGGAAAAAAGAAAATAAAATAAAATTCTGTAATTCAAATGTTTTTAAGCAAAATTTTTAAAAATTTGTCCAATTTATAAAAGAAATAATAATAAACCATAAATACAATGCTTGTTAAAATTGTACATCTATAGTATCCAAGAACTAAAATGAAGAAAACATAAATAATATACATAAAATTTTCTCAAAATATTAGGAATGTATGGAAAAAATAATGAATTGATTTGAATCATACAAACTCGTTTTTTGCCTGTTCAATGATTTCCAATAGACATCAAGTAAAATAATACAAAAGCTAATTATCCAAAAAAAAATATAAACATATAAATAACATATTTCTTGGATATATTTTCCATAGACAAATGAAAATCTCTTAAAAAAGGAAAAAAACATTATTATTAAAATATTCTCATAAAAAACCAATAAACTTTATGACCCTATGAATCCTGATTCAATAAACTACTGACAACTTTCAATGACAACTAAAAGAAAGATTATATGTAAAAATTAATAGAATAAGAGACAATTAAAGTCTAAATAAACAAAAAAATACATAAAAAAGTATATAAAATTGAAAAAATATTATTGTAACACGTAAATAGAAAATTCCGAGTCGCGTTCAAGATAATTCAAACTTAGAAAAAAACATCGAAAAAGATCAAAAGGAAGAAGCTATTTAAAACGTGGAAGGCAGTAACTGGGAGAGGCATCAGTGAGGAGATAATATGGCGAGAGCCAAAAATACAGCACGAAAATCGGCAGGGAGACTATCGGAAGGAAGTACGCGGGCAGCGCGAAAAACATTAGCAGGAGCATCAGGAAATATAGAACGTAAGTTGGAAAAGATTTATGAATGTTTTGATGGGTTATATGCATAGCTGGTGATCCAATTCCGCGTGGAAAAGCACGACGATATCGACCTGGTACAGTTGCATTGAAGGAGATTAGAAAATATCAAAAAAGTACGGACCTTCTAATACGGAAATTGCCATTTGCACGAGTTGTATGCGTTGTAAAATCTAGAAAAAAAAGTTATTTATGTAAATCTAGGTTCGAGATATTGCGACAGATTATGTCGCCAGTTTTTCAACAGATTTTGGTCTTCGCTGGCAATCTACAGCAATTTTGTGTTTACAAGAAGCTACAGAAGGTGCGTTATAAAGTATCTATCATTTTCCCTGACAACATAGCTTTTCTTGTTCATTTATTTGAAGATACCAATCTATGTGCAATTCATGCAAAACGTGTTACAATTATGCAAAAAGATATACAGCTTGCGCGAAGAATTCGGGGTGGTTGGGGTGGATTGAGTTAAACTTTTTTTTTGGTCCTATTGTAACATATTTATACCCTTTTATATCAATGCATCGAAATAAAGCATAAGAGTTAAATGCATAAAGGAAAAAAAATGACGCAAATAAAACATAAAAACGTATATAAAAATGCATATTATCACGCATACAATTCAGTCTCATAAAAACAATATAAACATGCAAAACGCATGCATTTATACACATATTTATACACAGATTTACATATACATTATTCATGTTCTTTATTTTTAGCACATAAAATGCAGATATTCGATATATCGTGTTTAATAAGTATTCCATAAACCACTATGTTTTGATACAATGGATTATATGTGTATTTGTATATACCAGTAATCTGTTTAAATAGACTTAATTACATAAATATTGCGTTTACTGTTTGTGATTGTCTGTAAAGATGATATACACGTTATTTATGCGTTATGTATGTATTAAATATGCATTTTGTATGCTAATTTCATCTCGAAATTTCAACGTTTTATATTTCAAGGATTAATCGACGATCATTTTTTTTGAAAAAAAGAAGACTAAAAACAATAAATAATGCTCAAACCATCTCAAATTTTGGAAGGAGCTAAAAGGTAAATATATTTCTCTTTTTTTTTCTGGAAAAAAAATGATATTTTAAGGCTTCCGATGACTTCTAAACAGGGTCGTCAGTTTTACAAAGGATCTCGAACAGGTTCAATGGGAAGACATACAAAGCGAGGTCTATTATTATTCTTAGAATTATATAGAAATGACATTTTTTTCTAAAAAAGTTTAGGTGGTTATATTATTGATTGGGCTAAAGTTAGAACATTCATTGTTCCAAATGGTCTTGATACAACTCCAGTACTTATTTGTATAAAAATAAAGAGGAAAAGAGTTAATATAATCTAGCTGAAGCCATTCGTGACATTAAAGGTACGACCAATACGTTCATCATTTGGGCCGGGTCAAAAACATGGATTTGACGGTAATATTTATTATAAACAATGGAAAGAAGAAAATCCAGAAGAAAAAAAAGAAAATATTAGTTGAAACTAAAAAAGGATATTTGACATTATATTATGATTGAAAATAAGGAGGATTTTATTGTATAATATAACAAATTAATAATAGAATGCATTGAGGTCGAATAAAAACAAATTAAATATATAATGATCAAAAAAAACAAAAGAAATAAAGATACAATTCTACCAATTTATCGTTATTTATAATAAAAATAATTGGCATTTATTTAAATTCACAAACTTAGAATTTCTTAAAAAGATATTTATATAAAAACATAGACATCTATGTTAGAAAAAGGCAAAAATTCATTGGTAACTATCTTTTCGGCACTTTATTACATTTTATTTCACCATTTTTTTCTATTTCTATTCACATTCTCCGTTCACGCAAGAAAAACCCTACCAATTTGAAAAACATTTTTAATTAAAATGAATCAAGTTTATAAGACCTCTTCATCTTCTAAGGAAACTATTAGGAATGTAAGGGGGATACTGAAGGTATGCTTCTAATCTTTTTAAATATTTGACTAATTTTTATAGATACTTATTTTTATAACTATTTCAGGTAGACTTTTAACAAAAAAAATAAATTTAATAATTTTTCTTTTAAGCTTCATCTATTCTTCCTAGACTATTTTCTGTTATAAAGTATGTTTTTCTAAATGTTTATCTAGTTTTTGTGCTAATAAACCTATAAGATATGAATCTATTATTCATGAATTTGATCCATGTAAAAAATTTATATATAACATTATGATTTGATATCAAAATATCAAGGGTTTAATTTCCGAGCTACGAAGTATATTATTTCTTCTTCTCTAGATGAATTTTGGAATTGGTTTGATGATCGAACGTATAATTCCATTTTATTTTTTCCCTTTATTTAACAAATACTGATGAATATTCAAGATGGTATCCACTTGGCCGTGTAACAGGTGGAACTTTATATCCAGGACTGATGGTAACGTCCTACATTATTCATTCAATATTTCATTTTTTCAATTATCCTATTGATATACGTAACGTTTGCGTTTTTTTTGCTCCAGCATTCTCTAGCTTAACGACAATCGCAACATACTTTTTTACAAAAGATTTGAAAGACGAGTCGTCCGGACTTTTAGCGGCTGCATTAATTGCTATCGTACCAGGATACATTTCAAGATCTGTTTCAGGAAGTTACGATAATGAAGCGATTGCCATTACCCTTCTTATGACAACATTTTGTTTATGGAACAAAGCTATAAAGACAGGAAGTTCCTTCTTTGGTTCATTAACAGCCTTTTTTTATTTTTATATGGCAGCAGCTTGGGGTAATATATATACATATATTTAAATACTTATATAGAATGAAAGGTGGTTACGCTTTTATTATAAACATGATCCCTTTACATTGCTTTTGTCTTATTTTAATGGGCCGTTACTCATCGAAAATATACGTAGCGTACTCTAGCTTTTATACTTTAGGCACACTAATGTCAATGCAAATTCCATTCATTGGATTTCAGCCAATTCGTTCTAATGAGCATATGGCTGCTCTCGGTAATTTTTCTGATAAGAGATAATATTGGTAATTAAGATATTAGGTATTTTTGGCCTAATACAACTTATTGCTTTTACAAACTTCATACGATCTCATATCTCTGATAAAAAATTTCATGATCTCCTTAAATATAGTGTATTCTTTATATTTTTATTATCTTTTCTCTTGTTGATAGTATTAACAATAACGGGAACTATTTCTCCATGGACAGGTCGTTTTTATTCTTTATGGAATGCCGATTATGCAAGAATTCATATTCCTATTATTGTTTCTGTTTCAGAACATCAGCCTACTTCTTGGTCATATTTTTATTTCGATTTTTCATTATTAATATGGCTATTTCCTGTTGGAGTTTTTTTTTATTTTCAGAAATTAGAGAACGAACATATTTTTGCTATAATTTACAGTATTATGGCTAGTTATTTTTCGGGAGTAATGGTTCGTCTTATATTAGTATTAGCACCTATTGTATGTGTCTCGTCAGCACTTGGTTTATCATTATTGTTAGACAAATATTTAGTATTTCCAGAAATTTGGTTTAAAATAATATCTAGTTCGTCTAAAGCAAAATCGGATGTATCTACTTCAAAAGCAATTTATCAAAAAGCGCAGAGATCCATAGAAAAACGGAAATACTATATATCTAGCACATTTAAAACATCAAAAGGCATGTCTAATGAATTCGTTAAATCACGAATTCCAAAGGTTATATTAATAGCCACATTTTTTTATTATTTAGTAATGTTTGTTAATCACTGCACATGGATCACATCTAATGTATACTCTTCACCATCTGTAGTTTTATCAGGATCTACATCACAAGGAAGGGATTATATTATTGATGACTTTCGAGAAGCATATTATTGGTTAAGGCAAAATACTCCATATGATACAAAAATAATGAGTTGGTGGGACTATGGTTATCAAATTACTGGCATGGCAGATAGAATTACCTTAGTTGATAATAACACTTGGAATAATACCCATATCGCGGTAAATATATTCATATTTTTCTGTAATGACTAATTAGATATAGACAGTAGGCAAAGTGATGGCTAGTCCGGAAGAAATTTCATATCCAATTTTAAGAAAACATGATGTAGATTATATTCTTATTATTTTTGGGGGATTATTAGGTTATTCAGGAGATGATATAAATAAGGTAAAAATTAAAAATAATAAATCAAAGGTTTTTAACTAATTACATTAAGTTTCTTTGGATGATTAAAATTGTATACTCTAAATATGTTGTATCTATTATATAATTATTTTATAGGCAGAAGGTATATGGCCAAACGAAATAAAAGAAAGTGACTTTTATTCCTATTATCATGGATATCGAGTTGACGAATATGCAACTCCTGTTATGAGGAACAGTCTTTTATATAAAATGTCTTATTACAAGTTCGTTTGTTTCTTTATCTTTCCTTATTTTAATCGACATAGCTTTAATAAAGTATACGGTAAAGGCCATTCATATGATTTAGTAAGACAACAAAATATACCTTCAGATGATATTTCATTGAATATATTGGGTAACTAAACCATCTCCATTAACAAAAACTAATATAATTTCACAGAAGAAGCCTTTACCACTGAAAACTGGCTTGTTCGGATTTATAAAGTTAAAAGTCCAGATAATTTAGGAAGAGATACTTTCACCAAAAAAATACAATCGAATCAAAATACAGACGAAATCCATAAAATATTAAGAATTAATTGATTTTAATATTTGCAAAATGCTTTTTTTTTGCTGAAAATTTTATATAGAAAACACTCTTTTTTCAGATTCGTCTTATTCAAAAAACACTTTGTTGTATTTCTCTAATATAAAATATAATATTCAAATATTTTTTATTTTTCATTAAATATAAATTTTTATTGATCGGCATAAGAAATAACAATTTTTCTATAAATACCTTGATAGCCCACCAAAATCCTATAAAAAACCATAAAAACGTCAGGAAAGAAGACATCGGCTTTGTATATAGAACTATGCAATTTAAGAATAATTTCAAAAATTTGGAGGATACCGATGATGATATTTATGACAGTGAGGATGAAGAATATCCAGTAAATTTTGGAAAGTAAAGGGTATTATACATATAGATTATGTCTTATTTATTTGAAAAAGTTATGGTCTTGATTCATGGCATCTTTATAATCAAAAAACCAAAGAAATTGTCCATGTGAGAAAAACTTAGAGAATATTTTATATGTTTAATACAAGCAGTCAGCTATGAAAAAAAAAGCATCAGAAATAGACCATGCATTCTCTTTAATTGGGAATCGTACACATTGTTTGGAAGATTGCTCAAAATATGATATATCATTGGAAAAACATTTAGAAAAAATAACAATGAAACATAAAGAAATGGATTTTAAAGAGAGTATATTATTTGAACATAGAAATAAAGAGATTGTGGAGAACATAGAGAAAGCAATAAAGAGAGCAGATGAAGAAGAGAAGGAGATTGAACGGAAAAATATTGAAATCAAGCAACAAGAGATGATTTATCAAAAGAAACTTGAAGAAAAAAATACAAAAATACTAGAAAAAAAGGATAATGACGAAAATAAAGTGGATTCACTGGAAACAATTAATGTTTTACAACCGATAGCTGAAGAAAAGAAAACTCCAGAATTGAAAAAGGAATATGTATATAATGCAATGGATCGTGTATTAATGTATAAAAAGAGGATAGAAGTGGGTGACTATGTTCAAGTTAATTTTCTAATATGTTTTTAGGATATTAAATTGAATGTTCTTAAACCAGTTTCAGAGAATGCGACATGGAGAGCATTCTGTTTTCAAAACAAGCGTAAAATTACTCCAAAATGTGGTCAATTAACAAATTCAAAACAACAAATAACACGCATTGTATTTAATATGTTTTTTTTTTAAAAATATTACTAATTATATAGACAAGAGATTTGGAAGAAATTATCAAAACATCTAAAGAAGTGGCTATAACAGTATATCATTGGATATTGAATTTTTTATCAAAAGCAATTATAGTAAAGAATTTCGATTATATTTCTAATTCTAATTTAATATAGAAGCAAGCAGAAACGGAAGTTACTGTTAATTTATATTCAGCATATCCTTTAGCTACTGTTTGTGTTTTTTTGATGTCTACTCATCCTGATTTGGTTGATATACTTTTGGCACGTTTTGCTAAAAAATGTCCTTATACAATACCATATTTCAATGTAGGACTTTGATTGTTAAAAGTTATAGGAATAATTATATATTTTTTAGTATAATAAGAATACAGAAGAAGGAAGAAAAGCATTAGGGTTTTATCGTTCAAAGAATGGAAAGTTTGAAGAAGAAGCATCTTATACAGAAAGACAGTGTGGAATTTTTGCAGTTTTTTCGGCAATTATGCAAACTCAATATATTCCTAATCATCTACCCATACGTTTTGGATGGACTCTTCTTGCTAAAATTCTAAATGAATCTCCTTCCTCTGAAACGGTTTTTGCAATCATTAGCACATTTATAGATATTGCAGGAAATGCTTTTATGAAGCATTATGGATTACAAGCAGACAAGCTAATTCGACTTGCAGTAAATGAATGGGCTGGAAATAATAAAGGAAGTAATGCAACTAGACTAAGAGTTTTGGGAGAAGAATGGATAACTAATAAAAAAATTGGGTTAAAAAATGGAGGACAATTTGAAGAATAATTTATACAGAATTTATATACAAATACATATTTAAGTGAACATATAGTTTATTATTATAAAATAACCATAAATTAATCTAGGCTAAGCACTATAAAGATTTTTTTGTGCATTTTAAAGCATTTTTATATAAATAAATAAATATAGCATTCATAATAAATTTATATTTAACTAACTGGATTTATAAGTGTTTTTTCAAATAGATAAAACATACTATATTTTAATTCAATTAGACATTAATGCATCATTCCAACTTTTTTATTGAGCAAAAAATTTTAAATAATGTAAAAAAAGAATAATATATTAATATCAGCCTTTTATATACATTCAATACTTTGAAACATCAAAAAAGTTTTTATAAATAAATTATTTTTATCAAATAATGTAGATTAAAATATTCAAAATTCGCCGGTGTAATATATCAAGAACTTCTACAATATTAATAATTTCTATTTCATTGTATTTTCAACATTTTTTTATAAAACATATTATATTTATATTTTAAAAAGAAACCATTTATTTTAAAGAAAACTAACACATTTGTTTTATCAAATAAAGTTACTATATAGTTTCTTTTTAACATCAAAATAAAAGCAAAAAAAATTCAATATTAATAGAGTAGAGTATAGGATCTATTTTATTTTTTCTAATAAAAAACAGCCTGCGCTTTATGACACTTAATAATAAGCCTCAAGCTCAACTTCTTTTAATATTATATATAATAAAATATATACTATCCTCAAATAGTAAATCCATAACCCTTATTGTATATTAAATTAATGTAAAATATCTATTTAAACGTTGTTTAAATTAAGATTAAAATTTTCAAAAAAAAACCTCTCCACTATATACAGAAAAAAGTAATGAAAAAATCCGCATATCTCATCCAATTATCATCATCTTCGTTTACCCAGCTGTTGTAGCAAATACTGAAGTTGCGTGACGATTCCCCTTACCACCAACCACTATCCATTCTCCCGATTCTGGTTGCGAATTCCAAGCCGAACTTGATGCTTGACGAACTAGCGCCTTAAGCCGTTCTTCCTCAAGAGTTTTCTGATGAACACGATAATTTCTAAGCCGTTCTTCTTCAATACGAGCCTTTAATAGCTTCTGTTTTTCGCGTTTTACTGCATTTTGCTTTTGTTTTTTTGTTTTTACATTATCATTATCCATTAATTGTTTAAATGTACCCGACTCTACTGATTTCTTTGCTGATGAGAACTCTTCATGCTTTTTAGACTCTGATAATTCCATTCCATTCTCATCATCTAGAGACGCATACAATGACGCATACATAGGGCTTTTTGGCCCACGCGCCAATGGTTTTGACGCATATAAAGGTTGTTTTGATATAGTATTAGGATCTTCTTCTATTTGACTAGTATTCTATATTTTATTACTTCTCTCTTATAAAACTTAGCTTTTTCTTACTTCTCGTACGCATACATTTCGAGATTTTGCCACTGTTTCCTCCAATAACACTTTATCTAAAGCTAGACGCCGCTTCTTACGTACTTTTTGTCCTAATATCTCTCCTTCAATCCTATCTGATCTTGTCTTATCTTCTAAAGAAAATCTTAAGCACGGTACGCCCTTTAAAGCAATATAAACTGTTCCTGAAAAACCAAGGAATAAAATCCATGAAATAAGAGGAGTCATATTTATATCCACGTAAAAACAGAGCTTTTAAATCTTTAAAAACCAAGGCTTATATAGAATATCTATCTTACAGATAATTTTTAAGCAATGCAGCTCTAACCTATGTTTTTTTATATAAACCCTTTTTCCGGATATTAAAGAAATTAAAAAGCTGATATTAAGAGAATTAAAAAAAATGTATAGATTAATATAAATACTAAAAGAATAACAATAAAGTAATATATATATTTATATTACTTTATTTTTTATATAAGAGAGGTTAAAAATGGAGATAATGCCCGAGAGAATTTATTAAAATGTCAAATAAAAAATCATGTATAGGAATAAAAAAATGTAATAGAAAAAATTAAATTTATTTTTATATATATTATAATATAATATTAAAGGAAGATTATATATAAATATGTTGTAAATGAATAAACTACTATATGAATATGTTCTAAGAAGTATTATGTATTAGTAATTTTTAGAGGCGATAGTAATATAAATTTATAAAAGTAAATAAAACATTATTAATGAAGTATTTTTATTGAATAAAATCGAAGTTTTATGTATTAAAAAGAGAGCAAATATTATCTAGGATCTTGTAAACTTTTTAGATAAAAATAAATTACGAGGTAGTTTTTCGAAGAATAATTTAAAAGCAAAAAACCAAAATGAAGGTATATTTGGGCTTTTATGATATTTTAAAGGAGCATATATAAGGTATCTTATGATTAAATCTGTAGAAATAATATAATTTAGGCGAGAAGATCTATATTATATAAAGTTTTTGGGAAAATTTGTATATATGCAAACATCATTACGAAATATTTGTGTTATTATAGGTTAGTTTAACGCATATACTCCATCAATTGATGTTTTTTAGGGGCTACAGGTTCAGGAAAATCTAAAGTTGTTTATATATGCCTTGAGATTTAAGAATTAATAATATATAAGTTAGGCGTTGCACTTGCCAAAGCATTTTCGGGAGAAATTATTAATGGAGACGCTATGCAAATTTATGAAGGATTGGATGTTCTTACTAATAAACAACCCTTAGAAGAACGACAGGGTGTTAAGCATCATTTACTTGGATATTTAAATATAACTGATGCATATAATGTTTTTCAATATGAAAAAGAAGCACTTTATATTGTAGTTGTGAGTATAGCATGTAGGATGTTAATAATAGGAGAAGATAGAGCGTTTGCATGAGAAAAAGACATTGCCGGTTTTTATAGGAGGAACTCATTATTATATACAATCAGTTTTATTTAAAAATGCACTTTTATCAAAAAAGAAAGAAGTAGGAGAAACAGAAGAGAAAATATTAGATAAGGAAGAAGAAAAAAAGGAATATATGTCTAGTCATTTATTGAATATGTCTACAGTAGATTTATACAGTCATTTGAAAGAAATTGATCCGTTGATTGCAAAAAGATGGCATCCAAATGATCGACGTAAGATTCAGCGTTCTCTTGAAATCTACTATGAAACGGGGACTCGTCCTAGTGATTTGTATAATGAACAACGGCAACATAGTGATAAACGTGAAGTTCCTAGATTTAGAACATGTATTTTTTGGGTATATTGTGATTATAAAGTTTTGGATGAAATTCTTGACAAAAGAGTTGACAAAATGTGTGATTCGGGTTTGTTTGATGAAATTAATATGATGTACGATGTATGGAATACACTTGATAAACAAAAAATAGATCTAGACGTACAAAAAGGAATTTGGCAAGCCATTGGTAGGTATAAAGAATTATATTTAACATAAAAAAACACATGTTAGGATTCAAAGAATTTTTGCCATATCTTCAACTGCCTAAAAATTCTAAGGAGCAAACGAGAAATAGATATCTTTTGAATGCAATTGCATCTATGAAACTTGCTACTCGTCAATATGCTAGAAAACAGGTAAAATGGATTAAAAATAAATTATATCCTCTTTGCAAAGCGGCTGGGATGAATATTCGATTCTACCTTTTAGATGCGACTAATCTATCACTTTGGGATACTCAGATACAGAATCTTGCTATTTCACTTTTTTCAGGTAATATTGAAAACACGTATTCTTATGAATTTTAGGTAGGCTTTAGACCTATCAAATCTAATATAATTTTAGACTTTTTACAAGACAAACCGGGCCCAGATCCTCTTTCACTTAATACAGTTGCAGCAACACTACTTTCTTCAGAAAAAATACATGAGTATGTTGGATATATACATATATATATCGTAATTTGATAAAATTATTAGTTATGCATCTCAAACATATCTTTGGAAACATTATACTTGTAACGTTTGTAAAACTTCATCAGGAGCGCCTCTTGTAGCAGTCGGTCTTCCTCAATGGACGATTCATGTACAGGGACGTAGGCATAAAAGAATTGCTGCTAAGCTAAAAACAAAAATTAACTCTTTGACCATGGAAAATACATAAATTTGTGTACGATAATACGATTATTTTAAACTATTATGTATTCAAAGATCAATAAATGAATACAGAAAGATCTTGTTAACGTTAGGGTTATACGATAAAGTATTTTATTTATTTTTTTAGTTCAACTTCAATATTCAATAATAATACATAAAATGTTAAATTAAAGAGTTATAATCAATATTACCTTGTTTGCTAAGGACTATCCGGCGTGGTGTAATGGTCAACATTTGGCTCTCTCATAAATTTAGGGTGCAGCCAAGCTCGGGGTTCGATTCCCCGCACCGGAATTTTTATTGTAAAACTGGATTTTACACCTTTTTCTCATACTTTATTATATTGTTTACATACTACTTATTAAACAACAATTAGTATTATTAAATTCTGATTTCTTTGGTATTATGCCCATTATAATGCAATCAATATATTCAAAACAATCCGAATTATACAATGTTTCATCATTTCGTAAGAAACTTATTTTAAAAACATTAATCATATTTCATAGAAACAACATATATTTATAATCCACGGGATTTTTTATCAACAATTTCAGCTCTTCTTGCACTACTGCCACTCGAAGTTGTTGTTGTTTATCTAACTCTTATTTATTGCCGAAGAGAGGTTGAAGTAATATTAATCTATATTGGACAGATCATTTGCCAGCTTTTGAATGTTCATCTTAAAGAAAAGATTCAACAACCACGGCCGAATCGTAAGTAAAAATATTTTTTATCTATTATAGAAATAATACGAAATTAGCATTAATAAAAGGCTATGGAATGCCAAGTAATCATGCACAATTTACATCATATTTTACAGGATATATGATATTATGGATGTTTTTCAGGCAAAGATTTGTATTATATGTAAGAAAACCTGACAATGAATTAGAGCACGATATTTGCCAAAAATATACTACACTCGAAACACAATTGTTCTTGCTTTTCTTTTAATATCTATCTGTTTTAGCAGGTTTTATATAATAAATATATATTTGATAATTAATCAAAATAATTAATATATTTTAGGGTATATTTTAAATATCATACAATATGGCAAGTAATAGTCGGCGTTTTAGTCGGAACAGCATTCTCTACTATATGGTTTTTCCTTGTTTCAATTATACGCCATTTAGGAATAGTGAATTGGCTGCTTCATTCAAAGCTAAATGCATATTTTTACATCAAAGACACGATGAACGAGGAACACCAATTAATAGAAAAAGAATGGCAGGATTGGAAGCAAAAACAAGTAATACAGCAGAAGAAAGTAATGCCCGCACAGTCATAATATTAAATCGTCCACATCAGTCATATCAAAAATAGGTTTTTTAATTTCATAAACGATCAGTGTACCGTCATAATAAAGCATCTAAATATATTATTTTTTTAAAAAAAAGAATCAATTAAATAATCTTACATAAAGTTTATAGAGTCTCAAAAAAACCTTTTCTACAGTCATTCCAAGCAATCCACACAAAGGCGGATCTTCTGGAAATTGTTGATCAGCAATTATGGTGTAACTTGATAAAATAGTGCCATCTTTACACTTGACCACACTTCTTGCCATATGCATTAAACATGCCTTGCCTTTCTGCGATGCTACAATACAAAGAGATAAATCGGGGATAAACTAATAAGAATATATATAGACTTCTCCATCTTAATTTGTAATCTTACCTCCACCATGTTAATTCTATCCATATATCTTAAAATACTCTCAATGTTCTCATTATTATCAAAAATATTCTTACATTCTGCCGACAATTGAATCCCTGGTAATGTTTCCCTAACGCAGCATATTTTTATGCTTTTCTCGGTTCCATAAAAAAGTAATTCATTATAATTTATTGAAGTGTAACATGAAAAAAAATCATCCTGTAATTATAAATCATATAGTCATGTTAAAATACAAGCCTACATGCTTTTCGAAAGAAAAAAAATCTAAAGAATCTGAACTAATAAGATTACTTTGTTTAAATAATTCTCGAACACTAAGGTTAGTATAAAAACTGTTCTGTACCTCCAAGGAATCATCCGTATCTGATTCATGCAAAGCCGTTTCTTTTTCATCATCTAAATCTGAACAATTTTCGATCATATGCAATAGATTATCCTCATTTATATAATTTTTGTCCATAGAACTAATATTTACTTGATTTGAACTAGACTTTAATTGTTTTTCTGATAAATCCACACGTTTCAAAACTTTAAACGCTATAGAATCAACAAAACCAACAAACCAGCCCCTGTTTATCGATATAAACTTATATTCAAATGCGGATAACATCCTACCTGTGAGAATCCATATAAACATGAAGTAATGAACCTGATATAACATCCCAAAGCCTACATGTTGCATCAATGCCTGCACTTGAAAGAATAGTACCACTCCTATTAAAACAAATACTTGGTATATTATCGTTATGACCATAAAACTTATGAGGCCATCCAGTATTATTAGTATTCCATTCTTCAAAAGGATTTACAACTCCAAGACTCCACAAAGAAATATCATGAGAGTTAGAACTTATTGCCAAAAGCATTTTAGAAGGATGTATAGCAATTCCCCATGCACTTCTTCCAGTATTAAGGATTAAAGGTGATCGTAACAAATCTTCCGTAAACCAAACATTAACAAAACCAGAATCGGTACAACAAACAAGAACCTCCTCATTACCAATATATCCTACTTTAATAGAATTAAATGATAACGGCGTCATAACGTCTATTTCTCCACGAATAACAGAATGTGGCTCTACTTGACATTTAAGCTCACGAAACAAATTTTCAACTAAGCCATCCGATTGAGACTTTTCATACACACGTATAACATCATCTACTCCTTAAGAAATGTTATTTTACAGCCTTTAAATATTTTTTTTCTAGGGAAATAACCCACAAAAATATTTTTCAACCCGACTGAAACTAAACCACAGCGCCAATATTTTACCCCAGAAAGACTGATTCTTCTACAAATCTTCATAGAAAAATCTAATGGCTCCATACTTCTTATCCGTATTTTTGTTCTTTTTATAACTAAATATCCACCTGCCTTATGTTAGATCTTGATTTATCAGCTTATCGTAAATAGCAACACGTCCAGGTTGCCAAGGGCAACACATACAATTCCTAACCTTTAGCATAGCAACGCCAACGTCAAAAAAATATACAAGAGATTTTGAGTAAAAAAATATCAGAAAAATATAAAGTTCTAGTCATTATAAGAAGATAATAATCATTTAATAAGATTTTTTTTTAAAAAAGGTATATATTGATGAGTTTTTTGAGAGAAAACGATCCAGTAATAGTTGAAAATGAGAGCGAAGAAGGAGAGGAAGAAAATGAATTACCAAGAGATTCATTAACATTAGTTGAACTAAAAAAGATTATATATAATGTTAATGAACAGAAGGTATATATTTTGTTTTTAGAAAAAGGTTAAATGGGATATAGACAGTGAAATATGATTTTGAATATAAAGATAGAGATGATCTGGAGAATGAACTCGAAGAATGGTATGATTATGATGATGTTGCTATTATACAGGGAAAAAAAGTTTTTGAGACGTTTTTTTGTAAAGGTTAGGGATAAAATGGTTTAATTAATTTAATTGTTTTAGAATGGATAAATAGTAAAATCAAGGAAAAAAAGGAATTTATTTGTCATCAATTAGAGGAATTAGATTCAAAGGATCCTAAGATACGTACTAAGTCTTGTTTTATTTTATTTTATATTTCTCAAGGTTTGATTTTACTATTATTTTTAATTTTTTTTTAAAATATAGGAAATTATGGAGAAACAAAAAATCAACAAGATCAAATATACTGGATACTTGAAAACAACAAGATTTTAAATGAATGTAATGCTCTTAAAATATTATATGACTCTATACGAAAAAGTGTTAATTTATTAAACACTTATAAGTATGATATTCAAATTAATATTTGTTTAATTAATTTAAAAATTAGACCAATGATTTATGAGAAGATCAATACATTTGAATTGGATAGTATAACATTATTAAAAGTTGAATTAAACTGTAAAATGACATCATTTTATTTTCTTCTTGAAACATTTTGTTCTGATTTAGAATTTCGTAAAAATGTTGGTAAGATTTTTGATTAGGTGTACATTTTATATTAAGATTTTTAGTTGATCTTTCCCCACCTATAATATCATGGATGATTGAAGAAATTGCAAATTTAAAAATTAATCTTAGTATATGGAGATTATATTTTCCTATTATTCAGGTTTTTCTAAATAAAGTTGGTAGAACTATTTAATCTATTATAACAGACAATTCAAATTCTCCAGAAACTTATACTTTGTGTATTTGGGAATACAAAAGATTTCTCGAATTTAAAACGATACCTTAGAATGTTATCAGGATTACCACCAGAGCTCAATAAGAAAGAAATTATAGCAACGCCTCTCGATTATCATATATTCAGACAAAATATTATTTCAAAATATCCAACATATGAGCCTCCTTCAACATTACTAAATATTGATCTAGAATATACTACATTACTTCCTATACATAAAGGAGAAACTGAAACTAAAAAAATGCACAAGGACTCCGATTCTTCTGTTACAGAACATTATGTTACGCCATTATCTTCACCATATTTTTCTCTTAAAACAAAACAATCAGTATTCAAAAAAAATCAAGATTTGCCCTTTTTACTTCCTCTTTCTGATTCATTTGATCTGGAGATACCTACAAGTATTAAAGAAGCTAGTGAATTATTTAAAAGCAAAACTCATATTGATTTATCTACAATACAATTATGGGAGGAAACGGAAAAATTTATGAGATTTGAAAGAGGATGGATTAAAGATAATTTAGATCTAACAAAAGAATCACCATCTTTAGATATACAAAATGATCCATTGCATGATTCTCGATTAAATGCGATTGAGGTTATATATGTAAGTAAACATTGTATATAATATAATTTCCAAGATTTTAGGCGTCATTAGTTTCACATTTAGAATCCTTTATATATGTAATGATGAAATTTTTAGACTTTTTAATAGATGATGAACAAAATTATACAAAAAAAGATACAGAAGGTTTGCCAAATTTAAGATTATTAGTAGTAATTAACATAATTGGAAAAAGAAAGTAAAAAAGAAAATAATAACTTTGATTTTTTTTCTCCAGAAAAAATTCTACATATACGAAAGAGAGAAATAGCATCAAAATCAATCTCCTCAACGTTACTTCTCCTTTTAAAATCCTTTAAATTAAGTCGTAAGTTATAAAATTATGTTTTGCATTAACTTATCTGAAAAGATGTTTTAAAATTTGAATTTCTTTCTCAATTAATATTAGATTCTGGTTATATTGATATATTTAATAAACTTTGTTCTTTATATGATCCAGTAGAATCTATTTCACACATTTCAGAAATTCCTTATTTAAGGTAATACCTTTTAAAAGATAAATTATAATATTAATTATTAAAGCTATTTTAATACATGTAATATGCAATCAAGGAATTCAAATAAATATTCAGAAATAATAAGTGATTTTTCAAAGGATATTAAGGCAAATGATTTAGAAAATAAAGAAACGGATAATAATATAATTATTCAATTTTCCCGGAGGAATTTGTTTTCTTTAGTTAACCATCTTAGAATCCTTCAGAAGATTACAAAAAAAAAAACATACAGAAACTTAGTACTTATTCAGAAAAAAACATGGACTCATCTCCAAAAAATAACAAAAATAACAAATGATATTGTACAGCTTTACACATTAAAAATATTCAAAGGGCAGATCCCATATTATAATAAAAAATGGAAACAAAGTATACAACAAAAATTTTATCTTAATTTTCCCTAATCATAAAAGATAACATGAAAATAATAACATCTATATACCTTCATTGTAGACCAGAACTTCAAGACGATTGGGTTTCAGGAGTTGAAGTAGATACAAATACAGAAGAATCTTTGGTTTGTTTTTGATCTACACATTTAAAAAAATTAACAAAATAAGGAATATGCACTTCGTTCATTAATACGCTTTTATAATTATCATCATTATTCCTTTCCTAATCAATTTAAATAACATAAAAAGACATTTTTTAATATTTAAACATTATCAAAATATATTCTAAAAACAAAAACAATCTTATTGATATAATAAGAAACATCTTATGCATTAATAATCATAAAACATATGAACACAAAATCTTTTTTTTCTCTGACATTATCGTTTAGGATTATCGGTATCTAATGGTCTATTGAATCCTCTAAAACACATTTTTAACTAATCAAACTAAAATATCAACTTCAATTTACCCTCTTCTATTCATATATTGTCGATATTTTGTTGGCTTAACTTTATATACAATACCAACATCATTACCTTCAACCTTTTGCTGATGAGTAGTCTTAAACCCAGAAAATCCAAGTATAGCTTCCATTTGTGATGTCTCATTGTCGATATCATCAACTTTAAGATTATTCAACGTTTTTATATCAGATTTTAAATGCTTTGATGATACTGAATCATCTGAATCAAAAAAATTAATAAGAGATAAAGAAAAAATATGTCAAACCCTTCAATTCCGAAGAACGATTCGTATTTTTATATCCTTGAGGTGATACACTATATCTGCTTAAAGGTGAAATACTACGTCTACGTACATGTGGATTATTATCTGAGCGATGAGATACTGTATAGTTCCGACCACTACGACTAGAATATCGTTCCTTGCTTCTTTTTCCTTAATAAAAAGTCTATCAATACTGACCCAATATATATATATTTCTCATACTTTCATAAGATTTATCTTTCAAACAAATATGTTTAGAATCACTATAAGGCGATCTTGATCTTGATCGCCTTATATTGGATGGGCTTCTCTCCCATCTTTGATCATCTTTCAAAGAATATTTTCTACTCATTTCTTTTCAAAGCCGATTTCTATAACCCTATCAAATTACTCAAGTTTAATCTGGCTTTTAACAATAAAGATTCATATTCAATACTAAATTATATAAAGAAACTTAACAAAAATTACAGATTTATATGGAATAAAGTAAAAATCAAGTATTTTCAAAAAAAACAAAAATAACAATAAAAACAAATCGTACCAATTAATTAATAAAAGAATAACTACAGATTCCGACTTTTTATAATATAATTCAAATATTCATATGTTCATATTCACGTAATCTATAAAGATAAAATATATCAAGTTTTTTTAAAAAAATATTTAAAAAAATTAAATGACTTATATAATTTTTTTAAAAGAGAATAATGATTTTTTATGGAAAACTTGTTTTTATAATATTATTGATTAAAGAATGGATATTAATTTATACAAAAGCAAATGTATCAGAATGGCTAGCTAAAGAGGTAGAAATAGCAGAGAATGCTTCTCTTTTTTGGGGACCATATCGTCCAAATCTTTATATGGGGATTCGAAGTCGAGATCCAGAAGGAATGTTAATGGGAATAATGTGGATGGCAGTAGATAATTATACACAAATCAGAGGTGAATTTAAGAATACAGCGTATAAAAAAAGATTTTAGACTGATAATATATTTTTTTGTCTAGAAATAAGACATACATGTGAACAAAATCATAATATAAAGATGTATGGATGGGAAGAATTTGATGTAAGAAAAGGTGGACGTCAAATTATAAAAGACGATGAAATGAATGTAGAAATTGAAATAGGATTCGCTAAAATATATACAGAAAAACATAGTATTTTATTTTAGATAAAAAAAAAGATTTAATTATATAATAGATGGAAATTGGGGTTTACGTATTAAAGGAAAGCCGAAAAATGGTATAATTTCTATGATTGATATATATTTATTTACATTTGTAATAGTTTACAACAAAATATCTATATTTTTTTATATAGCATCTAGTAATGATGAAATAAAACTAATCTCTGAACTTGGAAAAGAAGTAATATTTAAACTTACTAATTTTACTCATTAATATAGTTTAGGGAGTTAAAGGAAATGTTGTTTTTATGAATAAAATATCAAAAAAAAAAAATATTGAAATTACACAAGGCCCTAGCACGAATACATACCCATTGTTTACCCATACAGCAGAAAATGAAAAACATCTTGACAGATTTATGTATCATAGTATGAAGGTTCCAAAAAAAGAGATGTGGATGGCAAAAGGTATTTATTATACAAACATTAAATCTATAAAATAACAAAAATATCGAGATTTATTATATTCAGTTTTAATTCTAACTACAAGAGACTATTATAAAAAATATAATGAAGATATTCCTCCAGCTGCTCTTTATTATACGTTGCCTAACATAGATGAGGAGGGAAATTTTCATTTTGTTCAAAGAGTATTTCAAGGACCTTTTGAAGTATATTTTAGCAAAGTTTTTCTATTTCAATAATTTAAAATAGTTTGATATATTATATTCCTCAACAGATGATCCAATGACCAGTCTGAATCTTATCAAACTTTACATATTACTAATTATCATAGGTCATCAACTTGAAAATGAAATTATTTCTAATTCAAAACTATTTAAGGAAAGATTCATGAAAATATTTTCTTTTAAAGATCCATTTAATTCAGATAAATACATAGAATTCGCACAAAATCTTCTCTCAAATCTCTTAGGAAATATTGGATATTTTTATGGTGATTCTATTGTGGATAGAACATATAGTTATGAATATCAAGAAGTTTTTGAAGAATATGATTCATATGTTTCTCCACAAATACAAGGGCCATTTTCATTGTTTACAACTACTCCTAATAGATCTTTCTTTCCAAGAGGTTTTTATTGGGATGAAGGATTTCATCTTTTACTGATTGGACATTGGGATAATGATTTAAGGTATTTTATAAATAATGTATTGACACTATTATTAAATAGTAATTAGTCTTGAAATAATAAAGAGTTGGTTCTCTTTAATAGATGATGATGGATGGATTGCAAGAGAACAAATACTTGGAGACGAATCTAGAAGCAAGGTTCCCAAAGAATTCATAATTCAATATTCCTATTGTGCTAATCCACCAACACTTATTTTACCTATTATTTCTTTTCTTGAAAAACTTGAACAGAATAACAGAAATGAAACTGGTTAGTATTTTATTGACATTTTAATTATTAACTTAAATAGATCAAGGTTAATTCTAATTCAAATTTGATAGTTCTAAATTAACAATTCTATAGACAACAAAAAAGAAAATATCTATTCTAAATATATAAAATATCCAGAATTGGCTATTGATTATTTAAAAAAAATTTATCCACTCATTTGTCGTCAATATAATTGGTATAGAAGAACCCAACAAGGAGAAATAGAGGAATGGAACAGAAATGCATCTTCCCCTAATGAAGGATATCGATGGCGAGGATGTACTCCTCAACATTGTTTTGCTAGTGGATTAGACGATTATCCAAGAGCATACCCACATAATGGAGAATTGCATTTAGATTTATTATCATGGATGGGGCTTTTTACTAAAGGACTTAAAATAATTGCTGAAAAAATTGGCTATCAAGAAGATGTTGAAAAATATAAATCTATTGAAAACGCGATTATTAAAAATATTGATGGTAAAGAGAAATCTATATTTTTCTAGCTTTAATAAAATAGATTTACACTGGAGTGACGAACACAATGCATATTGTGATTGTACAATAGATAAAAAATGCAATTTTTTCAAAAATAAATATTCAACGACTAATTTCATTAGATTTAAGCATTCATGAGTGTCATATAGGTTATGTTACTATTTTTCCTCTTTTAACGGGTCTTTTATCAGCATCATCACCGCGTTTTGATAAATTATTAGATATAATGTATTCATCCGATCATCTATGGTCTTCCTATGGACTTAGAAGTCTTTCAACTAAAAATCCATACTTTGAAAAAGACGAAAATTATTGGAGAGGTCCAATTTGGATAAATATCAATTATATGGCTCTTCAAAGTTTGTATAAAGTAAAATTATGATTTATTTAGTTCTTTATTGAAATGAACACTAGAATTATATTAATACGCCTGGACCATATCAAGAAAAAGCAAAAAAAATATATCATGAACTAAGAATAAACATAGTTAATACGGTTTTTAATGAATGGAAACGTACCAATTTTGCATGGGAGCAATATAATCAAGCATCAGGAGCCGGTCAACGAACAAAAGGATTTACAGGATGGACTAGCTTGATTGTTAACATTTTGTCTGAAAAATATTAAGACCTTATACTACATATAAAAAAGTATATTTCTTTGGAGATAAGCATTATATATTCATTATTTTCAATAAGTACATTTAAAATCTCCTCCCTCTCTCCCCTTCCCCAAAAAAACATGGTATTCATTAACAATATTACACAAATTATCTTTCATCTCACATTTTTACGCCATTTTGACATCATTCTAAATAATATATCTCTTGTTGAATATTTTTTACCGACTTTTTTCTGACTCTTCAGTTTCCAATGCATCATCCACAAATAATCTAAATTAATTTTCCGAAATGGTCTATACAATGTATCATGGTATCTCCGGTGCTTATTAACAATAACTTCTGTAACATCTGGAATAATTGGTAAACATAAAAAACTTTGTCCATTTATAAGAGATTTATTTTGATTTCTTCGCCACCTAGACCTTCTTTTAGGCGCATAAATACTCGACCGTGCTAAAATAGAACCATCTACCGTTTTAGATTTAGACCGTCGACCATCTAATTTAAATTGTTTCGATCCTAATACTTGTTTTCTACCCTCAAGATTTTGTGAACGTCGTTGACCAGAACGACCTCTGGACCTTAATAAATCACCCTTATCCTTTAATATATCATTATTAATCATATCCTTCTGTAAATATGACTCATATATAGGACTTGATTCAACTTTTGGTGCTGCCATTTGTAACATCGCCTTTTGAAATTTCTCCTCAAACTTCACCAAATTCTGGCTTTCAATCGATTTTTCAGGCACAACACTAAAATATACCTCATTGAAGACGATTTCAACGGCTTTTCTGAAGGAATTTGGGTCAGTTTCTTCAGGTTTTGGTGCCTCATTTTCCTGCATCTCAATGTTTGAGGTTGGTCACCATGACAACGCTATATATTGTTACCACGGCAACATCTGACGACAAAAAAATAAGGAATTTTTTATAGATTAAAGAAGCCTTTAAGGTTGGGGATTTAGGATAAATAGTAGTGCTTTATGATAAAAATAAGAATATTTTATCTTATGTTTTTGTAGATTTCTTTTTTTTTTGGAAAAAAAACGAGTAAATATTAATATATGAACAATTTTTTTTTTTCCGAAACATATATGAGAGATACAGGTACATATCTCTCTGGAATGACGGTTATTTTCTAAAATATATAATATAAAATGGTTATATTTATATATTTAGTTTTCTTTAGGGTGGTGGTTTTTTATTGATTCGGTGCTTTATAGCAATATTGTAAATACAGAAAAAATCCATATAAGTTTAGTTGATTGGATTCCTTGTATTTTATCAACAGTAGGGATGCTTATGTGAGATTCAAAAGAAGAAAAGGGAGAATTATCTAAATTTTAGGATAGGATTAACTCAATAGATAAGGACAGACTGATTTCAAACTCCTTTACATATACTAGATATAACGTAGTATGGAAAGCAAGGTTATTATTATTTCTTGGATTTTCGCTTTTAGCAAGTGGTGTTGCAGGATCTTTTGTAAAATTTGCAGTATAATTTTAATTACTAATGAATGAAGACGGTACTTATCATTAAATACCTTTTACACAATTATCCCTATCAAATATTTTGTCTTGGAATTGAAAATGCAATTGCAAATTCTTTAATCGCATTGAGGTAGTCCCGGTATATAAATATATTTATATAAATAATTTAGTACAATTATTCTTTGGGCAGCAATAAATCATGAAAACAGTCAATATCATTATAATCTTACACTAAACTAATGTGTAGCAATAAAGATGCCGACAATACATATTCCAAATTATAAACCAAAATAACTAATGCCTGTATTAATCTAAAATTTCAAATAACATTAATATAGTTTTTAATAGCAGCATATAAAAAAATTAAAATGATCATTTTGCCATGCTTATAGATAACATTAATAAATATTATCTAAATATCCAGCATACTAAAAAGTGTACAATACTATATACGACGTATATCAAAAAGCTTATACTATTCATTAAAAAAGATTTTAAAGATGCAAATTTGCATCACATATAACATCCTTAAATATTCTTACATATTACTTGCTAATCCAATTTTATTCGTGTTTTTTCTAATGATATTGGCTGAAAATTATAAATATCAATTCCTCTTGCATTAAGTTCAGGAACTACATGTGGAGGAACCAATTTTTCAATTAAATCAGGACGGATAGACAATTCTATAAAAGAGTATAAAAGAAGTTTTAAGAAATATAAATTCATACCATGCTCAGTAAAATCAAAAAGAGGAGGTAACTTTCGGATCACCATGGAACCATCATCATCATCAGAAGGATCGGGTAAAGATATATTAGGATCTCTTAATTCATCAAAAAAAGGATGGACTAAAGCTTCAATAGCAGAAAACCTAGAACCCGGTGTGTATTCTAAGAGATGAGAAACCAAATCAATAGCATCGCTGGGTGTTTCTCTCCGAAATATCTGGATATAATTAAGTATAGAAATAGAAAAAAACATAAAAAATAAATACTCTATTAAAAGGACGAGACTTAATTTGTGGAAATTTATGTTCCATATAATTAGGGTTCATTGTTTTAATTTGTTCACGCGTTGGCGTACCTAACACCTTAATAATCTCGACAAGCTGGTCAATACCCGATTCGCCAGGAAAAATAGGCTGACCAAGCATAAGTTCTGCTAGAACACATCCAGTGGACCAAATATCTAAAAACATATTAATATATTATAAAAGAAAAAAAACACAAAAAAACCTATTTTAGTAGTATAATTTGTTGCACCAAAAATAAGCTCAGGTGCTCGATAATAACGAGAGCATATATATGAAACATTAGGTTTCCCAGCAACAAGAACTTTAGCGGAACCAAAATCACAAAGTTTAAGAACACCTATAGCAGGATTAAGTAAAAGATTCTGTGGTTTAATATCACGATGACAAATGTCTTGAGAGTGTATATATGCAAGAGAACGAAAAAGCTGGTAAATATAAATCTTAATATCAAAAAGAGGCATTGTTTGTTTTTTCTTAGCATAATTCCGAGACACACGATATACTGTTTCTGGAATATATTCAAGAACAAGATTAAGATAAATTTCGTCTTTCTAATATACCTCTTCATTAATATCTAATCAAAAAAAAAGGATTCCATACACGTTCACCATTCGAATAGAAAAATGCTTTAAGATCAACAATATTAGGATGACGAATTAAGCGCATAATCTGAAGCTCACGGTTCTATAAGAAAATAAAAAAATATATCTTCAATAATTGCCATCTTTACCTTAAACCGTTTATCTTGTAATACGCGTTTAATAGCCGCATCTTCATTCGTATCAACTAGGCGTGTTTGAAAAACAACACCAAAAGAACCACTTCCTACAATTTTACACGATGTATAATTAAGTTCCCGCACTTTTCCATCTCGTGGATAATGAACATTTTCTTGTTTAATAATCTTGAAAGGATCTATACATATTAGAAAAAGTTTGATCGATTCAATTGATAGAAAATAAAGCGCCATCAAATGCTCTATTTTATCTGTTTATTATTACACCCTTTTTTATCCTCATCCAATAATCAAACAACTATTTTCATTAATTTAACAATCATCATTTAGTTTCTGTTATTTATTTCTTTCATAAAGTAAAATAACTTTCTAATAATCATTATATATCCCCTTAATACTTTATTAACTCTCTTAGACGCTTCACTATCTATCACATAATTTATATCTTACTGAATGTTAACCCTTGTAATCCTTCACACATGATCAGATTCACACAAACTTTGCACAAAATATTCATCAATATACAACCTTTGATCATTATATCCATACTTACTTATAAAAAGAAAATCCTATGTAGCGTATATATGAATATAATTTCACGCCAATTAATCTATATCTTACGCCTATATATATACCTTGTATACAATATTTGGGTTGTTTTTTCAATTTAAATATAACTAGCACACAAAATACTATATGCTGAAAACTATAGGTGTATTATATACGAATTATAACTTCCAATACACCAAATTATGTATATCAACTGAATCAAACTTTATACGTTATATATGCACCAAAACTTATATTTGTATTCAATATCCAGTATATGCCCTATACAAATATATAAAACCCTTAAATTATACATGCAAAACCAATATATGCTGTATATATATCGAGCTGTATACACCAAAGTATATACACTTCTATACTGAACTATATGCGTTATATGCACTTCGATTGCTTATTAACCCAACCAGTATCCTTTCTTTTTAATACGCGCAAAATCTAATACATTTTTATAAGCATCTACCTGATTAATAACACTTTATTTTTTACCTTTATGAATTCTATTACCAAAAATTATTACTAAATAATTTTACACTGATTTTTCAATATTTTGCAGCCTTTCAAACGCCTTATTAAATTCAATTTAAACCTCGTAGACAACAGAATCCAATTCCCACAATAAAAAGCCAACTATCTTATCTCTCTAGACCATCGAGTATTTGTTATCTTGTTTGCTTAACCGTGGCTTTTCTCATAATTCAATGAACCGCAGAACCCGTCCAAGGTCTTAACCCTAATCAACGGGTGTAACCCTGTCAAGGGGTTTAACCCTATGGGGGGGGGGGGGGGGTTAAACCCTACTCAGAGCCGCCTTTGAATGAAAAAAGGTCTAGGGTTAGAATAAGTAGAGATTTGGGATTAATAGCTTTTATAATCCTTTTTTTTTAAAAAATGAATAAATTTCTTAAATAAATCAAAATATCTTTTTTTATTCATCACGACTATTATTATTTTCAAGCGTAATGCCGACACCCACATTAATAGAACTTTTAGAATGATCGAGTTCTCCAGAAAATGTAAACATTAATGTATTTGCCAAACGCCTTTCTAATAAACATGAAACTTTACCTGTTGTATCTATTTGTCCGCGAAAAACACTGTTCATAAATTCATATTTTGCACCGATTGCAGTGATTCCTTCCCTTTTAACAACACCAAGAGGGGTCATATCAGGTGAAGCAGTCACAAGTTGACATTCTGTTCCTACTTGGACTTTTGGTGATAACCGTCGCCAATAAGTAAAAGAATAAATGCCTTGGGTTGCTATTTGTGCTGTTGCAATCCAATCTTTCTCAACATAACGTCCAACATAACTTAACATAGTATCTTCAGGACCTGCTGCTGAAGGAGGTTTCTGAAGAACACCCTCAATACCCAACGCTAATTTTGGTGTAATTGTTTGAAGGAAATTAGCAACAATAATCCCAGTTAATCCGTTATCTAAAAATGACGGATTCATATATTTTACATTAATGCTTGTATCTGAACCCTGATAATCATGCTCAAACTGGGCAACTGATTGTCCTGAAATTGGTGTTAACTACTCTGTAAGAATTAACTGTCACCTATAAATGTTTTTTACCTGCATCTGGATCTTGGATGCCATACTAGGTGTCCACTGACAATTTAATCTCATTGACAACTGCCCATCGGAATCCATATTTCCTGTAGCAGTAAACTAATAATAAAATCAATATAATTATTTATATATAAATGGGATCAATTACTTTTTTTGTCCCAAAGACTGTTCCAAAACTATATGGAGGAAACATTTGAGTCCCCAAGAAAAAAGAATGTGTAATCTGAAACGTACAATTATCCTTGCAAGAAAATACTTTCCCTAAATCTGCTCTCGCACCACTAAACATCATCCGAGTTAATAATACATCTTGTTGAACTTCTTTTGACAAATATTCAACTGTTCCTGGACTTGAAAGACCCAGAGATGCTCGAGTATCACGAAACATCTTAAAATTACTTTTGATATATTCTCCAATTGGAAGAAAAGGGGTATACCAGCTTTTTTCATCCATTTTTAAATAACTTAAATAAACTTAGTTAAAATGGCTTCTTTTTAACCGTTTTTTTTTCCTGAAAAAAATATATAAATATATTCTAAAGCTCCAAAAGATCCAGAATTCTTTATAAAGCTCTTAAAGGGCCTTTTTGGCCCTTTATTACTGTATTTTTTTACGTTGAAATATTAATTTTTGTCAAAGAAATTAACGTTGGATATTGTTAAATACAACTTACAATATATTTGAAGATTTTTTTTAAAAAAAAAGACTAAAAATAAAGCAATTTCAATAATAATAATAATAATAAAATAGCATAATAAGATTGTTTCTAAATATTTGCTTTTTTTCCAGAAATTTTAATAAGAAATAGATCTTTAAATCTTTAATATTTATAAAATCTTTGTAATACAAGTACTAGCAATAAATAACAAGAAGAATTCTATTTATTTGAAGAAATAAAATCCTTTGATTATAGAAAGCTAGATAAAATGAATAAAAATACAGAATTTTCAACCTCAGAGCAGCCATATATAGCACAAACAGAAAAGTAAGATAGATCTATTGATAGATCAAAGACTTTTAAAAAGATATTAAACTAATCGTTACATTTAAGATTCTTCCATGGAGGAAAAATAGCAATTATTATGGGTAAACTATATTTATTGTTTATAATATTAGAATTTATCATTTTTCATAGTTGGGCTTCCAGCTCGTGGAAAAACACATCTTTCAGTATCAATATGTCGATATTTAAGATGGTATTTAACAATTATATTATATTTTGTGTTTTAATAGGGATTAAATATTCAGGCTTGGTGTTAAAACTCATGTTTTTCATTTAGGAGACTATAGACGAAAAAATTTGAAAAAAGGAGAAGTTTTGCCAGAAGATTACTTCTATGCAAATCGTATATTTCTATAAAAAACCATTTGCATATAATTGATCTTAATTAGCATCTGAAAAAACTAAAGAATTTCGTAATTCAGTGCTTTCATGCTGTAAAATAGATATAATAAAGTTTTTCGATTCTGAAGAGGGTCAAGTTGCTATTTATGATGCAGTTAACCCTAGAATCTCAGATCGCCAAGGATTAGCTACTTTTTTTGCAGAAAAGAATATTCAGGTATATATATTTTATCTTAATCATTATTGATAAAAGTAAATTAGCCACTTTTTATAGAATCACTTTGTGATGATCCAGATATAATTGAGGAAAATGTTAGAAATTTAAAAATATCATCACCAGATGTAATAATTCCTTTATTATATATTTTTTCTTATTAATTCTAAGTATGCTGGGTGGAAACCAGAAGATGCTGTTAAAGATTATTTTCTACGTATTAAAAATAGAATACCAATTTATGAAACAATAGTAGAACATGATTTAAGTTATATTAAAGCAAATATCGTCTATCTTATTAATAACATCTAATAATATATCTAGATCATAAATATAAACCAAAAACTGATAATCAATAATGCAAATATTGGATATTTACACGTAAATAAAATAATTCAAATACGTTGCATTAATAATATTCTAGTCACGAATCATATTTTATTTGATGAATTTGCATATAAAACCAAGAGTTATTTATTTTGCTAGGGTAATATTAATAATATTTCTTAATAACTAAATATAACAAGGCTTGCAATTCCTTACATGATTCCAATTTTAAAAAAGAAGACGATTTTTCAGATCGAAAAAAATACGAATATGCAACAGCACTTGTAAATACATTATTAAAACATCGAGAAACATTGCAAAATCAATTAACTTCTGATAAAAACAAAGAAATAAAGGATTTAATGGTCAGACTATTAGTTTCATAAATTCTTGCTAAACATTGCAGATTTGGACACCCATTAGTGATAAAATATGTTATATTGCGGATCTTTTACGAAATAATGGATATATAATATACCAACGACCACAATTACGACAAATTAATTTGGGCATGGTTGAAGATATGACATTAGAGGAAATAAAAGAAAAATATCCTCTAGAAATTCGATGTTTTCAAGAAAATCCAAATACCCATCGTTTTCCTCGTGGAGAAGTATATACATATATATTACATTGCATAGACTAATTGTTACAGAGTATGCACGACTTAAGGCATCGACTTGAACCTGTTATTTTTGAAATTGAGAAAGAAAGTAATGATATTCTCATCGTTGCACATATTAGTGTTATCAAACTTTTATACGCTTATTTTATGAATACACCAACTGATGTAAAACAAAATTTCATTTTGACATTTCTTATATTTATACAGAAAATTCCATTTCTAAATTTACCAAAAAATCAAATCATAAAAATTATACCCGGAGCTTATATTTGTACTGAAACAAGGATACATATACCAATCACTTTATCTTAAATACGTCGATTGTAATTACGATAGCGGCTGCAATTTCGACTTGGAGAGCGACTACGATATCGAGATTGATAATGAGATCTGATAGCATCTTCACGAGATCCCCGTCTCACTGGCAAATCCTGCTCATCTTCCCGACGAGCCATATATAAATGTTCATTTTGCTTAAGTCTTCTTGTATCTAATACATTTTGCTTTTCTTTCTGTTGTGTATAGTGTCGAGTCATCCTGTCACGTGTAAGTCACGTGAAAATAATATCAAACTCATTGATTCACATACGTTTGAAATCCAATCCCTTGAACGGTATCTGCCGCCTTAACAGCAGTTCCTATCCTACTATCTTCGTCCTCTCTCTCCGTACGATGTATTGCTTTTGCAATATCTTGTGATATTTCATTTGATTCAGTTGTTTTTTCAACCTTAAAACCTCTATTAAATAATTAGAATATCTTATAAGTAAACATAGTTTTACAATGCTTCAGCAAGTGCATCCTTTTCTGCTTGTTTTATTAATTTAATTTCTTCATCTCGAGCAGATAGAGAAGCCGTAGATACCTCTTTTTTATTCTTTGTGTACCATGTAAGATCCCGACCCTTCTGCCAACGTCCAACTGGAGCACGAAGTGAATGACCTAAATAATTTTCACGATACTTGTCTTCTTTGACATTTTCCCATCGGAAAAGGCCATGACCTCCACGATTTCCTTCACGAATAGGCCCTGTCAAGAGATCTGCCATTTCTTAAGCCAAGGTGGTTTACGGAAAATCGGTGTCAGAAATTAAAGTAATATAAAAACAAAGATAAATAAGAGAAAAAATATAACTAAATTATCAAATAATAATACTAAGAATTATTTTATTTATTTATGCAAACTTATTTTTTCAAGATTTAATAAAAGTTAGGTTTAATATCTTAGTAATATATTTATTGTTTTTATATTTTACAGTCATTTGAAGTATTATTAGTGCAATCTAAATGTGAATTATTAATTTTTTTTGCTTTTTTCTTTAGATAAATAATAAATCAATTATATGATTTGCAAAATCTATTTGATGATTGGAATAAAAAATCAATTATAATTATAATTAAGATAAATAAAATAATAAATAAATTTATTAATCATAAAGCTAATTATAATAAATTCTTTATCATTTATATTTTATCATTTTTGGTTTGATAAAGTAGAAAAATAAAAATGAATTTTAAGCCTAAAAAAATACAAAATTAAACTTAATTATTTAAAAATTAAGATATTAAAATAAATACATTTATAAAAGAAAAAAAAACAAAAAAATTTAATATAATTTAACAAAATAACTAAAAAACTAATAAATATGTTTTTAAATATCTAGTAATATGATAAATTACATTAATATAATCTATATATTATATAGATTATACACGTTTTTATATAAATCTCAATAATAAAAAGTCCAATAAATTCAACTATCCACAAAAATCGGAAAAAAAAGAATTATATAATAAATTTCTCTGTATTTTAAAAAATTCTCAAATATTTCTAAAAATACATAAATTCTAGCAAGAAATCAAAGAATTTTAAATAAAATTACAAAAAACATTATCTTTGTTAAATATTTTATTATTTATCAAGAACAAAAAATACAAAATTATAACAAAAATCCATACAATAACAAAAAAATTAAGAAATCAATATATATAGATCATAATTTATTCATTTACTTTATTTTTCATTTTTCTAGAGCATCACTAAAAATGCTAATTTCGCTGTAAATATCTACATAAAATAGCCTTTTCTTCAAAATATTTCTCATTCCATCACAAAAATCATTTAGAATACCCTCATATTAAACAAAAATATAATATTTCTATTTAATCATTCTCTTTTAATAAAATTAAATATAAATCATCATTTTTAACCCAAAAAAAAACAAAAAAAAAATATAAAAAAACTTAAATCTGAATTAACATATTTCAAAGATTAATAATCTATATTTTCCTATTTAATTCTTTTTATATCTATTCAATAACAAATATACCCATATTTTTCTAATTAAGTCTCAACGATGACGTCAAAAAAAAAAAAATAACAAACTATTGATTAAATCAATGTAAAACAGGCAGAATTAACCATTTTATAACACTATTTCAATATCCTTATGTTTTTCTAGATAAAATTCCTTTTTTCTGAGTTTTTTTCCGGCTTTAAACGACTAAAAATGGCAACTAATAAAACAGATGAGCGTAATCAAGAAGCTACAATTTATGGTGAAACAAGCCTGCTTAAATAACCATAGAGTGATTTACTTATATATATCTAGTTGGAAATTTGGACGAAAGGACCACTGATGCGATTTTATGGGAACTTTTTCTTCAATGCGGGCCAGTTGTTAATGTTCATTTACCAAAAGTGAATTTTCGCAGTTTATAGATAGTTAATAACATAAAGTTAATGTATTTTAGGATAGGGTTAGCCAGACACACCAGGGATTTGGGTTTTGTGAATTTTTAACAATAGAAGATGCGGATTATGCATGCCGTATTATGAATCAAATTAAGCTTTATGGGAAACCTATTCGTGTAAACAAAGTATTATTTTTTATTAGTTTTATTGTAAGGTGATTAATTAATATGAAAGGCAAGTGCAGACAAAAAAAATACCATTGAAATAGGAGCGGAGCTGTTTGTTGGAAATCTGGATCCTTTAGTTAATGAAAAAATTCTTTATGATACTTTTAGCATCTTTGGAATGTTAGTGGCACCTCCGAAGGTAGGATTTAGGTGCGTTGAATTTTATTCACTAATCAATAGATTGCTCGAGATGATAATGGACAATCTAAATGTTTTGGTTTTATTTCTTTTGATTCATTTGAAGCAGCGGATGCAGCTATAGAAGGGATGAATAACCAATTTCTTATGAACAAATCTATTACTGTTAGTTATGCTTTTAAGAAGGATGGAAAAGGCGAACGACATGGTGATCAAGCAGAACGACTACTTGCTTCCCAAGCTCGCAAAAATAATGTTAATTTACAATCGACAGGGATTCCAGCGCTCCCTTCTGGGTTTACAGGCCAGGTTCCTATTGGATATCCCGGGCAAATTCCTCAAAATCCGGCAGGATTTTCTCAACCACCTATGGGATATCTTTATCAAAATTATCCAGGGACTATCCCACAAGGATATGGTATCTATTCTTTTGTTTTTTTTTCCTTAAAATAAATATTTTCTAGTACAACAACCTCCTGCAACAGGTGTTCTTCCTATGATGAATTCATATCCTGTTATTCCTCCGCCTCCTCCACTTTCAAATTTTGGGAGGTGATATTTTGATATTTATATTTTTCCTATGAATGCATATTAGATGGAGAGGTGTTTTATTATAGTTTTAAAGCAACAATTGCCAAATGTATTTTTTTAAAAATTGGCAATTTAGACCCTTAAACTGTAAAGAATAATTTAAACTTTATTAATTAAAGAAATATAAAAGTTCATTCTTTTCTTTTTTCAATAATATTTTTTTGATAAATAATCTCTATATTTTTACAAATCCATATAAACATGCCCAAAATATTTCTAAGTTATAAGTAAAAAACAAAACTTTTAGCAACTTTGCAATATTCATTAAGTTTATTTTAATAATCGTGTTTCTAAAAATGGTAATAAATAAATAATATAATACTTAAGAATAAAAAAATATACTAAATCATTTAATATATTTTATGCATTAAATGATAATAAATGTTTAAAATTAAAATTTAATTTCGTATACTCTTACTGAATGATCTTCACTGGCAATTACAAAATAATGTATATTTAACTTTGAATAAGGACGCCATTGAATCTGAGATATAAACCCTCCAGGTAATAATCTAAATAAGTTAAAATTTCCTTTCAAATATAAAACATACTGTTCATTAATATTAAGTGATTTTTCCCATTGAGAAATGTCTTTTTCATTGGATTTTAAAATAACAATGAGCCCATTTTCCATACCAATAGCCAAAAAACATCTATATAAAATAAATATATAAAATAAAAAATGCGCATTTTTACGAATCATTTATCATATAAGGACAGATATCTGCAGAAGTAACAGCATATGAAAGTTTTAAAATAGTGATACATTCACATTTCATTTTTTCAGTTTCAAATTTCCACACCTTCAAAGTTTTATCTCTTGATGCCGTTACAAATACATTTCCTACTATATCAGGGGCCCAACAACAATCCCATATAATTCTTGAATGTGCAGTCTTTGCTTCTATTAATTTATAAATATTTTTTTCATCTGTTCTACAAAATAATGCAAATTTCCTATCTCTTCCAACACTTAATATATATTTATCATCACTAGAAAATTTCACTCGTGTTACAGTTAAACTATGCGCTGCTAATGGAGGGGAAATCTCTTGCCATGTAGATGTATCAAATAAACGAAGAACTGCATGTTCTGGAGTAGTCGCTTTACACGTAGTAACAATTAAAGTTTTATCATGGCTAGATGCTACAGATATAATTTCATATCCGTGACCATATAACTTTTCAATCTCTGGCCAAAGTGTATATCTTTGAAGATACTCCTCAAAAGGAGGTGTTTCTAGACTAATATCAAAATTTTTAGAAGTTCCATAATTTAAACCATTCAATGTATCTTTATCATTAGAAAAATCCAATGCATCATTGGAAATTTCATTTTTGATACTAACTGCTTTATTAGATAAACCAAGTAAAGGGACATTAGCCATATCAGAAAGTTTTTCCTATATAAATTGATAAATTTCTAATATTTATGTAAGTACTTACAATTTCCTTATCAAGACTTAAATTAGAAAGTTTAGTAATCAAAGATGCAACATGCTTAACAGGATTAAAGATTCGAATAACCTTTTCATCAGCACCACTAACTAATTTCCATTTATCGAGCATACAAACAGAATTTATATCATAACCATGGATTTGTGGCCTTGAAAATTCATGCCATGTTTCTAGAAAATTTCCATTCTCATCTAAGCGAGTCCATGGAGAAAAAAGTCTAGTTGTTTGATCTAAGCTAAAAAAATAAAAATTAAATATTTATATTTAATTATATTAACCTAGATGAAACAAAAAATTCACCGCATGGACTCCATGATATACTTTTTACAGGTTTTGTATGCCCAGTAATGGATAATTTTTGTATCCAATTGTCTTCTATATTTGAAAATATCTTCCACCCTCCACTTTTGCACCAACATGCAATACTTTTGCCATTAGGCCCCCATAGAGCTCCACAAAACCCCCCAAAGCCTCCTGCAGCACTAGTGACACCCTTTAAAGAGGCAATTTCTCCAACACGACATGAAGAAATCCAGATTCCTGAGTGATGATCAGGATGCCATATAATTAATGAAGTATCTGCAGATGCAGTCAATAACTTTAATTCACCATCTAGAGTGGTAAGAAAAATATATATCTAAGTAAAAAAAATAGACATGGATGCCATAAACAGGTAAATATCCAATCATCATGACCCATCAATAATGCATCAAAAGATATAGAATATCTAAAATTAATAAACAATCATATTATTGAAAAATATAGAAACAACATACTCATGCATTTTATCGTTTTCTAGCGAAAAACTAAAAATTTTATTTGTTTGAAATAAATCAAAATCACTATTTTATATTAATACTAAAATTTCCATAAATAAAATTTACAACTCATCATGATTTTTAGATATAGAATTATTTAATCTCCCATTTTTCCCTACAAAATTCCGAGTTATTCTCCAAATTTTAGCATATCTATCCTGGCTTGCACTTGCAAGAAGCAAATCACCCGTTTTCTGTTCAACTGTAATATCCAAACCCCTAATCCAATCACGATGTCCCTCAATAGATGATTTATATGAAAAAACAAGGCTTCCCTCTATAATAGAAGAAACATAAATATCAATAAAATTTGACGAACCTGCTACTGCAAGTACCATATTCAACGATTTTGACAAAACATGAAAACACATAGCCAAAGGAAGCATATTAACACTTTCTATAACTTGTATTTTCTCAGTAACCAAATCTTGTGTATCTTTATCACTAATTTTCCATATTGATATCAAACCATCTGCTGAACCTATAGCAACATAGGAATCATGTACTGTAATAATATGAATAGAGCCCGTATGATAAACAATTGTATAAACACATTCATGCTTTAAAACATTAATGTACTCCTTTTAAAGAAAAATTATACATAATTTCCTTTTTTTTTCCATATTCGAATATTCGAATCTGCTGATCCAGAAATAATACCCTCTTTACCATCAAAAAATCCCCTAAAAAAACGAACAACCGTAACAAAATCTGTATGACCTTTCATAATTTCAACAATTCCTTGACAATATCGATGCTTTTATCAACTTATTAAGAATTTTCATCCTTTTTAAAAAAACTCACTAATGGATCGTATAAAGCCACATTTTTTCCCGCTCCAAAAGCAATCATTCCTGAATATACACTCCAATCCGAGCAATTTGGAGAGATATTGCATCCTATACTTAGCAATACTGGCCATAAACTGGCCTCCATTCTCTATTTTCAAAAATCCTGTCGTCGTCTGCTAGTAACATGTTACCATAGAAACCAATATGGAGAATGCCAACCTCCATTTTTTAAGATATCTGAGCAGCCTTTTTGCTGCCAATTCTCCTGAGAATAAGGATTTTTATAAAGAAAACTTATAAAATATGGCTGAGATTCTTAAAAATAAAAGGATTGTCTTTTTTCCGGAACTTTTTGAGCAAAATTTCATGAAAAAATTGAAGGAAATAATAATAATGATTTATAAAAAAAAAAGACATTTATCTAAGCTAAAGATTTCTATCATTATATCCTGGTTTATCATTTTATGGTACGGAGAAGTGAATATATTTAAACAGACGATTTCCCGGTGTTCATGGTCTTTATGGGAAAAATGGGTATGTCCTATTGATTTTTGAATAATGTGTTTATATAATTTAGGAAGAAGGCACAAAACCATATCGTGTTGCTTTAATTGGAGATCCACAACTTGTTGATAAACATACATATAATAGAAGTTTTCTATTGACAGCGTTTACAAATTTTTATACAGATAAATATATGAAAAGAAATTGGAAATATTTAAATAACGAATTACATCCACAATCTCTTATATTTCTTGGAGATTTGTTAGATGGTGGAAGAGATCTGGAGATGAAAAGGTAAAGAATTTATATATAAAAAAGGAAGAAAAATGAAAAAATAATAGTTGGATTAAAGAATATAAACGATTTGATGATGTATTTTTCCAACCTCCTGGCGTAAAAGTTATATCTACACTTCCTGGTAATCATGATATAGGATTTTCTGATGGGGTAACACTTAATCGATTGAATCGTTTTCGAGCATATTTTGGAGAATCTAGCTCTTCATATGTATTAGGAAACCACACCTTTGTACTTTTAGATACAATTAGCCTCTCAAATACAATTAACACTCAGGTTTCAGAATATACAAAACAATTATTAGATGATTTAAAAAACACATGTAAGTATTTTTAAGATATTAAAGGATTATTCCTTTAATGAATCAAGACGATAAGGATTTTCCTCGTATTTTATTATCGCATGTTCCATTATTTCGCCCAGCAAACACTCCTTGTGGTCCTAATCGGGAAAAAAACACATCTATTAAACTGGAACGTGGATATCAATATCAAAATGTCATTTTATCTAGCATATCTACTTATGTTCTTGAAATTGTACGACCTATTGCTGTGTTTTCTGGTGATGATCATGATTTTTGTGAAGTTAAGCAAACAATAAAAAAATATGGTATAACAATTATTGAAAGAAGTATTAAAAGTTTCTCTATGGCCATGGTATTATATATATTGGATTAACAAACAACTAACATATTTTTACATATAGGGTATTAGTCAGCCTGGTGTACAACTTGTTTCATTATACAACCCATCACTCAAAAAAACAGAAAACCAAACATTTCAAACAAAACTGTGTCTTCTACCTAAACAATATTATATCTTTTCATTATATCTAATTACATTCATTGTGACGGTTTCTATTATATGTATATATCAATATTTATTTGTAGAAAAGGATCTACAATATCTCTCGACTTATACAAATAAATATAAGAATATATCACACGAATCTTCATTTAAAAGCTTAGATCATATTTTATCAGATATAATTAATATCGCAATTATAGTTTTTCCTTGGTATCTTTATTTACTCATTCGATATTAAAAGTCAACATCGTTTTTTTATTTTTTAACTTTTTTATATTTGTTTTGCTTAAAACTAAATACATCTAGACAATTTTCTATTCTAATGAAAGATATTTTGGATATTACAGTTCGATTTTCGTAATTTTTTTTAAAATATTTTTTTCAGCTGATTATTTTACTAGAGGAGGGTTGCAGACCCTATTTGGCAACCAAAATACTCATCACGTTCAATTATTATTATCCGATCCTGTTTTAGAAGGCAGTCCTCCTAATATTGCTTATTTAATACATTTTTTATCTCAAAACCTTATGAATGATACTCGAAAAGACTTATTCATCAAAGATGATACTGTGTAAGTATTTTCTTATTTTTTTTTAATATATTTATCACCAACAGACGTCCCGGTATTCTTGTTCTTATAAACAATGAAGACTGGGAATTAAATAATGAGAAGTATTATATACTTCAACCTAAAGATGAAATTACTTTTATCAGTACATTACATGGAGGTTAATTTTAAATAAAATAAATATTTTTTAAATAATAATTTTATATTATTAAACATCTATCAAACTATATAACAATCCATATAACTCCTCAACTTTAGCCCTACATCTTATTAATATAAAATTCACGTGATCTTGTCTTAGCAAACACGTGTGTCCGATCTATCGGATCGTTGTCTGAGCTGGTTTCTATAGAAACCTCATTGCACATATTCAAACCGATCAACGTCTACACAACCTCACAATTTTACGCAGGTGCTTTACAGGTAGGCATTTTGCTTAAAAATGGATGGATATGATCGAAGTTCAACATTTACTACTAGAAAAAGATATAGAGGTATGTATATTTTGAAAATGATGTTTTTTTCCTGATTTTTTTAGACGACTGGAGCTATGAAGAAAGTTATAAACATATACAGTATGGAACAACAGAAATCCAGCTTAATCGAATGAAAAAATATATTCTAACACTAGGTGATCCAGTGAGTATATTATTGGAAGTGAAAAATGTCTAATAATTGTATTGATTTTGGGGGAAAACATTGAATCTGTTGCACAAATGTTGATTATTGATTTTGAGGATGAAACATTACATAATGGGATTTTAAGCACTTTTAGAGACCAGTTAAAGATTATTTTTATTAATTTGAAAAAAAAATTAATTGCGGTAGCATTATTGAGCTTCCTATGAAAATTCCATTTTTAGCGACAGTTATTTCACTTGCATCAACAAAAGAAGCATCAATAGGAAAATATACAGTAGAATTTATGGCAACTGCAGCGCAAGCATTTCTTGATGGCGGTGAATGGAGAAAATTTAAATTGATTCTTCGATTTCTCGTTTATGCAACATCAATTATTGATGGAGATGGTGTGTTAAATATACTGGATGGACTAACACAACGTATTTTTGAAGTATCTAGAGATATGTCAGAAAAAGGAGATTTTAATACCAAAGTAGGCATAATAATACATAAATATATTTTTTAATCAAATAGTTTCACGCGGATGAGCTGACCTATGTTTTTCTTATTACAGTTCCTTATGTAATAGCACGTTCCACAGAGGTTTCATGTGGTTTCGATACGCTTTTTTCCTATGTGGATCGTATTGAGCCATATATGAGGTATCGGTCGGTTGATCTTTCATTGTTACAACCATTTATAGAAGATGAAGCATCTAGCGATGTAGAAGTAATAGTGATTCGACAAGGAAAACAATATTAACATTAGTAGATTCTTGAAGAATTATGGAATCAAGTTCAATATATGAAAAACGGCAAATACGATGCAAATATATTTCTGCGACCATGGTTGAAATTTGAGATACAATTAGCAAATACACCCAAATTTGCACTGCCTCCGATCGTTTTACCGAAAACGTTTGATAATGTGGGAAGATTCTATTTTCCTGAATCTCATTTCCGTATTTTTGACCAATCAGATCAAGTACGATCTATTTTTTATTAAAAATAATATTACATATTCATATATTTAGATAAATTTATCATCTCAAACTATAGCAAGCTCAATTATAAGGGACATTGTTGGTGATATTATTGATATTATGGAATTTAATCGAAAAGAGGCTGCACGTTTTCTTGCAGATTTATCTTTTTATTTTGCACCTAATCTTTTTGTTTCTGAAACATTTTCTAGTGAAATGAATGACATGATGGGTACTCTTACGGAATGGAAATCTGAAGAGATTATTTTGGAGACTATATTTAGACGATTATTTCGATTGCCTAAACCACTTCAACCACCCATATATTATCATTCACTTTTAATTGAGCTTTGTAAATTAATTCCAAAAAAAATAGCACCGTCTTTAGGATATATAATTAGATATATATATCAAGCACTTCCACGCCTTGATCCTGAAATTTCTTTTAGATTTTGGACATGGTTTTCTCATCATTTAAGTAATTTTAATTTCAGCTGGAAATGGGATGAATGGTAAAAAATAAAGTTATTTTATATTTATAAACTATTTTTAGGATATCTGATCTTGAACTTGATTTAATGCATCCCAAAAGAACATTTATAAGAGAAACAATAGAAAAAGAAATATGTTTAAGTTATTATTCTAAAATTAAAGAATCACTTCCCGAAGCATATCATATATTATTACCCGAGGAGCCTTCAGGTCCTTATTTTGATTATGAATTGCCAAGTGACTTTACTATTTTTCATAAATGAATTATAATTTAATATTTTTAGATTCTAAGTATTACGCAGAAGTAGGAACTTTACTTGAAACAATGAAAGTAAATACTGAGCAATCAGAAACAGATGTTGCATTAGAAATTATCGAAAAAACAGCTATTGAAAACAATGAAAATGATCCTCCATACGAAGCTCTTAAGGCTTTAGTACAATGTGTTTTGCATTTAGGAGCAAAATCTTTCTCTCATGCTTTGAATACTATTGAGCGTAATTTGCCAGGATTGCAAGCACGCTGCAATGCAAATGAAAAAACACGTCGACAAACTATTGATATTATTATCAGATTTTGGAAAGATCAACCAACAATTGGAACAACTTTAATTAATAAATTTTTGAACTATTCTGTTATTGATGCAGTATCAATTATAGAGTGGATAATTTTGGATGCTGACATTGAATATGTTGGCAGAAGTTTTACATGGGAATTAATGAAGATAGCGTTGAATAAAGTAAATTCCACACCTGTTCAAATTAAAGATCGTATAAATATGGAAACCTCTCACAATGAACCAGGAAGTTTGTCAAATTATCGAAAAGTGTATGACGAAGTATACATGAAACGAGAAGCTGTTTTTGTTACAATTTTTGAAAAATTTCCAAAATTATTTGATCGTGCTAAAGTTTCACAAAAAAAAAGTAATGGCGTTGAGAAAAATAAAACATTGGACAACCAAATAGAATGGCAACTTTGGTGGGCCAAAGGACTATTCAAAGAAATTGCACGAAGAGTATACAGATTTTTATAAAATTAATGAAATTTCTAATTTTTCTAGTATTATTATGAAATATCAAATCTTTCAAATACATTAAATCCTGTTATAAAAAACAAATATATTAAAGAAATATTTGAAAAAGTTAGAAATTTAAACAAAATTATATAATTGTAATAAACAATATATCAGTACAATTTTCATTTCTTAATACAATATTATTAAAATGCCAATAAATACATTCGTATAATATTTAAAATAAATGTGTTATTGTGCAAACAAACTGCAGTGTAGCTTCTATTCATCGACAAATATCTCTAAATGCATAACTCATTGAAAGAAAGAATAATATAAGTTCATAATAAAAACTTCGCGAGACTTCAAATGTTCATTTGTTGCTGACTAAATACTTGGGATATTTATACGTTGAAAATGAGGTTCTACACAATTCTCCATAAACCAGTTTCTAATACGAAACTCTAAAAATTGCGAAATCTTAGGAATATCCTGCAATTTTGATCGTGAACCAACTAATGAATGTACATCTATATCCAATTGAAAATCAGGCGAAAAAGAAAAAATAAATGCAGCAATATTAGATGCATTTAACTGTTTCTCGCATGGAATAAGAGAAATAGAAAGCTAATGCATTTTAACAGTTGAAAGTTAATATGCCAAAATACATACTGTGCCAGAAAATCGCATAATTGAAAGTGAAAGTTCAATAGGTAAAACAGCAAATTCATATTTCGGATAATTCAACAAAAATTGTGTTTTAATACCAAGTGTAATTTGATCAACAAGGTTAACATCCATAACAGCATTCTAAACATCTCTTAGCATCTAAAAACAGAAAAAAAAAAGAACAAACAAGGCGTTCTGGATTACTGGAACACGAAACAATTCGACAATTACTACAGATAGGAAATTCTTCACCCAAATTCATATCAATTACTTTAACGTGACCCTAATAAATAATTATTTGACTTTTTTTTCATCTTAAAAATATACTAAAAAACTTGGCTTATTTGTACCATTCAAAATATCACTCATATAGACTAAGAGCGCTTCTTTAAAATCATAATCATTTCGAAACAGAACAATAGCCTGCGCAATAAGTACATTAAACCAATCCAATGACTCTGAAGTACGTGTTTCTATATTTTCATACAATTTCGAAACTATATGAGAAATTCTTGGAGAAAAAGATGTTCTAAGCATAGAAGGCTTATTTTTTGTCTGAAACTATGATATTAAATAAAATTCTTAAGATAAATCAGACCAACCTGTTTATGAACATTAGATGATAAGATTTTTTTGTTTGCATCCGAAAAAATAAAGAATCTAAGAAAAGCACAAATAAAGAGCCAAACTGTTAATTGTCCGACCTATTTTGATCAATTTTTTTTATCAAAAAAAAAAACATAATACCAAAAAGCCTTGTATAAAACCTGCACTTACAGCACTCGAAAACACACGATCCAGTCTGTAATAAAGAACTTACTTCTATATCAATCTTATATGCTTTATATATGCGTGATATATGCGTATTATATTCGGTTTTGATGCAAAACCAATATATAAAAAACAACCTATATTAACCCTTATATATGCGCCTTATATGCGTCTTATATTCATTATATCAATGTTATTACTTTTATTTCTCTCTTTTTTGCCCTGTTTAATCAGATTTTTCAGCACAGCGCTGTTTTTTTGCACCCGACAACCGAATAATGGAATTTTCTGAAGAGATAAAAGAAGTATATTCCACTTTGCATCACTTATTACTTTATTGAAACGTTTTAAATAGAAATTGGCCAAGCTTTTTGACCTGGGAAAAACATTAATCCATTATGGATATCTTCCTTTTCTTTTATGGCTTGGTAGAACTTAACATTTATTAAAAATTGACTGATATATGAAATATATATAGGTTATACTCATAGTTCACCTCGCCCCTCATTAATCAAGTACATTCTTATATAATTTTTTTAAATACAATTAATTTCAATTAGATTATTAAGCCCATTTGCTTAATATTCTTATAGAAAAGGTTTTTAAAAAAATAAGTAAAAAATATAGAATAAAACCATATCATATATAAATAATAAAAGCATTATGAAACCTTTTATGTCTATGTATATATCTGTATGTTCTTAAGAAAAAATCAAAAAAATTAAGAGTTAAAAAATCCTTAAAAATTGATATATATAAATGGGAAATTTATATAGATATATTGTTTGAGTTATTTATTTAAATAATGCGGTTGAATTGAATGATGATTGATAATTGTTTACTTGAAATCATTTAATACTAGAGCGGTATCATTTTTAACGGGTATCTTTATGCTATTTGTTACTCATCCATTAATTGAGTTGGTATGTTTATTACTACGGAAATTCCGTCATATCATGCAGATTTGAAGGATCACCAAGCTGCAATAAAAGATCACGAACATTAATTTGTTCCAATTCTTGAAGTGTATTTTGCGAATTATCTTGTAAATCATCAGATACAATTTTTTCTAATTTATTTAAGGCAATTAATTGCTGAATTTGTTCTTGATTTAATTGAAGTAATTCATGAACACCTATATCGTCCGTAATAGATGAATTTTCATGTTTTATAGTCTGAGAAACCATTTTATCAGCAGATGATAAATGTGGAGAATTCACAGAAAAATCTTCAGAAGCATCAGTAGCATCGTTTATACTTTGTGTTTCTTGTTTTAATGGTAATTCTATCTTTTCTTTACCTCGACCTTTAATACCTTGATTAGAATAACGATATAATGTTGAAAAATAGTCAAGTAATTGCTCATCTTCAGGATTTGGTAATTGAACAGACATAAGCTTTGCATTTAATCTACAGATAGATTCATTATGAAATTTATTTTGATGAACCTTATTTTTTTTAATAAAATTATATTTTTTTCAATAATCATTCTAACCTTTAAATTTCCAAGCTGTGTAAACGTCTTTGTGCAATTATCAAGTCGACAAACATACGGACGAATCCCCTCATGAATCAATTTATGAGCACGAAGATTTCCTTTCTGTGCGAATTTCTTTTCGCAATTTGGATAAGTACAAATATAAGGTTTTTCTCCAGTGTGTCGTCTTTGATGAGTCTAAAAACCACAACTATGTTAATCAAAAGTATAATTAACAATCATTCATTCTTAATCCTTTCTAATTGTTTTTTATTCAATCCTTCTATCATAGTTTATCCACAAATCTCATTTTATTTTTGTTTTTCTCTCTATTTACCTTTAAATTACCAAGTTGTGCAAACGTTTTCCCACAATGCTCACAAACAAATGGCTTTTCTCCTGAATGGCAGCGCAAATGAATACGCAAATGTGCTTGTTGTTGAAAAGCTTTATTACATCCTTCAAAAGAGCACGGATATCGTCGTTTATTGCAAGACTCTTCTAATTCTCTTGTTTCTAGACCTTTTTGCTTCTTAGGATCCTTTTCATCTGATTGTTTAGATTGGATAGTTGCCATAAGATAATCGATGTAAGACGGTTCTTTAAGATCGCGTCGCTCAACGTCCAAAGCATTGGTCGTGAGCGACGTAACAAAGGAATCAAGCTCCTCCAGCCTGTGGTAAATCCCAGGCTTAGCTTAAAAGCCCCTCCAAAAGGAGACTTGGAAAAGAATAAAAATATAATTTTTAACGAAATGATATTAAGGGCTTTTATATTGCCGATAAAAATTTAAAAAGATGAAATAAAAATTCTTATATTATTAAACAAAAATGTTTTTTTTTTTTTTTTTTCACTTACATTTTATGTTAGTGTTGTATATTCCCATATACGTGCACGACAATCGCCAGAACCGGTGGCAAAAAGTCGGCCGGTTGGTGAAACAGCTACTGAAATAACTAAAAATAAAATATTAATAAATAAGCCAGAAGAATAGGGAAAAGAAGAAATAATTTAAAAGAAAAACTTACCGGAATTTTTATGTCCTTGTAATATAAGTTGTGCACGCCCATGATAATCCCAAAAATAAACACCTCTATCTTTTGAACCACTTACAACCCAATGCCCATCGGGTGAACTTGCAACACTAAGTACAAAATCCTATGGAGATTAAAAAAAATAAATATTAAATAGTTTTTTACTTTATGACCAGTAAATGTGGTTTTACACAGTCCATTTTTAGGACCAGTGGATGTTTTAGCATCCATAAGTTCCCATAGTTTAACTGTTTTATCAAGACTTCCACTTAATAATTCACATCCATTTGGTGAAAAAGCAACACTATAAACACTATCTTTATGATCTTCAAACCGTTCAACTAAATAACCTGTTTTAGCATCCCATACACGTACAACTTTATCAAGACTTCCAGCAGCAACGTAACGACTATCAGGGGATATCGCTACTGTTGTAACGCCATCTTCGATACTCAATGTTAAAATACAATGTCCTGTTTCGATATCCCAGACACGAGCAGTACGATCACCACTTCCAGAAGCAATAAACTTTCCATTTTGACTGTAATCAAGAGAATAGATATCTTGTTCATGTCCCGTAAATAAATGTCGTATTTTCTTTTTTAAAATATCCCATATCTATTAATAATAAGAAATTATATATAAGAGCTAGAAGAAAAAGAATAGAAAAGACAAGGACTTTCTCCATTCAAACAATATATTGAAAAACAATTTGTTTTAAAGGGGTTTCTAAACTTACCCGAATTCTTTTATCTTCTGCACCAGTTGCAAGATACTTTCCATCTGGACTAAATGCAACACTTCGTATATATAAATCTCCTTCTCGATCTACTGATTCATCTTGAAGAACCCTACAATTTATTAGATAAACTGATCAAAGAAATTATAACTTACGTTAATCGTTTACCCGTTTTTACATCAAAAATCACCGCTACTCGATTACACCCCGTTGCAAGATACTCTCCATCATGACTAAATCGTATACAACAAACAACACTTTGATGCTCTAATGTATGTACAAGGTTAATATCCAAAACTCGAGGGACATTTGGATTAAACAAAACTGTCCAATCAGAATCCTCCTTCTTTAATTCACAGGGAATCATATCAGGATCAATATCAGCCATAGAAAGAGATTGTCCAAGTGCAACAGATGTAGATGGTTGTTGCGGGGCCGTTGTCAATGGAGTAGAAGGTACAACAGAACGCGCAGATGAAGGCTGAACAGGAATAAAAGAATTTGACGTTTCGGCACGATTAGAGTGCGACTTATTACGCTTACTAGAGGGAGAAAAAGATCCTGAAACTGCTGAATAATTTGATCCCTTAGGCACATTATATGTATTATCTACACCAGAATCGGAGCAAATCCGTTTGTTAGCATGTTGAGGACAACTTTGTAATGGAAGAACATTATTAACTGAAGGATATCCTGTATTAGGATAAGGCAACTGAACAACTGATTGATTGGTTTCTAGAGGAGCAAGACATGTTTTTAGATCACCATGACTTGTCCTTCCCATAGAAAGATTATTTGTACTTAATCCGAGATTCGGCGGAGGAAATGGAAGATTAGGAGGATTAGAAAGTCTTGGTAGAGATGGTTGCGCTGATGTTGATGTTGTAGGAAGATGAATCCCTCGTGATTCAAGTTCACGTCGTAATCGTGCAATTTCTTCTTCGTAACTTTATGTTTCAGAAAATATTATTTATACAATTATTTCAGAATCTCTCACGATTGTTTCATTTTTTGGTGAGCCATTTCTAATTCATAAACCATTTGTCGAATCGTTTGCATTTCTTGTATCTGAGATGTCACTATTTATTAAATTAGTCGCAAATTAACCTTAGTTCTAACTCAAATATTCATTTAAAAATATTGATTACATCATTTGAAAACTTTTTTTTTGTTTTTTTCTACATACTTTTATGTTCATAATCATCCTTATGATTCCGAAAAGCCATGGCTTCTTGTGCAATATTATCAAATTCATTTCTAACTGCTTCCAAAAGCTCTGCCAAGCGATTTGAAACAACAGAAGGCCCTGTTGATCGATGATTATATAAGTTTGACATCTTATTTATAGATAATATTTATATCTAATAAATATTATCTATAATAAATCAGCTATAATTTTAAAGATATATGTTTTCCTACCCTAACCCTTACCATTAAATAATTATTTAAAAAGGGTTAGGACATGTTGAATAGCTCTATACTTCCTTCTATAAATAGTGAGTTAGGGTTAGGATATATATGATTAAAAAAAGAAAAAATCCAAAAAGGGTAATAGCAAAAGAAAGGATATGCTTGTTAAATAATACCTAAAAAGGTTAATTTGTGCCATTTTAAAAAACAAACTATTTCGATGCAACTTTCAATTGGCCGATAAGATTTAAACAACATTTGATTGGCTTAGCATTTGTCTATAAATACTAGAGTTTATCTCCCCCTAACCCCCCAAAAATGGTAAAAAACTGATTCAAATAAAAAGAAAAAAATTGAAATAAAATTGAAATAAATTGGATCAGTGTTATTTGAAAAGTAATAAGAATAATTAAATAAGAATGTTTTAAACGTTTTTAAATGGAAAAATATTTATACCTTTTATTAAAATAGAAAAGCTATTTGAAGAAAAAGTGATTTTTTTCTGTTTAAATTTTAGGGTATTGAAATGAGCTGAAACATTTGATAAATATTTAATATTTTCAAGAGTTGTTTTTTGGAATTAAAGTATTTTTCATCTAAGGATGAAGAGCAATAGAATTGATTAAAATATAAAAATTAAAGAAAAGCAAATTTAATAAAATTTAAAAAAGAAATTAAAAATAATTACAAATCTTAAGAGATAATTTGAAAAATGATTATATTTGAAGAATATAAGGCTTGATAAATATAATATAAAAAATAGGTAATTTTTATATTTAATTTTTTATCCATATAACTTTTATATAGAATTAATTTAATCTTTTTTTGGTATATATTTAAACCTATATTTAATTATTGCCAAAATCTTGCTTAAAAGATCGAATATACATTATTTCTATTAGGATTTGTTGATATAATATTTATCAATTAATCATTTATTTTTTTGAGCATTTAAGATAAGAATAGCATTTTTAGTATATACGTATGACAGTCCTGACCAAATTGTTGTTATAAAAACAAAAAACCTAAACATTTTATAAAAAAATAGACAAAATTAATAATTTACTGAATTGGAATAAGGAAAACAGATAGAATTTCTGAGTAAATAAAAGGGTGTATTATGGTTATGCCGATAAGCAAGTGTTGTAGTACAGTATTTATCTAGAAAAAAGTAAAAATATGACTTCATACTGTAATATTATTACTTTGCTGATTAATGTGGGTTTTATTTCGACGCTTGGTATTGAAAAATCAAAATATCGTACAAATGTGCAGGGTGGACTAAGAGAAATCCAGCGATAATATATAGCAAACAATCCAAGAAGGATATCCTTTCCAAAAATAACGGAAAAAAGATAGTCTATATTATTAAGCAGGAATAAAAATGAATTAAAAATAAATAATTACATGGAATTTGTTGTTTGATAGTAAGGCAAAGTGTTGATATGATGATAAAAAATTTATCAGCCATTGGATCAAGGATTGTTCCTGCAATGCTTTTTACGTCCCATTTCCGAGAAATCCATCCATCTAGCACATCAGATAGGCTTGCATAAATAAAAAAAAGAACGGAATATAAATGTTGTTCATGTAAAATGCAGTAGCCTGTTATTGGCGCAACAATTAATCGAGAAAGTGTAAGAAAATTTGGAATCGTATAGATATTTTCATGGGTAACATTTCTTGGATTTTTTTTATAATTTTTCAGTTTAATATAATTAATATATGTGTTCCGAATTTTAAGAGGAAATGGAGAATAAAACAAGAGCATAGTTGATGTTTGAAAGGTTCTTTGCGTGTTTAATCTACATTCTGAAGGAAAGATGCTATATAAATGATTTAACTTGCATCTAAAAGTAAATAGTAAAATTTTCCAATAAGTTTTATATTACCTCAAACCAGATGAATATCTAAAGGAAAATAAGTATCTTCTTGCTACATAAGGCTTTGGGAAAATCATCTTTCAAAGGTCTATCAATGATAGATTTGATATTTTTTTTAAAATACTATTTTATCATTTAAATCTACGCTTCAAATCGAATGCTTGAATCATTTAAAAAATTTAGTATAATTTTCAGAAATGATACTAGAATAAAATAACAATTATATAAATGCATCTTTAGATGATTTAGCCACATGATGTCGATTTATAATACTAAATAGCAAACTATATTACATATAGTTTATATTTCTAAAATTAACATAAACATTTTAAAGACTAGAATTAGAAAAAATCATATTCAGAATATCTGATGATATCTTTTTAATAATGAGGTAATATCATAAATTGGAAATCCATGGTGTTGAATTAGGTAATGAACTTGTTTCGCTAAGAATAGCTTCAATAATACAAGAATAATGATCATTTAATGATAAAATTACACCGCATTCCCAATTTCTGCATAAAATAACAGGATTTTTCGAATTTAGCCGTGTCAATACCCCCCTAAAAACAAGATAAATATAAATCATAAGTTTTCAAGTTGGATGATATAATTGAATATATATTTTACTTACCATGCAGAAGAAGAAAAATTTGCTGAGCCAATATAAAAAAAATCAGATGTAGATGTCTGATTTCTTACAAGAATAATCTATATTTTTATAAATACGAACTTATTAAGTTTATGGGAATAAAACTACTTTATGATGCATTAGACAACCTACATGAACAGCTGTACTATCATATAAAATGCTTTTTGGAAATTTTAAATATTCCCAAAATCGCTTTTGAAAACATATAGTGCCTGCAGATTCTTCGCCACCATTACTGGATAAAACAGTATTCATGCTTGGAAAATGGATCTTCATAGAAGTTTTCCAAGCTTGAATATCTGTATTACGAGAAGCAACTACTTTACTGCCTTTTAATGCTAAATACATATTAGATAAGAATGTTGAATTCAATAATCCTAAAGATGATGTCTATTAAATATCAGTAAAATTAAATAAAATATGAAATTTAACCATAATATCTATCTTTATATCATTTTCATGTCTTTTTCCAAGTTGCTGTATAGCTTTAGCCAAAGATACATAACCTGTATCCTTTAAATCGCTATTTTTTTGTGCTTTTAATGGTATTGAATGAATAAACTGTAAATTTTTACTCAACGAAAAGTCATAATTTTTCATTTTTTCAAGAACATGCTGAGGATAGTTTTTAATTTTACAATAATGAAATATATCTCTTTCAAAATCAGTAGAAAATCCTGTAAATACAGTTATTCTCCGAGGAAAATCTTGAATATACATGCTCTATTTTGTTAATTGAAATCAAAAAAAATTAAAAATATACATTCTCCATTGTACCAGTCTCTCCCCAATCATAATCAACCAAATTAGCCTAATTTATATTATTAAACTCTTTTATTAAAGAAGTTTAATACACTTGGAATAACCACACGCAAATACGTGGTGTAAAATAAAAGCTTTTATCATTTAGAAAAAAAATATAAAAACAAAAAATACCTGTAATTTACAATGCATACAATTGGCGCCTTCCATAGGCGGAAAAATAGCAGAAACATTTGGAATATGAAGATATAATCTATTAATAACTTCCTTCTTTAATAAAAATTAATTTTTATGAATTTTTTCATAAAAATTTAAACCTCTTCATCTGATTTAGCCTGATGAACAAAAATAATTATTGTGTTAAACAATTGTATTTTTGTAAGTACCCATAATGGATCAATGACGAAAGCAGATAAAACTGCTGCTTTTAAACTTTCCTATTAAAACACTTAATGTATGTTTTCAAAAGAGTATAGAAAATACTTTTTGAAATACGTCTTCAATTGTTATATCATGTTCTGTTCTTTTATAGCCCTTTACAGCTGTAATCTTAACAGTACCATTAGGAAATGGAATATTTTGAATATTAACAAGCTCTTTAGTTTCTTCAAAACTTTTTGCTTGTATATTGCTATTCTCCAAGCAAAGCTTTTTTGAGAAACGATTACTACTCTCAGTAAAATTCTCATTAGTTATATCCTCTTCTAGCGAAGCAAAATAGTAGCAATCTTTTTTAGAATTTTCAGAAATCATCCTTAAATTCTCTATAATCTGCTAAACAACTATTTATAAAATCTTTATATCTTATAGCCAATAAATCACATAAGAGAATAACACCTTTCTATTCGTCAAAAAGATCATATTCCTTGTGTATATTTATAAATAAATTATACAAACTTTAAATTGTCCTAAATCCACGATAAAACAAAATTTCAAATTGGAAAAAAAAGAAAATTCTAGATATACTGAAGATCGTCTTTAAAATGAAATAGAGACAATATCAATACCCTTTTCCTTTTAATTCATATTATTTAATTTAACAATTGATTATAATTTCATATACTGTTAATATCTGGAGGTTAATGTTTCCCTGGTGACGGAGTTACTATGACAACCATAATTTTATATTTAGAATTTTAACATCTTCATAGCTCAATCTTATATAATTGAAAGCAAGAAAATAACAGCATCCCAGTTGTTTTTGATAAAGTAATTACTGTTTATATAAATATAAATAGTGACTATTTTTTTTATTTCGTTATTTAATAATTTTGTGATTTAAATCTAATATTACCTTTATTCTTAAACTAATATTATTTATATTTATAGTTGTGATTGTATAAAGAATTGGATGTTTAGAAAAGCAGTAATACGTTTTCTTAAAAAAAAATATATTCAATATGAAGTAACTTTTGCACTAAATATGTTAACGACTACAGAAAAAATAATTGTTAGTAAGTTATTTATAAATACCATATTTTTTTTTAAAATTAATCTGATATAAATGATAGATTTTATTTTTATAAGCATTACAGCATTAGTTTTAATGAGTGTTTATGTATATTTTCCGGAACATTTGCGACAACTTGCAGCCAAAGCAACATACTATTTGTACGGATAAATCTTTAGATAAAATTTCCACTTTCCTATGGCCAATAACAAATAATTTAGAAAAAATCCAACATTTTCAATATAGAAAAGATATAAAGATTATTGTGTCATGAAATATTAATTTCTGATGTTTGTCTTTCCTTTAAAGATGCCATCGAACTATATAAAAAGTCATAAACACCATTATAATTCTTCTCATTAATCTTGTTCAACACAAGAATCCTAAAATCATTTAGGCTAATATTCAAGCCTCCTTCCTGTATAATATATAAGTATATAAATTTTTTTTATATTATTGTTACTTCTGCCCATCGTTTCAAAGATGTATTGCTTATAGGGCCTACATGTCTCTTAATAATATTTGGTGATGCATCTTCTAAATCCTTCAAAGTTTCTGCTGACCAATGCGCAAATATTGTTCCATGAGTAATAGAAAAAATAGACCCAAAGAAAATTCCTCGTACTTCTGCAATAGACTTAAGCGCCATTATAACATCTCTTAAAAGAATATTAGATTTCCTTTATAATATATAGAACCTACTCAGATAACTGGCACCCTAAAGCATTTTTATCTTGCTTATTAAAAGCTCGATTTCTCCATAAACAATTACAAAAATCCATCACAAAAGAATTAAAATAGTCAACAATATCTCGATGATATGGAGTTTTTATTTCATTTTTTTCATGATAATCAAACGCTGCTTTATATCCTACGATTAGTCCGCAAATTCTTGATAAACTCATCCCATTTCCTGAAAAAAAACATTGATAAATAATATGAGATGATGGTAGTATGATATTTGGAAGTTTCTCTTCAACAATTAGATTCAACAAAAGTTCATAAAATAAAAGAATAGAATTATGAATACGCATATCACTCTTATAAGACTAAAAAAAATTACAAATAATATTTAATATGCATTATAAAAATACCAGAAGAATATTAATACAAAGATGATCAACTTTTTCAAGTAAAAATAGAATAGAGTTAAACGGATCACTTAATATATTATCGTTAGATGATAATTTCCAATAAGTCCTTAAGTAATTAGAACAATCTAATTAATAATACAATTCTAATTGTAGATACCCGTTTCTGCTAGTTAGTCTTATATATTTTATAACCCATTGCCTAGTTAGCTGAGAAAAAAAGTTTAACAAATTTATACAATAATTTAAATCTGTTAACCATTGTGGTTTTATAAGATAAGATAACATCATTGTAATGTCTGATAGATTATAAATTGATAAAAAATAAAACAAACAAACCTTTTTCTGATTTGATAGGTATATGTATCAAAAGATTAAAGAGTGATTCTCGATATTTAATACCATCCCATGATTGTAGCAATGTATTTAAAAAATGATCTATGGGCGATAATGTTTCCTTAATTACAAATCAGTTAATAATATATTGCAATTAAAATTATAACCTTAAAAACATATGTAAATTTTTCCAAATATTCTAAAATATCATTAATATATCCATCATTGCTATTTTCTTTTAAATCTAATAACAATTTTGCTTCTAGCCAAAAATTTAAACGTTCAATTGCAAATTCTATTTGATTGAGTTAATTAAACATTAACTATTATACTATTTTATATTTTCATACCAGGACAGCGTAAAATCAACAGATTCTGATGCAGAGAACTATCCAAGATAGACGCAAGCTGACAAGGAAATTCAACACTATCAATATATTCAACAAGATCTTGTTTAGTTCGAAGTTCCTCAGTAGTATATGACTCCTAACAATAAATAAATAAAAGTAATAAAAAATCCTAATATAAACCTTTTTCGAACTAAATGTCCGAATTTCTGGAATAGAAAAATTCCCAAGTTTTTGTCTTTTAAAACCACGATAAAAATGACCCATCACTTCAAAACGTTGGATATCATAATTTTTATTTATCTTATTAGATAAAGATTCCTGAAGAGCGATCACCTTCTCTAACCATGGCTTGTTTGGGTGCTAACAATTATTAATATAAAACTTAAATTCCAAATAAAAACAAATGACTACATCAAATAATTTATCATGAATTTTTAGAAATTTAGTGACCACAATATCAGGATAATATGATTTATAAAGTTGCAATAAAGCAAAAATACTCTGATCATTAGGAGTTTGATTTTGAATTTCAAGACTACAAATAATTTAGTAAAATAGTTATGTTAATATAATTATATACAGCTTTTCTATTCGAAATGCCTTTACATTATTACGTCGTGTTATAAGAATTAAAATATGACATAGATATTTCCTAAAAATAGTAAACCATGTATTTTTTTGGAAGAAATTTTAATTTTAACCTAAGAGTTATAAAACCAATATAATGAAAAATAACACCATATAATTGATTTAATTCATCATAACCATCCAAAAAATCATATACCATAATAATCCATTTAAGAAGTGCATTCTAAACCAAGTTATATATATTATTTTTTAATATATATATAAACCTGAACAAACAAACTTGCTTTTGTTTTACCATGACCAAGACTACCAAGTATTCTAATCACTGTTTTTTGACTTACTTTTCCAATAGGCATCATTGAATAAATAATTGAAATAGAATTACTTTGATCAATATGGTGATTCCGGCACATTATTGAAATACCCTTATCGATTGATTCTTGATCTAATCCATATTTTTCTGCAACAACAGATAAATTCCTAACTGAATTAAGGAATATTTCCTTTGAAAAATTCTCAGAGAAAATATCTATTATTTAAACCCATTTAATCTACTATACATTTATATATATATATATAAAGCACCTTGCTCAAGTCGTTCAATTGCTAATCTAGACGGATTTTCTTCGTTTAAATTAGAATAAAAAGGACCATTATTTTCTAATTCATTTTTAAAAGATATTTAAAGCTAAAGATTCATAAAAACCATAATTAATTTCCATCAATTTTAATTTTTTATAATATTTATTTTCATCGTAGTTAATATTAGGTTATAAAAAAATATAAAATTAAACATTTTCTATGAAATATAGAAATACTATAATTTTTACTAGAAAACTGTGATCTTAATTTAATAAAAATTATATAAAACTTATTTTTTTAGATATATTTTTGATAAGCTGTTAAAAATATAAAAAAATATATAAAAATAAAAAAAATAATTTTACAGTGAACAGGATTGAATTGTTCTATATAAATTTATAAATATTTTCTGGATTTTTTTTATTTTTTATACTTGGTAAAAGTTGATCGGCAGTTTTTATAAGAATACTTAATATGTCTGTTTTTCGGCCTAAAAATACAATTTCTGATGATCCAAAGGTATTTTGTTTTAGATTTTAATCATATTTAGTATATTTGTTAATAAAATAGCAGTTTTCTGAGAAAAAAATGCCTATTTCTTTGTTAAATACCTCTACTCCAGCAAAAATACAAAAACCTAAGAAAATATTCGTTGAAGATAAAGTATTTAGTGTTTTTTTTTTGATTAAATAAAGATTTTCGAAATCCTTATTTGCTTTAGGCGACTCTTTTATCTATTTTAGAAGAAGTAAACCGTAGATTAGATAATCGAGCCAAAATTAAACAAGAAAAAAGGGTATTAAATGAATTATTAATATTATAAGAAATGAAAAATAACCTTTTTTCCTTAGAAAGAACTAGAGGCAATTAGATGTATAAAAAAATCGAAAATTGAGATGAGAAAACAAGCTAAAAAGAATAAAAAACAAGAAAAATGGGTAATAGAATACATACATTTGTAAATTATATGTATAAAATTCATAGGAAAACACACTTTCGAAAATTAGAAACAAAAAATACTCTATTTCTCATGATTAATCAATATAACAATACAAAAATCAGATCCATTTTATAATACCATATAATATATCATCCTAAATGTAAAAAAAGCTGTAATTAAAATAATATAAAATTGTTTTATGAATTATACATGCTCTTTTTTTCGAATAAAAATCATTTTTAGAGTGAACAGTTTATAGAAATCGCATTAGTATTATTAAATATATCTAAAATACGTTCCTTGTGTTTTAAATTTAGTTGAAATTGTTTTTCAGCCTTTATATTTTTATTTTTCTTTTTCATTAATTCTAAATCTTTTTAACAATATTATAAACATTACGTATATAAACCTTGTAAAAGGTTTCCACTCATAAAAGCCCAGATATCATTTTCAGCATTCTTAGAAAGTAAATAAGCTGATACGAGCATTTTCTCTGCCTGTTCACTTTCAGAATGGACAATGAAATAGTAGCACAATGCTATTAAAGCCATAACTCGAAACTGAGTATTTGTATGTTTTTCTGATGCAGATACAACATATGACAATGAATTCCTAAAGTTATTAATAATTAATCGGTTAAAGATCAAGTATTACTTGGAATATAGAACATCTTTTCCCGCAGATCCACTAATTAAATTCCATGCAAATTTTAATTGTGTAAAACTTGATGATTGACACAATGGTTCAATATTATGAAGTATTTCATAAACTCGTTTTTTATCTTGTAATTGATTTCCTTGAAAAATAAGAACAGAGTTAAGACTTCCTACCAAACTAATTGCATGTAAAAAAACAGGTATTGATTCATATGCTTTCAATGCTGTATCTAATTGACCAGTGAATTGTGCATAAGTTCCCTTTAAAAGCATAAACAATGCTCTCGTAATAACAGTAAACGATGAAGAGTACTTTTCAAGAATTTCAATACACTAAATCAATAAGAACAAAAAAAAAAGAAAAAAGCCAGGCTAACCTCAAAAGCTTTATTAAATTTAGATCTTAACATTAATGCAAAACAATAATAAATTAAACACATTTGACGTGTAATTTCAAACCAATCCAAATCCTTATTTGTTCGTAAACCATTTGTTAAAAACTGATCATAAGCAAAATCATCTTAAAAATTATATCAATAATAAATAATATCATATAAAAAATTTACATCTTAGCATTTCTAATCCTTCGTTAAAGAAAACTTCTGCCTTAGAAGAACTATAATCTGGCAAATAACACATTCCAGACAAAATATGGCCATATATAAAAAGTTGCTGAGCATTAAACCAATAAATTTTCATATTAAGTCCATTTTGACTTAGCGGTAACTAAATTGCATTAGCTTTTTTTTAAAATCCGTATAAGCACAACATTAAGAGTATCTTGATATAAACAGTTAGTTTCTTCTGCAAATGCGTCAAGTTCATGATGTAAATCCCTCAATTCATGTATGGCTTCTTTTCCATATCCCTGAATTAAATTTAAAAAAATATTAAACATCATTTTAATCATATTCAAAAAAGATATATTGCTAATTTTTGTTTGTATTGCTGATACATAATTTAAACATTTTTTTGCCATTTGATATTCTTCTGTTTCAATTCTTAGATAAGTTTCAAAAAGTCGCGCAACAATGCAAACTAGATTATCATTTCGATTCTCAGCAATACAAATGATCTTCATTAAAGTAGATAAACGACCCATTCGTTCTGAATCTTGATTTACTGCATATGACAAAATATCAAACTGTAAAAATAAAAAAATATAAATCCAATCAACCATTTGACGTCTAATTCATTTAAAATTTATATAAAATGTTTTTTAATTACTCTTCTGCTTCTTCAATACACGATTTAAGCAAAACTTGTGCTGTTTTTAATGATTTTCGAGCAACTATACGAATTTGCAAATGCTGCATTGCGAATTTCGTTTCTATATCTTCATTTTTCTACATATTTTTACAATTTATATCATTTTTTTCACATTTCTTACTCTTTGTGCTAAAATTACCTAAACATATTCATATAAAATGATTTAAAATACATAAAAAACATACACCTTTACTAAGAATCCATTCTGCTTTTTGTATATCTTCTGTTTCATAAAAAATCACTTCTGCCATACGAAATCTCGTCTTTATTTCAATATTTACTTCCAATTTATCATACTATAATTCATGAACTATAAATTATCTAATATTTATACATAAAATATACACAAAGCAATGTTTCAAGACATCCAAGACCCGTTGCAATCAATTTATAATATTCTTCATAAGGAAAAGGTTCTTTTGAAAATGAAACAATCCTTTTTGCTTCTGAAAAAACATTTTCTGCAACTGACCACAAAAATATATGAGGCGATAACATTTAATTCTTTAAGGATTTAAACAATATTTTATTATATTTTATTATATATTAATTATATACGTCGGTCCTATATTTCATTACATATAACACCCATAATAAGTACAAATACAATATATATAACTTCTACACCATCCAAATCTCATAAATACTTACTATATTCTCTTTTTCTATAAATTTAATTTCTTGAAAAACGACTTATATCATACATGAATAATAAAGAAAAAAGCAAAATAAATACAAATAACTAAACAAAAATTACAATAAATAAAATTATTTTCCTTTGAAATTTATTTATTAACTGAAATAAAGAGGGCTTTAGAAAAATTAGGCGTAAATTAAAAAAGTGTGCCCAAAGACAAAGATCGTAGGTTTAAACTTTTTAAAAAGCGGTAAAAAAATCATCATACTCTTCTTAAGAAAAACAAATATGTCAGCTGAACGATTTCCTTCTATTCCTATTTCTTATAATAGTCCATCATCATCTACATCAGGATTTCAAGCTTTTCAAACATATGTTAAATATTTTGAAGAATGTGTAGAAACCTTTCTTGGACCTGTTAAACAGTAATTTTAATAATTTTTCTATAAAATTTTATTTCTTAGTTATTTTTTTTAAAAGTTATGTTCCAGCGTTGGGACGATTTTTAATTATTGGGACATTCATGGAAGATTCAGTACGTATTTTAACACAAATGAGAGATCAGCTATATTATTTGGAAGTTCATCGTCATTTTTATCGTGGCTTAAGTCATGCATTTCTTATTATTAATGTTATTGTAAGATATTTTTATATTAGGAAATGAAGGTTAAGGTGTAAAGGCGATGTTGACGGCATCTTTTATGATTGTGGCACGAAAAAAATCGGAAATAGCAGTTGGCATTTTATTTGGGGTTGTAATTGCACAGGCGTTTGGATATGGGTTAATCTTTGATAAAACACTTTTTTTCCGGTGAAAATTAAGAGATAAGATATTTACTATATTAATATGTTAAAGAAACATTTCTATGACGGGGGGATTATTAATGGTTTTATCAGATTCGTGGTCTAAGAAACAACATTTATTTGCCGGATTACCTCAATTATCAGAAACAGATCGTAAAAAATATTTTCTTGCAGTTGGAAGAGTTCTTTTAATATTTCTTTTTACTGAATTCATTTTTAAGGAAACATGGACAACTGTCCATGTATTCATGTTAATTTTTTCTTTAATAGCATGCTTTATGGTAATTATTGGATTTAAGGCGAAGTGGAGTGCCTTTTTTCTTGTTTGTATCTTGAATATTTTTAATATTTTGATTAATAATTGGTGGGATACGAAAATTACAGAAATGGAAAAGGATTTATTAAAATATGGCAAATATATATTTTTAAAAAAAAATAGAATTAATTTATTTTAGATTTTTTTCAAATGCTTTCAATTACAGGAGGATTGATTTTACTTGTCAATATGGGTCCTGGAGGGTTTTCTGTAGATGAAAAGAAAAAAATTTATTAATTAATTCATCCAATTAATACATATTTTCAATAAATTATTAATACGGCATCGTTTTTAAACGCAATTCTTTTAATATGGCTCTTTCAATACATTATAATTAATACTCATTTTTAATATTTATTCTTTCAATACAATACTAATTTATTTTTTCAATGCAAAACCAAACATACTTTTAATAATTCGTAAACAGATCTAACTGTACAATTTTCTCCTTAAATAGGTCGAATATACAAGTGGTCTATCTATATAGAACTTTCTACAATTCAATAATTGATTATATCAAAAAAGGCGCAATATACAAAATAAATATTTTATAAAAACACCATTTATACAACTTTTTTATTTAATATAATCGATAGGGACGCCCCATTGTCGATTTAATTACAAGTGAACCTACATTCTATTCTTTTCAACATATATATAAATATATAAATTCATTTTACCTGCCAAGCTTTTTTAAGAAGAGATACAAGGAAATTAATAGAAAGCATAATATTTGCAACCAATTGATCTTCTGTTAATTGAACATTTCCAACTGCAACACCAAGACATAAGACCTCTGTATTTATTAAAATTTAACTAAATATTTATAAAATAACTGACTCTTAAGTTGAAATTTAATAGTCGCTTCAACTTCTGTTAATTTAGTACTAAGATCATCTGTGTGAGATAAAGGTGTTGGGAATTTTCCCACTACAAAAGCATTAAAAATCTGTTTTAGTAATAATATTACACAATAAGTGTAATATATGTTTACCTTTAGATAGTCCTGGACCAAGAAGCCGAGGAATCTGTTTAATTAAAGAATCACTAGATATAAAAGCATCATATTTTTTAGCGAGTTTTTTAACAAGTTTTTTTTGTTTATTAAGTTTTTTAAGGTCATCAACAGAAAGTGCATCAACTCCTAATTCTTTAGCCCGATCTAAGTCATATGCATCTGCCAAAAGACAAATATTTAATCGACGTGGAACATGAGGAAGCTTAACGGTTCCTGAAAAACGCTTATCTCGTTGTGGATCATAATTTTTTAACCCAATTTGAAGCTCAACTGTTTCAAGAAAACTCAAACACTTAAAATAATAAAAAAAATAAAAATATAAGATTTACCCGCGTTTATGTTCTTGTGAAGCATGCAATAAATTTCGAACATTTTCATGAATAGCTAAAGCACTAACTTTACTAGATAAAAAGTTAAAAATATAAAAGAAAATCAAAAGTATTGAAAAAAGATAAAAAGCAGCTATAAAATATAAAATATAAATTATTATTTAATGAATATACTTTTGTACAAAAATCAATATATCTTAATAAATCAACTTATATTTCAAAAAACTTATATATCGAACTTCATATTCAAATATAATGTTATAATTCACTGCTTTATGTTTTTTTTCAATTGTTTTACCTCATTTTTTTAAAAATATTTTTTTAATCGAAAAGTAAAAAAATTAAGACGGTCACTTTTTTAAAGTTCAATATAATTAAAATTATATTGAACCTTAAAAAAGTATAAGAAATATCAATGAGTATACATACATAAAACAAAGAGATATATATAAGGTATATAGTTAAGAAAAGGGTAAAATTATCTACGTATAATATATTTATAAATTATAAAGTACGAAATGTCTATAAAAATAAAATATAATATAAAAAAAAATTAAAATATAAATAATATATTTATTTATTAAATATAAATAAAAAATATATTTCAAATATTTATTTTAAAAATAATGTTTTATGAATGACTTAGTGATACCGCACCTTATTAGGTCCAATGGCCCAATGGTTAAGGCGCATGACTACGGATCATGAGACTCCAGGTTCGACTCCTGGTTGGATCGTGGGTTTTTGAAAAATATAAATTTATTAATATTGAAATTTGGGTTAAGAAATGATAAAATTTATTATCTAATATTCGAGTGAATTATGAGGTTAATTCTTTTATTATTATAAATAGGTATTGGATATATTTAATAGTTTTAAATCATATGATAATAAATATCAAGCAAGATTTTTAGTTAGTTAATATATTATTAGTCATTCTAATGATTAAATCAGCCAACTCTTTTTTGCTTATGCCATTTTCCAATTCCTCGTTAATTGCAACTTTTATTACATTAGTAAATTTAAGATAGTGGGAAGGTATTGTTGAAATTTGCGTAAAATTCATATTATACTCTATCGGAGAAAGCTCAACTTTATTTAAATTATTTTGATTATTACGATGTAAAGTTAACGATTTTTTAGTCCAAAATTGCATTCGTTTTATTGAATATTGATATAATTTTAATGCTAGTCTTCTTCTACCCATATGCTTAGTAAATCGTTTAGCCTTTAGTCCATAAATCATGCAAAACTTTCGAGATTCTAATTTGCGTTTCCTCATATGAACTAATACTTTGCATGAAATACAAATTGTTTTTAACATGCCTTCTCTAAAAATAATAGCGTTACTATCTTGTGAAGTATTATAAAGATCTGAAGATGTTGAAGAATTATCCGTAACAGATGTTTTCATAAACGATGATTTAAGAGGCATTGATAATTTTATACACTGCCAACAAATATTTTCATGGCATTTAAAACATTTTCCTGCTACTTCTTTTCTACACATAATGCGTCCACATCCGCCAAAACACTGTCCAAGCCAAGGTTTTTTAAAAACACATTTATTACAAACACCTTCACCACCAATTTCACAGTAATATTTAACTTTAGAAGACATGTGAATTGTGCAATAAGGTACCAAACAAATTAAACAATTGAAAATGTCGCTATTTCTGCAATTCTTACATAATATACCACATTGTTGACAAAATCCAACTTTCAATGGCGCATGTTTATTTGAGTCTTGCCCTCGAATATTCAAATAAAATAAATTACACTGATTTACACCTTGACAAAGAGGACATACGCTTTCACCACATTTAGCACACTGAGAACTTTGAAGACAAATCCCACAGAATTTATAATTTGCAATCTCCGAATGAATATCACATTTTCTATATGCTTTACTTAAATTAAAGAAAAAATCTCCTGCAGAATAATATATATTATAATCTACCCGTTCATGATCATTCCAATAATCTATACATATTTCTCTATTATGCAACAAATCATTCGGATAATTCATTGAACACGTTTCCACGTCTGTCTCTAGTCGTAAGAGCTTTGCAATTTCTCTAAATATATATAAAAGATTATATTGACTATAATTATAATAAAGATCTTTTGCATACTTCGGCAACCCTTTCATATAACGAACTCTTAATTCTTTAAGAACATATGGAGTAATTGCTAATGAAGAGGATTGTTTATAATAACTTTCTTCACCCGACCAGACTCTTTGAAGTGCCATAAGAATGCTATTTAGATCTTTAAGAGATATAAATCGACAATGTCGAAGACTAATCTTTCTTAATCGTCCTAAACCTGCTTGTAAAATAATAAATCGAACAGCTGGATATTGAATTGCTGAAAAATCTAATATAATCACCGTTAAATATTTTAATGGAATATTACTACGTCGAAAAAGTGATTGTATCGTTTTAAAAGTCGCTAAATGTGTTTCTTTTGCATTTTGATACCGTTCAAGGATACTGCCTTTAGTATAGCTAAGATCAATCATTCGCCAACATCGATCATTATCATAAATAACATATCGCGCTGTTCTACAAACGCAAGATAAAGAAACCAGATCGATAAAATGCATATATTCTGCAATCGTCTCGATAAGATCTGGGTGACATATAATATTAAGAAAATGCGGCATATTCAATGCCGATAATATAAACTTCCTTACTCAACACTAAAAGCGTTTTCCAAACTTTAAATGGTGTACAAAATTCTTTAATTATAGATCAATCGAAGTATATCTTTTGATTTGTGAAAGATCAATAAAGACAAAAAATCCCCTATTCTTAGTAAAAAAAGAATGAATAGGCAATAAAATGGCCTTTTTAAATTCAAAGCATTTATATATGCGTGAAAATTCTTTTTTTAACAATATTTTATCAAGCTATATGCGTTATATTAGTAAATTAAAAATACCTATAAAAAACAAAAAAAGACCTACATAAAACAAATTAGCATATATCTCAATAATTTCGTTATTATTGAGAGATTTTCCTTTAAAATTATGATTCTCTATGCCAATTTTTATACCAATTGATCTTAATTATTCTTAATTTCTGATAAATTTCTTGATAAGCATTATAATACGATGAAATATTCGCTTATGAATTTTAATATATAAAATAACTCAAATATATAAAATTTCTCAAATAAATATTATAATATATTAAAACCGATTTTTAGACTTAAATACGCTTAGAAAATATATATAAATGAGACATGGAATACTTTTGCGAGGGTTGATTTTATATAGTCCGATATATATATATATATTATTAAATTCCAATAAATAGATTAAATGATATAATATAAATCGAATGTCGGAGTTTAAAACTCGTCAAAATCCTATAAAAAGGTGACGAGTACAAATAATTCGATATTCATCGTAAGTTGATTCTTAGACTGCTATAATATAAGTAATTATTGTAGAGCAAGGGAGTTTTCTGTATTATACAGAATAGCCTGACGGTGTCAGTCTTTATGGACCAAGTTACAGTCAAATTGCGATTGTTGCATTGCCTGTCGTTCCCGACGCCGAGAATAATACGGAATGTCTTGATCTGCCTTAAAATCTTTTGAGGTGATAAAAGATCAAACCGAACATTCTGAACTTATTGATTTCTTTAAATTATTTTTTTGACAGTTATGTAAAAATTATACCCATAAGTATCGTAGATTAAATATTTTGAAAAAATTGGATTATATTATACTTATTCGCCATTTTTTATCTCTTTTGCAACAGGTGTTAGTTCGTCTCCACTAAGTTCGTCTACAATTCTCCGTCGTTTGCCGGCTTTTCCTATAATATTATCATCTAGATCAATTTCTTTCATGTAATCAGTATCGTCTAGATTCCTATCTTGTTCATTTAGTAGCCAATGAACGTTCGTATCTTTTTTCTCATTTTGATCATTCTCGTTAGTCAAAGACGTTTGTTGTCTTTTATACATCTTTATGCCTTCTTCTTTAACTCTACGTAATCTTTCTGCTCGCTCTGCTTCGTCGCTTTCATCATCTACAATAAATCCATCATCGTCATCATCATAGTTATCATCTTTAGTATATATGCCAGAAAATCGATCATTTGTTTCTTCTGCTTCTAAACCTTCAATTGTTAAAATAGGACTTTCGTTATATCTAGCATTTCTAGCACGACGTTTTGATTCCAAACGGCGACGAAATCTAATTTTTTCCTCTTCAATCTATTTATAAAAATAAGCCGCACAATACATTAATAATTTTGTAGATTTACTCTTTCTGCTTCTCGCTTAACTTTTTCTGGATCTTCTATATTAATAAATTCAATAATACTAGATTTTTTCATATTTCCTCGAAGAATGGCTTCTGTTAACCTTTTATGTGTTGAACTTCGTGTATCAATTGGTAAAAATGTCATGTTTTTTGTAAATCGTTTTCTAGACATAAGAAGACTTTGAGTTTCATGAGAAATACTCAAATACATATAATCCGAAATACTGTTTTTTATTACTACAGAAAATAATTCTGATCCCAAAAGTAATGATAATGATCCATCTGACCATTTTAAAAAACGCGCGTTAGATTCTTTAGACTATATATAGGTAAATAAAAGCAAAAAATAAATATCCAATTTTACATAAGTTCCATCACTATTTTTAACATATCTCCACCGAATTGTATTCTCAATCCTTAATCTAATTCTTTGATAATTATCATACGAATTAACCGTAGTTTCTTCATATTCTGAACATGCTTCTTCTAAATATGAATTTGAATCAAACGGTTTTTCAACTACCGTTAAAAAATTCGGCATTTTAATATAATATAGCTAATCCATTACCATAAAAACACTTATTTATAGAATAAAAACCTCTCCATCTGTAGATTCTGGCGCTGCATAATTTGAAAGAGTACTTTCTAAAACACGTCTTGCTTCTTGATATTCAAAATCTTCCAATTTTTCTTGAGTTTCCTCTATCTTTTTTATTTTACTAATTTTATTAATCTTTGAAAATATAATATCTTCCTTTGGAACCCTTCAAACCCTTCTTTTGCCTCTTTTTCACTTTCACTGGTATCATCTCCAAATAAATCATCTGATTCATTGCCCAAACCCTCTTTCAATTCTTCCTCTGGAAAATCTTCTAAATCCGCAATCAACCTCTCAAAGTACAATGGTTTTTCTTCATTTATCTCTTCTTTTTCTGCTTCTTTCTTTGTTTCTTCTATAATAGATTCATTTACTTTTATTTTTTCATCAGAATGTCCTTTAAAATAGGAAATAAAATTAAAAAAAATATATACATATTAATCCTCATTTACCTTCCATAGCTAATAGAAAAATAGTAAAATAGAGCCTTAATAGAAAGTTTTTTTGAGGAAAAAATATTTATTAGAGATCTGATGTAAGTTACCTTAGCAACTAGATGACTAGATTATTTAATCTCGACACTATAAAAATATAATAGGCTAGATTTACCAAGTTTTTATTGAAAAATATAATAAAATTGGTATTTTTTTTAGTTATAAATGAGCTTCTTTAATAGCTTTGGGTCTATTTTTTTTAATTTAAATTTTTTAGCTGAAGTTTTTATAGAAAAATTGGTAAATACTCCCGTCTTAAAAAATCATCTATTACGACATATACACAAAATTCTCAACAAGATCATCGTAAATTATTTCTATATCAGCCATTTGTAAAGACAGCATTAGTTAAGGGAAGTTTTGCAACAATTGTAGCGCTTCCAAAATATGTAGATTTGAATGAATGGCTTGCATTAAATGGTAAGACGAAAAAAGTTTATAATATAAACTTGACTATGTTTTATCTAAATATTATGGCCGAATTTAATCAAATTGTTATGTTTTTGGCAATTAACATTGGATAGTGTTTGAGTTTTTTACATATTTGAATCAATTCTATGGTGTTTTTGCAGAGTTTTGTACGCCACAAAATTGCCCGTCTATGTCTGCAAGCTCAAGGTATAGAAGAATAAAAGTAAGATATACTTGACTAATATACATGACTATAGCGTGAATTATATGTGGCTTGATGGGAATCGAAAACAAATACAGTTATCAGCACCTCAATATATTGATTGTGTATTAGCATGGGTAAATAACCGATTAAGTGATGAAAATGTTTTTCCAACAAAAGCTGGTAAATTGTTTTATAATAGCAGACATATTTAGTTTTATGTGATAGGCCATAGATTCCCTTCTAACTTTTTCATTATCGTAAAATCAATATATAAACAGCTATTTCGAATTTTTGCACATATTTATTATTCTCATTTTGACAAAATTCTTCATTTATCTCTAGAAGCACATTGGAATAGCTTTTTTGCGCATTTTATATCTTTTGGAAAAGAATTTGAACTCTTAGATAAACATGATGTTGAACCATTGCGTGATTTAATAGATTTAATGGTTAAAACAGGGATTATTGCATAATAATTTAGAAATAACATCATATATATGAGTGACTCAACAAATGATAGAATAATTGTTAAAAATAATGTTAGATTGTTTTAGTAAAACCAATAAAAATTAAAAAGAAATAAATAATTAATGTTACATCATGTTATGTATATATATACTATTTTTCTTTGATTCTTCATATGAATATATTAATATATTTTTGTTGGTTTAATTCCTTCTGCTTTTACTTGAGTCCAATCAATTTGATCATGAATTTCATGATCAATTAGACCTATAACTGCACTAAATGTTTTTGTTAGACAATATCTCGATATTTCAATATATATCTTATAATTGTATTCGTAGATTTTGTAAATACTTACATATTATCTCCACGAACCAAATAAATCCCATCAACCTTAGTTATTTGCGTCCCTTCCATAGAAAATAACTTTTCATCTACTTGAGAAAGAATAAGATTAATGGTTTGATCAAATCCCGTTAAATATCCTGTCAAAACTCGACCATCTGAAGTGACAATTACCACTTGTTCTAATAACCAATTATTAATACATTTTAATAAATATTTGACCCAAAAAGCATACGATCGACAAATGCTTGAAGAGCACTCATGAAAAATATATAACTTTTATGTTTTTTTCTGAAAAAAAAGGAGAAAAAAGATCAATCGTCAATCAATCAATGATCTACCTTCTTATTTCCTATTTACACGCAAAAAAAAAAAACGGAAAAAACAATGACACCTCTATTTTTCGTCAGAATTAAGAATATCCTCTTTATTTTTTCATATTACATCTCTAACTTTGACTTTTTTCCCTTGACCACTCTCTACTTTTTTTCGACGTCTCTTTTCACGTGCACAAGTGTTTGTCAACGTATGTAACAAACGTCTATCTTTATAAAAATTAATAAAATATTAGATAATTTAGCTGAACTGTTATATTTATATGACTATGGTTTCTCTTTGACAGGGCTTTAAAGACTTCATCAAAAAAAACGCACAAAAAATAGATATTTTGGAGTAAAACTGAATAAAACATTATTCTTTTTGGTTAAATCTTATTTTTGCTTTATAAAGAAATTTATCTGATAAAAGTTCTATTTCCTACCAATTTATTGCCTTTATTTTGGAAGAATGAGCTCGCAGCTTGCAAAACCTATTTCTCATAACTCATTTTCAAATAAGTAAATATGATGTTAAAAAAGGCATTTTTATGATCTTATTTCTAATAGAAATGAAAAATCATTAATAGATAACCAAAATATGGATGCTCTTTTGATTCAGATTCAAAAAGGTATATTATATCTAATTTTAAAATGTTTATTAAGAAAAAAATTAGGTAAAGTACTTAAAAAGACGATAACAAACGATAGAAGCGCGCCTATTATAAGTAAAGCATCTTGTTCTTATAGTATTATTTATCTTTGTCATAGAAAAAGTTGTTTCATATGAAATATCAAATAGAGTAGCATCAACGATGTCAAACTCATCTAAATCTTCATCCAATCACTCAGAACCTCCATCTTTTGTTCAAAAGCTACCGGAGTTGTTTCAAGATGGTGCACCGAAGTTAAAGCATCGAGAAGGAGGTGTCAATACAGGAGGTAATTAATATTTTTTAAAATTGATGATTAAATTCAGACATATCAAAGCTATACATATTGAAAATGCAGCTAATTCAAAAAACATGCAATCTTCTTCTAAAAGGGAATCAAATGCTGTTCAAACTTCCTTATTAAGAAACAATAGTACTTCCTCTAGATCTGTATCTGATTCACAAAAAACAACATATAAGAAAACATCATCTACTGTTTTAACACGACCTATTTGCCTTCCACCTCCTATTCCAAGAACTATTTCTATGTCAGTATCAAAAAAGACCGATGTTCAGGGTTCTTCAATAATACCACCGTTAGCGCCACCGCCTCCTCCACCTCCACCTCCGCCTCCGCCTCCTCCACCAACACGCAATGTTTCATTATCGACTCCATCGACTGCTCCTCCGCCTCCACCAATTCCATCATCTATTGCAGTGAACAAAACAAGTACGAGGCCACCACCTCCACCACCTCCACCACCTCCACCACCCCACTTATCATCATCAATGGCAGCAAATACTTCAAAAGAAACATATATCTATCGATCATCTTCAGTGTTATCTTCTCAGGGCTCTCTTTCAAGACAAAATAAGTCTTATGTGTCTTTGAATTTTAATAAACTTTATACAGGACCTGGTATTAAGCCAAGTAATATAAATATTATGAGTGAAGCAGTTCATTATATATATATATGTTGTTTTAATAGCGTTTTAGTTGATGATTCTCGTTGGAGATTTAAAGATGAAGACGAATTTCCAGCACCACGCACTTTTTCTGGTGAACAAAAAATATTTAGAAGTGGAAGACAAGGTGGAAGCACAGTACCTCTAAACCTAGATTGATATAAACATATTCATTTTTTATTTTCTTTCAAACTTTGAAATTTCATTGTAACATTTCTTAATTTTGTAAATACATATATATTGATTTTCAAGCACAAATATTGCAATGTCTTTTGGATAAAATTAAGGCTAATTATAAATAGATTTATACAACAATACAAGAGCATTGATGTTATTTATTGTTTAAAATAATGACATTATTTTTCAATTTATTGTTAATGGTACGACCATTTAATTGTAGAAGGATCAATTCCTTCTTGTACCATTTCCCAGAGAGGACTTAATTCTCTCAAAAATTTAACCTTGTCCTTTATTATATTACAAATATAATCTATTTCTGCGTCGGTTGTAAATCTTCCAATTCCGAAACGCAATGATGAATGGGATATATCATCTGGTACTCCTAAACTACGAATAACATAAGATGGCTCAAGGGACGCAGATGTACAAGCGCTTCCGCTACTTAATGCGATATCCTACATATTTCTTAATATATATATATGATGAAAAATATATACTTTTAATGCCATTAAAAGAGACTCGCCTTCGATATAAGCAAAAGATGCATTAATGCATCCAGGATAACGACGTAATGGATCTCCGTTAAAATAGACATATTCAAGTTGTGTAAGATGACTTATTAGCCGTTTCGAAAGTCGACTTACATGTGCATAATCATACTAAATTTGTTAGAAAAAAATAAAAAAAATGTTTCAAAATAAATCTAATTAAAAATCCATCTCAGAACCCCTGCACGACCTCCATTATGTATAATAAATAAAAAAACCATTATAATGTCAGTTATATAAAATATTTAATAATAAAAAAGGTTCATCACTGATAGAATACAGAACTAATGTAGATATGGGGAAAAAAATTGTGTCTAACTTACCTCTAGTTCTTCTTTTGCAATCCGACAAGCTTCTCCCATGCCAATAATTAACGGAGATGCAAGTGTGCCACTACGCAATCCCCGTTCTTGTCCTCCACCATTAATTAATGGTTCAATTCGTACACGTGGTCGACGTCTAACATATGATGCACCAATTCCTTTTGGCCCGTACATTTTATGCCCCGAAATACTCATTAAATCGATTTTACATTTGTCTACGTTCACTGGTATTTTTCCTACTGCCTGTGCAGCATCTGAATGAAAAAAAACCTTCTTATCTCTACAAATTTTCCCAATCTCCTCAATTGGCTGAATCACCCCAATCTCGTTATTCACCATCATAATACTAACCAAAACTGTATCTGGGCGAATTGCACGCTCTAAATCCTCCAAACTTATCAAACCATACTTGTTCACAGGCAAATACGTTACATCAAATCCTTCATTTTGCAAAACTCGACATGAATCCAAGACACATTTATGTTCTGTCTGTGCTGTGATGATATGCCGTTTCGTGCTACGATAAAAATGAGTTACACCCTTGATAATCATATTATTTGACTCCGTAGCACCTGATGTAAAAAAAATTTCTTTTGGATCTGCTCCAATTAAGTCTGCCACATGCTCACGTGCTTTCTGAACTGCTTTATCTGTTTCCCAACCATACGCATGCTATAAATCTCTTGGTTAGCCAAAAATATTGAATAAAAAATAATTATTGTTCACAGTTCTCGAATGACTATTACCATACAAATATGTAAAATATGGTAACATAGCATCAAGTACTCGTGGATCAACCGGCGTTGTTGCTTGAGCGTCAAGATAAATAGGCCGAGTCCCTACAGACCTACGCGATATGGAATCGCCTATTCTGCATGTTTTTCCCTCATTTCTTATTAATTCTCCACTTAATCTTCGTATCAATTTATTCCATAATTTTTGCTTTAAAATACACTTTGAAGGACGAGAAAAAAACGAATGCCAATGCATTTAAAAGAATATTAAATATAAGAAGAAATAAATACTAAAAATTCATGATATTTCTCCCTTTTTAAAGGACTTTTTTTATTAATAAATAATACGTGATTAGAAGGTCGTTTGTCTTATCCGCTCGTTTTTATTACAAATCTCTGGATATTACAGTATAATAAGAAAAATACATAAAAAGTAATAAGATAATTTGGAAGTGGCTTATAATAAATGAAAACAATATGAAAGAATATTTTTATAAAAGGAATTGATTTTTTTAATATGTATAGTATTTAAGAGATGATAAAGATAGTTTATATTGGAATACTAATGAATGTTAAAAAGTATAGAAATAAAGAATTTACTGTCTATTAACAGTGTATTACTAACAAGTATATTTAGAAGATAATGTTTTATGAATTGTAATCTTATATAATAAGCTTATTATTAATAAAACCAAAAATGACAAATGAATCTAATAATATTACAAGATATTATACAAGTTTGTTTTAATACCGATGATATGATTTTTTTTAAAAGAACATGTACCCCTAGTGAAAAAAGTGTAAAAATAGAATAAATCTAATCAAGCGTATAAAAATAAATAAAAAATAAAACAACGAATAATATGGCTTTGTAGTTCCTATGAATACGTTGCCTATCCTTTAAAAGGTATAGAAGATGTCATAACATAATCTAATTTTTTAAAACACAAACATTAATTCAAAGTAAATTCATAATGCTCCGAAACATAACTTTAATAGGATTAATGTAATTTTATACTTTTTATGTCTTATATTTTTATGCCTGAGCTTGTTATTTATAGAGAAGTTTTTGTTGAGTTTATTAAATAAATAGTTTCTTTTTTCAAATATTTGTATTACAATAGATTTTCCTTTTTATATTTTTCTATGTTTTTCTAGAAAAAAGTAGTTTTTAAATCTCATTTTTGCAACAAAGAGGAGATTGATGTATCATGAAGTTGACCTTTTAATTTTCTATTTAGCCATTTAGCATTTGATTTAAGAGCCTTAGCCCAATTATCTCGACACTGCCTTATATGCTCAGGATCAGCTGCAAATGGCATTTCCCATACTCCAATTGATTCAATAATCTCTTCGTCAGATTTATTGTACCATTCCGAAAGCAAGTCTCCATCCCAACAGATAACAGCTGGAAGAGCAAATGAGTCAAATAAATTTTTACATGCATATCTAAATTTTTCAGTACAGAGTTCGATTTCACAGTCAGGCCAATTATCGTTGTTTGAAAAATCTGAAAGACAAGTATATTCACGAAATAAAGATTCTGACATCGACATGATTTGAAAACCTAGGTAACATGGAAGTTTCTTGAATGACTTGCTGTTTCTATAGAGATCAAGTTTTTTAAGTACTAAAAGTAAAGCATCTGTAAAAACATCGTCGTCTTTGCAAAAAAAAGATGCGTGAAGCAACATCAATGGATCTGCTTGAGGCTGTTTATAGAATTTCATGCAATAAGCGAGAGAAAATCCGACAATTGGTTCAGAAACCTCATACTTTGCCGCCATTCTTAATACCGAATGAAATTCTGTTTTCCATGAAAAAGTAGTAGGATCATGCAGAACCTCCATTAATAAACTAAATGCTTCTACTTCTGTCTCCTCAACAAGTGTTAGAATATAATGTACACCCTTATGAATCTTGCGATATTCTGCATTATTTGAAAAAACCGTAATATGTCGCAAATATCGTGTAAGACCCGGAGAAAAAAGTCTAATTACTTTTGATTCAACTCTTAACATTGTATTACACCCAACATGTGCTATAGTATCTCCGTAATTAACTGAAAATAATTCTTCTTTATGCCCCATCCACTTATTTGAAATACACATAGTTATATCTTTTGATCCACTGGGCCTATTTAGACCGTTTAAAAAATATTTTAACGCCTTTTAGGCAACTAAAAAAATTTAATAGGCGCAATTTGCGCCAATTCGCGCCTGTTTAAAGCTCCTTTCTAGTTTATTTGAGTTAATTTTTTGTTAGAAATTTATTCGTCGTAACTCATGCAGACAACAATGTCACGTGAAATGTTGTTATATAGGGGTTGCCGTAACAACTGTGCTTTTAATTTATATTTTTTAAAATCATAAATTATTTTATTATTTAATATATATAAATATATTATAAAGAATATATTTAGATTTAGATTTATGATTATACATATGTTTGTTATTTTTTTATCATAGCTAACCCTTTTTACGTGGTTGTCACGGTAACCTCTTCTGTTGTCATGACTACCACTTTTACCTTAACAACAAGCAAACGTTTAAGGTTTGTTGCAAAAAATTATCACTTTTTTCTCTCTTTTCAGGCCTTTTTTAATGGTATTTTTATATTTTATGTGGAAAATTAACTTTAAAAGGCACTTCCGAGGCCGATTTCGCATAGAATTGCAAAAGAAATTCAGTCACTTTGGGCTTCACCGCTTGAAGGAGTACGATTACTTGAAGTTGGAGATAGTACTCTTACTGAGGTTCAGGCATATATTTTCGGGCCTGGAAAGTGTTATCTAGTTGTAGGGATTATATCTAATTGATAATTAGAAGGAACACCTTATGAAGGCGGTGCATTTAAGTTACGATTACAATTTGGTACTGAATATCCATCAGTGCCTCCAAAATGTAAGATTTTAGAGGGATAAGAAAATATATCTTAAAAAAATGGAATAGGCCATTTTATCACGAAGATTTTTCATCCAAATGTCTCTTCAAAAGGAGAAGTTTGTGTTAGTATTTTGAAAAAAGACTGGTCACCAACTGTACATGTTTCGCATATTCTTTTGGTAAGAAAGGAGCAATATGAGTTTTCCTAATAAAATAGACGGTTAAATGTCTTTTGATTCATCCAAATCCTGAATCTGCATTGAATGAAGAAGCAGGACGGTTATTATTAGATAATTATGAATCCTTCTCTAAGCATGCACGATTAATTACTTCTATTCATTCTGTTAAACCTGGAATTGCTTGGATGGAGCTTACTGGAACACATTTATCATCTGATTTTCCTACTTTAACACCTTTAGGTGATAGCAATACAACTTCTAATCTTTCATTTGGCTCCGAAAATTTTGCTAAAGGACGAGAAAATATTCCTGTTACTGAAAATAATCATGATTTAGATAATAAGATTTTAGAAAAAAAAAAAATAGATACACGTAAACGAGGTTTAAAACGACTTTAATGTTTTTTCTCAAAACTCTATAAGGTTATATTAGCTAAAGAAAATACATTATACCTGTATTTTTCATCTTTTTCATGTCAAATATCTAAAACATTAACGGTTTCAACATTCCCTTTATAAAAAGGTATTTATTTATTTATCTTATATCAATATTTATATTCAAGGCATCTCAAAAGCTTTATTAAAATCTTGATAAAGTATTTAAATCTTTATCAAATCATTTTTAAACAAACATAAAATTTATTTACATTTATACATATATTTACTTGTCATCTTCATTTAAATATTAATACTTCAAAATTTTCTTTTTCCCTATATTTTCTCAACCAATGGTTTCCCTTGGAACACTCTGAGATATCAAATCTTGTATATTTAAAAAGTGCTAATCTTTAATTTTCTACTAACTCTGAACCCTTCGACGACAATAATTTTTATAACCTATGGATGAGCTTTCAGGTATGTTTTTTTAATAAATCTTTATATTTTTATTAAGAAATATAGAGCTTGAACGCTTAGAACAGAAGATTACACTTGCTTTGTATGAAATTGATGCTAATTTTAATCGTTGCCATCGAATTGTTACGACAAAGATTTTGCCTATTATCGAGGGCTATGCTGAGCATTCTCGGCGTATCTGGGAGAATTCGAAGGTATTATCTTGTTTATAAGGGCTCTTTTTATATCTTTTAAGTTTTGGAAACAATTCTTTGAAACCAGTGCTAATGTCTCACTTTCGGGTTATGAAGAATTATCTCAAGAAATATCAGGGTTAGAAGAAACAAGTATAGATGCAGGAGACATAGGAGGAATAACAGAAGGAATAATTGGAGGAACATCGGAAGCCAATGTCATAGGTGATACACCATGGACTTCTACACCTCTTGATATCTCTACACCTCATGCTACTTTACCAATGACAACGTCGGATGCTATTACGTCGTCACCGGTAGGTGGATCATTAACACCCCTTATGTCACCAGCAACACGTATTAAGAAGGAAAATCCATTACTACATCGTGTTTTGGATAGTACATGGCGTCTTCAAGTAACACCTCATATACCTTTTGTTCAATCATCGATATCTTCATCATCTCCAGCATTTACATCATGGTTTACAAAAGCTAATTTAGAAACGCGAGAAGAAGAGGATGATTTGGATGCATCTTTACCAATTGGTTTGTCACCGCCAGTGACAATGGTATATTATTTTGTAAGATTTTTTTATAAACTGATATGGTTCAGCAATTTTCATTACCACCTTCGAAACTATTGAAAACGCCAGCACGTGAAGCGGCGCGCTATGTTGTGGATGATATTTTACAAACGGTAGGGGCAGAAAAAAGCTCAACTCGTCCAGATATATTCGCACGTGTTGATGAAGAAAGTCCGTTAGCTTTGGTTGATCAGAGTGGAGTTAATCGGGTACACACTCTTATAGATGAATAAAGGTTGAATAAACATATATTTTTAGAAAAAAAGGGATGATTCATTTTAAATGATATTTAGCAGAATTGAAGGAATCTACCGAATTAATTAATTTATATATTTTTTTTATTATATTATAGAGCTGGTACTTGGCTTTATCATTACTAAGAATAACATAAACTAAATGGCTAAGACCAGGCTTATTTATTTGAAAATAAGTATTAAAAGATGATTTATTTTATAGAATCATGAGTTTTACGATTTTTGTTTTCAAATGAACACGCACAATTAAAAAAATGAAAAAATGGTTATATTTTTGTAAAAAATAATGTAAAATATTATAATTGTTTTTTAATCATTTCTTTTTTTGTATACATATAACTTTAATTAAAATGTATTTTTAATATCAAAACGATTAACTAATTTTTTAAAAAGAATTTTAAAGTTTTTGCATTGCAACAACATCAGAACTCTGTAGAATCTCAGTAGAATATTTAGACTAATTCATCATTTTAACCTGTACATAATCTTCCAATTCTGCAATTCGTTCTTGAAGCTCTTCAATTGAAACTTTTTCATCTTCAACAACAAGTGTAATTTGAAGTTTACGAATTCCGTATCCTAAATTTCTTAAATACGTCTTTCATGAATAGCCAATAATAAAACATACCCACAAGAACAAGCTTTCCTGAACCCCAAACAAGACCATCCATTTCAATAGCTCGAACACCCTCTTCTAAAGCTGTCATGTCCGTTTCATCGTCCCATGGTTTAACATCCAAAGTAACAATAGATTTTGCAATAATCTTCGGTTTTGATGCTTTCTTTTCTTTATATAAAGCAAGTCTTTCTTCCCTAATTCTTTCCGCTTCTGAATCTTCATCACTTGCAAAAAGATCAATATCATCTTCCTCTTTTTTGGATTCACATATAAAGATGTGACCTAAATATGAAGCAGCAGATTTTCCTCTCTCACCAGGAAGACTTTCAAACTCATGTGTATATGAACAGATGTGAGTATACCATCGGGACAAATTAGGATATTTATCAGCTAAAGGTAATTGTTTTATCTCAAAAAATAAAGAAACATCCGCTTGTGATGGAGTATATCTTTCAAAGAGTTAGAAATACTAATTAAGGCATTTTTTTTATGTGTTAAATGATCAATGATATGTATATATAACTTTATTTTTAAAGTCAGACAATTAGAAAATTCAAAAAACTGATCAAAGGCTCAAACACCTCATATACACGGACCGATTATGTGTCATCATTTTCAAAATAGATTAAATTTAAAAAAAAATAATCTTACCCAACAATATAAGATTTATCTTCAAAAAACTTGTTAAGCTAAAATATTATTCAAAACGTTTGAGTTTTAAAAACATTATTTACTTGCCAATAACAATGAAGAATCTGTTCCTAAATCCAAAGATGTCATTTTATATAGCTTTTTGTATATTTTATTTTTTTATACCAAATGTTAATTCGTAAAAAAATCTATTAATTTTTTGTCTGAATGATTTAAAAAACATAAAAGAAGAAAATGTTTAGAAAGATTTTCCATATGTTAATATTGTTTTTGAGTTAAAATATAAATAATATTTTCTTGATTTTTAATATAAAATTTTTGTTAATTTAAAAAAAAATGAACCATTAATAGAATAAAAGAAAAACATACATCTATAAATCTTGTTTTTCTTACGATTGTTTTTCCTTTAATGATTTATATTTTCTTCTTTTTTGACGAATATCTATAAACCCGGGTCTATGATCTAAAATGCTATGTATACTTGAAAAATTAGATGAAAAAAAATAGAAAACAGTTGTATACAGATCTCCTGATTCTTTTTTTGCATTTATATATTTGGAATAACTGATTGGTTGTAATTTTTCTGCAAAAAATACTCTTTCAATACAAAAAATAATTAATGACAAAATCACTTCAAGAATCACCTAATATTATTCAGCTATTTGTTTTAAAATAGTAAAATTATTTTACATCTATAGGAATTTTTACTTCTTGATCAATTGATTTCATTAATGATACAATTTCATGAACAGAATATCCTCCATGAAATAACATTAAAAAACTAATAAATATTAATAGTCGGCTAATAGTCTTCTTCATAATAATTAAATATCCATTTCTCAATAAAAAATGTTTATAAATTATCAAATAAATTCTATATTTAAGTAAAATATAATCTTATAAATATGTATCGTTAAGCTATTATGGTTAACTATATTTAAGCCAAATTTAGATTTATAATGATATATAAGATGGGATAAACAGATATCTATACATATTTCTATTTAAACTAAATTGAAGGGTATATTGAAGAAGAATTGCTTGATTTTGCTATTTTTTTAAATATTTATGTATTCGAAAAAAAATGAAAATATCTTTTTTAAATATTGCAGTATCCTGAAAAACACTATATATATTTTTAAATATAAAATATAAAGACCATGTAGATTATATTTTGAAGAATAGATATTGTTTTTATAAAAAAATTTACCTTATAATTAAACATCGTGATAATTACTTTTTTATAAATTAATATAGAATGTTATTTGTAATATCATAATAAATTTGGATTACTGAAATTTTACAGACTTGACTAAATGTGTTTTAATGCCAGTTGCTTCTCCTTTATATACGTCTTTTGGCGGACCTTTATAAATAGCAATTTTACTAGCAAGTTTCTTTTTAGCTACTTCATATTTTTTTCTTTTCTTAACTCTTGGATTACGAACTTCTATAAAATTGTTAAAAGTGTTGTTATAAATAGAATATATATACCCTTTGGCCTATAAGGAATTATCCCTTTGTTCTTTTCAATATCATATCTAATTTTTCGTTTTCCATTTATTATTTCATTTTCTGTATTATACATAGATTGTTTTTTTGCTTCTTTTTCCATATCATGGGCTATTTTTCCTTCTAATTTTCGTTTTTTAGTAGCATTAGATAACATGTTATAATAATTTTCATCTGAATCATTAGTTTGTAGATCTGATTCGGGTTCAGACTTCGAAAAAATATCATCATCTTTTATTCTTGCTTCAGTTTTTTTAATAGAACGTATATGTTCTTTTCCATGTTCTTGATATGGCAAATCTGTATCACCAGAATTTGGAAATTTGGATCTTTTTGCAGTTTTCTGTAAAAAAATTAACCTTAACCAGATAAAAAATTAATGAAATCACCTGGTTTATTTGGGTTGTATAAAATTTAAGGGATCTTCTCTTAGTAGTACTATTAGGATTATTTATATTAAGATAATCTTCTTTGTAATCATCATCGTTTTTTAACTTGTCAAAAACATTTTTCATAGATTGAAATGATTTTTTGACATTTAATATATTAAGATCATCAAAGATTGAGCCAGAATGTTCTTTTGTTTCCTGTTTAATATCTTTCACTGGTTTTTTTTCTTTTTTTTTATTATGTAGTTTGATATTTAAGTCGTTCTTAACTGTATCTGATTCTTCTGATTGTGTTTTTATATCTATCTCTACAATTTCACTGTCAATATTTTCTATTTTTTCCCATAGTTCTTTGAAGCGCATAAGACTAATCATAATAGGATGATCTTTCATAGAAACTACATCTTTATCTGGATCTACTATTATTGAAAAATACATAGCTAATACGCCAAGATATGCTGATAAAGTAAAAAATTTTAATTCTAAAAGTTTTAATTGAGAACCAGTTGCTTTTTCATACGAAGTTTTTAATGGATCTAGTTGTGGAAAAAGATAACAATATTCTTTAGTAAGTAATGTAAATTCAGGATATATTTTTTTCAAATAATTAATAGCTTCTTCATTTGATAAATTATCCGGAATACTTGATAATAGCTCTTCTGTAACAACTTCACTAAAATATACGTTTAAAAAATGTTATATTAAATCAAATTATACCTTTGATCAATTTTTTTTTCATTTATTTCTTTTTCCTTCCAATCTTCTAAATCGTCTATAAAATCTTCCTTTTTTAATTTTGAAAGGTAAAGCTTTTGAAGCCTTAATGCCTCCTTTTCTTCTTCAATGATGTCCCCTTCTTCTGATAATAAATCTGCGTCATAATAATTTTTTTTAGATCTTCCCCAATTTTGTAAATCTAATTCGTCCTCGCTATTATCCTCTAAATTATTCAAATTCTCTGAGATGCTATCTTTATTCTCTTCATCTGAAGATGTTACATCTAGTTTAAGAACTTCCTCATCTGTAGCACTCCAATAATCTAAATCATCAAATAAACCAGAAATTCCCTAATAAAAAGAACAAAGGTACCATTTTCCCTTCCAGAATCATATTTGTCATCCAAATTAATCTTATCTTTTCTTGATTCAACTAAAATTATTAAATATTTAATTTTTTATTATTCTGAAAAGTGGTTTAAATCTTACATTCGTCCTCTGAATTTTCAACATTTTGGTATTTATCAACAGATCTAATCATATATTCCTTTTTCTTACTGTTATATGAAAATTTTTATTGAATTTCATTGCTTTTCCTCTGCTTTCTTGATTTTTTTAACTCGTAGAGAATATGATCAAATTTACAGAATAAAATAAGTGCTAAATATAAGATTTTTTTTATACAATAAATTAACAAATTCTAAGTTAAAATAGATTTATTTTTCATTTATATCCATTTTTTAGAAAATTTGTTTATTTTATCTCTGAAAACTGTTTAAACTTGTTTATAAAATCTATTATCTTTAAAAAATATATATAAAAGATGAACTATAGCCAAAATATCATTAAATATGTCTTTTATTTGAAGAATGGATCAAATAGGAGTTATCTTATTACATGGATCATAGGAACATTGATTTTTGTATATGTTTGTCTTAAACAACTTTATAAGATATTTGATAATAAAATGCCTCTAGAGGGACGTGTATGTTTGAATCTTTGGATTTTTTCTATTTTGACTATATTTTTTTTAGTATGTATATATTACAGGTGGATCTCAAGGTGTTGGCAAAGCTTTGGCTATACTTTGTACACGTAAAGGTGCTCATGTCAGTATTGTTGCTAGAAATGAAAATATTTTAAAGGAAACACTTAAAGAAATGGAGGTTTTTCTTTTATATAATATTTTTTTCTTAAATAATAAAGAACTCAGAATGTAAGGTGTAATCTAAATCAGAAATTGAAAGCAATTAGTGCGGACTTGACAATTGCTACAGAAGCAAAACGTGCTTTAGATGAGGCTTCAGAAACTTCCCCGGATATTGTTTTTTGCTGTGTGGGTATGTACAAGGGTTTAATGGTATTTTATTGATATGGAAGGTGCTGCACAACCTGGTTTTTTTGTCGATTTATCATCAGAACAAATTGAAGAAGGGATTAAAGTAAATTATTTGACAGCAGCATATACAGCTCATGTAATTTTCATGGCAAAATTGTGATATATTTTAAACTAATTATTTTAATAGGTAGTTCTTCGTAAAATGATTGATAATCCATTGTCTTCTAAGGCATCTCCAAGAAGAATTATTTTTTGCTCATCTCTTCTCGCATTTTTGGGTATGGCTGGTTATTCTCAATATTCTCCTTCAAAATCTGCTTTACGATGTTTAACAGATACTCTTCGCCAAGAATGTCTTCTTTATGGAGTCAAGGTACATTGTGCATTTCTTGCAACAGTATATACTCCAGGATTTGAAAAAGAGCAATTGATTAAGCCGGAGCTTACAAAAGAACTTGAAGGAATAGATCAAGGTCAATCACCTGAAATAGTAGCCTCACGTATAATTAAAAATCTTGAGAAAGGAAAATTCTTTATTACGACTGAAATTATTGGTACTCTTCTTAAAAACAACATGAGAGGACCATCACCGAGGGACAGTATGATTACTGATACTATTTTTGGGTATATCGCATCCTTTATTTACCCTTTTGTTCGTATAAGCCATGACCATATTGTAAGAAAGTATGCAAAAAAATTTTGTCATAAAAAAATAAATTGAAGAAATATTTTTATATGTTTTATAATAATTTACTTTTTAAAAATTATTTTACTATTTGAATTATTTAGAATATGTAATAACATATAAAAATGAACATAATGTGCCTTAAAGATAAACTTTTGAAAATTATATCAATAACATTCTTACCCAAAATAAATAGTCCTTTAAAAGCACAAATAATTTATGCATTAGTGATAATATTAATCAAAGATTCTTTTTAATGATTAGAACATACTTCTAATTCTGAAGTATTTTTATTCAATTTTACAAAAATGGTCTCATTAGATCTTATTTTCCCCTGAATAAGTAATGAAGACATAGGGATAAGTATTTTTTCTTCGATAAAACGATTAAGTGGTCTTGCTCCATATGTTAAAGAATATCCTTTTTCGCTTAGCCATTCTTTAGAATCCTCGTCTACGTTTAGTACAATTTTACGATCATTTAATCGTTCTTGAATTTCTTGAAGACGAATATTAACTATGTCCCTTAAACATTTACGTCCTAGTTTATTAAAGCAGTGAATAGCAGTTATTCTGTTCAAGAACTCGGGAGGATAAGTGGATTCTACAATTTCCATAACGGCTCTTTTGGTTTTTTCACTTATTGTTCCCTCAGGCGATTGATCATTAATTAAAATATCAGAACCTAAATTAGATGTGGCAATTATAAGAGTGGATTTGAAATTGATTTTTCGGCCTTGAGAATCTTTCAAACTTCCTTCGTCTAAAACTTGCAATAATAAATTGGAAATATCACGATGAGCTTTTTCAAGTTCATCAAATAGTATAACTGAATAGGGCTTTCTTCTAACAGCTTCTGTGAGTTCGCCACTTTCTTCATATCCAATATATCCAGGAGGTGAGCCTATTAAACGAGAAATGCTGTGTTTTTCTTGAAATTCAGACATATCAAAACGTATCATAGAATTTTCACTATCAAAAAGAAATTCAGCCAAAGCCTTACAAAGAGCAGTTTTTCCCACTCCCGTTGGCCCTAAAAATAGAAAACTTGAAAGCGGCCTTTTTTCGTCTTGTAAACCGGCTCGACTTAATCTAACTGCATTTGCAACAACTTTAAGAGCTTGATCTTGTCCGCGTATTTTTTTTCTTAAAGAATCTTCCATAGTCATCAATTTATCTTTTTCTCCGCGCATTAGGCTAGAAGTTGGAATACTAGTAGCCTTAGATACTATTAAAGCTATATCTTCTGAAGTCACAGAATCATGAAGAAGTGAATTAGTTTTATCTAAATCTCCCTCTTTAGGAACCTTTTTTTGCAATTCGGGTATAATAGAATATTGAAGCTCACTTGCACGTGCATAGTTTCCTTCACGTTGTGCATGTTCTAAATCTGTTCTAGCACGATCAAGTTTTTCTTGTGCCGTTTTAATAGATAATAATTCGTTTCTATATTATATTAGAAAAAATTATAATATTTTATAAAAGTAGACTTTTCTTTGATCCATATTTCATTTAATACTGAAACCTCTTCTTGTTTTTTTTTTAAATCTTTTTCAAGTTTTTCTCTTCTTTCAATGCTGATAACATCCGATTCTTTACGCAAACTTTCTAGTTCTATTTGATGTGTCATTATTATTTTATCTAATTCCTGAATAGCATCAGGTTTGGATTCTTGTTGTAAACGAAGAGAAGAAGCTGCTTCATCAACAAGATCAATTGCCTTTCTATATCAATAAAAGGGTGCAATAAAAAGGGAAAAGAAACCTTGTCTGGTAAAAACCTGTCTGTTATATATCTATTTGAATATACTGCAGCCGTTACTAAAGCGGCATCTGTAATTCTTACACCATGATGCACCTCATATTTTTCTTTTAATCCTCTAAGAATAGAAATAGTATCCGAAACAGTAGGTTCGTTAATATATACCGGCTGAAACCTCCTTGCAAGTGGTGCGTCTTTTTCTATATATTTTCTATATTCTTCAATAGTTGTTGCACCACAACATTGAAGCTGACCACGTGCTAATGCTGGTTTTAATAAATTAGATGCATCGACAGATCCTTCTGCTTTTCCGAGTCCAAATAATATATGTAATTCATCGATAAATAATATAATTTCCCTATTAGCATTTTCAATATCTTTTAAAACACCTTTTAATCGTTCTTCAAATTCACCACGGTACTACAGTATTGTTAATAATAAAACAAGTATCCTAATATAAATAACTTTTGATCCACTTATAAGAGACCCTAAATCAAGAGATATTACACTTTTTTTTTTCATAGATTCAGGAACTTCTTTTTTAATAATATGCTGTGCTAAAAACTGTTAATACATAAAGGATTCATTTAACACAGTTATTGTACCAAGCCCTTCTATAATAGCAGTTTTACCTACACCTGCTGGTCCTACCAATGCAGGATTACTTGAAAAATATTAATTTAATTAATTTTAAAAATAAGTATACTTTTTAATTCTCCGTGATAAAATTTGTATTGTCCTTCTAATCTCTTCTCCTCTCTATATAAATTTAGTGTATGAAATGCAAAATAATGAGTAACTTGCGCCTATTACTGGATCAAGTTTTCCTAATTTCGCCAATTCAGTTAAATTAGTACCATATTCTTTTAGAAAAGAACCGGATCCTTTTTCTTGAGCAGGATTTAATCTAAAAGAATTTATGCCCTGTGAATATTGCCTTGTATTTAACAAATAAATGTTTTTATATTTAAAAGGTAATAATATTTTTTTATATCTAATATAACTATTTGAATCCAAATTAATAAGCAACTGTCTAAAAAATATTTTTCTTAAATAACTTTTTTTAATCCTCATTTAAGATAAATTAAATGTTTTTTCAAATACTTGAGTGATTTAAAATTAGAGAAAAATTATCGAAGAAATCTTACCTATTTAAATTTTTAGAATTTCTAAAAAAATGTATATTTTATAGATATCAAAAATTTAGTAAATTTCCGAATTTATGTAAATTTAAGCTTTTTATGAAATTGATTAGGATTTATTTATATCTTATTTTTTTAAATTATTTGAGAAAAATTGTATAATCCGATTTAGCTAAAAATATCTTAGCATTATATGTTTGATGTTATTACTTGTTTGATGTTTAGACAGTATAGAATTATTTCAAAAAAAGTTCAAGATATAAACTGATACTTATATAACAAATTACGTACTATCCTGTATAATAGAATTGAATGAATATGAATTTATAAACCCGTTTCGTCCTCCGTCTAATTTTCAATTTCTTTGGTATTAAGGATGTATTTAAAAATTACATATCTTTAGAAGATGATAACATTTATGTACTATTATCTTTTAATGCATTCCTCTTTTCTATTTCTTTCGAAATCATCCCTATTTTTGTTTTTTGTCTCAAAATTACTTCTTCATTTTCTTTAATGGTTTCTTCTGCCCAAGGTTCTTCTGTATATACTTTTAACTCATTATTAGAACGAATCAAGTGTTTAATTGAATTATTCAACATTGAAATTTCACTGTGAAGTTGCTCAAGATTAAGCATGTGAATTGTTGACAAAAAAGTTGTTTGGTTTGTATCATACATCTTTTTAAAAAAAAAAGTACAAAAATAATATTTTTGTTCCAAAAAAAAAGATTTATTTTAGAAAATCCTTATATCTTATGAGAAATTATTCAATTAGTTTATTACTTAAGGTATATTTTCTACTTGTTAAAGCTTTAATTATTTTCCTATTATTTTATTATTAATTATCGAAATTGTGCCCTTTAATAAATATATATAATCTATAAATATATACTATGAACAAGGACTAAATTTGAATTGAAATTGTTTGGAATATAGGTAAATGATGTTTTTTTGTTATAAAATTCTTTAATAATAAATTTTTTATTTATTTTTAAGAGGATTTAGGTATTTTTAAAAGGTAGTTTAAAAATTATAATCTCTGTTTTTTAATAATTCTTATCCTTATTTTTTAAAAAAAACTATGAAAAAAATAAGGTTTTAATGAATTTTATACTTGCTTTTGAAGATTCACTATTAAGCTATTGTGCTTTAAATACTGATGTTAAATATTTAAAATGGTTTTTGAAAATTCTTTAATATTATGTCAAAATTGTTTAATGATTGAAAAGCATAGCTGATCTCCATTCGTAAGAATTGATAGGTTTTCTGTATATAAAATGGCTAATTTGGATAATTTAGTCCGGTATATGTGTCTTTGTGCTAAATGAAATTATCGAGCCTTTGTTTAATTCCTCTGTCTATCATTATCAGACATTCAGGAAAGATGGAAATTTCGAGGACCAATACTTGCATGTCAAAGCAATATTCTATAATTGTTTGATTAATTCGTATTTACAATTATTTAGTTTCAATTGCATCTTTTCTCTTTACTTTTATCAGTTTTTATTGCTTTTTTTATCAACAATTTATCTATTACATTTTTTATAAACGTTATCAACAAAAAAATCAATAAATTATTTACAATGACCTTTTCTTCAACGGGAAAAATACCTTGTTATGATTCATTTCAAACATATTCTTTCGTTTTTCTCAATCTTGATTATTTATATTTATCTTTTAGTCGAGGATTTAGTTCTAAGACTGTTTCCAAGGGAAACACTTCACCTTCCATAGATTCTAATAAACAGAAAAATAGTTAGAAAAAACAAAGGGAACTTTTGTTAGGAAGATTTAATGAAGAATCTAATTGATTATATTTATTTTCATAAATTTATTATGAAACTTAGTGATTGTATTAAAATATTTAATTATTTTTAGATAAAGATACTATTTTCATTTTATTAAATTATGATGCTAATTAATAATTTGGTATTTTATATTTTATTGAATAATTTATAACTGTTTAAAAAAATACAATTAAAATATTTTAAAAAATTACAAACATATTTTTTATTTAAATTTTATATTATCTATAAATATTAAATCTGAAATTAAACGGATGTTTTTTTAATAATTCTTAAGATATTGAATTTTTTTAATACTTTTAATACCAATATCTTTAATGATATTTTTTCATATTTTTATATTTTTTATTTTAATTTATGAATTATGTTATTAATTTATAAAAATAAAAAATTATAAGAATTTATAATTTTGTTAATTTATATCTATTTATTACACTTCTTTGAAAAATTATCAAAATAGGCATTTGGATTTATATTTAAACATCAAAATAATTGTTTAGTAATTTTTTTATTTAATAAAAAACAAAAGATGAAATCAATTTTTTAATATAAACTTTAATTTTTATCAATTATGCTTATGAAAATATGTTGTATTATCATTAATAAATATTTTGTCTTTATTATTTATATATGATATTTAATCAGTTTAAAATTATATTTTTACATTTGAAGATATTTTTAAAATTTAAATATTTTTTATTAAAGTATATAGCCTATATATAAATATTATAGAATATATATTTAAAGTATGTAATACTTTTTTTATGGTTTTAATTGAATACAATTTTTATCATATATATTGATAGAATTTGCAATTTAATATATAATTGCCGCCTTTTTTTAAAATATTTAATATTTAAAAGAACAAATAATTGTTTGCGTTTCAAACTATTTTATGAAATTATATAAAGAAATTAATAAGGATAAAAGCGACTGATAAATATGTTAAGGTATTAAAAAACATTAATTTTTTTAAACAATAGAAATGGACTAATATATTAAATATAACAATATATCCTTCAATTTGCTATTAAAAATAGGAACAATCTAAACGCAAGAACTAATAATATTAAGCCGAAACAGTAAATACTAATCTATTCCGACCTATTATTTTTCAGAAACCCAAGTGACATGTCAATTACATGTTTCATATAATAGAATTCCTGTGCTTAATAACTTGAACATCTTTTTTTCAAATTCATTGAAAGCCAATCCAAGCCCTCATAAAGACCATCTTTTATAATAGTTAATAACAAAATCTTCCAATAAAAGAGCTATGCTCACCTCCCGATGTTGCACATGTTGCTTGAATATACCATGTTCGATTTCTCATAGTACTCTATTTATATATTAAACCACTTCTTATGAAAGTACGTAACTTACAATACCCAATTTATCCGTAACTTCCGCAGCATTCATAGCATTTGGTAAATCCTGTTTATTGGCAAATACTAAAAGCACAGCATCGCGTAGTTCATCCTCATTCAACATTCGCGAAAGTTCCTCACGTGCTTCTGAGACACGCTCTCGATCATTGGAATCAACAACAAAGATAATTCCTGATCAATACATTAGTTTATAATATTTCCGAATAATAATTTTGCTTAATAAAAACATCATACCTTGTGTGTTTTGAAAATAATGTCTCCATAATGGTCTAATTTTATCTTGTCCACCAACATCCCAAACAGTGAAAGAAATATTCTTGTACTCAACTGTCTCAACATTAAATCCTAACATATTCATAATTAATTTTTTGATTTTTTTCTATATCTAAACATACCAATGGTTGGAATTGTTGTAACAATTTCCCCTAGCTTTAATTTATAAAGAATAGTTGTTTTTCCTAATTTTTTTTATTAACTTTCTTCAAATAGCTAAAAAATATTCATTAAGTATTTTTTACCTGCTGCATCTAATCCAACCATCAAAATACGCATTTCTTTCTTCCCAAATAACCCCTGGAGCAACCTGGATATAGACAATCCCATCTTTTAAATGTCCTTAAATATATAATTCTTATGAAAAATTTATATATTTATCTTTTTAACTAACGACTGGTAGATTTTTAAAGTGACGTCTGCTCAAGTAACTTTTCTCAAAAAGCGGAGGTCAAATGAGGGTTTAGGGTTAGGTCATGATACTACCTTTTATTAACAAGACGGACCAGATAAAATTAACTTTAAACAAGTCAAGGCGCAGGACGCAAATCCTTTTTATAGTATGAAATAAGACTATATTATTAGTTATTTTTTGTATTGATTGATTTTGGTTCTGGAAAATATTAGTTTATCAAAAATAAGTGATTTAAAATTGTGAATTTTTCGAGTTAATAAGGAGTTTTGTAAGTATAATTGTTTATAAATAATGCATGTTAATGGTATAGCTTCATATATACTGTTAATTTTTTTAGGAAATGAAAAGTAAGTGATAGAAAAAGGTTATTGATATATATTTTTATGATTTAAATGTATTAGATATACAAAAGTAAGAGTTGGATAAGATGAGTTTTGATTTAAATATCGGAGAAAAAGAAAAAGATGTTGCAGATAATAAGGAAATATTATTTAATGAAAAAGACGATTCACAATGGGAATTGTTATCGACCAGTACTTTTGATACAGAAGATATTTCTGGAGAAGATGATAAGAATGAAGATAAAAAGATAAAAAATTATGTTTCTTCATATAAAGAAGCGGTTCCAGGAAAAAAGAAATATCAAGAAAAGTATCCAGAAATTATACCAGGATATGGATCGGATAGCTCAACAGAAGAGACGTTTAACACAATTGGAAATATTTCTTTAGAAAAATATGAAAACTTCCCACATATTGTACTTTTGGTTGATCTTTATGTCTTTAAAATTAATCTTAATTAAGGGATATGATATTAATGGAAAAAAGATTATGAGGCCGATAACCAAAACGGCATTAGATAGACTTTTGAACACAATAGAAGATAATGAAGGATGGTAATGTCTAGATTATGTTTTAAAGAATGTCTAATTATTTAAGGACGGGTATAATAGATAAGGATACCGGAGAAGATATTAGGCTTACATCTGAAGAATTGGAGATAGTTAAAAAAATACAGGAAATGGAAATTCCAGACGATGATTTTAATCCATATGAGGTTTTTATCTGAATTATTTTATATTTCATTATTAATTTTTAAGATGTATGTTGATTACTTTTCAGGAAAACAGGAAAAAACACCTTTAAGCTCTGCTCCAGAGCCCAAAAGACGATTTATACCAAGTAAAAATGAAAGAAAAAAGGTATTATCAGGAAACTTTGATATCAATGGTTAAATTTAGACATAATAGATTATGAAAATTGTTCAAGCTATTCGTACTGGAAGAATAGTGCTAAGTAAGTCAAAGGAGAAAATAAAACAGCCTTTATTTTATGATATTTGGACTGATACTTCTTTAAAATCTTATGATCATATTATGCATATTCCTGCACCAAAAATACCTTTGCCTACTCATGATGAAAGTTATAATCCTCCTGAAGAGTATTTACCTTCTGAAGACGAAATAAACAAATGGAATAATACATCTTACGAGGACCGAGAAAAGAAGTACTTACCGTCAAAATATAAATCTCTAAGACTTGTACCTGGATATAATCAGTTTATTCAAGAACGTTTTGAAAGATGCTTAGATCTTTACTTAGCACCTAGAGTCCGAAAAAACAGGGTTTGATTTTTTCAATATTCCTTTTTTTGTTTAATAATGACGTAGTTAAATATCAATCCTGAATCTCTTATACCAAAACTTCCTTTATTAGAAGATCTTCGTCCCTTTCCAACAAGATGTATGATTATATATGAAGGCCATAAAGGATCTATACATTCTATTGATGTCGATTCTACTGGTACATGGCTTGCGAGTGGTGGTGACGATGGAATTGTTCGTATTTGGGAAATAATTACTGGAAGAGAAATCTGGAATTTTAACTGTAACGATAATAGTGAATCTATTAATTCTATAGCATGGAGACCTGTAAAAAATTCAGATATAATTATAGCATCTTGGTAATAGCTTTTTTTTTGATATATATTTATAATTTATTAATTTTTGTAGCGGAAATAATATTTATATGCTTTTGCCTTCAATATTTAATGACAGCATTAAAAATTCAGCTAAAGAGCTCTGTAATTTAGGATTTGATATGGAGAAATTTCAAACGAAACAAAATCTTTCAACATGGTTAAAACCTAATTTTAAACAAATAGACAAAGGATTACTTGTGTTATTAAATATTAAAAAACGTATTAAACAGGTTACATGGCATCGTAATGGAGACTATTTTGCTACAGTCTCGCCAGAAAGTGGAAATACGTCTGTCCTAGTTCATTTACTTTCTAAACATCAATCACAATCACCGTTTAAAAAAGTTAAAGGTATAATTCAAAAAGTAGAGTTTCATCCTACAAAACCTCTCTTTTTTGCAGCAGTAAGAAAGACATACATATATAATTTATGCTTAAAAAATTAGACTCAGAGATACGTAAAAGTTTATAATTTGATAAAACAAGAATTAATAAAAATTATTCAGCCTGGAGTAAAATGGATATCTTGTATCGATATACATCCTCAAGGTGATAATATTATTATTGGTTCATATGATAAAAAATTAATATGGGTTGATATGGATTTATCATCTAAGCCTTATAAAACCTTATGTTATCATGCAAAAGCGTTAAAAAGTGTAAAATTCCATAAAGGGCAATATCCATTATTTTGTTCAACCAGTGATGATGGAACAATTCAGGTTTTTCATGGGATGGTATATAATGATTTAATGGAAAATGCTTTATTAGTCCCACTAAAAATTTTAAAAGGCCATGAAATCAAGAACTCTTTAGGCGTATTTAATGCACAATGGCATCCAAAACAACCCTGGCTTTTTTCTTGTGGAGTAGACGCCACAATTCGACTTTGGACATAGTTTATTAATAAAATATAATTTATTACTAACGAAAAATAAATAGTGCCTTTACAACTTATTTTTTTAAATCCTTTATTTATATTTAGTCTTGAACTTTTCCGACAATATTATATTTCTATATATATCAATTACATTTTACACTCTCATTAAGTAAAATACTTTAGAAAAGAAATCAAACCATTTTTCTAATGTTTCAAGTTCACTTTCATTCAAATTCGAATAATCAGCTACTGCATCTTCTTCTTTAAGACTACTTTTTCCAAGACCTCTTGAAGCATCTTTCCCTGCAAATATATGATAACCACCTCCTGGACCTAATGAATTTTGAGATAATAGACATTATATCATAAAAACATACCATACGAGGCTCTATTAGATGTTACGTCAAAAACAGTGCCTTTAATAGCGACATAAATTGGAAAATTCTCATTACTTCCATCACATTGAGAAAGATATGCTAAAGAAATAGGATTATCTTTGGGAGGAAGGGTAGATTTTACTAAATTATGTTAAATTTAATCATTTCTTTAAAATACATCATTTACAATGCATTTCAAAGTTATGCTCTGTCATTAACAGGAAATCTACTAATAAGTATATGGTATAATCCCAAATATCAAGAAATAATATATATAAATATCTAATATAAGTACTTATTGAGGGTTTGAAAAAAATACTAAGTTACGATACAGTAAAAATTAACTTTAAAAAAAGTTAATTAGCAAAGCTACTCAAACAGGTCATTTAGATATTATAGATATTATAAACACTAGAAATTTAATGCTGTTTTTAAGAAGTTGTTTTAAAAAACAACTTTTAAATAAATTTAATAAAGTTATTTAAATACGGAATGAAGTATTGGAAACATCTGAAATGGATGAAAATGAGAAGAAAAATGAAGGAAATACAACTATTTTTGTTCGGAAAATACCATTGAATATAACATCAGAATCATTTCTATGTTTTTTTTCTAAAATAGCGCCAGTTAAGCATGCAATTATTGTTACAGATCCTGAAACAAAACAATCAAAAGGATATGGATTTGTAAGTTTTTCAACACATTTAGATGCGAAGAAGGTTATTTTTGAACTAAATGAAAGAAAAATGGAAGGCCAATATTTAAAGGCAGAATTTGCTAGACGTAGAAATCGAAATCCTAAAGATATTACAAAGAATGATACAAAAACAAAAGATGGGAAAATAGAAATACGAAGGCCTTTTTTGATTATAAGAAATTTGCCATGGTCAATAAGGAAGAAAGATGATGTATTTTTTTCAAAGTTTAGTGAATATGGAAAAGTTATAAATGTTATTATTCCTAGGAAAAAAGGTGGAAAGATGAGCGGGTTTGCATTTGTTCATATGAAGAAAGAATCAGAAGCAGAGAATGCTTTAAAAAATATAAACGGGATTGAACTTGATGGCAGAAATGTTGCAGTTGACTGGGCTTTAAGTCAAACTGAATGGAAAAAATTTTTAGAAAAAGAAAAAGACTTTGAAGAGAATGACACGAATATGAAAGATATACCAGAATTTTTGGAAAACGAAGATAGCATAGCTTGTACAAAAATTAATAATGAAACTAATTCTCAAAATATTTTGATCAAAAAAAAAAAAGATTCAAGTGTTCTAGATTATGATAATGAAAATACAATATTTGTAAGAAATATTTCTCTTAAAACTACAAATGAAGCTCTTTTTTCTCATTTTAGTCAATTTGGTCGTTTAAAATATGCACGACTAGTTATAGATAGATTAACCGAAAAATCTAAAGGAACGGCTTTTATTCGTTTTCTTCATAAAGAAGATATGGATAATTGTCTTAAATTCTATTGGAATTTGTCGAAAAAGCATGATTCATTAATTAATAAATCGAGTATACTTCAGAATGAAGTAATTGATAATGATACTAAGAAACTTATATTAGATGGTCATTTGTTATATGTTTTTTCTGCGCTAAACAAAGAAGATATATCTATAATAGAGAAAGATAATAAAAAAAAGAGAATGCATATGCTTGGAAAAAATGTTGATAAAAGAAATATATTTTTATTAAATGAAGGATATATTGATCCTAAATCACCATTGTATGAGTTATTAAGTGAAGCAGATCGTAATATGAGAAATCAAAGTTTAACTCAAAGGAAAAAATTGCTTGAAAAAAATCCATCATTATACATATCTCTTACAAGATTGTCAATAAGAAATATCCCTAAAGATATTTCTGATAAAGACTTAAAAGCTTTAGCAAGGGAAGCATGTGTGAATTTTGCTAAGGAGGTAAAAGAAAATAAAAGAATGCCATTGACTCGAGAAGAAAAGTTTCGAGATGGTAATCCTAAAAAAGGTAAAAAAGGAATTGTTCGACAAGCTAAAATTATTGAAGAAAAAAATGGACATAAACGAGGATATGGTTTTATTGAATATGTGGGGCATAGATGGGCTTTAATGGGACTTCGTTGGCTTAATGGAAGAAAGATAAGTTCGAAAAAAAATAAGGAAATAAAAAAGCGTTTAATTGTAGAATTTGCTCTCGAAGTAATACATATTTTTTTATATGTTAATGCTAATATAAAAAAGAATAGTAATGTTATCAAACGACGTCAAGAAAGACAGGAAAGAGAAAAAAAAAAGTCCAAGTCAAAAATTGAAGATGAAATAATAAAATGTCTCAAAAGAAAGAGAAAAAGAAGCTTTGACTCAGATGAAATAAAAAATAATAAAAGGGCATGTATTTCCTATATTATATCTAGAAAAAGGCAGCAGAGAAAAACACGAAAAAAAATGCAACATGAATAACATATGCTATTGGTTTTGCTGATTATATCTATATATATATTAAATTTTAGCTATTATTTATAAGACAATTAATGAGTTGGCATATATGTTAACGACAATTTATATAAGTAGTAATCGTATTTAATTATTTTTGGGAATCTTTTACAATAAATGGTAATGTTACTGTTTTTTTAAACCGGCCTGCCTTGTTTCTAATTTTCATTTGAAATATACATATAAATACACTTATATACCTTTTGTTCTCCCCAGCCACCTATCATCATAATTTCTTCTTTATCTGCATTAATAGCACGTTTTAAGCTTCTAAAGTTCCCGATAATAGAAAAGGCATCGTCTCTATTAATATTTCTCATTGTTGAAAAGCATTCTACAAGTCTACTATAATAATCATCCGAATTTCTTCCTTGAATCGTATTAAAGGATGCATGTTCAAACGATTTATATGTTTCTAAATATCTTCCTGCTTCTAAAAAACTAATTCATTAACATTCATCCAGAAATATATCTAAAAATTAAACCTCCATGAAAGGATCATTGTAAAGTTATATATAACACATGTTTTTGTTAATTCACGAATTGGAGTTTCATGATTATCCTAAATAATCAAAAATATATTAAATTCAACATATTTTTCCTTACAACGTCTACCAAAATTAATAGTATTCTCAAAAGATATCTTTTTCCAAGCATTTGAATTCTATGATAGATATATTCTGGATAAAGTTGATGATACCGAAGACTATTGTTATCAGGTAAATTCTATCCCAGAAATACAACTAAACCTTAAAAAAAGTGCACATGTAGTAGTTCCAAGTATATAATCCGCCATACTATCTTTATATTCCTGAATTTTTTAAAATTTACTAACAAAAAAAAACCTAATACCAAAGGTACATTACGAATATGTTTCTAAATATTTACTCTTAAGTACTTATGATTTAAAAAAAAAAGCAAAATACACACAATGATAGGGTTTTCTTTCTAAAACTTCTTAATTCTTTAAATTAATTTCTATAAAAACTCACTTGTCGAGGATTAACTAAAATTGCGTGTAATCCTGTAGCTCGCATTGTTTTATTTAATAATGAATCTTCAGTTGTTTTCTTATCTTCTAATATACAAGATTTCTCTCTTGATTCTGTCATCGATCTTAATATTATTAATGTAGAATTTAAGGTATCGGATATTTTTAATAACTGAGCCTTAAGCGACCAAAAAATTCATCTATAAGATTGAGGCTTTGATGATATTTTATATCTATTTAAATTATAAAACTAGTAATGGATGAACAAAAGGAAGGTATATACAAGTTTTTTCCTTTTTTTTTGAGTTAATAATTAAATTCATATTTGAAGAGATACAGACATTTCATTTTGTTAATTATTCAAGCCATTCTATAACACTTCCTTCTGTAACGGATGATTTACAAAAAATGTATGGTTTAAGTTCTTTAGCTTCTCGGGTAGCACGAGTAGATGAATTTGGGAATAAGAAAAAGATGAGACAATCATATAAAGGACATATTCAACAATTTCCGGGTAATTAATGATGAAATAAATATGTAAAAGAGTTTTTTGACGGTTTTTTTGAGTAGGAAAGAATGTTATTTTAAAAGATAGATTTATTAGGGATTTGATTTTTGGTCCTAAAGAAGAAAAACTAGACAAATTTATTGAAAATTTAGATTCCGAGTTAATTGAGGCGGCATTTAGTCTTCAGCCCGGACCTGTTCCAGGAGTAGGTTATGTTGGATAAATTTACTAGATTTTTAAGAGGTTTTAGTTTGATTCAAGTGTTTTTGGATCTTCAAATACGGAAAAAAAAAATGAATTGTATAATGAAAAAGATACCATGCTTTCAGTATCTTTAGAGAACTTTAAGCGCCATTCTAAGAAGAAGAAAAGAAAACATGAGGATTATGAACAATCTATTGGTTTAGAGCAAAAGAAGTATAGAAAAGCAAATTAATATTAATTGAATGGCATGATTGACAATTGAGTTCTTTATTATAAATAAGAGCCATTTTCCTCAAACTGAGAGCTACATATTTTTTCAAATACTTAATCATTAGAATTAAATACATTATTTCACTTGTAGAACATATAGAACATTTCGAATGCAATGCTGAATTTAATGCATATAACAAACTGTTAAAGATTAGCTTTTTACATCCTTTACACTTTAGAGAATATCTTTTTCAAAATATCGTTTGTATCATGCATATTTATCTTTCTCTATAAATGCTCTATTTTCATCAAAAAGCTTTATATGATTTACAGATGCTCAAATTATTTTAGATTGGAAAACCTGCATCACCACATTCTACATAAAAAATGAAGAGGATGATAATAGTTTCAAAGAGCAAATATTAGACAGTATAATTTATTTTATTATTTATAAAAAGTAACCTCTTCTAAATTTGTCTTGTACTGTATATAAAAAAATAGTATAAATAATACTTTTTTCCTATTGCAGATATTATTTTTTCGTTTCTTGAATGTTTGACGTGTTTTGCATATAAATGTCTGATTTATTTATAATTTTGATCAAATTATACTCCAATATCAAAAATATCTTGATCTGCTTTTTCTTGCATAATATTAAATCCATTATGAATTGGCATCTCCTTTGTATTATTTTTAAGGTATATATTATTTTCTAGTATATTCTTTTCATATTTATGGAATTTATTAAGAAATATATAATTTAAAGTGTTTGAATCTTGAAAATAACTCATTTTCATTAAAACACGAATTTCGAATATCTAAATAACATTAAAAAAAAACTAGAAATATATTATCAAGCATTAATTAAGGATGGTAGCTTTCTTATCGTTTATTTTATTTTTTTAGAGATTTAAATTAACATACCAAAATATGAAACATTGAATACTGAATTTTGTTTATTTAAAAAAATTTCAAATAAAATAATAAAATGTGTGGAATTTTCTTAATGGTTACACGTATTCATGAGGATGTTAGTGAGGACTATAATGATATTATTGAATTGATTAATGTTCGTGGCCCTGATGGATCTAGTACAATAGAAATTATAATGAAAGAAGTAAAATTAAAAATATGCTGTTCAGTACTACATTTGCGCGGTAAAGGAGAAGCTACACTACAACCTCTTGAAAATGATCAAGGTGATCTGCTTTGTTGGAATGGAGAAGTTTGGAATGGTTTAGGAATCAAGTTTACAGATAATGATACAATTCAAGTTATGAATGCATTATCGAAGCCATTTACTAATGTTATTGATATTATAAGAGAGATAGAAGGTCCATATGCATTTATTTTTATTGAAGTATTATATTTTTTGTGACATTTATATGTTAATATTTAAAGAAAAGCAAAGAAAGATTATGGTATGGAAGAGATTGTTTAGGAAGAAGATCTCTTTTAAAAAAGACATCCACAGAGATTTGTGATTCTTTTTGTTTTCTACTATCTAGTGTATCTAATGGAGATCCTTCATGGGAAGAAGTTTTTGCAGATGGTCTTTATTTTGTTGATTTAAGTTTGATTTCTGAAAATAAGGTTTAAAATAATATTTATTAGAAATATCTTTAATTAGTAAAGCTTTTTGAAAAAAAAATTCCATATATTTATGATTTTGATCAATTTAGTGATTTATATTTGGTCTTTTTCAAGAAAAATGTTTTTTGTATTACTAATTAGTATTAGACATATCCTTATCCTCGAATAAATACATCTCTTGAGTCTGTTTCGACAGAAGATTTAGATTTATATGTGGAGGAATTTTATAATGTTTTGAAACAAGCACTATATATTAGGACTGTATCTGTATTTTCTACATCAACAGATCAACCTCGTCTAGCTATACTTTATTCTGGTGGACTTGATTCATCTGTTTTAGCGAGAATAATACATGAAATATTGCCAGTAAATGAGCCCGTAGATTTGTTAAATGTGGCTTTTGAAAATTTCCAAGTTTCTGCACAAAAAACAGATTCTACGGATTTAGATGATATTTATAATTGCCCTGATAGAATAACAGGAATTAATGCATATAAAGAGTTATGCAAAATAACTGGAAACAAAAGACCGTGGAGATTTGTTCAAGTATTTTTCATTTTTGGTATTTTTATTTAATTTATTTGCAGATTAATGTTCCATATTTTGAATCAAATGATCACAAACCAACGATAATAAAATTAATGCATCCAAATGATACTGTTATGGATTTAGTAAGTATTCTATTTGTTAACGTTTCTAATCTTTAAGAGCATTGCAATGGCTTTTTATTTTGCTTCACGGGGACAAGGGTTATTGAGATGCACAAATAATTCTTTATTAGAATATAATTCTGTCTCAAAAGTTTTGATTAGTGGGAAAGTTTATTATAGTATTATTGAAAATTAAATTTATTTTTTAGTTTAGGAGCAGACGAACAACTTGGGTAAATAGTAAAAATACTTAACAAATTATGTTTAATACTTAAGGGGATATTCCCGATATTTAAAAAAATACATTAAAGGAGGATGGCTTGATGTAATTGAAGAAGTAAATATTCATAAAATAATTAAATTATATTCTTATAAAATTAGCTTTCTTGTAATATTTCGAGATTATCATATCGTAATTTGGGTAGAGATGATAGAATTGTATCTCATCATGGAAAAGAAATAAGATATCCGTATCTCGATGAAAACGTTATGAGATTTTTATCAAAATTACCTGTACAAGGGAAAATGAATTTTAATATAGAAAATGGTGAAAAACTTTTATTAAGAAAATTATCTCGGAAACTTGGTTTGATATACTCTAGTAAAGAAAAAAAAAGGGCTATTCAGTTTGGGAGCAGAAGTGCAAAAATGCAATTAAGTAATAAAAAAATTAGTGGAACAAATAAATTGGAAAAAGATTAACAGTTATTGCTAATAGTAAAAATAAATATATTTTACAATTTACATGCGTGGAAATTAATTTACTTTTAATTTTTACTATTTAATATAGTATCAAAAATAAAGATTACTCGTAACTATAAATTTATTTTTCGGTTCTTTTGAAAAATATTATAAATATTTATTGAATTAGGTAACAGTATTCTTTTATTGATATTTTTATAAGATATAAGCAATAAAAATCTGTTGATGGAGTATTTTGATATAAAATTAGAAACATATTCTAAATGTGAAGAATTGATTCTATCGATAGTCCTATATTTTGCATTATAAATCTTATTGACAATTTCAAACAAAGTGTCCTTTTTATATTAAATAAGAAAAAATATTAAAAAGGCTCCTAATTTTATTTTATAAAACCTGTTTTCAATTTTACATTTATTTTTCTGATAATTCATTTTTATTTTCCATGCTCATTTCGGATTCTTTCATAATCCAACCTGAAATGCTTCTATATAGCATATCTCTTCTTCTTTCATTTTCCTTAAATCTTTTATTTGCCATATCTATCAATAAATAAAGATATTTCTCATCTACTAATAACTGAACAAATTCAACATCCTGTTCTTTTTTAAGATAGCCTATAGGACAACTAAATCCTATAGAAGATCGAATTGCTATAATGATATTGTTTTTTGATAAAATAAGACCAGATTCTCTAAAACTAGATGAAAGTGCACTAATTAAAAAAGCACGAGCAGTTGATATTGTCTCTGACATAATATGCAAAATCTTGATATTAATTGAAGTTAATGGTATTAGGAAATAACAGTACCATAGGTTCAAATTTAAAATGAATTAATGGTCCTTTCTTTGAATCGTTAAAATCTATCGTTTTAACAGGATATTTCCCGCATATTTTAGCCAAAATATCTAAATTTTCTAAATAATCATCCCATGGTTCATGTTGAACCATTAGCCATTTTCCTCCTAAACCTTTTCCTCCTATATTATTTGCAATTTCACTTTCAACATAAATTGCTATTCTACCTGAACATGAACTTGTTGTAACAAGATGAGGGTGATGATTAATAAGATCTAAAAGTGAAACTATAGGCTCATCAGGAAAACCTTTTGGAGATGAATCTAACCCTTCTGCGTTTAATTTGTTAAGAATATTTGCTTTTTTTTTTTGAAACTCTGATCTCATTCAACTGTATTTTTAAAATAAATTTTATCTTAGAATTAATAAAGTAGAATTTTTTTTAAAAAAATAATACAAAATGTGTATTTTTAAAAATAGAAGTGCGGAAATTATCCATCTTTTGTAATCTTCGATAACTTCAAAAAAATGATAAAATTTCCTAAAAATTTTGATATAAAAAAATGACACTAAAGCTATGAAAGATTCTGAAAGAACATTAAACGACGAAAAAAGGAACAATGAACTGATTGTCAAAGAGAAGGAGCATTGTGAAGAATATTTTGATGAGTTTAATTTATCTAAATATCAAAGGTGTTTGGAAAGAAAACCTTCTATTCAAACAGAAAAAACACATATTCTTGGAACCTTCTCGTCATTAATGGATGAAAAATGTATGGAAGTAACATACAGTGATTTTTTGGATAAAAAAAGTATAGATATGAGTATTATATCAGAAACAAATCTCTTTCAGCGAATTACATTAGATTACCCAAAAAGTACTTCAGAAGATTCAGAAAAAGAGAAGAATATGGATTCTGTATTTTCAAATAATAGAAGGAATAATATGTTTTATAAAAAGGATTTGGAAAAAGATATTAAAGAAAATCATTTTGAAAATGTATTGACATTTAAATTGGAATCAAAATTGCTTCGGAATCTTGATTTTCGAAAATTTGTTAACCAGCTTAGATGTAAATCTGCTATTTCTATAGCAAAATATATGAAAAGGTTCTAATATTTTAATTATTTTTAATTATTTTAATCTTTTAAAGTTTTATTTATGAGTTTCTACAAAAACCATGGACGATTAAGGAAAAGGTTAAAATTATCCATGATTTTCTAAGGGTATGCCTATATATTTCATTGTTATGACTATAATAATAGTTTATATAATAGTTTATATATCTAAAGATGCAACTTGTTGAACCTTGGATAAATACATCAGAAATTGAATTTGATAATGCAAAAGAAGGAATGGAAAAGTTAATAACAATAAGATTATATGAACAAATATTTTCTCCGGCTATATCTTATTTACTTGATGATGATATTAGTGGACATAGCGATGATTTAGAAAGAGATAGAATTATACAAGAAAAAATCAGTATGTTTAATTGGATTAGAGAGGAACATATAGAAATTCCTTACACGAATTTAAATAAAAAATTTCTAGAATTAGCAGGACAAGGTATAATTTTTTTAGTAGAATGTATTTTTATTTATTATATAGAACTTTTAAAAATTAACGCTTATCGTTCTCCAAGAGATAAAATTTTTTGTATTTTAAATTGTTCTAAGGTTATTTTTGGTATGTTTTATAAAATATTATTTTATCTTTATAACATTATCAGGTTTACTGAGATATGCAAAAATTGAGGAATCAGCGGATAAATTTATTCCTACTTTAATTTTAATAATACTTAAGACTAATCCTGAACATTTGATATCAAATATCCAGTACGTTCTTTTTTTACTTTTATTTACACTTATTTGATAAAGATATATATCTCGATTTAGAAATCCAGATAAACTTTCTGGGGAATCAGAATATTACTTTTCTAGTTTAGTAATTTTTTCCTTCCTATTTGTATTGTTTGTTTATATTGTTAAGATAGCTGCTGTTGCTTTTATCGAAAACTTGAACAAATCGTCATTAACAATTTCTAATGAAGAATTTGAGAAGTATATAGATAACAATAATTTTAAAGCTTCTTACATATAAAAGGAATTTAGAGCATTCTATTATTAGAATTTCTCAGCAAAAAAATAAGGATGACAGAATTAAAAATGCTCAATCAATGACTTTTGCTTTATTAGAGCCTGCAAAAGAATATATTGCATCTAAATCATCTGATGTATTTCGCAATATTCAAAAACCCCTTTTATCTTTGGGAAAAATATTTATGGATCAAAATACAGAAAAATCATATCAACCTATTATTAAACAATTATCATCTAATCAAATACCTCAGAATATTATATCTACGACTAATTTAGATGAAAAAAGGTTAATGTTATCGAAAATAAATACTCAATTTCCAATGTCTGAAATTGCTACTGTTCAGGAAACACAAGTTGAAATAGAATCTGAAATGCTTAATTTTCTTAGTCAAATGTTTCCATCTGTAGATCTTGATGTTATTGGAATAATTATCGATTCTGAGAATGGAAAAATTAATCCTACAATTGATGTTCTATTGACAATATCATCGAATATTTAATATCATATTTTTTAGATAAATTAATATTTTTAGCATTTCGAACAAGTGTATAATTTTTTCATATTCATATTATTTATACGCATTTCTATTCGTAACGTATATATAGAAAATTAGCAAGGTTGTTTTTAAAAAAAAACTGATAATTATACACTTTTTTTTAAGATGTATTTATGAACTTTTTAAAATATCTTATTTTAATTAAATACTAGTATTTCCTATTTCTCAGCACTCATGTAAGTTCATCTAACAAATTTATAAATTATATAATTTTCAAAATTTCCAAAAATTAAGTTTGTAATATAATTTCTATCTAATAAATATAAAAAACTCCAATTATTTGTAAGATAATAATAAAATATCACATATACATACTATACATAAAATTAATTCAAAAATATTTTTAAGCTCCTATCAAATATTATCTTAAATTATCAAGCTACCTCAACTGGTTTGTTTTCTGCATCTTTAAAATCTTTATTTTTGATATCTCTAATACTTCTTTGGAAAGAATTCATTTCATCCTCTAAACTATTGTATTTTTTAAATAAAAACCAGAACACAGTTCCAGTTATAAACGATCCAATAGAAACAGAACTATAGAACCAAACCATTAAAGGATCCTTAAAAGCTGGGGTAAGCGCCATTTGAATAATTGAGCCAGCTAATTTAATTATAAGAAATATATCAAAAAACAAAGCATTCTAATATTTACCTGCAACTGTTAAGAAAAATAAAGACATAACAAATGATTTCATGGTAGATGGAGCTTTAGTATAAGCATACCTAATATATATTAATATTGACAAAATTAGGATAATTTTTGCACTGACTCTAAACCGGTAATTGATGAAAATATTTCAGAAATCCCTACAAGAGCAAATGCTGGCAATTGATAGGCCACGTGTATTTTATTTGGCTCTCCTCGCCGTTTAATAGCACTACAACGAGTTACGTCACCAGGATATTTATAACAAGGAGGACTGTTATAAATCATTTGTTGAACTATAGCGGAATATGCCATTGCTAATGATCCAACAAAAAAACCAAAAGAAATCCTTGTAATAGGACGAAATAAAATTCCATATTTCCGAAGCTTAGGATAAATAAAATTATTGAAAAGAGGAATCATAGTAACCAATACCAAAGGATTAATCTGTTGAGCGAGCTCAGAAGGGAGACCATTTAGTTCCATAGTCCCCGCTTGAGAAAGTAAATTTGAAACTATTTGCTGGTAAAGGAGCCAATAAACTGGAAAAAATAGAAATATACGACAAGCAACCAATGTTACTCGAAGTTCATCAATAAATGTATCATCCCAATATAATTTATGTTTTCCATTGGTTTTACTCGGTTTCGCATTATCCAATTTAAATCCACTTCTTATTGCAATATATATAGCTTTAAATGCATTTAATACTACAGAACTTTGAGGATTTTGACAAATATAAAGACGTCTTCCGATTATTAAAACAAGCATTCCAATAGAAAATACACATGCAGGAACAAGAAAAGCCAGCCAAAATCCAACATGTTTTTCTAAAAATATAGTTAGAATACCACCAAAAGATCCAATGTTAATAGCCATATAAAATACTAAGAAAATATGTTGAAGGGTCACGTTATAATCAACTATTACACGTTTATTATTCTTTAATGTTTTCACATATAGATTTCGAGATTTATATTGTTCTACAACTAAAGGTGATACATTTACTTTGATACCGCCTGTTCCCAATCCAATAATAATCATAGAAAGTATGAGGCCCCATAAAGATGCACCACTATTAATGGCAGCTGGTGTTGATGTGAAAATTAGAATTATCTGTCCAGCAAGAAAGACCCAAGAAAACCAAAATATTGTCGAATATCTACCTAAATATTGATCTGCGATAATAGCACCCAATATTGGCGTAAGATAACACCAAAGAGAAAAAAAACTATTTAATGCAGTTGCCCCGCTTTGTTTAAGGCCAAGGGCACCGGGGATTACGTCTGTTGGCTTATATTGTATGTAATTTTGAAAAGGTGTAGTTAAGCCATAAAAACTGAAACGCTCACATAATTCGATAGCTACAACAAGATATGCTGAAAGTGGAATTTTACCAGAAACTCGATGGAGAGTCAATAACTCTTCTTCTGTTGGCTCTACAAGAGATGATTGATCTGATATCTTTTCTTGTATTATTTCTTTTTGTACTTCTTCAATCATTTGTAAAACAGTTTGATTTTCAGAAAAAGTAATAGTATAATATAAAGGATAAAAACGTTATTGTCTCTAAAGTACTTTTATTTAATATTTATAGAGTCTATGATTTTCAATACTTAGATATCCTCAGAGATTAGATTATTTAAAAGCTAAATACGTTCCGTTAAAATAATCCGAGATATTCCAAATCTGGTTATTTTTACCAGTATAATTGATAAAAAATGCGTGGGTTTACAAATGATTAGGGCTCTTCATTTAACTTGTTTTGGTTAATGACTTTTCAAGAAATACGTTATTTTTTTTCTATTTTAAATATTAATTCTAAGATAATATATAAGCTAAACTTTATATGTATTAACAGATTATTAGTAATCTTTACACGTAAATACTAAAAAATTTTTAATCTTTGCACTTTTCCTAATTTTAAAAAAAAGGATAACCTTAAAAAAATAAAAAAAGTTAATAGCATTTATATAATTTATTATAAGGTATTGGCAAATACAATATCGATAAGTTTTTATACTATATAATTTAATGCTATATTTTTTCTATGAATAAATAAAAAATAACAATTGTATATTTTAAGTGTTTATAAATATAGTACATAAATGTATATAAAAATTGAATAGAAGATCTTGGAGAAAGTTTTATTCTTTTAAGTTAATATGCAGTTTGAAATATTTAGAGATATATTTTTTAGCGAAAAAGGCCTTTCCTCCACATAGGAAGTTCGTTTGTTTTAGCATAAGCAACACCGCATGGATTGCATAATGTCTAGTGATAAAATAAAAGTCATTATTATATGGGTTTGAAAAATAATATTTACCTTATTACCAGAAGGTCCTCGACGTACAGCCCATGTACCAGTACCGGAACAATGACAATAAGAGCATCTCCAGCGTGTACGCTCACTTTGCAAATAAATTAGTAAAAATATTATATAAGATAAACTTACTAATCAGATAATGTCTGTGCACCACTTACACCAGCTGGTATTCCATGTTCTATAGATGTTCCTCTACCAGTTGGACTTATACTTCTTCCTCTTTTATCACGTCCACCTTTTCGCTCACCGAAGCTAGAAATAGTTCCTATATTAAATCTAGATGCTTCTCTTCTAGTTCGTCGAACTTGTCGCTCACGATCACCATCTCTTTTCTCTATTTCTTCTCTACTAAGAATTTCAATATGAGGTGCCCAACTAGCACCAAGAGTTTCTTGTTCGACTCGAATACCTGCTTCTGCGCCATAGGCAGCATCATTGTCCAGTTCAAATGGTAAGCCGCCTTCACATGCTTCCTTTTTTAGTCTAAAGAGATGTTCATGAATTGCATGTGCAATAGCTGGATAAAATTCTCCTCCCAATCCCAAATCAGCACATACTTGACTAGCAAAGACTTCTGGTGTAAGAGAACCTGTTAAATCCCACTCGAATTTGTCCGTTAAGAGATGTCTAGATAAATGTAAAGATAGGTTTACTATGACTCTTAAATCGTTGTTCTCAGGTAAAGATATTTCTGCAACAGGTGCATATTCTTCAATTTGTGTTCGTATTGCAGAGGAAATTTGCGGAGCAAAAACCGAAGCGGGTATATCTAAATCTGCACACATTACTTGTGCAAAAAGATCAGGAGTTATTAGTTCTTCTATTTATTTAAATTAATAGTTTTCTTTTTTAAAAAAAACAAACCGTTCATATTCCATGTAAAAACATCTTTTAATCTATAATTGTCTAGCTCAAGATCCAGTCTAATTGGGATCAACACTTCTTCATTTTCGGCAGCAAATTTCATTTGATCATCTGATCTGTTTCATTGTTAAATATAATATTAATATACGTTTCTTTACTAACCTATACATATGTCTTGTTTTAACTGCAGGCTTCCGCTTAACAACGCTATCAGGTGGTGGCCCATTCATAAGACCTTTGTTATCTCCATTATCGTCTATATCTGCTATATATGTTTCATGTCCATTTTCTGCAATTTGATCCCAATCATCATCTTCTTTTTCTGCATAAGATATTACACTACCACGAGAAGAGAGCCTTCCCGTGCTTCTAGCACCAGGTTGGCCTTGAACAGGTATAATAAGAGATGTATTTCCTGTTCTTATACGAGACGCATATGTTGTTATTACGCCAAAAACTGGTAGGGATGGTTTTAACATTTTGATAGAAAGAAAAACTAATGAATAAGTTAACTAATTAATCTTATGTATATGTCCTTAGTAATCTGAATAATTAAATAATCTGGTATATCAATTAATAAAGAAACGTATTTAAATATTATTTTTAAGAATTTAGAGTAATCCGATATTCAATTTTTAAAAAAGTTCAATTAAATGTGATATTATAATATTTATACAAATAGTTATTTTATTAGATATCTATATTCTATTTTAAAATTAAAACACATTTTCATGTATATTTGAGATATATTTTATAGAAATTATCTAATTAATATATATATATATATATAAATTTATGAAATACCATTTATTTTTTTATATAAATATTCATAATGGTATTTTTTAATATTTTATAAGTTTTAAGGATAAACTAAAATATTAAAAAAATCAATATAGATATATTTAATAATTAATTTATATCTTAAGTGTTTGTAAATATGTTTAAACGATTATCTAATAAATCATTATTTATGTATAATATAAAATTCTATCAAACTTAGATATCATTAAAATTTTATTTAAAAAAACATGCATTAAACACTTAAAAGGTTTACATGAGCTTTAACAATATATATAATAAAATGTATTTCTTTATATTACGCGTTCTAGTCATTTATATTTTTTTACTTATTAAAAGACTTATTATTTTTTTAAAGATTAAAAGATAATCCTATAAATATCATAAATATTCGTTATCATTTTTATCTTTCGCCCTATTGTCATTCTTTTCATCCAATAGATTTTCTTTTTCAGAATCTACTTTTCCTAGAAATTTTCTTAGCCAAGACATTCGTGGTCCTGATTTACTTCTTTCAGAAATTTTAAAGCCATATATTTTTGGTTGGTAAATATTAAAACACTTACGTGAAATGGATGGTTTATACTCAGGATACGTTTGAAAGAATAGATGAGGAAAGGTTGTTCCAAAAAATGCACCATCAATATTTTGAAATCTAGAGTTTGGTGGAACATAAATGTCCAAACAATTAGGACAAAATAACTTAACGGTCTCTAAACCAGGAAGATCAGATCGTCCACAGGGTACTACTGAGGTAGAATTACAATACACTCTTGGGCAATGGCCAAAATGACCCATTTCAAACTTTTCTGCCTAGATAATTTTAAATTAATTTTATTTTTAAAACCAAAATTATCTTGCCATTGCATGTAAACCGGCTCTAGAGACTATATATCTTTGATGAATAAGTCCGTACAAAAGCTCGGCACTGCTTTCTATTATATTTTGATCAGGTGCTCGTATATGTTCATCAGTATTTTCTATAAAAAAATTATCATTATAATTATAATATTATTTAATTACCCGAATCTACATCTAGTATCATTTCAAGAGCTTCTTTATAAAACGGAATAAGAGTATTAAGGCCCGTCAAATTAAAATTATCTTCAATAAATTCTTCTGAAACTTCTGCAAAATAATCGTGACCTACATGAGAGCACCACCATGATATCCTTATAAATTAACATGGAAAGGCAATGGTTCCATGGATTACCAAGTCATTGCTTCAGAATCATTTGTTAATAGGGAATCTTCTAAATATTACTAGTCAAAAAATCAAAAATATTGCTTTCATCAAACCATAAAAAGTATTTACTTCCGGAGTATCGAAAGTCGACTCTTCAGTTCCCTCTAGTGAACGATTTTCCATTGTAGTATTTATTTTTGATATATTATTTATTTTTAATTAGTCTTTCAAATTCTATGTTTAAAAATTGTTTAAAATATATATTTATAAAAAAAATAAAAAATATTTTTTTATAAATTAAATACTAAGTTTGCTTTTTTTTATATTTAATAATATATAAAAAATATTTGAAAGACAATGACTATATTTTTTTGTTATTTTGTTTAACTTAATCTTTTGTGTTCTAATTGTTAAATGAATAACATATATATTAAATTATATACTTATTATTTCTACTTAGTCATATTATTAGGAAAAAAACTAATGAGAAATTATGATCTTTAACTGAAATTAAGATTAAAGTCAGCTAATTATTAAAAATATTTTTCAAATTATATTTTAAAAACTAAAAATAACAAATTAAAAATAAAAAATATATAATTTTATTAAATTTATATTAAGTTTTTAATTTTTGTTTAAATTAGCTAGAAATCTTCTTATATATTTGATATATTTAAGTTCTAATACTAATAAAAAAATTAATAGTTTTAAACTTGAAAAAATAAATGTTTATTGATTTTTATAAATATTATTTTTAAATTGAAGAAATATTTCACAATTTTTTTATAATATTTGCTTGACTGATAATTTAATGTTTTAAATTATCTATTCAATTTTTTTAAAACTAAAAAATATAAAAATATTGATTCAAAATATATTAATTTATAAGAAAAATAATACTTTATTAATAATTTTCTAAAACAATTAACTAAATCATATTTATTATATTTTCATGAGGTAATAGACTTTTTTAGAATTAATCATTGTAATTTCTTTCATATAAAAAATATCATTTTAAGATTTAAACATATATAACAGTATATTTTCAAAAGATATAAAATTCATTGTCAAATAACTAAAAAAATCTTATAAAGCTAAAAACAATAAAAATATCCGAATAAAATTCTATAAAAAATCCATTTTTAAAATTTATACATCAATAACCAGTTTAAAATGATCATACAAAAATTCATTATTATAAAAATTAATATATAATAAAAACATTTGCAACTTATAAACATTAATTACCAGAATTTTAGATAATATAATTATATTAAAATTTTATTAACTCATTCGCTAATATTCATTTCCTGATCTATAGTTTCAATCAAAGACATTATGACACGAAAAAACACATCAAGTTTTCTAAAATTATCTGATGCAAATTTCGAAATGAATGCATCTAACTTCCCTATAGAAATTATATAATTAAGAGATCGAAGCGACTGAAAAATTAAAAAAATAGACATATTTTAAATTTATACCTGCTGAAAACATTCCCTAGAAATAATATTTTCAAGGCTTTTCTCATCAAGTTCAAAATTTTGAAGAATATCAGGTGGAAGATTAGGAAATAAAGCTTCTCGAATAAATTTATTTTGTAACAAGTTAATAGCTTCAGATGGAGTCAATATATCTGTTAAAATAAAAGATTCTTTAGGAAAATCATCAGGAATATGCACATTCGACAAAAACGATTTTAAAGATAAAAAATATTCAGATAATGAAAAACGATTTTTACATGTCATAGAAGGCAATGTATTTTGCTCCTTTGTCTCCATATTTTCTTTTCCAGAGTCTAAAGATGCAATTTTAACGCATTTATCATCTATAAAATTGAAAAAAAAATTATGATATAAATAGCTTACTTTCATTATCAAAAAATTGTGTATCGTTTACATTTGGGCTTTCATTATATTCATTAGATTCTAATACAATTCTTTATTAGATAAATAAAAACTCTCTTTTTATGTACCACTAATTACGGGATTTTTAATTGCTTCGTTAATTTTATTAACATAATAATCGTCTTTATTACTGTTAAGATCTTGCATCCAAAAAAAAAAAATCTGGAAAGATGATTTGAAATGAAGAGCAAAAACTCTTCCACTCGGAGAATCTTTTACACATGAAAACTCTGCTTCACCTGGAAAAATAATAAGGTCCTAAATTAATTACTATTGTAATTGTTTTTTTTTTTGAAAACCTCTTCAATTATATTAGTTGTTCTATCTTTCCAATAGAAATGAAGAAGATCGTCATTTTCAATCCTTATAAATATCATTCTACATGAATAATATTAACCTTTATAATAAAATAGAAATATTTACCCTTTTCTAGTGTCAGGTTTTACTATGTTAGTAGTACCATCTCGAATCATTTTGCCAGCCTTAAACTTAACAATATATTCTTCTTTAAGATCTTTAGTTTTTTCTGAAAAGGAAGTAGTCATTGATGACATTTTTTAGATAAAGTGCAAATCTAATATGAATATGACTAACTGCAGTTGGATTTCATAACTAGTTAAATTTAGGCTTAGGCTTAGGATTAGAATCAGACTTAGGGTCAGGGTAAAGTCTTTAGATTTTTTTACATTGTGTAAATGTTACTGTTTTTTCTCAATATTTTTCCTTTACCTAACATTTATCTTGGTAACTGGATATTATTTTTCTTGTTTTTCTATTTCTGTTTAATTTGTGTAATTATCAAGACTACATTTTTTACGTTTTTTGTGTAAAAATTATATTACATTTTGCTAAGTGTCCTACAAAATACAATGATATCGAGTATAGATAAACCACAAGATAAACTTTTTAGAAAAATTTAAATAATATAAGCAAAAATGAACAGAAGAATATATCGAATGAAACAAGAAGTGCATGTTAGAAATTATCAACAAAGTATTTTTTGATTAAAAGTGAAGATTAAAGAGTCTTGATTATAAATCAATATTGAAAAGAATGTAGCAATTAAAAAAAGGTTTAGAAATTAGTTGTTCAAATGAAAGAATACCAAAAATAAGGAAAACGTCAAATTTAAGGATAATAATATAGTATTAAAAGTGACAAAAGTATGGATGAATTGTAAAAAGTTTTCAAAAGTCAGTAGATAAAACAATATATATGTATGTATATTATTTTATAAAAAATTATTGAATAAAATGAAAAAGAATATAAAAAAAAAAGAAAAATAAAGATTTAAAATTTATAATCAAAAATTGTAATAATTTTTATTTTTAACGGTTTCTATATTTTTTTAGAGTTTATCAAAATTGCAAAATTTTATCGCATCTTTTTAGATAATCATTTTAAAATAACCATTAAATTTCATAAATTTTGATTAAAAGCATATTGTGGATATTTGTATTATATGTTTAGGACTCAAAAGCTTTGGAAAATACATTTTCTTTATGATTAATAAAATTATACTGATAGTAATATTAAATTTAATTGGTAATTATATTTTAGATTATTTTCATTTTTAATTAAATTATTTTTAGCCCTTACATATGGAAGTCAAAGCGTAAACTTAAGTATTAGAAGCTCTCAAACAAATGCAGTAAATCCGTCGTTTAAAAGTTTTATTGATGAAGATATTTATGGTTTTATTTTAAAAAAAAATTATAATGATGAAAACAAATGCAAAATAAAACTTGAGGAATATTGTAAAGAATTAAAGGATATAGATCCAGGATTAAATAAAGTTGATAGTAAGGCTAAAGAAATTTGTAATGATAATGATAAAGGACAAAAATGCAAAGACCTAAAAACAAATATTACAGAAAAAGTAAACCAAGTTTATGATGAAGTTTATAAAATTATACAAAAATTTTCAACTTATGAAGATTGCGATAAATATTTGCCAAGATGTTTCTTTTTGGAAGATTCAACTTCTAATATTTTAGAAGGGTGTTATTTCATAAGATATGATTGTTATATAAGGAAGCGTTTAAAACTGACAAATGAAATTATTCTTCAAGCTGTCGGTGATAGTATTGCTAATTATAATGATTTTAAAGAAAAAATGAAAGAAATCTGTCCAATATTGATTCAACAAGGTAATGATTTAGTCATCGAATGTCTTGAAATTGAAAAATCTTTTGAAAAATTAAATGAATATATTAATTATTTTTGCAATTCTTTAAATATTAACCTTAATGATAATGAATTGCAAGAAAAATGTTACGAAAAACTCAAAAACTGTTATTTTCTTAAAAATAAATGCGAAAAAAACTGTAATGACTTGATGGTGTTATGTGAGAAAAAGAATATTACATATAAGCCTCCAGAAAAAGATTTTAATCCAATTGAGCCAGAAGCAACATTGTTAGAGAAAATTGATCTGGAAGGTTTTTATAAAAAAATGAGAGATGAAGGAATACATATTGGAAATTTGCAAACAACACTGGACGACATGTTAATCTTTTTGTCTACAACAGCCTCCGATTTGGAAGAAAATGAATGCAAGAATGAATTAAAGGAAAACTGTGATTTTTTTAAATATCTGAGTCCTGAATTTAAGGAATTATGTCAAGATAACAAAAGGCAAAAATGCAAAGATATATTAGAAATAAAAAATAGATGTAGAAAGCTTAAAATAATGCTTTATGTAAATGGATTTTCTACAAAATTTGATAATAAACTAGGGAAAGATATCCTTTGGAATAAGCTTTCAACATCATTTAGTGAGAGAGAATGTTTAAAATTTAGAGCAGAATGTTTTTTTATTCAAGGAGCATGCAAAAATAATCTCGTTAAAGGATGCAGAAATCTAGAATTAGCATGTTATAAAAAGCAACAAGAACAACTATTTATTAAATTAATTGAAAGTAAATTGGTCGAAGAACAATACAAATTAAAATCAAAAGATGACAAGCTTAAAATATGTCAAAAAATAGTAATGGAGAACTGTGCAGCACTTGTAAATAATAATATTGAGAACTTTTTAAAATGCCTTCGACCAAAAGAGATATGTCTTGAACTTGAAGAAATTATTTTTGCTCGATCGAAAGACTTAGAACAAGCTTTGGATCAAGCACGAGATTTTCCTAAAGAAGAGGACTGTATTAAATTGAAAAAGGATTGTGAAGGTATTGCGAAGGATTTAGGTTCAAATAATGTAAAGTGTGTTACATTAAAAGAGCGTTGTAAATATTTGGAAGTTACAAAAGAACTAAAATATGTTTTTTTAAAAGATAAAAGTAATTCATTAGCGAATATTCAAAATTGTATGAAAACTTTGAAAGAAAAATGTGATAGATTGTTTAAAAGAGAGACTAATACATTTGCTGTTTCATGTGCTTTGCCAGAAGAAACATGTAAATTTATGGTTTCAGAAGTTAAAAATCATTGCAATGCTTTTAAAAACAATATAAAAAAACATGATATTGTGAGTAAAAGTAGAAATGGAAATCAAACATTGGCTGAAGAAATCTGCATGTTATGGTATCCATATTGTGATGAACTTATGGAAAATTGTCCAGATAAGTTGAAAAAAGGAGACAATGGGAATGAAAAAGGAGTCTGTTTACAACTGATAGAGAATTGTAGGCCATTCTTGGAAAAGTTGAAATTGGAGGATGAGTTAACTCATATATTGAAAGGTAGTTTAGGCGATGAAACTGAATGTAAAGAAACATTAGGAAAACATTGTACTGAGTGGAAAAAAGAAGGGAATCAAACATTGAATAGTCTATGTGAAGATGCTAAGAAAGAAGAACTTTGCAAAAAGTTTGTTGGAAAAATAAAAGAAAAATGTCCAACCTTAGAAAATGAACTGAATAAAGAGAAAGATGAATTAAAGAAGAAGAAGGATGAATACGAAAAGGTGAAACAGGAGGCAGAAGAATTTGGAAAGGAAGCTAAGTTACTATTATCAAGACCTGGACAAGATGGACAAGGTGCAGGATCAAAGGTGCAAGATGGCAGTGCTCCTAAACCAGTGGGACCACCGGTACAGCCACCAGTACCAGTACCACCAGCACAACCACCAACACCAGGAGCACCAGGAACACCAGGAACACCAGGAGGAGCACCAGCACCAGTACCAGTACCAGTACCACCAGTACCACTACCATAACCAGCACAACCATCAGCACAACCACAACCACCAGCAGGGCCATCAGGATCACCATCACGAGGAACACCAACACCAGGAGGATCAACATCAAGTGGAACGACAAACACAACTAATGTTAGACTTGTTCGGAGGACATTTGTAGATGGAGAAGTATCAGAAGCAGAAAAGAAGGCATTTGTTGCAACGGCAAGAGCATTGGAATTGTATTTAGAATTGAAAGAGAAATGTAAAGGTTTGCAAGGAGACTGCGGGTTTAAAAAGGATTGTCCGGGGTGTGATGCGGCCTGTACAGAAATAGACAAGTTATGTGAAGGAATAAAACCATTAAAAGTTACACCGCATCATACAATGACATTAATGACGACAGAGATAACGACTACAACAATGATTACAACGACTACAACAATGATTACAACAACTACTACAACGACTACAACAACGATTACAACAGCGACAAAGTCAATACATGGAGGGAAAATAACAGAACAATGTACATTTGCTCAAACAACAGATATATGGGTGACGAGCACATCGTTGCATACGAGTACGATAACAAGTACATCTACAATAACATCTGCGGTGACATTGACATCGATGCAAAAATGCAAGCCTACAAGATGCACAAGTAATTTAACTAAAGAAACAGAAACAGAAAAAGAGGAAGAAGTGAGATCAAATGAAGGAATGAAAATAAGAATACCAAAAATGATAAAAATAATGTTGGGAGTGATTGTTATGGAAATGTTGTAAAATGAATGAAAAAACCGATTAGAATGAAAAAGTGCATATATCCATTGTTTATATGTAATATAGAAGATGCAGAAAAATGAGGGGTAGATTTTTAATCTAGAATAATGAAATAAAAATTGAAAATTACTCTTGAATTATTGGGAAATTGTCCCTGAGTCATCGGAGAATTAATCTCTTATCAGAACATGATTAGTGGAGAATTAGCCCTTGGGGTAAATTCTATATATTGATTGAAGATGAATGTTATATAAAATTTTAAAGGTCAAATTAAATAAGATAAAAAAGTGAGGTGTTATGAATGGAATTTGGGGGAGTAGATGAAGAGAAATGGAGAGGACAAAGTTGAAAAGGAAAGGAGAATTTAAGAAAAATGGAAAAAAAGTAGAGTTTGATATAAAAGTGAAATGATATGAGAAGAATTATAGAAAATGTGGAAAGGAAATGTATATAATTTCTAAAAATGACAATGAACCAGTATCGGATTATAGTATAGCCCTTAATGGAATAAGCTATTTAGGTTTGTAAGATTTTTTCTAGATTTTATTAGCATTCTTATATTCCTCTCTAGTTATTACATATGTTTTCAGCATTTTTTGGGAAATATATCAGGAATATATTATCACAAAAATTCTGAACAGTAAAATAGTGTTAATGTAATGATTATAAATTAAGTCTAAAAATAGGTTTCAACAACGTACTTTCTAACATGATGGTAATAAAACTTTTTCTAAGTATGAATTTAGATAATTATTTCTAAATTAAAAAATATGTTTCGAATGAAAATGAATCTTAAATTTTTTTGAAACTTTTTTTGATTAAGCTATTTTTCTTACGAAACCAAATAATTCATGAATTTCTAAAACATATATACATTTCTATATATCTGGATCATTATATTTTATATAATGCTACGATTTTTCTTTATATCCTATAATTAATATATTTTGTTTTATAAGTTGTATTTTTTTTTTTTTTGGAAAATGATAATAATTTTAATATTATTTATAAACAAAACGCAGGAAATAGAGATAATTCTATATAGCAGTTTTTTTTTTTTGATATAATTTTTTTAAAAATTAGATTCTAATTTTAATATTTTTTTCCAAAATAATGTTCGTATTAAAAGATTTTACATGACTTTAGACTAAAATTATTTTTTCTATTAGAATTTTAAATGTTTATACTTATAATTTCCAATACAATTTTTTCTAAAACTATTATGATATTTTTTAGCAAAATTTTCAAGTATATTTTAAATTAATATATTTTTATAAAATTTATATAAACATTAGATTCAAAAATCAAAAAACCCAATTTTTTTAAAATAACCTCATGATATATTTATTAACTTATTTATATAGAAAAAATAAGTTTTTAACAAGCCTTAAATTATATCCAATATTTATTAAAGAAATTCGAAAAAAAATTTAATGTTAAAAAAAATATTTTAATGTTAAAAAAAATATTTTAATATTAAGAAAAATAATTACAGAAAAGATAAACAGTGAATATAGTTGTTATGAAATTCTATAAAAAATAATATAATAAATTTAATTGTATTAAGTTATTACATTTTTTTAAAAATACTATCAAAAATGAACAAATAATATTTATCATTGATTATTTTCAAATGGTATCTTATAAAGAAAACATTTTCAAGTTAAATGGTTGTAATAAATAAATTAAATTTATTATATAATAAAATATTATAATATTATAAAAACTTTATTTTTATCGTTTTCCGAAATATCACACGATTTTAACGTATTTATAAAAAAAATAGATTAATATCTAAGACGGATATTTACTGGTTTTTTTATTAATACTTTTTTAAAGAGGGATGAAACTCACTTCCTTATTACTTCTGTCTCTTACGCTTATAACTAAATACACAAAATCTAATGAATTCCGTGATTTAAATAATGCGGCAAAAGATCCAAACTCTAATTATAATCCTTCACATGTAGAAATTATTGAGAAAGATTTTGAAAAATCCACTTTAGATGACTCTGAATATAGAGTTGTCAAACTTCAGAATGGTATAGAAGTAGCATTAGTTAGCGATCCCTCTGTACGTCTAGCAGCCACATCAGTAGCTGTTCGTGTAGGAAGTAAAGACGATCCTGTAAGCTCCTATAAGATTTTTAATTTATAAAAACCCTTATATTACATCTTAGAAAGGTTTTCCGGGATTGGCACATTTATGTGAATATTTGCTTTTTATGGGAACAGAAAAAGTATTATTATATTGATATATTATCATTCTTAATATAAATAGTATCCCTTGGAAAACGAATATACTTCTTTTGTTTTAAATCATGGTGGTTCTTTTGATTCATATAGAGGTTTAGAACGCACAGTCTTTATTAGTGAAATTAATCCGAAATACCATTATGAACAACTTGATAGAATGGCTAATTTTTTTATTAAACCCTTATTCAGAGAGGATTTAATAGAACGTGAAACACATTTTATTAACTCAGGTATTTTTTTAAATAGCTACACAAATGGCATTAATAAATATAGAATTTGAGGAATATCGTTCCAGTTTTTCTAAGGCTAGATTTCATTTTTTAAACTACATCTTAAAAGATACTGGTTTATTTCCGGAGTTTACTACAGGCAATCGTCAAACATTATTTTCTGAACCTAGAGCTAAAAATATGAGCGTTAAAAAGGCTCTTGAAGATTTTTTTGATAATTATTATCATTCTCGTGATATTAAGGTAGCCGTATGTGGGAATGGTATAGAAATAAATTGTATTCATACTCTTTTTTAATAAGTATATCTATAGAATCACTTGATACTCTTCAAGAATTGGTACAAAAGACATTTGGTCAGATTCCAGATAAAAAAGAAAGAGCTATAGATGATGTCAACCCATTTAGTTCTATAACTAAAGTGAGATATTATTTTTTTATTTATATCTACTTATTATTATGTAGTATCATTATTGGTATAATTTTTCTGGTGCACCTTATACGGCAGATATTGCTTTTATTGTTCCGAGCTCAAGGGTTCATTACAAATCAGTCCCTTTTCATTATTTGAATTATATTTTTTGTTAGTGGCTTAATTTTGGTATATTTATTTTTAATAATATTATTAGCTTACTCAGGGCCTGACTCTCCTATTGATTATTTTTCAAAGAAATCCTTGGCTTCGAGAATTAGGTAAATACTTTCTTTTTTCATGTCTTATATTAATATTTTTATAGGTTTTCAAATATAGAATATTCTTCGAAGTATGACCTTCTCTTTGTCTCTTTAAAACCCTTATACGTTGGACGACGTATTTTTTTCTAATTTCAATGGCGTATCTTACTTTATTTAGTGTTTTACGAAGAACTGATCTTAGAGTTTTTCAAATGTATACAATTCTTCAAAGGTTTTTTATTATTTTAAATAAAAAATTATTCTAAAGACTTTTATACTAGAAAATGGGCCAAATAAAGCAGTTTTTGAAGACATAATGAAAGCTCAAAACACTAATTTCAAGTATTCTTTTAAAGAGTCGGTATCTCAACTTGTTGATAAACTATCCACAAGCTTGTTAGCCGATTCTTTTCCTCGTAAATATTTATTAAAACAAGATATTATAAAAGAATATAATAAAGAGGAATTTGATGAGTTTTTTTCTGCATTGAACTATGAAAATTTTATCTCTTTTTCAAATACTATAAGAAAAGGATATAATGAGACAGATCCCTATTATAACATCACTTATTTAAAACAATCTCATAAAAAAAGATTCATAGAGGTAATAAAATGATTTGTTAGTTATTATTAATTATATTAGAAACTTAAAAATATTTCATCACCTAACCTAAAATATCCTCCTAAGAATATTTATCTTGACGAATCAGATATTACTATGGAAAAATTAAATGAAGTAAGCTAATATAATATCATTATATTATTTCTGACAATTATTAGACTCTAACTAAACCGGATCTTTTAAAAGATACATATGTTTCCACTCTCTGGCATAAGCATGCTAGTTTTTTTTACTGTCCATATGGGGTTATACGCATTTTATTAAAAAAGTAATATTATAGAATTAATTATACTATTAGTCTTATTTTATCTAGTCCATTTGTCAGTTCGACTCCATCAAATATGCTTAAAATAAGGTACATTCTCAAATAATGTTACATTATTTCTTATAGATAATAGATTTCTGCAAATTTACATATATAGCTCTCTTCCATTTGACTTTTTATTACTTTCCACTGCTAACGTAAATTTTTATATTACACCTACATTGCATGGACTTATAATAATGTTTTATGGGTATACTAATAAAATGATGGAATTAGTTACTCGCGTCATAAATACTTTAAAGGAAACAAGTCTTGATCATCGACTGTTTAACCCTTTAAGATCGACTCTTATTTATAGTTATATACAGAGGATTTCAGCGGAACCTTCAACATTTTTGGAAATTGACATAGATGACATTCTTTTTTCAGAAAGACAACCTTTCAAAAACATGTTGTTTGTATTAGATCGTAATATATCGTTTTCTATAGAGCATAAGCTTCTAACTATATTTATAGAATTTCAACATTCTGATGTTAATGCTTTTTTTTATAATTTATTAAACAATTTCCATTTTGATGTTTTAATAACAGGAAATATTCCTAAAGAAGTGAGCCGGTTTTTTTTATAGAATTATCTAATTAAATTTATAGGATGCATTGCACATTCATAATATGTTAGAAACAACCTTTTCCCCACATCCTTTAACATCTTCTCAACGCCATTATATTAATACACGTGCAATAACTCTAGAAGATGGTTACTAAAATTATTTATATTATAAATATAATAACATTTTAGGTTCTGATTATTTCCGCGTTCACGAACTGTCTAAAAGTGGTCCAAAATCTGCACTATTTATGTATTTTGAAGCAGCTGAAATGGAAGACTCAAGAAGGGTGATGTTATTTCTTATATTATACCTCATCTTGCGTGAGCCTATCTATCATGAATTAAAAACAAAAGAGCAATTGGGTCATATTATAAAAAGTGATATAAAAGTTTCGAGGAACATTCTAGGGTTTTTTTTTTTTTATTTTATTTATAAATTATGCTTAGTTTCATAGGTACTATATTCTAGTTCAAAGTGAAAGACAGCCACATGTCTTGCACTCTCGAATTGATGCATTTTTAAATAGAATGCTTGATAGAATCCTTAATCTTACATCTAAAGAATTGAATTACCATTTAGAAAGTCTTCAATACTTTTTAAAAAAGGATCCTTCAAATATTCTATCTGAAAATCTTAATGTCTGGTCTAGCGTAGTTAATGCTCCTTATACTTCTAATTCAGGTAATTTTCCCTTAAGATTATTTTTATATAACATTTTCCATAGATTTTGAACCTCAAAAGGCTGATCCTATAGAACCCCATGAGCTTGTAAACCTATTTAAAGAGGTCTTTTATTCTAAAAGGAAAAGATTTTCATATACTGTCACTTCTACTGTTACTTCTGATATTTATAATCTTTATGATCTACCACTTGATAAGCTTTCCGAATATTTAAGTAGTAAAGGAGAAAACGTTTCAAAAGAGGAGCTCTATAATTATGTATTACTTTCACATGATTTTCCGAGTTTTCGAATTAAATTATCTGAACATTTAAGTAAGAATAGGAATCAGAGTGATGTAAAATCCATACTTGATGAGACAATTAAATATCTCAAAAGATTATATTTACTTGAAAAATATCGAATACTTAAGCCTTTGAGTTTAGTCGACAATATAGCGTATTTTAAAGCTAGTCTGGAATTATCACCAGCTTTTGTTTACAATTCATTATCGAGTGAATATCATAAGTAAAAGTGACTTTTAGAATTATCAAGTAGATATATATTTTGTTCTTTTTCTTTTATTTTTTTGTATTAACTAGACGTTATAAATTAATATATAATTATCAATTTTCATTATAAGCACATTAGGGTTAACAGCGTAGGCTTAGGCTTATGCTTATGCTTATGCTTATGCTTATGCTTATGCTTATGCTTATGCTTATGCTTATGCTTATGCTTATGCTTATGCTTATGCTTATGCTTATGCTTATGCTTATGCTTATGCTTATGCTTATGCTTATGCTTATGCTTAGGCTTAGGCTTAGGCTTAGGCTTAGGCTTAGGCTTAGGCTTAGGCTTAGGCTTAGGCTTAGGCTTAGGCTTAGGCTTAGGCTTAGGCTTAGGCTTAGGCTTAGGCTTAGGCTTAGGCTTAGGCTTAGGCTTAGGCTTAGGCTTAGGCTTAGGCTTAGGCTTAGGCTTAGGCTTAGGCTTAGGCTTAGGCTTAGGCTTAGGCTTAGGCTTAGGCTTAGGCTTAGGCTTAGGCTTAGGCTTAGGCTTAGGCTTAGGCTTAGGCTTA